AGCATCACCTGAACCCAACACTGCAAACCACCCACTTAAGGGCTGGATCCGTCTGACCGAATCGGAGGCGAGAATTCCTAACGAGATCAGCAAATCATGATCCGAAGGTTTCGATGATAGACAGCTCGCCATTGTCCGCCATCTGAGCCGCATCCCCTGCTTTTATAGTCGATGTGGGCGGAGCCGAGAGCATCGACCGCCCATTCGGGGGGCGTTTCGAGTCGCAAATCTGTCATTGCACACGATATTTTGAATATCGTTTAAGCCGACCCTCTCAATTTCCAACACTATCTCGCTGGTTGTTATGCAATTATTCACAAAAGAATTGCCGCAAGGTCAGCTATGAGCAAACTACATCAATACGAATATCACGTAAACGATAAGCAATTTGAATAGTAGTCAAAATTCCTCAAAATTAACAAGCATTAGTAAATTGAAAAAGTAATAATTTTTATATTCACATCTCGCTGTTGGCCAACATTCTTCGTCGTTTTTAACGTTTTTAATTATTCGTGAGAAATATTCGAGTTATTTAAATTAAATTTGACAGATTGAGCGATTTTGAGGGATTTACTGGACAAGTTTTACAATATTCTGGATTGTTTTACAATATTCTACGTATCCTGAGGTAAATTTAATTATAATCTGTGAGTATACTCTTTCTTAAAATAATTATCGGTCCGCAATTTTTATATTAAATTTATTAAACTGAGATTATTTGCAGGAAGAGAGAACAAGTCATAAAAAACAAACAGCCACAGAGAGCGTGAATAAAGGAGACAAATGGACCGCGATAAGTGATTTTTTATTAATTTATTTTGCATTTTTTTTAGTTTAAACCGTCAGGCCTGTTTTAAAACGGCATCATTTTCGATTTCCCAACAAGGAAAAGAAAATGGAAAAATATGAGTTAATTTTTTAAAAATCCAATTATTAAAAATCCCACAGTTAAGCGAATGTTTCAGTAACGCTGCACCTTTAAGCTGTCGGCCCTATTATTTTTTTATCATTTTTTCTTTTCTTTAAAGTTTTTAACGATTTTTTGCGATAAAATTGTATTTAAATAATTATAGTTGTATTTGAAGTGTATATTTTTTTGTAAACTAGTGGTTATTTAAGACTGAAAATTAATAAATGACTAATATTTTCTGTATATTTCGAATTTTATTCCACTTTCAACAATATTCCATGATTATTTATGTATATGTCTTTCAGGCTTCGTCTGACGCTAATCCCGCGCCATCGATATTCGTTCTTTGATTTGCTGGCTTTTTTTGTAATGCTTGGTAAATTTTTCCCATTTTTTGTTCCCTTTCTTTCCTAATTTAATATTGTTTTTCAAAAATAAATTTATATTCCTTAAACGTGTTAAATTGTACTAAAAATTTAAGCCTATTTGGCTGCCACTGTTGTTTTTATGTATTTGATTTGCGCAGGCTTGCAAAGAAGCTTGATATGAAATTGCACAATTTGACACTTGAAATATTGGAAATTGTGGGAATAGATTCACGCTTACGAAATTCGAAGTCTATCTGAACCTGCTTTTCCGTGAATAGTTTATTACTTGCTAAAAATTATTTTCATAAGGATAGTCTACATCGTTTCTGAAAAGTCAAAGCTAGACAGAAATTCTACGAATCTCCTCTTGATAACGTGAATTATTGCTATTATACAAAAATTTAAGGTAAAAATTACTGTTAGAAACTGTAAATTTTGACATTCGAGCAGAAAAGAACATTTGGTGAAAAGATTTACGTTCTAGCATCATTTTCTGAAATTTTAAAACTTTTTAATTCGGACCCCTTAAGACCCCTCCCCCCCCCTATGACACTGACAACTTCTAGGAAAATTTACGGTATTGACCAAAAGAACATAATTAAATACTCAAGTCAAAAAATTGGAGTCAATGAACATTGACCGGTAATAAAAAAAAATGGAGGATAAAATCTAAGGGTGGAAATTAGTGGGTGATAGCAAAATAAAAATAGGGGTTAAACTTTGGGGGTGGAAAATTAGGGTCTATTAGAAACCACCCCTACTTTTTAACCCCCACCCCTGCTATTCCACCCCGACTTTTTAACCCCGACTTTTATTTATGATACCACCCCCACTTTTTCACCCCCAATTTTTAGGTTTCACCCCTACTTTTTCACTGCACTTAAAAATTTGAAGTTTCTAACAGTAATGTTTAACAGTAAAATTTTACTGTTTTTAATATTTTCAATAATTCAAGTTATCAAGAGGAGATTCGCAGAACTGATGTCTAAATTAGATTTTTCAGAAACTATGTAGCGTTCTTATGAAAGGTTGACGTTTTGACAAAAGACGAAATTTTTCTGAACCGGGTTTTCCGAGAATAGTTAATTTCTTGTTAAAATTGTCAACCTTTCATAAGAACACTACATGTTGTCGGCGTCAAACGACTGAAGGGAGGCGGAGCCTTTAAATTCGCGAAATTAATGTAGATTTAAATTAATCGTTGACTGAATATTTAATGCGCGTACGCTATAATGCAATGGACGCAATCTCGCTGCCTCGAGACGCATTGGCACATAGCCAATTATTTTTTAAATTTCTTCAAGTCGTTTGACTTCGACAATAGTTTCTGAAAAATGTAATTTAGACATCAGTCCTGCGAATCTCCTCTTGATAACTTGAATTATTGAAAATATTAAAAACATTTTACTGTTAAACATTACTGTTAGAAACTTCAAATTTTGAAGTGCAGTGAAAAAGTAGGGGTGAAACCTAAAAATTGGGGGTGAAAAAGTGGGGGTGGTATCATAAATAAAAGTCGGGGTTAAAAAGTCGGGGTGGAATAGCAGGGGTGGGGGTTAAAAAGTAGGGGTGGTTTCTAATAGACCGAAAATTAGGGGTAGGGGTTGAAATTTGGGTGATGGCAATGGGCCCATTTAGAGAATCAGTATTACCATGTGATTATAATAATCTTGTGAAACGTGACAAGTCAGAAATTTCGTTATTTGCAACCGTGAGTATGTTGGCATCGCGATACCAATAAAAGAAAAAAAAACAGAAATAATGCACATATTTTAAAAATTGATTTTCTCAAAAAAAAAATTGAAATCAAAGTGATTATACCAAATTCACGCACATGACCCGCAAATGCAGCATCTCGGCATTTTAAAATGTGATTTTTATTTTCAGCATTTTTAAATGATAGCTGTTATTGTGAAATTTTGATGGATTTCCAGTTGTTCTTATTGATATTAATCATTGTTTTACTTGCAATCATTTATTTTATTTACAGTTTTGAGAAGGTAACAATATCGCAAAAAAGCAAAATTGTGCTCGTTTTTTTGTAGCTATGTTTGAATTTTTTTAATATTAGTAATTACAGAAAATCGAATCAAACGAAACATCCCTTATTGAAAAGGAAAGAAAAAAGCTAAAAAGTTTCATTAAAAAAGAAATTCAAGAAAAATTGAAAGAAATTTCGTCTCCAATTGAGCATAAATTGAATAGGAAGACGGACGCGATTAATTCGAAGCCCGAATCGGAACTTACTTCTTCACGATCGCAATTGACAACAAAAACTGCTGTTTCGATAGATTCTGATGTGAATTTGAAATCAATGCCAATTGTGATTTCGAAAGAATCTCAGCTAATTCCATCAATTACTAATACGAATATTTTTGATATCGACTTAGCAAAACATCCAACACAATGCGATCAATCAACTTTTTCCACTAGAACTGCACGTTCCACCAATTTCAACTCCACAACAAAAACTGCTCAATCAGAATTTACTTCGCCAATTGCTAGTTCCGCGAAACCCGATAATTCAAACGAGACGTCGTCAATTTTATCTGCACCGAGAACTTTTCCAAACCCAATGCTAAAGTTCATAGAATCGGTTTGTTTTTATTAGTTCATTATCAAGTTTACCGTTTAGGGGGTGGCGAAATTTGAATTACCGAATGAAACACATCGAGAAGACAGATTTAGCACTTCAATTTGGCCAGGATCCACGTTTCCCGTCAAGGTAATTTATGATTAATATCCGAGCCAAAATGAGGCCAAATGATTCGACCACAAAACGCAAATTCTGTGGAAACTTTTCGCAACTTCTATTGTTGGTTTCAAATGACCTAACGGGTGATTGCTACCGTAACATAGCGATGAAAAAGAGGAGAGAGCTCGCGCGCGCATTCTTTTTTTTCTTCAGTTTTTTGCGCTGACGCTTCCCTTTTTCGTTTACATTTTGTTTGCATCTTTTTTCTTTCGTTTGCCTCTCGCTCGGTTCCTTGTAGTACTCCACAATCGCGTGGATTCTGTTTCTTACGCCGTTCTCACGGCTCGATCAGGTCAGCCTACACGCGATTACTTTTAACACTTTTCATCTCACTAACAAAGAGGTTAAAATGATGATAATTTATTCTGATCAATCCCGGCTGCAAATATACGTTGACGAGAAAGGCGGGCACTGGCCCAATTTTCTACAATTTTTTTTAGAAATTAATCCCATATTTCATTTTGCCCATTTCTGGCTCTATTTTGAGATAATCGGGAAGTGTAATTTCGCTCGAATTTTTCGATAGCATCAACATCTTGTTTTGGTCGAAACATCAAAAAATGATCTATTTAAAGTGATGTTTCCAGTATAAAGATGATATGCAGAAACCGAGGAAAAGACGAAAATCAACAAAAGTATGATTCCTTCAAAATTAGCTAAAAAAATATTGTTTTGGTTTTTAAATAGATAAAATCGCAAAAAAAGAAGACATGATGGTACTTCGATTTCCCCAATGCTCAGAAATCTAATAAACTGTACAGGTTTATTGTAAATGACACAAAAGTGTGGCTACTACTCTCACAACCAATAAATAAATGCGTTAAAAACAATAACCTAATCGGACAGAAACAAATAAATCATAATGGTCTGCCCGTACACACTCCTAATTAATTCGACACGAAATATTATGAGCTAATAGGGTACAAAAAGAAAGAGCAATAGGCTGATGCATCTTAAATTAGATAAATCATCGATTATTTTTTTGAATTTCTTCAATTTCTCGAGCTCCTTCAACCCATGGTCTAAGTACTTCCCAACGATCAGCAACAGGTCGGCCAAAATATTCAACTTGCGTCTCTGAATAACGATACTTCGGAGTTCCAAAATCTCTGAAAAAAAAACATAATTCTAATCGATGTATTGTTGAAATCGGGCGCCTGTCAAGTTGGGTCGAAACAAGAGTCTCGAGACTAATTTTGAGATTTAGCCGATTTGTCGCACTCGCAATTTCGATAATAAAATGCACCGAAAATTACCTGAATCCTGAATCTTTGTAATTGTAGTTGAATTTTTCCAGAGCAACGCGTATCTCATCAATATTTGTCAAAATTCTCAGGGTTTCGGGCTCCTAAAACGTTTTGGAGTTATCTTCGAATTATAACGTTCAAATATTATATAAATAGTCAAAAACATGCCTTATATTCTGGAATATGAACGTTTGGGAATATGAGGACAGTTCGGAAAGCAAAGTGTCCGCCGTATATTGGATGCAAACTGAGTCCTATGAACTTCTAAATTATCGTTTTAAAGTAAAAATCAATCATTTAAAAAATACTCTATCAGAATCCAATTCAGTCGTTGGCGGCCACTGCTGTCCTTTTGAAAATCGTCGAGGTTGATAATAGAAGGCAGCTCCAGCGACATGTCCACAAGTTTGCATGAGAATAAGTGGACGACGTTGGGGGGTCATCGAGTAATCATGCATGACGACGATATCATTTTCAATTGGAGATATTTTCTGTATAATTTTCAATCTTCGAAGTCTGCTTAAGATCTTCAGAAAAGCTTACATCTAAACATCGTTGGAGACGGTCATTCAGAAATTCTTGAATTGGAGAAGAACAATTTTCCGCGAGTGCCTCAAAAGATCCGTACTAAAAATAAAGAAATTAGACGAAAACTTATAAAGAAATAAACGAACCTCCATTGTTTTTTCAACAATCCATTTTCGAAACGCAACATCGAACATATTTGGAGTGCTCAGAATCAAAAGAGCCATAGCATCACCGTCATATGGAAGACGGAATACATGGCTGACTTCCTGATTGTAAGATCCAATCTAAATCAGAGAAAAATTGGTTTAATTCAAAAGTTGATTAACTTGTTAATTTTGCCAAAAACAAGCATTATTTATTCTACTTCAAAATGAATTAAATTTTCAAATAGTAAATTCTAAGAACAATTTTTGCCAGATTTTGATTAATTTGTATGTTTTTTTTAAATAACATTAACAAATTACCTTAAAAATGTGCGATTCGAATCCATCATGAATAGATAATTCAGCGTCGACCGCTTTTTTGATATCAAATGCGTGACGAAGAGAATCAGTGTGATTCATTTCAAATCTACAACAACCGTTGATATCATTGATTAACAAAGTGCAATGGAGAGAATGATAGATAATAGACGAAAAAAGAAAAAAATCACATCACGAAGAAAAACGCATTCGTCGATCATCTGATGAGAAAGAAGACGATATGAATTGAAAGATTGCAATTTATAGATCCGTTCAAAGATCTTTTCGTGATGTGGGGTCAGATAAGACAACAAATTGTGATCTTATAAAGAAATAATGAAATGATCGTTTTATGAAGGTTATGAAAACTTAGTTATCAGCACAAAATGCCCCTCTTCGCAATGAAACAATTTTTGAAATAGTCCCAACAACTGACTGGCATTATTGTTTGTGATGAAGCTCCAGAGCACGAGAGAACGAGGCAGCAAAAGACATTTTTTCGTAAGATGAAATAGCTCACGTAGGCCAAATCCATGCTTTCATACAAAGTCCAAAACACATTTTTAAAAGAAAAAATAAGAATCTTCACGGATCTTCAATCCGTCAAAAATTTTTTGATTGCCTCCGAAAATAAAATTTAAAGTTCATATCAAGAAAATTGATTTAAAAAAGTAAACAATTTTACACAGTATAAAAAAATGAATATATCAACAATATGAGGGGTATCGCTTTGATGTTTTGTGGAAAGAGAAAAGCAAAAAAAGTTCCGTTGTAAAAAAAAACCCGTTAAACCAAGAGAAATGCGAATAAATTAGCTAAATTATTCCTATGGTTTTCCACTTTCATCTTCGCTGCTTGAACTGCTCGATGAATCTGACGACATTTGCTCAACGTTTCGTACTGGCGGCGGCGCAACTCGATTTTGTGGTAATCCGGTAATTTTCAAATTCAGACGTGGAGAGACAAGTGGACTCTGGAAAAACTCAAAATGTAGCCAAATTTAGATGTTCCGTTGCTGTTCGTAAGCAAGAAGAATGATACCAATGGCGTCATTATTGCACACATTATCAACGAGACAGCTTTTAGGACGGCTCTCCCGACTTTCAGCGTGCGACAGGATACGAATCCGCGACGATTTTCAATCGCGCGCGGTCCGACAACCGCTGCGCTACAGCGACGTTGCGAAATGCGAGTAAGCGAGCGTACACATCAGTGCAATGTGCGAAAATTGGACGCCCGGTGATGCGAAAACCAAACCCAACAAGGAGAGCGAATAATTTCAACGCAAATAGACAAAAATTTTTAAGGACCTGGTAAAAAACAAAGCAAATGCAAATACATATTTAAAAAAAAACTATGACTCTGTAACAGTAATTGAACTTCGAAGTATACCGCGAGACCCACGAGACAATTTGTTGCCTTGCAATTTTTTTTTCGGTCATATGGTAGTTATTTTTTGTTGCCTAAATTTATGACTCTATATTTTTCCATGTATTGTTGGCGTTTAACGACTTATCGGTGCCGGGAAATTCAATTATGCAAAACCAGTGTATTGTTGAGAAATGACAAATGTATCCAATTGTCGTAGGATCCAGCGTTTTGTACGCAATGCTAAGCGACAGTCACCGTAATCCTCGCAGCGATTTACGGAGTTTTTTTTTTCAATTTTCTTTCAATTTTTTTTTGCTTAATTTTCTTATTTTCTTTAGAAATTTTATATTTAAAACCTGTAGAAACCGAGTTTAATTATTTATTTTTCAGAATATACACTTTTCCACTTGACAAATTGAGTTGAGAATTATCGTGAAGATTTTGCCGTTGAAAAAATTATTTTGAAAATGAAGAATACAAAAACAAGATAATAGAAATGCGCACAAAAAGCAAAACACGATTAAATAATTTTGTTAACGACAAAATGATTTCTTTTTAATCTCTGCTGTTTTTATAAAAAAAAAATATCGTTTAAAAGTGCTTATTCTGCTAAATAAATTATTAAAGTCGGTTTCTTCAAAATTTAAATAACAAAATTTCGAAGGAAAATACGAAAATTGAGCGAAAAATAAAAAAAATGAATATGCGAAATTTAAAAAAAAGTCCCCCGTAAATCGCTACGAGGATTACGGTAACTGTCTCTTAGCATTGCGTACAAAACGCAGGATCCTACGACACCTGGATACATTTGTCATTTTTCAACAATAGATCTACGAAGTTGTGAAAAAATTAACACCCGGACTAAATAATAAATGCGCGTATGCTAAAATGCAGAGTACGCAGACATCTTCGCCTCGATACACTTGTCAACAAATGGCCAATATATTTTTTAATTTCGACACCGACAATTTTTTAATTTTTGAAATATTTCTTTGAAAGTAATTTTTTTACGTTTTCATAAAACCTTCATGTTTGTTGTTTCGGCCGACTAAGCGCAGGTATTTAAACGTTCGAATATGGTTGAAATCGGCTTCGAATCAACAAACCAGAAATAATTTTTAGGAGCCGAAGAGATGTACAAAAACTTGGGAAAAAATAATATGATCTTTTTTAATATATCCTATTCCGCTACACTTTTCGCAAACTGTTCAAACATGGAGTTTCGATTTATGATGACGTGGTAATCAGGAGCAAACGCTGCTTATTGTTTACTTTTCTTTGCTAACGATGTAATTTTTAAAAAATCACATCAGCATTTTTTTCGAAGCGAGCCGTCGACTAGAAAGATACGTAGCTCACGTGTGCTCTTCACATTTGTTTTTCATGATCGCTGTCACATCGATATTTGCAATTTTTTCAAACATTACATCATCCGAAAAAGAAAAAAGCTTGGTACGAAATTTTTCAATATGATTTGTGAAAGAAACGCAGTAGCATCTCAAAATATACCTGAGTCGGTGGTCTTTTATGGAATGGTGATTGTGAGGGCGTCGTAGGACCTCCAGCCCATGGCCGATTCGTTTGATTTGGTGTTACCCCGCGAGACATCATTCCTTCTTGCGAAGTTTGTGGATATCTGAAATTTATAAGAAAATAATTAAACTTTTAATCATGAATTTTAAAATACCGGGGACTCCACATATTTTGAGGAACCTGACTGAACATGGGCGAGCTTGAAGATCGTCCAATTGGAGGAGTGCGATGCTGTAATTTAATAATTGAATGAAAAATCAAATAAAAATTTCAAACACTCAAATCAATAGGTTAAAATTGTTTAAATAATAATAAAAAACAAACAATTTGATTGGGATTCCTGACAACTCCAATCGGATGAGGACCAGATGACATTGGTTTTGAGTTAATAAGAGCACTGTTGCGGAATTCATGCTCTTGCGGAAAAGGCCGCGAAGGATCACCAAGTTGCCATGTGAATGGAGCAGCAATCGAGTAACTTCTACTGATTTGGTGAGCTAATTTGATGACAGTTTCGCTATTCACTGGTCGCAAATCGGCTTCTCTAACCGCTTTCAATTTCTTACTTGCCTAAAATTCGAATTTCCAAAATAATAGATATGGGGACGATATACGGTAAAAGCAGCAGCATTTAAAGCAACTTCGAAACTTTTGAGTTTAAACTCAAGATCCTGAATGATTTCATCGCGTTGCCGTACACATTCACGTAATTCGCAAATCAGTTTTTGGCGTTCTTGAAATTCGGGGACTGAAGATGTAAGAGATTAGATAATTTTATTGTCGATATATTTAACCTCGTCCCAGAAGTTTTCTGACATCATCTTGCTTGGCATCAAACATTTTCACAAGATTCGTGACCGTCTCACCGCCACGCAAAATTGGATTCTTGTCGCGGTTTAATAACGAGTCGATGATCTTAATCGAAATTCAATGGAACAATTCACAATTCCAAGCAATACCTGCTTCACAACGCATTCTAGATCATCGGCGGATTCAAGCAACAGATCCCGTAAGCTTCTATCATTATTCATTTCTAAAAAAAGTAGAGGTTGCAAAAAAACACGGGCAGAGATAAAAACTGATAATGTACAACAGATTCAACAAAAAATAAAGCAATATTAATTTTGACCATTTATTTAAGATACTGGTTTTTTATTTAAAACTTCTGCAGACGATTGATTTTTCTTCACATTCCCATTTTGCTGTTGTAATTCGGCGGATTTTTTATTCTGTTGTGGCTCAGCAGACTTTTTCGAATAAGCCCATGACGGTTTCCAATCCGGTGTCCTGAAATGTTCTCTTTAACTAATTGCCATAACAAAAATGATTAGTACTTGTGCTTCTCGAATCCGTCTTTCAAAACTAAAGAAATTTCCTTGTACGGGTAGTCAACACCACGCTCAATGAGTTCAGCAATTGTCCGCAAGTGTTCAGGTCCTTCAGCAATTTCAGCTGTAAAAAAATATAAATATTTTTTTAAAAATATTTTTTCTTTTTCACTTTTATTTAGCCAAAAGTCCTTTTTCGCTTCAATTACTTCGGGCTCTGTTATCAATTTTCTCCAACTCAACGGCTTTACTCTGAAATTAATTACAGGGCCAATTATTAGGTTCCAAATGCATTGTTCTCACAAATCCATTAACAAATAGAACCAGCTTTCAATATCCTGTTTGCATTCTGCTGGAATCAATTCCAACGCAGATTGATGACCAACAAGTGAAAGAAACGGAAGTGTAATACCATCTGGAGGAGACAATCTGCAATATCAAATAAAAATCGATATTCTTAAAAAATCAATTACAAAAATCTCCGTCCCTCCATTATCGCGTCACCAAAATCAATAAGATACCATTGATTATTATTAACAGGATTCAAAACAACATTCGCCGGTTTCACATCACGATGAACAATTCGCTTCGCGTGTACATCCTTTATTCCCATCAAAACTTCTTGAGCAATAAAAAATGCGCATGCCAGAGTCATCTTCCGACAAATTTCAGTTTTCATTTTTTCTAGACTTACATCCATTGGTGGCATGACTAAAAAACGATTATTTAAGCGCGTGTCTTTTAAAATGAAATCCTACTGAAATATGGAATTCCCAGAACTTTGCTTTCAAACAAAATTGGAAGAACTCTTTTCACTGGCTCTCTTCCTTTTCCGGTGTCATTTATCACTTTTAATGCTGCGATTTCTCTCTGAATCACCGCGTACAAAAAATAAATTAAATTGTACACTCACAGATAGCCGATTTGTCGAACAAGCGCTTTGCCTTAAGCTGGTTTTCATAATCATCACCATATTTGAAGCATACACAACTTTTTCCCTAAAGTTGAAAAAACTAGGTATTCTTCTTTTCCTAATCAATTATGTCCTACTCGATAGAAGCAACCCTCTGCACGGTATAAATTGCTCCAAATCTTCCTTCGCTATATTTGTTGATAATCCGTAAAAGGTCCTGCTTCTTTTCGTCAACATTATCGCTGGCCTTCATAACAACAATTTCCATTGATCGTAATTCTCCTTTTGCTCGTAGATACGCATCGAGCAAAACACATTCATCGTTCTAAAATACGAAATATGAAAATATGAGGATATTCTTCGAATACTTCAAGTGTCGCATTTGGTGGATATAAATCAGGTCGTTCAGTTCGTAATAGTCGAGGCGCATAATCGGGTGGGTTAACTATTTTTCGCTTTAGAGCTCCTACCATATACTAAAATCAAATTATTTTCAATAAATGTAAAAATATATTGAAAATAATTCATTTGAGAAACGTACAAAATTTCTAACTTCCAAATTGCTCAAAGGTGTCATTGGTCCGCTAAAAAAACAAAAATGACTAGAAACATAATTGAATATTTCACAAACCCTTCATCCGAATCCTCCTCACTATCAGAATCAGAATCTGACTCATTACTAATCAAAGCTATCTGCAAGAGACGAATTTTTATTTGAAATCTTCACTTTAAGAACTTTAGCTTTCGACTTTTGAGTTCTTTCTTTGCTAGTTCTGTGTTTAGGAGTCGACGCTTTTTTCTTTGGCCGATCATTCTTTTTTCCCCGTTTTTTCTTTTTGTTTTGTAAATCATTATGTCGACTTTTCTTCTCGTTCAACAATTTTCGAGCTACTTTCGCATCTTAAAAATAATTCAAATAACGAATCCCCAAAATAATTTCTCAAACTTTCCGTTTTTTTACGCATAATTTTTGCTGAAGATACCTGTAATCTCGTATCAATTTCAAAAGAACAAATCTTCCAAAATTACGATTTTACTCATCGCTTTGATATTCGACTAATCAAAAAATAATAAACAAACCAAAATGAGTAAGACAAGATGATGATTTCACGCAAATTTAACTAAAAAAAATAATAATCAACGGAAGACATTTGTTTCGGAAGACAATTATTCATTTTCAATATTGCTATGTACAATTTTTAAAGTTCAAATAATAAAACGTACCTTAGACGATTCGTACCAAAATGAATTCGTATATTTTTATCATTCTGAAATTCAGCATTAATAATAGATACGAATACATTTTTAAGTAAAAATATGGAAATTTAACCATATTTTAGTAATAATCAGAAAAACTAAAAGTAATTTATGTTTACCACAACTTTCTAACAAAAACATAACAAAAATTGAAAAAAAAAAAACAACCAACAACAACAGACAATTCTAGAGTTTTACAGGACCCTTCCCTTCTTTTTCAATTTGTTCAACTTCCTCTTCTTCACTTCATCAATTCGCTTTTTCAAGTTCTGCTTTCTCTTTTCTTGCTTCTGAAATGAAATATTTGCAATAATTACATGATACATAAAACAATAAAATAAACCTTTTCCTTTTCTGTCGAAACCTTTGAAATTCTATTCTCCCATTTCTCCTTTTTCTTTTCCTTCATTTTATTTTTCTTGTTCAGCGCCTTTTTAAGTTTTTCCAAATTATCCTTTAAGTTTTTTAGAATTTTAAATAATTTTTTTGATCTATTTTGAATACTTTCACTTTTCCACCAGCAGCTCTTTTCATAGTTTTCGCCCATTTCAATTCATCTTCCATTATCGTCGCTTTATGAGGATCAGCTTCTCTAACTTTCTCAATTTGAGCTTTCGTTTCTTCGACCTATTCAAGAATGTTTTTATCAACCTCAATTGGAAGTCATTCAGATACCTTAGCAATCAAGGATTTATAGTCGCGTCCTGTTAGTTTCAGTCCACGTTCCTTTTTCGGTGTCTAGATAATAATTAGTTAAAATCGGTTCCAAAGTGTGTCTCACTCTATCTTTTTTTCCTTTTTTCTCGGCTTTCACTTCAAATTTCAACTTGTTGAAAGCGATACTGGTCTTTTTCTCATTGCTTTTATCTTCGTCATCATTTTCACTTTTTTCTTCTTTCTTTCTAAAAAAACTGATACTATAGAATGATAATTCGTTCATAATCTTACACAGCCTTCTCATTTTCCTTCAATTGCTTCTCGGCAACTCTTCTTTGCTTCAATTTCAACTTGCTTTCTCTTCTCTTCAAGCGTCTTTCTTCCTCCGCTTTCTGAGCCATTTCTGGTGTCATCTTCGCCGCTTTACCTTTACCTTTTCTATCTTCTAAAACGTTCAACAATTTCATCCTCAAAAATCATCCAATTTTCTTTACGTTTAAAATCGTTCAGTTTCTTTTGCAATTTGAGAAGAGCAAGTTGTCGTTTATCTTCTAGCGATTCAGAACTTTCGTCTTCTAATTTTTGAATTTCCTACAAATTCGTTTCAATTGATCCCTAATTGATTTTATTATTATCAATACCTCATCAATTTTACTGTTTGATTTCAAAACAGAATTGGGAATTTTGCTTTTCTTTGTTTTAGGTTCTTGATTCTCATCTTCTTCGTCACTAGAATCATCGCTTTCTTCAACTTTTCCGTTTACAGCAATGTTTTCCTCACTAAATTTACCCATTATTTTTTTTAAATTTTCTACTAATGCTACCTTTCTGTCTCATCTTCATCGTTTACTGTTTCTTCCTCATCAGAACTTTCGGCAGAAACAGTTTCTTCTTCGTCATTATTCTGTTCTTCTTTCTCATCTTCATCGCTGGAATCATCTTCCTTATCATCTTCTTCTACTTTCTTTTCAGTTTCTTTTCTCATCGGTTTCGACACTTTTGTTTTATCGACGGTCATATTTTTATTATTCTTCGGATTCTAAAAGCAAATGGAATATTATAATCGTAATATAGACTTTTTTTAAATATTTACCACCGGCTGAACATTTGAATGCTTTTTTGAAGTAGACATCCATTCTAAAACTTCTTGCACCGTAGTTGGCACAATTCCGATATTTTTAGCAATTTGCTGTTTTGACTGTGATGGTAAACTCATTCGTTCTTCTATAACGATTAAAAATGAACAGGAGTGGAGTGAAATTTAAAAATACTTTTGCTTAATTGTCGGTTTACTAAACTGTGTTTTCGTTGTTTCAACGATTCCTTAACATCATCATCGAAACCCCAGCAGCCAACAGGTATCAGATTGCAATAAGACATAATCTAAAAACGATTTTTTTTCAACCATTGCAATTTAAACGAACCTTGCTTTCGAGAGCAGATATTTCGTCACCATCGCTTTGATTACCAAGTAACGAAGACATCTGTAAAATGTACTTTTCTTAGCTTATTTGAATGAAATGTTGAATATCGCATGAAGAACATTGCGGTGGGGCGCACTTACTCGCCATCCGGAAACAGCAAGAAGTGAAAAGAAACCCATTAAAATTATTTATAAATATATCAATATATAATTTATATTAAACCTTTAATAATATTCAAGCATTTTGAAGCAAAAGTTGTTTAAATAAAAAGTCGAAAGATTCCTTAACAAAAGTCGATTCGTCGAATAAAGTGTTTTGGGTGCAAACACGTCGTCCAAATTTAAAATATGAATTGCTTTAGTAAGTACAGTACTGTGATAGAAATTGATTTATTTTCTAACTATTAAGGACACTTAAACATTCTTTAATACTGTTTTTGATAACGTTTTTACCTGTTAATATACATTTTAATTGTTTGAGTCTTACTATAATTCTTGATCACAGATTGCCATGGGAATCGACTCATATAATCCAACAGTACGTGCGCGCCTTTCTAATGCTCCAAAGACTCGAATTCTCAATTTGAAAGAGTCTGCGTTGCATAGAATTCCGGATGACGTCGAAAAAATGTTTATGATACGTACTCTAAATTTGAGTATTAATTATTTAATAACTCTTCCCTCTTATATCAGAAAATTTACTCAATTAAAAACGCTGGATCTCTCCAGAAACCCATTAGGTATCATTGCTTCTGTTTCCTATTAATCTAAACAATTGGCAGTGTTCAGAATCCCTTCCCGATGAACTTGGCTTACTCACTAGTCTTGAAAATCTTATTGTGAATAGCACCAAAGTAGGTCAATTCCCAAATACGCTATCCGGCTGCGAGAATCTAAAAAATATCGAAGCATGCGAAATACAACTTGTCTCATTCCCCGTTGTTTTCTGTGAACTCAAAAATGTTGAAACCCTGTTATTGACTGGAAATCGAATCGACTCTATTCCTGATGAGGTTTGAAATTTTTAGTACCCAATTTAGAACATCGCTTGATTCAGATAAGAAATTTAAAAGCCATAAACGTTCAATTGAACAAGAACCGGCTGAGAAGTTTGAATGCGCCTAATTTGAAGTTATGCGAGCGCCTTCGTGTTCTCAATGTTGACAACAATCAATTATCAAGAGATGAAATCGAAAACTTAGTGCTCAATTCGCCTGAAATCAAAATATCATTTGAAAATAATGTTTCCCAAGTGCACACCGAAGACCTTCAGGTACACTTTCAATATTCTTGTTTTATTTTTCAATCAACCGTTATGACGAACATCACTTTGGTGCAGTTTAACTCTCTCGGTGTTTGCACAAAATTTACATACATTAATTTTTTATATTGGTTTTCACTGTTTCGCGTGTTTTAAAACTATACTAATGTCGACATTGAAAGATTTACAATTTTGTTTTAGGAAATGGGGAACGAATCTTCCAAATCTAAGTCATTAGGCGAAAGCGCTAGAAAAATAGTTGGTTTGTTTCATTGTTAATATTCTTTTTCAAATTTTCGCATTTCAAGGAAAATCAGGCCCTTCTTCTTCAACAGTCAACAAACATCTAGAAATGGCGACCAAAAGTCGAATTCTTCAATTGAAAGGATCTGGATTGAAAAAAGTTCCTGAAGAAATAGAAAAACTCGCCGACATTTTGAGAAATCTTGACCTCAGCGACAATAAAATTCGCATAATTCCAACTTTTATTGGAAATTTTTCGCAATTAAAACAGCTTCATTTAGCAAACAATTGTATAGGTAAAGAATGTTTAATTGTAAGTTGAAGGAAACGGTTCCTGTTTAGAAATTCTCCCGGACAAGATTGGTCATTTAAAAAAACTGGAAATACTGAATTTGGCTGGAAATAAATTGTCGTCGTTGCCTGATACGTTAGCAGGATGCACGGAGTTGAAGAGCATAGACATCTCTTCAAATTCCTTCACGATATTTCCAGCCGCTGTTTTCACAATTCTTCAGTTTGACGTTTTGAATCTCGACGCAAATCAACTTCAAACGCTACCTGACGAGGTATTCCATATATAAAATATATAAAAGATTAAAGAGAAAATACCAAATGCCGTTTAGATTTGCCAGCTCAAAGTAATTGAACTTTCAATGAATCAAAATCGTCTGCAAAGTCTAAACGCGGAAAACCTTCTGAAATGTCCAAGACTGCGCACACTTCGCGTCGAGGAAAATTGTCTCGAAAAGACGGAATTCACAAGGGAACTTCTCGAGAATTCGGCGATTTCTCGAATAGCTTATCAAGGAAATTTGTTCCAGATGAAAGAATTTCAAGTAAACCAATTATTGAATAATAAAATAACTTTAAGGGAAATTTCAGGATTTGAACGGGTATGATACGTATCAGGAAAGATTCACTGCGACACAAAGAAAAATGTAGCGCGGAAGAATTTGTAAAATCGCTTGATGTATATTTATTTAATACCTGTGAATATGCGATTCTAACATAAAGTGTCTTGCTTATTATTTCTTCTTTGAATATTCTGAATAACGGTTGTATACCTTTTAAATTTTATCTTTAAAAGAATTTGCGGTTATATTTACAAAGGATGCAATAATAATTACAAAGTACAAAAGAGTTTAAATTCGAAGTTTTGCCATTTCGAGTTCAATCCATGAAAGAGAAGCGTGGACATTTGAGTATACCCCTGGGTTTCCGGGTCGTCCGCATCCGATTCCCCAACTTACGATTCCCGTTAATTCCCATCGCCCATCTCTTGCACACATCAGAGGCCCTCCAGAATCTCCCTAAAAATGTTCATTTTTTCGTGAACTTTGTTAAAAAAAAAAGAAAGTGACGTCTTTATTTCAATATTAATTTTTACTAATTTCTAGTAAACGAATCGACTAATTAATATTACAGAACGGTAATAATTTTAAATTTTTACCTGACAAGAATCTATTTTGCCTTGACTATAGCCCGCGCATATCATTGACGGCATATGAATTCGACCAATGTAGCTTGATAAACTATTACATAGCAGCGTCGGAATGATTGGAACGTGGATTTCTCGTAGCTTCGGTGTCCAAGCCATACTACCTTCATGTGTTGCTCCCCATCCTTAGTAGTAATGATATAATTGAGATGTCACTTATTTACTTCATGAGCACTGCGTATTACGCAGAGTGTGATGATACCTGTTACAATACACATGCGATTTTCGACTGGTCCAAATCGAGGGAGGCAAATTGTTCTGGAATTTGCTGTTAGATTGACAGGGGGGTAGATTCTAAGAAATATTTGTAATTAAGCATTCGGCTAAATTGCTAAATACCTCATAAGAGCGACATCGTAAGAGCTCGGCCATCCAATATTATAGAATGGGTGAACGGAAATAGCAGTAACACGATGTGGTGTTCCACTCCCAGACTGATGACCTCCAACTCGTACTGAGTAAAATGAGAACTGATGGCTAAATTGACGAGAAATTCGTAGTAGAAAGTAACGTTGAAAATAAAGGTTTCCTTTTTTAAATGTAAGATAATTTACTTTCTTGCGAAACAATGCGCTGCTGTTATAACGAAATTCGCATCAATGAGCGAGCCGCCGCACCGGTGTTGTCCGCGAAACAAAAGTTGAACAGTCCACGGCCACGAGTGCGGACGCGCCTCATTTCCGCCTATCAACCGGTTTTCGGCCATCTAAACCACATACTTTATTCAACGTTGTTATTTTTTTTCTGCTGTTTTACCAGAAAATTCGACGGCTCCTGCCATGACCTTGTGTCGGCTTGCTCTAGAGCACTTGCGTGAAGACCGCATTCAAAGTTTCGCGCAGTTACAATATAAATGTACAGTAAAATCAAAATCAAGACATGGTAGAGCGAATAAGGCATTTAGAAAATGTCAAAAACATTTATAACTCTCATCACTGGGTGCTGAAATCGCGCCAATTAAGAAATTGAAACTGTAGATCAAAATTTAATGACCCATCGTTGTTCGCGAAATTAATTTTTTTTTGTTGTACAAATTCAATCAACTTTGACTCGTTGCAGAAACAAACATGATTGATATGGCCTCCGATTCCGATGCTCAAGCAGGTTTGTTGTATCGAACTCTCATTAATTATTTTTTCGTTTTTTCGTATTTTAGGGGATTCAACAGTGTCTGGAACAAGTGTCATGGACCATGATGAAGAACAATTGAATCGAATGCGAAACGATCTCAAGGATTTGGCTATTTGGGCATATTTGATTGTATTAATCGAATAAAACCTTAGTTTTTCAGTTCTCGTGCCTCAAAGTTACTACAAGATCGTTTGATGATCCGTTCGAGTTGTGTACAGGGAGAGCCTTTGCAGAAGTTTTAAGCGATATGTAAAAAAAAACGTTTAATTTTTCTCTAATTGGTGAAACGTTTAGTGATCCATATCATTTCGACGAGAATTGGCTTGACACAATGCCAGCATTTACAACGAAATCAAATCTTGTCGTAAAGCAGAGCAATATTAGAAAGGTGAAAACAGTTTAAATGTGTCTGAAACATATATTTTTTTTTGCTTTGAGACTTGTCATAATGTTAAATATTTTTTGTACTAATCACTTAGTCCTATCAACTATTGTTCAGCTTTGGCGACGAATTTCGGATTTTATCACAAACTCTCTGAATCGTCGAATTTTTTCGACACGATGGAATAATATTGATGAGCGGCTCGAAGGGCTAGAAGAAACAGACATACCGGTGGCGCTTGACTTAGCTATGCTTGTTGTCACTTTAGCGCATGTCGGACCAACTAAACAAAGTGAGATTTAGCGAATTAAAATAGCTATAAAAATTACCAAACATCAAAATCATGTTTTCATCGACCAGTGTATATTTGCAGAGTTCGTTGAGCATTCAACCCAAATACTGAAAACGAACAAGTCTTCTATGGAAAATATAGCGCGAATGCTGCAAATGATAATGGAAGAGGTGATTTTTTTATTTCTTCATTTTGTTTTAAACCAAACTCGATTCCTTCAGATTCCTGAATCGAATACTATTGAAATCCAGTCACCACGAGAGAGCATTGAATCAGAGCTTGATGTCTCGATTCCGTCTCGCTCTTCGCATCACTCAAACGGCTTTCGTGTCAGTATTTCTCAGTCTAACGCTGAGTCGCTGCAATCTCAGGTACGACGAATTGAAATGAAGAATGACGGTCTGCAAATTTATTGATCTTTTTCTATTTTTGGCCTTTGTGTAGCCTGTTTCTCTCGTTTTTATCATCTCTCATGATAGCATGAGATTCGATCATGATTTCACACGCGTTGTTTTCCATTTCAGATCGATCGACTTCAAGAGGAAAATCAGAAGTTGCGCGAGGAAAGCGAGAAGCTCATGAAGCAGCTGGAAAATAACGAATGCGCCAAAAGCAATACGAACGATTCAACCTCGATTGTTTTCCTCGAGCAGAAGAACGAAGAATTGAAGGTATTCTTTCACATTTTGTAAAAAAAAATTCAATTTTGTCGGGCATTTTAGCAAAAGAAGCGTGAAGCGGAGGAAAAAATGCATGAAATGGAAGGCCAACTGGAAATGCTTCGGCCGGCTGTGAAAGAATTGACGATTGAAAATGAACAACTCAAACAGTTGCAAAAAGAAATCTCGCCGCTCAAATTGGAGCTACAAGTCGCAAGAGACGACCTCGAAGTTTGGCGTGAAAAAGCCGAACGAGCCGCTATCGATGCTGAGTTATTAAAGAAAAAAGATCGAGAAATCAAAGACTTGAATCAGCAAGTCAAAATTTTAAACAGTCGCCTAGAGCATCATGTTAAACAGTCAACGGTCGAAGAAAATAATAAAGAAGGAATGAAGGTATTTTGAAAAATTTCTTAAAATGAAGAACTATTCTGGTTTAGAGCTTAAGGCAACACATAGGAATGCTTAAAGGACAACTCGAAACGAAGGATGTTGAGCTGATCTCGAAAACATCTATTATTTCGAAGGTTTTTTTGGCTTTTCACGTAATAATTTATAATAAGTAATATCAGCTGGAAGCGGATCTAATTAGTGCTAAAGAAAGAATCAAAGTTCTTGACGAAAAGAAGGATGAGTTAATTGCTGAAAGAAATAGTCTTCAAGAAAAATTGATTAAAGGTGCAAAAAAAATGTCTCAAATTATTTTTATTCTTTTGTTTAGCTAGTGAATCTGTAAATGAGCGATCTCTTCACGATTCTATTTTTGACGGCCAAAATCTCTCATTTGAGTATGTTTTTTCTACTTATGTGCTTACGCTTTTCGTATTTAATATTATAGTGCAAATATTGGGGACAAACCACTTCTGGCACTTGAAATTGATAATCAACGACTGAAGGAACGAATCCTGGAACTTGAAGATCTTGAGCCTCTTAAAGGAGAGGTGAGAATACGAAAGAATTTAAATAAATGCTTTGAAAAAACAATATATTTGTAGATTATGATCGTTAAAAATCGAAACAGTGCCCTAGAGCAAGAAAACCAGTTGATTTCCAAACAACGTGATGATCTTCAAGAAGAAGTGAACCAGCTACAAGAAAAACTTGAAAAAATGCGCCAGACTGTTAGCGGCGATGTAGTAGAATTGAAAGTTCAGGTATATTCATGGCTTTCTCATTGTTTGCCTATTCTGTTTATTGATGTTAAGCTGGAAAAAGTTTCACTTGATGAGCAACGAGCTCGCGAGACTGCACAGAAGGCAGAAGATAGATTGGCGGATATTGAAGGTATCAAAATTATTGCAATTGGAAAAAGCCAGTACCCTGAATATTTGTGGACTATCGTATTTTTTCGGAAATTCACATTTCGATTTCAAACTCAATGTAAATCGGCACTGGGTGCTCGGTTTTTTTTTGCGATTATATTAATATTTATTTCCAGTTTTTAATATTATACATTTTAGCGTTGATGGAAAAGAAGTCAAAGGAGAATGAAACACTTCTATTAGATCTGAATCGAGCAAAGCTGATAATTGATGATTTGGTTAGGCTTATATTATTATTTCGAAGAAAATGTGTATTTTCAGGATAAATTGAATAAACCAGTTGGAGAAGATCAAGGTACATCGGTTCAGCAATTTAAGCAACTTCAACTAGACAACGAGCAAAAGACAAAGAGGGTTCGGGTTTTCGTTCATTTAGATACGCTATAAACAATATTTTCAGATAATTTCTCTCGAGACTGAATTAAAATCACTTTCTACGCAATACCAAGAAGAGATTCGATTGCTTACCAGCAATGTGCACAAAACGGTATTTAAATTATTGAAATATTTGAATAAAAATTTGAACGAAAATTGGGCAGGTTGTTGATCGAAATCGAGATGCAATGAGTTATCGGCGGGCCGAGGCTGGAAGCGACTCGTCCCCAGCAACATCGACAACACTTCGAAATCAGAAATTGAAACAAGCAATAACGTGGAGGTAGCGAGTTGCATTGAAAATTTTCAAATTGTTAATTAAACGAAATTTATCATCATTTCAAACTTTACAGATTTACTTAATTTGGTGTATTTCGAAGGTAACTATTTTTGGTGTCATATTTTTGTCACGTCAGTATTGTTGTCGACGTCGCGAGAGTGACGAAAAATTGGCAAAATACCAGAAAAATATAGATAATGGTCATCTATCCTTTTGCTTAGTTCCGTAAAACTACACGTCTAGTTTTTGCGCCAAAACTCTATTGGCATTTAGCCAATTTTCCGCAGTCGCGCCACGCCAGCACTAATTGTATGGCGATTTTGTTTGTGTGTCAATTCGTATATCCTTCCCTTGCACGAAATAATTTTAAAAACAAACTTGAGCAAACTAGAGTTTTTATTAATAACACGATAACCAGCTTGCATGTTACGCATAATCCACATTTAAAAAAATGAACACTTCAAACGAATTCTAACAATTTCGCTTGTGAACACTTACCAATCTTAAAATTTTCAGTACTGTGGTTTTGTTTTTGTATGGAACGGTGTTGACGATGATAGCAATCCTGAATCATACGTTCTCGCCAACAAAAGCTTAAATGTCTCTCGCTTATTCGTGTGCCTTTAAACAACACATTCCGGTGATTCCGACTGTTTTTTTTTGTATAATACTACTAGCTGCATATCATTTCGTTTTCTAGCCCTTTGTAAATACCATTCGTGATCATTTTTGTCGCGATTCGCAAGTTTTTTGTGTCGTTTTGCTCTTTGATGTTTCCACTTTCGGTTGTAACCGATTCATTGAGCGTACTCTAAACAGAGTTTATATTATATTTATTTTTTGATAATTTATTGTAACGTACACTTCAACACTTTGTACACACTCTTCATTCAGTTGTACTTCTTTATCAATTATCGCGGTTTTCTTTTTCTCTCGATTTCCTCTTCATTTTCTAGGTTTTTTTTGTTGTGTGAGTAAGTATTGCCCACATCCCCTTGTAATTTCGCTTCTGTCGTTCATCATCGAACTGATATGTCAAGAATGTCTGTAAATTTTATGCGGATTGTATTTTTCAATAAATTGTCTGATATGTGCAGCAATTATGCAATTTTGATTGATTTGTTGATATTGTTTCGAAGCAATCCGATTATTGAGACTGGGTCTTTGAAATAATAATGAGTTTTTAATTGAAGAAATGCACTATGTGAGGCGAACAGGATTTCGGTTTTTTAGTGCGCATGCCAAAGAAATGTTTTTGAAGGTAAATCCCCCAAAAGGGGATATTTTATTATTGAAAATATATACAATTGGAAAAAAATTTTCAAGATAAGATACCCAATCATATATCTTTCAAAATTACTTTTAAAATTTATAATCACAAATATTTACATTTTTTCGAAACAATGTATTTGATTTGCCGTTTTAGAACGTCAAAAATGCTCCGCCGACTCAATTTGCGCGTCTTCGCAACACGTCCGATTCGGATTCTGTGATGTCGGTAATTTTTATTCGACTCGTGTAGATTTTGATCGATCACAACAGGTTCTTGTCCCGTTGGTAGTTGTGAACGGACGTGAATCAGTTCTATTAACAAAACGCTCAATTCACCTGCGATCACATCGAGGAGAAGTGTGTTTCCCGGGAGGACGACGTGATCTCGGCGAAACGCCGGTGGAAACAGCACTTCGCGAAACACGCGAGGAAATTGGAATACCTGAAGATGCAATTGATATATGGGGACCTATGAAAGGAGTGTTTCGACGTCAAATGGATCAATCTGTAACCCCTTATGTCGGATTTATAAAAGATAGTCAAACTCTTCTTAATCTGAATGTCAATGAAGATGAAGTTCAAGTTCGATTTTTTCCACTAATTTCACTTAAAATGATTTTAGGCCGTTTTCACAGTTCCGTTAGACGAAATTCGAAAAAATGCTGCATTTACACTATTCAAAACTCCGAAAATGAAATATACTCTGCCATTATTTGACACTAAAGAATTTACTGTATGTTTTAGGGATTTTACATTCAATCTCTGATATCTGGATTATTTCAGGTTATTTTCAACGCGAAAGACGAATATTTGCATAAAAATCAAAGAATATGGGGTCTTTCCGCCGTTATACTACACCAAGCAATGACATTACTAGACCCTTCCTTGTATGATTACGACATTAAAATCAGATTGTTTTAGTTCTCCATAAATCACGAAGTTTATTTGACTTGCAATAAATATGTTTTTTTTTTCAAGCAAGTTGCAGAAAAACCGCCCAAATTTTCTTTGAAACCGGTAGGAAATAAAACGAATTAAAATGAAAAAGGAGGAAGACATCAATAAAAGATAATAAATTATGAGAAAAATATAAAAAAGGAAAGGGAATAAGAGGAAATACGGTAAGGATAGAGTTAGTCCATTCGTGCTTTAATTGTAGACACGTTGACCTGCAAAAAATGAGTTACATTGTTATAGATTCAAAATATCAAACAAACCTTGTCCTTGGTGATGGTGTAAACAACAGCTCCCCAACCTGATGCGGCGTCGCGTTCGAGGCACGAAAGAATCGCTTGAGAAGTGGCCTCGAACAACTCATCCGGTTTCATATTTTCTCTCCAAAAGTCTAAATGAACATTTACTATAAGCTGGAAAATTTAATGTGACAACTCACTTTCACATACTCCTAGCAAATATTCTTGCCCTGTCCCAATGGCGACAAAATCACGTGGGGACGACACACAACCAATCGTGTCCATGCAGCAAATGAATGGCTTGTTGGTATCGGGATCGAGACCGGCGACGAGAGGCTCTGTGATATATCCGCCGAATCTTTTCTGGTAGCACATATTCGAGATCATTTCCGATAAGACGCTTGGCTTGATTTTGCGATTTTCGCGCAATTCGTATAAATTTTTGCGGAAAAGTATTTTCTCGAGCATAGTTTTCGCATCAGATTGGAATCCGGCAAGTCCAACATATACCTTATCGGTTACTTTGTGAACCTATTAATAGTGCAATGATTATACATGAAAGAAAAGGCGTTTTAAAACCTTTTTCTGGTCCGTAGCAACAGTGGTCATCTGCTCTCCAATACGAAGATCTGAAGCAATGCACACACATCTGAAAACAAATAATGCAGTTGAAATTTGCTTCACAAAAGCTATGTTTATTCCTTTTAAGGCCAAAAACTAATTAGGATTTAAATTATCTTGTTGAAAAAAAGTACTTACTCGTCTCCCGCCATAGCGACGACGGTACCTCCATTATAACTCATAATCGACATGATTGGCTGGTTTTATTTGTTTGATGCTGAAATTCGCCTGAAATGAGAATTGTGAAGAACCGAAAAAGAAATCAGAAAAAAGATGATTTTTAAATTTTTGCTTACAATTCGCGGCACTGCAAACTGGGCGTGGCCAAACTGTGTGCGGCCGTTGCATTTATTTGCGGAGACACTTTGGAAGAACGGAATAATTTTGGAGAAAATTCAACTTTTCAAGCATCTTCAAGATTTTACAATAAAAATTAAATTCCAATTTCAAATTGTGTATCACTTTTTTACGTTAAATATTAAAAAAAAAAAAAAACGACACCGTATTGGACTAAAATGCAACGCATTTTGAATTATTATTCATTTTTTGTTTTTTTTACCAATCATATATTTATGTTTTTCAACATTTATTGATCAAAATAAAAAAGAAATAAATTTAACAGTTTTTGATTAGTTTTCGAATAATAGAACATCCTTTTTTTAAGTCAGGGTGGATTTTTGGCTAAACGAGATCCATTAAACGATTTCGGAAAAAAAACAAACCAACAAAAAATACAACAACAGTAGTATTACCACTGTAAAAAACGAAACCCTTGTGATGTTTAGGTGAGAGTAGTTTTTCGCTGCAGTAATTTTAATTTTGAACAGTAGGAATTTGTGTAGGGGTCAAACATATACTATCGTAATTTACACAAAGGGATTGGTTTTTTCCTATGGTAATACAATAATAAATAAATAAAGAAAAGAATGAACAAAAAATAAAGTTACACTTCAAAACTTTCTACTCGTAAAAACCCTAGATTTTAAATCAGTACACCGGTGGAAATGCATATTCTTGTAGAGAAATTTCCCTGACGCGACGAGTTATGGGCATGGTGGCAATCTCACGCGGATTGTTGAACTCTTTAACAAGTTCTTGCACATTGTATGGTGGTGGGCTCAGAGAATACGCTCGACGATAATAGGCCTCGTTCCTCTTCGAGTTCCTCGGCCAAGCAGCACTGTGACGACGATGGCGTCTGGGTCCTTAAATAATATCACTTTTTAATGTTTCATCATGTAATCTTTGAAAACTAAGAAATGAAATCTAAAAAACTTGTTTTCTGTGAAATCCACAAATGAAACCAACCTTCAGTTCCCAGTCCTCGTTTATGTCTTCTCTCGAATCGTTCCAAACGACTTCTTCCCTTAAAAAATAGAAATTTTTGAAAAAGTTCGATATAAGCGATTTGTTGCGCCAAATGCAGACACGCACAGTTCGTTCTGCCTAGAGACAAAATGACAAAAAACCAACATTTTATATTTCGATCAGTCGTTTGAAATCGACAATATACATTGTCGACGTATTATATTTTTTACTTAAAATTTATCTCGCAAATTACATTCAATAAAGAAAAGCTGACGTGAAAACAAAAACGGTTTCGATTACCTTCTTTGGAGTAAACACTTGGATAAGATTGTAAACTTTGTCTCGCATTAAATCGGCCATCGCACAGGATTCCGGAAATCTTTCTTCCCAATTAAAATCTGGGAATTCCTAAAAAAAATCACGATTTATAACCCAAAAATTAATTCAATTATTCAATTATCTAACCTCTGTTTTGACGGGTTTAATGTCACAGAATAAAGCTTCAATGTAATGTAAAAGGTAAAGACCACAATCGTAGAAATTCTTTTGAATTGGTGTATTTTTGAGGCGAATAACCTCGACGCGACTTGCATCGAATACACACTCTTTTTCGGGAGCAAACTTCATGTCTTTTGTTTTCGTGTTCTCGAACAATCCGATCAGGTACTCCTTAAGACAGGCCCCCATATGCCTTCTAAAAATTTGAATCTATTTGTATGAATTAGATATTTGCTTTTTTTTATGCCTTCTCGATGGATCCAAGCCGCTTAATGGATCGATAAACACAATATATGTGTTTTGTTTTTTTCGACTTTCTTCCTCATTTCCTACTTCAATGATCGCTCCATTTGGGTTCACAATTACCATTAACAACCTGAAAAATGAACAAATAATAGAAAATCCAAATCAATTAAAATCCTACCAATGGTAATCTTCATTGACAGGAATAACAACGAATTCCTTTTCAAACAAATCAAACTTTTTCGTCCATTTGGATAAATAATTAATTGATTTTTTGAGCTCAATTTTCGCATTTCCTTCTCGAATCTCTTTGCGTCCGGATAACGACATGGGTGGCACATTTTTGGTTAGCCGCGAATAAAAGAATGTATTGAAAATGTGAATTTTAGATCGTCTTTAAAAAAATTCTATAGCAATAAATTGTCTAAAACGCCTACAGTGATTCCGGAATTCGATAAAAATAAAGGTAGTTAATCATGAATGAAATAATAACGTCATTGACAAACTCGCAACGTTCCAATGTATGAACATCTTTGATGCACACTGAAACATCAAATATTATACTAAACAAGTACAAATCTTACCGAGTATATGATCCGCTTTATCCACATCGACATTCTTCGGAGGGAAATAGAACAATTCTTCGTTTAATAAATTTTCATCTCCGGGAATGTAAACGTATGGAGCCGAAACTCGAGAAAATTGATTTGCTTTGGCCTAAAATAATAATAATTGTCAATAGAAAATGTTATTTTCAAGCATCAGTCGGCGAAATTAATATTTTCGGCCATGCTTTTGCGTGATAACAACAATAAAACAAAATGCAAGGATATTACCGTTCCATCATCTTCCAAAGAAACAACATCTCGCGTAACCTCCTTATTTGATCCATTTTGTTGTTCAAGTTTCGGTCGCTTTGATAAAGCAGCCTGAGATTAATTAATAAATTTGATTAATTGAAATCTGATTTTTTTCATATAATTCAAAATTCTCAATAAAAACGTGGCAACGTTTGGACAAGAGAGGACATGCACAAGAAAATTGAGAATACCTCATTGTCGGTATCATTTGTTATCATCGGGTTAACAGTGAAAAATTCGGAGAACTCCGCAAAACTGTCCACATCAGTAGTATAATACGAAACTTGTGCCTCGCGCGGCGTCGTAGGCTTTTGCTCATTGGATTCGTTTGAAAATGTCCCTGGTTCCATTGGAGTTAGAGTTTCCGGCAAATATTTCGTAGTCAAATCACATGTCGTTTGATAGACTGGCTCATAGAATGAAGAATCATAGGAATACGAAGGATCGATGCCATTTGTTGATACTGAAGGTGCATATTCTTCGTATTCAATTCGGGTCAACGGATTGCCATTGGTCAGGTACGTTTGCTGGAACGAGTGCGTTTCTTGCAGTACTGCATTCGATTTTTCTTCAACCATTGGCTCATTCTCGCTTTGCGGCTTGAACATCGTCTGAGTGATGTGAAGAGATTTCGAATTGCAATCAATTTTTGAACGAATCTCTTTCGGTTCATCGAAGTTTAACACAACTTGTGAAATCAAATTTTCAACAAACATTCTCAAATCAAAAGTATCATTCGATAATTTGTTATCGAGTGCGTGTTTCGGTGCGATGGAGACTTCCTGCAATATTGGATCCCAGTTACTACAACATAGAGAAATCTATCTCGTTGACTTAGAAGCAGATCACATTTTTCGACAAAAAGTGATTCAAAAATATATGTAAATGATTTGCTTCCGCGTAAACGAAATACAGAAAATATTTCTAAACACAACCCACTGTTTTAACGCAAGTCTCTTCAAACTTTCGCTTCTCGGCTCTTTTCTCTATCAACGGCCGAACTCTCGAATACTGGCTACTTGATTCAATGTAAGACTTGAAGCGGCATCGCGAATTGAGAAAATCTTCTGGAGCCACAATAAGCACATCGCGCTCGTTTCTACACACAAGCCGATATTGTCTTGATGGTGAGTTGCCGATCCGAATATCTTGCTACAACAAGCAACATAAAAAGGCAATGAATCAGACAAAAAATAACTGGTGATCTAATGATATATAAATGAAACAAAAAGGAGTAGGTAATGGAATACCCGGGGAGTGCGAATCAGTGGAACGATAAGTGAGTGTGTTCTGTTGTTGTTAATCGGATAAAATCAACGGAAAAGATCAATGGAATAGATCCTACAAACACTTTTACATTGAAGTTTTTTTAAACATGCGCTTGTATTAACGTGCATACAATCAGCGTTACGAGAAAAAAACACTCAGTTGCCACGTTTTTTGGAAATTATTAACTGATTATTCAAGAAAATCGAAAATACCTCTATAGAAATTGGTCGTTTGAAAGAATGAGTAGGTCTGGAACAAAAAATTGATTATTAATGGTTGACTTAACCAAATAAGTGTCTCACTCATTTTTTGGTCTTTTTTGTCCAGTTTGAGGGGTTATCGCTAAAAATTTTGAATAATACGTTAATTTTCAAATTAAATTACTCTTCAAAGTTCGAACATGTGTTTCCGTAGGTGATTTCTGTGTAAATGGAAAATACTTTCCAAAATCATCAGATTTTTTGTTATGCAAATTAAATTTCCTCATGAACGATTGCCATTCGCCCGAATTAATAAATTCTGAAAATCGAGGAAAGTTAGGATTTTCTTTATATTTAACGTACCAATAACATTTGACGTTTTACAATCCGCAATTCTTTTCCTCCGTTTTAATTGCTCTGATAAATCTTCGTTCCAAACTTTTCGAAACTATAATTCTAAATATTACCACTGGAGCAATTTGCTCAACGAACGTCTTTGTTTATAATATCAAATGCGTTATCCAAATCGAAGCGCAATTCTGTTGTTTTTTCGCCTTCACCGATAAAGGCCGACATAAAACATTCATCATCCAACAATTTTGAGTTTTCATTAAACTTCTCTCCTTCGATCATAAAAACGAGTTGTCTAAATTATATAAGCTAAAGTTTATTGGCAACTTCAAAAATAACTCCCACCGTCTGACGAAACCTTCGTTTTCCAATTGACTTTCACTTATTTTCTGTGATATAATTGGTAGCTCACTTAATACTCTCTCTGCACACCGATCGACCATATGCGCTACAATCGCTGCGGGACTACTATGAGCATCATGTTTTAACTAAAAATAAAATTCGATGTTTAAAAATTTGAAGAAAATTTACCGTCAGGGCATCGAATTGAGTTAAAGCAATTTCAAAATCGCGATCAGGGTGACCAAGATTTTTATTTTCTTCGAGAATAAACCGCAGACAAGGCCGAAGCTGCAATAAATCAGCATGTGTAAAAACAGAAACATTAAATATAATACGAATACATTAAAAAAAAAATATATCGAATATTCACAACCATGTTCACTGTTAATAGTTTAAACTAAGAAATAACTGGTTTGCCTTTGGAACTATGAGCATAAAATAAAAAATATACAAAAATGCTAACGCAGAATTCGTTGTAATCCGATTGCAGTGCAATATATAAGATTAAAACTTAACAAAAAAAGAAAAAACTTACTTTTCTGTTGAAATAAAACGTGACATGACGTTTGGTCTTCAAACTCACTTCGATGTTTCCAATAAACGATTGGTATACAAAAAACTAAACATTTTAAATAAATATATAAGGCGGGAAATTCAAAAAATAATTCAAACCTTTGCACGAAACGTTGTATCTCTACGTGAAACAGATTCAGAGACCAGCCGTCGAGCTTGGTCTAAATCCATGGACATTCTGAACTGAAAATAACACTTTGAAAGTTGTTTTAAAAAAATCAAAGCAGATATCAAGCGAGATAAACATGCGAAATGCATAAAATGCTTTCGAATAGCTGAGTTCGCTGGAGCGCACTTGAGCAGCTCTGTATTTATATATAATAAAAACTGAATAATTATAACGATATTGTTGCTACTTTCGTAAAAAGACTTACAAAACTTATAATTTTAATAATTTTCAAAATTTAGAAACGTTTATGAAATTTAGAGAAACATGAAATTCGTCACTTAATAATAATAATTAATAATAATAAAAACTGAAAAAAATGAAATATTGGATATACTAAAGTAATAAATGAAAATCTGTTATTTAGCTTTTTTTTTATGTGGCCCTGAAATTTTTTTAAACGATCATCAATCAATTTATCGTAATTGATTGATGATCGTAAAATTTATTGAAGTGGTTTTAAACATTTTAAAGATATGAGTGTTGTTTATTTGAAAATAATTAAAAGTAATAGAATTATCGAATAAATAGCTTGTGAACTGTTTTGTGTTCGTTAAATGGTAATTAAAGGGACAGTCTTTATTGAAGCTCGGTCTCGCGGCGACAAACGAGTGTTGTTTTCTACCAATACGAAAAACAAAAAGAAAATAGAATCCTATAGCATGCCCGCAGGCCTATGAAAAAAAGGATAGTTTCGCCGTAAAGCTTCGGTAATTATAATTTTTTGCTTCAGAGTTTCATCTTCTGATCGTATTAAAAAAATGAATTTAAAAATTTTATCGTATTGCAAATCAGTCGATGAACACGAAACCCATCGAATTTTTTAAGCTTCAATTTTATTTCAGAGAATTAAATTTTACTGAAAGATATGCATACGAAGCATAGGCAGGTATTAGAAATTCGTGGAGTAACTTATTTCTCTAAGTAATCCCGTTAAAAAAAGTGTGTTATACTCCATCAAAAAACCAAAGTATGGTAAGTATAAATATTATCTTTGTCTCGAGACACAAGCCAATTTTTTAAAACTTTGCTCACTCATTTAACGCCGACAAAATATAAATCTTCAAAATTTAATTAAAGTCGTCCGTCCACGACAATATCCGATTTTCCATGGTTTTGATAAGATTTATTATACTCTAAAAACATCAGTAGAATCTTTGACAATCGAAAACATCAATATTCCTTTTGAAAATTTTAAATTAATGATGTAAAAAAATAACTTGAAAATATTTATTCATTATTTGTTTGCATTTTCAAGCCGACATTTATTATTTGAATTATTAAAGTTAACAGTCAAGTAATTGGAATCTAAAAGAACTAATTTTTTGAATAAAATAAACAACAACTTTTCCATTTGAAATGATAGGTTGAAACTTTAAAATCACACAAAAACGGACGGAGGCATTAAAGAAATATTTTCAAAGCTCAAAGTGTTTAAGACGATGGTGGTGGTTGTGGTGGTTGATTCTGATCGTCACTACCACCTGGCCCTCCGAATTGTCGTCGAAGTTGTTCGATCATTTCAGGGTTCGTTTGTTGTATATGCTGTGCCATCTAAAAAGAAATTTAATGTTTCTTCTATTATTTTCGACGCCGTGCAGCTGCGGAAAATAAGCTAAATGCCGAAAAAGGGAGAGGCGCGCTCTACAACTCTTGAATTTTGGAGAGAATAGGAGGCCGCTCCAGAGCAGTCCCATTTTGCCCTGAAACGATAATTCGTTCCAAAATGAATTTTGGGCAAAATTTGGCGCGGCCTGAACACACGAATTTAAATGTACGGCTTCGAAACAACATGCGTTAAAAATTTAACATACTCGTTGTCCAGCAGCCATCAAATCTGCGATTCCACCGCTTCCTGACATCAAACTATTCATCATTTCACTGATTCCTGGATCAGTCATCATTTGCTGTGCCATGTTTAGCATATTTGGATCGCTAAAGATTTGGCCAATGTTTGGCATCGCAGCAGGTCCACCAGCACCAGCACCAAATAAACCAGCCAATGGATTTCCCTGAAATATAAAAATCATAGAAGTAAAAACTAAATGTGACGGACAGCCAATCCAGGTCCAACAGAAGCGCGAGCTTGTTCTAACTCTTTAACTTTGTCTTCGGCAATTTTCAAATTGTTCTTGTAGCTTTCTTGGTTAGGGTCTAGTTCAAGAGCTTTCTTATAAGCTTCTGCAGCTTGTTCATACCGGTTTTGACACGAAAATGCAAGTCTGAAAAATTAAAAGTCAATTAAATTGAAGTTACAAAAAACGTATAAACGTATAGGCAAAATATATTTACTGACCCCATTCTTCCCCAAGCTTTGCTGTATCCCGAATCCAAGGCCAAAGCAGTACGGCAATCCTGAATGGCAAGGTCGTACTGTTCCAAACGGCAGTAAGCGGCAGCTCTAAATAGAAGTATCATTGAAATGTACGTTTAAATTTTCAAACCGGTTACAGAAATATACAGGATCTCTGTTGAGCTTAATGGCTTCATTGTATTTGTTAACGGCTGCATCGAATTGAGAAGCTTTCATCAAATCATTTCCTTCCTCTTTAAGCTTATTTGCTTGAGCAATATCAGCCTCGCTTGGAGCTGGCAATGCACTCTCACCCTTAAAACTTGATTATTACTTTCACAAAAATAAACATTTTAAATACCGTTTTAAGACCCTCAGCATCTTTGAAAACTTCCAAAAGTGGTTTGGAAGGCTGGAAAGCGTAATTTGCATCAGTTAAAGCGAAAGCATGTTCCAAGCATTGAATAGCGACTAAAAATAATTTTCCGTTAAAAAACCATTATTAGTATTAATGAGTACCCTCGAAAGTTTCAACTTGATCAGCATTGCATTCGTTACGAGCGACTTTTTGGCGAATAAATTGCAAGAAAGAAACAACCAAGTTTTGCTCATCGCTGGAAACGACTGGAGCGGCAACAGCTTGGGATGATTCTTCAGCCATTTCTGAAATGAAACCCATCTATTTTGTGAGTAGAAACTCCACTTTTCCAAAAATGAAACGAATAAGATAGCTGTGTTCTGGAAAATTACAAAAAATAGCTATAACTCGATAGCAATTAACTTTACTGTAATTAAATAAATCTTGCGAAATTAATATATTTCGTTATTTATTTCTTTCGAATGAATGTATTCTATTTATTGTTGAAAGTTCTAATTGAAAGTATAGGCTTTGAAACTAAAAACACGATGAGTGAGGCTGTGGTAGAGAATAAGCAAAAATAAAATTGCAAAGAAATGATGAAAATATTTGAATAAAGGTACACATGGCAGTGCGTCATAAGCAAAAATAAAATTGCAAAGAAATGATGAAAATATTTGAATAAAGGTACACATGGCAGTGCGTCGCTTAGGTCTTGACGCGTCGAAAAAGAGTGTACAAAAGAAGAGACGAAATGTGGTCAGACAAACGAGAGATTCGCTCCAGGGACAAAGAAACGAGAGAGCGATACACAAGATGGAGAACATCGACGAGACTGGAAATGACTACCCCCATCTGCCTCTCAATTTTCTTCGTCCCCTTTTCATTTTTGCTTTGCACCAATGTGGTTAATTCATCAAACTCGTCTCTGTTTTTTTCTGCGTTACCTCGATTTTGAGCGGTAGTTTTGTGAAGTGGGCGGATTTTTTTCGTCCAATACGGAAGAATCGAAATTCTGTATATTCTCACATAATCTTTTTGACGAATTTATATTGATGGAAAAGAATGAAAAATATTTATTTATTGAAATTATTTTATTGCGAATGACTCTATTTATTTCAAGATTCTCACATTTCTTCATAAATTATTTTATTTTATATTTATATTGTATTCGAATTTTCATAATAGGTTTCCTATTTAAAATCGGCAAAATTTAGAACATTCACTTTTGCAGTAGTTGAATCGTATCAAATTTCGAAGCAGTCTCTATCGAAATGTCATCGCCGGCGACGCCAAGAAATGAGTGCAATGGAACAGGTTTAAAATTAAATTGAGATAATCATGTTCATTATGCATATCATTTAAAAACTGATGACATATATGGAAAAATAAATGAATATATGGAATTGTAAAAACATTTTTAGGGGGACAAACTTCATCATCATCGGCGAATCCAGACCAATCACAAAACGCTCAGGGTCGTCGCTTATTTAATACGAACGCATATTCTGACGAATCTGATGTTTCAATCGATAATGACGGTACGTGATTATTGTTGGGTTCTTTTCCGATCTCGAATGAGTACAAATACTCAAATTATTCCGGAAATTGAATGGAAATTAAAGAAGAGATTGCATCACATTTCACTATTGTTTTCGTTAATAATGAAGAAATACGAAAACAAAATTTTCTAAAATGAAGTTGATTTAGACAGAAACGGCGCCGAAACTGATGGATCATCATCAAGTCGCGGATGTTTGAAAAGTGAAAGATCACGAAAAGATCAACCGTCGACTTCTTCTGGAAGACCACCTCGTACCTTGCAACAAGTTAGAGTTTTTTTTTAACATGAAAATTACACCATTATTCTGATTCGTTTTAGGTAACATGGTCATTCGCTGCGAAACAGGCGCCACCGCACTCACAGCCTCCAGGAACTAGTAAAAAAGGTGCGATTTGTTTGATAATATTTAATAGTTTATAAACTAGAAATGCACAAAAATTGAAAGCGTTCCGAATTCATATATCTCGGAGAATATATGTAGTATATTGTGTATTTCCTTTTCGTCTTTGAGGCGCAATTTTTGATTCTCCTAAGAGAAGCCTTCATTATTTTCTATTCTTGGATCAAAATGTAAGGTCTCATATTCTTAATCTCTATATTCCATCACTTCGCATTCCATCAATAGAAAAAAATAGTTCATATTCTGGAGCTTATTCGATTTTCTATATTTCTCTCATTGCGTCGCTCGCTGTTCCAAATGTATCCCGCAGGGTTCAACATCTTCAACGGCGTCTTTTTTTTTCTGTTCTTTTTCTCGTCACACTGCTAAATCTTACCCTCGAGACAGCACTTCGTTGTTCTTTTTTTGGGTGTTTCTTATTTGAAAGTTTTCGTTTTGGGCGAGTTCAAATTAGAGCCCGAATTGACAGGTGCTGGGTTCAATCGTTCCGTCGGTTGCCGCGTTTTTTCTTTTCTTCACCTCATTCTTCTTCTTCTTTTCGTCTACTTACTTTTTTCTTCTTCTTCTTGTGATTTTCATTCGATTTGTTGCCAGTTAGTCGCTTCATTCTTCTTCTTCCCGTTTTCGCCCAATTAAATCGTTATAAATTGCGTGTTTATGTTTTTATTCGTTTTGCGTTTTTAATATTCTAGGTTATTTTTGGGCTCATTTTTTATGAATAGAACATTTTTATTATATATTCGGCGAATATATCGTTTCGTCGCCGCCGTTTTTCTCATGGCTAGACGAGACACCACAATGATTTATGGCTTCATTTTTTGATCAATGAAGTCATTTTTTTTATTATTTCGTCAAAATATGGAAAATAAGAAGAACATTTGCAAAATATTCGTTTTTAAGTGCGCGAATTGGAATTTTTTCTTTAACATGCAATTGGAAAATAACAAAGTGCGCGATTTCCTTGTATTAGAACTCTCTTTTGAACTTTGCCTAACCTTTTTCGCGTTCCTTCGTTTTTGCGAACACAGAAAAGCGAAACGGCGTTGTTTATGTCAGTTGGTCGGGTCCGCGACACTTTTCACATACTTATTATTTTTCATCGTTTTTTTTTCGAGATCCGGGGATTATCAGCTTATGAGATTGATTTACAATAATTGGATTATCGCAAATGTTAAAAATGGTATTTTTTTATTGCAGTGTTGTATTTAAGTTCAATTTTGAAAATTAAACTGTTTTCAAAATAAACCCCAATTCATCTTCTTGTATGTAAATTGCCCGCCTGAGCTAATTTTCCCGACGCTCCGGGAGAACTGTCGTTCTTAAAGACAAATACACAATCTCTTTGCGTGAGACACTATGACACAGAACCAATTTTCTTAAATCAGTCTTTTGAAGTGGGTAATAGTCACTTAGTATTAGTTTTGTGTCTCAAAATGTTTTAACAGATATCGCAATATTGTCCCAAAATGGACGAAAATTATTCATTCGTAGCTCGCTAATGCATTCACTGAGCGAATGAGCTGAAAATGTGAATCTTGATGTTATTTTTAGCTGGTTTGCCACACTTTCCTCGCTGTACGGCTCACATGAATTATTGTTAGCGCCTCTTTCAACAAACACGCGCGCGCATTAATCTGTGAGTTGCTCATTTGCGTCCGAAACTTTTTGTCTTATCTCGAAACATCCGCTGTCGAAAGACCAATGAGCACATTCATTTGGTAGATTTGTTGACTCAGAAACCTTTATAGCGCGAATGTGCTTAGTTCTTTGATACGTCAAAGGATGATTATTAAACAGATAACTTTCAAACAAAATTCTCAATTTGTCCACGTTTATATGAACGAAATTTAACTTATATTAACATTATAAACAAATGACCTATTCGGTTCGATGGGATTCCTTTTTTGTATGTTTATTGGAATTCATAAAGTTTTGTTTCTTCTTAAACCTAGAACGTGCATTTTATTCAGAGCCAACTACATTTTGTGCCATTTTAGTGGTTAAAATTCTAATTTATTGAATAAGAAATAAAAGTTGCATGTAATTGTTGCGGGCTTTGTCGCAATTTGTCGTATTTCGTCATCTTGATGCGAAATTAATCGAATTGTCTTTTCCTCCAGCCAAAAAAAATGAATGCTCATTCGATTGGAATTAGATTCATCGACTCTTTTCATTACCGTATCCAGTTCAATTTGTTGCAAGATCGGTGGTATTAAGAGAAGCAGGAGCTGCCGGAAAACCGACTAATCTTCGCACAAACCTCTTCTTTCGTTCCTCGTTCTTTTTTTCCAGTTTCTGTCGTTTGCTTTGTGCCCTTTTGTGCTGTTTTCGATTGTTTCATTTTTTCGTTTTGTCTGCCGTTTTTTTTTTGCTTTACGTCGCTTCATTTTATTTTTTCTTCTAATAGCTTCTGTTACTAGAATTTATTGTCGGTTCCAAATAAATGATCGGTGGTGGGAAATTTATAATTGCAAATTTTGTGTAGATGAACGAATTTGTAAATTTACGCAATAATTTTATACACAAAAATGCAGTATATGCAGACACGCACAGTTTTTTTGTCTTCAGACACAGTGACACGTAGCCAATACAGTTTTTTTTAAATTTTATTCGGTCGTTTGGCATCGACAATAGTACTCTTTGATTATTATCGAACATTTGTTTTGAATAACCGGACTGGTATTGTTTGTAGAAGCAGATGCAGCCAATAAAAAACACACCACCATACGCGCCGACATATCGCTGTCTTTCTCTCTTATTGGTAAAAATTGAATCACATCACGCTTGACTAAGGATTGGGTTTTTCTGTGTTCTGCTCATCTTGAATAGCTCAGAGAAATTTTTTTCTATTTTGCTGTTTTATTTCATTTGATAAATCATAATCTACTGTCTTGTGAATTTCTAATTAATCCAAATATAGAATTCTGCAAAATAGTTCAGTTCACAATAGATTATATGAAATCTTTATCAATGAAAGTATCGCGGGAGTTTAGTGTGTGTCTTTGATCGGAAGGGTCATCCTCTCCATGATCTTCAGTTTTAACCAAAAATTTATGAAACCTCGTATTCGAAAGCAAGAAGTAAGTATTAGGTATCATGGTTATTTTTATAATCAAAATAAATTTGATAATTGAAGAAGAAATATGTTTTTAATGGTATTGTTCATGAAATGTATCTTTTTACAACAAATTTTAAAAAAATATTTCATTAAATGTGCATTTTTATGTCGGTAATGGAAAAAATGTGTAATTTTTAAAAACTTTTTGATTTCATGGTTAATTTGATGTGTTTTTTTGACTATGATCATCATTCTCAATTTCATGTTGTTTTTTTTGTATTACGAGATTTCAATATATTTTAGATTAGTCATTCAACTAATCTGTGTCAAATCGCTTTCCAAATTTATTAGAAATGGTCGTTTACAGGTTAGAACAACGAGTAAAAATGTTGTTGAAAATAAACTTTGTGTCCACTTTTGTCAGAAATTGACAGTCAAGTACGTGCACACTGCTTTTTTTTTCTATTTTTAGAAAAAGAGCAGTTGTTTTTTTCTTTTTTTTGTGTTCAAGCTGAATGCGTCGAAAGTCCGACATATTTTTGGAGTTTCGAAAGTAAATAGGCCTACTTAATTCCGTGTGATTCTTATTTCAACGGCAAAAACAAATATACACAAACGACCAAATAAGTAGCATTATTTTCCGACGAATCTATGACGGTTTAGTTGTTATAAACCATCGATAAAAAATTAGACTCGCAAAATTCGCTACCAATGATGGTTCGTTGCTTGAAAAATAATGGTAAGTTTATATTAGATTATCAATAATTATCATCATTTCATTTGCATAATTGAATATAACCAAGCATTGTGAATAACGATATAAAAAATCTAAAACACAGTAATCAGCGGATGAATGTGCGATTCTTGTTTAATATTAATTATTAAAAAAAAACAGCTCTATTGTCTCAGTTGAAGTCTCTGCGCCTCTGTTGTTCAACATTGTCTATCGAGTTGGTCTACTCGAATCTGCTGCGCACCGCCACTTCCTCACTGTGGAAAAGCTCATAATTTGTGGATGATCGTTCATTTCTCTCATTATTTTCTCGGCTGGCGTTCATCGGCGATTCGCTCTTTCATCATCTTCCTCTCCTTATCCTCCGCCTACTCCCCATCTGCCCTCAACTCATATTATTGTGGCGATCGTTATTTCATTAATGCATTTCGCATATCATCATCGACCCACTATAGCTGCTTACGCTCCTTGCAAGTCACCGTCATCTTCTTTTTACTATTAGTTTCCTCTTATCATAAAAAGTATGTTTACCTTGCGTCTTCACCAAATTTGAAATATTTGATAAAAATGAAGCAGCAACACAAAAACAATAAAATGACAGGGATTTTTCGAAATGCGCGAATTTGCAGTGATTGGTTCGACGAGCAACGTGGCTCGCAAATCGTCGCTAGCCAGCGGACGCGGATCCGCTTCGTCGTCAGGACAAACGAGTCCTTCGCCATCTGGTATGTTTATTTTTGATTAATTCAAAATGAAGCTCAGAATTCTCAGAGTACTAGTGTTTTCTGCAAAAAAAGATTTAGCGAAATTGAAAGTTTCACCTTCAGTTTGCCGTTTGAAACTTCCAATAACTTTGAACCATATTCCTCAATATTGAATCATATATTTTGCTGTCTCTACTTAGTAAATAAACTCAGTCAATTTTTGCAATAATCAATTGGCAGTTCATCGCGCTCCCAACCATCTTAGCCAGGAATATACTATATAATAGATAAATACTCGGGGAAATCGTAGATTCTTAACAATCTTCTGAAATTCTGTGCAAAATTTGCACGACGAAGTAAAAGGATAAAATTGCACATATTAGCGTATGACGCCAATTACTCTCCTTCATTATTTAAACATTTTATTCAATTTTCCACTTTGAAATGAATAAGTCGGCCGTTTTAGCATCTCCAGCTCGCGGAAACACTGGTGGAGGTTGTTCATCATCAAGCGAATCGGCTGCTGATCGTTCGATTGCAACACCACCGCTTCCACCTGCTCTCAAACACTCTTCCAAGGTATTTTTCGTGAAGTTTCGTGATTGATTTCGTGAATGAGTTGTTTCAGGACGGCGTATACCGCGGACAACGATCGATGTCGTTGGGCGGTCCTGCTCATGAGATGTTAATGTCTCAAATGAACACCAGACCCGGAAATACCATTGATTTCTCACCTGGCGACGGTTTGTTTAAAAAATCAATCATTAATTATAAAATGATTCTAAGATGATAAAGTGTGCCTTCTTGTCGACAATACTCGTTTCTTGGTATCTCAACAATTGTTGCTTAGCAAGCCAGACACGATGCTCGGAAGAATGTTCACTATGAGAGCCTCTTGTGGCGATTTAGGAGCTGAGTTAGTTACGCCAAATGATAGAGATGAATTTGAGGTTCGTAAACATCGTAGCATTGGTTAATTTCTTTGTTTTTATCTAGGTTGCTGAGGGGCTGACGGCGCCTTGCTTTAGAGCTGTTTTGGACTACTACACTTGTGGAACCATGAGATGCCCGCCATCTGTATCCGTTTCAGAACTTCGTGAAGCGTGTGATTACCTTCTCGTTCCATTCAATGCACAGACTGTGAAGTATGATAGAAATCTTCAATATTAATATTAAACGATTTTGCTATTTTTAGATGCCAAAATCTGCATGCTCTGCTTCACGAGCTTTCGAATGAAGGAGCTCGAGAGCAATTCACTCATTTTCTTGAGGAGATAATCCTGCCGCAACTTGTCGCGAGCACAGAACATGGTGAACGCGAATGTCATCTCGTTGTTCTTCTTGACGATGACGTCGTCGACTGGGACGACGAATACCCACCACAGATGGGCGAAGAGACTACCCATGTTGTTTATTCAACCCATCTCTACAAATTCTTCAAATATGCTGAAAATCGTGATTGTGCCAAACAGGTGAAACATATTTCAAAATAATGTCTTGTTAATAACTATAAAGTACAGGTTTTGAAAGAACGAGGATTAAAGAAGATTCGACTTGGAATGGAAGGATATCCGACTCATAAAGAAAAAGTCAAGAAGCGATTCAACAAGGCTGAAGTGATTTATAATTATGTTCAACGCCCATTTGTGCATTGTTCATGGGAAAAAGAAGAAGCGCGAAGCAGACATGTCGACTTTGCCTGTCCAATTGTAAAAGTAAAAAATTGACGAATCGAAAAATGACCATTTATGAGTTTCAGTCCAAATCGAATCCATCACTAGCAGCTGCTGCGTCGGATCCTCTTCCGCAGCCGGCCCCACTTCAACAACATCATCGAAATGCAGTTTTCGGTGAAGCTGCTCCACTTGCTGCACCGAATCGATTCGACGACAACAATCATCTCGGTGTTAATGTGCATGCTCAACATGTTTGTATTGATTAACAACCTGAAACCATAGAAATTTTACTTTTCAGCATGCTCACCCGCTTCATTCACCACCGGTTAATTTCCAAAGAAATGCCGAGGAAGAATAATACCATATATATGAAGCGAACATTTCTCTCAGTAAAAAATTCAAACCTGTCTTGTCATCTCGACGGGTTAAAGAAGAACATTGTTGATTGCCTGGTCTTGTATGTATATCGTCAAACAATTGTTATTGCTATAAGTGTTGCCTGGCCTCGTATCGAGGTCCTTTGGAACATTTCGCCGTTTTATAATCATTTCTATTAAAAATCCCTCTCTTCCTTCATTCTCGCTTACTCGCTCTTTTGGCCGTTATTCAGTCTCATATGATATTCCTCATAGATTCGCCGGAAACAATAACGAACACCTTATTTTTGAAGCCTATTCTTACTGGTACCGCAATAACTTATCAACTGAAGCTTTTATTTCGGGAAACACCGAGTCGTTCGAATCAGCGGATCGTGAAGCTCATGACAATTGACAACGCGCAATTCATCGTCGGTTAACGCTTGTGTGTTGTCGTGCTCTGTTGACGCTCAATATATGTGTTTTTGTTTCGCTCTTCCCATCTTTATTTTTTTGCATAAATAAACATTTGTAATTTGGATGTGAATTTAAACTTTATTTGTTCAATTACAAATATCGGTGATCTAAATAAAAATAAACATAAAAGAGTTATACGAATTTGATCTTCATCGTGAAACCCCGCTAGTTTTTCTAAATAAAACTTGTTATATTTTTCAAAAACGTCTTAGAATTCAAATAAATTTTTACTTATGTGGTTTTATTGTTTTTGCCGAATTTTTCTTCTAGGCAAACTTTTTCTAATTCGTTTGTTGGAAAAGCTAAAATCTGATTTTATCAAGAGGTTTAGAAAAATGTTCGTTTTATTGATTTTTTTATTTAAAAATATATTTCAGTTTTGAATGTCCGCTTCCACTTTTAAACATTTTTTCGGTCCCAGTTGTGTCGAATGTTTGAATATTAAATCTACTGATTATTCTATGCAAAATTCAATTCCATTTCCTCTGAGATTATCAGGCTCAATCTATGAGAAAATGATGACAATTTAATGTGTTGCGAAATTCGGAGTTGTGCGTGCATTTGGCCAACACAAAAACGAAACGCTAACAAACGAGAAATAGCGTAATGATTGGTAAGAGTCTGCAAACGAAACATAATATGTAACTAGGAGACCGCAGGGGAGTTTGTTGAGTATAAATAGCGAAAAAATCGACCTTGAATCAAACACTTTTTCCATTTATTTTTGCATGTTCTTCGAAATTCAGTCTCACGCGAGTTTCTGACTTTTTCGCTGAATCGAATAATTGTCAATTCGGATAATTTCAGATAATGGTTCAATACAAGCTTTCATACTTCCCACTCCGTGGAGCTGCTGAAGTCATTCGTCAAATCTTCGCTGTTGCCGGAAAGGAATTTGAGGATCATCGCATTCCAAGAGAACAATGGCCAGCAATTAAGCCAAGTAATATTTGAAATGTAATATTTCTCAATAAAATAGATATTTTTCAGCAACTGTGTTCGGACAGCTTCCAATTCTGGAGGTTGATGGAAAGCCACTAGCTCAATCGCATGCCATCGCCAGATATCTTGCTCGCGAATTCGGTTTGAACGGAAAAGGAGCTTGGGAAGAAGCGCAAGTGAACGCCGTGGCTGATCAATTCAAAGATTACATGGCGGAAATCAAGCAATTCCAAATGGTCGTTATAGGATTTGCTGAAGGCGACAAGGAAAAATTGTACAAGGAAGTGTTCGCGCCAGCATTCCAGAAGCACTTCAGTTTCTTCAAGAAGTTCCTCGACTCGGCAAAGAGCGGATATCTTGTTGGAAGCTCGCTCACCTGGGTTGATCTTCTCATTGCGAATCATATCGAAACGCTCGCTGCCAAGGGCGAGAAAGTTCTTGATGAGTTCCCTGAATTCGTCGCCCACCAGAAGCTCGTACATTCCAACCCGAACATCAAGAAATGGATCGAAACTAGACCAGAAACACCATTCTAATTTTAATTCACTTGATTGCTTTTATATTTTTTAATAAAATGAATTAAATCAACCAACTTTTTTACAATGGACGGGAAGAAAGAAGCAAACGCAACGTTTGAACCCGCTGTACGCATATGTATATCGTTGCTCCTCAAAACAGCTGAATCAAATAGTTTACAAAATGATATCGTAGAGGGTTGTTCCTGGTGATTTAAGATTTGAAGTCATGGTCTCGTAACGATTTTCATCTGGTATAAAATGCATTTAAAACTAAACAATAAAAAACAACCGTAAATAATCAAATTTCGATATTAATAAATTCTAAATTCTGAAATCTCAAAAAATTGTATTAAATAAAAACAGAAAAAGTCGAAATTCTGAACTATTGTTGAAAAATGACAAATGTATCCAGGTGTCGTAGGATCCTGCGTTTTGTACGCAATGCTAAGAGACAGTTACCGTAATCCTCGCAGCGATTTACGGGGACTTTTTTTTTAATTTCGCGTATTCATTTTCTTTTATTTTTCGCTCAATTTTCGTATTTCCCTTCGAAATTTTGTTATTTAAATTTTGCAACAAATCGAGTTTAATAATTTATTTAGCAAAATAAGGACTTTTTGGTAAAAAGAGCAGAGATTTAAAAGAAAACATTTTTGTCGTTAATAAAATTATTTATTCGTGTCTTGCATTTTGTACGCGTTTCTATTATCTTGTTTCTGTATTCTTCATTTTCAAAATAATTTTTAGAGCGATAAAATCATTACAATAATTCCCAACTCAACTGGACAAATGGAAAAGTGCATATCCTAAATAATTAAACTCGGTTTCTACAGGTTTTAAATAAAAGATTACCAAAGAAAATAAGAAAATACAGCAAAAAAATTTAAAGAAAATTTAAAAAAAACTCCGTAAATCGCTGCGAGGATTACGGTAACTGTCTCTTAGCATTGCGTACAAAACGCAGGATCCTACGACACCTGGATACATTTGTCATTTTTCAACAATAGTTCAGAATTTCGACTTTTTGTGTTTTTATTTAATACAATTTTTTGAGATTTCAGAATTTAGAATTTATTAATATCGAAATTTGATTATTTACGGTTGTTTTTTATTGTTTAGTTTTAAATGCATTTTATACCAGATGAAAATCGTTACGAGACCATGACTTCAAATCTTAAATCACCAGGAACAACCCTCTACGATATCATTTTGTAAACTATTTGATTCAGCTGTTTTGAGGAGCAACGATATACATGTCGTTTGCTTCTTTCTTCCGGTCCATTGCAAAAATTTTGTTGATTTATTTCATTTTATTAAAAAATATAAAAGTAATCAAGTAAATTAAAATTAGAATGGTGTTTCTGGTCTAGTTTCGATCCATTTCTTGATGTTCGGGTTGGAATGTACGAGCTTCTGGTGGGCGACGAATTCAGGGAACTCATCAAGAACTTTATCGCCCTTGGCAGCGAGCGTTTCGATATGATTCGCAATGAGAAGATCAACCTTACGATTTTTGTTACGATTTTTTGATAATAATACAACTCGGTCGATTATTTATAAACTTCATGTTTCTCTAGAAAAAAATTAATCAAAAACTTCTAAGGTAAAATGCAGAAAATTTTTTTTAAGTGAGAAAATTTCAATGCATCAAAAATGAAAAATGGCCATTGATTTTTTTTTCATTTTTCTCTTTTTATTCGCTCGGCAGTGTTAAATTTTTTCATACGGCTTTCCGTTTTAACGTAAAAAGAAAATGAATATTTGGAATTTCCAAAAATGTTGGATGGACGACCTTCGAAATTCCGAGTGTCTTCTGGTGAGGTTATCATCATTATGCTATCAGTTTAAAAACTTTAACTGAACTCAATAGTTCGTAGTATCCCTGACATGTTCAAGTGAATTTGCATTGTTCCTGCATTCGACCCCCCTCCCCGTCTATCCACATTTTGTCATTTTCAATTCCGTCCAACATTCGTTTTGTCTCAATTTCCCTTAGTTCACGTACAGATAAGTTGAACAGATGTAGTCGAGAAAACGGGCAAAAATGAGAATTAGAAACAGGAGAAGACAACGAATGCCCCCAAAAAGTGGTTGTGTGTCGAATGGCTAGCAAGTTTCCGCGATTTTCACCCCGCATTTCGCACACTATTTCTCTGTTTTTTTCAGGAACCAAGTACTGTAGACCGATGAGAAAGCATTTGAACCGTTTATCACCGATACAATATCATAATTGTTCATTTGTTGATCACCGCCAGTATAAATATATACATATTTGATGAGATAAAATAAATGCGAGTTTAATGCATTACACAAGGAGACGATTCGCTTCAACGAGGAATGTTCACAACCACCGATTCTGAGAGCTGAATTCCACTTTGTCTCGTGTGCTCCATATATATATATATATGTATTGTCGACGCGCGACTGCGTAAAATTGGCTGAATGCCAAAAAAAACAACGGAGGTGGTCTTGGCACAAAATTAAAACTGTAAGCGGCTTATGCAGGTTAAAGGCGCACATCGAGCACGGAGACCTTCTTTTAATTTGTTTGGCATTTAGCCAATTTTCCGCCGCTTCGACAATATATTCCAAATTTTCACCTATTGGCCTCCGATTGCCGGTCGGCTTGTTTAGTCCGAATATTACAATTAACGGGCATCAGACGTTGATATTATATTTCGTTTCTAAAATGTTTTGCAATAAAAAAACATGAGAAATCTACGGAACTGACAGATTAATGGAGAAAATAAACTAGAACAATACAAAAGATACGTAGTGAGTGAAATTTGAATTCGCGGCATGGGCGTTTGGTTTCTGTGAATGTTCCCATTTTCGATTACCGAAATTCCACAAATTTATGGTGTCAATCCTCATTAATACAATCGCTCACAGCTAAATTACAGCGAATTTGATGTGCAAGCTACCCCTGCGGACCACACTAATAAAACGGTTCCCACTAATTCTCACTGTCTAATCCGAAATTTGAAAAATACGCAAATCCTCTCGTTGTTCTTTCGATGGCCATATCAATGTTTTTTTGGAATTCGAAACTTGCACTTTTGTTCGTGTTTGCGTGATATTCGGAGAATCACTGCCAACTATTAAGCAATATTCATCCATCATCGATTCGCGTTATCAGTGGAATGCTGAACACAGCAAAACGGCAGCGACGTCGCGAGGGTGTGGCAAAAAAAACCGTTTTCCATTTTATTTTCGACATGTTCCTAATGAAATTTTTGGCGCCGAAAACAGCTGAGGTCGACGCGAAAAAAAAAACTGAAAAAATGTGTGATATTCATGGCATGATATTATTTACGATCGAGTTTTTTTGGTTCGATGCCGTTTCAAGCATATCATGTAGAGACAAGGTGTAATAATAACGATTCAGATTACCTACAGCAGACTAATGTGACCAAATCCAATTGATCCAATTACAACGAATAATTGCTAATCGTATCGAACATCAACAAACAATTGCATCAATTGATTTGGAAACAAAATTTAAGTTTCAAATAAAATAATATTTGATTTATGACCATTTGAAAAAATGGTTTTTTGTTGAGTGTCGAAGTCGATGTTTGACCACACGGGCAGATGAAATCTCAAAACCGGCGCATTGAATGTCTGACACTATCTATTCTCAAAATCAGCCAGCTGATTGCCGCATTTTCTGGTTGAAAACCCGGAACTTTGGAACACTAAAACGGTTTTCATTCCATTTGTTGTCTCATCTGCTTCTTCATCGTCGTCGTCGTTGGCTGATGACGGCGATGATTGACGAAAATCGGTGATAAGTGCAAAAAACAAACAATGGGAGAAGCTGAGATGAATCTCCACAGGTGTTGATAACGATACCGAATAAACTGGAGATGAGCGGATGTACGATTATCAACGGAACATTTTTGAAATAGTTGCGAATCGTTTGCAAATCAAAAATGACGAGGATCCGTTTCATTAGCTGAAATTGTTGGCAATCAAAAATGCAATGCATATCAGTTCCATTCGAACTGGATTTCTCGGTTAGACCTGGACAATTAAAATGGACTTATAGAAACCGGCGAAAATTGAAATTCGAACTAAATAACCTAATCAATGAATCAGTTTTCCGTTCCGTTATCTGTTACCTACGGTGGTGTTAATTACATCGATATGTCTTGTGATCGGATCGACGACTTTAATATGTCTCTTACACCGTTCGCCAATAATTTTTGATCACCTCGACGACACTAGAACCCCGCTCAACCACCTCAACCGGCGGCATATAGTTGTTTTTAGTGGGTCTCGCTTCTCAACAATTTTGGCTGGGAAAGGGCGTCGTCGTCATCGTGGGATCGGTAGCTTTCGGAATGGCGGGCGGTGCGCGTTATCTGCGATGCGGACAAGCCGTTTCAACGCTTTGACGATATATGATCACAAAAAAGTGAGCAAAAAAAGGCGACACGACGAGGGTTTAAAAGCTGCGCGATAGTGGCCATACACACCATATCAGCCTCATTTTGCTTTCGTGTCTTCATGTCGTTCCTTCTTCTTATATATATTTTTATTTTTTGCATTCGCCGATTCAATTGAATATTCATATTTAATATTTGATTTATTCTAAATCATTAATCGATTTCAGTATGGGCCAAGACGACAAGCAGAAGCTTATTGAGGCCGAGTCGGTCAAGAAGTTCGCCTTCTTCGGTAAATAAAATTCCTAATCAATTCGCATGATTTTTGTATTCGCTTCAAGGTGTCGCCGTCTCGACCGTCGCCACTTTGACCGCCATCGTGGCCGTGCCAATGTTGTGTATGTACATGCAGAACGTGCAGTCCGGCCTTCAGGACGAGATCAACTTCTGCCGCACCCGCTCCGACTCCCTCCGTGGAGAATACTCCAAGTTGGAGGCTTTCCGAAAGGCCGAGTCTCGTGAGAAACGCCAGACCTACCAATGCTGCTCGTGCGGAATTGGACCAGCTGGACCAGTCGGAAACCCAGGACAAGACGGAGCCCCAGGAAACGACGGACGCCCAGGAGCTCCAGGAGCCCCAGGACCAGACGCTCCAAACGACCACGTTCTCCCAACTGCTGCCGATTTCTGCTTCGAATGCCCACCAGGACCAGCCGGACAGCCAGGAAACCCAGGACCAAAGGGACCACCAGGACAGCCAGGAAACGCCGGAGAGCCAGGACCAAACGGACGCCCAGGAGCTCCAGGAGCACCAGGACCACAGGGACCACCAGGAGAACCAGGACAGGACGGAACCCCAGGACAGCCAGGAGCTCCAGGGCAAGTCCGCACCGTCCCAGCCCCACCAGGCCCACCAGGACAGCCAGGAGAGCCAGGAGCCCAGGGACCACCAGGAGAAGATGGACACCCAGGAAACCCAGGACCACAAGGACCACCAGGACCACAAGGAGAGCCAGGACAAGATGGAGCCCCAGGAAACCCAGGAGCCCCAGGAGAGCCAGGAGATGCCGGACAAGACGGACACAAGGGAGGCTGCGATCATTGCCCTGTCCCAAGAACAGCTCCAGGATATTAAAAACAACCCTACCTCTAAATTATTCTCAACTGTTGTCTGTACCATATTTGAAGGAAAATTACTGCACGGGCATCTTTGTAACCTATTAATGAATATCTTTAAAGAATACGCTAGAATATTTTTAAGATGACCAATATCCGTCCAATCGTTTACCCATTTTTGACAGGCATACTTGATTGTCCGACCAAAACTGTAGATCAACTTTTACCACATCTTCGATCAACGTACCTCTGAACGAATTATTAGTTCGCAAAAAAATACATTGTTCGCAAACACTGATTAAGCGCGACGCAAGCATAATGGAAGTATTGTGGGAAATCTGTGGAACGGAAGCATAATGCTTCCATATAGGAAGCATAATGTAATTCTTAGTGGCTGTGGAAGAAATATGGGACGAATATGGATGGAATGAAAACGGGATGAATATGCTTCCGGTGTTTGCGAGCCGTGGAACGAATATGGATGAAATATGGATAAAATAATCATATATCATTACACATTATACAATTGGCGTCTGGACGGCAGACCAAGACAATTTCTAGAAAAATCAATACAAAAAACTTATGCTATCATATAAACAATGAAAATTTGAAAATTACATGATACACAACATACGAAATTTAGCTTCTACCATTTAATGACTTATGCTACTCAGATTTATGTTAATTCAGTCAACTGTTCCTTACTTTGTTTAAAGATTGCCAACTACAATTTAGTCGTATTAATATATTTTTGCCGGTTTTTCCGAAATTGGCATCGCAAACTACTCACAATTTGCTCCAAACTGGTAGCAGACGCGCGTAGAAGAGGCGTGCCGCAGCATTGCAAAACCGTGCGCCGCTTTGCACAATGCGGCCACGCCTCACATTTTCGAAATTCGTTTTCAAAATTTTTGTCCTTTTGCTTTTTCTCAATGAATTTTCAAGATTTTTTGTGTTTTTTTTTTGTCAAAAATTAAAGAATTTTTTTCAAAATTAAAGGAAAAATGTTTTTAAAAAATAAAGGAAAAATTTTCATGTTTATCATTTTCATGTTTATCATCATTCGAAAATTTTAAAATCGATACGATGTTTTCAAATCGTTTCCGACACTTTTAAAATCGAATTTAAATATTTTCTCAATCGAATTGTGTTTAATTTCTCATCGAATCCGTTTTATTTTTATTTACTTTAACATATTTTTTATTATCGCTCGCTTTTTTCTTTTAATAAAACATAATGTTTTGAAATTTTTTACAGATGAAGACAAGATCGAGAGTGTTGTCAGATATAACTGAAACTGCTCTAGAAGTCAATAACAAAGAACCAGAAGTCCCTAACATGGAACCAAATTCGCTCGACACTTCAGATCCAGATAGTCCAATTTACTCGCCAACTCAGCAAAAAAATTTTTCTCCACAGTCCTCACAAACAACAAAATCAACGCCAATTCCTAAACCTTCGTACGCGCAATTTGTAAGTTGTTATCATCAAAAATTGGCCTGTTCGACTCCAGAAATGGTTTCAATTAGAAAAATATGCGCAATGAAGTCTTTATAAAGTACTTCCTAAGTTTAAAGCTTGTTGATTATTTGGTTCCAATCAGGGCTGTGCGGCAATGGAATTGCCGATTGCCGAAATTGCCGGTTTTTCAAATTGCCGAAGAAAATTTCGATCGGTAATTTGCCATTAGCCGAATCGCCGAAATTTCCGATTGCCGTACAGCCTTCGTACCAATATCATTCAGTGGCATTTATCTTTTTAAGTGGGGCTCTAGTACAGAAGTCGCCAGACGCCGACTATATAAAGATCCTATACTTTATTGCAAATATCTATATTACAGATGTTCTTATCCATGGCTTTGGGCAACAACCGACAAATGACTTCAAAGCGAAAGCATTACGCATGGTTCGAGAAGTCATGGATAATCTTCTGTAAGATTATCAGCTATGACTATTAATTTATTTATTTGATTAAGCGATAGAATGCGCCAACGACTTTAAAGGAAATTTGGTGTAGCGCCGGAAGCGCTCGCGGCGCAATTAAGGAAGCTGCTTGATTCTACCAGCAACCCTCAGATGTGAGTATTCATATGTCTTTGAAATTTTAACCAAAATGCCTTTTTGCTTCAAATTTTGGAGTTGTTCTTTCTTCCGCCAATTCACTTTTTATTTTGTGCACTAAAGGGTTTCCAAAAATGCAATAAAAATAAATTATTTTTATTTTTAAGAAAATTATTGATGTAAAAAAAACTGATTGTATTTTCTCGAAAAATTTAGTTTACGTAACAATGGTTTACAAGTTTTTCAAATTAATAAGCCCATTATAATCGAAGTGTAGCGACTAGGAAAAGTGGAGAAAAGGTAAAAATTCGATAACGGTTTCTTTCTACAAGCGTATATTTGCGAAAAAAGGATAGGTTAAATGTGCATTAGGACTTTTGCCTAATTTCTTAGCAATAGTTGTTGTTTTTAAAAATATCATAACACGGCTTTTTAACCAAGTGTGAACGATATGAATTCTACTTATTACAGCGTCCCGCTCGATGTCAGTACTGACAATGATTCGAATAGTTCGGCAGTTGCCAGTAACTAATGGTTTGATTATATCTTAATTGAAATTCATTTCATTGTTGTTTTTTTTTATTTTATATTAAATAAATGTGTTAATATGAAATAAATTTTGAATACAGCAATCAAATTGTTTTCTTATTTGCCCATATGGAAGGCATACGGCTCATTCCATATACGAAACACGCGGTTCCGCAAAAAAATGCTTCCATTATGCTTCCATATAACTTGCATATAAGATTCCTATGATATCCACAGCCGTTCCATTATGCTTCCATTGTGCCTATGCTGCCGTTTATCTGTGAAAATACATTGTTTGCGAAAAACACTTCCCATGCCGGGAATCGAACCCGGGCCGCGTGGGTGAAAACCACGAATCCTAACCACTAGACCACATGGGAGTCTGATTGAGCGCACGTTGAAAGCAAACATACGTACGCCGAACATTCATAGTGAGTGCAACAGCGCAGAGACAATAGCCGAGAGTGGAGAGCTTGGGGGGGTGAACAAAAATTTTTATCGATATTTCTACCAGCAATTTATATATTTTTCACAAAAAAAGTAAAGAAAATAGAAACTGGTTTTCTTTTCTGTTTTATCGTAGAATTGTACTCAATCGGTTTGTTGAACGATTGAAATTATTTAAAAAAAAACAATTGCTAAAAAAACCAGAAATCCAATTATTCGCGCAGTGAACAAATTAAACATTTCCACGTGTGTGATTATTTTCTAATTGTAATCACTCAACTTATTAAAATCCCCGCACTTATACCGACACTCAAATTGCGAGACTGAATTCTAAGAAAGACCATAAATTCGTGTTATATAAGTTTGATACGCAGTCAAAGTGTAAATCATTGCGAGACCCTCGATTCGATTTTTAAGCTATATTGTTGAAGTTGCTCGACTTTGGAAAATTGGCTAAATGTCAAAAAAAAAACAAAGACTGTGGTATTAGCGCAAAAATAAAAGTGTAGATTTACGGGCTTATGCATAAGGATAGGTTAAAGGCACACATCGCGCACCGAGACCTAAATTTAAATTGTTTGGCATTTAGCCAATGTTCCGCAGTCGTGCGACACTTGCAATATATTTTTTTTGTTTTTATTTACCGAAGAATAATATTCTTCTAATAAAACGAGAACGTGTATTGATTGAAATCATCTGTGGCAGATCAGATTTTTATCCACTTTCCATCGTGTAGTGTACGATGAAGAAATGAAGAAAATCAGTTATCAGAGGACCATTGCAATTTTTCGCGCGGTAATTCAAATTTGAATTTATTCAGTGGGAATTCGGGTGCCATACTCTGGATAACCTGCGCTGCTAACTCACCATAAGCTAATCGAATAAAATTGTTGGTTCCCCTCCGCCCCTGCAAGAATTCGTATTCCGTAAATTTAAATAAAATAAGATTTATTGCGAATACAAGACGTCGCAATTAAATTTTTACGATGATGTTTCTCTTCGCCGAAAATCAACTTGGATGGGAAAAGTCTATTATTTTCCAGAAGACCAACCGTTCGAATGCCATTTTTTCCAGAAAAGATCTCATTAAACATTTGCAAAACGTAGTCGCAAATGCTGTGAAATGGCAGTTTCAGAAATTCGGTTCTCGACATCCGCATCATCGTAACAGTTATCAGGAAACGATCGCATCGTTTTGATTGGTTGACATTGAAAAACGTTGAATTTGACTGGAGAGGAGTAGAGACAACAACTTTCCAGAAGAAAAAAATGCGTTTCGTGTTGCCAGCGGCTTCGCTAGCCTTTCATTCTTTTTTTTTCGGAAACCAACATGGTCGGCGTCTCAGCGTTCTGCATGATTCTCTCGCCCCGTCTCGGTGTACACTTTCGGTAACTTCGAGTAAGGCGGTGATATTCCGGCAAACGGCAAAAAAATGGTCAGGCTTCCTGGAATGCTATAAAAGGAGAAGAGACGGTTCGACAGAAGTCACATCACATCGCCGGTCTCTTCTTCTTCACGTCAACACCGAAGACGACGATGACGACGAAAATGGGCGACGAAAAGTTTGCCGAGGCTTACGCCGTTAAAAAGTTCGCCTTTTTCGGTTAGTACGGCTTCGAAATTCCTGAATTCATCTATTATTCTACTTTTTAAATTAATGAAAATTGAAAATTTCAGGAGTTGTGGTTTCGACTATTGCCACACTCACCGCCATCATTGCCGTTCCGATGCTCTGCCTTCACATGCAGAACATCAAATCCGGACTCGATGATGAGCTTGTCTATTGCAAAGCGAAGAACGCTGATTTGAAGTCTGAGTTCTTCAAGCTCAATTCGATCCGAGCTGAAGCCAACCGTCAGAAGCGTCAGACATCCTATGAGTGCTGCTCGTGTGGAATTGGGGCTGCTGGACCAGCTGGTGTTCCAGGACAAGAAGGAGAGCCAGGAGACGATGGAAAGCCAGGACAGCCGGGACAACCAGGACGGGATGCCGAAAGCAACGACGAGAAAGCGACCGCCGTCGATTTCTGCTTTGATTGTCCAACTGGACCACCAGGACCTGCTGGAGGACCGGGACCAAAGGGACCACCAGGACCACCAGGAGGAAGCGGAGAACCGGGACCAGCTGGACGTGGAGGACCACGCGGTCAGCCAGGTCCACGCGGACCACCAGGAGAAGCCGGAGAAGATGGAGGACCAGGAAACCCGGGTCAGCCTGGACAGACGAGAACTCTTCCATCGCCACCAGGAGAGCCAGGACAACCAGGAGAGCCAGGTGCTCCAGGCGAGCCAGGGCCAGACGGACGTCCAGGACATCCAGGACGTAGCGGACCACCAGGACCTCCAGGAGATAACGGTGGAAATGGAGAGCCAGGAAAGGACGGAGAAGATGGAGCACCAGGAGAGCCAGGAAAGGTCGGAGCCAAAGGATCGTGCGATCACTGCCCACCACCGCGAACTGCCCCTGGATATTAGACGAATCCTATGGGTGCTTCTTTCGTTTTTCCATTACGAGTTTATTATTAATAAAACGTAGTGTATTTCCTTGAATCGTTTCGAATTCGACACATCGAGAAAAAAAACTGAAAATATTGGGAATTCCTGTCGAAGAGAAACAGTTTCCATAAAAAGGAAACCAATTTACACAAAATTGGGCGTTTCGTCGTCAATATCATTTGGTTCGATTACTGTACCCAATTACGGACAATCATGTCGCGTTTGTTCCTGGTTTGCGAATTTGACAGGGTGTACAGTAAACTGAAATTTTTCTGATTGCATCATTGAGAAAAAAAGAAAGAAAATTGAAATCTAGAATAAAATCAATCATTTTCAACAGTCATAAACAACAACAACACCGTTTATCAATTTTCGGAACATTTTAATCAAGTTTTTTTCGGCGATCACGAAAGACCACGTTACACTAGCCCACATCGAAACCATTTTGACACGAAATTGACTGTCACGGCATTCATTTCTTCTGCATCAGAAATAAACCCAAAAGTTTTGTTTAGTGATCATTTCGGGTGGTGTGACGTCGACATAGCGATCAGTTCGTATCCTGCCCGCGCGCGATCGCCAATGGTTTCGATTTTTGCCATGCGCAGAATGTTCTTCATTTTTTTGTTGCGCTATTCTTCATACTTGGAATGATTTGATGCCAGGTCGGCGTATGACTGACGAAAAAAAAATATGTGGGAGCGGCAATGAGGAACTGGGCTGTCGTTAGAGGAGCTAATGCGCGCTTTATTGCCTCGTAACCCCCTTTTTCAGGGAAAAGGGATAGTCTTGGAAAGTGAAAATTGGAAAAACGTTGAAAACACATATTGTTAATTGAAATGAGAAAGTGTCGATTCATTCATTACCATATGATAGGGATCTGTTTCTGGAATGACGATGAGTCGAATTCGGAAATGATTTGCTACGCATGGAATCATCATGCAATCCAGAACACGTGAAACGTCTATTTTCATTTTTGTTTAAACATTGGAACCCAATTCATTTTTTAATAATCTCTGAAATTATTTTTTTCAAAATGTTTTAAAAATAATTCCTTGAAAAAAATTCGAATCTCAAAAAACGAGAGCTCTGTAAATTTATAGTTGTTCAGTTTAATCGTAATAGAGTTCAAGAAATAAAATTTGAATACCCCCTGGTCGAAAAATACACAAAACACCAATAACACCCAAATTTTATAATTTTCTTTCAAATTCTTTAATCTAGTCTAAACTAAACAATAATGACGATTTGATGAAAAAAATTGTTTCGAAAATACGTGAATCTACTAATGTCTCCTTATGTGTGAAACTCGAAATTTCGACGATCACCAACCGAAAGCTGATAAATCAACAAAACGCTAAGAAACCGTTCATCTCGCAATCACTTAATATCTCTTTTTTATATCGCTTTCATGTTTTCTGCCATCTGCGCGGTTTCGTTATCGTCGTCGGGCCGCTTGAAACTCGGATTGAATGTCCGCGCGGCGAGGAGACATATTCACGGTGAGGGTTAGATGTTCGCACTCTGCGATTTGCGCGCTATTCCGCTTTGTGCGCACAAAAAACTGGCAATCGGGCCGGGTGCCTGGGGTGGGGCGAGAAAAAATCGCTTATACCTGGGGGTGAAGCTGAACGGGGGGAGGAGGCCGATTCACTAAACACTATAAAAGAGATCGAGTCGTCTCCGCTAATCACATCCATTCGCTTATTAACAGCAATTTCTCACTTAATTATTTCAAATTTTGAATTTTTAGATGGAGGAGAAGCAGAAGCTTATTGAGGCCGAGTCGGTCAAGAAGTTCGCCTTCTTCGGTAAATAAAATTCCTAATCAAAGATTTTTGTATTTGCTTCAAGGTGTCGCCGTCTCGACTGTCGCCACTTTGACCGCCATCGTGGCCGTGCCAATGTTGTGTATGTACATGCAGAACGTGCAGTCCGGCCTTCAGGACGAGATCAACTTCTGCCGCACCCGCTCCGACTCCCTCCGCGGAGAATACTCCAAGTTGGAGGCTTTCCGAAAGGCCGAGTCTCGTGAGAAACGCCAGACCTACCAATGCTGCTCGTGCGGAATTGGACCAGCTGGACCAGTCGGAAACCCAGGACAAGACGGAGCCCCAGGAAACGACGGACGCCCAGGAGCTCCAGGAGCCCCAGGACCAGACGCTCCAAACGACCACGTTCTCCCAACTGCTGCCGATTTCTGCTTCGAATGCCCACCAGGACCAGCCGGACAGCCAGGAAACCCAGGACCAAAGGGACCACCAGGACAGCCAGGAAACGCCGGAGAGCCAGGACCAAACGGACGCCCAGGAGCTCCAGGAGCACCAGGACCACAGGGACCACCAGGAGAACCAGGACAGGACGGAACCCCAGGACAGCCAGGAGCTCCAGGACAAGTCCGCACCGTCCCAGCCCCACCAGGCCCACCAGGACAGCCAGGAGAGCCAGGAGCCCAGGGACCACCAGGAGAAGATGGACACCCAGGAAACCCGGGACCACAGGGACCACCAGGACCACAAGGAGAGCCAGGACAAGATGGAGCCCCAGGAAACCCAGGAGCCCCAGGAGAGCCAGGAGATGCCGGACAAGACGGACACAAGGGAAGCTGCGATCACTGCCCACCACCGAGAACCGCTCCAGGATATTAAGCCGAAACAGCTTATTATTAGAAATCCGGTAGGGCAGATTAAAAAGAATGATTCGGCTAGAAATCATTATTTCAGGTTACGAGTGAAAATGACATTCATCCCATCCCAAGTCGACACACCATCTCAGACGTCGCTAACTTATTTATTAAATTTAATGCCTTTCTTCACATTTCTTTCGATACATTTTTCTCCCGCCCATGTGCTACAGGGTGCGACGAATCGCCTGTAAATAAATCGTTTCATCTCAATTTCAACAGCCTTGTCAGCCGTTATCCAGTTTGAGACATTGCGGAATGCCGCCGAAAACTCGAAAGCCTCAGGTTTTGCCGTTTACGCAGTTTTACGCGCTCGTCGATGATTTTGATTAATTGATGATTCGGTTTGTCGCGAACGAATATCACCCCAAAACAATTATTCAATTAAAAACAAACTACTAATCTGTTTTATTTACAGTGGATGCAGAAAATGGATAAATAAATATGAGAGGATTTAATTTCAAATTTTAAAACTAGTTAGTAGATGGTGACGATTCCCCTATTAGCAGATGTTATCGAAAACATTCGAGGTCTCACTTGAAACGATGGGGTGTTCAAATCAACATAGTCGAGACGTCCTTGGAGTCCTCTCTCGATCATATCGTTGATGATTTCGAGAGTTGATTTTCCAAGTGTTTCGGGCATGTAAAAATATAAGTAGATCATGCACATGATTGACGGAACAACGAACAACATCACGAAACACGATGCTCCGAAAATCTGAAATTTTTTTCAAATTATTTAAGAATGCCTAATACATTTTAATGCATAGCTTTTTTTTTAGAAAGTATTAAATACATTGAATGAAAACGTTGAAAGTTGAAGTGAAATGTGTTGAAACTTCACTCTTTTCAAATTGGAATGCATTCATGTGTTATGATTCAATGTTTTATCACATCTCGAATAGATCTCGTCTTTGAAATCCAGCGAGAACATTAATTGGATCCAACGTTTTTTTATTGAAACATCTCACCCTGAACAATGGAATTGTTGCAAAATCCGTCAATGCGATGAGTGTATTGTGGATAGCGAAACAAGCTGAGAAAATTGTGCAACGATGTCGTTGTGAGACCAATTCTGGAGCAACGAACCATGAGAGCGGGCCAAGCACCATGCTGAAATTTTGAAAAAATTATTGAGGAAGAATTCTAGAAGATGAAGGTAATAAATAAAAGGTTATACCCGAAAGAAATACAGTAAACAATTAGAGAGACGAGGCAGGCATATTTTGGCCATTCAGCACTTGATGCAACTGATATGTGCGAAAATAATGCAAAGAAAACGAGGAGAATCTGTAAATGAGAGCGACAATTTTGAAAACGAAATTAATGAACACGTTCGATATTATTCCAAAGATAATAATAAGTTTTCGTCGCGGGAACCTGTCAATGATCGAAGCGCCAAAAACTGAGGAAGCCGTCAGAACAACTTGTGCGGCGGTTGAGCATATTTCGGCAATATCACTTAACTAATCATCTAAGCTGCATTCAAAAAGAAACAGAAAACCTCTGTACTCCAGATTCTAAAAGGAAATAAGTTGAGGATTGAAGCATTGGGTAAAATGATAAAGTTAGAGCCAATGATGCCAGCGCAATTCGCATTGCTTGTCTCAAATGCCATTTGTTTATCAAATCCTAAAAAAAATATCATTTTTTAACAAAAAAACTTGTTAAAATACCGCAAATGTAGATTTTTTGGTATTATTCTCAGTAGCCTTTTCTAATTGATATTCAGAGAGAAGATGCTCATTGTTAGCCGTGTCTCCTTGAAAATATTCTAGAGATTTCATCGCTTTTGTTTCATCGTTCCTTCAATTATTCAATTAAATTTCAATACTCAACAATAATTGCATTTATCTGATCAGTTATAGTCTTGGACGGACGAATTCGAAAAATGTGAATTGAAGCCGCACAAATGAAATGTTCCTATACAAACTCCGTCATTTGACAGACGGAGTCTCTATGAGGTCTGACAGGGTCTCTATTACAGACATTTGACTCCGTCATTTTTATTTATTTTAAAAAAATTAGACTCAAGGCGACAATTCAAATTGTTCGCACACGAAATTCGTCTGTTCTGGGCAACAAATATTATTTGAGTGAACTTACCGAACAATCAGCAAAAATTTGGGAGTTTCTGGAAGCTGAATAACGAATAAAAGCGAAAAGAACAACGGAAAGAAAGATAATAGAAGTAGGCGTGCAAGTGATTCGCCTAAAACTGATTCCATGCCAAGAATCTAAAATTGCACTGTTTGGAACACAAAAGATAATGATTTTACCATTCCTAATACGCACATCGATCCATAACCAATCTCACACAAGAATGAAGACATTCCACGAATTTCGACGGGAGAGGTTTCCTGGAAATGCCAAAATATTTCAAAAACTGGTCTGATTCGTTACCTGTACGTACAGCAGAAGACAAGCGTCTCCCAATGGCGACACAAATGCAGTCAATGCTCTGCCAATAATGAGGGTCTCGGGAATATGAAAGATTATTGATAAATATTGTATTAAAGTGGCGATTATTGTAACGGATACGCACATTATATATCCAACTGAAATATCAAAGCATTAAAACGAATCGGATGAAAATGACCAACTTTTTCTTCCAAGATTATCGGAAATTGTTGGAGTAATCATTGCTCCGAAAATTTGGGAAACAAACCAGCAATTTAGAGTAGCAGACTAAATAAAAAAATTAGAAATCGTTTGAAAAAATCCAACCTTAACTAAAGCGACAAGATTTTCATCATCCGGATATCCCCGTTTGCTTAGTGAGGTGACAATAAATCTTAAAATCAAGTCAACATAAGAATCACCTATTGACTAATTACTGGTGTAATTTTTCTACGGCAGTGTTGACGGTCGAGTTAGTAAATCCGGACGGAAAATTAGTGATTCCTGATAGAATTGCATATATTGAAATAAGTCGAAATGTTTGCCACCGCGATAGCATATCTAAATAATAAATTATTATTTTCTATGAGGGCAATATTGTAATAAATAATTAAAAACAATTATTTTAATTTTTTAACACTTTGAGTCTTAAGAGCATTAAATGACTTCGAACGAAATTGCGCCAAAATGCCTAAAGCGTCATATTTGACGCAAAATTGCACAAACCGACAAAATTACACGCCTAAAAATGATGTATTTTTAATGAATTTTGAATTATTTTCATCATAAGCTTTTTTTTCTATTTATATATATATATATATAAAAAGCTTATGATGAAAATAATTCAAAATTCATTAAAAATACATCATTTTTAGGCGTGTAATTTTGTCGGTTTGTGCAATTTTGCGTCAAATATGACGCTTTAGGCATTTTGGCGCAATTTCGTTCGAAGTCATTTAATGCTCTTAAGACTCAAAGTGCATATATTGCATATATAGTGCATATATAGAAGGCATATATTTCTGAAACTAAAAGTCCAAATCAAACGAGACTTGAAATATTTTTTATCTATAGTATAACAAATAATTATCTATTAACTCTTTTTGATTCGGTCTCCTTTCGCAGCTATGACTTCACGGAGACGCTTCGGGTAGGATGTGACTGTGGTACGCAGGTATTCGATGGAAAGATTGTCCCATTCCACCAGTAATGTCTTCTTCAGAGCCTCTATACTTGAGTGGGGTTTTGCGTTGACCTTCTCCTGCAAGAGCCCATCACGGAAAAGTCAAGCGGGTTCAGGTCTGGGGAGAAATCAGGCCATTCGGATGACTTGATGAAGTCGGGAAAATGGGTCTGGCACCACTCCTGAGTAGTTTTGGCAGTGTGGGCGGGTGCTCCGTCCTGTTAAAAAACCTATTTCTGCCCACCGAAATGCGTTTTGGCCCAGGGTATCACATGCTTCTCCAAAATGTCCCGAACGTAGACTTCTTTGTTCACTTTCACCCCCTGATCCGCGAAAACCAGGGAGCACTTCCCGGTTGAGCAGATGGCACCGAAAACCATCACACTGGCAGGATGTGAGGCTGGATGATATGTTCTTCCTTTCTCAGAAGCTTGCTGGGATGTCTGGGCAAGTACTCGATGGTTTTGTGAGTTGAATGCCGCCTCCACAGTGAACAGCTTCTCATCGGAGAAGACAGTGACGAGGTGTTCTCCAGACCGCGTGCGAGCAAGAAGTCGTTTTGCTTTTTCGAAGCGTCTCTACTTGTTGGCGGCCGATAGAATTGCCGCTTTTTGGACACGATATGGGGTCAGTCCAAGCTTCGTTTTGACGATTTGTTCCATAGCGAAAATGCTCATTCCCACGTCTGACGCCATCTTTCTCATGCTCCTGTGTGGGTTTCGCCTGATCTTCGATTTAACGGCGTTGAACTTCTGAGGAGTGGTTACCGAGACGAGTCTTCCTTATCTGGGACGGTCACTGGTCGTATTTAGTTCCTTGAAACGTTAGATGATGTCGTAAACCGTTCTAAGAGGCACACCGAGGCGTTGAATGATGTCTCTCAGGCTCACATTTTGCTTATGAAGTTCGATAATGGAAGCGCAATGGATGTTAGCCTTCGCCATTTCTCGGAAACACATCCGAATGAGGTAAAACTTGGAAAGTAAGTAAAATACACCTTATTTAACAAAAATAAATTGTATTGGTGCACGAAAAGTGCGACAGCCAAGCTCTTCATGGCGTCAAACTTTTGTGCGGGAACTTAAATGACACCCTGTATATATATAAATACATTGTTTTTAATAATGTTGTTCCTTTCTATTCGAAGTATCGATTGTTTTAAGATATCAAATATCCGAAATTTGTTTTTCATCTCGTTGATTGTGAAAGTGTTCACTGGACGCCAATGACCCTGATGAATGTGTTGTGTGCTCTTTTCTCGAACAAACACGGGGAGTCGTGTCATTTGAGCAATTTTCTTATCTCCACGAGGGACCCTTCTTATCAACATCATTCAAACCAATAGAGTCTTTCTTGTTAATAATCGTTTTTCTATAATTCAGGCATGGGTAAATTACCATTAATTTTGCTTTGCTTCGTATTTTCAACAACTCGCGCCGGCCCATTGATTGATTGCTATCCCGAGCCAGGAGCAACCCAATCCGCTTGTGAAAACAGAGGTTGCACATGGAGTCCAGGAGACCTGAGTGTTCGTTTTGTGAAATAATTCGTCGAATGAGAAAAATTTACAGAAAAACGAGCCGTTCTGTTTTTTCAAAAATGGCGTTGGATATACGCTCGATTCTCAACAAGGCAACACGTATCGACTGAGAAAAAATAGTGGTCCCAAAAATCCGTGGGGTGCCGATTTGCTTGAAATTCAACTTACCCAAAAAACGATTGGAAGCGTTTTGAACGTGAAAATCGGTGTCGAAGGAAGATTCGAACCGCCTCTAGATTTCCCAAGAGAAACACAGGATTCAAGTGATTCTCTCAAATTGGTGACGTCGAATGGCGACGACACCTTTTCGTTTTCGGTGGTCAGACAGAGCACCAATCGCAAGATTTTCGATACATCCATTGGTATTTGATCGACGATTATCGAAATATTCAAATTTATTCTGTTTAGGAGGTCTAATTTTCGCTGACAAATTCATCCAAATTGCTTCATATTTGCCCAGTGAGAATATGTACGGATGGGGAGAAAACGCACATCAAACATTGAGAGTGAGTGTCGAAATTTTGATTTTCAAAAGCAATTAATTAATGAATTGGTTCAGCACGATTTCTCAAGATACACAACTTGGGCAATGTTCGGAAGAGATGAGCCGCCAAATTCCGGAGAGCTTGACACCAAAAATGCGTACGGTGTTCATCCGTTCTACGTCGTCGTCGAACCCGACGGAAAAACGCACGGTGTTCTCATTCTAAACAGCAACGCCCAGGAAGTAACAACCGCTCCCGGACCTTCGTTGATCTACAGAACTATCGGAGGAAATCTCGACATTTATTTCTTCCCGGGACCAACTCCTGAAGAGGTCACACAACAGTATTTGAAGTTTATCGGAAAACCATTTTTGCCAGCCTATTGGGCTCTTGGATATCAGGTAATTCGAATCGTAAATTCTCGATTCTCCTAAAAAACACGCCCAGCTTTCTCGTTATGGATACAAAGGATTGGCTGAAATGAAAGAAAGAATCCAGGCTGTTCGCGATAAAGGAATTCCAATTGACATTGGTATTTCGAGAGAATTTTATTTCAATTTGCAATATCATAAATTTTTATTATGTTTTCAGGAGTTGCCGATATTGATTATATGGACAGATATAAGGATTTCACCACCGGAAAAGTATACATTCTTGTTACTGGAAAATTCTAAAAAAAAAATAAATTTCTCTTCAGGATTGGAGTGGTTTTGACGATTATGTCAAACAGATGCATGACTGGGGAATGAAGTTGATTCTCATTTATGATCCAGCCGTTGAAGTCGATTATGATTCGTTCAAACGAGCCATGAATACGGTACCATTTATATTGTCGCAGTCGTTCGACTTTCAAAAATTGGCTAAATGTCAAAAATAAAAACAATGACAGTGGTCTTGGCGCAAAAATAAAAGTGTAGATTTACGGGCTTATGCACTGAGACCTTTTCTTAAATATTTTTCTATTTTCCGCAGTCGCGAGACTTAGACAGTAATTTTTAAAAAATTTCAATTTTCCACTCACTTTTTTCTAGAATGCTCGATTTATCGAATGGGAAACGAAGGCTCAAGTTCAACAAAGCATCCAAAATTTGGTAATAAGAAAATCGAATTGCCTCTAGCAATAATTTCAATCTGCTGATTTAGTATCCGATGGCGAAAGACACAAAAATTATGTTGGGCGTCGTTTGGCCGGATTATCACGTGGCATTCCCCGACTTTTTCGATAGCACTAATAAAACGCTAAAATGGTGGATTGAGGAATTCGTTGGATACCAGAAACAAATACCGTATGACGGAATTTGGATCGATATGAATGAACCGGCAAACTTTGGAACTAACGAAAAACATCCTTGGTGATTATTATTATTATCATTATTTTTAATCGAATAGAGAATATTTGTTTAGGTACTTTGATAGTGATGATCATCCGAACGACGAGCCGTTGTTCTGTCCAACGGATGGATCTAGCGAGTGGGATCTGCCACCATACAAAACGCACGCGGTTTGGAGATACGGGGATGAGTCGAATGTAAAATAATTTTGCGCATTTTTATTTCAATTTTAAATTAACAGGGAAATTTCTTATCGACCAAGACGCTGTGTATGCTTGCCACACAAAATAATGGAAAATATCGACTTTATGACACCAAAAATCTTTACGGTTAGTTATTTAATGGTGTCGAGAACTAATTTATTTCGACATTTGAACAAATCGACTTTGGCGAATACCGTAGGAAAAATTGCATGTGATGCTTGAGAATGACCCCACAAAGAAACGCGTTGAAATTAATAACTAAACGAAGGGCTTATAGGTCTGAGTGAAGCGATTGCTACCCAACAAGCTCTTTTCCAATCGACTGGCAAACGCGGAGCTGTTGTGAGCAGGTTTGGTTATACTCGATGACTTTCCAAATCAGTTTTTAGATCGACTTATCCCTCACTCGGAAAATATGCCGGTCATTGGCTCGGAGACAACACGGCTCGTTGGGAAGATCTGCGCACTTCTATAATTGGAGCACAAGAATTCAATTTGTTTGGAATCCCGTAAGTACGAACAGATTGCACATCTAAAAACACTTTACTATCAGAGAAAATTATGCATATTTAACAATATGTACAGAATAAAAGCGAATTTGAGGGAAGTTTGGGTTATGATGAACGAGATTCATGATTGAGAGCATTTTTTGCATCGCCCATGATTGACAAATTTAGATGAAGAATAGGTCCGCGCATTCGGATAAAGTGCCATTGTCGATGCGAATTGATGGCGGGCAACGATCCATTTTGATTTCTAGAAAAAAATAGAAAATTATAAGCGGAAAATTAAAAAAAAATATCAATAAGAAATCGAGAATTAATATTATTTTTTAAAGAAGCCCATCGAAATAAGCTAGCATAGGATACGACTAGATAAAACGAATTTCTTACCTTTTTCACAGTCTTGAAACGAAAATTTGTTTCTCTCAAAGCCGTTAATTCGAATCGGTTCGAACGATTACCACGAATAAAAGGCAAAGGACGAGTCTGTACGAACTTAGAGCCAATATAGGTCTGGTTACGGTAGTGTAATCCGTTCGCCACACCTTTTTCTGTCGCCTGTTTTGATGGTTTTGATCTGTAGCCTCATTTGAGTGTTTTCATATCGTCCTCGTTTTTTTTGCCTCCAGCACCTCGCCCCCATCGACCACACCCTGATATAATTTGATAGACGGCTCCTCGAAACACCCAAATCGCGTCAACCATTAAATCGACTAATGTAAACGCCGAGAATTGTGTGTTCGTTGGAGGTGTTGATTACGTCACAAGCGGTCATTTGACAAGCGCGACACATTCGACAGATTCTTTCGAGTAATTAGGAAAGCATTCGATTGCTGTCGAATTATGTGACGTCGAAATGTCTATGACTACAGAAACATTAATTAGTCACCCATCAGATCATCGTTTTTGTAGATATGTTGGCTCAGACGTTTGCGGATTTATCGGAACAACTAATGAGGAGCTGTGCCTCAGATGGCAGCAAATGGGATCATTCCATTCATTCTATAGGTAAATCTCCAAATCGTTCAACTCAAATCCAACCGTTTTCAGAAATCATAACACTATTGGAGCTCCAGCTCAAGATCCAGCAGTCTGGCCTTCTGTTGCAGAAGCAACGAAAGAAGCGAATTTGTTCCGCTACCAGTACCTTCCTTACATGTTCACTCTTCATTTTGCCGCTTCATTGAACGGAGGAACTGTGATTCGACCGGTTTTCTATGAATTTCCAACCGATTCGGAGACATATGACCTTGGATATCAGTTCATGTTGGGTAGAAGTATTATGGTGGCTCCAGTTGTGAAAGCGGTAAATAATGCCGAGAAATTCATTGCATTAATGCGTTTAGGGAGCGAAAACCGTCGATGTCTACATTCCGACGGATTTGTGGTACTCGCTGTACAACTACAACTATGGAAGTTTGATTTCACCGGGATTCCACAATCTTCCAGCTCCAACCACCTACAGAATACCAACGTTCGTGAGAGGAGCCAGTGTTATTCCAAGACAGACTCCGGGATTGACGACGACTGCAACCAGACAGAATCCATTTGAACTTCTCATTGCTCCATGTAATTGCGAAATACTGTTGTTAATACACCTTCGAACTCACAGGTCCTGATGGATGCGGACACGGCAATCTGTTTTGGGATGACGGCGAAACTATTGTTAACGATTTTGCTAAACACGACTATCATCAATTCAATTTCAAATACAACAGCACCGCATCAGCAGGAGTCATTTACATTAATCATGTTAAAAAGGTTCAAACCATACTCATAAAAAAACGAAACTTGAATTTATCTAATTTAGTCGTCAGTTTCTCTACCGACATTGGACATTATTGAAATTTTCAACTACAAATACGCTCCAAATTTCGGATCATTTAGACTTAACGGAAAACCAGTCAATATTAATGTTCAGACTTCCTCGTACAGCGCGATTACCAAGGCATTACAAGATTTAAATATTATTGATAAAATCATTTTTTTTCAGCGACTTTACATTTCCACGAAAGGATTGATTAATCTGAATGTCGGCGATCAATTGATTCTTGAATGGACTAATCAAGCTCGTGTTCCACTAAGCCGAGCTCAAGAAAAACGCTTGGCGATGGAGAAGAATCGCTACGAATTTTTTTAATTGCACCAAATTGATTCTATAAAGCAATTAATTCTACTGAAATATTGTTCCGCAATTACGGTAATCGTCGGGTTTTCAAACACTATTATAGCCGGCGTCCGGCGACTGCTATACGCGGGTAGATTTACGCGCATGCGCCTTGAAAAGGTCTCGCCACGCGTGAATGCTTATTTTTCTGTTTTCACGTGAATGATTTATTTATTCTTGATGAATTTGGCATTTCTTGGAATTTTTAACGTCGTTTGATTTAAAAATTATCGAACCGACCGATAAAATACAAAATAACCGGTTAGTCCGTGCGAGACCAAGAGAAAGAAGCATCCCCGTAAATCTACCCGCGTACAGCAGTCGCCGGACGCCAACTATACAAAAGTAAAAACGAGCGCCTATGTAGATTTACTGTGAGTTCGAGGTTATCCGTAATACGGTACACGAATTGCCAATGGTAACACGGTTCGCCGTAGCGCTGGTGTGACCTATTTATATGTAGCATTTCTATTTTTTAAATATTTTTTGTGGGAAGTATTCATTGCATGAATACATACATCCATATATCGCAAAAAAAATAAAAAAAACAGTGCAAATTTCCTAAAACTTTCGAAAAAACCAGTAAAAAACCTAGAAATCGCTATGCAGATTGCAGATGAAACTCGAAAAAATGTGGTAGCCGTATAGTACCACATTTTTTAAAAAATCGCTGCAAAATTCATACGAATTTTGTATATGCACCTTTAATCACAATAGAAAAATAGCAACCGTAGTCAAAAAATTTGGATTAAAAAATATTATCGTTACGGTTAAAGGCACATGCGACAAAATTTAATGATTTTTGCAGCGATTTAATATAAAGTGCGTACTGTAAGCTTTTTTTTTAAATCTTTATTGCGATTTTTCTGGTTCTTTCAACCGATTTTTAGTTTTTTTTTGCGAAATCTGCATAGTACCATTAGGTCCTAGCAACCCCCTAGTACGCCTTAACACGCGGGTTTCTCATTTAACCTGTCCATATGCTTAGGTTTGTAAACACGTAAATGCACAAATCTAGTTTTGGGATAAGACCGCTGTCATTGTTTTTTTTCGCATTTCGATAATTTTCCGAAGTCGAGCGACGCCGACAAGGTTTTTCTAAACCTATTTTTGTGTATCATTCTCATATTATTTTTTACTTATTTTTAGTTTGTGGATGTCTTCTCAACCATTTTTTAATCAATGGAAATTAAAGAAATATAAAGAAATAAGACGATCCGACAAAACGCTGGTAAAACGTTTCGTTATTTAAAAAACTGTATTTAAAAATTATTTTAGGTTGGTGAAATTATTCTTGCTCATGAACCGTCCCGGAAAATAATTTTTATTTACCATCAAGGGCAAGAAATTGAGAGAGTTTATTATCACATGGACGCTAAACGATATCCAATGTTTAAGTAAATTTATTATTTTCTCTTTCAAATAAATATGTAAACGTAGATTGAAAGGAAATACGTTATACGTCTATTTCAATGAAAGTGGACAGGGATTTTGTTGCATGTTTGATTCTGAAGAACAACGCATTACGTTTTCAAAAACTATGCAGCTAGTCACTTATATATCGGATAGTCCACTAAAGTCAAGTTCTCAATCGCAAGTGATTCCTTTTGAAAAGGCAATAGGTATAATTTTTATCTAATATAAAACGCAGTAATATTTGTTTTTAGATATCTGGAATACACCGAGAAATCATTGCAGCCAGCCAGTTGTTTCTTCGGCTCCAGGTCCTGTTCGAAACTTGGCATTAGATCCTCGTCTTCCCTATTTTGATCATTCTCAACCCTCCAGTCAACCGACATATTGTTCCTTCAACGATTGGGCACACGGCGATGATGTTGATTTGAAATTATTAAGAACTACTAATGTCCGTTTTGTTTCAGTTTCATTCTCAAAAGAGTAGATCGTCTTCAGTTTTCTCTGTTGCCTCGAGTAACTTCACTAACTTCTCGCAATTGTCAAATGGATCAGCTCCACGAAGACCTCTGCACAGTCAATTAGATCAGGTTCGAGACAGCCAAATTTCATCTGAATCACCTCACGTCTTCACTCCTCCACGTCCACAAGTTCGTTCACGTTTTAACATGCTGACAAATGTTTAATTTAGAAAGTCGACAAAGAATGTCAAACGGAGGATTTCACGAATGTTTTGAAGAGCAACAAAGGTCTTTTGAAGAGTTGCCTCGACGAAATGGTGAATTTGTTCATTGATGTTTAAACACGGTTTATTTGTAGCTGAATCAGCCTGCGTTCGCTGAAATGGTCGGGTTGATCTACAAAGAGCTTCATACACTAAATGATGACCAGCGAGTTAAAAAGCTTCAGAACGTATTTTTCAACATTTATTTAATATTTAATAAGAACAATGTTCAGTTTTGTGTCCGCAACGATGATCCGCGTGAAGAAAATTCTAGGGATGCTTCCCAAATTGGCGAGCACGATATCTTCGATGACAAATTGAAAACATACACCACAATCACTGATGTAAAAAATTTATTTCTGAAAATTAAAGATCTATTCTTTTTCAGTTAAGTGGCCCGACTTTTCAGCGATATTACAACAAAAGGCCAAGCGATGGTCAAAATGCTCCTTCTACAGCCAAAATTCCGAAATTTCAAAAAATTTGTGATAAATTTAGTATTGAAAAGCGTTAGAAATCTGTATTTGTTAAAATTTGCAGATCAATCTTGTATTTTTTCTGTAAAATCTGTATATCGTTAGAAATTTAATCCTGTAAAATGTGTACATGTTTATTAATTGAGATCATAAATTATTCTAAAAAGAAACATCACAGCAGCTGAGAACAATCCTAAACAATCCATATTGCTGTTAAAGGTAATAGTCGAAATTTTTACCTGAGATTGGAATTGTAAGAACCCATGAAACAAAAACGTTTTTCACAGTTTTCCATTTGAGTATAGGACCAGAGCGAACAAGTCCTAAACCGATCAATGAAGCAACCTTAAAGATATTATTGAAATAATTGAGTTGCTTATGAGATTACAAGGCAGTGCGTTTGACTTTGTGGAATATTAAACGAATTTGTTATCAGACCGGTTATTGCTGCTCCGAATTCGACAGAAAATCCACTAAAAATAAAATTAATGCTCTTTCTAGTCGAGAGTTTTAGCGTTTTTCACGTTGCAGGATTGATTTTCGATAAATCGCATCCAACAGTTTCGATAACTCGAATTCCCAACGTCCAAATTCCGAGAAGAGCGGCTAGAGCAGTAAGCAATCCAATGTAAAGACTAATCTCTCGTATTTCATTAAAGCTGGTGTCTTCGTGGAACATTTCAATCAAATCGCGAATTGGAGAAACACAAATTCTAAAGAAGACATTCTAAAAAAGAAATGCTCGTAAAACGAACATGATATCGTTAGCTCCATGAGCGAATCCGACAAATATCGCCGTTATTACTTGAAGAAGAGAAAATAGTCGAACTGCTTTTTGATCATCTTTTCGAATAGGCGGAAAAGCCCAATAAACTGCTTTTCGAATAAATCCTAAAAATTTTAAAAGTTCAGTTTTAGTCAGCGACTGGCGGTTTTGTATATGGGTAGAGTTTCGGACCCATGCCAAATTGGACCTTCCGAATGGAGCCAAAAGGGACCCAAATAGCGGCCAGTGACCAATAAGGGGCCAACCTCAATTAAAAAAAAAATCCTTTTTTTTAAATGGGATCTTAGTTTCAGAACTGAGAGTGACAAATTCGACCAAACTCTGTTTTTTTTTTCAAGCAATGTAATTAAACTTTCTTGAAATCGAACGGATTCATAGTTCCTACGTATGATGCACGTTTTGGGTACCTTATCTGCGTTTTAGCCATGATATTTATTTTCTGATATTCGGTCGGAAGCAATTTTGAAATTGATTGGAGCCTGACATGAAATTTTTCTCAATTTTGACCAATGCAGCACATAGCAGGCACCTTATCCGCGTTTTAGTTGAAATTTCGAGAATATTAGAAATTCAGTCACCGGACCCCTACTACATATTTAAGAATCGTTTAAAAAACTACAGCGTTTTTGCAATTCTAAGTATTATTTATTAAATTGAAATTTGAATAAATGAAATACTTGATTACCTGATGGTTTTATCGGTAAATTGTAGGATAAACTACTCGCGATTCTTGGCAATTCTTTGGTTTCTTCTGAAGCTGCGACGAATATAAGTTGAATGTGAAAATACATACGTCTTATTTTCCATTTCATGTAAGGCCCAATGAAGAGGAGTGCGACAATTGCGGCGACTCCTCCACATAATATTGATATTGCAATTGATGTGGAAAGCGCAATATCATCCAATTGTAATACTGAATTATTAAAAATTATCCGAAATCAAACAACTATTTCAAACCTCTTGAACCGTCTTGAATTAATAGGAATACGTTGATGAATATGACAAAAAAATATAGAATTGGTAAGATGAAAAGTCCTGTTTCGACTGGGTTTTTCTGAAATTACTTGACTGTTTCGAACATTCAATGAGAATCATTCGCAACTCGTTGAAGAACGCAAACATCGAGAAGAAAGAATGTAATAAGAGTAAACACAGCCGAGATGACCGGTGAAAACAGCCACGTCAATACTGTAATTTTATGATTATAGCATCTTCGAAATTAATTGTTTAAAAAATATACCGACTGTCAGCACTCTTTCCCAAACAACACCTTCCAGTCCGCAAACGACAATTGAGAAACCTAGTGTAGCTCCTAATAAGGAATGGATTGATGAAACCGGCATACGATAATATGTTGCAAGGAGCAACCAAGATGCGCATGCTACAAACTAAAGAATAACTCGGGATAATTTCAGAATCAATCTTCATCCCTATCCAAGCTGGGAAAGGGGGAAGCAATTCTGAAAGTGCAAGTATTGCTGGTAACAAGCCTGAGGGGCGATTCTCTAATTTTTTTCCTCGGGGGATCAACACTTGGGGGATACTACTCCTATGTGCCCAATAATTACCAATCAAAATCGCAATTTGTCCAAATATTAATGTGTCAGGTTCGTCTTTATAAATCATCGTGTCAACTATTTTCAGCTTTCTACCTGGATCACCAGACCATCCTTGAAATGCAATTGTTAATATTTTCGAGTGCACAATGATGTGTTACCTGCAGCAAGTGCACCCATCATTTCCACCACTGTTGCTAGAATAAATGCTTGTGTCAGGGTTACAGTACCAGTGCCGACTGACGTTCCGAATGCATCTGCCACGTCATTTCCGCCCATTCCGACGCCGAGTAAGAATGAGACTCCGAATAAAATCGCCCATTGCACTGTCTCCTTAATTTTGATCCTAATTATTCGATTTCATTTTATGAACAAACCACGTTGAAATATGCAATAGGCTTGAATGACGTCGAAGAATATTGTGTAGTCGTCGTTTGAAGAAGACGCGGATTCAGAAGCGCCGGAAATTGAGCAATGTTCATTTGAGAAAATGACCGGTCGTCTCTGGCTGATTGACAATACACAAATAGTTCAGTTTCTCATAATACATAACAAAATAGAGGTCCGAAAATGGAAACACGGTAAGTGAAAGCTCATCCGTTTGCGTAGAAAGTTGTGCAAATATTGCCAGTTCGCGCAGGTATACAAATAACTCAATTCTACAAAACCATGTTTGCGTTTTTTTGAATATTCTCTCATTTTTTGATTAAATTTCGGACACGTTATTACGTGATAATCTTAATATTTGGATGACGGAAAACAGTTGAATGTTTGTCTATTCGCGCTTGATCGAACTGTCAAATCTCGGCAGCGAATTACACGTGAATTCAAATAAACTGCGCACTAGACAGTGTGTCAGACCAGGATACCGAGATTTGTTGTCCACTAGAAGACAGCAGGCGCAAAAAAATCTGATGTGAGCATGATGGAGTATATAAGCACGATATTTCGGTTTAATTGCAACATTAATTAGTCATGCTTCGACTTGCATTTGCAACAGTCCTCGTCTTAACACTCTCGGCCTATTGGGGACAAGTGCAAGGCGCTGTGTTGCCAGTGTCGAGCACAGAACTCGCAGTTGTGCCATCAGCTTCTGGAGAAACTTCGATTGATACACTGGGAGAGTCGCGAGTGAAACGACAAGGTGGAGGATGTGGCTGCTGTGGTTGTGGCTGTGGATGCTGTTGCTGTAGACCCAGGTAGGCGATTCGATTACGGAATATGTGATCATTAGTGGTGACAGATGCTGTTGCTGTTGTCGACGATGCTGTACATGCTGTAGAACTTGCTGTTGCACCAGATGCTGCACTTGCTGTAGACCATGTTGCTGTTGCTGTGGCGGAGGAGGCGGCGGCTGCGGATGCTGTGGATGTGGATGTGGATGCTGTGGTAATCGTCTATCTTGTGTTCCCTACTTCTAAAATACTCTCTCAGGATGCTGCGGATGTGGCGGAGGCCGAAAGAGAAGATCCCTTCAGAATCTCAGAATCGATGCTGCCAACAAGGCTCTCGGAATCAACAGAAAACCATCATCTGCTGCCAACTGCAAGTGCTAATCAGCCGGTTCAACTTGTCTCCTAATTTCATTATTTTAATATAAATTATTTTTCGTGTTTTTTAACAGTAATTTATTTCTGAATGTCTATGAGAAAAATAAACGCTTAGGTGTTTTTATTGTGTTTTCTGGACAACAATTCGCATAAAATTTTATTGGGTTGGAAAATCTATAATTTTCGTTTTGTTTCATGGCTTTTCTCCATTGGATAAAAAAAAATACATTTTATCATAGATTTTGAGTCTAAAAATCAACGCATTTTTACGACCACAATAAGTAAGTCTGGTTAATAAAGAAATATTTTAAAAAATAAATATTTTTATTATTTATTAAATAAATAAAATCAGCTTCTTGCTTCAATTTTCTCGTAAATACTCACATTTTAACAAATTCGTAGAAAAAAAATCGCACTTACCAAAAATTTAGAAAATATTTGATTTTTTTGCATTTTTTCCTATTTTCAATCAAATCGAATAAATAATGTAAAGCTATTTCAAAGCCCTAACAAATTCCTTTTTGTAAATATTAAAAGGTCATAATAAATCAATTTATCGTTTATTGAATTACATATAAAAGTACAGGATTTAATAGGAAATTGCAGGAGAAATAAACAACAATTATTTTATTTATACCCGAATTTGTCGAATGAGTCTTATTGTTCACCTAATTTTTGAATGCGTATGCTTAATTTTAAGCGCAACAACAATTTTCGGCAATTGTTTGATTGGTTATTTTTTCGTTTTGTAAGTATTTTTATCCAGAAAACTATCGTTTGCCTTCTTTTTTCTTCATTTCAGAAGGCGTCTCGATATAAAACGCAAAATTCGACTATTATTCTTTTTGTCTTTAACTGAAGGCTTCTTTGCTATTGCGAGTAAATTGAAAATGTTTCTGAATAATTCACAAGAAAAAAATGTTTAGTTCTTCCGGAAATTCTATATTTGCTTTTCAATTGGAATATAAATTCGGTGAATTATGATTCGAAAATAATTGGAATCACCGGAATGCCGTTGATTCCCGCATTGAAAGTCTCGTTCGGACTCAATACCGGAGCAGCAATTGAACGAATTTTGGTAGGTGGACCTTTTCGATCGTAAAAATACCAAATTTAGGCATTGGCATTTCCGGTTGTCTATAGGCGTTTAAACAATGTGATATATGCAAATTCGGTATTTATAATATCAATTCTAATTGGAACTCTCGATGTTATTCCTGCGATTTTATCATTAGAAATGAAAGTGAATTTGAATTGCTCATCAATTGGTTGTTTTCTCGGCGAACGATTCAAAAGATATTGGGGATTGTCAAATATGGTTAACTTTTTTCGAAGACCTCGTTTAAAAATTGAGTTATTTGTAGATAATTGGATTGATTGTTATATCACTGAGCAGTTTTCTTCTTTTTCGCGTTCACAGAATGTCTCGAAAATCGACCGTTTTGTTAAAACCCATGCTGTAAATTCCATGTTTTTAAGCATTTGTTGTCAATAATTTCAAGAATGGTTCGTCGAAATTTCGACAAGTCAATCGGCTTACTTCGATGCTTCTTCTCAGCTTTACATTTTGGAGTGTTCTACCTTCACTTGCCATATTATTAATCGAAGCTCTTACCGAAATTTCGATTTTTGATATTCTTGGCCCGTATTACGTTTTCTCGTTATTAGCAAGCGGTATGTTTTGTATTGAATTAATTATTTTGAAAATAATAATTTTGCGATATGAATGCATGAACACACTGTAGGTTGAATTGGTTAATCAATGATAACAAAGCAACGGCTTTTGGCATTCTCAAATAATTTCCAGGGACCAACAACTGTATCATTTTCTTGTCAATGAAAACTTCAATTAAGAAGTCATACGGAAACGCGACACAATCCGCAAGTGTCGTCAATAAATCAACCTAATTATACGTGTTATTCTTAACTTTTTCAAATTATTGCTAAAATTTTTGAAACTGAATAAGGATGGAAATATAAATAAAAAGGTTGTACATATTTCGATACAAAAAAATGATCTTGTTGATTTTCAAAGTTTTCAGAACATTCTAATAAACCATGGCCATCATAAGAATTTTTTTGTTTTCTTACAAAAAATGGTATTCTACATTATTTCTAGTGATTTGTACCACGTTTTCAATTCCACATTGGTAATTCAGTAAACTATTTTTTTCTCACGTTGGCTCCTCGCTACGTAAATAAATGAAAATAATATTTGTTAGAAATTTTCGAACTACAAACAATAGAGTTGAACTCTGCAATTAAACTCTTCACCAACAAATAATCGTTTGTAGATACTGTGCTGTTGCCCAATTGGTAGAGAATGGGATATTCGACTCGAAGACGCAAGTTGTTGAGTGATCTACCACCGAAGTGCTTGCTGGGTGCCGCTTTCATTCTTGGCACGGCCAATTTGATCTGGAATTAATTCAAAACGGTATAATTATACCGGCACCATCGTCTAGTTTATAAAAATGTCACTGAAATGAAAATTATGATATCAGGTTGAAGCATCTCTTTCCTAGTGATTATTGAGTTTCTTCGGATCGTTGCGATTAAATCATCAATTCGGTTGATCAATTTCGAGTGAAAAACATTGAACGAAGTCAATTAAACGATGAGATTCATTTTTGTGGGTTTGGTAATGTAATTTTAAAATTAATTTATGAGCAGTAGAAATTTACTATATTTACAATAATCTGATTTTTTTTTAGAAAATAGACCGAATATTTAAGTTTTCATACAAAATGTGCTCTAAATGACATACACATTTTATATAAGAACTTAAATATTCGGTCTATTTCCTAATAAAATCAGATTATTTTAAATATAAGAAATTTCCTATCAGTTTTTATTTGGCAATTTTAAGCTACCGACCATCTCAGCATTCTATTTTTTGTTCAACCAGTCGATGAAAGATATTCTAACCTAAAGTGAGACAGAAACGAGAAAATATATAATTATTGTAATTTTAGTGAAAAACAATACTTATATTTAATTGTTCGTTGCCACTGAATAATCATTTCCGAATTCGTTTGAAAATTTCGCGACTAAACTTCCATTTCAAGCTCTACGGGTCAAAGATAAGTTTGAACTTTTTTCGTTTTTCAGAAAATTAATAGTAACCGAGTGCCCGAAATCTAATAAATATATTCCAAAATAACGCAATTGATTAATTTTATCGAGAATAAATCTGCGGAAACGTGAAGGCCGGCATTTTTTCGTCGCACTTCGTTTGTTCGCTGTTATTTTTCTTTTTATTTTCGAAAGGTTATTTTTTTCGTTTTTTTCGTTTTCGACTTTGTAATCGTCAATGTCCTACAGTCTAATGTACTATGGGTTAACCAGCCGATTAGGTTCACTATAATTTACAACGAAGACCCTTGGTTCATTTTGTGATGACAAAAGCAATGTAATAAAATAATACTAGAAAACGGAAATTAAGGAAATCTTTGGCTTTTTTCATTTATATCGTCTAGAAATTTAATGATTTTGTGATAAATATCTAACAATATTTTGTATTTATTCTTGACATTTGTCAATATTTCTTATTTTCAGCAATTTTTCATTTAATTTCGCGAATGGATGACACTGACAGGTAAATAATGCAATTTTCAGGATTCAATTTAGTTAAAATTTTATAAAAATTTAATTTAAAGAGCATTTCAATTTTGTCAAGTTGAACCTTTAGCTAAAGCTTAAGGCGAGTTTTAACAAATGCGAAACCTCGGTCGTCCAAAAGTCAGACTGAAGGCTGCGGGACCTCCCATTTTGGCATTCCTGCCTGATGAGAGGTAATGGCTCTCCTTCTCAAAATCTCTATTCAATTGAACTCTCTCTCTCTCTCTCTCTCTCTCGTGAATAGTTCGAATTGGTACTGTGCAGAGTCCGCAAAAAAACTCAAAAAATATATTTTCTTCTTTGCTTCAAAATCGGCATATAATCATAAACAACATCGCTATTCAAACGTGACCAAATATGATTATGACTCATTTGTATACTATCGAAATTCGTCGTATAGAATTCTGATTTCTTCGTATTGACGGAGACAGACGACTTCTGGAAAAAATTTGAAAAAAATTTGGATATTTTGGTCTTGCAATAATTTTTGCGCCGGCTTCATGTGAATACTTACATTATACGTATACTGTATCCATCAATGCCGCATTCAAAAACTTCGAATAGCCAAAAATTCAAGCGGAATTTGGTTTAAACTGTTAGCAATTTTTTAAACATTCGATATCGAAATTGCCAGGATGGCGCAGCCTACTGTAGTATTGGGTCTCGTAACATGAGCGCCGAGCGATATTTATGCCATGCTGTTAATTGGCGCATTGTCCGTGTGGAGTACACACACACACACGCACATGTGTGACTCATCCTATTGAGACCATTTCTTTGCCAATTTGTCGTAGTCCTCGACAATATCGATAAAAAATATAAATATATTTATGGCATAATACGCATATCCGAATTGCTCCAAACAAATGCAGAGTTTTGAGTGTCCACCAATAGCTTTTGCGTTTGCTCTTCACAATTCCGAGATAATTGTGATGCTACTACATGTGCTCATCTCTTATGTAGTTCTAAAGATCTACGCCAGTTGGACCCCTGGCTGCATTGGTCTCTACAGATCTTGATCATAAAGCCTTATTAAGGTCTTGTCCTTTTACCTTGAGTTGTGTGTGTACCACTCATCGAATCTTTTCACGACGAAGATCAGAACCGAACGACTATCTAACCTCGAACGACCGAAACTTTCAACTGCCGTCATTTAGTAAATGTTAAGCCAATGTTTAACTGAGAGCATCCGTTGAACATTCTGATTGCTAGTCTTTTCTCGATCATGTAAATCCGATGCGCAGGCATTTCCTGCTCACACGATTTCGGCTTTCGTATTTTCTCTCTTGTGCTCCATTTTCTCACGTCGATTCCCGGGGCCAATGTCCAGCCGTGATTATTTACTCTGCTCGTAATTAAAGAATGAGCAAAGTCTACACAAGTGACAATTTTTGGTTTGAATTTTGAACTAGAGCAGCCGCCGCAATCGGTTTCTTTTTTCTTTTGCTTCAAACTTTCGCTTACTTTCAGAAGGTAAAGTATTATTTTGGTAGTTGTGAGATACATATTATCAATTAATGGATTGGTCTCAAAGAACCGTTTTCAGGTAGATTCCTGTCTTCAAGATTGTATATATGAGTCGATTCTTGAAAAATAATTTCATGAAGGGTCTAAAATTATGCACAACAATTAAGTATAAATGTTAAAAAAATATAAACGGTCAATCAAACAAAAAAACCCATGTTGTTCGTGAATTGGTTGACGAAAACTGCAGATACGGATTTAATTATTATTATTATGAAGTTTAAAGAGTTAACCGAATAATGTGTAAGTTATCATACCCTAAATGGTTCCTTCCGAATTAGTGCGCAATCATCATTGGGAAGACTGTGCTGAGTTGACGCCGATTTTCTGCACTCTCTGCCCAGTTTCTATAAGAGTCTTCTGAGAGTCGGTTCAAACCCGACGAGTTGGACCATGTAAACCTCAGCTCCCGAAAACAACGTTCCACAACAAAAAAAATTTCGAAAAATAATTATTTATTGAATGCAAAAAATGCTGGGAAAAAAAACAAACTAATAAAAATTTACTTTCCGTTGGGATTCGCTTTTTTGTTTCTGTTGATTATTTAGAAAATGGGCACAATTGAATGAAATCAATCGAAATTTAATAAAATCTTTAAAGATTCCTTTAGCGTCCGGCTATACGCGGGTAGATTTACGCGCATGCGCCTTGAAATGGTATCGCCACGCGTGAATGCTTATTTTGAACTGCTTCATTTTTCTTGATGAGTTTGACATTTCTCGAAATTTCTAATGTCGCTCGATTTAAAAATTATCGAACCGACCCATAAAATGCGAAGCAACCAGTTAGTCCGCGCGAGACCAAGAGAAAGACGCATCCCTCGTAAATCTACCCGCGTGCAGCAGTCGCCGGACGCCGACCATTTAATTTGTGAAAAAAATTTTTTTTTTTTCAAAAACTTCTCTTGTCTGTATTCAAAAACGACCACAGTGATATTCAAATGTGGCCAAATTTGATTATGACTCCTTCGTAAAATAATGATGTTGATTCTAATAGGAGTATGACGTTTGTTGAGAATTGTATGATAATCGTATACGATTGGGATTTTTGAAACTTCACTTTGCAAAAAAAGTCATAGGGGAGGTCGATTGCACCTCTGAAGAGCGTGTGGTCAGAATTACAAACTACAATAATTTTTCTTTTTTTTTCCTTTGCTAAAAAATAAAAGATTTTCTAATAAAAAAAGTTGCACTTTTCTTCGTGTTCCTTCAACAACATGTTATTAATATTTAAATTGGATTATTATGCACTTATTTGAAAACTATAAGTTGCACGTAGTTCCGACTTATAGAATATTTATGACTCGACTATATTTAATGTTTTGAGTTTGTCGGTTTACGCTGATTAACTCGATAAAATCCAATTAGATCATCGATTTTTATATAATATATTGTAAATGTGAGCGTTTCTAGTAATTTTTATGCTCAATCAATTCGAAACTAGATTTCATCTTAAAATGGTCTTATCAAGAATGCCCCAAAACCGTTTTACTAGCTCATTTCAAATACATATTTTGGAAGTGGCGTGGGTATTCAAGAATCAGAATATCATATATACATATATGTATCATATTTACAAATAATCGAATCAAAACGTAACGAGTCTGTTCGATTCTTGTTCATTTAGAAATGCAAAAATACTAAAAAAAAAATGCTTTGATTGATTTTATTCTGAAGAAAATCAAACGCTCACCAAATTTAGCCGACTTTTGTCATCGGAAAATTTCAATTCTCGCACAGTCGCATTTCTAATTATTTCGATTTTTACAGGGATATGTCGGTGGTCTACCTTGTGACAGAAATCATTTCCCTCGTGTTCGCCGCACTTTCATTCCTCTCAAATAATTATATCATATATTTATTCTTCAGGTAACAACGATTATTGCGAAAATTGGCGAAATCTCATATTTTCAGAAAACGAATACCGCACAGTGAGACAATGAGATTAGCGTTGTATTTAGCATATTCCGATCTTGGATACGCTATTGCGGGTAATCGAGCAAATTCGAACAATTGATAAAAGAATAGACATTTATTTTTTGAAAAGATTAATCCAAATCATAGTTTTCATTTTAATTTGCTTCCAATTGATTTGATGATTCTAATGTTTATACGAAATTATTCTGGGAATAATTTAATAGTTGATGAAGGCGGAAGTAGTTTGCATTTTTTCGCAATGGCACAAACCCAAAATCAGATTGAGAAAAAAGCACTATGATTGTATCGAAATTATTCATTTTCCGAAAATGTTCCGAATTACATGATTTAGCACTAATTCACATTGGATATCTTGCGATAAATTGGTCATATTACTATCTCAATTATAATCCATATTTCATTATATACACGAATGCATTTTTGCCGGCGTTTCTCAAAATGATCGCTGTTACAAGTTTGTCAATGGCGGCCGACCGAATATTAGTAATGTGTCGAAATGAGAGACTCGAGGGAAATGGCTGTGATTTAGGCGATATTTGTGCCAGCCTATTATAGAAGAGCCAATCGGATCACCTACGCGAATGCAACATTGGCACTTGCCCTAGCCCTTTTCACATTCGATTTTGTTCTTCAAATTGTCACGGCGAAATTCGAATGGAATCCCAATTGCGGAACTATGCAATGCTTTGTGAATCGACATTTTCTCATCTATGTCGGATATTCGAATACAGTTATTTATCAACTTCAAATTGACTGAAATGAGTTTTTGATTCCAGGTTGTTGGCCTTCTCATTTTTGTCATTAGTATTATAGTATTTTGCGGATTGTATCATATGCAGAATTTGCGAAAGGTGTTCGAAGCATGAGGACGAAAAAAAAAACAACAGAAATATTGGGTTTCAGACGGAAACGACTGGAAAAGCAGCGACAAGTTTCCGGCACGCGAATCGTGTTACTATCGGCATATTGTTCAGTTCTCTGTTTTTCGTTACTATTCCTTCTTTGTTGGTGACTTTATACGAGAATATCACTGGAATTTCGCTTTTCGCCAAACTCGGCCCATTTTATATTTGTGCCATTTTGATCAATGGTTGCACGATTTCCCCACATTTTCTATTTGATATTCATAGAGATTTCAGGATTCGCTGATAGTTTGGTCTTCATTATTCTGAATGTGTTCGTCAAAGGAAAACGAGTTCGAGGTGCAAAATCAACGGTTTTGAGCATGAGCAGTGTTAGAAACAAATAGATGTACAATAGCGAAAAAACCATTTTCTAATTATCGTGATGTTTTCAATTTTGTATCAGCGTGGCGCAGACGATCTACTATCTGACCTTTGACCTTTGTTATACTATATAGTCTAAACCCTAATGGACCTATTTATGCAATGAAAAAATAAAAAAAAATCAATTTTTTTTCATTTGAATTCCCTATGCACGCAGATCGAAAATCACGCGATATATCGTAATTCTCCGCTATTTATTTTCAAAGGCGCACGCGAAAAGTTGCGCGGGTCACGACGCGAAGTCGGTACTGTAATTTTATATATTTTATTATGTGTGTTATTTTTTTCGTATTTTCGAAAACTTTGAAGAAGTAATGAGTAAATGATTGAAGAACGAGAAAAAAAAAACAACTATTGGTATAAGTTAATTCGACAATTAATGTATATATTTCTTCATATTTTAGTTGATTAAATAGAATATTTTTACGGATTTTCAAACAAAAAAAGTTTTAAACGCTAAAAAAATATAAAAAATAAATATATCGAAAAACAGTCATTGAAAAATTACAGTTCCGACTTCGCGTCGTGACCCGCACATCTTTTCGCATGCTCCTTTGAAAATAAATAGCGGAGAATTACGATATATCGCGTGATTTTCGATCTGCGTGCATAGGGAATTCAAATTGAAAATATTGATTTTTTCTTTCATTGCACGAATGGGTCCATAATAAAGCAAAATGTCGAAGGCAGACAAATTTGACCAAATTATCATTTCAAATTATTTTTAAATTTTTAAGCATTTCAAATTTTTATAATAATCAAAAATTCGTCGACTGTCGACACTATGTGCACAACTGTTTTTAATCAGCCTTCACTTTTTTGAATATTACAGTTTTTCTCATTTTTATTATTTGCTTATCCTTTTATGAAATCTCTTGGCAATCCGTGTTGGGAAAATCGCGATGTTTTATTTCTAGAATTCGATGATCAGAAAGAAAAACTCGGCTATTTTCCCGCACGGGTTTCCGAGGTTGTCTTGCATGATTTCAGCATGCCTTTATCGAATCCAAATCGGATGATTTCAGATCGATCACACAATGCTTCAATGTGGACAACATTGTATTAGATTTCTAATTTCGCAACCATCAGAGTTTGAACATAAATATGCACTTTTGCTCTGATAACTGAAAAACAATCGGAAGAGAAAAATACGCGATCAAATTCGACGAAATTCGGTTTCGAAATCGATCCGATCAAAAATTGTTCGATTGTTAAATCACGGTATCCGATTTGAAATTGCATCCGATTTGAATTAGGTTCTTATCCGATTGCAAATTTTTGCATGAGATTGCCCTAACCAATTGATTGATAGTTAGTTAATTAATAAAATATGAATAACACATTTGTTTTTCCCAAAGCCTATCTGTCAAAAAACCAAAACAAAAAAGAAAAATTCGAAGTGATACTTCTTGCAACATTGATGAAACAAATCATGCACAGTATATAATATCACAGAGAAAACAAGAAGCATTTTCATAACCAAAATGAACGGAACATCGCTTTTTAATTTGATTTGTTTTCTTCATAAAATTCAATTTTAGACCCCAAAATCATCAAAAAAATATATATACAATTGTTGAAGTAACGCTACTCATTTGACGGTGTTCAACAATTTGGGGGGAACAGAAAAAAAATCAATAATCGACCACTGGTGTACTCGGCGAGCTTGGCCCATGCGTGATTTGCCATGACCTCGCCACACGTCAATCCGTATTATGTAATTTAAAAAAGAAATTCAGAAGAACCAAGAGTTAAAAAAATGAAATTTTCCTCTGCGGCTCTATATTGAACTTGGAAGAGGTCATCATCGGCGATTTCATTCCCAAACCACCATGAGAAACGCGATCTTAATATGTTCGCACAAATTATTTGGAGATCCCACCCAGAATAAGTGCCTCCACTTTCAATTGATTGGGATTGAGGGATTCTGGGTTTTCGCATTTGGTTGTCATATCTTTTCATAGAAATCGAAAAAGTTTTTTGCGAATGCTTTTCTAACAAATCTCAAACTCGCCAATATCGTTTTCAAAACTCGATGAAGGGTCACAGTGCATTCAATTTAATTTTGATCTATCAGAGAATATTCAATAACTGTTGTGTCATCAATTCTGGCATTCCTACTGAATACGAGGGCGTCGAAATCGGGAATCTCTTATTCGTCTTTCCAAATTCCGTTTAATTTGTATATTTGCACTGATTAATTAGACATTCTTATTCAAATAATTCAAAAAATCATAAAACGGTAAATTGGGTCGATAATTCTGAGCACTGCTGATGATCATATTCTGAATGCAAAATATACAAAAAAATGAAAATAATAATAAAAGAGAAACCTTTGATTGGGGACTCGACGCAACAGTGTTCGATTGCTTCGACATTCTCTCAAGCGGCAATTGATTGTCATTCCAATTATAGGACGAAACAGATGAAATTAAAAGAGCAATAATTGAGGAAATAACAGCGAACGAAATTGGGCTCATAATTTGTACAAATGAATGGTCTCAGTCAATCAAATCTTCCTTTTATAGTCGAATGATCTTTACGGCAAACATTTGAGGAGTGAATTGGATGGTCACGAAAACTTGAGATGATTAGAAGTTTGCGGAAATGTCGCAGCTGTTGATGTTGATTCATTATTACTAATTATCGACTAAAAATATCATATTCTCATTCGAACGTGGACACAAATAATAACATTTAAGCATATTTATGCGTTTTTTATCGAAATTCTACATTTTCATTTCGAATTGACCAAAATTGCAAACAAAAAATTCAAAACCAGCCATTGCTTTTACAGTAATTTCAAAAATATGTCTTTTCATAAAATTTTGAGAATAATTGAATATTCTTGCTATGGGAAATGTAATCAAATCAATGGTATAAAATCGAATTGAAAACGCCTGTTCTCAAAGCGAAATTTCCTGAACTCCTTTTGATTTCTTACGCAACGTTCCATTGTTATTTTTTTAAAATATTTTTTTATTAATAAAAGAAGAAACAACATAGAAATTTTAATAAAATCAATGTTGAACTTTCAAATCAACTTTCATATATATTAGAAATTATTTTTCAACTTTTTATCAATTTCTACATATTTATTCCAATGGACTCAATAATTGAAAATGATGTCAGTGATTGAATTCTGGAGAAACTGGAATCAACTTATTTTTGAAGTAAAAGATTTTTGAGAAGAAAAATGAAAACCATTTCTATTTTTCAAAATCAGAAAAAAAACTCACAAATTCGAAGTACATATCTGGCTGGCGCTATGAAATAATCAACGTGCTGTCCGTCTAATCTGAAAATGAAAGACTCTACGTAAAGTTTCTCAAATGAATTAAAAAGAAACAGATAATTGTATATATCTTGAAACGATCTCTCAGACTCACCAAAAAAACTGTAAAAATGCATTTCAATTTATCTGAAACGTTGATAGTCATCTTCAAGAATGTCTCTTCCCATTTTCGGTACCGAAATTCCGATTTTTGATTTCGCAATCTCAATTTTGCAATTGTTCGAAATTCGCATTACAGTAATCGGCGAGTTTCAGCTGCTCTCATGCATCAGGTGATATTTGGTTGAGAAAATTACAAGCCAGCGACAAAATGTCTCCATTCCTATTTCTTTTCTCGTTTTTTTTTATGGCCGTTTTTGATAGTAGTTGATTAAACGAACAACTTGCGCGAACATATGATTATAAATGTTTGAGCGCAGTTCTCTCGACAATTATTAGTAAATGTTTCTGTGATTCAGACGCCTAATCGATCAAACAATTCGACGAGAATTCGACGAGAATTCGAATACGGTAGACGCCGTGTTTCGTGAATATGCCGAAGAACACTGGAGAAGCACTGGCAACCGTTCTTCTCCTCATCGTCGTCCTACTCGTTCCTGAAACGAATTCCGCTCGAAAGACCACCACAAGGAAGCCGATGACAACGACTACCGTTGACGTCGGCCTCTACGTCTACGACGACTATACTGACGAAGGTTTGATTATCAATATTTATTTTATGTTAAGCGGCTTGCCGAATTTTCAATTATCAATATGTAGTTTAAAATTGCGGAAAGGTTGCTCGGCGCAAAGCTTGGTAACTCAAGAATCATTCCATGTGCAAGACGGTGTGTGAAATTTTGAAGATGCGGTTTTGTATTCGCATTGTCTCTATTAAGCAGATTCTACATTACAGTATATTTCTGAAAAATAATGGGGTGCGTTTGCAATCATTTTAAATGTTAATTTTGTGATCTCCATTCGATTGAATAGTAGGCGACCGCACGCGAGCCGCATCGCGCCTCTCAACATGAAGGTCTTACAGCCGCCGATTCTCATAGCCTTTTTTAACATTAAAGGAGTTTACAAAGTATGTATGACTTAAAGACTTAAAGTCTTATTTTTCGATAATTGCCTGTTTTCGATAATATTGTTTTAATTGTAAAAATTATATTTTTTTTAGACGAGCGAGACGATTAAAATGTTCATAAAACATGGATTTAATTAGATAATTTTTCGGAGAAAAACAGTTATTTGAAAGTATATAAGTAGCAATATTTTGTACAAGTTTCTTTTGAAAAATTAGAATATTCAGTGCAGGAGAAATCCCATAATTTTTTCTGCTATATTAGAAAGAATCCCCATTCCTCCCAAGTTTTCTCAGAAGACAAGCTAACTTCAATACGAATCAGTAATTACGCCATATATGCCCAACATATAATTATTGCTTTGACTTTGAAAAAAAAACACTCTGCTCTCTCACCGATTTTCTAATGCTTCTAGTTATTATCACTAATTTCTTTTTGTCATTATCATTCTGATGCGAATGAGCAATAATAATTTTGAGGGGAAAAAGTAGCGGGCGCATGACAACCAACGAATGGCTGATTCATTCATCAATCTCGATTTTTGTTTGGCCGTCAAATGCAATAAATTTCCGCGTAATTTGATATGATTTTTGTTTGGAAATTGAGTTTCGAGATCAAGCAGAAATATCGTTTCATTTTTCTGTTGAATTTCCCGGATTCGTTTCTTTATTATTTCTAGCCGACGAATCAACTGTCCCAAGGGAATTTCATTGATTTGCTTAATTCGTTTCATTTTCATCAATTATCGCTTTCTTTTCAATTCTTCGAAGTTCGCCTTTCAACAAAATTCATTTTTGATAAATTCTATCATATTGAATGAGCATTTCGCGTCGCTTCAATTTTTTTTTTTTTGATTCTCAATGACGAAATATTACTCATTTTCTACTTCCTAATATCTATTTTTGTTTCAACTTTTAAAGAATTGATTCTCTTCCTATTAAACAATCCATCATTTAATTCAGAAGTGTCTAATTGAATAGCATAAAAGAACAATAGAAATCCATACTTCGACGATGATTTTCATTCAAACTTTGCCTATTTTAGAATATCTACCGTAATCTGTTGAATTTCACCTGCATTCTTCTTGTTCAAATTACTCATTCCATTTTTTGCGAATTCTAGAAACAGCTTTCGATTACAAAAATGCAGGTGTTTTATTTTGTTTGTTTCTTTCGTCGAAATGAATCATCTGCTCGTTGAATCACAAAAAATTGTGCGGTCTCGTGTCGATAACAAAATCATTTCTGTTTCGGATCAGCAAAATGAGTGTTGTCTCGGACGGACTGGCCAACACCACACTGGCTTCATCTACGCTCTCTACCGTACTCTCTACAGTGCTATCGACATCAACTCTTCCATCGAATGTGACAAAGACAGCAAGAAATTCGAGTCGGTTTTCATGGCAAATCTGAAATTTCATTTGAAGAAAAAAACATGAGAAAGAGCTTGAATGTTTATGCTCGACAACTCCTAATATCTAATTATGCGATAGTTGTTCACTACGGTAGAATAGTTAATTATATGCTAGCTGCGAGACCGCGATTAATCACATTTCGCAGCGAAACAGCATTAAGAAACTCTTTTTTTTTCTTATCTACATAGCTTCAAAATCGACTTTTAGACAAAAAAAAAAACGCATTTTTTTGCTAAGCTTCAATCACCTGTAAAATTTCATTAACTCTCTGATTCTTTGACATTTTTTAGCAGCTGATTAGACATTTTCACCTGCCGAATCACAGAATACGAATTTTAGAGTTTTTTTTTGGCTGAAAACTAGCTGCTGAGCGAATATTTTTGATTTTTTAAAGGTTTGTATATTTTAAGTCTACAGATTACATTGAAAACTGAAAACCGAAAAATCCAAATGAAATTGAGTAATCGAAATGATTAAACATGGGTAGCTTCATAGACAATCTTAAAATCGATGACATAGAAAATGGGCACAATTGAATGAAATCAATCGAAATTTAATAAAATCTTTAAAGATTCCTTTAGCGTCCGGCTATACGCGGGTAGATTTACGCGCATGCGCCTTGAAATGGTATCGCCACGCGTGAATGCTTATTTTGAACTGCTTCATTTTTCTTGATGAGTTTGACATTTCTCGAAATTTCTAATGTCGCTCGATTTAAAAATTATCGAACCGACCCATAAAATGCGAAGCAACCAGTTAGTCCGCGCGAGACCAAGAGAAAGACGAATCCCTCGTAAATCTACCCGCGTGCAGCAGTCGCCGGACGCCGACCATTTAATTTGTGAAAAAAATTTTTTTTTTTCAAAAACTTCTCTTGTCTGTATTCAAAAACGACCACAGTGATATTCAAATGTGGCCAAATTTGATTATGACTCCTTCGTAAAATAATGATGTTGATTCTAATAGGAGTATGACGTTTGTTGAGAATTGTATGATAATCGTATACGATTGGGATTTTTGAAACTTCACTTTGCAAAAAAAGTCATAGGGGAGGTCGATTGCACCTCTGAAGAGCGTGTGGTCAGAATTACAAACTACAATAATTTTTCTTTTTTTTTCCTTTGCTAAAAAATAAAAGATTTTCTAATAAAAAAAGTTGCACTTTTCTTCGTGTTCCTTCAACAACATGTTATTAATATTTAAATTGGATTATTATGCACTTATTTGAAAACTATAAGTTGCACGTAGTTCCGACTTATAGAATATTTATGACTCGACTATATTTAATGTTTTGAGTTTGTCGGTTTACGCTGATTAATTCGATAAAATCCAATTAGATCATCGATTTTTATATAATATATTGTAAATGTGAGCGTTTCTAGTAATTTTTATGCTCAATCAATTCGAAACTAGATTTCATCTTAAAATGGTCTTATCAAGAATGCCCCAAAACCGTTTTACTAGCTCATTTCAAATACATATTTTGGAAGTGGCGTGGGTATTCAAGAATCAGAATATCATATATACATATATGTATCATATTTACAAATAATCGAATCAAAACGTAACGAGTCTGTTCGATTCTTGTTCATTTAGAAATGCAAAAATACTAAAAAAAAAAATGCTTTGATTGATTTTATTCTGAAGAAAATCAAACGCTCACCAAATTTAGCCGACTTTTGTCATCGGAAAATTTCAATTCTCGCACAGTCGCATTTCTAATTATTTCGATTTTTACAGGGATATGTCGGTGGTCTACCTTGTGACAGAAATCATTTCCCTCGTGTTCGCCGCACTTTCATTCCTCTCAAATAATTATATCATATATTTATTCTTCAGGTAACAACGATTATTGCGAAAATTGGCGAAATCTCATATTTTCAGAAAACGAATACCGCACAGTGAGACAATGAGATTAGCGTTGTATTTAGCATATTCCGATCTTGGATACGCTATTGCGGGTAATCGAGCAAATTCGAACAATTGATAAAAGAATAGACATTTATTTTTTGAAAAGATTAATCCAAATCATAGTTTTCATTTTAATTTGCTTCCAATTGATTTGATGATTCTAATGTTTATACGAAATTATTCTGGGAATAATTTAATAGTTGATGAAGGCGGAAGTAGTTTGCATTTTTTCGCAATGGCACAAACCCAAAATCAGATTGAGAAAAAAGCACTATGATTGTATCGAAATTATTCATTTTCCGAAAATGTTCCGAATTACATGATTTAGCACTAATTCACATTGGATATCTTGCGATAAATTGGTCATATTACTATCTCAATTATAATCCATATTTCATTATATACACGAATGCATTTTTGCCGGCGTTTCTCAAAATGATCGCTGTTACAAGTTTGTCAATGGCGGCCGACCGAATATTAGTAATGTGTCGAAATGAGAGACTCGAGGGAAATGGCTGTGATTTAGGCGATATTTGTGCCAGCCTATTATAGAAGAGCCAATCGGATCACCTACGCGAATGCAACATTGGCACTTGCCCTAGCCCTTTTCACATTCGATTTTGTTCTTCAAATTGTCACGGCGAAATTCGAATGGAATCCCAATTGCGGAACTATGCAATGCTTTGTGAATCGACATTTTCTCATCTATGTCGGATATTCGAATACAGTTATTTATCAACTTCAAATTGACTGAAATGAGTTTTTGATTCCAGGTTGTTGGCCTTCTCATTTTTGTCATTAGTATTATAGTATTTTGCGGATTGTATCATATGCAGAATTTGCGAAAGGTGTTCGAAGCATGAGGACGAAAAAAAAAACAACAGAAATATTGGGTTTCAGACGGAAACGACTGGAAAAGCAGCGACAAGTTTCCGGCACGCGAATCGTGTTACTATCGGCATATTGTTCAGTTCTCTGTTTTTCGTTACTATTCCTTCTTTGTTGGTGACTTTATACGAGAATATCACTGGAATTTCGCTTTTCGCCAAACTCGGCCCATTTTATATTTGTGCCATTTTGATCAATGGTTGCACGATTTCCCCACATTTTCTATTTGATATTCATAGAGATTTCAGGATTCGCTGATAGTTTGGTCTTCATTATTCTGAATGTGTTCGTCAAAGGAAAACGAGTTCGAGGTGCAAAATCAACGGTTTTGAGCATGAGCAGTGTTAGAAACAAATAGATGTACAATAGCGAAAAAACCATTTTCTAATTATCGTGATGTTTTCAATTTTGTATCAGCGTGGCGCAGACGATCTACTATCTGACCTTTGACCTTTGTTATACTATATAGTCTAAACCCTAATGGACCTATTTATGCAATGAAAAAATTAAAAAAAAAATCAATTTTTTTTTCATTTGAATTCCCTATGCACGCACATCGAAAATAAAAAAAATTGACGCGATATATCGTAATTCTCCGCTATTTATTTTCAAAGGCGCACGCGAAAAGTTGCGCGGGTCACGACGCGAAGTCGGTACTGTAATTTTATATATTTTATTATGTGTGTTATTTTTTTCGTATTTTCGAAAACTTTGAAGAAGTAATGAGTAAATGATTGAAGAACGAGAAAAAAAAAACAACTATTGGTATAAGTTAATTCGACAATTAATGTATATATTTCTTCATATTTTAGTTGATTAAATAGAATATTTTTACGGATTTTCAAACAAAAAAAGTTTTAAACGCTAAAAAAATATAAAAAATAAATATATCGAAAAACAGTCATTGAAAAATTACAGTTCCGACTTCGCGTCGTGACCCGCACATCTTTTCGCATGCTCCTTTGAAAATAAATAGCGGAGAATTACGATATATCGCGTGATTTTCGATCTGCGTGCATAGGGAATTCAAATTGAAAATATTGATTTTTTCTTTCATTGCACGAATGGGTCCATAATAAAGCAAAATGTCGAAGGCAGACAAATTTGACCAAATTATCATTTCAAATTATTTTTAAATTTTTAAGCATTTCAAATTTTTATAATAATCAAAAATTCGTCGACTGTCGACACTATGTGCACAACTGTTTTTAATCAGCCTTCACTTTTTTGAATATTACAGTTTTTCTCATTTTTATTATTTGCTTATCCTTTTATGAAATCTCTTGGCAATCCGTGTTGGGAAAATCGCGATGTTTTATTTCTAGAATTCGATGATCAGAAAGAAAAACTCGGCTATTTTCCCGCACGGGTTTCCGAGGTTGTCTTGCATGATTTCAGCATGCCTTTATCGAATCCAAATCGGATGATTTCAGATCGATCACACAATGCTTCAATGTGGACAACATTGTATTAGATTTCTAATTTCGCAACCATCAGAGTTTGAACATAAATATGCACTTTTGCTCTGATAACTGAAAAACAATCGGAAGAGAAAAATACGCGATCAAATTCGACGAAATTCGGTTTCGAAATCGATCCGATCAAAAATTGTTCGATTGTTAAATCACGGTATCCGATTTGAAATTGCATCCGATTTGAATTAGGTTCTTATCCGATTGCAAATTTTTGCATGAGATTGCCCTAACCAATTGATTGATAGTTAGTTAATTAATAAAATATGAATAACACATTTGTTTTTCCCAAAGCCTATCTGTCAAAAAACCAAAACAAAAAAGAAAAATTCGAAGTGATACTTCTTGCAACATTGATGAAACAAATCATGCACAGTATATAATATCACAGAGAAAACAAGAAGCATTTTCATAACCAAAATGAACGGAACATCGCTTTTTAATTTGATTTGTTTTCTTCATAAAATTCAATTTTAGACCCCAAAATCATCAAAAAAATATATATACAATTGTTGAAGTAACGCTACTCATTTGACGGTGTTCAACAATTTGGGGGGAACAGAAAAAAAATCAATAATCGACCACTGGTGTACTCGGCGAGCTTGGCCCATGCGTGATTTGCCATGACCTCGCCACACGTCAATCCGTATTATGTAATTTAAAAAAGAAATTCAGAAGAACCAAGAGTTAAAAAAATGAAATTTTCCTCTGCGGCTCTATATTGAACTTGGAAGAGGTCATCATCGGCGATTTCATTCCCAAACCACCATGAGAAACGCGATCTTAATATGTTCGCACAAATTATTTGGAGATCCCACCCAGAATAAGTGCCTCCACTTTCAATTGATTGGGATTGAGGGATTCTGGGTTTTCGCATTTGGTTGTCATATCTTTTCATAGAAATCGAAAAAGTTTTTTGCGAATGCTTTTCTAACAAATCTCAAACTCGCCAATATCGTTTTCAAAACTCGATGAAGGGTCACAGTGCATTCAATTTAATTTTGATCTATCAGAGAATATTCAATAACTGTTGTGTCATCAATTCTGGCATTCCTACTGAATACGAGGGCGTCGAAATCGGGAATCTCTTATTCGTCTTTCCAAATTCCGTTTAATTTGTATATTTGCACTGATTAATTAGACATTCTTATTCAAATAATTCAAAAAATCATAAAACGGTAAATTGGGTCGATAATTCTGAGCACTGCTGATGATCATATTCTGAATGCAAAATATACAAAAAAAATGAAAATAATAATAAAAGAGAAACCTTTGATTGGGGACTCGACGCAACAGTGTTCGATTGCTTCGACATTCTCTCAAGCGGCAATTGATTGTCATTCCAATTATAGGACGAAACAGATGAAATTAAAAGAGCAATAATTGAGGAAATAACAGCGAACGAAATTGGGCTCATAATTTGTACAAATGAATGGTCTCAGTCAATCAAATCTTCCTTTTATAGTCGAATGATCTTTACGGCAAACATTTGAGGAGTGAATTGGATGGTCACGAAAACTTGAGATGATTAGAAGTTTGCGGAAATGTCGCAGCTGTTGATGTTGATTCATTATTACTAATTATCGACTAAAAATATCATATTCTCATTCGAACGTGGACACAAATAATAACATTTAAGCATATTTATGCGTTTTTTATCGAAATTCTACATTTTCATTTCGAATTGACCAAAATTGCAAACAAAAAATTCAAAACCAGCCATTGCTTTTACAGTAATTTCAAAAATATGTCTTTTCATAAAATTTTGAGAATAATTGAATATTCTTGCTATGGGAAATGTAATCAAATCAATGGTATAAAATCGAATTGAAAACGCCTGTTCTCAAAGCGAAATTTCCTGAACTCCTTTTGATTTCTTACGCAACGTTCCATTGTTATTTTTTTAAAATATTTTTTTATTAATAAAAGAAGAAACAACATAGAAATTTTAATAAAATCAATGTTGAACTTTCAAATCAACTTTCATATATATTAGAAATTATTTTTCAACTTTTTATCAATTTCTACATATTTATTCCAATGGACTCAATAATTGAAAATGATGTCAGTGATTGAATTCTGGAGAAACTGGAATCAACTTATTTTTGAAGTAAAAGATTTTTGAGAAGAAAAATGAAAACCATTTCTATTTTTCAAAATCAGAAAAAAAACTCACAAATTCGAAGTACATATCTGGCTGGCGCTATGAAATAATCAACGTGCTGTCCGTCTAATCTGAAAATGAAAGACTCTACGTAAAGTTTCTCAAATGAATTAAAAAGAAACAGATAATTGTATATATCTTGAAACGATCTCTCAGACTCACCAAAAAAACTGTAAAAATGCATTTCAATTTATCTGAAACGTTGATAGTCATCTTCAAGAATGTCTCTTCCCATTTTCGGTACCGAAATTCCGATTTTTGATTTCGCAATCTCAATTTTGCAATTGTTCGAAATTCGCATTACAGTAATCGGCGAGTTTCAGCTGCTCTCATGCATCAGGTGATATTTGGTTGAGAAAATTACAAGCCAGCGACAAAATGTCTCCATTCCTATTTCTTTTCTCGTTTTTTTTTATGGCCGTTTTTGATAGTAGTTGATTAAACGAACAACTTGCGCGAACATATGATTATAAATGTTTGAGCGCAGTTCTCTCGACAATTATTAGTAAATGTTTCTGTGATTCAGACGCCTAATCGATCAAACAATTCGACGAGAATTCGACGAGAATTCGAATACGGTAGACGCCGTGTTTCGTGAATATGCCGAAGAACACTGGAGAAGCACTGGCAACCGTTCTTCTCCTCATCGTCGTCCTACTCGTTCCTGAAACGAATTCCGCTCGAAAGACCACCACAAGGAAGCCGATGACAACGACTACCGTTGACGTCGGCCTCTACGTCTACGACGACTATACTGACGAAGGTTTGATTATCAATATTTATTTTATGTTAAGCGGCTTGCCGAATTTTCAATTATCAATATGTAGTTTAAAATTGCGGAAAGGTTGCTCGGCGCAAAGCTTGGTAACTCAAGAATCATTCCATGTGCAAGACGGTGTGTGAAATTTTGAAGATGCGGTTTTGTATTCGCATTGTCTCTATTAAGCAGATTCTACATTACAGTATATTTCTGAAAAATAATGGGGTGCGTTTGCAATCATTTTAAATGTTAATTTTGTGATCTCCATTCGATTGAATAGTAGGCGACCGCACGCGAGCCGCATCGCGCCTCTCAACATGAAGGTCTTACAGCCGCCGATTCTCATAGCCTTTTTTAACATTAAAGGAGTTTACAAAGTATGTATGACTTAAAGACTTAAAGTCTTATTTTTCGATAATTGCCTGTTTTCGATAATATTGTTTTAATTGTAAAAATTATATTTTTTTTTAGACGAGCGAGACGATTAAAATGTTCATAAAACATGGATTTAATTAGATAATTTTTCGGAGAAAAACAGTTATTTGAAAGTATATAAGTAGCAATATTTTGTACAAGTTTCTTTTGAAAAATTAGAATATTCAGTGCAGGAGAAATCCCATAATTTTTTCTGCTATATTAGAAAGAATCCCCATTCCTCCCAAGTTTTCTCAGAAGACAAGCTAACTTCAATACGAATCAGTAATTACGCCATATATGCCCAACATATAATTATTGCTTTGACTTTGAAAAAAAAACACTCTGCTCTCTCACCGATTTTCTAATGCTTCTAGTTATTATCACTAATTTCTTTTTGTCATTATCATTCTGATGCGAATGAGCAATAATAATTTTGAGGGGAAAAAGTAGCGGGCGCATGACAACCAACGAATGGCTGATTCATTCATCAATCTCGATTTTTGTTTGGCCGTCAAATGCAATAAATTTCCGCGTAATTTGATATGATTTTTGTTTGGAAATTGAGTTTCGAGATCAAGCAGAAATATCGTTTCATTTTTCTGTTGAATTTCCCGGATTCGTTTCTTTATTATTTCTAGCCGACGAATCAACTGTCCCAAGGGAATTTCATTGATTTGCTTAATTCGTTTCATTTTCATCAATTATCGCTTTCTTTTCAATTCTTCGAAGTTCGCCTTTCAACAAAATTCATTTTTGATAAATTCTATCATATTGAATGAGCATTTCGCGTCGCTTCAATTCGTTTTTTTTTTGATTCTCAATGACGAAATATTACTCATTTTCTACTTCCTAATATCTATTTTTGTTTCAACTTTTAAAGAATTGATTCTCTTCCTATTAAACAATCCATCATTTAATTCAGAAGTGTCTAATTGAATAGCATAAAAGAACAATAGAAATCCATACTTCGACGATGATTTTCATTCAAACTTTGCCTATTTTAGAATATCTACCGTAATCTGTTGAATTTCACCTGCATTCTTCTTGTTCAAATTACTCATTCCATTTTTTGCGAATTCTAGAAACAGCTTTCGATTACAAAAATGCAGGTGTTTTATTTTGTTTGTTTCTTTCGTCGAAATGAATCATCTGCTCGTTGAATCACAAAAAATTGTGCGGTCTCGTGTCGATAACAAAATCATTTCTGTTTCGGATCAGCAAAATGAGTGTTGTCTCGGACGGACTGGCCAACACCACACTGGCTTCATCTACGCTCTCTACCGTACTCTCTACAGTGCTATCGACATCAACTCTTCCATCGAATGTGACAAAGACAGCAAGAAATTCGAGTCGGTTTTCATGGCAAATCTGAAATTTCATTTGAAGAAAAAAACATGAGAAAGAGCTTGAATGTTTATGCTCGACAACTCCTAATATCTAATTATGCGATAGTTGTTCACTACGGTAGAATAGTTAATTATATGCTAGCTGCGAGACCGCGATTAATCACATTTCGCAGCGAAACAGCATTAAGAAACTCTTTTTTTTTCTTATCTACATAGCTTCAAAATCGACTTTTAGACAAAAAAAAAACGCATTTTTTTGCTAAGCTTCAATCACCTGTAAAATTTCATTAACTCTCTGATTCTTTGACATTTTTTAGCAGCTGATTAGACATTTTCACCTGCCGAATCACAGAATACGAATTTTAGAGTTTTTTTTTTGGCTGAAAACTAGCTGCTGAGCGAATATTTTTGATTTTTTAAAGGTTTGTATATTTTAAGTCTACAGATTACATTGAAAACTGAAAACCGAAAAATCCAAATGAAATTGAGTAATCGAAATGATTAAACATGGGTAGCTTCATAGACAATCTTAAAACCGATGACTACCTTAATGCACTGACTATTCTCAATCAATATTACATTTGGGAACGTGGTAGTGAAGGTAAGTTCTAAATCCGACTTTGAAATATATAAAAATATATTAATTCGATATCGATTATACATATGTAATGGTTTATTATAGGCATGGGAAACTCGCAATCGGCTCGCCTGATTGCCGACCAAATCGCGTATGGAGTGGTACGATTGCAGATAAAAGCAAGCGGTTTTCAACAGTTTGTCTTCAGATCAGTTGTGTGACTGTTGGAGTCCTCATTGTGATGATCTATCTCTCCTTATTTGGACAAAGAATTCGCTCGACTGCAATCCGTTGGCACGTGCTTAATTGTAGTGCTTGGGGAATATTACACTTGGTATCTTTTAACTCAACATTTTATTCAGAATCATGTGTTGATTTAGATCTCGTATGCCTCATTTGCCGAAAAAGCACCGTGGCCGAATTATATTACGAATCAGGATTGGAGAAATACCGCGAAACAAGTTGAATGTTTCACTCGCTCGGTGTTTCCGGCAGGTTCGTTTTGCTCAAAATGCAATCTTTCGAGGCACATTTTGAAAAATTCCTTATTTGTATCATCATTTTAGGAATGATTTTCGTTTACGTCGAATCGATTCTTCTCACAAATGTTCCGAAACTCGCAAACAATCTGTTTTTCAACTTCATCTTCTTCTTCCTCCTCATTCCACTTCTCAATTTCATCATGGTCTTCTGCTACCATGCTCACGTGAGTCCTATTTTCAGCTGGACAAGTCGAGACCAAAAAATCGAGGTTCAATAACCGCTATAATTCGATTTCTCATTTGATAGGTGATCGAATTAGATAACAAAATAATTCGGAGTTATTTAAATATGAAACAGGATAGGAGATGATTTGTTTCAGTACATGGATGTCGTCTGGTTCTACGAGCCCATGGATATGTTCAACCTGGTCACATACGTCCTGTTCGTTGTGTTCACATTAATTTATTTCATTTGGTGTCTCATCGGATCATGCATGTGCTGTGCGACAATTGCTGCCAAAAATCCAGGCCCGGTAATCTGTTTCAGCAAAAATCGAAAAAAAAACGCTTGAAATTTGAAGAGATCTGTTTCGACTTACGCGGATATGTGGCTTCTGTTCCCCTATGGCCTCGTTCCTTCGATTATGTACGGACCATCGTTTGGAATGACCGCTGTCGGATTTGCCATGAAGCATTTGCTTACCTGGGTTCTCGAGAGCGGCTTGCTCGGCGGAGGAGGTGGCGGAGGAAGTTTGTTATCAATTTCGAGATTATTATGAATCGAAAATTAAACTTCAGGTGCTCACATGGATCTTCTGATTCAAGTGATGACAAATGCAATTCTCGCAATGCCTTGGTTCGTTCTTCTCTTCCCATTGGTCCAATCGATTCTCACCCTTCTCTGCATCCGAATGTACCGTGAACAGGTGGAGTTGTTCAATTGAAGAGCCACCCAATTATCTCGACAATTTAGCTGTTCTTCATGCTTTCCTGCGGACGTGTCTATGAAGGACCAAAGCACAAAATCGGTCAATCGAGTGCCAAAAACGAATGGGCTTCATCTTCTGTTGGACCACCGCCGCTCTACCCAGTTTCCGAAAAAGTTGATTAAATCAATAATATGCGTTCGAGTGTTTCTGATGTTTTTTTTTTCTGAAAATTGAGTTTTCCATTCGATTTGTATTGTCTACTCGATTATAGAGTGGATTCCTGTCAATCTGCTGTGATTTCCCACTATTCTTGTGATCTCCGAATCCCGTTGAATACTTCGAACATAAAGCATTCTGTGTTAATTCTTAACAATTTCAGATTTGCATTTATGAATCGAAAAGTTGTTTCACATTAGAAAAAATTAGTTGTTGCTAAATTAAAGAAAAATGTGAATACACAAAGGGTATATGAAGCTCTACTTTAGATGTTCTAATAAATCTAAAACTAGAAATGTTTCATTCCATTTAATTTCTGTTCACTTTAATGGTCAAAAAATTAGAATTCCGTACGATTGAGATGTAGATTAGTGATAGACTCACTTTCAGTTTTTAGCGTTGCTCGAAAATTTTTCGGAAGTATATCCACATCAATGGAAAAAATTTTGGCTCGAACGCCAAATCATTGAGCTAGCGCAATTTGGGGAATAAAAGCGCGAATTTTCCGCTCACCAAATCAGCCCGTCGAAAATTAAGAGCGAATTCGACCCAATCTCGATCCTATTTCGCCGCGAGACCCCTCTAGAATCAAGTCGATTTGTAAAAAGTTACGCTTTGTCTCGAATGTGCACACGTTTGTTCCTAATAAGTTTTTTATTTGAAAAATATTTTTGCTGAAAAATGAAACGAAAAAAGTCTTTTCGAAACGCAATGGACCACACATTACCATTAAATTATAAAGTCATGAAATTCATTATGATTATAAATCATGGAAATAAAAACCAGCCATATGTGGTATTCGTCTTCCACTATTACTCATTGTTGTTCAATATTTTTCTTATCACCACCATTTTTGTTTTTGTTTTCATTTTTTATCAATTCATTTGTTTGCTCTGTTCTACTAGACTTTCTCTCTCTATTTTCTGCTTGAGGCAGGCTTTTCAAACCGATTCAAAATCATTGTATGTTCTTCTCAAATATGTCCCAAAAATTGCAGTGTCCTTGACGAACAGCTGGCAGGTGGAATCGTCAAAATGAGTCCCGACAACGAACAAAACGCGATGAATCATGAAGAGCAGCCGTAAGCAGCCGGCGAGAAAAAAAATGCGAGGCAAGGTCAAATTTTGCAGGGAATTTCATCTGGAAGACGTCGAAATAGTGGAAATGGTGGGAAACGATGAGAATCGAGTGGCAGATGGCGACGACGATTGGATCTCGCCATTGTCTCGTGAATACACGAGGTTATTCAGTAGGTGCTTGTTTTCAATTCGCCTCTTCCAGATGAGAATTTGTTCGTTCGAATTCTGTTCGATCAAAACTCGACAAATCTCGACGCATTCGGGTAGGTTCTAAAGCGAACAATTCTCGAAATTCGTTTCAAAATCCGCAGGTACCCAAAGTACACAATTTTATATAAATATTTGCACTTGATCTCAAGTAGAACACTATTTTTTTTAATCATCTTTACCAGTCGAGCTTCGATGTTTTTTTTTTTCGTTTATTTTTGAGATACCCAACTATGTAGAATGTTTGCTGAAATATTCATATATGCAAATAAAAGTGGATTTAAAATTTCGTAACAAACAAAACAAAATTGAGGTCTCAACATTCACAAATTCTCATATTTGTCCATCAATCGTTTCCATTTATCGCCTTTTATGTATATATACTATTTTCCCGTTTTTATTTGCCTTTGATTCTTTTACGGTTCCTCATTCCTTCGAGCCACAATAGCCAAACTTTATGTACAATCATTTAATTTCTATTTTACTATCAATTTTCGGAACCGCAAAAAAAAAGAAACCGGTTTTGTATTTTATGAAGTTGGCAGGTCGTAAAAAATACATTAAAATGGGTTTGAACTTTACAAACAAAAAACATCTCCGACTTTTAATATTTCGGGCTAGAATTGATAGGTGTGATTCGGATTTGCAAGTGGTCTCAACAATTGTGTAATTCAATTTGAAATAAGCGGGGCAAGAAAATCAAAAAATGTCAAATCACAAAAAAAAAGATTATTTTTTTCTCATTTTTCTGCATTCTAATTATCACTTTTTTTTACTTTATGTGTATCGGCCTTTTAGGAACAAGCATTTTCTAAAAATAGGAACAAGTTTTTGGGATATTTGCAGTAAAGAAATTAGTTTCTCTCATCATTTCGATAATTTTTCGAAGCATTCTAGATATTTCTTCCCATTCCTCCACGTTGTCACACTTCCACGGCAATCTCGCATTGTTTGCTTCTGCTAAATTCCGAATTTAATATTTTATCCAATATTGGCCATTGTATCTCAAAGGGGTTGCTCCGATTGAGTCTTGGCTAAATAAGGAAAAACCGGCAATAATAAATCATTCGAATGAATTATCATGTATCTCAAGTATTCAACTTCGATTTTTTGTTGCTTAATTAACCCATAATTTGGATATTCTTCCTTTTGATTCCCTTCCACTCATATTATGTCCATTTGCAATGTGACGTCTATTTATTCCCTATCATCCAACCTGATGTCCATATGACTATCAAAAAAAAAAACTATAAAATGATCGCATGATCCGTGGAAAATCATCGGCACTTTTCGAGGTGGCACCTAATTCAAATGTTTTCGAATCAAACAAAGACGACCTAGTAAATGTCCATTTCAAGGTAAAACCCAATGTGTTTCGATTCGGATCTCTTCATTGTTCCAATCTTTTTTCTTCTCGCGTCCAACCTCAAGCCAATATCCAAAAATGATGTTGTAAATGATATTCAGAGGAGAAAGACATGTCGACAATGTGTTATTCTCAAAGAAGTGCATCAGACATGCATCAGTGTGGTGAGTTGTTGACCCAACAAATCTCGTCTTGTTTATTTGTTTGTTTGTCTTGTTGATTTGTTTGTTTATTCGATTTTATAGAAGATCGTAAAAATTGAACCTGAACGTGTTTTTTGCGCGCGACTTTCTTTTTCTTTCTCATCAGCTGATTCGATCATCGAACATCAAAATGGGTTTCTTTTGAAAACTTTCTAATTTCGAATCATTTTTGCTAATTAATCAAAACTAACATTTTAAGAAGAAAATAGATGAGCAGTAGAGCGCTGTTGAATTATTTGGAAAGATTTTGAAAAGTGTTGAATATTTTTCAGCAAAAACTAATTAAAGAAAAATTAGTTTAAAATGAGGGCGCCCAAAATGCATGACCTTCTTCTTCGAAAAGTGCTAATCAACTATTTCTGTTCCACTAAAAACCGCCAAAAACAACCGATAATATCTCTGAAAGGAAATAGCAAAAACTCTGAAAAACAGTGAATTTCAGGGGCTGGAATTTTGTTATTTTGGAAGAACGACTTTTAAAATGTCGAATGGTTACCTGCGAGATTAGTATTGTTGACTGTTTTGCTCACTTCATTCAGTCGGACTGCAGTCCAAACAAAAAACAAGAGTGCACCAATTTGGCACAAATCCGGTTGCGAGACTCCTCGCCAGTTTGTTCGCCTCTGTCTATCATAAAAAATTGTCTTCATCTGAAATTCGACTAATCAGCTGTTGTTGGCTGCCCTCTTCCGATTCTCATCTTCTCATTATTCGCTCTGGTTCCACATTTTCCATTTCACCACACCCAAAACATAACATAACAAAACAAAACACGTTTCGAGTCAGCTGATCACTTATTCAGATGCTAACCGCCAAATATTCAGATGTTCCTAATCGATTAACAGTCGGAGAAAAAGATCCATCTGGTACCATCATTTAGATCGAATAAACAAATCCAAAACAATTCTTCGTTTTTTGTGAAATCCCTTTAAAATCTCAATTTGTTTTTAGGTAGTGACTGGTTTGGAGATGATCGAGAATCGTTGAATGATTTGGCAAAATACTACAACAATACCTATTTGAGCGATGTGAATCTCATTGTTGGCGAAGAATCGTGAGAATAATTCGATTAGTTTTCTGGAAAAGAAAACAGAAAATCGCAATTTCAGATATCCTGCTCATCGCCTGATTTTGGCAAAAAGCAGCGAAGTATTCGATCGGATGTTAAGCCAAAGATGGAATGGCGACAAAAAAGTATGATATTGTGCGTATCGAGGCGATGAAACGTTTGATTAATTCAGGATTTGGAAGTTGTTGAAGATTCAATTTGTCAGAAAGCCTTTCCAGCTTTTCTTCGTTTCCTCTATTGCAATCACGTCGTTCTTCATCACAACAATTGTTTGCCATTACTCATATTAGCCGACAAGTACAATGTGACGACACTGAAGAAGGTTGGTTGGCCGTTCCTTCATTCTCGAGGCTCTCAATTGTTTCAGGTTTGCATCGATTTTGCCCAGTCGGAAATTCTGCCATGCATCGACATCAAAGAGTTGTTCACTGTCTGGTTTTCTTACGCCACCAAAGCTTATCATCCGGTTCGTTGTTTTTGTTTTGTTTTCTGGCTCGAACCGGCTCGGATTCCCTCACAGCACTCCTTAGACTTTTTCTATTTTCAGAGTTTGATTCGTGCTTGTATGCAATCAATTTCATTCGATTTTGAGACGCTTTTGAGCGAAGAATGGGAGAAGAATTGGCAGGACCTCGACCGCGACCAAATGATCGAGATTCTCAAGAGTAATCAATTGAGATTAACAAGTGAGGTTATTAGAAGACGTCTAAAACGATATCTCAATCTATCAGATGAGTTCAAATTGTGGGAAGGTGTTGTTAAATGGCTGCAAGCTCCGAATCATCCGGAACGCCGCGGAACGACTTCAAGTCCCTTGATGACACTCATTCTGCCACTCATCCGATTCCCCTACATGACCGCCGATGAATTGAACCAAGTCGAAAGATCGCCATTCTCCGAGACACATCCCAAACTTTTCCATCCGCCTATTCTATTGGCTTATAAATTTCAAGCACTTCCGTTGGCAAGTCGAATCAATTGCAAGTACGGAAATTATTTTGTGGGAAATACACAAACGAATGAAAATTTTAGAGAATTCTCAACGAAACAATTTTTGCTTCGTCAATATGAAGATACTCGCTGGGATCGACGAATTACCTTATCCGAGCAGCTGCTGGCAGTTCCTGGAGTCGATCACACGTTTACAGTAATTCGTGCATTCTTCAACTGCTACCAAATATTCTCATGTTTCAGCTATCGACGAGATCTTCAACATATCCATGTGGAGAATGGAAATGGACGTTGAAATTGACCGGTTTAACATATTCGAATGCCAATAATGCTGATGTCTTGAGAATATTATTGATTGCCGAGGATATTGATCAATCGAGGTGTAAAATTACAGAAAAAGAAAAAATGAATAATAGAAATGGTTTAAAACAAAAATCGATTAAAATAGATCATTTAATAGTCCAAACGATTTTATTTTCCCAATTGGCAGAGTTATTATTAATTGATTGAATATTTTCAGAGCTGTCGAGTATATGGTTCAGATAGTTGACGACAAAAAAGTATTGAGATCATTCTCCGGAAAGAAAACGTTCACAAAGACAAGGCATTTTGAACTCAAGCAGACCAAAATTTAAACCAAATATCAAATTTCAGGTACTCATCTGAATTGGAAATGGAGAAGAAAATCGAATTTGGCGATTTGCTCAACGAAGAATCTTCTCTCCTTTGTAATGGAGAACTCATTGTGCAATTGATGCTCAGACCGATTGATTAATTAAACGCAAACTCCTAATTATATCCATAATTTCGCTTGTCTTTCAAATATACTAGATTGGTTCATAATATTCGCAAGATTATATGTAATTAATTACCTCTCAAAAATAAACTTTTTGCTCATACCCTTTTAAGACCAATTGCTGGAATCGCAAAAAATGAGTTTTGCGATGAAAGACGAATACCATGTTGAATAAGAGCATTCTTTGATGACATGTTTTGATTTCTTAACACGATTCCGGTGGTCGATATTCACACAAACTTCTCGAGATAATTAAGATCCATTAGCTAGTTCGCAATGGTATAAATAAATCAGCCAAATCTCTCTTTTTTTCTCATTAAAACAGTGTTGTTCAACATAATGTTCAGGTCAGTTTGTACAATACTTCTTCAATTAGAATCATCGTGATTTTAAGGAAAGAATATACAGAAAATGATGTCAAAAATGCCAGGGAATTTGCATTTTTTGCGTTTTTCGCTGCAACAATCACATCATTTTCGGCACTTCTTGTTTTCCCGGCAGTTTTTTTTCAATTCACAGTATGCTCTCTTTGAAAATTAGACTTGAGATTTGGAATAAATTTGAGAAAATAAATACGGCGTTTGATATGCACTTCAATTCGTGTCGAAGCCGATTATCGGACTACAAATTAAAGGTATTCGATTGCGAATAAAATTCACTTACTCGTGTTCAGATGCTTCCCGAACTAACTCACGCGATCAGCAAACGACAATTCAATGCAATTGTGCGAGACCATCGATTTGTGTGGAAATAAAATCAATATTATTTTAGGAGGATTTCAAAAGTGGCTACATGGCATCGTCAGCGCAAAATTGCTGCTTCTGTTCGATTGGTCTTCCTGGTCCGAAAGGGATTCCAGGAGAAAACGGAAAAAATGGTGATGAAAATTCGCAAATTTCGAAAACAAATGTATTGCTCGTCAGGCAAAGATGGTGGTTTTGGAAGTGCTGGCAAGCCAGGAAGAGACGCCATCGAGAGATCGATGCATGACGGCTACTTTGATTTCTGCTTCGAATGCCCTCCCGGTCTTCCCGGACAAGACGGTCCAATGGGCGAAAAAGGTCCGAGAGGAGCTATTGGGAGTCCAGGATTGCAAGGATCAAAAGGGAAATCCATTCAAGGGCCCGGTGATTCTTGATTCTAAAATATGTATCATCTGTAGGCTAAATTTTAGTGGGTTCGCCAGGAGTTCAAGGTGTCGTCGGTTTGCCAGGTTCACCAGGAATACAAGGAAAACCCGGAGTCATCCAATTATCGATTGAAGTTTCTGGCCCACCGGGGCTACCAGGAAGCGCGGGACCTCCAGGATTAGACGGGCCAATTGGGCCAAAAGGAAAACAAGGGGCTCCTGGGATTCGAGGGAATCATGGTGATAACGGTCCAGATGGAAGTCCAGGAATACCTGGTGTTGATGGCCAAGATGGTGATGCTGGCCTAGAAGGTGCAGAAGGTTCATGTGATCAATGTCCGTTTGCGAGAACACCTCCAGGTTATTAGTCTTGCCTCGAAGCCTTTCCATCATTCCTCCCGCCAGTCCAAACTCATTCTATTTATAATTTCCCTTCATTCGAATCGAATCCCTCGCATTTCTCTAATTTAAAAATCTCTAAACGATTTAGCTGGTCCCATGTGTCCAAAAATGATTTGTCAATTACTGAATAAATGAATTAATATGTATATATGCTATACTATACCTGATTTTGATGTGTTTCCGCGTTTCTCTCGCCGCTCTCTTCCACTCAATGCTCTTTGAAGTCGACGCTTTGTCATCATTTTTCTGGTCATTCCTACGTGATTTTTGGCAAGAGTGAATCAGTCCTATCGACGATCATGATGACGATGATGACAATCCCCTAGATCGACCAAGACGGATCGGCATTTAATTGGCCGAAACCCCCCCCCCCACCAAGAGAGCTATTTGGGATGGTATCAGCGAGATATACGCCCTATCAATGAAACGTGCCAAACCCATAGCACCACTACTTCCGATTCCGACATTCTTCAATTGAAGATGAGCGTAGAGAGTAGACGCGTAAAGAGGTGCTAAGAATTGAAAAAAAAGACGTTGTTCAATTATATGCCGGCATACGGTAGAACATAGTTAGTTGATAGCTAACTGTCATGTTAGCAATCGTACTCTGGTATTCGTGCACATCGCGAATAATGGAAACATCAAATTGCTCCACACGCATAATTTTGATAGGTTCAACTGATCGAGTTGGTTTCTGTTGTATTTACACACGGGACAAAAAACTTCTTGTCGAAGAAATGATAAAATATTTTCACGTGACCACTGTGGTATTAACTGTGAGAAAGTGAGTACGAAAGAACATGACATCGACACGTGTATCGTGTTCAACAAATATCGACCTTCGTTGGGAATCTCCAGCTTCTCATTCAGTATTGCATACTAATCCTGTCAATCGAATTTTCTTATCTCGGAAATATTCCGAAACGCACCAAAGAAGAAATCGAATGAGTTCGTTGGCGGCATTATTTCCTCAATCGTTTGGTCCATTTCGAAAATGACAATACCGTAATTGAAAATCAGAAGAACAGTCTCTAGTTGAACGAAAATGTCGATGTGACAAATTTGAAAATACGTGTTAACACGAATCTCGGCTTATAGACCAAATCATATCGAATCTCGCTAGTAATAGAAATTCGATTTCTTCGGGTTTTGATTCGAATCAATGGATTTAGTTTGGTATTTTTTATGTGTTTTTCTTCTACAAAAACAATTTGACGAAAGGAATAATAAGAATACAAGCTCATAGGGATATGTTGTGGTTCGAGCGACTAATTCACAAACAAAAGTGCCAATTCAGAAAGCCACATTCAAAGCATGTTTAGTCAATCTGTCCAAATCTTTTAGTTAATACCTTCTTCTAACAAGATGTTAAAGGTATTTTAGTATTTCAATTAAACCTTTTTTTATTATTCCGTCAGTCGAGGTCAATTTTTTCGAAGCTTTATTATTATTAAACATTAGATCATTTAATGAGAATCAGTATTTAATGCCCCCATGCTGACGTCCTTCGACTCTCCGTGTTTTCCGACTTCGAGCACCGGCAAGGCTTATTCCGCTTCAGTTGTTTTTTGTTTTAAACTTTCGTAGATAAATCTAACACATTATCGACAATAAATGAATGAGATTTCAATCTCATTGGTAGATATTGTCGGCGTCAAACGACTGAAGGGAGGCGGGGTTTTCAAATTCGCGAAATCAGTGTAGATTTAAATTAATCGTTGACTGAATATTAAATGCGCGTACGCTATAATGCAACGTACGCAATCTCGCTGCCTCGAGACGCATTGGCACATATCCAATAATTTTTTTTAATTTCGTCAAGTCGTTTGACTTCGACAATAAATGTAAATTAATGATAACGAGCGAATTTGAGAAACGCGAATGAAAATAAACCCAAAATGAACATTTTTGGTTTTTTTTTTGGTTTTTGTACCTTCAATTTTTTAGGGTATCTTATTTACAGGACGAATAGCGAAGATTTTTTTGCTTCGGGGTAACACATTTAACATTATGGAACAAACGAGCAATCATTTTTTCTCTTCAGTTAGTCGAAAGAGATATCAGATCCTAGTAAGGGAGACCTGTTTTTTTTACAACGCTGTTGAAATAAACAGTGGCAGCTTTTGGAAATGCCCGTGGTGGCCCCCAGCTTATAACAAAACCACACCACGACTTAAAAATTGGTTGGTTTTATGTGCAGGTTATCGCCCGCAAATTAATTACGACGATTCACAGCTACTCAAGGGTGGTCGTTTTGTTCAACGAAAATTTATCTTCGTTTCCTGTTATCCATTGTAGTATCCACACTGAATATTTTAACTTCGCCATCAAAAAATCAAACAATTGATGATATTATTTCAAGTGTTGCAACAGTCCAAAGTATCATTATTTCACCGCACCGCACCTTAGCATCTCCTATCACTCTTTCGAAGGCCCATCTTTCGTGCCTCCCACCGCCACAAACCAATACGTGATGTCTGATTATTTACAGTAATCGGATTACGGTATTGGAATTCATTTCCGAATCATCTTATCGAATTCGTCGTTCGATAAAATCGAAAGACGATGCTCTGGAATAACGGAAATGATTGAGAAAGAGAGAGAGAGAGAGAGAGAGAGAGAGAGAGAGAGATATGAAATAAATGGTGAACAGATCATCAGAACAACTTTGAACGAATGATACGAATCGAAATTGAAAAAAAATGCGTCCAGTTTGGAGATATAATCAGCGTTAGTCGACCAATGCATTAGGGTAGATTTACGAGCTTGCGCCTTTCGCTATGGTCTCACGCCAACGAACTGGTTGTTTTGCATTTCGGAGTTTACTTCGATAATTTTTAATTTCAAAAACAATTGATATTCCAGGAAAGTTAGAGAAATAAAAAAGTGTAGGAAAAGCCTAAGGCACGTAAATTAGAATAATTTGCAAAAAACAGCGCCGCCGTTGCCGCGTCAAGATACATACACACGTACGTAAAATTGCACACGTTATTTTTTTTTTATTATTTTTATTGAATTCTCTTTCAAAAACGTATTTCTTCAAATTTTTCGACGAGAAAAAATAATTCAGTAATCTGAAAAAAAATTCCAAAAAATGTAAAAATCCATTTGAAACCAGCATAATCAACATCGTGGAAGAATCGAGGTATAGTCGGCGTCCGGCTACTGCTGTAGTTTTAGGTGATGCTTCTTTCTTGCGCGGATTAACTGGTTTTTTTCGAATTTTATGGGTCTGTTCGATAATTTTTAAATCAAACGACGTTAGAAATTTCAGAAATGCCAAACTCATCAAGAAAAAAGAAATTATTCACGCCGTCTATAGAAGAATTAAAATGCGTTTCAAATTCGCGCTTTAATTCATTCAAGTTTTCCCTTTTTGCTCGTTCAAACCAAATTTCATTGGCATTTCAAAAGTTCGCGACAAACTTTGTGCATTGTGAACTTTGTCAGCTCCTTATCAAAAGTTTGCAGAACAAAATTTCCTATCTCGCGTAAATTTCACTCTGGATGCTAAAAATAAATAATACAGATTCGATAGTTGAAAAATATCAACAAAAAAAGTGATCTAGGCCAAAATGTTATCGAATCAGCCGTTCTCCTTCACCTCTATCTGCTGAAAAAATGAAGAAAAAGAAAGACACAGTAAAATATTATTCTCTTTATTAAAGTTTCGGGTATGATTACTGGCGTGCACATTTGAAAATGGTCTTGCAGGGAAGAAACGAGAAATGAAATCAAAGTCACGATAAAACCGAATATTTTAACATTTCGAACAGACGCCCGTAAATCTACCCAAATCTGCTAATTTCTGAAATCTTCAAAATTGATAAAGCAAGAAAAACGAATCGAGAGAATAAATGAAAAAAATTGTGCGAGGATTTTTGAAAGAAAACTCATGCCGAATCGAAATGCACATTTAAGCATCTTTCAAATTTATCAATTAATCGACACTTTTTTGCTGCAACAATTTTTGAAACTATTTTTTCCATATTTTAAAAATTTTTCGGATATTTGTGCAATTAACTGTCGAAGAACAAATGTTGGTTTAAAAATTAGTGATGAAGAACAACGAAACAGTCGAAAATCGAATGAACACTATCACGTACATTCAATTTTTCTTCTCCGAACTCACGTTTCCATTATTTTTTTGTAGCTTAAACAGGAAGATATAAGGAGAACCTATATTTGGTCTTGATTTCAAAAATAATGCGAAAAGAATCGATGAAAATACGCTAAAGAAACGAAAAGCCATGTTCAAATAACTTTTCGAAACACAATTTTTAATAATCGTTGAAAATGAATAAAAATTGGCTGGCAAAAATCTACCACTTGGTGAATGAAATTAATAATGAAATAAATTCGAATTCGTGTAAGACAAAATCGAATAACAGAATATCCGAATGTTTCAAAACAATTCGGGGAAAAATTGTACAAATTTTGCATGTTTGATCATATCATTATTTTATTTTTCAAACGATCGGTGATACGGAGCCGCAAATTTTGCCTGAACAATGTGCAAAAATTGATAAATGAAAACTCAAAATGGCATGTTCTCAAATCAGCCAATATTGGCCATATTTCTTTTTCATTTTATCCATTTTCTGGGTAGAATTCCAAAATTATCTGAAACTTGAATAAATACTAGTAAAAATAATTGCAAGAGAAGTCTGTGATGACAATGCTCCTATAAAGGAGTCATCATTTGATCTACTTTCGAATTTTGTGTCATGCGGTTTTTTTTCCGAATTATCATTATGATGACGATCAAAGATCGCATGAACCCACGAATGTCATCTAATTGGAACAATTTGTATTCGTTTTTGTTTATTATTTGCCGCCAGCCACCCGCCGCCCGTAATGTAATGTGTAGAGATGTTCGCGGACGCATTGTTGGCTACAGAGAGACAGTGAGCTGATTACGGCAAGTCAAGTTTTACGTCGAATGACAGTATGCGCGGAATCGAATCTCGCAATTCGCACGTACGCAGTTGCCTACGTGACATTCGAAGGGTTAATTACAAAAATCGGAAGAATGGGGCGGTGCGAGACGAACATGTGAACCGCCTTACGAGGGCATATAAATATACAAACATCGTCGACCGATAATACAGATCACGACAGCTACTACTACTTTTTGATTTTCGACCCTAGCTTTCGACCCCGCTTTATCATTACCATCTCATCTTATTTGCTGCAAAGCATACTCCCGATCTCAATCGACGAATTGCAGACGTATGTCCGAATCGTTACTCTCAATGCAGAAACTCGATGAAATTCGAATCATGTCAACGGCCGCCGACAGCAATTTCTCTATCGACTGTTTTACTTCGTCTCTGTTCCCAGACACGGTTCCAGCTGCCATCAGTCCGCTCATCGCATGGATCTCATTGGTATGTCTTTTGCTCAATTTCTAACCTGTACTACTTAAACCAAATGTTGGATAGCGGAAATGTTACACAGAGAACAATTCAAACGATAGAGAGATACATGTGAATGATTGGCATGATTCCAACATTATCATCATCATTTTGTAGCCCGATCAGACTGATTTGATAAAAGAAGATAGAAACGCATCTCTAAACTCGGCGAATAAACTAGTATCGGATTCTCAATTCAATTCAGAATTTAATATGAAATCTTATTGATTCCGCTTTCAGGTGATCATTGGAACGATCGGACCAATCAGCGTCTTCTCACATCTCGGAATTCAACGATCCATTAAAGAACTTCTATCGGAACGTGCATCAAAACTTGATGTACTTGATGTTTTCCGATTCCTTGCAATTCTTTGGGTCATGCTTAATCATACTGGAAGTGAGGGACGTATTGATATTCTTGAAAAACTCCCATCTGCTGAAGCATTCAAGGTAATTATAAAATCGATACCGAAATTTCTTCAATTTATTTTTTTTTAGATTGCTATGCACAATCATCCAATTTTCGGAGCACTTATCGGAAATTCCGCGTTGGGAGTTGAAATATTTCTCGTGTTAGCGGGTCTTCTTGCCGCGAGATCTTGGCTCCGAAAAGCTGATGAGCCATTCTTTCACCATTGGAAGTCGTTCATCATCCGCCGATTCCTCCGCCTTGCCCCTCCAATGCTTCTTTTCGTGTACATCGCCGCAGGACCCATAATGGAAGCGCTTCTTCCTCGATTCACCTCATCGATGATCTCTGCGTGCGGCTTCTGGGGAATCGTTTCTCATGTGACATTCACTTCCAATTTGCAATCTACCCCAACATGCATGGGGTATTTGTGGTACCTCGGTCTCGATATTCAACTCTACATGGCTGCTCCATTCCTTCTTCACTTGCTTCACAAGAGCCCAAAGAGTGGAATCGTCGTCTCATTGGCTGCGATTATCGCTTCCTGCGTGATCCGGGCCGGTTATTGCACATCATACGGAACATGCAATAACAGCGATGTCGACATTCCGGTCAGTTGAATTCAATCAATTATCAGAAAACTTATTTGCTAAATTTCAGTTCATTTCCTATCCTGGACAAGATGCGGCTACTTTGAAGTCCATCTATGCTGGACTTTGGGATATGTACTCTAGACCTTACACAAAATGCGGACCATTCATCGTGGGCCTTCTTCTTGGATATGGAACAACTTCAACTAACGTAAGCAATTATTTCCCAAAAATGGCACTTCTTTTAATTGGGCAATTTTTCAGTTTGTCATGTCACCAGCTGCCTCGAAGTTCCTTTTCCGCTCAAGCTTTGCTCTCGCCGTACTCACAATCTACGCAATTCTTCCGGAATACTGGAATCCAAATGCTGGAAACAATCTCTACAATCTGTTGTACACCGCCACATTCCGAACAGTTTTCGCAATCGCCATCGCTGGAATGATTTCAGCGCTTTATTTCAGACAGGAATAGTGAGTTTTTGAACCGCTAAATTGCTTAATATTCGTGTTTTTTTTTTCAGCAAACCAGTTCCAAAAATATTTGCAATTCTTGCGAAACTCACCTACAACACCTACCTCCTTCATATGCCCATCGTCTATATTTTCAATTGGCTTCCATTCCTTCAATCAGCAACATCACCGATCCATCTTATGTTTGTTCTCCCATTCGTTGCCACATTGTCATACCTGGCTGCCTTTATTTTCTACATATTCGTTGAGGCTCCGATCGGTCATCTCACTAGTCAATATGCCACCAAAATAGGTCTTTAAGATTGTTTACGTGCTTGATTTGATCCAAGATCTCACCTTGTAAATAGGGTTCGTTGCATAATTTGGCATTTCTGTACATATATTTCTTGCCAGTTGTGATATTCCAATTGCCGGTATAGTTTGTTGTTATCACTTTTAATAACTATTGCCAACAAGTTCGCCCTATTGCAATATTATTGCAATGGGTTTTAGGCCATATTTTAGAGTTCGCTGGTGAAAATCACACAGTATACTGATTTTGTTGTTATTTTTATCATTTTGTTAATTACTCTTCAAATAAATATTGTGCTATACATCATAACACATCAAAATATTTATTTGGTCATTTCGAATTTCTTTCATATCGATTCAGCTTCTTCCAATAGTTCAGCTCATCCGATGCAATCAGCCTCTGAAAGGAGATATTCGTTCGTTCAAAAAATCATTTTTTAATTCGCAACCTGTCCATGATTTGATATTTCCCTTTTCGCCAATGCCATTGAAATTCGGGCAACTGCGCTCATTGCAGAGAATGGATCATCACCTTGATAATTAAAAAAAAGCAACTAAATGGGTTCTATGAAATAGGTTTACAATCACACTGCGCGACGATCAATCGATGGTTGTTTGATGCGGCTTCTTCCAATTTTCCACCCTTTTGGACACCATCCAAAAATATGTCAGCAAGGCTAAAAATTGGGATTTTCCGCCCGCTTATAACGATTTTCCGAATGTGATCTTCGGATTATCTAAACCTTATACTCGATGCGATTGCAGAATCGGAGTGTATCTGATGATCAAATTCCCGCACGGTGGCGCCATGATCATGCAGGATTCGAGCGACCAGCCCGATGTTCTTAGATCCTCTCACCGCGACCACCTGCAACAATTTCATCATTTGGTTGACTTGTTTCCGATCGATTTTCGATCGCAAACCTCAATGTTCTCAAGGTAGTTCTCGCCAAGCTGCGCACGCTGGACGACGTTTGCACCGACAAACACGTTGCCGACAGTCTGCAATCAAAAACGACCTTTGGAACCTTTCTATATGAATCAAATTGTTGCGCGTTTTCGATTCAACCTAACGCGGAAACGGTTATCTGTCTGCTTCGGGGGTATTCTGACATTTTTTGATTAACCATACAACAAATTATAATACGAGCCAATTCAAAAACCGCCACCATCTATGTGTGGTCTTGGCGCAAAACTAACAAGGGAGGTGTTTTTACTTAGTGGTTTGGAATTTTTTCTAATTTTGCACACAAATAGATCAAGAAATTCCCTATCGAGTGTGCTATGTCGTTTTCTGCAAAAGTTCCAAAAAGTCCCAAAACTTTGGGTCCGAAGTTTCAAATTTTGATCCATTGTTTTTATTCACTGTTTCATGATTTTTGCCATACTTCCTCACCACGCACAAATACCCCATTTCGATGGAACTACGGCAAGCAGCGATGGTTCAGTGGGATGTATACGGGTTATCAAGAAATGGATTGTTGGTTCGTTGCCCCTTCTCGCAATTTATTTTGCAATTAATTTGTGATAAAATTTATACAAGTTTTATAATGGCTTGATGGTTTAATTTTGTGAAACGAATAGTTGTCTCGAACAGAAAATGAGACTGTAAAAATAGAAAGTTCATTTGATTTCAAAAATTTTTTTCAAAATTTTTTCCACTCTGCTGCCCAACCATATTGCAACCACCATCCTCGGTTTAGTAACAATCGACGTTCAAGATTCACAGCCGGGAATCCAGTATTCTAGCAAGTTGTTTATAAAACTCGCATTTCCCTATAATTTTTAATCGCACAGTGTTGTCTATTGCTTTCCGCCAATTATGCTCTCCGAAGCTCCGAGGATGGTTGCAATATGGTTGGGCAGTAGAGTGGAAAAAATTTTGAAAAAAATTTTTGAAATCAAATGAACTTCCTATTTTTACAGTCTCATTTTCTGTTCGAGAAAACTATTCGTTTCACAAAATTAAACCTTCAAGCCATTATAAAACTTGTATAAATTTTATCACAAATTAATTGCAAAATAAATTGCGAGAAGGGGCAACGAACCAACAATCCATTTCTTGATAACCCGTATACACTGATTAAGCGCGACGCAAGCATAATGGAAGCATTGTGGGAAATCTGTGGAACGGAAGCATAATGCTTCCATATAGGAAGCATAATGTAATTCTTAGTGGCTGTGGAAGAATTATGGGACGAATATGGATGGAATGAAAACGGGATGAATATGCTTCCGGTGTTTGCGAGCCGTGGAACAAATATGGATGGAATATGGATAAAATAATCATATGTCAATAAACATTATACAATTGGCGTCTGGACGGCAGACCAAGACAATTTCTAAAAAAATCAATACAAAAAACTTATGCTATCATATAAACAATGAAAATTTGAAAATTACATGATACACAACATACGAAATTTAGCTTCTACCATTTAATGACTTATGTTACTCAGATTTATGTTAATTCAGTCAACTGTTCCTCACTTTGTTTAAAGATTGCCAACTACAATTTAGTCGTATTAATATATTTTTGCCGGTTTTTCCGAAATTGGCATCGCAAACTACTCACAATTTGCTCCAAACTGGTAGCAGACGCGCGTAGAAGAGGCGTGCCGCAGCATTGCAAAACCGTGCGCCGCTTTGCACAATGCGGCCACGCCTCACATTTTCGAAATTCGTTTTCAAAATTTTTGTCCTTTTGCTTTTTCTCAATGAATTTTCAAGATTTTTTGTGTTTTTTTTTTTGTCAAAAATTAAAGAATTTTTTTCAAAATTAAAGGAAAAATTTTTTAAAAAATAAAGGAAAAATTTTCATGTTTATCATCAAAATCGAAACCAAAAATAAATTGATAGCATTCGAAAATTTTAAAATCGATACGATGTTTTCAAATCGTTTCCGACACTTTTAAAATCGAATTTAAATATTTTCTCAATCGAATTGTGTTTAATTTCTCATCGAATCCGTTTTATTTTTATTTACTTTAACATATTTTTTATTATCGCTCGCTTTTTTCTTTTAATAAAACATAATGTTTTGAAATTTTTTACAGATGAAGACAAGATCGAGAGTGTTGTCAGATATAACTGAAACTGCTCTAGAAGTCAATAACAAAGAACCAGAAGTCCCTAACATGGAACCAAATTCGCTCGACACTTCAGATCCAGATAGTCCAATTTACTCGCCAACTCAGCAAAAAAATTTTTCTCCACAGTCCTCACAAACAACAAAATCAACGCCAATTCCTAAACCTTCGTACGCCCAATTTGTAAGTTGTTATCATCAAAAATTGGCCTGTTCGACTCCAGAAATGGTTTCAATTAGAAAAATATGCGCAATGAAGTCATTATAAAGTACTTCCTAAGTTTAAAGCTTGTTGATTATTTGGTTCCAATCAGGGCTGTGCGGCAATGGAATTGCCGATTGCCGAAATTGCCGGTTTTTCAAATTGCCGAAGAAAATTTCGATCGGTAATTTGCCATTAGCCGAATCGCCGAAATTTCCGATTGCCGTACAGCCTTCGTACCAATATCATTCAGTGGCATTTATCTTTTTAAGTGGGGCTCTTGTACAGAAGTCGCCAGATGCCGACTATATAAAGATCCTATACTTTATTGCAAATATCTATATTACAGATGCTCTTATCCATGGCTTTGGGCAACAACCGACAAATGACTTCAAAGCGAAAGCATTACGCATGGTTCGAGAAGACATGGATAATCTTCTGTAAGATTTTGAACTATGACTATTAATTTATTTATTTGATTAAGCGATAGAATGCGCCAACGACTTCAAAGGAAATTTGGTGTAGCGCCGGAAGCGCTCGCGGCGCAATTAAGGAAGCTGCTTGATTCTACCAGCAACCCTCAGATGTGAGTATTCATATGTCTTTGAAATTTTAACCAAAATGCCTTTTTGCTTCAAATTTTGGAGTTGTTCTTTCTTCCGCCAATTCACTTTTTATTTTGTGCACTAAAGGGTTTCCAAAAATGCAATAAAAATAAATTATTTTTATTTTTAAGAAAATTATTGATGTAAAAAAAACTGATTGTATTTTCTCGAAAAATTTAGTTTACGTAACAATGGTTTACAAGTTTTTCAAATTAATAGGCCCATTATAATCTACTTATTACAGCGTCCCGCTCGATGTCAGTACTGACAATGATTCGAATAGTTCGGCAGTTGCCAGTAACTAATGGTTTGATTATATCTTAATTGAAATTCATTTCATTGTTGTTTTTTTTTTTATTTTAAATTAAATAAATGTGTTAATATGAAATAAATTTTGAATACAGCAATCAAATTGTTTTCTTATTTTCCCATATGGAAGGCATACGGCTCATTCCATATACGAAACACGCGGTTCCGCAAAAAAATGCTTCCATTATGCTTCCATATAACTTGCATATAAGATTCCTATGATATCCACAGCCGTTCCACTATGCTTCCATTGTGCCTATGCCGCCGTTTATCTGTGTACACCCCACTGAACCATCGCTGCTTGCCGCAGTTCCATCAAAATGGTGTATTTGTGCGTGGTGAGGAAGTATGGCAAAAATTATGAAACAGTGAATAAAAACAATGGATCAAAATTTGAAACTTCGGACCCAAAGTTTTGGGACTTTTTGGAACTTTTGCAGAAAACGACATAGCACACTCGATAGGGAATTTCTTGATTTGTTTGTGTGCAAAATTAGAAAAAATTCCAAACCACTAAGTAAAAACACCTCCCTTGTAAGTGTAGATTTACGTATACGTTAAAGGCGCACACCGATTTTTTTTCCGCAGTCGCGCGACGTCGACAAGTATTTTCGTCAGTCTGCACGCAATTTTGGGAACATTCTTTCACACATTTTAAAAGATGACATGGTCGGCGTCTGGTAACTGCTGTACGCGGGTATATTTACGCGCGTGCGCCTTCACTATGGTCTCGCGTAGACTAATTGGTTATTTTGTATTTTCGAGCTCGTTCCTTCAAATTCTCAATTTCAAAGATAACAAGTATTCAAGGAAATGATATATTCATCAGTAAAAATTAAACAGTTCACGTGAAAATTTCAAAGAAAGCGTTCACGCGTGGCGAGACCTTTTCAAGGCGCATGCGCGTAAATCTACTCGCGTACAGCAGTCGCCGGACGCCGACTATATTTGTTATTGTATTGTCGGCGTCAAACGACTGAAGGGAGGCGGGGTTTTCAAATTCGCGAAATTCGTGTAGATTTAAGTTTTTCGTCGACTGAATATTAAATGCGCGTACACTATAATGCAATGTACGCAGTATCGCGTACAATTATTTGCCTCGAGACGCATTGGCACATAGCCAATAATTTTTTAAATTTCGTCAAATCGTTTGACTCCGACAATATTACTTTAAAAAAAAAATTCGAAAAACTATAAGGGTTCGGAACATCGATCTGAATGTATATTCAAAATTTGCAAAATTTAATTCTTGAAAATTATAATAAATACATTGAAAATGTTCGTATTTGAATTTTAATGCATTGAATTCCTTATATTTAATATGTATGAAAACATACCCGTTTCTGCAATACGAAATGTTTGAAAATTTGCAAGCGCATTGTCGCAAGAGAATACTCCACTCCGCACGAAATAGGTTGACGAATGGCTCGTTGGCACGAAACAAATCCAATTTCAATTTGCGCCTTCTTTTTGTTTTCTTCATCTTTTCAAAAAGTCAATTTCGAAAGCTAATTAGTTTTTCTTCTCACAATAACCATTAAAACAATAAAAAAGTGAACAAATCAACAAAAAAACAACAAAAAAATCTCTAAATTAGGCATATTTCTTCTTTTTCTTCGGAATATTAGCATCCAATTCTTCCTGTTCCTGCTCTTTTGCCTTCTGTTGTTCGTGAAGTCGTTTCAACCTTTTCTTTTCCTGCAAATTATTGCTCGTTCTTTGTACTTTGTTTCGGAAAACGAACCTTTTTCAAACGTTTTCTTTCTGCTTCATCAATTTCCTCATCTAGCGATTCTTCCTTGATCTTCTCGTTGCACACCTTTAAAGACGCAATAGATAAAATAAAATCTAATAAAATCTAATAAACCTCCTCATCATCATTTTCCTTCTCTTGAGATTCCAGCAATTCCTTCTCCCTTTGTTCTCTTCTCAAACGTTTTCGTTCCTTCTTTTCAGCCTTTCTTCTAGCTTTTTCTTCGTCATCAATAACTTCTTCTTTAATTTCCTGTTTGACTTCAACATTTTCAGACGCAGCAGCTTCCCGTTTCGCCTTCAATGCAGCCATTTTCGCCGCGAAATAATCACCAACAGAAAGAGTACTAACAGTATGACAAGTGGCTTCCTTCTTGTCCTGAAATTACAAAAAAAAATAATAAATTCGGGCGAATTTCGAAAAAACCTCATCAGTCGTCTCTGCAATATTATTGTCGATTTTCGCAGGTTCTTCTGGAGCATCATTCTTCTTCTTATCGGACTTCAGTCTCCCGAATCCAAAAATTCCTGCCTTATCATTTTCCGTATAGTTGGTAGTATCCTTAGCTCGAGTGAACTTTTGATAACTAAAATTATTTTATTCTTAAAAGCAGAAAACAAAAAACGTACTGAATTCGTCGACGCACAGATTTACTTTTTAATTCGATCGAAATTTTCTCCGCCGTTTTCTCTTTTTCTTCTTCTGTTTGTGATGGCTCCTAAAAAAAATTAGCATTACGGCATTTCTTATTATTCATTTGTAATGAATATGAGCTACTAAACGTATCATTTTAACAATATGAAAAACACATGTTTTTTCTATGAAACATTGTTCGTGCGACTGCGAAAAATTGTCTAAAAACCCAAAAAAAACAACGGCAAGGACGCACATTTAAAGACGCACATCGCGCAGCACCAATACCGATTTTTAAATTTATTGACATTTAGCTAATTTCCCCGTCGACAATATGTCAATTCAAGGTTGTAAGCAAAAAAAAGAATACGAAAACATGACCCGTGAAGAGGAATTCAATTTCGCAAAATCAGTGTAGATCTACGAATTTAAAAATTTACGCGTTGACTAAATATTGAATTGACGTCAGGAAAATGCAGAGCACGCAGCACTCTTTTCTTGGCATTCACATAGCCAATGTTTTTTAAGGAATTATTTCATTACTTGTTTCAAACCCACAAAAGACGTGACTCACCAGCTGTTTTGATTTGTTCAACGCAGCAAGTAAGTCAGCAAAATCATCATGATGAGAAATCCACGTTGAATCATAATCCGACATTTTGTCTGCTCCGAGACCTAAAAAAGAATATTCAAAAAAAAAAAACAAAAAGAAGCTGATTTACCTTTTCCTGAATAATTCGCCTTCAGCTTGATTGCTTCTGAATTTCCTTGTCGATTTCTTCCTAATCCATCACCTTCACTCCAACCCATCTTTTCCATAAGTTTTTTCGAAAATCTAACAAAGTTTGACAAATTTCAGTCTAATTAAAAAATATATACTTTTGATCGTCATTTTTCCAGGTTAAATTCTGCGGATCGATACTTATTCTTTGTTTTCGGCGAGGCTCTGCAAGAATCGACATTCTCAACTTATTCGATCGTCGATAAACCCTGAAAAATATTTTTTTAATAATTTTAAAAATACACTAAACATTTGAGATAATCAACAGAACCATACTGTTCACACGAAATTATTCAAAAAAGGAATAACATAAATAATTTATTAATTATTCACAAATAAATAAGGTAACTAATGCCATTCGCAAAAATCAATAAAGCATGAAACAACCGTTTAGAACAATAATTCTAATTTTTTTTCACTAAGCATTCACTAAATCAATGGTCCATATTTCGGACATTCCAATCATTTTCATTGGAGGTCCTTGATATAATGTTCCCGCTGAGACCATTAGTTGAGTATAGGGTGAGAGATCGTATAACCCGTAAAAATATGGAAGAAGCCAGTATACAACAGGAATGACCACATAGAATTGTCCAGCGTGTGTATGTCCTGAAATTATCAAAAACTATTTACTCATATGGACAATTCATTGGGAAAATGAATCAAAACGTGTGGGAAACATTTCTACCTGAAAGAACAAGATCGATCGTCTGCAAATCACTTTTTGCAAAATCTTTGACCGATGCTGGATTGTGAGCCATGACTATTCGAGTGTTAGAACTTGAACATTTTCTCAACGCCATCGAAACATTCATGGAATGATCTGGAATTCCATCTTTCCCGCTTGAAATGTCATTTACACCAGCTAAGCAAACTCCTTTCAAAATAGTGGCGCTGAAAAGCGGCATTATTCCAATTTAAACTGAAATAGCATACTCGTTTTCTAGAACTTTTATATTATTCCGACGGTAATAATCAATCCATTCTCGAACATCTCCATAATAATAATCGTGATTTCCGGTTACAAAGAATGTCGGAAACTTGTCTGCTATTTCGCTGAAATCACCTGTGTAGTTCCAGAAATATTCAACGAAACGTACATTATCGGACTGACACGTTCTTTTAAATCTGACAATTCACCATCAACCATGTCTCCTATTATCAATACAGCGTCTGCGTTGGTTTTTAACACTTTTTGAACTATTTTCTCTATCTGAACGTGATGAAAATTCAATTCGATAACTAAAAATTCGCGTACCTGATGTTGATAAACACTTCCTCCCACATGTAAATCAGACAAAACAACCAATCTCAAATGTTCATTTTCAGCAGTCAGATTTCTGATTTTAACGATTTTTTGTTTAACAATTACTACATCTCTTGATACAAACATTAGTATCGATAAAATTAATGTTATTACAATTGTGAACCTAAAACCAGGATTTATTTTTTATAGAAATTCTCATGAATTTTCTTACTTTATTTGAGTTTTTCTATTCCACATTAAGTTGTAGAATACTTCAATTTTTCCTATCGTTTCCAAAAGTATCCTTGTTGGCACAAACATCTAAAAAATCTTTTATTTGAGAATTTTGCATTGTAATAATTCAATACCATCATTGGTTTTGCAAGGAAATTGACAAGAGCAAATCCCCAAACAAACGCAATCAAATTTGTCCATATTCCTGCGCAAATTGACGTAACATCAAATAAAATCCACTGAAAGAAAATCATTAAATAACATATTTAGTATTAAATAACTTTTACCTGAACCCATGAAGGAGTATAATACAGAAAATACATTGATTGACCAATGAAGAAAAATAGTATAAGAGCTATTGAACATCGTCGTCTTGTGACCTAAAATGTCACAAATCATTGCTTTATTGATATTTTTAAATTGATATTTTTATTTTTATAATTAAAAAAAAAGAGAAATTTTAAATTTTTCAAAAATCAATTATCAAAACCTTTTAACTGGAGAAGAGAAACGAAAAATTAAAAAAAAAAAGGTCGAAAAAATATTTTAATGAGTAACGACGACCCGGTGTTTACACTGCCCGTTGTTTAGTGGACGGTCTTAAAACGCTCGGCGCGTCTTCAAATAATTTTTTTCGCAGCGTCAATCGTTTTTTTTTCGTCTTCGTAATTTTTTATAATCAAAAAGTTTCCCTTATAAGCATTTTAAGTTTTTCACAGTTCCCTATGTTCCTACGATTCCTTCATCAGTTTCCCAGGAATACGGCATTCCCTAGTCGTTTTTTTTTGGCAAAAGTTCATGAATTTTTTTGCAAAGAATGTTAAAATTACATTTGCTTTTTTACCATCCTGCTTTGCAAAAATGTGTAGTTTTTACATTTTTATTACATGAATAGGTCCATATTATATATTTTTTTTAATTATAACCAGTTCAATGATTATTTATTTCAGAATATACATGGACAATAATCAAGGTCCTAAAACATATGGCAATTATAATCCTCGAGCGCAGGACCCTAGAACAGTAATAATATTGAAATCAACAAAATAAAAATAAAACGTTTAGTATTCCGTGTCACGTCCTGTCCATTATGATCAGAGGGCTGTACAAGCAGCGCAAAATCGCCAACAACAATCGATAGCAAATGGAAAAAGAAATGTGACAGCAAATTTGGCGGCTGCGCATTATGGAGTTCAGAGGACTGATTATGTATAACTAATAAATGGCATATCGAAATGAATATGTCGTAATTTAGGACTTTAGCAGCGCTGGATATGGATCCTATTTGGATGACGATAGCTACAGGTTGACTTTAGATTTTAATTTGTTTTATAATAAATCGGTTTCGAACATAATGAACCTGACTTGAACTTTATCCTTCAATAACATATATTTATAGCAATAATGGATCGCATTGGTCTGAAGATCGTCGATACCACGACATGGGTAAATCAGTCATAAATAACGTTTCGGATCGTCCAACAGGTCTTCGCCACTTTTCCACAAAAGTTTGTGAAAAAGTGAAACAAAAAGGATTGACAAATTATAACGAGGTAGTAAATGTTGGATGATCTTCGTAACAATTATTTAAAGGTGGCCGATGAGCTTGTAGCTGAGTATTTTGATGCCAATATGGTTCATCAAGTAGATGTCGTCGTAAGTGTTCTTCTATTAATGGTTTACAATGGTGATATTTAAGAAACAAGAGTATGAAATGAAAAATATCCGGCGAAGAGTTTACGATGCTTTGAACGTCCTTCTAGCTATGAATATCATTTCGAAAAACAAAAAAGATATTCGATGGGTCGGATTGCCGGCTTCTTCAGCTCAAGAAATCAGTCGTCTACAGGATGAAAAAGTAACAATTGAGTTCTAATTTTTGGTTTTACTGTATATTTTTTTAGGCAAAGCGCGAAGCTAGCATTAAATCAAAGTTAGAAACCCTTCAGGAAATGGTTATTCAACTCGTTTGTTACAAAAATCTCGTGGCTAGGAATAGGCAAAACGAAAGGTTTGAAATGACAATTTTTATGCTCGGTTTAAATATTATTTAATTTCAGAGAATTCGGCCGACCCGATCCAAATACATTGTTATATCTACCGTATCTAATAATAAGTACTGATGAAAAGTATATTTTTTTGGTAGTGCAATCAAAATTATTTTAAATCGTTTCAGGACCTCTATTGAATGCAGTGTTTCAAATGATAAATCGGAATACTTGTTCTCGTTTGATAAACCTTTTGAAATTCATGACGATTTTGAGGTTCTAAAAAGTAGGATTTCAATATGAAAAAAATATAATATTCTTATGTCTTAGGAATGGGATTGGCTTGTGGACTTGACAATGGTACAACAACACCAGAAGAAGCAGCACTTGCAAAATCGTATCTTCCTCCTTTGATCCAGCCATACATAGATGATATTATTTCTGGTACGAACTTATTTCATATCGTGATATTTTAATTGACGTATTATAGGTCATAAAAGATTGGCTGAAACTGAGCAGCAAAAACAGCAGCAGGAACAACAACAGCAGCAGGAGCAGCAGCTACAAGAGCAGGAGCAGATGCAGCAAATTCAAATGAAAAACGAATATGCAAAGTATGATTAATGAAAGTATTAAACTATTAGATATGTTTAGTTTCTTCGATGATCGACAAACCGATCATAACTACATTTCGGGTGAGAATTCTGTTGATCCAGAAGAGGAACCTGAAATGGGGAACGAAGTGATTGTAAACAGTGAACCACAAAAATATACACGCAACCTCCATGATTCCACACCGTATGTCATTATAATTATGAAATTTGTACAGTGTACAGGGTGTCATTTAAGTTCCCGCACAAAAGTTAGACGCCATGAAAAGCTTGGCTGTCGCACTTTTCGTGCACCAATACAATTTATTTTTGTTAAATAAGGTGTATTTTACTTACTTTTCAAGTTTCACTTCATTCGGATGTGTTTCCGAGAAATGGCGAAGGCTAACATCCATTGCGCTTCCATTATCGAACTTCATAAGCGAAATGAGCGCCCGACAGAGATCATTCAACGCCTCGGTGTGCCTCGTAGAACGGTTTAAGACACCAACAAACGTTTCAAGGAGCTAAATACGACCAGTGACCTTCCCAGACAAGGAAGAAAGGAAGACTCGTCTCAGTAACCACTCCTCAGAAGATCAACGCCGTCAAAACGAGGATCAGGCGAAAACCGCACAGGAGCATAAGAAAGATGGCGTCAGACATGGGAATGAGCATCTTCGCTATGGAACAAATGGTCAAAACGAAGCTTGGACTGACCCCATATCGCGTCCAAAAAGCGGCAATTCTATCGGCCGTCAACTAGCAGAGACGCTTCGAAAAAGCAAAACGACTTTTTGCTCGCACGCGGTCTGGAGAACACCTCGCCACTGTCTTCTCCGACGAGAAGCTGTTCACTGTGGAGGCGGCATTCAACTCACAAAACCATTGAGTACTTGCCCAGACATCCCAGAAAGCTTCTGAGAAAGGAAGAACAATTCATCCAGCCTCACATCCTGCCAGTGTGATGGTTTTCGGTGCCATCTGCTCAACCGGGAAGTGCCCCTGGTTTTCGTGGATCAGGTGGTGAAAGTGAACAAAGAAGTCTACGTTCGGGACATTTTGGGGAAGCATATGATGCCCTGGGCCCAAACGCATTTCGGTGGGAAGATATGGGTCTTTCAACAGGACGGAGCACCCGCCCCTACTGCCAAAACTACTCAGGAGTGGTGCCAGACCCATTTTCCCGACTTCATCAAGTCATCCGAATAGCCTGCTTGCTCCCCAGACCTGAACCCGCTTGACTTCTCCGTGATGGGGTCTTGCAGGAGAAGGTCAACGCAAAACCCCACTCAAGTGTAGAGGCTCTGAAGAAGACATTACTGGCGGAATGGGACAATCTTTCCATCGAATACCTGCGTACCACAGTCACATCCTACCCGAAGCGTCTCCGCGAAGTCATAGCTGCGAAAAGAGGCCGAATCGAAAAGAGTTAATAGATAATTATTTGTTGTACTATAGATAAAAAATATTTCGAGTCTCGTTTGATTTGGACTTTTAGTTTCAGAAATATACGTCTTCAAAGTTGTGCGGGAACTTAAATGACACCCTGTATATTTTCAGACGAATGCAACATGTTCAAAAAACTCAATCAATCCAAGGCGCGCCGCAAAATATTCGTCAAGATGTTGTAAATTCGGTACCATCTACATCACGAGTACAACAAAAACCTCGATATTTCCAAACCCGCCCTGCTCAAATATCTAGTCAGCAAAGCATGGTACGCATGACTAAGAAAAATTGATATATCGCAGTGTGGCATTTTAGCAAGGAGAAAGGCATATGGTCCGTCAGTATCAACCAGTTGGAACAACGCAGGAAAGACGGTTAGCTCATGATCCAAAAATGTACACGACATCGTCGAACGGGCAAGCAGTTAAATATTACGTCGCGTCGGGCTCCGGAAATCAAACGGCTAGATTTGTCAACGTAACTAGTTTCATTTTAGTTTATATGTTAATTTTGTCTATTTAGGTTCCAGCGAAGATGGCAGTTCGACCTGTTAACGCAACAGCTGTTCCACGTGTTGTCTATTCTAATGATCAAGGAAGAATGGTTTGTGGTTTTCATTAACTAATTAACTTGAAGTCGAGTTCTTTTCATTCAGGTTACTGCCCAGGCACGGCGCGTTTATTCGCCATATCCCCCAGGAACTACCGTTGTTCGAAAAGTTATCAAAAGAGTGATTCCTGTACAAAAGACTGCAATGGTGTCGCAACAGCAACATCAGCATCACCATCCGCACCAACCACAACACCAGCAACACCAACCGCCGCATCATCAGCAGCAACAACAACATCAACAGCAGCATCAGCAAATAAATTCAGAGGCGATTTCCAAGGCTGAAGAAGGTATTTCTTATTCACACCAAAAAAGCGTATGATTCAATATTACAGAAAGTTCTATAAACATGTCTGAGCACAACAAACAAATTGATGATAACATTTCATCAAGTATGGAGGGGGGAAGTATTCAAGTATTAAAAATAATACTATTCAAGTAATCTAGATTACATTTTATTTCAGAATGAAAGCCATTATGATCATTTTTACGATTCGATGGATATAACAGAAGAACAGATTCTCGATGACGGATCGGGAGGAATGAGTTTTCAATAACTGACATTAGTTACAATTTCAAGTATTCTCTCACCAACAGGTAAAGTTTCGGATTCATTTAATTTGCGGAATTCTTCACTCTTATTTTGCAAGTCCTCATTTTTTCGTATTTTTGTTCTATTCATAGTGCCTTCATTTTACAATATTTGTTAAGCACTTATTCAAATGTACAGTTAATCATCAAGATAAAAAAATCTTGCTTAAATAAACGGCATTTCTTACCTGAGTCGATCGTCTTTCATATAGCTTTTCTTTGCTGGTTCCGTCAATGTCAAACCAGCGCATCAATTCGTTATAAGCGACAACATTTAGAAATGTTAGAAGACACTAAAAATTGTATATGCTTACAATATTTCCGCAATTGCTAAACCTCCATTCTTAATGCCGAAATAATGCGCCTTCGGTTTCCGATTTGGTGCTCATGTCCAGATTCGATCTTGAATATTACAAATGATCTATTATATTATGCTGAGACAAAGAACGAGGGGAATTTAATTGCAGAAAAAATAATATTTTGCTTTTTTTCTGAAAATTTTTCTTCTGAGGTTTAGGTGCAAAATTTGCGTGGTGCGAACAAAGTTGTATTCCGTTTTGAATACGGTGTAATTCACTGTGGTTCATACCCCCGACTGACTATTGAGACCTTCAGCATCCCATATATGGCGCTGAAGGTCATTATTTTGGAGTTTTTTTTTTGTTTTTTTGCTTAATCTGGTAAGTACTTAAAAACTATTTAAAGTTGAGTATATAAATAGATTAATGCCAAGAACTCTAGATTTTTTTGCATTTCGTCAAATTTCTTTAGTTCAGTATTTTTTCATTTCATTTGTAATTTCTGATAAGTATTTCTTACCCAGGATTTGGTGAAATATGAGAAGAATATCCATAGAACGAAACAAGCAACCGAAATCGTCTTGATGACTGACATCTAAAACGAGAAAAATGAACATGGAATGATTCTTTCTCATCCGATGCGTATCTACATCTTCTAGAGTTTTCTTGAGATCAAATCTCAAAAAGTATAAAGCAGCGAGTACACACCGAATCGAAGCAAAATACACAAATTGTATAAATAAGAAAAATTTATTCACATTTTTTTCACCTAATAACCAGTAAGTCATAGAATCAATCACAAAATCAATTATTTACATAGAAAGTTAAACTAAAATTATTATAATAAATTATGTCGTTAAAGCATTCAATTTCATAATTTTAAATATTCGATGTATTCAAAGCATCTTCTTCGTGTGAAACTGCGTGTTGTTCGAGACTCTGTAGGGCCATCCTCATAGTTGTTCGCATATTTTTGAGGCAAGTTTGAAGACGTCTTGAAATTGAGGGAAAATTACTGACTGATTGTGAGCAAATATTACAATCGCAAGAAAAAAACGAACATCCCGCTCCGATTTGAGTTTGATTTTGAGGTTATCCGTAGTACGGTAACCGAATCCCAATGTTTAAATTCAAATTGGAATGGTACACAATTATTCAAGGCGCTCGTTTTTTTTGCGATGGTAATAAATCACTAACGCATTATCAAATCGGCCGACTAAACTTGCACGATAAGCATTAATTTGCGCACGTGCCGATAGATTTGTGCATCCGGAAAGAGCTTCTTCAAGACCGGTTAAATCGATGACAATTTGAGTGACAATTGCTGGAGAAGTGTCGGAATTGAGACGCGAAAGATGCGATAAAAGAGCATTCAAAGCATTCGATATAGTTTCCTTCAAAAATAGTTAATTGTGTTGTCTTCAATAATACGAATGTTCGATCAACTCACCCGCAGGCATTCAGCAGCGAGCTGAGGTGCATAGAGCTCGAGCTCAGCTTGTTGAAGAACACAGCACATAATGATTTCCTTGGCATAGTCGGATATATCTGAAACAATGGAATTATTTGTTTCTCACGGATTCTGATCACCATCATCATCCGGTAAATATTCATAAGTGGCTGATTCAACCAGCGGTCCAAATGCGCTTGTCATCATTGCAATACAATCATTGATCATCTTTGTGCGGAATGACGAAAGTTTCGAACGCGATTTCTAATTATCAGAAAATTGTATACGAGTCAAGGAATTGAATGAATACCTCCTGAATCTGATCAACGTGTTTTACACCACACTCTTGCATTTTCTTTCCTAAACTATTGAGCGTTCTTGCTATTATGAATTCGACATCTCCAATGGCAATGAGTAATTTTTTTGTCGTCAACTAAATAATTTAAACATTGAGTATATTTCGGCCAATGAATGAATGAATACCTCTTCCTTTTTCTTTTTCTCTCCTTCGGGATTCAACTGTTGAGGGCGTTGTCGTGTGAATAATCTTTAAACAACAGTTAATTAAACAATACAATTAAAAGGAAAAACCTGTCGAAACAAAGTTTGATGCTTGTGATGAGGTGTACAAGAAGATCAATGATTGTTTCGCGGAATTTCTCCCTTGAGAATAAACAATTCTCGCCAGGATAGCCGGATGTAGACAAAGCATCTTTCATTCGAGAAATGCATTCGCAAACCTAAAAAGGATTTCTTATAAAAGACTTGTTTCAACTCAAAACCTCATTTTCATAAAAATCGGGAAGAGTTGTTTTCGTGTGCTGTGCCCTATCCAAAATATCCTGTTTCCAATTGATTTTATGATTCAATGCAATAATCCCTAAAATACAAAATAAATATATAATTTCTAAATAATAAATTGTACTTTCAACGCCGCAATCGACAAAATCGGAAACTAATTTCAGACGAACCGTCATGCATAATTCGATAAGTGGTTGAACGTGGGTAATCGTGAATTGATGTTCAAGCAATGATGATATTAAACTTCTGAAAAAAATAAAGTAAAATAAAACATTCAAAGAAAAATATAAACCTCGTTGTCTTTAAGCTTTGATTCAAATTTGACCGGCTTTCTTCTGAAGTTGTTTGCGGCCATTTCGCAAATTGATCACCATATTTTTGGGCTACCATATCAGGCAAAGCTTTAGGAACTAATGCATTTAGAATCAACCATGAGGAAACATTGATGATGTTCAACAGCATTTGCTAAAACTTAGAAATATCAAAGATATAGCACAAATGAAACGAACGTTAATATCTTCAAGTCTTTGAATGGCATCTGGCGAAGCGGTCGAATGATGATACGTGTTGGCAAGTTTCCAGAAAGACGGCAATTTACTGAGCAGCAATCCGACGAGTGTATTCACATAATTTTGAATTTCGTTGCTCTTTCCGATCATATTCAAATAGTGAGGATGTTGCTGCTGATTGTCCTTGGACTCCTCTATAATTTTAATTATGGAATTAAAATCAATTAATTAATAAAATATTACGATTTGCTTTTTGAAGATGTTCTTCTTGCATGTCCCATAAACATTTTTCAAGCCAAACGTAATAGGAAGTGATGCATTCCCACGTCGGATCTGATTCAGGATCAAGAATTTTCAGATATCTGATTAAAATGAATATTTTCGTTTTTAATTACAAATATTCGAAAAAATAACATACTTGATTAGTTTGGATTGTTCTTCATAAGACACTGGAGTATCAATCAATTTTCGGGTCATTACCTCTTTGAATTTTTCCATTTTCTTATCAATTTCCGTCATTACTGAAAATTAAGCTTTTTTTTTTGAAAATCGACAAAACGATTATTTTTTACATTCTCGGAACAACGGAATATCCGAATCTTGATAAAGAGATTTGGCTCTTGTGTAATCATTCAGAATTGTTATATATTCATCCTTAAAATTAATAATTTTTTTCGATTTTTTTGCATGCAAACTACTTTTTTCATATTTTCATCAATTTTCGAGGAAAGGAAAAAAATGAATTTGAATCGGACAATCACGCCCAAGGCATTTCGAGTCGCGTCAGCATCGTCTTTGCGTTTTAAAACATCGGCGAAAACATTTTCTGCTTTGATTTTTGATTCCATAATCTAAAAATTAAAAAAAAAATACAGCTGCTTCGGAAATATATAACCAGTTTGGAAATGTGCGAAAGAGCTGCAAATTGATCATCTTTGCCTCCTTTTTCCAGAGCTTTATGTAGATTTGCCAATGTGTCGACGCAGTTAATAAGCGAATATAAATTTGCCTGAGTTTAATGTATTTTTAACGAGTTTTCCTTAAATAAAATATTTACTTTATGCATTTCTTCGCTTCTTTTCGCATCGCTTTGCTTAGCTAGTTCCATATTTTTTATGGCTGCCCTCAAATCTTCAATCCTACACAAAAAAAAAACGAATTATTAGATTCAATATTTAGAAATAGTCTTACGTTGCATCGGCATGATTCTCGAGAAGATACCATTGAGATGAGAAGTTCTCCATACGCAAATTTCCCGAAGCATCAGGAAAATCACGCGAAAGGATAGCTTGATCGATGCGTTTTTGACTTGGAATCAATCCCAGAGCATCGCGTTCATCTTGAATTTGAGGAACGCTTCGAATCGCCTAAAAATGGACTAAGTTGAAACAGAATTATTATTCAAAAATAATGCCTCTCTGCCGGGAACCGTCCTAGTCTCATCTACCCAAACAGCCGACTCTTCAAGAGGTCCGATTTGTGTGATAAAGACTCGAAATTTAACATGAGATATTCCGCGCCCGCCAGATTTTGTCGCAATTCTAACTTCTCCAAGACCTCTACCGGCCTGGCCTAGCCTAGCTATTATTTTGGATTTCGACTTCCATCTGAAATCTTTTTTTTTAGATTCCAAGCAAAATTAAAACAAACTTCATAGTAGGAAGACAATCAACCCCGCAGACAATTAGCATAACAATATCATTTTGATCTTCACCAAGGTTTTCACCACGAATGGTGATTTGGGTTCCAGGAACACCTTGAAAATAACAAATAGAAATCCTACTTAATAATGAAAAACCTTCCGTTGGTGACAATCCCGTGACTGTTGGTGGTCCACGGCTAGAGTTTTGAGTTTCATCCATGTATATTATAGAAACTTATTTCAAATAGTAAAAATAATAATAGATTTCTTGGAGAATAAAAAATCAAGAACTAAAATGTTGTGAATATACACTAAACCGAGGGTGTACATGTGGAGCATCGTACAAGCGGAGCATGCGTATTTACAAAATCAGGGCTGCCGAAATAGTCGAAATTTTCATTTTCGGTAACTTGCCGATTGTCAAATTGCCGAAAATAATTTTTCTTTTCGGCAATTTGTTGAGATGAATGAAAAAGTTGTAATTTTGTGTGAAATGCTGATTTTCTTTTCATTTTCGACAATTTTCCGATTGCCGAAATTCCCGATCGGAATGTGATTGCCGCGCAGTCCTATCACGAGTAATTTCGACTTGATGCATCTGGGCAAGCTCATCAAGTGAAACAGGGGTTTTTTCCGTTTTATGCGAAACTATAGAAAAATTTAGGAGAATACTGAAACTGGGAAAGAGGCAAAACATTGTTTGAAAGTGAAAGAAAAATAGATACTTATACAGTACCGTGCAGTAAGATATACAATTTCACTTTTTTAATCATAACTTTCTGAAAAGTTGACCAATCGATCTGAAATTTTTGGACAAAACAGATAGTGTGTTCCCAAACATAATTTATTCATTTTGGGGTACTATAGACGCAATTTTTGTGTTTTGGACCTTTTTTTGCGTATTTTCAAAAATGCGATTTTTTTAATTTTTAAGTTTTTTCGATTTTTTTTTAGATTTTCAATGTTAACATCAGTTTTTTTTATTTGTTTTAGCAGAAGACGATCAAAATGATCAAAAAACATTCTATCAGACATTTTAAAGCAATCAAGGATGACCGAGCACAAGGTCTTTTCATCCAATGTCTATCACGCCAGTTGAACTCATCAACTTGGACCCTTCGTGTATGTTTGAAATCTCGATCGGATTCCAAACCACTTGGAAATCCTTCCAAAACATCTCCGGCAATCAATCGAACAATTGTAAGAATCAGCAAGAGCAACCCGCGTCTATCCGCTTCCGAGATTAATCGGCAACTGAATCAGTTCTATGAGGTCAACGTAGATTTTTCCGAAAAACCATGACTTTTTTTCACCAAACGTCACATACAGATCATTGTTAATACTGTCAAGCGTCGTCTACGTGGTTCTGGATTATTTGGACGTCGGTCTGTCAAAAAATCTCTCCTTTCGGAGAAGAAACGCCGCGCCTGTTTGAAGTGGGATAAGGAGCTTTTGAATTGGAGGTTTCGACAATAGTCAAAGGTCGTATGGAGTGATGAATCGAAGTATATCTTGCTCGGAACGGATGGTATTACCTTTGTGAGGTGTTCGGACGGCAAAAGATTCGATCCAAAGCATCAATTACCAACAGTGAAACATGGAAGAGGAAGCGTGATAGTTTGGGGATGTTTTACTGCTTCTGGAGCTGGCCCACTTCATCGAATCGAAGGAAATATGGATCGATTTGCGTATAAAGACATTCTCGAGAACCATATGCTTCCGTTTGCAAAGTCTTTGCTCGGTGTGGATACTTATTTCAGCAGAATAATGATCCTAAACTTTTCTCTCGCTACATCAAAGAGTGGTTCTAGCAGCGTCGAGTGGCCGTCATGATCTGACCAAGCCACTCACCTGTCTTGAACCCCATTGAACATTTGCAGGATGATCTTGGTAGACGTCTTGGTGGTCAAACTGTACAAAATTGTGCCGAAATGTTCGAGCAGCTGAGGAGAGCATGGATGGATATACCAGTTTCAACCCTCCCGAAGTTGACGAGGCCATGGGTCTCCGATATCAAACTGTGATCGATGCAAATGACATGACAACAAGATATTGAGTTGTTTTAAGCATCCTGACAGATAATTGTGGTTTTCCATTTTATTTCAAGTCGTACCGGTATCAAAATTATTAAAGTCGGTTTTTCGCTATTATGGATTTTCTGATTTTTTGCCAATAAAATTTTTCCTAATGTGTTTTACACCTTCTAATTTTGTTACATAATCACTCTATCGATGCTTAAAGTTGTCCAAAAATTTCAGATCGATTGGTCAACTTTTCAGAAAGTTATGATAAAAAAAGTGAAATTGTATATCTTACTGCACGGTACATGTATATGTATAGTCTGAACCATTTTTCATCCACTTTTAATCCATTTTTTGTAATTTCCTGTTGCAGTGAAACAAAAACATTTAAAAAAATAGAACAATGTATTTGTTTTCTTTAAAACTGGTAGCGGTGTCATGTCAAAAATGTTGAATATTCTACGATTAAGATGGAAAGTAGGAGAAAAATTGAAAGTGATATTAGTGAAAATAACAGTTGGACCTTTTTGCAAAGTTGACGACCAAAACCCAAAAACTTACAAATGTTCAACTTTTTACATTTCTGGCACATTTTCGAAAATCGTCCCCACCTCGGAACTTATTGATTTATTTCTTCATTCAGCAATGTCTTGTTGCCATTATTCAGCAATTGTTTGCTCTTCGACACTTTTAACAATCGACAGATCATCATAAGAAGGTGCCGAAAAGAAGCCGAAATGTCGAGATGACTTCTTCAAAAGAAAGCGACTATTTGAGTCATCGTGCGCATCAGCTATTCTTCGTGATTCAGCACAAGCTTGCATGCGTTCCATCGAGATGTTTTTCATCAACAATTGATGTCGGAAAATGTTGATCAATGAAATTTAAAATTTATGAAAATATCATAATCATAGTTTCGATTTGAAATACACCCTGTGAAGCAATATGATTGTTCCTGAATTATTGAACTCAAACAGTTTCAATGAATCCCTGCATTCATCATATTAATTTGTGTTCCACCAATGTTTTTTCACAAAATAATTTCCAAGACGCCCCCCCCCCCTTAACTACTATCAAACACATTGATTGCGAACATTCCTCATCGTCATGAAAAAAAACGTCGCGAAAAATAACGTGTATCAGATATAGTCGGGACCGAGTTTGGAAAACAATCGAAAACTGGAAACATTAGGTTGTGTGTGTGTGTGCGAGTGGGTGTTCGGCCATTTTTGAACTTTACACATAGGCGAATACACATATATTGGCGGTAAAAACACTAGGCGAATGAGTGGGAGGAATTCGGATAGTAATGGTAGCAACCAACTAATATACCGTATTCGCGTTTTAATTATTTTTTTTCGCTGCTTCCGCCGCTGTCGAAAAACACAGCTGCCGATCAAACCGGTAGCGTGGGAAGACGGTTTGAGAGGGCAAGGGGTCACTCGAAACTGGTTCAAATGTTGCCAAAAAAAATTTTTTTTGAGTAGCAAAGGTAATTTGCGAATAAATTTTACACCAACATTTCAAGTGTTTTTCGTTATGGGTTTTAATGGAACAGGAAACAAGGTCTGACCATTCGAGACGGACGGACGACGTTATTTATTTTAGTTTTTAATACGCCACACTCATTTTTCTTCAATTTTTCTATAATTTTCAATGAAATTTTGAAAGTCCAATGAAAATGTGATTTGAAAAATTTGAAGAATGTATCTCAGAATTTGAGTAAATTTGAGAGCAAAATGTTGTCTGGTTATTCAAATTTTGAAAATAAAAATATACCATTTTTTTGGCTCCGTGCCAAGACCTTAATTTCTTAAATCATACCTTATTTTTCTCTACAATAGATATTCCATTGTATTTAATTTTTTGATTAAAAATATGGAAAATCCATGTTGATATAAATCATTCATATTGACAGTTGCCATGATTCTAAAAATATTTCTGCACCGAATCATACGTGCAGGTTCAAAGTTGTAATGAGGAAAGACTAAAGATCGAGCAGAGATTCACGGGTTCTTATGAGTTTCTTTTTTGAATTCCAGAATCTGGATATATCTGATTCGGAATGCTTTAAGGCATTTGTTCATAAAATCTGTCTAGACCACCCATTTAACAGATATGTGAAATTCTCGAAATTCCATCGTCTTCACATGATGTTAAACCAAGTGCGAAAAAAACTGGCTCGGGGGTCCCATCAGAGCCCCGGCATTCTCGCGTGTCGGGCGCTTCTTGTCGGCGCCTCTTCAACTCGCACACTTTATCACTTTCGCTGAAACACATCCATTAAGTTTTTCAAGACTTTTTCCAGATATATTCGATTTGCAGTAATTTATGACATTCGTCACGTTTCCAACATTACACAAGAAAAGAAATACCTCATCGTTTGGGACCATTTTGGCCCAGAATCCCACACAAAACCCGTCGAAAAAATTGCACCCTTTCCAACGAACCAACTCACAGAATCTAATCGCCTCCAATTTGACTTCGGTCGTGGGGTTGCATTATTTTTCTTGAGGCGTTTTGCTCATTTCAAGTTTTCGGCGAAACTCAATTTTGCGAGGGTTCCGATGAACTGCTTGCGATACCAGTAGTGCAAAATAGGTCCCGAAACGTGTGCATAAGTAGTTCTCGTTTTTTTTCTCGTTGCTGTTGCAGTCTTCTCCTCATCCTTTTCGTTTTCGGGCTCCGTTGCCTTCTAAATCACATTTTTCGCAATTTGTCGAGGTTTTACCGTGATTGAGGATAATGCTGCTGGAATTCAGTTGCAAAGTCGAACGTTTCGAAGCCTCTGATTTTGAATTTCAAAAAAAAAGACGCTACTGAACTCAATCCCGTACTCATTGACCTATAACTCGTCTAATTTCCCTCCCGAATATTTTTTTTCAACACTCCCTATTTAATTCGAAACCCTTAATCTAAGTTAAAATAAAAAAAAGTGCCCGAATCTGACAATAAGCCACTTTTTAGATCTATAATTAGGTGTGGTTGTTGTTTGTTTCAAGGAAATCCCGCGTACGTTTTGGAATGTGCATGTTTGGAAGGTATCATTAAGCGAATAGCAGGCCAATAATCAATGCTTAACTTGTTTGTGTTATCCGAATCGAATCGAGTTGACGGTTACTGTAGACTCGAATGATAAGTCAATCGATCACATGGCGATTTTAGAGACGTCCTTATAAACGTTTCTAAAGCGAAGCGTATTCTTTACACTCAAAACAGCATCGTTATCATTTCTTAAAAACCCCCGGAGCAAACAAAAACAACAAATTCTTATGTATACTTTTTTTCCTCGCTTGTTTCCGATGTGAAGTGATATCGAAAAAAAAAACAAGAAGGAGGCGGGAGATGGCGGAGAAGAGCAAGTTGTTCTTACCATCTTATTCTTCTTATTGTTTGCATCCTGTAGTGTCTCTTTTTGGGGTGATTCATTACTCGAAGCACAAAAAAACGAGCTCTTTAGAGTGTTTTGTGTGTGTGTGTGTTTGTGCATTTGTCTATGTGCAACAAGCAACAAAGACGAAGCGTCTAAATTTTGAAAGAATGTCTGAAGCGCTACAGTAACCGCGGTTCGACGGGCCATTGTTGTGCGAAGAGATGACCTGTTTGAAAGCACAACGATGCGTTTGAATTTCATTTGATTCGTTAAAGAAATATTACCAAACTAGGTATTTAAAAAAAAGGCTCTAATTAGGTTTTCTAAACAAAGAAAAGTTGAAGAGGGCTTATTTGTATCTAAAACGAATAATTTAAAATAAATCTCATTTAATAATGGTATTTCAAATAGGGAATCCACCATTTATTGAAAAAAAAATTTCGGAGGGCAGATAAAAATGAAAAATTATTTGAAAAGTTCTCGAATAGTTTTGCCTGTCGATTTCCAAATTAGAACATTTGAATGACTGAAATAAAAAAGATCACATTCAGAAGACTCGAATTCGATGATTTAAAATCAATTTGTGATTTTCAACAAATTTTATTATATTTATTCTTGATAAAACTCGTTCAATTCGAAGTTTTCTCGAGAAAATAATTGCAATCAATTTTTTACATTGCAAATCGAACAGAATTCCAGTGAACTCCATATATGCATTTCAGATTCATTCCAGCCAATTATTCTAAAATATCTAAACACTATGCTAAAATTCTTCTAAAATATATAGATCATTTCTAAAAAATTTCTAGATTAAAATGCAACTCTAATAGTACTATAATTTGTTGTTTTTTTTTGTTCGGTCCAATTTTTTTTGAGTAGCGTGAAGAGACGCCGACAATGTCCATTGGTTGTCCGTGTTCACGAGACTCCGCCCATTTTCCACGCCCCTCTGAAAATATTGCATGTGTGGAAAAAAAACGAACGAACGAACAACGATTAACTTTTTCTACGCCGGTAATTCACCTAATTTCTCAATATGAAATTCTAAATTCTAGATTGGAATTTTTGATGTAAAACGAGAATTACTTGGCGAATAGCCAAAACAACGTTTTTAGGCAGACAAAATGGCAAAAGTGTTAACAAAATCTCTAATCATTTGATCTAATTCACAAATTTTTTTTTCACTATTTTTTTTCTTCTCTTTAATGATTCATTTTTTCCCATTTCTGTTATATTGCGCGAAACTTCTAGACTATTATTATCGGATTGCTTTAAATTCCCAGGTGTCAAAATATTTAGAATGTTTTTGGATTTTTAGAAATTTTAAAGATTAAGTATCATTGTTTTAATTTTTTTAAGTATGTTCATATCTAGTTTTTGGTGAATATGCTTAGGATGTTATGTTGAACACCTTTATATAATCGATATATAAACTGCGGATTTTGTGAATTTTCAATCAAACAACTTGAATTGTAAGTGATTTGAGATGTTTTCTGAAATAATTGAATTTCACGTGATGAAAATCTTGAATCTCGACCACGTCAGACCGTCCATCTCGCAACAGAAAAAAACCAGATTGGCCCCGAATTTCTCGACTCGAGTCTCATTCCATAACTTTTTGTTTTTCACGTTCTTCCGTCTTATCATTGCATCCATACGGTATGCAAGAAATGCGTGAGGTAAATTTGCTCAAAACGTACATATCTGTTTTTGATAACAAAATCAATAAGCGCCCTCTATTATTGGCTAGTTCTTTCGAACATTTTTTGAGGAAGCCCAAACATAACAAAAACAACAACAACAACATCAGCAAGCAACGAGTTGATAAAAGAAAACAGAATAATATTTACGGCTAATAATAATGGAAATTGAGAGAAAGTGAAAGGTTTTCAATAATTTTCTTGATGCGAAATCAGCAGAAAAACAATGAATGCGAATTGAAATGTTTATAATATTTTCGCATCGACGAAATTAAATTTGAGCGACATTTTCGAAGCCAACGAATTCCGAGATGTCATCCTTCCGATTCCGGGCGTGGTTACCGTAACTGTGCCTTCGATAGTCGTGTGCTCATGAATCATTGCGCAGAGCAGCGGCCGGCACGAGATGGCCCATGTTTCGAGGCTGAAGAATGTTGATGCTTGACTCTCGCCGTTTGACATTTAGTTATTCTTACAACATGCAGCATCAGCTTCGATTTGTATTTACCATCACCATCATTCCCAATTTATTTGATTCACTTCACAACCTATTTTTTTATAGAAATTCCTTTTTTCTTCATGTTGTGGGCATATCTGAAAATCGTTACGTCGATGGTCATTCGATGTCGTCACCTTCTTTATCATTCAAATGAAGAATCTCAATTTTCATTTGCCCTTTCCCGAATGCCCTAGCCGCCATAGACAAGATCTTGAAATGTTTGAGAAACGGATGCCTATGAGATATTTGCACTTGTTTCCCCGTATTATTATTATTATTACTACAACTACTATTGCTACTATCTCGATCGATCACGAGATTACTGTAGTGTGTGCACTTTGCATGTAACATTCCAGAATGCCCTTGTTGTTTCCCAATGAAACGGAATATCGCTGGCGACATGTTTCAATAGATATTTTGAGGTCGTCGCTTTCACTGATTTGATCTAAAGTTAAGTGAGGTATACCCAATAAACAAGGTGCAATCCGAAGAAAAGACGGGATGATATTAGAAATATGCCAACTAAAGGTTTTCAAATTTAATGGTTTTTTTTTGTTGACAGCGCGAAGTAGGTCGAATTCAAAAAAAATCTTCTGCTCATAAACGATATTCGATTGGTAACACTCTTAATGTCGGGATTGCCAACGTGGGAAAATTGTCCCAACTTCAAAATGACTCGCTCAGTCGGCATCCCAATTTCAAACACTAATGTTTCATATTTTCAAATTTCGAAATATTTTTGAAATTGTCTGCGTCTCTCGTATTTTGATATTAAGCCAGAGCAAATTTCGAAAAGACGAACGTTGAAATGAAATCATCGAATCGAAACAAGAAATCGTCGAGTGATCTTCAAGCCATTTATTTTGCCAATAATTTACGAAACGTTATCTCCGAATTATGAAGAAAAAACTCAGAAACTTGATACTATTTTCTGAGAAGCCGAGAGATATTTCACGCTTTCTTCGAACTGATCAAATTGTTCTTTTTTTTGTCGTTTGATATATCAGCTTTATAATAAGCGCCCTCCTGTCGTACCATTAAAAATTCATCGTTTATCCTCTCAATTTCGAATGGCATTGTTGCAGATGAGTACGGTATCAGAGGAGACGGGCGAGTCGAATGGTCCGCAATCGTTCAAACACGACTACGACGCTGTGATTCGGGTTAGATACCAAAACGAACATGGGGAATCAGCAGGTCTGTGTGCTTTCTTTTTTTTTAATTAAGGCTACGCAAGAAATGCCAGCGACCTTTTAAAGAACAAGCATTTTTGCTTAAATATGATGACAATAGATGAATCACGGAGAAACACTCTCTAGAGTGGACACGAAAACAAAAAAAATGACCGAGGAAACACCATTTTTAATTGTGCCAAAATTTTGCGAAAAAATGTTTACTATTTTAGTACAATATTGATCTTCAATTCTCAAATGAAGTAATTGTGCGGAGATAATTACATATAAAATTGGAACATAATGCGAGTACGCTTCATCTTCTTCGCTTTCTTCGTCCGAATATCCATCATTTCCCGTTTGCACTTTTTTCCTAGCGGCCGCCGCTTTGTTCATTATAATTGATTTTGGCGTAAAAAAATGCAACTTTTAGTTGGAAGTTGGAATTTCTAGCGAAATTGTCTTGTTCAAACATTAAAATAATAATTGGTCTTGTTTCATTCCAATTATCGATGTTCGAAATGTTGCAGAAGAATCAGTGTTTGCTCATCAATTGGTTCTCTCATCATTTTCACCGGTTTTTCGACAACTTCTCAACGATTCATCGAGATTTGAAGATGAAATGAAAGTGATTGAGCTGGATCTGAGCAGATTTTCAAATGCTCTGCAAGCCTTCAAGCTGATCATCGGCGCATTGTATACCGACGAGGTCAAGATTGATTCGATTCTTCCGAACGAGGTAACATTCATAGTATTTTATTGCTCTTTGCACGGAATTCTCTAAATTGATCTTCGACATAATTACCGCTTTAAAACGAAGATCTCAAACATCACTTTCTCGAAATATCTGACTAATGTCACTCTCTCAAACTTGCCTTCAATTTTTGCCCTATTTTTGCCGATTTTTGTTGAATTTCGGACCAAAATTTGGAAATGTTTCAATTTCGCACAATTGGAAACATCTGATGTGCACAGACGCGAATGATAAGATTTGAAATTCAGCTATTCGGACTTTGCCCGAAATCATATCAAAGACAGCCAACACAAAAAACAAAACATTCGGAGAATCATCATTGGATTTTTTATTTTTTCTGTCGGGGGCAAAATTTGTACTTTGCACGTTTTGAAAAAATAAAACAGGCATTTGTTCACATACACTTTTAGAATGGTACTCATTTTCGCATCGACTCACTCGGCTTTAATAGGTTTTTTTGCGGCGGTCTGTTGTACTATGAGAATCTCGGTCGCGAGATTCAAATGTTGCCATTCGTCGTCGCCTCATTCTTTTATTTTTTTCGAAAAACCACTTTCTTGTCTGTTCACACTCGCCCTCAATTCAATTGTTTCGAACGGTCCCTCTGCCATTCTCGCCCTCGTTCCCGCTCATCATCAAAGCAACTTCCGAAATTCCCATAAATGTCTAGGCTTCAAATCATATATTTTGAAATGTTAATTTATGTGCGATTTTTCCAACTTTTGCATTTTCGAATATTCATTTTTGTATTTCTTTTTGTTTCAGATTCTTGCAATTTGCCGAGAGTGTCAAGTCACTGGAATCGAGTCGAAAATAATGGCAGCATCGGGAAACTTTAACCTGAGCAATATTATTGGAACATCTGATCAACCGAAACCGATTGAAATGCCAGCTATTCCACAGTTTCAGTCCATTCAATGTAGGAAAACAAATGATTGCAATATTCTTGCATCTCAATTCCTTTACATTTTAGTGCAAGCTTATCTGAATACGATGGTCCAAATTTGGAATAATCCACTTCTTTCGGCATTCGTCTCGAATCCATTGCTGTTCGCACCACCATCTCCTACAACAGATGAATCAACTAGTCGCACTCAAAGTGATAGTCGCAGTTCAGGCTCATCGCCACGAACTAATTCAATGAGCACTCCTCCAAATTTGGATATGGAAAAAATTGTTCCAAACGACGATAAAGAAGGTTGAAACATCTTCCTTTGATCTCACCGTGTTTTTTTTTCACAGGTTGGTGCCGCAACAAGAAGTACATCGAAAAAGTTGAAGGCGGCTTCATGTGCATCGTTTGCCGCAAAATCTACGGTCGCTACAATTCTGTCTCCTACCATGTTACTATTTACCATCGCAATCCTCCAATTAGGTGAGTAATGCGTTATTAAAAAAAAGCAATAAATGTGAGTGACACATATTCAGATGTGAGGAGAACGGATGCAATTTTTCGACGCGAGAAGCCCGCTACATTCATTTTCACAAATACTACAGGCATCACATTCCTCTTCCGGAAAACATTGATCTCGGTTCATTTTGTGGCCGGTTGATTCGGCAATCATTTGTTGATTTCAGGCTCCCGAAAGTGCCCATACTGTAGGCATGTGTCAAAGAGTCCGGCAATGCTGGAGAAACATATTGCACGCCACGATTCGGACAGTGGAGTTATTAAAAAATCATCGAAGGATCCGAACAGGTCAGAAATTGGAGGGGCAAAGTCGAGAAATGATTAGAAAGTAGTTGTCCATCTTCCTGGAGTTGTATGGTTTTGAAAGTTGAGATGGGTGAAAATTATTATTTTAATTAAAAATTTACCCTAAGAAGTTTCTAGAGTAAAAACACAGCAAAACCTAATAGTGAGTATCGATTTTAAAATAAAAAGTTTAAAATTGCTAAGAGAAGGATGAACTTGATTGATTTGACAATTCCAATATAATTCCACATTTCAGAAACAGTCGAAAACCAGCCCTGGATGCAGTCGCCGTACTTCCAACACCAACCGAGCCGGTCATATTCCATCAATCGACTTCGGCAATGAAATGCACGTTGTGTTCGTTCACCACCTTCGGCACAGACGTTCTTTTCATGCATCTCGCTTCCGTACATGCCGAAGAACTCGCGCGCCTCACATCGGCTCCAAATCATTCCGATCCGGAACCGGCGATAATGGCGAACACCTCGAATCTCGCCCCTCTTCAACTAGACACCTCCATTTGAATCTTCAGCTTTTCTTAATCAATCATCCACTTTAAATGTGCCTTTTTTTCTAAATACAACCGTGTGTCTACCTTTTCATAAACGATCAGGTTTTTGTTTTTTTTTTCAGTCTACTCTTTTCAATTTTGTTCCATTTTTTCTTTGATACCCCAAAAATTTCTTTCGCATGTATTAAATGTGTAGAACTGCCCATTTCGTGTTTTTATGAAGTTCATTGAAATCCAATTCTCAATGCAAAAAAACGGGCTATCAATCATTGAGCCGCAATTTTTGTCGATTATTTCGTAATAATACTAAAACAGACTAATTTATACTATTCTATTATATTTTGATATACTTTCGTCTGCATTTTCATTCTTCGAACTTGCACCGGTATACACATTCATTCACTTGTCTAATTTTTAATTTTTTTCGACATTTTCTGCATTTATTGAGAATAAAATATTAGAAATAAGAACTGAACGCAGAATCAAAGAGAATTTGGGTGTTACAAACCGGTCAAACTACTCAAGATCATATGTAAAATGTTAATTGGCCAATAAATGTACATTTAAAACAAGTACATTCGAAATTCATTCGCATTCGAAATCCCATTTGAACTGTTTTGTCAAATATGCTTTGAATTGTTGCGATTTCTTCTTCAAGTTTTCACTAGCGTGAACAGAATCTAAAAAATCATATAATAAAGAAATATTATAAAAAGAAAGCGCGGCTAATCGAAACTGCAAAAATGCTTCTAAATTCAATTTTGTCAATTAAGGGGTCAAAATTTAATATATTTATGGAAACAAAGTTTCCTCAATCGCAAACTGACAATTGTAAGAAAAACGTTCCATTTTATCTGTTTACAGTTTCAACTATCTTTTAAAAAAAAAACATAGTTATATTAACTATATCATATGACAACCTCGGTTTAGACGGGTAGGATTTGAACAAATCACAAAGAAATTTCAATTCGCGAAGGGAACATGCTGGTTGCCTCGTGAAGCACTACGGCCAAAAACAGGATAACATTGAATGTTGTGATTCGCGCTCACACATCGTAAGCGAAGTGTGGATAGACTAAGTAATTGAATAAATATGTCCTATGAGAACGTCAGATAAGAAGAAAAATTAAATACTGGTGTGATCTATCAGAAGATGAAGGAAATCTTGCGTCCACAGTAGTTATTGTCGAAAATTTAAATAAATTCGGTCAAATTCACTTTAAATTCTTGACGCGAAAATAAAAAAAATTTGCAGTAATCCAAATTACAATTTAAACAGTGAGAATTCGGCTACCGACTTGCGAATTTTATTTGAAGACGATACACATTTAGTTTACTTCGCGATCGTTTTTCTCCGCGACGAACTAATTATTTTTTCGATTTCTTATCTACAGAGTTTCCATCCTATTTTTATATTTTTAAAGGTTACTGAAAGTATTGTCAGTTTACCTCGAATGTTGGCAAAAAGCATGGATAATGTAGTTGTAAGAAAATTGTCCTTTGAAACAATGTCAACAAAAAAGTCAGTTGGGCACTCTTTTAGTTGGAAAAATAAAACCTGAAAAAATAAAAGAAATATATGTTGTAAAGATAAAATCGTATACCCTAACATAGGATAGGAATAGCTCGTCATATTTTCCAAATGAATTTGGACAGCAACAAAGGAGATGAATTATTCGTTTCCATTGCTCAAACCCTTCAAATACCTGGCCCATCAAGAAACAGACAAAGGCGATTTGCATTTCAGCGAGAATCTGCTTCCAATCACCATTAAATGCTCGAATAAGTCGTTGTAAGCGGTCAGAATGCTCAATTCCAATTCGATTAACATCAACCTGCAACTTGTCTCAAAAATGTTTTAATAACGAGACTTGAATTCACTCGAAGTTGTGGAATTTCTTGAAAACGAATTTCGTAGCCTTCCCTGATTTTCATAATAGGTAGTCCGTTTTGATCCACAAACCTGCAAACAAACGTCTTATCACGGCTATTTAATGCATTAATCACCTTGTTCTTACTGGATGCTCTCGATCTACTCTCGGGTTACATGACATTTCTTCATTGTCCTGAAAATTGCATTGACTTTTTTAAGCACTTAATGGACGAACCTTTGAATTTTCCATAAAAGACGTTTCCAAACTCACTAGTTCTGCCTGTGCAGTTATTCTTCCTTTCAGTGGTTTCACTCTATCAAAAATTAAATGTAAAAAAATGAAATTTGAACATAGAAAATGTAATACCTTTCAACAGTTTGTTCTGTTACAAAATCAGTGAGTGCGTACCAAGAACGGTAGTTTTCGTATGGATACGGAGCTAAAGATGAATCCATGTTTTTTAGTTGATTCTTTTTTTCACGAATATTCTTTAAAGAAAGAAATAATTTATTCTTTTAATACAGTGCGCGTCATAATGATACGCCACCCCCCAAATTTTGCAGTTTTGAGAAAACCATATAAATTGGTGACAAGACAATTTCATTTTCGAATTCAGGGTTATTGAAAACCTATATGTGCGTATTTTCATGAGGGTCCGTTGGTCCGTATCCGCACAGCCCGAAAAAGTTGGATTTTCAAGCGCGTCATAATGATACGCCACCCCCTATTTTTTATCTTTTCTTTCGGCATTTTTGCATGTTTCTTGCTTACTTTTCTGTATTTTGAACAATTTTTCAACAATCTTATCTTTATATCCATTAAGCAATCGTCCGTTTTAGTTTTGGCTTGAAATCGGGCCGAATTCGGTCCTTTGAACGACTTTTTTTTTATTTAAGGACTAAAACGCAAGAAAAAGGTCTAAATATCCAAAGTAAAACAAGTTTGAATGCAAGAACACGACAAATTCAATGATTAGTAGTCAATCCATAGTTTTGGATCACTTCACATATTCGGTTTTTATTCTGTCGGTGAATTTCTTGAGGTATGCAACTGATCGACTGTTCCATTCCAGTCAAATTGCGGCCTTCAGCTCATCAAAGGCTGGCAAGCTACTGCATTCTGTGTGCGGACAGCCTGACCGATAATTTTTCACTTATTCTTCTCATAATCATCGGCCGCGGAAAATCTCTCACATTAGCTCACAGGAGAAAGCTCACATTGGCATTATGGTATAACTCAATCAGAGTGTCAAGCTGATTAAGGATGGTATCGGACGTTCTCGAAAATCTAACTGTATACGGAACTACGAAATTGCTTTAAAATTTGTTTCACGAATTTCAACAAGACAATCCAGTCATTCACAAGAGCTACAGCATCTTCAATTGGTTTTAGTATCAAACTCTTGGATGGATCAGCCAGCTCCCCAACTTTAATCCCGTCGAAAACGTCTGAAGACTTCTTGGCCATTTTGTTCGCGTATAAGGCAAGCAGAATGCCAACCTTTTATGAGCTGAAGGCCGCAAGTAGACGGGAATGGAACAGTCGGTCTGCTGCATACCTCAAGAAATTCACCGACAGAATAAAAACCGAATATGTGAAGTGATCCAAAACTATGGATTGACTACTAATCATTGAATTTGTCGTGTTCTTGCATTCAAACTTGTTTTACTTTGGATATTTAGACCTTTTTCTTGCGTTTTAGTCCTTAAATAAAAAACAAGTCGTTCAAAGGACCGAATTCGGCCCGATTTCAAGCCAAAACTAAAACGGACGATTGCTTAATGGATATAAAGATAAGATTGTTGAAAAATTGTACAAAATACAGAAAAGTAAGCAAGAAACATGCAAAAATGCCGAAAGAAAAGATAAAAAATAGGGGGTGGCGTATCATTATGACGCGCTTGAAAATCAAACTTTTTTGGGCTGTGCGGATACGGACCAACGGACCCTCATGAAAATACGCACATATAGGTTTTCAATAACCCTGAATTCGAAAATGAAATTGTCTTGTCACCAATTTATATGGTTTTCTCAAAACTGCAAAATTTGGGGGGTGGCGTATCATTATGACGCGCACTGTATAATAGGCTCACCTCATCCGTCATCAGCTGATCTTCAAAGTCTTCATTTTTCTTGTTCCATTTCTTTACGAGTATTTCGCCAGATTTGAATGTGTGGAAAAACCCTGTAAATTTAAATTCAATTTTGAGCTCTATCTGGAATTGAAACCTATTCTCGGTGCGCTTTGAATACTACAATAGACGAAATGAACTCCAGGAGGTATCATTTTCAATCCTCTGAACTTCTCCCCGGTTTTCCATGATTTATAGTCTATTCCAAATTCTGATCCTTCAGGAAAGTCGAGAAAAAGCTTTAAAAATATTATTAATCTAATTACTATTCTTTCCCGGATACCAAGAATGCTCCATGCTCGTACATATAATTAACTATTTCAGGCGGAAGATCTTGGCCAGTTTTTAGCGAATTGAGAATGTTTGACATGAGAGCATCACCCATCTATTATATGAAATGCTAGTTTAGAGCGTTCTCCCGAAATATTACAACAAAAGTATTTGACATGTATCCTTTCAATTTAAAGGTATTTAATAATAACAATCTTTATTTGCATAACAAAACGGCAAACAAATTAGATTGGGTTGTCAATCCATTTAGTGAGTGGTCCATGCTCACGCTGGAGCTGAACTCCAACACCATCGGATCGGAGTCTTCCTTCGGCGCGCATGCGCTCGTAATCCTCCTTGTCCCATCGGGTGAATCCCCACTTGCGGGAAACAACAATGATTTGACGTCCTGGGAACTTGAACTTAGCACGACGGAATGACTCGATAGCGTGCTTCACATTCTGAGAAATTTTAAATACTTTAAAGAACTAAATCTAATACACTTACGGCTTCTTTCACTCTCATGGAGAAAAGAATGTCACCAATATCAACACGGGCAACCAATCCTTGTGGTTTTCCATAAGCTCCACGCATTCCAGTCTGAAGACGATCAGCGCCGGCACATGAAAGCATTTTGTTGATACGGGTAACGTGGAATGGATGTTTACGAACACGGAGATGGAAACCGTCCTTCAAATATTAATAATATAGCGTATAAAAACTCCTTAGATCTACCTTTCCGCAGTTCTTAACCATGTATTTGTTGGAGCAAATACGAGCAGCTTCAAGAGCTTCTGAGGAAAGATGCTCACGTTCGTTCGACATCATGTGCACGCATGCTGGGAACTCATCGACATTAGCCTTCTTCTTTCCCAAATCGAAAATTCTGATCTTGGCGTCTGGGACTCCTCTACAGAATCTCGATTTCGGATATGGCTTGTTCTTGATGTAGCGGTAGCACCGCGCCGGACGTCTACCCATGTCTAAATTTTTAAAATGTAGTTTGAAAATTATAGAGAAAAAGAATCTTAAGAAATGGAAATTCAATCGATAAAGGTGTTTGTTGCGAAACAGTATGGGATTTTATTTTTACAAACAAGCTTTTTTCTTAATTATAAACTGGAAATTTTCATTCAGAATTAAATTTCAAAAAAAAACAAGGAAAAATTACAAATTAATACAAAAATAAAAATATGAGCAAATTTTTAGGCCAAAAAGAAATTGCGAGGACATTTCATTGCGAATGTTCACCGGCTGAGTACACTGCGGACTAAACAGCGTATCTGACGCAAGCTTGTCTACCGTAGTTCAAAACAATTTTTTAAATTCTGTTTCCTTTTTTCCTTTTCGAACACACATTTTTTCGACTACTCAATTAGTTTCAAGTTGGCGGTGGCAACGACCCGAGTTTTAAAATAGTCAACAATAAGAAAATATCTAACAAATGAAATTGCCTGAAATTAAGGTTCTTTTAATTGTATTAAAACCAGTAATATGGTTATTATAGATAGTGCCACTTGGGGCTGGACAAGATGTCGGACGATCTTGTATTTTGGTTACAATTGGATCAAAAAATGTGATGCTTGACTGTGGAATGCATATGGGCTACCAAGATGAACGACGGTTCCCTGATTTCTCGTTGAGTATTGAGTTTGTAAATTTTTTAAAAGAAATTTTTCCAGATATATCGGAGGAGGGGGAAAATTAACAGAATATCTCGACTGCGTGATAATTTCTCATTTTCACTTGGATCATGTAGGTTCACTACCACACATGAGCGAAGTAGTCGGCTATGATGGTCCTATTTATATGAGCTATCCGACTAAAGCAATTTGTCCAGTGCTATTGGTAAAAAATATTGTTAAACAAATTATCTCGGCCTAATTTTTAGGAAGACTATCGTAAAGTCCAATGTGACATTAAAGGAGAAACAAATTTCTTCACTTCGGATGATATTAAAAATTGTATGAAAAAAGTGATCGGAGTGGCACTACATGAAATTGTACAAGTCGACGATGAACTCAGCATTCGTGCGTTTTACGCTGGTCATGTTCTAGGCGCAACAATGTTTGAAATTCGATATAAAGATCAATCTGTATTATATACTGGAGACTATAACATGACACCGGATCGTCATCTTGGAGCTGCTAGAGTTTTGCCAGGAGTTCGCCCGACTGTCTTGATCTCAGAATCAACATATGCCACAACAATTCGAGACTCCAAACGAGCTCGAGAACGCGATTTTCTTCGAAAAGTTCACGAATGTGTTATGAAAGGAGGAAAAGTATTTGAAATATTTCATTGAACCTACAAATTTGATATTGATTCAGGTGATTATTCCAGTTTTTGCCCTTGGCCGTGCACAGGAGCTTTGCATTCTTCTTGAGTCTTATTGGGAAAGAATGGCTCTTAATATTCCGATTTTCTTTTCACAAGGATTAGCTGAAAGAGCAAATCAAGTATTACATATGTGTGAAAAAAATCAGCACAATATTTAATTTCTGTTCAGTATTATCGACTCTTTATTACTTGGACGAACGAGAATATCAAGAAAACGTTTGTAGAAAGAAACATGTTCGAATTCAAGCATATTCGACCAATGGAAAAAGGTGTGGAAGATTTGCCAGGTCCACAAGTCCTGTTTTCAACACCTGGAATGTTGCACGGTGGACAATCCTTGAAAGTATTCAAAAAATGGTGTGGAGATCCGAGAAATATGATTATCATGCCAGGTGAGTGATTTGTTCGCTTTAAAACATTTATTAATGGTACGTTTAGGTTATTGCGTTGCGGGAACAGTTGGGGCACGGGTAATTAACGGTGAAAAACGTATTGAAATCGAGGGTAAATGGGTAATTCGTTGAAATCATTTCATTTCAACTGTTCTTTATTATTTAGTTTGATATACGTCTTGGTGTTGAATACATGTCATTCAGTGCCCACGCTGATGCGAAAGGAATTATGCAGGTCTGTAATTTATCAAATTTTGTAATGAACCTATTCAAGCAATAAAATAATTTAAAAAATGCAAATTTAATGTTATTTTATTTTCATTTTTTTTTGGAAATTTCATGAATAGATCCATAAAGAATATTATAATTTCGCATGTTTTTAGTTAATTCGGCAATGCCAGCCCCAACACGTAATGTTCGTTCATGGAGAAGCTGCGAAAATGGAATTCCTTAAAGGGAAAGTAGCCAAAGTAAAACAATTGACGAATTATATGTAATAATTTATTGTTTTCTTTTTTCAAGGAATTCAATGTTCCTGTACATATGCCTGCAAATGGTGAAACAGTAACAATAGAAGTGTTGCCGACAATCGAAATGGATATTTCTCAAGAAGTTTGTTGAATTACCAATCGGAAAGCAATGAAAAGTTAATTTAGCAAGTAAACCGAACTATTCGATTAGATCCGAAGCCGTCAAAACGAGAATGTCCATTCGAAGGCCAATTCGTTTTGGACCAAACGGTAATATGCTTAAAATTTCACATTAAAAAAATAAAGATCTACATATTTAATATCTTTTAAACTATTGTTTCAATTTTTAATATCAGACGAAACGCCTTGCAATCGTTCCCGTCGTCGAATCGGAGAATGAGAAAAAGCATGTGGAACGAACGACGATTTCATTCTCGCAGGTTTGAGAAAATCGTTCGAAAATCTGAATGGCCTTTTTCAGATCATAAAAGGGAAACGTGTTGTCGCTTGGAAAGCACTAACAGAAGCACTTCAAAATTATGATCCATATCTCCAGATTAAACCTGTAACGAATCAATTTTCTCCATTTTTTAACGGTTTGATTAATAGGACGGAATCGAAATGTTCGATGGGGAGATGGCGGTTATGAAAATGAAGAACCAAGAAAATAACGTAGAGTTCGTTTGGGACGAGAATCGGCAGCCGTGGCACGCGCTAATCAGCGGAATAGTCATCGAGAAAGTCAAGACGCATCCTCCACCAATTGACAAAGATGATCACAAATTTTTGTTAAAGCATTCTAAAAAACTATAAAAACTTTTTATTTTGAATTTGCGAACCAGTTGGGGAAGAGATAAAACAACCAAACTACGAGACCAAAGTCAAAGTCGGTAGGTCTTTGCACAATTCCAAAAACGTTGGGAGTTTGTAGAGGAGTGGAGGGGTCATAAATACAATAAATAGGGTTTAAAATAAATAGAGACATTAATACGAAAACGTTGGATACAAATGGGTGGGACATTTTTTAGTTATACAAATCATCGTCATCATTGTTTCCACCTCCACCAACTGGCTGTCCAGATCCCTCAGTTCCCGACTGTCCTGGGAACTTGAAGTTGTTTCCGAAACCGCGTGACTGTTGAAGAGTCTGGGCAAACATCTCGTACCTGAAATAAAATTATTAATTAATCGATTTAATTTTGCTATTCCCACTTTCTAATGTCGTTATCTGTGACGGAACGTCTGGCAAACTTCATAGCTTCTTCGAAATGCTTGCAAGTGATTTCCGGAACTGGGTCAACGATATCGTCTTCCATCAATTCCTCACCACGAGCACGTCTTTCTTGTCTCTCTTTTTCGATGCGGATTTCCTTCTCAATCGATTCGCGGATAGCCAACTTGCAAGCGCTGAAATTTAATTAAACTTAAAATTTAACGAAAAATCAATATTTCTTACCGTTGACAAATTTCAGTCAAATCGGCTCCTGAGAATCCAACGGTATTCTTAGCCAAGTGATTGAGGTCAAGATTTGGAGCAAGCGGAGTTTTACGGAGCGAAGCCTTGAAGATTTGCAAACGGGAAGCTTCATCCGGAAGTGGAATGTAGATCAATTGATCAAGACGTCCCGGTCGAAGAACAGCTGGATCAATAATGTCCGGTCTTTAAGTAAAACAAACATTTAAATACTCGACCACAAATTTCCTACCTGTTAGTAGCACCAATAATGAAAACATTCTTCTTCGCATTCATACCGTCCATTTCAGTAAGAACTTGGTTGATGACGCGGTCGGAGGCACCTCCAGCATCACCAAGATTAGCTCCACGAGACTTGGCAATCGAGTCCAATTCATCAAAGAAAAGAACACATGGGGCAGCAGCACGAGCCTTGTCAAAAACGTCACGAACATTGGCTTCGGATTCTCCGAACCACATTGTCAACAATTCAGGTCCCTGAAATTTCAATGAGTTTTATAACCTTAATAATTATTTACCTTAATCGAAATGAAGTTAGCTTGGCATTCATTGGCAATAGCTTTAGCCAAAAGAGTTTTACCGCATCCAGGTGGTCCATAGAAGAGCACACCACGAGATGGTTGCATACCGAACTTCAGGTATTTCTCAGGATGCTCAACTGGGTATTGAACCAACTCTTGCAACTCGCGCTTGACATTCTGAAGACCTCCAATGTCGTCCCAGGTAGTGTTTGGAGTTTCGACGACAGCCTCACGAAGAGCAGAAGGCGAAGACTTGCCCATAGCAAACTAAAAGAGTAATTCATTAAGTGCGACATCTTGCAGGCACGTACTCGGAAATTCTCCATGGTTACAGCAAGAGAATTCAACACCTCCGCATCAATTGTATCATCCTCCAGGTCAATAAGTTCCATTTTTTCACGAATTTGCTGAAGGGCAGCTTCAGAGCAAAGTGAAGCCAAATCGGCACCGACGTAGCCGTGGCATTCGTTGGCGACCTGCTCGAGGTCGACATCGTCAGCAAGCTTCATGTTTTTGGTATGAATGCGCAAAATTTCCAAACGTCCAATAGCGTCCGGAATTCCTGAACGTTTCAATGTAAAGATGGACGTGATTCTTTTTTCTTTAATAGTACCAATGTCAATCTCGCGATCAAATCTTCCGAAGCGTCTGAGAGCTCCGTCGATAGAGTTGGGGCGGTTAGTAGCAGCGATAACAACGACATGAGCGCGTGTCTTAAGTCCGTCCATCAAAGTGAGAAGTTGAGAGACGATTCTCTTCTCAACCTTAAAATAATTAAGTTACAATTTGTTGACTTTTCTTCTAAAACCTCTCCATGAGCCTTCTCTCTCTTTGGCGCGATGGCGTCAATCTCGTCAATGAAGAGAATAGCCGGAGAGTTCTTTTCACACTCAGCGAAAGCCTTTCTCAAATTTGATTCGGATTCTCCAGACATTTTCGACATGATTTCCGGGCCGTTGATTAAAAAGAAGAAAGCGCCGGTTTCGTTGGCAACAGCACGAGCAATCATCGTCTTTCCAGTTCCCGGTGGTCCGAATAGAAGAATTCCACGTGGCGGTTTCACACCGATAGCCTACAAAATTTAAGATTGTTACGTCATTCAATTCAAAATAACCTTGAACAATTGCGGATGACGAAGTGGGAGCTCCACCATTTCCTTGATTTGAGCCAATTGTTTGCGAACACCTCCAAGGTCGTCGTAGCCGATTTCGTTCAGCGCTTCTTCCTCTTCCTCACGCTTGATTGGTTCTCCTTCGTAGTGGATTGTCGTATCCGGAGCAACGATGCAAGCTGGAGATGGATCGGTTTCCACAACCTGAAGTTTATTAGATATTTCATCACTTCTATTCACGATTTCAACTTTGAATTCAACGCTGCGGAGAGCTCCTTGCACGGAGAAAATGTCTCCCTTGTGAAGTGGGCGGTAAGCTTCGGTGAAGTATGGCTTGAGGAAGACATCGAATACATTTCTGGAAAATATAAATTATTGATTTTCGAGTCATTATTTGGTTTACCCTGTTAGCCCTTCAATGGTATCGTCAATCGGCAGGACGTGGATGCGCTTTCCGTATTCCAATTGAATGCTGTTCAAACTGTAAAAATGTAATTAGATGCTATTATTGTCTATTTTACTTGCCTCACAACATCGCCGAGACGACTTCTCAAATTGTTACGAACAACACGGTTCATCTTGATTTTCTCGTTAGCACACGTATCTGAAGCCAAAACGATGGCGACGGTCTCACGCCGCTTTTTTCCCTAAAACTTAATATATCATACGATTCTTTATTGAATCTCAATGCCTTGATGACGACGTTATCTCCGCGGAAAAGTCCGAGCTCGTCCATCTTGGCTTGAGAAAGAAGAACAGTTGAGTTGTCATCATTTTCCGATTGATCGATAATCAAACGATTTGGTCTTGCCTTATCCTGCAATGAACGCATTTTGAGTTGACATACATTAAAAAAAAATATGAACCTTAAGGATGGCAGTGGCGAGTTCGTCATTTTTCTTCTCTTTTTCGTCCTTTTGCCTATATTTGTAATATTTATAAATGTTTCAAATACTTTATTCTTACGTTGGAACTTGAGCCATTGTTGAAATTGGTTACTTGGCCCTAGAAAAGGAAAATTAACTAAATTACATTCGTAAAATATCGAATTATCACGTGGAAACAATTCCAGAACATTCTAAGAAATTTCGTAACATGGAAAAATATTTTGGAAATGCCTTAGGACTTACATTTTTTTGAAATTAATTAGGTTGAAATCTAATCTTGTGAAAGAAAAACGAATGTTACGTTAGTCCTAAACATATAAACAACTATAATTTTTAGTTAATGGCGCATATTTAAGTATACTATAGCTATTGTGTTAAAAATAGAATGATTTAACTCTTCGGAAAGCGATAGTTCTAGAAACACGTAAGTGAAAAACAGCAGTAACGCTGACGCAGCCCAATGAAAACGCATGATGACAAAACCGAACGAATAGAAATGATGACTATTTGAAAGTGGGAGAAAATTGGCAATGGGGCGTGATTGCTTTCGCGAATTTAAAACTGTTTGCCGGCAACTCAAACGATCAATTATCTCGCTAACATCAAGTGCATGCCTAGTTGCAGTTATTAATTGGTCAATTTGAACATGTGAAGTCATGAGAAACTAACTAGAAACGCTGTTAATTCTGAGAAATAAATAGGGAAAAATGAAAAAAAAAACAATCGGTACGAGACCCAGAATATTTACTGTTTGCTGATTTGTCGCAATGCCTGTTTTTTTTCATAAAATGCTGAAACGATTTTTTTTAATTCCAAGTTCGCTAAGATTATTTGAAATCATAGAAAATTTTAAAAATATTTCTTTATCTATTTTTAAAGATGATTTCCAACTTCTCATAAGTCGAGTGAAAACAACTTCCTCATATTTTCCAACTTTAACACTAGCAATTAAATTTCAGGGTGCGAATTATGAAACAAGATGAATCCTCTACAACGAGCGAAGAGACACTACACAGTAGGACATCGACATTTGTCCACTCTGAAAACAACATGCGGCGGAGAGGTTCAGGAACAATGTCGACGTTTTCGCGCGGTAGATCCAATTTCTCATCGGGGACCCTTCCGAGTCGACCAGATGAAAGTGCTCCTGTTAATACATTGTTATCAGAACATTCTTCAAAACCTCTTATGAGATCCTATCGCCTTGATCGAGGTGGAAAAAGGTGGAATTGTAAAATATACACATTCAATACCCAATATATTCAGAACAAAATCGAATCCTTTGGATACAATAGCAGCATCATCAGACGCATTAATATCTGAATGTGAAAATTCACAAGAATCAAGCTCAGCCTATCATCATAATGTCGAAGACGACGAAATTAGGTCGACGGAAGATAACGGTAGCAGCTCCATTTGAATCTTACATATCGTGTTGTTTTTAGGTTTAGTAACACAGACGGATTCAATGTCGCCTCCCCATGAATCACCATTTCCGTCACTTAATAGCTCATTTGCTGATAGGTTTGCATATCCAATGAATCGAATGTATCTAGGAGGTAAATCAATATATATTATATTAATTAAGCCTATACTTCTGGATGATATATGTATATAATTTCGCGCTGTTTATACATGCACTTGCGCTCCCATCTCTTTTTTTTTTCTTTGTAGATTTCGCAAAAACTGAAAACATTTTCTTCATTTTTATTTTAAGAAAGAAATTTTCGGATACGATATCGTGTGGATAACTCAACACGAAGATTTTCATTGCCGTCAACTCATATTCTTTATGAAAAAAATAGGCACAGAGGCGGTGCAAATATTGCAGAACAAGAAAAGGTAGAATAAAACTGAATAAAAACTTGTTTAACTATTTTGTCATCTCAGGTGACTGAAATGTTGCGCGCGAAAGCTGCAGATTTTGATAGAGAAACCGGTGTTAAAGTTTGTCCCGAAGAAAATTTAAAAAGGTATTTTGTTATGCGAACATGACGATCACAAATAAGTTTAAGCTGCGTAGAAGTTAGTTTCGACATCAAGATTGTTGGACCATCGAATGTTGAAGAGATATTTATGTACTTGGCAAGTGATGCTGATCTCATGAGAGAATTCTTTGCGACAATTTTAGATCCAGTTTAGTCAATTTTTAATTTTTTTCATTCATTTTAAAATTACAGTATGCTGAAATTGTATGGAAGCGCAGCGGAAATCTGCCAAGAGCATCTTATGAAGATCAGTGGTATTTTATAGAAGCATTCTTAAAACTGAAGCCATTTCGAAGTGCTGACGTTCAAAGCAGGTTGTTTTATGTAAAGAGTCTCCTAATAATCTCGTCGATCATTTAGATGCGATAATATTGTTAGATTTATCGAAGAAGTATCACTTCGATTGAAATGTATGATTCAGGATCAAGCATTTATTGAGATTCCTAAATTTTCCAGCTTCTTCCCTGATGTTGTGTTAGTTATCTTTTTAATATGCTAGATTCATTGGATTTTAGGCCACAACATGCAGATGTTCCAATATCAACAATTGCAATAGGAAGTTGTCCAAATGCTGGCTGCTTTTTCGTTCGCGGTGATTACATTAGTCAAGAAAATGCAATTTGCAGCCTGTATTTCGTATTTTTATTTCAGAAAAAAATATTCGAAACTTTCAGAAAATTGTATCCACCAAACTCAAACGACGCTGCGAGGGAAAGCAATGCATTCAAAGTTGCAGGTATCTCGTCTCATTGTTTCAAGATTTTCTTCGTTTTTAAGGAAAAAATACACTTTTATCTTATTCAAAATTCGAACATGATAAAAGGCAACTGTCGTTATACTTTGGTATTCGGTTACATGGTATTTTTCAATAAACCTATTCTCAAATATCGCTGAATATTCAGACTTGCAACCTGATGGATTGGAATATGCCGGCTACCGTATTAATATATATTACAATTCCATGATTAAGGCAAGGTGCTCAGGAGTATTGTTGTGAGTTAATGTTTCAGATTATTGTTGACATGTCGCAGGAAAACTCCAATAGCTTGTTTATTCAGCTTAAACATCCTCCTCAGGTAAGCTAATATTACGCCACTGCAGATGTTAGGAAATTTTTTAAAAGAGATTAAAATATATGTTTTGTCATTTACAAGTCATTTTATAGGTTATGTTTTTTCTGACACTTGCTTACTCTAATTAGGAAAATTTGAAAAAAAAATTTCAGTTGTGGGAGGCTATTCCGAAATCATCAGTGTATCATCCCTCAAAAGCTCGTGTTTTGAATATGGAAATGTGCATGGATTGGGTATAATTAATTGAAAATAGAATGTGATTTATCATTCTTTTTAGGTTCGTGTGTTAAGTTGGCCGGCTGATGGCGATGGACGATCGATTGGATGTAGCAAAGAAGCATTTGCTCAAAGCAATTGGATTCGTGTTGTATTTTTAAAGAAGAATTATTCCAATGTGAGCAAGTTTGTATTTGATTTACCAATTTTAAGTTTTTAGGTGGCCAGCGGGAAATTCTTGGACATCGTTTCTCGTTTATCAGTTCGAAGTTCTGCGAAAATATTATTCGGCCCGATTTTCTCAGTTCGTCGAAAACTTGCCCCGCAACCTCCTTTACATTCCCTTGGAACATTTCGTGCGAATTATGCAATGCAAGCGTTGCTTACGCGTGGGAGCATCGTTACGGACCAGCTTTTCGATTTCAATTCAACCATATGCGAACTCGGGAAGCCGATAGAACTCGACGATGAGCCACTATTTCTCAAGGTTGTACGAAGAGGAATGAAAGAATGTGAACGTGCTACGGAAGAAACTCTCGAGCAGATTTTGAATGCAATCGATGAAAAACGTCAAGTCGACCTGCTTGATGCTTTCATTAATTTGTACATGGTATTTAATTTTGAATTATTTAAATTTATAGCGCCATTTCAGGCAAGAAAACGACAATACGAACGTCTTTTAAGTGGGGAGAAAATGCAAGATATTGGGCTAGCAAGACCACTTCCAAAGAATTGTGTTGCTGTTGCGAAGGTTTGATTTCACTTATTCGAACAAACTTTTATGTGGAGGCTTTATTAGGTTATCGTGAGCCCAACACGTGTACTCCTCATGGCACCTGAAGTCATGATGATTAATCGAGTTGTTCGAAAATTCGGACCAGATTATGCTCTTCGCTGTGTTTTCCGTGATGATAGTGGAGGCCGTCTCGTTTTTCGCGATTTTTCGCTTGGAAATATTGATCGTATTTTTTTAATTTTACAAATATCAGTTTGAAAATGATTATTCTAGATGTATCCAATATTATTTCCGTTACAATATACAATACTCTCAAACATGGAATTACAATAGCTGATCGTGTATATAGCTTTTTGGGTTGGAGTAATTCTCAAATGAGAGATCAGGGATGTTATTTATATGCTCCAAGAATAGATCCTGTGACTGGAGAGGTCACAGGTAAGAGATAATCAAATATATGGAATTGAAATAAAATGAAAATTTTAGGAACGGTTGAGGATATTCGTAGTTGGATGGGAGACTTCCGCGAAACTGTTAGTGTTCCAAAAATGATGAGCCGAATGGGACAATGTTTCACTCAAGCTCAACCTACTGTCAAGCTATTTCCTCATCACTGGGGTGTCGAGCATGATATTGAAGGAGGACCTAACAACAAGTATTGCTTTTCTGATGGATGCGGACGAATTTCTTTAAAATTGGCTCGAAAAATCACTCGAATACTAAAATTAAAAGAAGTTCCAGCATGTTTTCAGGTATGTGAACAATGCTTGTTAAATCGTCATCAAATCCTATTTAGGTCCGATTCAAAGGTTTCAAAGGGATATTGGTAATTGACCCAATGATGGATGAACTTTTCGATGTTCCGCCCATCATATTTAGGTAAGAATTATTTAAAAATTAATTTATTAATAATTTTTTCGACTTGAAGAAAAAGCCAGCAAAAGTTTCTCGATAATTCTGGTGGAACGACTGTTGATTATTTAGAAGTGAATTCACTACAAATTATAATTTAGTGTAACGATAAATTCAGGTCGTGAAATACGCGATGCCTTCTCCGGTGTGTCTTAATCGACCGTTTATTACCATTCTCGATCAAGTATCCGAAAAACAATCAGCTTCGTCACATAATAGAATCACGTCTCGGGTTCATTATTATCTAGAACGCGAATTGTCGATTTTGAGCAGTAAGCCAAATTAGTGCAGTTTCATTGAAAAACAATTTTTTGCAGATATGCTTGTTAATGAGAAATGTGCTGCCGAGGAACTAATGAATCGTACAAACTTGCCGATTGATTGGTCTTTTGTTGTTTCGTCTGCTGGTTTTGAGTTGACAACTGATGCATTTGTGCGTAATATGATTGTGTCCGTCTATCGATACAATATCATTCATCATATTTCGAAGGTTTGCTCAAAACGTTTATGATCATAAATGTTTAGTAGATTTAGGCAAAAATATTTCTTCCCGGTAACATTGGACGATCAATGTACGGAGTTGTTGATGAAACTGGATTGCTGCAACATGGTCAAGTGTTTATTCAATACTCTCCCTCTTTGAGACAAACTAGCAATCATCCTATCTTATTAAAAGGAAAAGTGCTAATTACAAAGAATCCATGTCACGTTCCTGGAGATTTACGTGTATTTGAGGCTGTCTGGCAGCCATCATTAGCTCATTTGGTTGATGTTGTCGTTTTTCCACAGCACGGGCCAAGACCACACCCTGATGAAATGGCTGGTAAACCATGAATCCCCAACTATTTTATCGGTGTAATGTTTAGGATCGGATTTGGATGGAGACGAATATTCAATCATATGGGACCAAGAAATGCTTCTTGATTATAACGAGAAGGCCATGGTTTTTCCAAGTAGTACACCTTGTGAAGAAGACAAGCAACCTACGGTTTTGTTTTAAAATTCTCAACTATTATATTTTTTTGCTTTCAGACCGATGATATGGTTGAGTTTTTCTTGAAATATTTACAACAAGATTCTATTGGACGAATGAGCAATGCTCATCTCGCATTTGCAGATTTGCATGGATTATTTCAGTAAGATCATTTCTTGTTTCTTCACTAATTTTTATGATAGCGAACATTGTCATTCAATAGCATTGAAATGTGCTGTTGCTGTGGATTTTCCGAAGAGTGGACAACCCGCCGAACCATTGGCTAGCTATGAGCAATGCGAAACAGCGCCTGACTACATGCCCTCTGGAAACAAACCTGTTTATTACAGCACTCGGTTGAATGGCCAACTTTACAGGTACGGGTTTTTTATTTATCAACCGAGACTCGTTGTTTAGAAAAGCAAGAAAGGTCGAAGAAATTTTAGAAGAATTCGAGCGAAAAGGAAGCATGTTTGAAGGTGAATATGACCGTCTCATTTGTCCAGATAATATTGATGTATTCTTCGGAAATGAGGCCGCTCTTCGATCTGCGATCGCTGTGAGAGATGAGTATGCGAGGAGAATACAGGTTGTTTCAATAATGTTCCCAACATAATTTCGTACATCATTTAAGCAACTTTTGGACGAATACGGAATTGAGAATGAAGCATCGATTGTTAGTGGGCATGCGGCGATCATCAAGAGACTTGCCGGAATGGAAAAGGACGATTACTCATTCTATCACACTGATAAAATTGTTGAACTGAGATATGAGAAACTATTTCATTCGTTCAGACAGAAATTCTTCGAGGTAAAATTTATTTAAAAAAAAACCCCCAAAAACTCCAAATTCACTGTTAATTTTCAGGAGTTTGGTGGTGAAAAGGCTCATACAGTTCAAGAAAATCGTAAGACATACGTAAAATGCACTCCAGCAATGTGTGAAAAAGTTCGCCAATGGTAAATAAATGAACAAATTTGGTCTACTATCCGAAATTTAGGTACTATGTATCTTATGTGATGCCAAAGAGAAACAGCAGTGGCTCCAAGATCGGACAAAGCTTGCCTTGGGTCGTGTGGGAAGTATTATGCAATTTGAGAAGAAATTTGGTAAAAATACAACTTTTTCATAATTCGTATTTTTCTCCAGGTTCTTGAAAGAGATATTCCAATTATCCGAAAAAAATATCCAATTGCTAACAAGTTCTCCGCCGAAATGAAGGCTTCAATTGAAAACAAATTTGAAGAATACTCGGCTTTTAGCAGTGTAGTTTACAACGATTCGAATGCAAAATTTTTAGTGCAGTGAGTTCTTTTTTTCAATTTTTATTAAACGAATTGGTTGATTAATTATGTTGCTTGATGGGTTCTGATCCTCCGAAAACTCCAAAGACGAGGGCCTTGGAGAAGAGCATCGAGGCGACCAATCCAATCTGGTATAGGTGAATTTGCGATGGAGCCTTCAAATTCTTGAAAGCAATCTGAAGGGTTCCTGCGGCGGACGCTGAATACAAAAGGCTCATGAGAAGATACGAGAAAGAGAGGTATCCGAGGATGAGCCCGAGGGTGAGGTTAATCGCGAGACTAGCTCCAACAGCTCCACCGAGAAGTGGGATGTGGGCAGTTCCAACCTGAAAAGAAATGTTGCTCCCAAAGTTTATTATATTTCTCACTTGTCCGGCAATGAGTGGATAAGCGAAAGCGATGATCAATGGGGTAAGAAACGCGATGGGCTGCGAAGCGACATAGGTGTGAGCGACCGCGTGTCCCATCAACAATCCTTGGAGGGCGGAGAGAGCGAGGAGTTGGAAGCGCGACTCCGCAGTTGATCCATCTTTTTCTTTGAGCATAAAATAGGCTCCAATTGGAAGACCGACCGAGGCAAGGATGGCAGATCCGAAACGTCCCAAAAAGATGCCAAGGATCGGTGTGAGAAGGTATCCTCCAGCAATTCCAGTAAGAGTCGACGAGAGAAGAAGAATCGATGACCATCCGAAAATGTCAATCACATGACTGGTTGGAATCGAAATTGGTGCTTGAGTCTCTTGAAGAGTCTGAACAAGCTCTTGCGTTTGTGGCTGGATCTGCGACTGAAGTTGTTGGAGTTGGGCTGGTGCTTCTTGCTGAAGAGCAAGAGCGCGTTGACGCAACCCTATAAACGAAAAATCCTGTTAAGTTAAATGAGCAACCTCACCCTCGGCTACACCTTGAAGTTCGTTGACGTAGTTAGTGTACGTTTGGGTGACGAACGCAACAGAGGCGTCTTGTCCGCCAGCACCCATCGACGATGCTCCACCGGCAATAGCGGTTCTGGTCTCGGAAGCTGGTGCAGCCGGTGCTGCTCCGTCTTGTTGTCCTTCCGCCATATTTTCTTTGTTATTGGGCGCCTTTTGAGCTGGTAGTGGCTATTGGGAGCTAGTTCTATAATAGAAAAGTGCGGAAATATAGGGCTTCGAAATCACCTGAACGTTACTCGACGATGACACAAGGCCGAGTAGAAACGGGGTAGAATAGAGGGTATACCGTTTTCACGGGTTTTATAGGCGATTTATAGATAGGAGATGATACAATCTGTAAGGTTACGTAAAAAATTTGAAACCTTAATCATATTTTAATCAATAACAAATGACGTTTGCATCAAAATTTACGTGTGAATGAAAAGATTTAATAAAAAAAAATCTTTTAAAAAGTTTTCATTTTTCAAGAAGGGAAACTTTGTATTCTAGGTGAAGTCAGTAGACAACAAATTAGCGAATTGAAATTTAAAATCAAGTAATTTTTTTTAACGAAAATCACATGAATGACAACATCGGTCGAATGTTTAAGAATCATGTTATCAACCAGTTTTACCAAATCACTTTTCAGGTACGTCAAAGTATACGGAAAGGATCTTTTGGATTTGGTTTTTATTTTGGATGAATGGCTTAAAGAAGAGCGAGTATTGCCATCGAATCAGATTAATATTTGGCATCTTGCGCGGCTTCTTATTCAGTTCGCATTAGGTAAAGCACAAGGAATGCGCAACATTGATTACAATCGAAGAGATATGATTTTGACTCCAGTCTTTCCGCAAATGGTATAAAACAATATTGACAATATTTAAAATGGAAAATTTGAAGATTTTTTCTTTGTCCGACGAACCTGATCAACAAATTGGAAGTGGATTTGACATCGGAAGTCTAATGCTTGAATTTTTGCGATATTTGGGAAGGTTTCATTTGAATGTTTTTCCTTTTGATAAACTTGCATTACAGTCAATCAATTGCTTGCGCATCCCATCTCAACCTTCGCGTATTTGAAGATAAGAAAATAATCGAGCCAATTTTATTCAAAAGCTCTCAGTGGATGCCGGTTCATCATGTTGCTTATCGCGCATTTCATTCAATCGCTGTTTCTGGGCGATTTGATGCTCTTCATTTATTAACGGAAAATGAGGACGAGCACATATCGGAGAGTCGAGATCCGATACTCGTCAATGATTCTGTGTTTATGAGCAAAAACTACAGTGATACCCCGGTTACTAGACACTGCGTGCTTAATTGTTTGAAAGTATTCCAATTTACAACGGAAGTTAGTAAAATTTCGATTTCTGCAGGAATGGTCTGGTGTCAAAGAAATTATTACACGGGAAAACTCAGGTCGAAAATCTGAACTTTCTTACGTTACTTCGGTCGGAACGGTTTTGGCGCGGCAACGATTGGCTAGGTTGGTCTGATTTATGTATACTTTCAACGGGCGGTTCGAACTGATCCAGAAATTTGCTAGTATTTTTTCTGAATTTGTTGAAAAATGAACAAAAATTGTGGAGGAAATTTCAAATCGTCCATTTTATATCTAGAATTTTGTTATATCACATAAAGTTTTTTAAATTGAATCAAGTCGTTAAAATGAGTAAACATTTTGATATTCGTCACTTTCTCGAATTGAACTTTTTTGTTCATTTATGGATTGCATGCCATGAAAAAAAAAACGAAAATAAAAGGTGAACATTTACAAAATATTAAATAAACTTCAGATTACTTCTTCTCGGTGGGGAAACAATTCGTGATGCGATTAACAGCAATACAATTCCAGTTGAAGTTCGTGATGATTTTCTGTGAATTCAAATTAAATGTGATATACTATCTAAACATGTCAAATATGAAATATGCCAATACGAGTTTATGGCTTAAAATAGTTTCTGCATGCCATTTACGTGTTCTATTTTTAATAAATGTTTTTTATTTTAAAGAATATTCTCTGGTTGAACTGTACGTTGTTGGAAGGCTTTCGAGACGAGCATATTATTTTAGAAAATAGTTTTTTTGGTCAATCGGAAAGGAAATCGTTAATGATGTGGTTTGTGTTATATCTTACAGCATCAGCGATCACTGCAAGTTTTGTAGTATTAAACTGCTCAAAAAAGGTTGAATCAATTTCGAAGCACGTGTTTTAATAAAGAATTTGTTCAGAAAAATGAAGCTGAAAAGCTTAAGCCACGCGATTTGAAAGACTCGAGCGCCAATACAAATTCGGGACCAAAAGTGACAACTCCAAATGAAGTACCGAAAACTGGTGAGTTTCAATTAATTTAAAATAAATACTTTTGTAACATTCAGCTGGTGGACCTGCTATGGCTCCTCGGGAGGCTGATGATAACGAAACAATCAATGACGCGAAATCAGATTGGGGGGCTGTTCACTAAACGAATAAATTATCATTAATATTCTTTCTTCTTTCGTTTGTCAAATTATATTTTGAAAACTTCAGAAATTGCACGATGAACGTTATGGCAGTTATTTTGGTGATTTGAAATATTTATATATTCAAATATTTATTCACATAATTAAAAATGGCCGGTTTCATTTATTTGTTATGATTTTCATTTGATCCTTTTGCCCTAATTGCAATTGTGCCATTCTAATCGTGTACGGTAAACATTTCTTATTCAGACGATTTTCTATCCATGATTATGCTTGTTCTTATAATCAATTATTCCCAAATCGTATGTCCTTGTTTTGTGTTTAAAAATGCGCATAATTTCGACGGTTGATTTCACATTGGTATATGGGAAAATACGAATCAACACAACGGGAACACTCAAAAATGAAGAGGCAATAAAAGGTCGTCTTGACCGTATTAATTTTCAACCGATTTATTTCATCAGAATAGGCAAAGTGTCAAAACATCAGATAAAACAATCTAGTCTACGAATCTATGTGAACTGCATGCAATAGGAAGCTTTACCGGGTAAAAGACAATGGTATGCTTTACATAAATTGATTATATTAACTAGGTGGGATGGCAAGTATATAATGACTGTGATTAGAAAATGTACATAAAAAATAATATTTAAAAAAAACGAAATTGGAGATTTTAATTTATTCTTCATCGTCGTCGTCGCTTCCATGGATTGATGGTCGACGAGAAGTTGCAGCCGATGGAACCATTCCTTCGTTTTCTCGAATAATGTTGTTCAAATTTGGATGCAATTTTTCGAGAGCCATTCTTCGGCAATCGCTGGAATAGTTTCTTCGAATTTGAAAAAAAAAAGTGCAAATATTACCGATAGAAAACACCAAGATTCTTCCAATCAAGCAATTCCGAAAGACGTTCGCAAGAATTACGCAGAATAATGCGTTGACGACGGGACATTCCCGAGAAGTCATACCTAAAATTGAGATAATTCGACATAATTATAACTAGGCCTACATGATTTGTGCCAACTGACACACAGATTCTTCGCCTCCTTGAAAACGACGATCGACAACGTATATTCCATACTCATCTGGATCATCGACATGCTCTTGCATGAAGCAACCGAAACCAGAGAGATTTGTCGATACTGACGGTATTCCCATTACAGTACATTCAGCCGGTGTGTAACTAAAGAGTGTTTAGAATTTTAATAATTTCTTAGAATATATATTTTATTATACGAGAAAATAAATTTCTATAAACATACCCCCATGGCTCATAATATGATGGGAAAACTCCAAGATGGCATCCACGAACAAAATCTTCGTAATCAAGCCCGATTAATGGTGAAACAGATGACAAGAACTCTAAAAATATATTGGTTCATATTCATTTATTGATAACAGGGCTTGAAAAATACCTGGATGGAAAATAACCTTCACACGATCATCCGGCTTGTTGAACAGCTGTGTTCGACGAAGTGCCTCGAGCACAGGATCGTCGTTGCGAATCATGTTGTGAGTGCAAATTGGTGGCAATTGTGATGGCTGCATTGCCATCATACATCTCTTGAGCTGGAATTACACAAAAGATTGAACGGGCTTTAGAAAGAAGCTAACCAAAATTGTTTCCGCCGGCGAAACAAGATCTTCTCCATCCGGAAGGTGACCTTGAAGACATGAGTTAAATATGCGCTGACCGATGCTTTCTTTTATCCTGTCAACAGCTTCTTTGAGCTGTTTGGTGACCGCTTGACCTTTCAAAGATTCCACATTGAAAGAGTTCGCCGGTGCTGAAATTGGCATTTCTATTGGAAAAAAATTGTATAGAGAAAATATACCAGGATAAATAATAAATGCAACGACGGTTACCCCAGAATGTCTTGGATCACTGGTAGTTTTTAGATAGTGATTCAAACGAGCTAATGATTCAATGAACATGTCTCCTCCTTTGTTTGAAAACTCATATCTGAATACTTTAAAGTTTGCTTTAAATTTATCAGCCTCTAACCTTCCAGCAGTGAAAAAATACAAGGTTTTATCGAGATCAAAGTTCAAATGTCCATGAAAGTGCCCACGAATGAAATTGTTAATTTTCTCTTTATTTTGAGCATGTAAATTCTAAAAAAATCTATTTTCTTTGACATTTGTGACTTGTTAAACAAAAAGAAACCTGGAATTCATGAAGGGCTGCAAACTTGAATACATTGAGACCATTTGGTGTCAAAATATCTGGTTTTCGACAAAGGAAATGTTCGGCTTCTAATCCAGTAATTTCGGAAACCGTCGTGAAAACATGAGCAGTTTGACAGGCGGCTCTCTCGAGACAATATTGGTGATAAATCTAAAAGAAGCTAAATATTATCGTTTGAAAATATGCTGGAATTGCCCTTCTTTTTCCCGCTTCAGCATCAAGATCGAATCCGCTAAGATTATTGTACAAATCGGCCCCTCCTGCGCACAAATGTCTTCCTAACAGCGTTGCATGAGTTGTGTAAACCGTAGCGACATTCAACTTCCAAAGTCTTGTCATCAGAAGACCGACTCCTGAATAGGTTTAGCGAATAATAGTATATAAAAATTTATATATTTTTTAATGTACCAGCCTGCCATTCATGAAAATGGGCAACAACTAATGGAGTATAAGCAGTGACCGATTCCACGAAATGCTTCAGGAAAATAGCAACCATGAACCCCAGAATGACCGCGTCATTTGATTCGATATCCTCGTGAGGAATTCCAATTTGGCATCTGAAATTTAAACAATTTATAAAAAAAAATATTACGTTATACTTCTCAAAAAGCTCATGCTTCCATTCGTTCATTTTAACAGCTCCAGATCCCAAATCGAACATAATTACTTTCGGGTATCCTTCGATGAGCCAGCGACCGTACAAGCATCGAAATCCGTCAGCATGGAAACGTTTCATCGCGGCACGAATTGTTCTGAATGTTGGGTTCGATAAATTACATTATTTTTTCAATTTTCAATGCTCGTTTTTTTTAATTAACATTAAAACAAAAACAATTATTCACCTATTTTCGGGTTCGATTGGGTCAACTTCAAGTCTCCATTTCTCATCCTTCATTGGTCCGAACATGCAATATTGGTCTCCCAACTCCTCTGTACTAATTTGTGCTTTGCTACGCAACACGGTGTAAATTCCACCGACCTGAATTTTACTTGAAAGCAAATAAAAAAAATATATATATGGGAATCACTTTGTTTGCAACTTCCCAAGCGCATTCGAACACGAAACGACCTTCTTCTCTCGCACTTCTTCCTTCGTCCATATCGAGCACCTCAACATCGTCGAGTTCCTCGCCAGCGAGAGTTTTGGCGATTTTTGTCGACGACAAATTCCGTGGCATACGACCGTGTGCTGCCATTTTGCCCCTAAAATGATTCAATCATTTAATAATATTTCAGATGTGGGGGTTTTTCGAAATTTCAGAAACAAAGAAAAAGAAATGAGATAGATAGACGGCATGTGGATGACGACATTTGTTTGTTACAATTTGAAAAACCCCGCGATATCGACAATGTGAACGTAGACACTTGCTAATCGTTCACTGTGCAGAACAAACATAATTGCAAAAACATATCTTTGAAAATTCGCGGCTTGTCAATAAGATGATTCGAGAAAAAGCCCGATTCTTTCGAATATCACGTGTTTCAAATTATTTATCAAATCTTTGCAGCTTCTTTGATGATAAGACAGTCAAGAATAAACATTTGGAACACATTTTATACCTCTTTTAATTGGTTTAAAATTGCCAAAAGATAAAGAAAAGTGTAAAAAAATACGAAATGTCAAAGAGAAATCATGCTCTATATTAAAATTCGAGAAAAATTGATAGTTTCAGAAATCCGATACACTCGGCTTGCAAGAAATATGAAAATGCTTAAAAAAACAAGATTGCACTATTTTATGCTTATAGAGACGCAGAGACGAAAACTCGTAAATAAAATCGAAAGAGAAACGAACAGACATAAGTATGGAAAAAGTGGAGAAGCTGGCTGAAGGGATAACGTGCAAAACCAAAATATTCGTGCCAAACAATGGCTCTTTCATACTGATAAATGAGGAAACAAAACTTTAAATGCATACTTTTCAAGAAATAATTCTTTAAAAAATATTAGATTGTAGCGAAATGACTGGAAAAACAATAATGAGACCAAACCTCTAAAAGAATAAATGAGAGCTCGCAATGTAGATCAAAAATCGAAAAATGACAATTATTTGTAGTCCGTACGAAGTGTCTTTGTTTAAATAAAAATAAATTGAGTTCTAAACAGACAATGAACTTTCATTTCTGAGACGCTTGTTTTGCTGATGGAATTTTGGTAGTTTTGTTTGTTGAAATGTTCAATGTCATGATAAGATTCCAAATTGATACGAAGCGGAGTAGGAGGAGGAGGAGAAAAAGGAATTTGAAAAAAGGATATTGACAATTACATAGATGGGGTAAATAATGAGAACGATTATCTGTGATATGCTGCAGAAGTCGAAAAGACATCTTCATAAAATCTACGACAAAGAGAATTTTATCTCAAAAATGCAGAGTCGTTTCGTTTAATTTATCTCACCAATAAAATGTGTTTTGTTCGGTCGAGAATACACAGTTCAAACGCATTGTAGAATTATCTCTCGTATTTACAAGACGAAATGCCTGCTAATAAACATATTTATGCAATGAAAATTTTAAAAAAATCACACATATTTACAATTCGGTTTTTTTTAAATTCCAATGGAGAAATATAAAAAATTTCTGTATATATGTTTGAATAATAGCTTCATGCAAAAATATCACTAATCGGTATTTTATGTTCGAGTTTAAAACAATAATTAAAAATAGACGAAGGAAATTATTAAACATTTGAAAATTCTGAAATTAATGTTACCGTATCGTTTTTCAAAGGTACATGCAACTTTTAGTAACAATTTTACGTTTAGAAATCTTTTCAAAATTTAAATATTTTTCAATTTTTATTGGCATATTGTAAACGTCGCGCGACGGCTGAGAATTTGCTAATGTTTTGAAATAATCTACATCTAATGAAAAGGTCCATTAAGACCAAAAGCAAGCTTCGAATTAAATATTTCAAAGAAATTTGTTTGCTAACAAGGGAGGTCTTTTTTGTTGTCCGTCTTAAAATTTATATTTTTTGAATTTTATGCAAAATTTTTAAAATAAAAAAGCAACTCTTTTACCCTCAAAATCAATTGTGGTTTTAGGGAAATCTCGTGCGAAAATTTCTGGATGTTTATGGAAAAAAAACGGGGACCGCTGAACAATGCGATTTGCCCGGGAAATCGTGCGTCGTATCTCTTAAACATACGTTTTCCAGCGAAAATTGCATTGTGCATACGGTTAGTGTATGAAAAGCTATTGTTTTTTCCACAAAATTTTTTTGCTTTTTTAAAATATTTAATGGGAAACAACATTTTTGTGATACATTTACTTATTAATATTTTTACTCTCAATAGATAGAGCCTAGTCTTCCCGAATAAAGAAATACATTCAAGCTTTCATCGTCTGCAATTTTTGATCGTGTTTGGCTAATTTTCGAAATGAAACACTAGCGTGACTAATTATCGGCAGCTATAAAAAGTGTACATGATATGCGTTTTTTATTCGGTTTTCTCTCTCGATTATCCATACGCAACGCCCAAAATCGTCCGGTTATCCATCACATATCAATTTTCCCGTCGACAAAACCACCTGGGCTTCTCGTCTTCAAAGGATTTGTCCAAATGATAAGTTGATTGTCCCTTCCGCTAAACAATGATGCAGTTAAATGTTCGTTTCATGCTTTCCCATCGTCTTCTTCGACTTCTTCTTTTTCCTCGACCGTTTCCATTCTACTCGTTCCTCGATACGTTTCAAAACTTCCTTAAACCTGCAATAAATGCCATAATAGGTGTTCATATAATTTTAATTCAAAGACAGGTCCTCAAGATGTTCATTTCCTCGTTTTTCTTTCTCTCTTCGAAATTTCACTTTCCACATTTTTTTTCATGAGAAAAACGAAAAGCCATTCGAAAATGGGATGATCATTGTGGATCACTTCCTCAAATCTACGCCTTCAATCCTAATTTGGTTATATACTTGACATTTTGACATCATTATCGTTATATCGTCAACATTGTATAGGCAAAAGCCAGCTTTTTGCGCAACATTTACAATGTATCACTCGATTATACAAGTCTGCAGACGTCAAATCATTCAGTCAGTCGTGCGATTTCAGATGACATTCCTGGTAATACTGTTGTCGTTATTTCCATTTCAAATCTATGCCTTGGAGCCGATCAAAGGATTGTATGAAAATTCGGGATTTCACTGTTTTAGTAGGTATGCTTTAAAATAATTTAAATTTGTTTCAAAATTATTTCGATTTTTTTTTAATTCACCAAATTGATTAAAAGTTGTTTGAACCTTCATAGAGGCTATTTAAGGAGGATTTTTTTTTACCTAAAATCTGCATAATTTTATAATTTTGAAAGAAAAAATAATAATTTTTATAATAAAATTGGGCGTGAAATAATAAAAAATTAAAGAGATTCTATGCGATTGCCTCGCTATTTGCACGGCAATCCACAAACCACTGATCCGCCATTCGAGTTATCAGTTCTCGACCAGAAGGGTCATCGGGTATCTTATTACGAACCGGGCAAGCTGTACACAGGTTCCCCGTGACAGTCTAATGCTTTAATTTAATGATTCGCTTCAGTTAAATTGGAAGCCTATGTCCATTTTCGAGGCTTAATGCTTCAGCCGAGACTATGTACACCCAACGGAAACATCATTGGTTCGCTTCGCGGTGGAAAATTTTTGAAAGATGATCGATATGAAACGAATGGTGTTGCTCTTCTGAATAAATTCGTATTGAAGCATTTGATTATTTTATAGGAATCGATTTTCATCAATGCGGTCGTTTGATCACAAATGACTCGATAACGCATGTGAATGACGAGAAGAAATTTTTGGCAGAGACCAAATGGACGACTCCGAGAGATATTGGCAATGTTCAGTTCGTGTGAGTTGTGAAGCTTCGACGAATCCCATCCTCATCGGCTCGTTTTTACTGAATATTTTAGAGTCACAATCGCAGCGGAAAATGAGCTCTATTGGGAGAAATGGCGTCCGAAAGGGGGATTTTTACGATCTTCGGCATTGTTGAACGAAAAACAAGATCCAATGTTGTTCGTCTACAATTTGCACAAGGTGCAACGATGAATCTAATCATTTTTCATGCTTATTTGGAATTTCAGGATAATCAGGAAACTGTAATCAAGACAGAAAAAGTGTTGCCGACGGATCACCCACTTTTCATTGAGCAAAAAGAATTTCTGAAGAAAGATCCCACGACGAAATCGATTGTTTTGGAATCTGAAAAAGAAATCGAGGCTTTTGGTTTCAACGAATCCGTTTTTGAACAAGTTTCCGCTGGAAATGTCGAAGAATTGGAGAATAATTCTGGACCGGAAACCCCTATTCCAATTATGACGACTACAGTATTGAAATTAGTTCCAAATTTAAAACGATGTTAACTTTTCAGGAATCAACGGATTTCACTGATATCGCATTAGAAGAAACCGCATTTCAAGTCGGTAGAATTTTCAAAAAATTTCAACCGTCGAACGAAACAGTTCTGCGAGCAGATGATTTGAAATTTCTAAATGCTCACACCCATTTACAGCACGATTTTGTCGATAATGACATCGAATTGGAAGGTATTTGACATGAGTAGTTTGAAAAAAAAAATAAAAACCAAAAAAATTCATTCGTTTCGTAGACAAATGCCGCCGCGAAAATCCGTGTGTTAACGGCGGAACATGTTTTATGGAGAAAGGAAAAATGAAATGCGACTGTCGTGCTGGATTTATGGGACAACATTGCAAAGGTATTCCGAAGGTTTCCGGAGACAGAGAGACATATTCTTACAATCATAATAGAAGTCGATCATTGTGTGGATAACGAATGCGCTAACAACTCGACATGCATCAATGATCCCAATTCGCACAGCGGTTATTCGTGCCAATGTTTGAATGGGACGGTTGGAAAATTATGCGATGGTGAGAAGACTGGAACATCCATCAGAACTATTTAATTGCATCAATTCTAGTGGCTTGTGAGCCGGATTTCTGCAAGCACGGAAGCCAGTGTGTGATGAAGCCTAGCGGAAAACTTGGATGTAAATGTGTGTCAGGAACCACTGGAAGTAGATGTGAAAGAGGTGCTCACTACCCAATTTTTGGATCAATTTTTAACATTTTGAAGAAATCAATGAATGCGGCTTCGGAAAATGCAAAAACAACGCGAAATGTGTGGATTTGTTCAATGATTATCGATGCGAATGCTCTCCAGGCTGGATGGGACGCAATTGCGATCGTTAGTTTAAATTTGTTAAATTATTGTATCGATGAAAACGAGCATCGCAAAAATTGAGCATCCTAGTTGAAAAAAAAAAACTCTGCAAGGGCCTACTTTTTGCATTGCTAATCAAAATAATTATTTGAGAAACATTTAAAAATACCACTCAAACGCGATGTGCCGTTGAAACTGCTTATATGGCATTAACTATGAGCCACAATGTTAGTATGAAACTCGATTGAAAACGTTTTAAAAATTTCAGTTTTTTTTTAGTTTTCCTGTGAGATTTTCGCCACGGTGTTTTCACGCATTTTCTCGCGCTACCATTTATTTATATTTTTCTGATTTTCTAAATTTAATAAATTGAGATCAAAGACCAAACATAGAGAGATATTCGCGAGAAAATATCAATAATATCGCTGGTCCGCAAACACTGCTGTTTTGGCGGAAATTCAAACGCCTTCTCATTTCAAGTAAATTGTCGAGTTTGGGTGGTATCTTTAAAAAACGAATTTTCCACGAACCGCGTTTTTTGAATAGATTCTTTATTGAACTTCAATTTCTTTTTTCAAGTACTATCGTTTTTAAATGGATGCATTTGGATCGAATTTTCTTAAATTGTTGTTCAGGGCCATGCAAGGATGTTTATGGCTCGTGTCGTATATGGAAGCGCGATGGGCAGTGCGAGCAAATGAGAGAAACCACCGAGTTCTTCGACACCAACTGCGCTGCTTCGTGTGGGACTTGCATTATGAACAACGACACCGACAATTCATATCTTCCACTTCAACCGATTTTATTACCGTTTGGATGGCTTCTGGGGGAATGGCAGGGTCAAGTGAAAGGTGATTGAAACCCATTGACAACCTAGCAATTATTTCGGTTCAGGATGGAATAACAGGTCGACAGATTATCCGGTCGATATGGGTGGAATGGCATATAATGAGACACTCACATTCTCTGTGGCACCTCCACTAATGTTCGGAACTCCATATATTAATTATACGTATGTTGAAAGCATTCATTAATATACCAATTGTAAATTATAACAGAGCGGTGATGCAAAGTGTGGAGGATCCAGACGACGTTCACATGTATTCTGGATTTTTGACGATTCAACAGTACAAGGACAAGAATCAAAAGAACGAGATGAAAGCTTTGACTTCAGTTTCAAACACGGGTCATTCGAATTTTATGAAAGTTTGAATAAATTAACACTTTAGGTTTGGTTATGATCGAAGAAGGCGAGCTGATCGATGATCGGCCGATTACACAAGGTGGACCCACTCTAATGCTACATCCAACTTATATGATGTACAAAAATGGAACAAAACCAGCAAGATTCCCTGAAAGAGTAAAGACAAATGTGATTGGGATCCACGAATATCTTATTGGCAAATTTAGATGAAACGTTGGTTCAGCGCAAAGAACAATCGATTACTGCAATATATGGTTCGAGAATATAAAGGAAGAACGCACAAATTCACAAAAATCTATAAGAAGACGCAGAATTTCAAATATTTATAATGAAAATCTAGTCAATTAACTAATCAATTAATTTATTATAATTTTTGTTGTCATATACAATATTTAATAATTTGCAATAATAAACGACGTTTATTGAAATATTCAATATTTGTCATTCCTTCAAAAGAATTGAGTCGATTTTGACGCGGATTGCCTTCGAACGATATTTCCACAATGAGTGTAAGTATTCTTTTCGATTTTGAGTTTGCTGAACATTTCCGGTTGTTCAGTATTCCTTAAATGAATATCAAGTAAACTACCTTCGTCAGCACGGAGAAATGTCGCCGTACACTGTTATCGAGCGCCATCCATCACAAGAATTTATATACGAGCCCAACGCGGAACCATTGAGATTTAGAGATGAATCGGTAGCACATTTTTAGTTGCAATTTATTATTCTCGAAATGCTTTTAAGACAGTGAACAAATTTATTCGATCATCTGAATCGCAAGAAGTGATTAATCGAATCCCAAATCTGCGCAGTGTGATGTCGTCGGTAGGTCTTCAATGTTAGCTAACATCATTTGAATTATGATATTGATGTGGGCCGTCGATTTTCATCGTCGTTGAATTTTCAAATTTTAGAGACTGTGTCATTTTTGTCTCTACAATATTCCATAGATGTTATAATTTCATTTTAAAGCTTCGTTTCGAAAATTCTTATCTTCAAAAACATTAGAAATGTGTAGAAAAAAAACAAAATAATTGATAAATGCAAAATTCGCATAAAAATATCAAAATAATTGACGCGTGGCGAGATCATAGCGAATGCCCATGAATCTACCGTAATTGTACATCAATCGCTTAACGCCGTCGATTCAATTTTGCAGGACTTCTCGACATGCGATACAATATCTTCGCGCTACGTTGTTCCAAACGTGATTCATCCAGTAGAAACTTGCTTCGTTGACCATCTGAATACATCTAATGTTCAGGTTTACACCAGCAATAGCGACGGAAATTTGAAATCGGCCGGCAATCCGTATGCTCATCATCCAAACTACACAACCCCTTCGCAATATTTCGATCATATTGTAGACGATAACAATGCGGTGAGAAAATCAAACGTTTAGCGTAAAACGTTTAGTGAATTCAGGAACGATCGCATTCGGATGCTCAACTGACATCAATGGACATTATTAAATTAGCTGATCCGTTTTCGAATGACACTGAATCCTATAAGTATCCGGCACCGGTTCTTCCACCATCAGATGTGGTAAATTGTTTTTTATTTTCTACTTCCCGTCTTTATTTCGATTATTTGAGACGTTGAATAAGAAGTTGTTGAGTTCCGATTCTGTTGCTGAACTTGGAGCTCTCGACATTCATTTTCCGGAAAAACACGCCGCCGTCACCATGGCTCCGATTCATCGAGAAACCCCGACGACAACGCTGAACAAAAAACTTTTCTCGGCCGACTCTTTGTATGATTTGAACTGTTTGGTTGTCGAATTTGACGAGAAGGACCATTTTCATCCGACGTCGAATCTATTGGTAGTACATCCCAATTATCATTTGAGTTCTTCAAAATAAATCGATTTGTGCAGAAAATTCGAGAATTTTCGCCGCAATCATTGGCCGACTTGCGTGATTTGCCGCCCCTATCGCAATATTCCGATTTCAATATCGGATCATCGAAGGACGTCGCGACTTGCCGTGGAATCAGTCCAACGCCGAATGACATCGCCGCGTTCCAGTATTTCGAGAATGTCGCATATGGTGGAATGTGAATCGATTTCTCCCCAATTCCTTTTCTAGTTTTTCTTTGTATTTTCTTCAACGCGTATAAATGATTCATTTGAAAATGTTTTTAGATATCAGAACATGTGTTGGTGGAATTTTATTACTGATTAATTTATAAGCTATATTATTATCGCAAAAAATGAGCCTCTTGAATAATTGTAGACGTGTATTTTCTCCGTAAATTGGAGTGGAGTCCTCGTTTTTTTTGCGAACGTCTGTTTTGCAAAAAATCGGTTACCGTAATATGTCGTCAGACGCGGTGCGGGTTTCATATAGTACATAATTGTGAACCGCGTCTATAGACGTACACATTGAAAAATTCGGGTAGCCGTTTTTTTTTTTTGTGAAACACTCTCTAGCCTAATGTGGTGCTCGATTTTTGTGACTATAATATTTGAATAATTCAATTTTGCTACCAATCATTTTTTTTCGTTTTGCATCGGGAAACCTGTAAAAATAATGGAGAACAAAGAGAAAATGTTGAGAAAAGTATTGAAGTTTTTGATCACATTCGTCATATCACCTTAAGTGGGTTTTTTTCTGGAATATTTAATGATTATTGGATATCTCTATGCGAAAAAATATTTAATTTTTAGATAATTGATTGAAATAATGCTATTTTAGGTAGTTAATTCGAGATATTGAATATCATCAAACATATCACATCGCTAGAGAGTCGCGTTATTTGAAAAAGTGTGTTGTTTGATCGAGAAACACACAAAATGGTCGGGTTAGACGGCATTATTGTGGTGTTTGTCAACGGCGAAATAGAACAGAGAAAGCAAACCACAGTGCGGTCTGGTTTTCGAAACTTTTCGAAACTCAATGGGCGTGTGCTGGTCTTTAGTATAAAAGAGGATCATTGAAATATTTTTGGAAAAAAATTCCGCTATGGTCAAGTATACTCTCACATATTTCAAAGTTCGCGGTTATGCTGAGCCGATTCGACAGATGTTCAAATTGGCTGACGTCGATTTCGAAGATGTCCGATTGACATATGAGACCGACTGGGCTGATTATAAATCAAGTAAAATCATTTTCGACTGAAAATATTGTTGAAAATTTTAGATCAAATTGACTTTCTATTATTTTTTTTTGCATGGCGCTACAATTTTTATACATGTCATGATTAAGACCATAATACTCAGTTAAGGCGTTAATTATTGCGAGACCAAATTGAGTATTTCTAATTTCCACTCATCAGAAGACTCCGGTTTTTGAGAATACCGATTTAGAAACTCCATTTGGACAATTGCCAGTTCTTTCGGTCGACGGATTCGATATTCCTCAATCGGTGGCTATTGCAAGATACGTTGCTCGCAAATTTGGTAGTTTTCTATTGTCTTTAATTAGTGTTTCCAATGAAAATGTTCAAGGTTTTGCTGGAAAAACTCCAGAAGAGGAAGCTTGGGTTGATGCATTGGTAGATCAATTTAAAGACTTTACTGGACCAATGCGTTCAGTAATAATGGCAAAGAAACAACAAAAATCAGAGGCTGACGTCGAGAAAATTCGAGAAGAGGTTTTGAAACCAGCGATGGAAACTTACTTCAATATTCTCAAAAAACAACTAGAAAAGAGCAAGTCAGGTATTGTTGAATCTCGAATTTTACTAATAAAAATTGAATTTTGAGGATTCCTCGTTGGTGACAGTGTCACATTTGCGGATCTCACTATTGCTGAGAATCTTTATTCTCTTCATAATGCGGGATTTACCGATCTTACGAAAGAGCCACAACTCTTCGAATTCAAAGAACGAATTCATGGTTTGCCAAAATTGAAGGAATGGATCGCAACAAGACCTATCACAGAGTTCTAAATTGCAGTTTTGACCCTAATATTTATATTTAAAAGATACCGTGAATATATTGGTATGTTACGTTTTTACTCTGATGATGGCTCTGACAATTATTGATAACCAATAAACATGTTTAGTATATATTTTTCGAATTATTGACTTTGAGAAAAATTGTTACAGAATTTTTTCAATAGAAACATTAGGAATCGTCAGAAAACAATTTCTGCAAAAATATTTTTCTGTTTTGCAGACGGCGTGGTTTGTGTTGTCGCCTTTCTAGTTATTGTGACTTAGTTTCAATAAACCATAACGGAAATATTACATTAGTAAAGAAACGACCACCCTGCGTCGATTTACGGTGACTTAGCTTTGCAGGTTATCCCAGGTACGGTATCCAAATTCTCTCTATTTAAATTCGAGTTTGAATTACCGCCTCGAAAAGTGCGATGGTCCACAATTATGCAAGGTGTTCGTTTTTTTGTGATGGTAATATTTATCTGTTATAATCCACAAATATGCCCTATAGAAATGTCTCGTTGTATAGCACCCTCTCACTCTCCCCCTATCTATGATTCTCGCCCCCCGTTTTTTCGTCTCTCACAAGTCACAGTCTTTTTCTCTGCGTCTTTTATATTTACTCTTATACTCTTATATTTTCTCTATTATAGTCGGCGTTCGGTGACTGCTGTAAGCAGGTAGATTTACGGGAATGCGTCTTTCGAAATGGTCTCGCAAGGACTAACAGGTTATTTCAAATTTTATGGACCATTTCGATAATTTATCAATCAAATGACGTTGGAAATTCAAGGAAATGCGAAACTCATCAAGAAAAATGAAGCAGTTCACGTGAAAACAGCAAAATAAGCTTTCGCGCGTGGTGAGACCTTTTCAAGGCGCATGCGCGTAAATCTACCCGCGTACAGCAATCTCCGGACGCCGCATATATATTTATAATGATCCCGTTGTACTATATATGCTTGCGTTTCCCTCATTTTGTCATTCTACATATTTGGTTGACTCAATAAAGTCATTTTTGACGAAATCTCGTAGACCACACACCCAAATGTACGAACACGAAATTATCAGAAAAGAAATTCATTTAAAGACCAAAATATGTGTCAAACCTGAAATCGCAGTAGTCGTATGATTGAAATTTCCTCAATCCCCAAGAAACATTTATTTCATTCAACATAATTGCTTCATTCTGGACTAATTCAGTTTCAAACCTTTTCAATTTATTCCTAATTGATGTGCAAAATAATCTCTCGCGGCAATCAAATCAGCGATAGAACCCCAATTTTGAAAACTGGTCCAAGAATTTTCGAGAAGTATAATTGTTCAGACACAAATTGTTTTGTGTCTGTCTCTTTTTTCCGATTCCAATTTTCTGACCACGTTGATTCCTGCAAAAAATGATGAAAAACGTTCATAAAATGTTGGCGTCAATGTGCTTTCAATAGTCGCATAAGAAAATAGTGTGGGAAACACGAAGACCATTGGTCTCATCTCTCTATCTCTCATTTTTGTTCTCGAATTTTCATATACATATCTATCACTGATCAAACATATAAAAGCGTGCGCAACCCCGCTCAGTTCATTTCAGATCATGCCGGAATACAAGTTGTACTACTTCAACGGCCGCGGACTCGGCGATGTCTCTCGACAGGTTTGAGCACTACTCAAAATGTTTAATACAAAATAAAAAAGAGTTCAGTTGTTCGCTTTGGCTGGTGAAAAATTCGAAGATGTGCGTGTTTCAAGTGATGATTGGCCGAACCTGAAAAAGGAGATGCCGTTTGGACAAATGCCAGTTCTCGAAGTCGACGGTGTCAAGATTCCACAGTCAATGGCAATCGCCAGATATTTAGCTAAGAAGTTCGGTAGGATCTCAAATTATGATCCGAATCAAAAGTTCGAATCATAATCAGGATATGCGGGAAAAACCGACTACGAACAAGCAATTGTTGACGCATTCGCTGATCAATTCAAGGATTTCTATATCGAGGCAAAGACTTATTATTACACCAAGCTCGGATTGATGGACAAGGACCCTGAAGAGGAGAAGAAGAATGCATTGATTCCAGCGAGGGACAAGTTTCTTCCTCTCATTGCGAAATATCTGAAGCAAAGCAAATCAGGTAAATCAATTATTGATCTACAAACGTTAAATATTCGGTAATCACAGGTTTTCTGGTTGACAGCGGAGTCACTTACGCCGATTTGATCATTGTTGACAACATGAGAACTCTTATTTCGCTGTGGCCTGAATATCTTAAAGATTATCCAGAGGTAAATTGGTGAAACCAGTTGAAAATTCACGTTTCTGTATTGTCGGAGTCAAACGACCTGACGAAATTCAAAAAATCATTAGCTATGTGCCAATGCGTCTTGAGGCAGCGAGAAGTACGTGAGACTGCGTACATTGCATTATATCGTACGCGCATTTAATATTCAGTCAACGATAAACTTAAATCTACACTGATTTCGCGAATTTTAACGCCCCGCCTCCTTTCAGTCGTTTGACAATATTAACATTGGAAAAACGAACGAGCGCCGTGAATAATTGTGGACCGTCGCACTTTTTGGAGGCGACAATTCAAATTTAAATTGGAACAATGGTAAATCTGGTACCGTGCTACAGATATCCTGCGAAGCTAACTCACAATAAATCGAAAATAAATAGTTATTACATTCGCAAAAAAAACATGCGGCCTGCGCCGGTGAGTTTGATTCGCAGGTTATCCATGGTACGGTATCCAAATTCTCACTGCTTAAATTCGAATTTCAATTCGATTTGAATTACCGCTTTGAAAAAGTGCGATGGTCCACAATTATGCAAGGCGTTCGTTTTTTTTTTGCGATGTTGATAGAAAATGTTTGTATTTTTTAATAAATCGTCGGTCAAAAATGATATTTTCAGATCAAGGCTTGGTATGACAAGGTTGACAGCATTCCACAGATTCGTAAGCACCTTGAGAATTCGCCAAACACTGGTTTCTAAAAAGATCTAATTTTATGTCTCTTGTCTAATTTCAATTCTGTTATTATTACTTTTTGCACAAATGATTCAAAATGAATCAATTGTGTTGATTTTTTCAATAAAAAAAATATGATTTTTTGAAGTGAAGTACTGCTGTTGTGACTTTACAAAAACAAAAAAAAGAAGCCCAAAGCCTGCCCTCGGACTAGCTTGCTATTTTCGAGATGGTGCGACTGTGGAATCCCGACCGCGTCATCCACTGGGTAGATTGCGTCGTCTTCTGAAAAGTTGGTGAGTGTCGGTTTACACACTTGGATATATACGCTACATTGTTAAGTGGTGCATTGTCCGTGTGGAGTACGCAACGAACGTCTTGTCGTCTCAAGACCAATTCTGAAATTTAGCAAATTTGTCGCATTCGCTCCATATCGACATTGTTTCAAGTTGTAGCCTGTCGAATGCGGTACGGGGTCAGTGAGAAATAAACTTTTTTTTCATAACCCTCCGTAAGCATAATTAAAGAATGGATGTGAATTTGGAAGTGTCTTGGTACTTCATCCACTTTCACATTAATCTCCGGATTCGATTGACCCAATGTCGTGTCATCTTGAATATTACAATAATGTCGAATTTGTGATTTGATAAGTGGCATGTCTGATGTCGTACATCATCTTAATTAAAAGTCAGAAACCAGAAAATGAACACATTTCCAACAATCGTCTGAACACACAATATTTGTGACCATGATGATGATAGAAGAGTGTATTTAAAGGGAAATTTCGCGTTGGCCTCAGTGTATTTGTTCTCTATTTGTATTTGAGAATGCCATCGTACAAGTTGACATATTTCCCATCTCGTGGCCTTGCCGAGGTTTCTCGACAACTTTTCGTTCTGGCCGGAGTCGAATTCGAGGACGAGAAACTCGACTTCGATCAATTTTCGAAGCAGAAGCCGACTCTTCCGTTCGGTCAGGTTCCTGTGCTAACAATCGACGGTCTCACAGAGATTCCGCAATCCGTTGCTATTGCGAGATATCTTGCTAGAAAATTTGGTCAGTAAACTTCTGGCCAATCTTTTTTGAAAACAACATTTGGAATTAATTTAGGATACGCTGGAAAAACTCCAGAGGAAGAAGCTTGGGTGGACGCATTGGCCGACCAATTCAAGGATTTCTATGCGGAAATTCGCACTTATTTCTATTCAAAACTTGGGTGATAATAATTTTGATTTTTTGATTTCAATGATTGATCGTTTTGCAGGTTTTTGCCAAATGATATTGAAGAAGAACTAACGAAGACGCTGATCCCAGCACGAGACAAATATCTCGGAGTTCTCGAAAAGGTGCTGAAGAACAGCAAATCGGGATTCCTTGTTGGGAACGATATCACATATGCGGATCTAATGATTGTTGATAATATGACGACTTTGATTGGTTGGTATCCGGAATTCACTGAAGGCTTTCCGCTGGTTCAACAGCATCGCAATCGCGTGACCAACTATCCTAAGCTTAAAGAATATCTTGAGACCAGACCAGTTACTAATACCTGAAATGATTTTTCTTTCAATAAATATTCGTTATCCTTGACTGCATATTGCCGTCTTATCACAAAATGTATAAAAGCAAAGGTTCAATTTGAATATGGAATGATAAGAAGCAAGCAAAGACGATTGATAAAATCATTTGTTTGACCTCTGAATAGATCCCAATGAACTCTTAGGTTATGTCAAAATGAATGGGGAACAGAATTCGAAAAGAATTCAAAAAATGAATCGCTTTTTACGAAAGCAAATGAGATATTAAGAGGGTTCAATCAGATTAAAATACAATTTTGGTAGTCTGTCATTCAAACTTTCTTTATCTGAAAAAGATCTTGAATCTTTTTAGCAATGACATCCATACATGACAGCGTGTGGCAGTCAGTATTTTCTGCTGCAACTCGACAATTCTATAGCCATTGCCATAATGGTTCAAACTGTTTGATGAAAGAAAACACTTTTTATATGTATACTGTATGTACGGAAAAACAGAAATTGTAAATTTATGTGAAAAAAGGAATGAAATAAATTTTTTAAAATGGATTCTTTAGAAGATCAAAAAGTAAAAATAAGCGAAAGTTGCACTTGATGATTGATTGCGTTTTTCGATTTCAGAAGCTTCGCGTTTTCCTTTCGATTATCAGCCAGAGCGAGCTATCATATGTAGGTCAAAGCCGAAATATAATACCAAATCGAGATGTGTTCGATGAGGCTTCTTTGTCCGATAAATCGCATTTGTTTCTTGTGGTTTCCAATTCCGCCTTTTTGCATTTCTATCCCACATTTCACTTATCTCCTCCTCCACTCGATTTTTATGATTATCGCACGAAATTTCATTTTGTTTCTTTTTTAATTACTTTTTCCTATTATTTACATTTTATTTATTGCATTTCCAGGTTTTTCTCAATGGGATCCCAAATCAAAGGAATCCTTCTTTTGATCGCCTCCTTCATTTCACTTATTAATGCTGACGGACGAGGTTTGGTTTGCTTAGTGGTCCTATTCTATGAATTGAAACATTTTGTCTTAATCAGCAACGCAAAAAAAAATTATAAAAATAAAATCCAAAAAATAAATTTTTTCAATTAGAACAATTCCACAACAAATAATAATTGTTAGCAAAAAAAGAGTTGGCATGTTCCGAAGTTTTTCGAATATTCTAGGTTGTGAGAATCAATTGCTTTATAAAATAAAAAATTAGACACGCTTTGAATTTGAGGAATTGAAATAAATTTCTTAAACATTTATTCAGTTCTTCGACCGTGTTTCGAAAGATATCCGAATCACCGATTAGTCAATGTTCGACCATATCACAGCGAATGGCGAATGAAGACTGAAGACTCGTGTCTGTTATTCTGCTCACAATCTGCGGTATGCAATTTTTGTCAAAAAAAATGGCAATTTGTTCGATTCCAGTCTCGATGCCGATCCATCGTTTACGACAGTGTTCAACACATTTGCCATTATTTCTCCGACGAAGGCGTCGAACAAGCGGTCATTTCGGCTAAAATGACGTATTTGCGAGTCGTGTCCATATCATGTCTACGTTCGTAATTTATTGTTTCGAGCGGAGATACTAGCTTAACAGTTTGCAGAGGAGAATGCGGATTTGGCCGAGGATCCGAATAGTCTGATGCCGCCTGAAGCACCGCCCGTTCTTCTCACTAATTCGCAAATGCTGAATAATGAAATTCAACAGGAGTTGTCGATTCCTCAACCACCTGTTGAAACAACTCAAACCCCATTGGAACAGGTCACTCAAATGCCTGAAGTCATCACATTTGAGCCGGCGACTGAATCAGCTACAATGTCGACTCAACCACTCGAGGACCCCCTAATGGAATCGACGACTGAAGTGCCAACGACGACAACAACACTGCCAGAAATTATCGAAGATGATCTTGATAAGGAGCTCGAGAAAGTGATGGAACCGTCACAATTCGCCGGTTATCCTGAAAGATGCTGAATACAAACAATTCGCAATTTATAGGGTCGTTTGATGAGAACGATGAGCCAATTCAAGGAAATGGGTTATATCGCGACAAAACCGATCAGGATCGATTCGGTTCGATGGAAAAAATGGGAGAGTTTGAGAAGAAAACCAAAAAAACTATCGATGAGAAGCTGGAAGATTTGAAAACCGAGGATAAAAGGAAATACGAATTACTCATGGGTGAAAAGATTGAGGTATTGATTAAAAAAAATTCATAATTAAAAAAAACAACAATTTTTGGAATTTTATATCATTTTTATCGAACCTTTCAGGCGGATTCGTCGGTTGAGCAGCAGAAGGAGAATTTGAAGAACAACTTGGTTTGGAATTTCTTTAACCATATGGAATTCGTTTTTATTTTCAGAGATATGGAGCTAAAATCATCAAGTTCGACGAAGAAGCTGCATTCCGAAAAAAATCTGAAATCCGAAGAAAGCAAGTCACAAAGCGGCCCCATTTGAAGGTTCTCAACCAATTTAGTCGTCTCATCTGAATTCCGTTATTTAATTTGTAGCCAGTCACCATTTCCTCAACATCTTACATTCAAAAGGCCAAATCGTTTTTGAACGAACTTAATGAGTCGAAAGAGATCGAGGAAGCCGATCAACGTGATGTACTCGAAACTAGTTAGTTGGAACAACAATTGTTTGACATAACATTTATCATATTAGAATGCGAATCGGACGACGTTGCCGTGTGGATGACATTCGAGAACAGCGAACAGGCGATGGAGATGAACGAGTCTGACGATAAAGTGGTGCCAACACGACGAGATTGCCAGTGGCTGTGTGATAAACAAGTTGGGAATGATGAGCGGATCGACAGAATCATAATCGTTTGCAGAATTGCCGATCGTACACTTATTTCGAGAAATCGTCGACGTGCCATTTGAGTTCGAAATCCGATGGAGTCACTCTAAAAGCTCCAACAACTGGCGACTTCTCAGCGAGTAGCTCAACTAAATTCTGCTATCCAAGTAGATCAAATTATTCAAAAGAATCTTTGGCGAATTGGAGCGTTTTCAGAAACATTTTCCGTTTTCGATGGTTGCGCGAATTTTGTCGCGTTCCGCGATTATTCCGTCAAAATCGATGCGATGGAGGAGTTCGACGGGTTGCCACGTGGCTACGAAGGAATGCAGTTGTGCGTCGAATTGTGTGTTCTGTCGACACGCTACACTTGCAAATCGGCGTCATTCAATCCGATAACTGGAAAATGCCGTCTTCTCACTGAAGACTCGCTCTCGAGCCCTGAGAACTTTGCGTATAACAAATTCCAAAAGGACATCTACTTTGAGAATGGATGCGCTTCAAGTGAATCCGAAGACGTTCCAGAACGACACGTTGTGGTTGTGACAACTAAGCCGAAACGAAAGCGCGTAAGCCGCAAAAGGTACATAAGAATTTAATCTCCTCGGATGTTATTTTTTCTGTTTTGCAGAGTTCACAAAATGAGGAAACATCGCCGTCATTAGACTATTTCGAATCGAAAGGTGCCATAAATGTACAAATTAATAAGTGATTGTAATAATTTCAATTTCAATAATAATAATAATAATAATAATAAAATCAATAAATGAGACAAAAACGACAATTCGACGAAACCCGTCGGCATGTTGTTCTTTCGTTTTTTTTGCCCACTGATTTGCGTAGAAGCAAAAAAACCAACAACGTTGATGATGAGCACACAACGGGGAGCAACGACACCCGCACACATACACACAAAAAAAACGGTGTATTGCCGGTTGACGATCCGGACCGAATTAACGGACGGACGGGCTCGATTTGGACTGTCCGGGAATTCGGGCGATGAGCCGTTGTGTCCACAGAATGAGAGCTGACGAGCGTTGGCTCATTTCGAGGCTCATTATCATTAACGCCGATGATGGCACACAACAAAGTCGGCGATTGTTCTGCTCAGGTATGTTTTCAGTTATTCGAATTCAATTTTAAATATGATAGAGCTGAAATTTATAATTGTTGGTGTTTATCACGAAAAATCCGTTTAAAAAGTGAAGGCCATGATTCTCTTATATTCACGACTCCAATAAAGGGTTTTGGCATTCAAAATAATTTTCAGGTTAAAAATTTTTTTCAAATAGTTAGCCATTGAATAGCATCTCATCCATTTCTACCTATTTTGGATTCCGAACTCAATTGTAGGCGTGGCTTGTAGTTTGTGCCTTGTTCAGTACCATAGTACGATTTTTCTTTCAAAAAACCTAAAATAATCAAAATTTGAAGAAAAACGGTTTAACGGCCTGCTAAAGAGAACGTTTGCTTTTAGGTTTTTGAGATTGGTTAGCTTAAAATAGTCGATTATTATGGTGGATTATTCAAAAAATCGCAAGATAAGCATTAGTACTATACTGAGAGAATGGATCTTACAATCGGCTGTTTTCGATTTCATTGAATTTCATTGAAACAATTAAACCAAAAACTTTTGAAAACAAGATCAACTAAAAATAGTATTGAGTGCAGTGATGTCAAATTCATAAATCAAACTGTCTTGCGATCTTTCGCACTCAATCGCTTGTCCACGTGAAATGAAATTTTGGGAAAAAAACCAAGTGAAGAAAAAAATATGAGAAAAATTATTGAAACTTAGGTGAACAATGAGAATCGGACTGCGATTGAAATGCAAAACATCGAAGAGGAGCAAGGATTCGAGAAAATCGAAATGAAAGAGCACCCGGTGGTAGTGGAGACGACGACGAAGAAGAAGAAGCCTGTCATCGAGGTCGAAAAGGTACATTCGGCTAGTTATTTCTTTGAGAATTCCAAACATTGATAATATCCAATGAGAATGCAACAAAAACTGGATACTGTGAATTAGGGGGTTAATTGGAAGTGACAACGGCGATAGCATAACCAGCAACTTTTGTATGTCCAACATATGAGTGGAATTTATTCGATTTTCCGGCAAATCGATTCAAACACAAAAAAACAGCAGCGAAGAGATTCTTCGGCATTTTTCGATTATTAGTTAGTTTGATGTTATCTTCTCCTCATTTTCGTCCGCCCGAATAGTTCATTCACACAATTTTTCTTGCTGTCCAAAAGTTTGACATGGCCGACAAGGTTATATCGTTACACTTCTCCTATTTTCATTTTGTTTGGTTTATGAATTGCTATCGGTTCTTTGTCATCTAATTTTTTTCGCTAGAATATTTTATTTTTGAAAATAAATAAAATTTAAATTATTTTTCAATTCTATGACGCGATATTTTTTTTTTTTAATCAAAGGGTTTGAAGCGTAATTTCAAAATTCTTTTCGAAACCATCCAAAAACTCTTGCCTCTTTTTGTATTTTTTTTTTGATTTTAAGCGGAATTTTTTTCAAGCCGTCCCAACATTTAAAGCAGCTTTTCTTGCTTACTTATTGTATTTTCTTTGTTTCTAATCACATTTTGTATTTAAGCTCTTCTTGAAACCTCTTTTGACGCCGAAATAAAAATTAAGCAATGAAAGTGTCAATTAATTTCGACTCAACCAGTTTCCAGGGGGGTCCATTGTTTTTTTTTTTCTGGATTTTTTCTGGAAAAAACTGAAATTGAATGCATTTCAGTTTTTTATCTTATTGAAAAATCTCTTGTTTTATTGAAACAGAAGGTGATACAGTTTTACTACTTGGCATTTTTCCTTTATTGAATAGGTGCATTCCCTCCAATAGAATTTTTAAATTTTAAAAGGCCTCTACCTATTTGAACTAACAGTTACGCATTTGTTATCATCGGAGTAGACATTCATAGCTTCATATGATTTTTTAATTATAGAATAATTTTGAGCTAATTAATTGAGATGATGTCATTTGTTTCATATCGACGAGGCTACAGAATTCAACCTTTCACGTTAATTCCTATTTAGTTCAAATTAGAGAGGCTGACAAAACATTGTTACAATAGAATTTGTGAACCAATGAGCATTTTGGTATCATTTTTTGAATGTTTTAACTATTTATTGTCGTTCGCTATTAGGTGCACATAATTCATATAAGACAAACTGAGACTGCCGTAGACAGCATAAAGAAATATGGACAATCATTAAAATGTTGCGTTATCACTTATCACTTTGCATCGTTTCGCTCAATTCATAATTCATTTTTGAAAACAATTGAGAGCGAGAGTTGATATTTGAAAAATGGAAGCAAAAAACGGACGAAAATAGAGGAAAATCATCGGAAAATGGACGAACCGACGCATTCGCTTCAAGTCGATCTACCGCTTTTGGTGGCGAGTTCAAATCGAAAACCAACCGTTACACAGGTAATCATTTCATTATTTGTTTTATCATTCAATCGGTTTCATCATTTTTAATGATTCGCCAAACATTTCCTATTTTGGGTATTCTTATAATATATTATTCATGTCTGTTAATTAACAGTTCTATTAAAAATATTTCCCATTTCGTATTGCATGTTTTTTGTTCGTCGAAAACTACCTAATTTTAAAATATTCGAAATTTCTGTTCAATGCTCTTAAAAAATTTACTACTCGAGTATAGAAAATAATAAGTTGTGTGTGTTTTCCAAAAAGAAACAAGCTACAAAATGAAGAGACCCTTGTTTCGAAGTAGAAAACAATATAAACAATGGGTTGTGAAGCCCTGATTGTTTTATTACACAACTCATTAGCATCTTCTGTTCTCAAACACATAAACACATAATTAAATAGTTTCATGTAGAAAAAGAAAGTAAACCATACCAATAGACGATATTCATTTTCATGTGGGACTAGTGGTCCTCTGAATTCGTGAAATGTATTCTTTTTACAAAAAAAAAGTTTAAAATATTCCTGTAATTTGCATTTTTTACATTCCGGTGTTGAAAAAAAACTTTGTTCGTCATTTTTTCTGAAAAAATCTTAGAATTTTTAATTGAACTATTCCAATTTTTCAGTTTTTTTTTGTCTAGCATCCCACTTAATTCATTTTCACAAATTTCTGGTTTTGACCGCAAACAGATATCATTTTTTTTTCATTGTCTCTAGTTTGTCCGACATGAATAATCGCAAGTTCGCCATATGAGAAACACAAAAGTCAAGGAAGGAAAATTCCAAAAGTATCAAATTAAGGGATTTTCATTTGAACCTTCCGACATAATGGACCATAAAATTTGCTTGGTAGTGATTTCTTCGTAATGTGTCATTTGAATTCGGTTCGAAATTGCGACGATCAACACCTGGTTTCGCCCATTGTGTGTTTTTTTTGGAGTCTCTTCAATTATTTCTGATTTAAATGATGCGAATTTGATTGATCGAACAATGCAAGTCATACAGAAATATCCATGAAGATATTTTGGAATTTGATACCATTCGCCGCGCAAATTCTGCCAAGTGACGAGAAGGCTGAGAACCAAAAAAGGAAATGATAAGGGGCGCGAAATGAATCAGAGGAAATCATAAGCGTCGGCTTTGGGTTGAGATACGCGAAATTCAGTTCGATCCATCAATTGAGTCGAACCTCTTCAATCCATTTCGCTGCCTCTTCGACCCTTGTTCAAGATCGTCGCTTTTTTTTCAACCGTCTGACATTGTTCGCCGATTCGACCCGCCCCGAATGCGAGAGGGCAATCGACTGATATTTTGACATGTTCGTTTTCGTTTCTAATGATGACGGCGCAGTTCAATACAGCTGACGTCGAATTCGAGTCGACTATTCTACCACATCCTTCACAAGTTGCTATTATTCAAGTTCCTTCGAGTTCCGCCGATATATATGATGCTGAGAAAGCGAAGAAAAAAAAGAAGGTGCTTTCAAATCAAACATAATAGTCAACCTCCTCATTGAAATCTTGATATTAAGGATAACATTTTTTATTTCTTAAATATTCACATGAAAAAGTTTAAATAGCTTAAATTATTTTAAAACGAAGTTTAACAAATATAATATCACTGTTAATTTATCAATTATTCAAGCATGACCTCATTTAATCATCTCATTTTCACTCTCAGTTCTCAAAGAACGTAATTTAACACATGCTTTCGTCTTTGGGAAATTTTTACACTGTTTCCGATTGATACGTCTCATTAATGTTGATGAACAAAAGGAAGTGTAACAAATATTCACGGTTCGGCGTTTTTCTGGAGATTTTTTGAACAAATACGGCTTGCAATGAGAAATTCTAGCACAAACAATGCACCGCGAGTACGCTTGCCCGAGCATTATCGTATTTTGTGTAGACGAATTAAATTTATGCGAACGTGGCCAAATTTTTTATTTCTTTTTGTGATTTTAAACTATATTTTTTGTAGGCACATTTAGACAATTATTTAAAATAGATCCAAATTTGATTTTCGAATAGAATTGTTTCTGTCGTGTGACTTATCGCTAATCTCTTATCGTTTCTTTCCCGAACGAAATGAAAATCACTGCGCGTTCAGAAAACAATTCGCTGTCTACCGATCGATAATTTATTTAATTTTCCCAGAACAATGTCTCAATGAGCTTTGTTTTCGTCGATATCGATCCCGAAACCGAGCACCGTGGTTAGTAATTTCGGCTTCATTCATGTCACGTCCGTTCTCGCCAATTTGTTCTCGAGCGTTTTAGTGTTTAACTTCTTCAGCGATGACCGATAGGATTCGATCACGCCACAGACGGCGTGAGCCGCACACTTCAGAAGATGTGATGGCATTCGAGCCTGATGCGGATTTTTCCACCGCCGGAGCTCATTTCACCCGATTTTTCAATCCGTCCGATGCCGATTACAAAAATAGTGATGATGAGTACAATGAAGAAGATTATGCCCATCTTATACCTGACCCTGTCAGTTAATTTTTCAATAATCAGCTTTTAACACCATTTCAATGTTTAGGTTGAGGTATCCGGTTAAAATGTTGCAAAAAATGAAATCTCCATTCATAAAAAAAATATATATATATATATATGTAATGAATCTCAAAATTTCAGAATGTTGATCCCAGTGCAAATTGGCTCAAAAGAACACATTCTGCCTTAAAAGGCGATATCTCATCTATTCTACTTCTTCTATTCTTATATCTCTTACAGGTTAGTATGATCTTCGAATACGAAATTTGAAAATTTTGATTTAGGGTGTACCTCTTGGACTTATTGGAGCTATTCCGCTTCTTTTATCTAGCAAGCATGTGTCATACAAGTCTCAAGCAATCTTCTCATTCGCTTATTGGCCATTCAGGTGATATTTTTTTTTAAAACATTCTTAAATAAAATTATTTTTTCAGTTTAAAACTTCTATGGGCCCCAATTGTCGATTCCGTGTACTCGAAACGATTGGGACGTAGGAAATCATGGATGGTCCCTTGCCAATATCTCATCGGAATTTTCATGCTTTTGCTTTCGTACAAAGTCAACGATATAATGGGAGATGATGGTATTTAATTTAAGCACATTGCACTGTGTGTTATCCGCTTTCAAAATGTGAGCACCGAATTCAGAATCCGATGCTTCAGGAGGATCGCCGAACGTCGTCTTCCTTATGCTTATCTTTTTGCCTCTCAACTTCTTGGCAGCCACACAAGATATTGCTGTTGATGGATGGGCTTTAACTATGCTTTCAAAGTATGTTCATTTTTTTTGCATTTTTTCGCTTGATTTCACAAATTTTAAATTGGAAGAACTTAAGAAAGTTTGAACTTGAAAACCGGATAAGAGTGTTATCATTCAAGTCACAACACGATTATTCGAATTCCAAAATTTAACGACCTTCAAAAACGAATTTCATTCGCTGAATAACATTATTTAAACGAATTTCAGGAAAAATGTTGGGTATGCGTCGACTTGCAACGCAGTCGGACAAACTGCCGGCTACTTCCTTGGAAACATTGTATTCCTGGCTCTCGAATCAAGCTCATTCTGCAATGATTTCCTTCGCTCTGCCGATAACCAAAAAGACACCGGAATTGTTGACCTTGCGGGTAAGAAAATTTCAAAGGTTTTATTAACGGTTCACACAAGATCGGATAAGTAGAAACCCATACAAACATATAAATAGATAGATTGAAACGATTGAATCTAATTGCGAATAGCTAGCGAAAGCATTGAAGATCGAAAATTAAGTGAACAAATTTGTTTCATTCATGTCTAACAAGTCCGACCGATCCAGTAGTAGGTGTCGAACAAGTTCATTTCACAACTGCAAAAAATGTTTTTGTTTTGTGCCTTTAATGCATTCAGTACAATGTTTTATACTCAGTTGAAATTTTATATGATCATGCTATGCAGATTTATGAAAATGAAGTCCAAAAATTGGTTGAAGCCAGTTTAAGAGGCGGGGGCCTATTTGAGGTATATTTGAGGTTTTTCACCTAAATCTGCATAGTACCATGATGATCCATTTGTATTTTAAAAATATCTCTGCTTAAGAAATTTTTGTATTGGACGCATTTTTAAGTGGAAATTCAAAAATTCTATTGATAACCTGGTATTCCGATGTTGATCATAGACAGCACTCATTCCGTATCCTCCTCGTTCGCTTACTATAACTGCACTCCACCAGAATCCGAATCTTTCTTCAGCTTGTTGTTTCATGTACCTTTAAAATCTGTGATTTTCGAGAGATGCAATTATTCTTACTTGGCTTGATAACTATATTGATGAGGATACATTCCGACGGTCTCGAGAACCAATTCTCGCAGCTTTTCTGATTTGCAATTGTCTTTTTTCACTTAAATATCAATTTTTAATAAGAAAATGCGAATGTGTTACCTCTCATAGCTCCTGATGAATGAGTTAAGAACAGAATGAGAAACATTAGGATAAAGATGAGCTTTTGATTCAAAAAAATTCGATCCAAATGAAGCATTGCAAAAAGAAGTAGAAAAAGAGTTTGCTGTGGCTGAAATGAGAATAACCAAATTAGGCTTGCCGACAATAAAAAGAGTGAGTGGTTTCGTTTTGATTGAAAATTGAAATTGAAATTCATTCAATGTGCGAAACACATAAAGCTTCGAATTGTTTTCGATGACGAATAAAATTCTGCTGGTGTGAAGAACATAAATAGGAATTGGTTTTCTATTCTGCTGACGGCTTCTCGGCTCGGATTTTTCGCGAATATATATAGGGAAAAAGTTGGTTCTCGCCGACAAGTTTCGAAGCTGCCGATGTGTATAGAATGACGAATCTTAACTTGAGTTTTGTTCGTTTCACCCACGCCGCGCGACTCGCCGACCGACCGAGTTGATCTATCTAAATGAAGACGAACAAAAATGGAAGCGAGTGGGCCGAAAAGAGCCCGTGGGGAGATTCGAAACGCGCGAACAAAAAGTTTTAGTATAAATAGTCAATGCGATATATTATAAATATATTTATGAGTGAGCCATTTGTTTATGTTTGCCATTCATATTTTCGAATTCGCGTTGTTGCAATTCGATATATTATGGTCACTCGCACAAACTTTGACCTATCAATTTTCGGAATGCAATACTTGTTTAGAAGAGCAAATATGATTGCTTGACTCATCCATGACAAACTGAGATGGTCTGATGAAGGGAAAAATTGAACTTTCATGCAATTTAATATCTTGAAATAAAAATCTGAAAAAAATGAAGAAAATCATTGTGAAATGGTAACTATAAGTGACACGGGCTATAAAAAACACAGAGATTGACGTCACAATGTGTCGTTGCTATTTTCGTGAAATTTACCAAACATTCCTTTTATAGTGGCTGTCTGGAAACAATAGAAATGGCGACAGGTGATATATTAAGTACCTGAACTATTATATGATGTCTGCTAACATTTATAAAATGTTATCAATTTTCAGGATACGTTTTCTTCTGGGGATGGGTTTTCATCGTCACAACGACATTGGTGTTGATTCTGAAACGCGAAGTGGATAAATCGGTTGAAAACACCGATCAAGCATCAGCAGTCGCCACTAATGCGAAGTATGACGATTTTGGTTGAAAAAAAGAGGAAGTCATAAATTATTTTCAGCGGAAACGAAAGCGGCGAAGTCGAGGAACTTGAACTCGGCGTCACCGATTCGTATTTGGTTTTGTGGAAGATTTTATGTCTTCGTCCAATTCATTATATGGTTGCAATATTGCTGACTGGAAAATTGGCGTTTGCTGCAACCGACGGAATGACAAGTCTCAAATTAATCGGCATGGGAATTCCGAAGGATCGACTAGCGAGCATCGGCGTCTTCCTAACACCAATGCAAATATTGTTGCCATGGATGATTGGAAAATGGACTGCTGGACCAAGACCACTCAACATATTTCTTCTGGCTTTCCCCTACAGGTAATTAAGGAGATTTATATTACATTCGCAAAAAACGAGCACCCTGCTTCGCAGGTTATCCAGAGTATGGTATCCAAATTCTCACTATTTAAATTCGAATTTGAATTACCGCCTCGAAAAAGTGCGATAGTCCACAATTATGCAAGGCGCTCATTTTTTTGCGATGGTAATAGAGTAGAATAATTTAATGACAAATTGATTCAGAATCTTCGTTGGCGGAGTTTTCGCTGCTCTTGTTTGGTGGACACCGCATTTTATGCTTCCAGATGGAAAGTTCGAATATTCCGTTTACTTCGTTTGGATCGCTGGATACATTTTCCATCAGGTTATTTCCAAAAAAGTTGCCGAAATTATTCTTTACATGTTCTTCATTTTTTCAGCTCGCCACTTACTGCATGTTCGTTTCAATGATGGCCTTCATCGCTCAAATTTCCGATCCTCGTATTGGTGGAACGTACATGACACTTCTCAACACTCTCAACAATCTCGGAGGAAACTGGCCGGTCACGGTTATTCTGTCGATTACCGACTGGTTCACATTCAAGGAGTGCATGGTTAAAGGCACTAAAACGTATGGCATTCTAATAATCGACTACTTGCGAAAATGTGAATAATTTGTCAGATCGTTGTACTCTTGCAATACAAAAGCTCTTGCCGATCAATGTTCGGCGGGCGGAGATGTGTGTGAAGTCACTGTTGACGGCTACTTTATCTCTGTTGCGATTTGCTCAGTTGTTGGAATTATCTGGTACGTTTTATTCGCCAAATGAGAAAACGAACTTAGAAATTTTATATAGCGGAAATTCGAAATTTCCCATGTTTTTTTAATTTAAGAAGTTTCAGTCTCCGAAATCAAATATTTTTTTTTCATTTCATATTCCAGTTTCACTTTTTGAGACCTTTCTATTTTAATTGAAAGTATCATTCGAAAATGAAAATAATTTTCCTTCAGGTACAAAGTGTTCTTCAACAAACTGAAATACCTCCAGAAGATTCCACGCAGCCAATGGAAAGTATTTGGAAAGTAAAAAATATAATAAGTATTAGAATATTATTGAATAATAATTATTAATTGGATTCTTTAAATTATGAATTCAAAAAACTTGGTTGTTTCGGGATATTTTGGATTTTCCAAAATATTCATTAATTTCTCATTTCACTTGACGTTTTTCTCTTTCTATTTTTTTGCTTGTCGTCCTATCATCGATCTTTGCATCCCCTTCTCATTCAAAAACATTTCTTGTGGATTTTACTCGTTGTGATTTCTCTTCGTGTGATATTCATCTTACGCTTTTTGTCCTCTTCCTTTGTTTCAGTTTATTTATTGGGTCTGTTATATTAATGAAGCATTTACTGATTATTGATTGTTTTCACTAGAATCCAAATGATAGCGGCTCATCTCCGGAAAATTCGCCGAAATTCAAAGTAAATGGATTGTCGTCGAGTTGTTGAAAATTCTGCGGGACAGAGTAGGGACAAGTCAGTTGAAGATATACTGGATACTGAACTGGTGTAGGACAGAACACCTCAAAATTTGCAATTCCTTCTTCATCCTGAAAATCAAAAATAGATTTCTATATTGTTTGAACATCGATTACCGTTTCATCGAATGTCCACAATCCGAGATTCATGTTGCAAATGTACGGGGTTACGATCGACACAACACCTGGTTTCGTTGAATTCGTGCAAACACCGACTTTCACCATTTCGTCCTTAAATCGCATTTCAATTTACGGTAGTCCTAGATTATGGTAGAAAACCTTCAAATGAACGCGAACAATCTTGGCGGTGTTCTTTTCGATGCATTCCGTTCGACACACTGAAAACGATTTGATTCTATCAAGCATATTTGGGTGTATAGTCGGCGGCTGGTGTACGCGGGTAGATTTGCGGGATTGTCTCAAGTTCGAATCCGATTTGAATTGAAAAACTAAAACAAATCGAATTCGCACAATAACTAATCCTTATCCGTCAATTTTATAACGCATTCTTATAAATCTACGAACACACATGGGCGCATTTATCGACGGATACCCACTATACAATTTGAATTATTTCGAAAAATTATGCAAACGGAAATTGTTTTCTCTATTTTCGGTTCGAGACAGCTGTTAATTTTAGAAAATAAAACATTTTATATATTCCGAAAGACTCAATTTTATCGCATATTCTCGAAGATGGGTAAATTTGGATGATCAAATGATCGAAAAGAATGGTCCACAAATATTCAGGGTGCTCATTTTGCGATGGTAATTTTTAATAGTTATCAACTAATTTCATACTAGAGCAAATTGAAAATGATAAAAAACCCTATATTTGGATTAGCAAACAACACCCCACTACATTTTCCGTTTTTATGAACACGATCGCGAAAAAACATTTGAAAAGTGACAACGAATGCGGAACCGTTTAATTGATAGCCGGCGGTATACAAACAGAATGGGGTTGGAAAGAAGTTGACATGTAATACCAAAGTAACTGCGGATAGCGTGCTCTGCTGCAGAGTTGGGTCTCGAAAAATGTGTGTCGATTTACGACCGGAGATAATTTTTCTCAGTTGAAAAAGGCCGGTCCAGATCAGGGTTAATAAACGGAAGTTGTTTCTTTTTCATCTTCAACAGTGTTTTTTTTTTAATGAACTGAGAAACTCACATCCAACACTTCCAGAATCGACGAATTGCGCCAAAAACGCCAAGAAAATTAACAGGGTGTAGCTCATCGTGACGAAATGAGTTTGGTCGAAAAGTTCAGTACCACTCGAAAACTTTAATCGAATTATATGAGAGAAAAAAGCGACGAAAATTGGCAGGCAAGGTGGCGAAGAAAAAAACCGCAATTTGAAATGGAAAACGAATCAAAGAATATCGAAGACGACAACGAAGAAGAAGAAGAAGATGAAGAAGACGATGATGTTGATGATGATGAAAATGGAGAAGATGGCGAAGAAATTGAAGAAGTTTAGTGTTTGTTCTGGAAACTGGAAAGTAAACGATCGTGTACACACAGAACGACGTTGAGAATCTCGAATAAGATTTTGGTGTGTGCATGATTCTTGTGGATTTCTAACATAAATCACAGTTTATTGAATCATATTGCGAATCAGAGAATGCTTAAAAAAAGATGAATTCGATTTGCCGTCCAATCTGAAGAGAAGATGTCAATTGTCAGGATTCGCAGCCATCCTGAAAGTAATCCAATTTAGTGCAATTTTATGTTTAGTTGAGCCATGGGTTTTCAATTTGAGATTCAATTTTTTCCGAAATTTTTTTCTATTCTAAACTTCTTTTTGCCATACTTTTTCATATTAATTTTAATAATTTTGGCTGCCTGTTTTTTTTTTCATTTTCCCACAATCCATTCATTGATTTTTATTTTATCATTTCATCGATTATATTAATTACCTAAATCGAGAAACAAAATTCGGCACCGGTCGGAACATCAGGGTTCGAATATTTCTTTCCAGCATTCCGGCTTCATTTTTTGAGCTTCGTTCGAATCGTTCGAGGGGCAAATCTTGAAGCACAAAGCCGGAAGCGATGCTTGCGATGAACACCAAAAGAATGAGAAGAGTGCATCTCAGCGAAGACAACATTTTTCTGGAATTCCGTTTAATACCTGCGTGTTTGCGGAAATATGAAAATAGAATCATCGCGGTTTTCCTAATAACAAGATGCCGGAAATGAATTAAGAGAAAAATAAAATAGTCAAGATTTGCTAAGTTCAATACAACATAAGGATTAAATAAGAAATCTCTCATCGTAGTTGATCGGCTCGAATCATTATCCTATTACAATTAATCCGATCCGCCTATGCAAATTTTTAATCTTCCGACTTACTAGACACGATTATGTCAAATTTTCTAGTAGATGTGTTTTTGGAAGAGGGCTTCAAATACGTTCAAATTTGGAAGAAGCTTTGATAAATGAACTGAAGCTATCAGTTTCCAGCAATCGATTAAAATTCATCAATTTGCACGGAGTAAAAATCATTTTTTTTTAATTTCTAGACAAAAATATTCTAATAGAAATGTTTAAAACAAGGATAATTTTTGAAGAAAGGCGTTAAAAATGAAATAAGTAGATCAACAAAAATGTAGAATATTTGATTAAAAATAAAATAAAACGGGCAGAATGGAATGATTTGGTGTCATAAATGAAATGTGAAAATAATCAAGAAAGCGTTTCACATAAAAGTAATTCGACGCAATCCATTATCATACCACTTATCGGCACCGAATTGAGTGTGTCGAGTTGCACAACATCGGCATCTACGAATATTTATATGTATGTGTTTGGAGACGTACGTAGATAAGCTTAATTCGCACAAGGTGGGGGAGGAGAAAAGGCGAAATTGATTCGAAGCTAAGAAATTCCAAGTAGGATTAGCCCCGAATCAGGAAGTTCAATCATGCCTGTTTATTTATACTAATTCTGTTTGAATTTTTAGTTTGCTCCGCCTGGAAATCTGCATAACAACCGGCCGAAAATAGAGCGACTCTTCACGCGGACAAACGCCGAAATTTGACCTACACCTTATTTTAGTTTGCGTGGGGTTTCTCGAATAATTTTCTCTGAACGTAGAACAATGCACTCGAATTGATGACGTGGGATGAATTTCACAAAATCGAACCATTTTTTTTTGAAATTTCATTTCGATTCTGCCTTTTGTTGCCAGTACAAAACTTCGAAATCGTTAAACTTATTATATTGCATTCGCAAAAAAAAACGAGCGAGTGCTCTGTGAGTTTGCTTCGCAGGTTATCCAGAGTACGGTATCCAAATTCACACTGTTTAAATTCGAATTTGAATTGCCGCCTCGAAATAGGACAATGGTCCAAAAATAGTCAAGGCGCTCGGAATTTTAAATTGGAAAAATGTCTTAAGGCGATGAAGCGAGAGTTTGTCTGTACCAAGATTACTGTATTGTCGATGTCGGACAAATTTGGGGGGGGGGCGGAAAAGTTCGAACGAGACGATTCTGTCAATCAGCTTTTCCGTCAAATGGTACAAGCTGTTTGCTTTAAAGTCCAACCAGATCGGATTCGACCGTAGCGACGAACAAAAAAGTTGACTGAGAAAATAATTTTTGTGAAACGAATTGTTTGGATATGAGAATATGACCAAAATACCTCAAACCGACCACACTAATTCTCACTGTTTAAATCGAAGTTTGAATAATATCGTCGCGAAATACGATAATCCGTATCACACTGTGTGTTTGTTTCATTTGTCATGATAAAATAGAACTTGGAACGATTTCTAAGTGGAAAAACGTCTACAGATTTTCACGAGTAGGCTTAGACAAAAATCGCCCACGGTTCAGCCCTGACACACTAAATTGAGGGCGATGGTTAATTGGAGTGTCGTACAACCAGCCGCGGTTTGTTCTTTACAAATTGGTGGATAATTTCCCGTAAATTTTAAATTTCGGTAAGCTGAGGCTTCTCGGTGTGTGCGTCCAACTGATAAAATTTCATCAAAATCACAAACTATTTTTTTTTCTTCCCCTTTTCCTGGTTTTTTTCTCTCAAATATGTGTTTGTTCTTTGCACTTTTTTTTATATTTTTGTTTCCACCTACAAAAATATGGCGAATTTGGTTAACAAAGCCATACAAGTCTAATTACGTGGAGACTTGTTTCAAACGCAACTCAATTTTTACTAGTTCTTGGAAGTTCGTCGAGTTTTTGAAATTGTCTGCCTTTGAAAATTGAACCACGCCGAGAAACAAATGAAGAGGAGCAAGACAATTAATTGAGTCATTAAAAAAACCAAAGTACCCTTATATTCTGAAAAATTACAGCGAGTAGTAGGGTGTAGGAATTCTTTATATCAAAATTTGAAAGAAATTCGATGGTCCGTAATCTACCAGAGAGACTTCTTTTTTAATTGTAACAAAGCCAGTTTCTGGAAAAAAAAACAGTGCAGTTTCTGTATTTTTTCTGAAAAATAATTCCGGTGTTTCCATCGAAAATGGTACCAAAATACACTAGCATTAAAAAATGAGAAGTTTGCGAAAAAAACGTATCACACCGATGAGTTGTCTTTCTAAGAAAGTAAAAAATATAATGTTAGAAAATATCAATATAAAACCTCCTTTTTCATCTCGTTAGTTCAATTTTTTTTGAAAATCGGAAATTCCAAAAACCTCCTCGACATATAAAATAAAACAACAACCTTAATTATTGTCGTCGCCCGACTGTCGCCGCTCGTCAATGCTTATTTAGTTTATTTTTCCTGGTCAGTGTTGTAAATTCTTTGAACTTGTATGGCTATAAAACTTAAAAATTATCGAAATCAGCCACATAATGCGAAATAAGGAGTTTGTCTGCGCGAGACCGCATCATCCGTAAATCTACCCCATACATACAGCAGTCTTCGGACTCCAACTATAAGAATATTTAAAGTCTAATCAAGAGGACTATCTAAATAGAAAACACCCGTTTTTGTCAACTCACGGCCAAACTTCGAAAAATGAGACTCCATCGTATTTTAAGTAGACGACCCTATTTAGTATTCTTTCAATTTGAAAAAAAAAACGAAATTATTGTCTAAAATTTTCTCAGCAATTCGAAAAGGACGAACTTTTGGTTTCAACATTGTCGGATTCCACGGGGGTTCCCAAAAACTTCTGCGGTTTGTCCCAAAAATTTTTTACAAAACCAGTACGACACTCCAATTACCCATCGCCCTTAATTTAGCGTGCTGGACGACATTTGTTTCGATTAATTGAATTTTTTCTCCTGTTTCACCAAAATGTCCAGCGGTTATCTTAAACCAAAAAGTATTCCCTGTTCGTCTCGATCGAATCCCTGAGACTATTTTTTTACTCATAAAGAAAACAATTTTAAACATTCAAAGAAGTAAAAGGTTATAGAATAATGTTGCACTTAAAAATACTATATTTCCAAATGAATGATCTATAAAATAGTTAAAGTGTTAAAATATTCAAAACTTATTTAGAAGTAAGTATGAGACACTTTGATAGCCCGGCTAATGTTTTTCTTTTGGTTGTTCAAGTATTGGTGCACTTGACTGGAACAAAATACGGTTGAAACAAAATGAAAATGGCGAATTTGAGGTGCTCATTCGCCGTCGCGACAAGCGGTTTTATGAAGGGGGCAACTCGGTGAAAAAAAGACTAATTTTTGTAGGAGTTGACGACGTCCCAAGGGAAATAAATATGAAGAGCTGATGAAGAAAAAGTTTACGCATCGATGCGCACCTTGGCATTGAATTGAATGATCCGAAATGACTAGCATGATGAGGTGTGTTCGGGATGAAGGAATTATATTTGAATGCATTCCTTTTCTTTTATTAATGGCCACAGGATCAACGAGTCTACTTACGAGAGACTTAATTGCGTCAAAAACAATATACTGTAATATGAGGTGAAGCAGAAAATCATTCACAGAATGACAAAAATATGAGCTTCTCCGATCTTTTTTTTGAAGAAGAGGGGACATCTGAAACAAAGGCAAAAAAGGGAAACCCCTAGACAGATGAAGAGTCAAATAAACGGTTTAATTTGTGGTTATTCACCCACATCAACTACTGACAACTATCAAATTATTCCGTCTACGAAAAAAAAAACTGCGATTTTCTCATACCGAATTGGGGAAAACATCAGAAGAGGATAAAATCTCAGACGATTTCGAAAACTGCAATGATGCTATTACAGTATTTGCTATTTCGGGAATATCGTGCAGATTTGTACAGACTTTCAGCAGACTCTAATAAGAAGCCGCGCGTTGTCTGCTGAAGGTCTGAAGAAGCAAAATACTCTGGTGAGAAACGTCAAAGCCAAGACCTTCAGCAGAGCTTTTCTAGTTTCTAATAAGAGTTTGGTGATAGTCTGTTCAAGGTCTGCCCAACATTCCCGAGTGAGCAACAAGGTTCCCGGAGCACATTCAAATTCACGTCTTGAAAAAAACCAATTGGTCCCTTCGTGAATAATATCCATCCATACAATAAATGTGAAAAAATTTTCCAAGAAAAATATAGCATAATACAACTGATAGGATTTTACAACATAAAAATTACCATTCTCCATTCGCGATTGCTGAAATTGTGAGGGGCACTGCAACTGGGAAAACTGCTTGAATCAGCTCAATGGTCAAACATTTAGACGAATTACCTAGATTCAGTTTGGTCCCAAAAGATTTGGGCCGTTAATCATATTCCACTTCCATTATGTCTTTTTTAAATTTCTCCTCATCTGTTTTCAATTTGTTCCGCGCTTTTCCCAACATAAAACGCAGCTCAAACCCCTGATTTTAATATTTGTGTGAAAAAATGTGCAAAATCTAATATATAATAAAAGTTGTCGTCTGATGATCGACAATAAAACGATCGTCGTGGGAATATTGGTTTATTATACGCGATTTGTTTTATTGTTCATCGCAGACATTTATGGCTATTAATGTGCCGCCAAAAATTGAATCCAATCATTTTTTGACGATCAATTTATGACGGCCATATACAGAAATATTACCTTCGCAAAAAAAAACGAGCGCACCTGCGTTGATTTATGATGAGTTTGATTCGCAGGTTGTTCAGAGTACGGTAATTCAAGTTTGAATTGCCGCCTGGAAAAGTGCGATGGTCCACAGTTGTGCAAGGCGCTAGTTGGCGCACGACGCCGACAATATTTGGAAAGAAATAATTGGATTTTTTAAACTTTAAAAAATGCGAAAAATAAAATAGAATTCGCATAGATGTCGACGACGTATAAATACCATCAAAATGTTGTCAATATTTCGGATTACTTTTTACGTGCAAAGCGGTTCATCGCATGTTTTGTCGAAAATTCATGACTCAGATTACCGTAGAAGCTTCTTTAATCCTTCTGTAAGATGAGATGGTCATATCGACGCATTCGCTCATTGATAACTTCTTCAGAATACCCTACTGATGTCTGGTGTATTTATGATAATCGCATAGATTAAGAATACATATTTAGAACTGTTTCATCGCATGATACATACATGTTTGTTTCTAAAATGTGATTCTTGATGTTATTTTTTGGTTTGTTTGTCGATTTAAAATGCATGTGTGCCGAATCTGTCGAACACTTTCATCGTCGTCATCATATCCCCCGACCGACACGAACAACAATCGAGCCGATTTATTGCAACTTGACCTTTTGCACAATTATGCGGTTCGAATTGATACATTCATATACTCCCACACACACACACAGACATTATATTCAAACTAATATATACCACAATACAATAGTGCATTTGCATATTCATTTCCTGTCTTTTTATCCGGATTTGCGGACGCACACACCCATACAAACGCATGCACACCTTCATATAGTATTGTTTGACCTCGGTGTTTTGAGTGGAGTGCATTGCCAAGTGGATGTCTGATTCGATTCGAGCAATCTCCTTAATGAGAATGCGCGTACCTACATTAATACAATTTGGGTGGTCCAGCAATTATATGTAATGCACGGTTGGATTTAATCCGAAACGTGCAATAAGGGCTCATTAGTTTTCTAGACAAAAACCAATTTGCTTTCCGAATTTCATTAACTCACTCACAAAAAAACAATTAATGGTACGATGCTGAAAGTCGATCGAGATGATTTGAATCTGAAAAGTTCTGTTCGAGCTCCTCTCACAATGAATGAATTTCGTTGAAAATTTTTGACAAAGAGAAGAACTCATTCATATGTTTTCTTGTGGCTGTTTTCTGAAGCTAAGCGTCAAGTGCGAAGATTTATTTTATTGGTTTTTTTTCTCTGTCTTAGTGCTTCTCGAAAAAAAAAACTAACCTCTCGGAGGCTCGTCAGTTTTGCATTTTGAAATCACACAGAACCCCGTCGAAACCGAAAGACGAGGACGGACGCGGTCTCAATGAATGAATGAATGAAGGAAGGAAGCAGCTCGGTTTCGATCGTCAATGATAAATCATCGAATCTGTGCGAAGAGAGGACGGAATTTTCGGAGACGCTGTCGTTCGGGTTCCGAATGTTGCCATCTGGTGACGATGCTCTCCACACTCCTCGCTTTCGCTTGCTGTCTCGCGGTGACAATAAAGCCAACCGGAGCACACCACCACTAGCGAATGTCTCATCGAGTGTGCCGGTGGCATTTGTTGTTGTTGTTGTTTTTTTTTCGTCGCGAGCTCCGACCCACTCCGTCTCATTCGATTTCAACGAGTCGCGACGACGTTTTGGAACAATGCCAACAGAAATGAATTATGCATCAAAAAGCAACAAGGCGAAATTTGTTGTTTTTCGTTTCCACAAATCCAGTGCAGAGGGGCGAGTCATTAAATTCGAATGGGGATAAATATTGGAAAAAAACACATCAAAGAGCATTGAGCCAAATAAGGAAAACATCGATATTCAAATAAAAAAAAACATATTTTTATGAATCTATTAGGATCAAAGGAAACGGATAATAATTGACTTAAGACCAAAAATGCTCGAAATGGCTGCCCCCTTTAAATCAAAAATTAAAAATCATATTTTTTTTTGTTTTTGCCCCATTCGAGTATATCTGAAGTGTAAAAAACAACGCATTTCGGTGTTTTTTAAACCCTATTATATTTTTCGGTTTTTTTTTCACATTTTCTTTCATCTAATCTATTGTTTTGTAATTCGATTCGCAATTGTCTCGAAACGAAAACAAAAACACCTCAGACCCCAAAAAATGTTTTATTTTCTTTACTTTGTTCTTTTTTTTCTCGGTTTTTTTTCTATTTTCCCCCATTTTTTCGACGTTGTTTGATGCACGCACGTAATCGCAACAATTGTTGCAACCCACCCGAATCGAATGCGGTTTTCATTGATGAATTATTCTTGGACGACGACGACGACGATAGCGGATATGATGATCGGGTCTCGAAACGACAGCTGTTGAAAAAATGTGACCTCTAGCGAGAGTTTGAAAAACGCCAGCTTTTTCAAGGTTGAAACTTGCAAGTGTCTTTGCTTTTTTTTTGGTTGACCGGGTCGCATGGAAATTTTTCGAGAAAACAAAAATGCAATGATTTTTATTGCTGACGAGAGAGAAGGTTAGTAGCTCCTCTCTCGCAATTAATTCGACCATCCGCTTCATCGATCAACCAATTTTCGGGGGAGACAAACAAACGCATCAATAATACCTCAATTAATCAATAACTATTGGAATCACGGTGACGACGACGACGAAGAACAGAAGCCAAGAGGACGACGAGAAACCGAATTTTCTAGCAGAATAAATCGAGTCTTTTCAGAAAAATTACACCTGATTTTTGACCGAGGAGATCGAAATTCTTCGAATTTATTGCAACTATATACCAAGAGCTTTCCAATCTAATGAAATTGGCGAAAACTGCGAGAAAACGCACTCGTAAAATGTTTAGCGCTTTTAATCAAAAATCAAGAAGGATTAGGATTAAAATTGTTGGCCAATTTATCGAAATCTGCTTATAAATTTATCTCCCTCATGGCTCATATATAGTCGACGACGGCCGGCGAATTTGGATTGTGATTGCTTTATTGTTTGAATTGCCGCCTTGGGTCTCGTATGGAAAAAAAAAACTTTTAGAAGTGATTCGAAATTCGAATTCCTCAAATTCGTCGGTCCACGACAATATGTATGTATAATCTATGTGCTTTTGAGACACACGCATCTGTGGGAATTTATGTACGTCAAAAGTTGAACCAAATGAGAAACTCATGTCCTGAGTTTGAAAATAGCCCCTACATATGTATATCTATATTCAAATACTAAAAAGAGATTATTTAATCGGTTCGATTGTTTGATGCCATTTCAATTATCTAGCTGTACCCATCAATTATTGGCGCCTAAATTGGTTGGTCGCTTCTCTTTTCGCGGCTCTCCACAAAAGGGAATCGACGACCACGAAGCGCTGCGCATGTTCATCATCATCTCAATAATTATTTATAATCGAGCGCGTGAGCGTTTTATCGATTCATACTCGATAAAAACCGGCGTGCGTCGTCTCATATGTCGCTTCGCAATAAGCGGATAATGCGATGCGGGGGCTGTTCGTTCCGTTCGCCATAGCAACGCCATTCAACTCGATTCTCCCATTCCCCCCGTTTGATGCTCACATTTGCCATATCAAAATGAGACATTGTGCAGCCATTTGATGATGTTCATCGGCATCTGGCGAGCCGCGTGGCAGGTCGGCAGACCGACTCGCCCGATTTCTGGTGCAATTTGATGTCTGGCGACCTTAATGCCGCACAAAACCGCCAGACGCCCTCATCCTCTTCCGTCCTTTGCATTGTAATTTGTGGGTGGTCCAGTCACCCATTAATATAGTCGTCGCGCGTCCTCTGAACTACGCACGTTCTCAGCCGCGGTTCATTCGATGATGATGAATGAATCGACTCTGTACCGTAATCGAGGCGGAACGAAAGAAAAAAGAGGCGAAAGCGCATCGATGCCGGCGATTTGTGCACATGGATGAGTGAGTTATTAAAATGACGCGATAATTATATGGTGTGCCACGGAGAAGTTTCGAATCTTCGATCAAATCGCAATCGAATCTCGATTGTTGTTTCAATCCCATCACATTCTTGACACCCGCCGATTGTTGTCGACAATGTTGTATACACATAATTGCGCAATCAAATGTCGCCGTCAAAACCCATCTATGTTCACACCCAATCCATCGGCGGCCGCCCCACAAATCGGTCCTGTTATCATCATCGTCATCATCCGCAACAAGATCCGATCATTATTGTGACCTTGGCACTCGTCCAAATCCCCCGAATCCGCATCACAAATAGGGCGGAGAGAGCCTCGTCGTTCTCTCGTCGCGTTTTGGCTCCGCCCACATTGTGTGTGTGTTTGAGTGTGTCGCCGCGTATGCGTGTAGAAGAGGGCAGTAAACAACCTTGGCGTGCCTATGGGGCGGGCGGCCAGGCGGTCGTTTTCCAACCAGCCAATTTCAGTTTATAACTCATGTTGCGATCTCGCAAAACAACATGTGCTCATTACCCTTTGTTCTTCTTTCTCTTCTCTTCTTCTCGCTCATTCGTGATTTTTGAATCCTATCGTGCCTCAATTTTCAGAAATGGTTCTTGACAAACTTCGAGCCAAATTGCATTCGCGCAATGAGCTGGTCCGCGCTCTTCTCGCCGAATTCACAGGAACCTTCCTTCTGTGTGTAAGTCATATTGCTATAATTATGGAAGGGCTTGATGGATGCGCCCATTCGGTTGCGCATCATTAGGGAATCGCTCGACGGGACCCGACAGATGTTCAGAAGCGAGCCTAATTGCATATGAATTATTGTCGAGAACCACCGAATCGGGCGATTTCAATCCGAATTGCAAAAATAACATGTAACCAATTCCATATTACGAATCAATTTTGTTCACGCGTCGTCGACCAATAATGCAAATTTGGTGTGCGAAACCAAAATTTACATATTGATTTATCATCAACAACATCATCAGGCAGACGACTAATTGAAGTTGAGCCGCAGTTGGTTGTTGGTTTTGCGACTTTTTTGTTTTGTTTTATTGTCCCTCGGGAAAATGCGACATTTATCCGTTGTTTTTGCCCAAAATGTGACACGCGATCGAACAAAGCGGCCTTCCTGCCAAAACCAGGAAAAAAAGGTCTTTGTGTGAAAATGGAAATAAAAACGAATTGGGAAACAAGGTTAGGTCTTCTGTTTGCAGCTCATCGGATTGTCGGTCGTCGCTCAGAAGGTGCTCCCGCGACCAGAGGTCAACGAATTCATCGGAGTGAATGTCGGTTTCGGAATTGCCATCGTTTTCGGCGTTGCCATCTCCGCCAAACTCTCGGGTACGCGTTTGTTTTTGAAGGAACATGGCGGCGATTTTGTAAACATTCTAAATTTGGAACTTGCGTCGTCTTTGTGAACAATTTTGAAGAACACTTGCACTTTTGTTTTGCCGATGCTTCATCGTCCTCATTGAGCAGTTATAAGAAGACGCGAATGTTACAGGTGGACACATCAACCCAGCCGTCTCGCTCGCCTTCCTCTCTGTCGGACAATTGGCCCCACTTCGTTTCGTCCTTTACACCATTGTCCAGTCTCTTGGAGCGTTCCTCGGAGCCGCCGTCGTCTACGTCGTCTACAACGATGCTATCAATGTGTTCGATGGAGGAGTCCGCGCTGTCGTCGGAGCTAAGGCCACCGCCGGAATCTTCGCTTCCTACCCAGCCCCACACCTCGGTCTTTTCAATGGATTCTTGGATCAGGTACAATCTGCGCTCGCTCAATTTTTTTAAATCTCAAGTTTTCAGCTCATCGCTACTGCTGTCTTCGTTTTCCTTATTGCCCATATTGTTGACAAGCGCAACTCGTACCCAACATGGCTTCAGCCAATTCTCGTCGGCACCTCGTTCGTCGCCATCGGAGCCGCTTTCGGATACAACTGCGGATACCCGGTGAACCCGGCCCGCGATTTCGGACCGCGTCTCTTCACCGCCCTCTTCTACGGAGGAGACGTCTTCACGTATGTTTCACGACAAAGTCGAACGAAGACGAAACCGTAAACTCATCGCGGTTTTATTGTCGAAAACCGCAACGCGCTGCGTCTCTTGCCCCTATACGCTGTTTGCGCAATTGCCGATGATTAGTCGGCCTTGAGTCGACGAATGAATGTCCGTGAACAATTTCGGGGTAGTCGCGAGTAGAGTCGTGTGTTGCGAGCGATCGAAATGAAAACGCCTGTGAAATGAGTGGCAACCGAATAAAAACACACAAACACACATTCGAAGGCAGACAAAAAATGTTTCCTATCAATGCCGACCAAAAATTAGGCGGCCGATAAACAACTGCTAGCCAACCAAAACAGGCTGAAATTTACTACTAAATTGAATTGATTGTGAAACAAATAATCTTGGGAAACAAGAATGAAAAGAGAAGGACGAAGCTGTGAAGAATTTATGAAATTCGACGGGCCCATTCTAGATTGATGTTTGCTCTCGTTTGATTTACTGCCAACCCGAATTAGCGGAAAATTTGAAAAATAGATGCATACAATTTTGCCCATTTTATTCCACCTCTGCGAATCCCACAAACAACAACAACAACAACAACAAACAGAGGGCCGAAAAAAGCGGACATCGTAAAAATGGTCTCGTTGTCCAACTAGTAAACAAGCCATGAATTATGTGTTACGAAGGCAACCAACGAGCCACAAAAACAATTTTCGGTGCCTCTTTTAATTAAGCTTTTTGTTGCGGTGTGCTCGCCAGTGTTGCGACTTGCCGGAAATTGTCCGCAGCCGATGAGATCGAGTTTCAGTTTTCCGTTGGCATACAACAATTCGGCAAACCCAAAAATATTCATCATAATATTTTTCAGCAAGTGGTTCTGGGTGCCAATCGTCGGACCATTCGTCGGAGGAATCATCGGAATCTGGGTCTACTACATCCTCATCGGATTCCACACTCCACAGGATGCTGAGGAGAAATACGTCGTTCTCACCGGAAACCAGGAGCTCAAGCCGCTCACCGGAAAAGAGTAAGTATTTTGGGAATTTCGTTGGCGAGTCAACGTTCACATATTTTTGCAGCGTTGCATAAATCACACTCTGCTCTACGTAAGAGTTTGTTTTATTCGCGCATGCTACCCTAGTCTAATATATAGAAATAAACATTCTAATAATAATATCTTTTATTTTCAAAAACACTACATTTATTAATAGCTTAATTTGCTCTTTTTTTCAGTGCTGAGGAGACCGCTTAAATTCTCAATTAACAACGATCGACTGCTCGAATGCTGCCGAGTTACTTTTGGCTTTGTGCCAAGTGACCAAATTTACCCATTTAGTTATCATATTTGATCCCCAAAATCAACTCTTGTCACCAAAAAATAATAAATTCGTACCCATTTTCTTTCGTAACATTCTAACAATTCTAGGTTCTCAGCCAGCCAAAATTACCTCGCCTCTTTCGATAAATCTTAATAACGCAGTTCTGTATTGTTTTAATGAAATTTACAATTAATAAATCACTAATAATAAGCGTTGTTTATTTATTATTATTTATGAAGCCAAACGACTTGACGAAATTTAAAAACTTATTGGCTACGAGAGAGAAGTACGCGAGATTGCGTACATTGCATTATAGCTTACGCGCATTTAATATTCAGCCAACGATAAATTTAAATCGACACTGATTTTCCGAATTTCAACGCCCCGCCTCCCTTCAGTCGTTTGATACCGCCAATATTAATTTTTAAAAAATACTATATCTTTGACCTATCGAAAACGGAACGCGTGCGAAAGTGATGAATCGCATGTGTAATGCGACGCGACAGTCGTGATTGAGGAACAGTTCGACTTCCCTTGTATTCCGCATTGATGTGTTCTTGTCTTTGAAAAAAAAAACATTTGATCATTTGGAAAATAAGTACAGATTTCCGCAATGTTAATTTCCAAATTTCATCGAATCAATTCATTCCATTCTTAGAAATCGTTCCGAATCCATGATAGCCTCAAATTTACTTGTCGTTTTTTGCTATTAAGCCCAGGGTTGTCAAAACGGACCCCCGGCCCGGCCCTGGGCCCTATAGGGCCGGGCCCAGGGCCGGGCCGGGGGCCCTTTTTTTTAACCTTAACAAGAGAAATTTTATTTTAAGCATCTGCGAACATTTTTCAGGTTGTTATTATTGCATTAATATTTTATTTTTCGAATACAAACAGATAGATTTATTGTTTAAAATTTTCATGTCTTCTATTACCATTACTTTCCATACCGCGTTATTTTTAGTTTTTTTTCCTAAATTAATTTCATTAAAAATTTTATTATAGTATTAGTATTTTTTCCAATACGACGTTAGATTCCATTATCAGTTTCTTCACTACTTCTTTATAAAATGGCCTATGGTTTGTAGAATTTCTTGATTTCGGCGTCAACGGAGTATCCATATGAAAATTATTTTATTTCATTGACATTTAATCGCTAATTGCATGAGAAAAAATTGCAACGCATCAATAGAATGAGAGAACAAACGACTAGAAACGACGCTCCACGTTTACGTTGCTTATTGTTTAGTGTAATTAGCGTCGGCGGCAATTCAAACTGGGCCCGTAGGGCCCCCCGGCCCGGCCCTGGGCCCTATAGGGCCGTGGCCGGGCTGGGGGGCCCTGTTTTTTTGACAACCCTGATTAAGCCGTATCTTCTATATTCGTTTTCTGTGGTTTCTAATATCCCGTAGCAGTATTTTTCGAAAATGCGAATTTGACGAGCTATAAACTCGAAATGACGGCCGACATTTAACGATTTTTAGTTATCTACGCGTATGGTTTCGGAGATCAAATCAGCGTCTTCAATTAGAAAATGGGAAACTGGTTGAACGGAATGTTGTGTAGATTGGAAATGCACCACACGAATCGAATTAAAACGAATCAAGATCGAAAAAAGTACATCGAATCAATCAAATAAGTTCAACAAAACAATCAGGCAATGAAATTGGAGAACGGTATCAAAATGAGTAATCGAATGAATCTGAAAAAAAACGAAACAACCAAAATATTCGGATATCGTTTTCTGGCCGATTTGATTTCTAGCAATGTGTGCTTCTTGTCATATCGAGTTTCGGAAAGACCTGCAGAATCTAAAACGTTTGGCACAATCGGACTCAGAGCATGCGGAGGCGAAGGGGTTAGAGAGGAAGATAATAATGGGTCTTTCAAAGGGATTGTTTACTAAATGTGAAAATTACTGAACAAATAAAGGCAACAATTGATCAAAATCTACAATATAGTGGGTAATAATTTTTGTTGAAAAAAAATTAAAAACCCGCAGCGACGATCTGAATATGACGAGATCTGTAACGAGGAAATGAATTTCTGAATTGAATTATGTTTATCAATAGGAATCAGATGATTGAAGGAAAAACAACAAGACCCAAAGTCTAAACCGGAACAATTATTTGTCTAGTGTGAAAAATATGATGTTGAAATGAGAATTGAACGAACTGATACCTTTTTTGTAATGATGCCAACGATTTGATATTTCGCGTTCAGCTTTGTAGATTCAAATCCTTCTATTCTTTGAAGATATTTGATCTACCATGCGTAGATTTCAAAGAAATATGTTGCGCGCAGATAATTTGATTCCAAAATTGCGCAAGAGGGCCGAGATGAATGAGATGAGCAACAGAAGAAGACGGAGCACATGTTCGCAATGACATCACGCTTTTGGCGGCAGGTGTGCGCGCGTGCGCAACAGTTGTAAATCGTACGAATAGAAGGTGTCGTGTTGTGTTGCACAATTCGATCGTATCGCATATTAATCGGCGGGGCCTGTGTGACCCGACGACAACACGCTTGTCATTTTGCTCTACGACGACGCGCACGCGCTCAACCTTTCATTCATTGTTTTTGTTTGATCTCACCTCATTTGCATTATCCTATCACGCCCTTTTCTGATATTTCTTTAATATCAGCAATTATTTTTTTTAGAATGAAATTAATTCTTTTGTTATTCTTCTTGAATAATGTCTGCGGATCAATATTGGACGTCTTCCGAAGCATTGGCATCGAATATGAAGTCTACGGAGAAGGAAGGTAAGTATTCCTCAATATAAGTAATCGAGATGCAAATGAATTGGTTTTCAGACTAATTCCAGAAAAGCAGCACTGCAAACCATATACCCTTGACATGAACGAATTTGTCAACAGTTTGAATACGAACGAGATGAGCGAATATGGACGCGAAATTCTTAAGAGTCGAATCTACTCAAGCTTCAAGACAATTTGCGAAAGTTTTAATATCACGACGGGTAAAACATTCCATTGTTGAACTCTCTATAGAATTGTGATTTAGATTCAAAAGGAGCTCCTGCTACACTCACAACAGTTCCCTCGAAGATCCACATGAGATTCATGGATCGTTTCGAGTTGGCATGGAATACGCTCAAGTTTGAAAGAGATCTGAAGTCGTTGTTCCTTGAGAATAAAATAAACAACCCATTCCTCGATGGTATTAGTAAGGTAATCATTAGATTATCGTTGACAGGTTCTCATCGGAATGTTGACAGGAAACGATTGCCGCGTCCGGATCAACTGATGTTCTTGACTTTGCTCATCGAACAACCGTTTTCCCGAAGAAGTGCAATGTTGAGCAAATGACAGTTGAGACGAATATTTGCTTCAACATCTCCGAAATTCCGCAGTCAGGAATGGTCTACGCTGTGAGATTTAATGTCATTCAATTTTTTTGCTGAAATTATTTTTTTAGCTTGCTCATGCCGGCGAATTCCTTCACAACGAAGACGTGTATGCCTATTACGAAATTCCGGAATTCGTTCTTATCACTCCACAATCGGTCATCCCAGTTGATCTTGCCAAGTGCAAAGTCTTGTTCGGCACCTACATCTACTGTTTCGAAGAACTCGACACCCAATGTGATGTTCGTTCTCTTTCCGACTGTCCGATTTACGCGTACAAATCAGACGAGGAATTTGTCCTTCGCCGCAACTTCGGAACAGCCCACATATACGCGACTACGGAAACTGTGAGGATATTCACAAAATTCTCTTGAATTTTATCTATTCTCTTCAGGAGCTCGATTTGATGCAAAATGGAACGAAGATGGATGTTCCAGGACGAATTTTTACCGTCCGCATGAGTTTTGGAGTCAAAGACGATTCAGATGTCGATATTGGGATCACACCTCATATGGATGTGGAAAAATCACAATTTGCTCCACTACTTCCAGAATCACTTGCAGTTCTCAAAAGAGATAAGAAAACACGGCTTTTCATGACCCAAAAGAGAGGAACGAATATGCTTAGTCATAAGGTAATTTGCAATTCGCGATTAGCATTTATTCAATCAATATGTTTCAGCATTACGATCAGGGCGCCTGGGATGCGGTTCGAAGTTTCTTCGACCGCTTCATCTAATTTGTATATAATAATAATCTCGATTCGGATCTAATCCTCACTATAATTTTTGCAAAAATTTATTTTCAACTTAATAAACACATTTTTTCAACAATTCAAGAGGCAACAATATCAAGCGATACATAACAGATATTAAGATTAATTAAATAGGGGTAACATTTGCGGGATTGATTTCGCCGAGGAACATCGTCTCGAAGACAGTGTCCGCGAAATCGGGATAATATTGGCATGCGCGGGTGCAATCAGGGGTAAAATTCACCTCGAGCAAAGTTGGCTTGATATTTGCCTCGTCGTCATACTGCAACATGATATCGACACCATACATGGCGCGAGATTGAACGTTTGACGCAACTCCTCGGGGTGGTTTATTCCTTAAAAGTAAAATATATCAGAATTAGAACTCTTCTAATAGTTTTACTTTGAAGCAGCCTCAAGTGCTTTATGAATTGTTGAATTGATTTTGGTTTGCAATTCGGACCATTTGATTTTCGGATATTCCTTTTCAATGGTTTCAATAAACTTCTCACATTTCATCTGAATTGGAATAATAAAAATGCCCTTCTGGGAAACATCAAAAAATAGAATTTAATTAGAAAAAAATTACGGTGGGGTGATTTACTGTGAGCTTATCCGAAATTCTACTGTTTAAATAAAAATTCGAATTACCACCTCGAAAAAGTGCGATGGTAAACACATAATTATTCAAGGCGTTCGTTTTGTTGTGCTCTGGTAAATGAAAACCAATCAGATTCGAAAATAATTTTTTTTTTCAATTGAAATCGAATAAAAAATAATGTGGTTCGAATTATTCCAAAATTTAAATCGAATTCGATTTCAAAATTAAAAATTAAAAATAAATCAATTGGTTTCGAAGATTTTTGAATGGAAATCAAGTTTTCAAATCGAATTTAAACACTTTCTCAATCTAACCCACGAGGATTTTTTTCGCGATAAACGACAATACATATACTTACATTCAAAACCTTTGAAGGATCTTCAGAATAATTGAAAACTGTAAAATGAGTTTCCAAATCGTCAAAATTTCCCAAAACAAATTCGCTAAACAAATAATGTATGACAAGATAAAATAGAAATCTGATTACTTGATTGCAAATCGAATCCAGAATTTGTTGTAGATGTACGCAGTAATTGGTTCAAAGCTGTTTACAAACACAATATATCGCAGGTCGAACTTTACCCGATTTCCGTTGTCAGGTCTTGGGAATAACAACGGACGAGTGATGTATTCGCAAACAACCTCAATAATATAAATTTTTTCGAAAATTCTAAATTCTAAATCAAACTTTTGGACCAGTTTCAACCAATCGAATGATCTTGTTGAGATCGTCGGTTACACACATCTCCATTCCACGAGCAAGATTCCACGGTTTCACAATCCAAACGTTTGGAATATTATCCTTTTGCCGTTTTTGATAGCAAGCGACGAATTGTGGGAGCTCCGTGTTTAGATTATAAGTGAGCTTAAAACTATTTGTTTCAAATAGTTAATAACAACTCTCTCTGTACCTGATACCATTTATTTTTCTTGTAATCATGCATCGCACATGTTGCAAGAAGGTCCTTTACTGTCAGACACGATTCATAGGGGAATTGATTGATCATTCCACAGGGATTCTCTTCACAAAGAGTTCTTAAAGTCAATCAATCAAGACGAAATTATGAAAATCATACTTGAAGTCATGGAAGTGTTTCATGCACCATACAATATCTGCTTTCTTCCAGTCATCCACGAGTTCGTAGTCGCGTTTCAAATGCTCAATTAATTGTGTATCGTCAGCATAAATTCGAAGTTTTCGCGATTTCAAAATGCTCAAAGATGCGGAAAGGGCAGAGTTTGCGGTTTCCTGATCATTCGATGATGCAAGATGATCGGGGTTTCTTCCAGAAGTGAAGTATTCTTCAGTTGGAGTTGGAAATTCCGAAGACTCATTCGAGAAATCGTTTGGAACCCAAGGCAGCTCCAAGTATTTACGCCATTCCGGATTCTTTGCAGTAAATATATTTTGGGCAAAGTCGCGAGTAACTTCTTCTATAAAAAAGTAAAAGAGATCAGTACAAATCAAAATAAAATAAAATAATACCATCTTTTGCAATTGGTCTCGTTAAAAACATGATATTATAAGCGCAACTTTGTGGTAAGAACATCAGTGGAATAGTGCGAACATTTCCATTAGAAGAATGACGAATTCTGCTACCAAACTCGTCCATTAAATACCACATCGGTTTGCTTTGCATTCCAGTTTCCTTAAAGACCGATTTTCAATTGAAACAATAGAAATTCAGTATAACGTACCGTTTTGTAGCAAACCGTATAGGTTTGCGCGTTTTTCCAAACCTCCTTGATAACCGCATCGACGAGATTATTCTCGGAATCTTCGGAATAAGCACCAAGACGAGCATCAACAGATTCTGGACGTGGAAGTGAGCTTCCTGATTTTTTATTATTTAAAAAAGAAAACAAATACTTCGAAGAGCATTCGATACCTGAATTTAGTTGCTGTTGCTCATATTTCTGATTTTCTTTGTCATTACTCGTCTCAATCTTCTCAACCTCATCTTCCTCATTATTTTCCAAATTCTGAAGAGCCAGTAACAATTGCAAACAAAGATTGACTAATCAAAGAAAGCACTTACGTCCAATCCAAACAAATCGACAAGTCTTTTCAGCAAATCTCCAGACGATTCGATGATTTTTCGTAAATTTTCCGATTCGAATGTCAGTAAATGATCAATAAGAAATACACTGAAAACGAGAAAAAAGGTATTAATTGAAAAATTCGAAAACTTCGATACTTGTGCTCATCAACATTATGCATATCGTTAATCGCGAGAACACTCATATTCTTTTCGCCATCATCCGGAATCTCACAGATAATTTTGAAATAATCACCGGCATCAAATCTCTGTGATTAGCAATTTGAACTTTTTAAATCATAAATTTATGATACTTGATTGACGAGTTTCACGTAAAGATTAAACCACAACTCTGGTGGAACCGAACTTGCCTCCAATTGACTCGTATGTTGGTCGAGAAATTTCGAAAAAGGATATTCCGGAGACTCACGAGCATCAGTCATTTCTGAAAAATCAAAAAAAAAAACTAAATACATATTCACGAAAAAAGCGTATATTGGTATTCCAGCGGAATAGATAACCGCTGAATGAAATAATTAAAAAAGAGAATAGAAATTATCACAAATGTTTAATTTGACTAGTAAATAAAAATCTTTGACAATCTATAAAATTTTGAGCAATTATTAAGGCAAGTGAAATGAATAGAAATTCCTGAATATCAAATATGTACAATTTAAAAACACCAAATTATTTGATTCGAACAACGGGCACAATTGCAGCATACATAGTGTTTCCAACACAACAAAGAACTTTGTTCGAACTCAATTTGCGCGTTGAATTGATTTTTCCGTTTAATTTCACTTTTCCAATTATGGCCTTATGTTCTTGATCCCAAAATGTGACCGAATCTCCAGATGCAGTTGCCGCAATTCCGTCATCAAATGACACTATTCCGCTGCTGTCTCCAGTAAATAATGTGTCTTCACTCTATAACCAAAACAAATAAATAAAAGGTTCGAAGAAAAACGCAACCATTTCATTCGTCGACGCATCCGTTACTCTACAAACAAGTTGCCCGGTTTCTAGGGACCACAAAAATAATTGTGAGCTGTCGTAAAAGCCGAGTAAATAGTCCGATGAAACACTCAATTGAAACGCCCCTAAACAATTTTAATAGATTGATAATTTAGAGCAATGTGAACATACAAACACAATTATTATCGATGGAACGAATAAGCTCAGAAGTGACAAGGTCCCACCAGCAAATAAGACCATCTTCGCACGAAGAAAACATGAGCTAAACATCAAAAAATCGTAAAGGGTATTTTCGATTTTTGTTTGTTTGCTTACTGATTTCTCCGCGTGAACTACAACGTTCAAAACTGGCGAATTGTGAGCGAGAAAAATGTTTGCCATCGTACCAGTTTTGGCGTTCCACATTTTAATACTGCGATCGAACGAACTAGTGATAAATTGATCTCTCCAAGCAACAAGGCGGCAGATTGGTTTTTGATGTCCGCATACGGTGTTCATCACTTTAATTTCATGCACTCGTTGTTTCTCCTAAAATCCATTACATTTCTTTTTGCAAAAATTCGTAGATCACCTCAATCACAACTGAGACTTGCACAAAATCAATTGTCCCATCAAGTCGAACAATCGTGACAAACTCGTCATAGCACGCAATATGCGAAACACCAGAGTTATTGTTCGAATGATAAACTCCAATCAATTTGTTGCGAATCAAACTTGCAATTTCAACGACTCCGTCGGAGCAGCCAAGAAACGCAACGTCGTTTCTTAAATAGGCATTTGTGTTGAAGTAAACATGATTTTCAAGAGCCCCTAATCCAATGAAAAAACATACTTGATCGCAACTGCCCAAACTTTTATTAGGGTCTCTCCTTCGTTTAATGGGACTGCTCGCAAACGATTCAAACGAGTTATTCGTTCACCTGCCAAAATAAAATAAACCAACTTATTCATAGGAAACTGGTGCTTTTTTTTTCTTTTAAAACCTGTAAACGAGTTCCATAAGTAAACGAATCCTTCTTGGCAGGCTGACAAAAATCGAGGAGTATCGGGATCCAATCCAACCGTTTCAATCGGAAAATCATGTCCGTTAAAAACAAGCGGCAACTAAAAACGAATTTAGCATTTTTCGTTTTTATGCATAACCCAAAACCTTCTCAACAAATCCTTTTGTAGATGACGAGGTTATAGTCGAACTCTCGTCTGAATGTTTACTCGATGTCGCCGATTCTTCAACTTTTTTCACGCCAAATTTCCATCGATCACTCAGAAAAACATAAACGAAAAACGAAGCAACAGTGCATAAAAGTAAAAGCCAAAACGCGGCTAAGTAGACTTTCAGTTTCGTCTCCAACCATTCGATCCGATTTCTAAAATCAATTTTAAGCCCCAATGTTACCACTTGAAAACCCACTGTAATATTGGCGTTTCTGTTAAGGCCTCTTTTGATGGAGATTTAATTTGCTCAACCACTTTTAACAAATCATCATTAGGCTGGATTTTTGCGTTCAGCACGATCGGGGGCACGAATGTAACGTATCTTGAGTTGAGCGAAATGTTGTAATCGTGGGCAACTGCAGGCCACCTGAGACAGCCAAAACATACTTGAATTGAACTCGAAGGCTTACCATTTATACGTTGATTTTTGCCAGTATCCATATTTCAAATTCGCAATCGACAAAATTCGATGACGCTGTGATAAAGATTCATCGGTTTGATCTACAATAATTCAATTGGTGGATTTAAAAATAACGGTTGGTAACTGACTCAATTTCGATAGAATTTCGGCAGTACGTCCTGATCCAACAATTACAGCCAACCAGATAACCCAAACAGCAAAAACGACCATAATCGTGCGCTTAATTAGAAAACTAACCAGTACTTCGAATATTTCGAATAATTACCTGAACAATGCGTGTTCTTGTGATGAAGTACAGTATTCTCATTCGAAGACTTCCTTCAAGATCAGCTTTTGGAAGTTCCGAGTCATCTTTCCAAACGGTATCAAGTTTCGGATAAGTTTTGCTCTTCTCTGAAACTCAACCTTCAAAAAAAGAAAAAAAGAAACACAGTTCAAGCTATAACCTTTCTTATTTGCTGAAAAAACTTCATCAATTCCTGAATCCGAAAGTCTTCGCTTCTGAACTTTCGACATTGCAAATAATTTGGGGCACACTTTTCTCATCGGACAGCTCACAGGTGGATAATTTTTTAACCTCGGAATTTCAGCATAAAACAGGATTTCAGCAAATCGCCGTTTTTCTTCGAGACCAAGTCTTTCGAGATCGAATGTCAGACATGGCGCATAAAAGAAAAGCTGAAATTGAGAATGACTGATTTCACGCATCTCTAGCCAACCTGCATATAGAAATCAACGACGATGCAAATTGCGCTGAATTGACAAAATTCTTGAATATCCGAAACTCTTGTGAGATATCCACATAGCAAAAAGAAGAGTTCGAGGACAAAATACTTTGTCAATTTATAGCCTTCCTGGGAAAGACCATGAGCAATTCTTGAAGAAACATCTAAAGATGGAGGTGTGTACACTACGGATCTGGAAACAAACAAAATGATTCAGCCTAAACCGCAACAAAGTCAACCTCGTGATGCATAACGTATTTTCAAGACCAAGAATCAGCGCAATATATGGATATATTTCAGCGCCCCAGAGAGTTGTGCTCAAATCGAGATGAGCGCAAATTCCAGTCGTCATAAGAAGGGTTGCAGCAACAGTGAATGATGCAGCAAAAGCAAGTCCCCACCGAGAAGCAACCATTTCGAATTTTCTTGAACAATAGTACAAATAAATCTGGAAAAATGTATAAATGAATCTCTGGTGCGATTGTGATCAATACCATGCAAAGAATGTAAGTTGATATCAATGGAAGTAGATCCTTGAAACTTTTGAGTGGATGGAAATATACTTGGACAAATGTGGATTCATCATTAAGAGGAAGTGGCTGAAAAAAAAAACAGAAAATGAAATAATTTAAATGAAATTATTCAAAATTACCATAACTTCAAATGTTTTGCTTATTCGCTCTTTCAGTCGATTTATCACATTTTTACTGTATTTCGCGAAGAAAACGGTCATTGCAAATTCAATTGCTGTAAGTTTTTATTTTCGTAAACAATATTTTATAAAAATAAAAAATATATAGTGAAAACTCAAAAGGATTGGTTATTATTTGAATCCGTTTTGTTTTAATTTTTCAATTCGAATCAATTTCGAAAATACCCAAAAACCATCGGGTCCGACAATTTTACAGTCTTATTCTCAGAGAGGGTTGATTCCGGAGCTGAATTTCGTCGGATCCGATTGGCTTTTAGTTACCAAGGGTTTCTTAAGTTTTTTTTACATTTTCATTATTTTTTGATTATAGTTTCTTTTTTTTTGAGCTGCTGAAAAGCTATATTCGATAAATTTCCAGAAGTTTTTTAAACATGTCAAAACTCTCGAACTTTTTAAAATCAGTTATGGAAACTGAAAAATTGGTGTCAAGAGAAATGAAAACAAACATCGTTTCCTATTTGTTTGATATCTTTGTTTAATTCCAGTTAAAGAAATTGGTGCTCCTAGAAGAAGATCTCGCATGCAAAATGTTGATTTACATTCCTCATTGAATATTGTTTCAATCGAATTCGGATCCTATAATTTCCTCATGCAAAAGTCTCAGGAATTTCCAGAAAAAAGCAACCTTCTTAAACTTTTCTAAGTCGTTATACCAAATAGAAGCTGGCGATAGAACAACACACAGCGATTTCGATCGAAATGGCCATGTTTTATCCGAAGGACTGGCCAGGCGAAGGCATAATTCTTCAACAGATGGCTCTGATATCACAATTTCTCTAAGACGGAATGCAGTGGCCACTGCAGCACGAACAGTCTGAAATTGATTAATTCGAATTTTGAATTTCTGCCAACTCCAACATGTTCTGGAGTTAATATCGACGCATTCCAAGGTTCGATGGTCGCAGAAACAATGAATTGCTGAATATAAGATGCCGGATTCTCGTTTATCCAAAACGGGGCAAGCTTTTCTGAAAAACCAGCTAATGGTAGTAATCGACGAAAATTGTTTTCATACCACTAACGTGAAGATGATCACTCCAGAATATGTCAATCGGAGTGCTGACCGGCAGCCGAAGACGAGTAACGGCAGGGTATGAGAGCACGACCATTGTGGCAATCGACATACAAAGGCATGCGAGCGGATGGGCAGCGCATAGTCTAAATTATGCATTCTTGACAGAGTATTGGTGATGGAAAAAGAAAATACTAAATTGGCTCGTATTAGTTTTGAAATAACACGCATTTTACGTTAAAAATACAATATTTTATTAACAATTTTTCTATAATTTCATTTTTCTCGGGTTTGTCTAAAAAAAGCCGACACTTACATTGTCACGGCCGCGGCTGGATTTCAAAAAGAAAAAATACCGAAGGCCGCGAATCTGACAAGCCAGTCTACGATGTTTCAGAAACCTACCGTCCATAATCATGATATGCATTCGAAATTTTTTCTCGCGCCGAAACCCATTTCAACTTGTTTTTTATGACCATTTTTGGGGGATTCTCAATCAAAAATATTTCATTCGCGCTTATTTCTGAAAGTTGTTAAAATCGATAGCAACTTTTCAAAAAAAGCCGAACAATAATATAAGGAAGTTCTTTACACCACACCAAAAAACATTTAAGAAACAAACAAAATTGTTAACATTTATTGACGTGCTCGAAAAAAAAAGTTTAAAAGAACAGTCATCAGAATAACAAAAAAGGAACCACCATACTAATAGAAGGAAAACAAGTTTAAATTAGTTAAACGAAAAAAAGAACCAACAAGATGGAATATTGATAGAATTGGAATCCGAACCGAACAGAAAAATATGAAGGGAAATATATTTTAACAATTCAACAATTAATTCGAGACCAATTTCTCGTGGACTTGGAGCTGAGTTTTAGTCAAATTTGCCAAATATGAGACCATGGCATAGTCCTGAAAATTGAAAATATGAAAATTTTTAAAAAGTTGAAAATCCGCAAGTGCTTATCGAACTATTTCCTGTCATACGTTTTTTTAATATTACAATTTTTAAGGCTTTCATAATGGTAACGATGTTCTAATTCAATGATTAATCAAACATTTACGAACCCTAAATGTATTTTTGACCAGAGTGTCAAGCTTATCCGTTTGCAAATGAGCCGATGCAGTGCTAACAATATCCATGAGAGATCGCCCAATTTGGGCATCACCTGGCTTCTCTCCCTTTGCTACAACCTCATTCACATATCTATAATTTTTATATGACTTTTATAAACAAAAAAAAAACGCACTGCAGAAGTCTCTCAAGCCATCCGATGATATCGCCAGTGCTCGACTCCAATTGTTCCAAACCGCTTTCGAGAGTGGCTTCACGACGGCGCGAATCAAGAGCCTTCTCAATCAACTCCATTGCGATACATTCACCTGGGAACGCATCGAGTTCAACGCGAAGAGGATTGAAAATAGCGCAATGCGGTTGTGGCGCTCCTGGAATTCCAGCCTTTGAGCGCAAATACGCACGAACAGGCATGCGCTTCGTGCTGTCTCCCGCGAATGTGGTGTCGACAGTGAGCACAAGAATGGGCGGGGTCTCGCGACGAGCGGAGATTTCAGAGATCACACGATTGTAGTAATCGTGATAAATTAAACAGTTAGAAGTGAGATCCGAAGCAGTCAAGAACCTGAATTTGCAAGAGATTGAAAAAAACACGATAAAAAACTCACCATCCGACCGGCTGCTCGTTTGGAGAAGATCTCTTCAAAATTGTGATCATTTGCTGATTAAATTGGTCATCAAGTTCCAAATCATCATTGTTCTCATTGAATGGGATAGCAAAACAGTTAGTAACCTACAAAAACGACTATTCCTTCAAAAACAATGATATATATCGTTTTACTTGAATAGCTCCTTTCTCGTAGAACCCCATCAAAGTTCCAAGAGCTTTTTCATTTGCGCTGTTCTTCGACGAATTTCTTCGTCTCAAAAACGAATCCACAATGGTCACATAAACCACTGGATGAACTTTGACAACCATATTCGAAGCCATGTTTGCTGTGAGAGCAGATAAACCCTTAAAATCAATTTAAAAAAAACAATACTTTAGAAAATGAGAAAAGAGATAATATAAAACGAGTAATGAAACTCGGAAGTTATGAACAACTATAAAATAAAATAAAGCAGGTACTTTATTTGAAATAAGAGAAATTGTTTCGATTAGTTGCGAAATACTTACAAATTAAACGTCTTCTATCATGGGTTGAACTATTACTATTATAAATATAATTTACACGTCAAAAGCGGATTATTCACAAGAAAACGTTACTTAAACGCCGAAATTAATGCATAATTTCAATTTCTTCGTCGTAGTCCTTCGGATGTTTCAGAGTACGCTGGCGGTGCTTCGAACTGTCCGGCAACTCGCAGTTCTTCAGTGGGTTGCGGTTCTCTTTCCGGTCCAATTCCTGGGTACGGTGGCGGTGCGCCGCTAATAAATACTCTAGACGGATTTGGTTGCTCCGGAAATGCGTCTGTTTGTGGATTGTATCCGTGATCTATAAATTTCAATGTTTATAAACATTAAAATATAAACTGAAAACCTGGGTTTTCTGCTGGTTGGTAATAGGCAGGTGGTGCTTGGTAGAAATTTCCCATTGGCGGTGCATACGGAGGCGGCGCATTCGCAGGACGCATTCGACTCGCACGATCTACTGCTAAAAGTAGAGCTTGTCCGAAGTCGATGCATCCTCCCTTGTTGAACGTCATACGCCATGGAACTTCTCCTCTCATCTGACTACCAGGAATAGCGACAGCAATTCCTCTCAGATAATTAGCTCCTTCAAATATCGAAATGAGTGATTGTTTGGACGAATACGTTAATTACCAAATATCGGCTGCTCCAAATGCACATCTTGCATATTATTGAAAGGCATTTCGAAAGACTTGAGCCAATCTCCTGGTGGATCTGGCATGAAAATGATTCGATGCGACGTCAGATAAATTGTGCCAGTCCGTCTTCCTTCCAAGTTCTAAAACGGCTTAAACATAAGGTTTGCCCTCGAAACAAATCTTACCAGGTTTTCGCTGGTCCCAATTGTCATCACAACACCTTGCGCAAAAATCACAATTGTCTCACCATTGTAGAGAAGAACGCCTAATCCATCCGGCGTATTTGCCGTGTTGAAAGACATTCTAAAATAAGAAGTTTTTAATTTTTGAATTAACTTTTAAAAGAACGAAAGATAATTCCGGTCAGAAAACCATTAGAAAAACAAAGAACGAAGTAATTTAAAACAAAATAAGAGATGTTTTATGACGATCTCAAACAATATAGTTTTAAAAGCAGATGCCAAGATCAAAACCGGTGTCAAGAAGTAAGTTCGAGATAAATAAATCAAGAGGCTGGAAGGAAATAGAAAAAAGGAAATCACTGATAAATTACACTTTATACAAGAGAAAGTCGAGTTTCGGCAGGGTATCGAAAAGAAAAAAAGCACCAATCTATTGCCTAGCCTATTTAGTTAATAAATACGTACAACATTTTGAGAAAATAAAATATTGCGAGCTTTCCAATAAATGAGTTGATTTCGCAAGAATCAAACTTTTTCCCGTTGTAATTGGGACATAAATTCTTCCAATTTTTCCTGAATCCTTCGTACTTGCTCTAAAAATCAAGAAAATGAATATGGCATAACAAATAAGGACATACTCAATTCCTCAGCAAGCTCAACTCGCCTACCAGTCAAGTATTTTTTCTTCTTATCGGCTTCTTGCGACCAATCATCGAGTACTTCCTGCAAAACACGTAAAAGTATGAACAAAATCAAAAAAAAACACGAAACCTTAATTTCCTTTTCGAGGCGTCGCTGTTCGGTGTTGGTGATTTGTTGTCGAAGCGCATTGCACGTGAGATTCACCATTTTTTGTATTCTAAATAATTCGGGCGTTACTCACAATCATAATGGAGCGCGGCACCACAATTTCGCCGTAAGACATCAAACATCACATGCAGATTCTTTATGATTTATGGGTTCCAACATTTCGAGATAGAACGAAATGTGGTTGTTCAAACGATGTTTTATTCCGTTTACACTTTCACATAAAACATCTTTTTTGAAACAAGTTTGTGCAATTGCATAAATAAGTCGGCGTTATAATAAACGAAAAAGGTGCAACCACGTTTGTGTTCTTTGTGTCGGTGTTTACAGAAATACGGAAAATGTACAGATGCACCAATGCACATATTCACCCTATTAGGTTGCAATCAATTGACAACTCAAATAATTTTCTATAAAAAATGTAAAATACCGTTCAAAAAAATTAAAAATCTTTCCAATGCAGGGCTGATTAAATTAAATTTTTTATATTTCGTATATTTCATGAATAGGTCTATATTAAACATAATAGTCGTAAGATTTTAGGATTAATCATTTTTTAATTCATTCATTGAACAAAAAATTACGCACCGCGTTATTTTCAATTTTTAGAATATTACCAGCACCTCTAATTCTGGACGTATTTTTTCGAGCAGAAATCAAATTTCGATTTAAATAATAAATAGTTGGGATTCGTTTTTTTTGTCGACTTAGTACCAAAGAGACGCTATAAATTTTTTGAATTTGGACAATTTTCCACACTCGCGCTACGCCGACAATATTTATATTCGATAAAAATAATCGTTATTATTCAAAATATATTTGACGTATAAAACATAAATACTTGAAAAGATAAACAAAATACCTGTAGAATAATATAATAATCTGGCAATCGATATCCTGTCCTTCCACCATTCCTTGCCGATACATTTGGTAAAGTGGTAAACAATCTCTACTTATCTGAAATTGTAATTTTAAAATATTTTTTTTAATATTGAGAAAATAACAAAAAAAACTTACATTAACAACTCTCTCAAGGAAATGCTTCTTATAGACAAGTTTCCATTGTTTTCTAATCGTCTCAGTCGGAACTTCAATAATTCCTTTCGATTCGATATTCCTTCGAATTACGGTCATGTCGTCGTCGGACAATGCTTGTGGATGTTCCTTGAAAAATCCAAATCCATGTAAAAGCCGCTTAAGAAAAAGTACTCACCGGATTATCCGCTAGCATCGCATAAAGTTCATCCTGAATTGCACACGCATAATGATTGTCGGCGGTTGGCGTTTTCCACAAAAACCACTTTGAAGCCCATCCTGGTCCTCGATCGTCAGCTAATTGCTGCTTGACGGCGGCTAGCCTTTCAGAAGCGGCTTTGTGCAAGAAATTGCATGCCGAATCCCATGATCGTTTGTCTTGAATTGCACGATCTTCCATCGAGTTTAATTGAATTACCCGCTAAAATCCACGAATAAACGTTGGTCTCATTTGAAACAAAATACCAAATAATCCATTGCCTTTTCGTCCCATTTATGTGTACTCATCGACTCTTCGATGACTGCTTCTTTTAGAGGATCAAAAATCGCGTCATGATCCCTTCTCGTGCTCGCGTCTTGTTGAATTTGCCGAATGAACACTTCTCGCAGTGTCTCCCAACCAGTCTGACAACCAGTAATTTAGAAGGCAAACGGACCAATAGCTCGCTACCTCAATACTCTGCGTGGCAAGTTGTTTATCAGCAAAATGCTTTAGTCGAATGTCCACAGCAGTGTTGAATGTTCTGAAAAAAATTACATAATTATCTAAAAACTAACAAACTGAACATGATAAAAATTAGAAATGATCTCTTTTGATGGATCGTTTAAAAATCACATACCCGCTGTTTTGCGAAGAGTAAGCCGGCATAAGGATTTGATCAAAGACATGATTCGAAATTCTTGACCATAATTTTTCTTGAAGCAACCTCTCCCATTCTTCCACGCCGACTAGAGAAAGATTCACAATCTCATCCAGAATTTCTCCGCGAGCCTAAAAGCAATGAATACGATTAAAAGATCTGAACATGAATCACACCTTATCAAAAAGCTCATCTCGATGAAGTTGTCGAAGCCTTGGGAAATTGTTTTTCCATTCAGTTTCCAGATTGAATCTTGCCGCTCGAAAAGCGTCTGCTTGGCTCTCAATGGAATCTCGAACCATTCTCCAGAAACATTCAGAAACAGCTAATGACATATTTCGAGTTGTCATTTGCGAAGCTTTTAAGATTCCATCCCTGAATAATAAATACTTGATTATCGATATGATTGAGAAAAAACCTTAATAATTGACTCGATGCAAAGAAGCTTTCTTCATATTTTCGAATCTCCTCAATCGATTCCGAACTGTTTCCGCGACCAGTCACAACTCCAAAATAGCCAAGAGCCTTCATCGGAAACAACTTTCCTTCGAGAATCTTTTTAATGCGGTCAGGATTAGCCAGATTCTTTTCGGCTAAATCAACCTAAAATCAAAGAATTACCAATTACACGTTATTTCAAAATTAACCTTTGTAAGCACTAGAATTGTTCGGCGACCTGTTGGATCAATGCTGCTAACGAGATCAGTGACATTACTTCTTTCAGCGTCCACCGACCTGCAAGACAAAACCAAAATCACAAACAAATAGAAACTTTGCTCCATGCAATTATGAAAGATTGAAATATTGTTCTCTGATGCGACGCAGATTAAAGCAGACCAATACATAAGAAATGAAAATTTTTGATAAAACACATTCGAGAAAATAAATAACAATTCAAAATTTGATAGAAAGAAGATAATAGGCATTGAATGAAACGTGACAATACTTTAGGTTATGATTTGAAACTCATTTCAAAAAAAGGAAATATTATTACAAATTTTAAAGGACATTTCGAGTCGAGTTTTTTGTTAAAAATTGAAATGATAAACCTCAAACTTATCAGAAAAGCTCTTCTATATATTATTTTGGTAACTACTATTTTAGAAATCCTTCGCTTAACCTTGACAAGCATTCCATTTAAATATCAATTACCCATCAATAATTAATTAAACACCTAATTACATCACTTAAAAATTAAAGATATTAAAACTAACCCGTCCTGAATACATAAAATGATCGCATTTGGATTTTCCATGTGTGCTTTGCTTATCCGAATAATGTCATCTTTGGTTTCTCGGGCCATGTCAGCTGTGACAGTTGAAATGACTCCCGGCAGATCCACAAGAACCATTCTCGGCAGATTTGGACCTTTCACCGTCAATGAGATCACCTCGTTTGACACAGTTTTTCCATCGCGCACAGAATTTCGCATTCGAATTTCAATTTCGTTTCTGAGCTGTTGCAGCTCGTTCTCTTTGGTGAGATCGAACTCTCGCGACGAATCTTTGAATTGTGCAATATGATAGGGCCCTTCAGATAAAGTGACCTGCAACGTAATTTCGACAACCATTAATCGGTGTCGCTCACCTTAACAGGAGCTCTCGTCATCATCTCACCAGAACCGCGTGGAAAGATCCGGGCTTGAGCAACCATTTCGAGAACCGATGTTTTTCCTGCAAATTGGCGATGTTTGATGTCATGGGAGGATATAAAACCTGCGCTTTGGTCTCCGACAACTACAACTCTTGGAAGATTATCTGCGGTATTATAAGACGAATCGTACTCGTTGAGCAAATCGAGAACTTCGCTGTACATGTCAATTAGCGACCGCTTAACAACTTGGAAATTCAATAAAACATTTGATAAACGTTTCGAAAACCTTTAATCGTTTCATTCGTCGCACAGCTCCTTGGTCTGAGAGAAGAAGCCGTTGTTTTAAAACTTTGTTCTCTTTTTCTAATCGTTCTAATTCTTTTTGATATTGGCTTTGCGTTTTTAGAAGCTCTTCTTGTAATTTTTGGAGTCTCTCCGTTGTGTCTGACGCATCCTTTGATTGTTTCTCGTCGTCTTCATTTTTTGAAGAAAATGCAGACATCAAAGAAGCCAGGACCAAAGGTTCTTTAATCGGGGGTCCCTCCTCATTTTCAGAGTTGTTTTCTAAAAACTTTGAATTTTATATTTTACAGATGAATGAAATACCATTTTTCCGCTTTTTGAACTCATCAAACTTTGTCATCCATTCAGCAAATTTTCCATCTTTTTCCGCTTCGAATCCAGCTTTCATGTCTTTCAGCTTTTTTGTGAATTCCATCCAACCTTGGTTGTTATCAAATTGCGCCCATTCCGGAAGCGAAAAATCCGGAAGATTGGATTTCCATTCGTCATACCACTGAAATCTTGATATGGCGAGAAAAATGGGTGTATATACAATATTCCAAATTTTATCATCTTTAATCTAAGAATATTAATAGAGATAACCAACTCTGCTAAAAAAAAGACTTTTCATATGTATGATTTTCTGCTATATAATTTACCTGTCGTGCAGCGACACTTCCACCAATTATTCCAGTTGCGAGAAAATATCGAAGTTTCAGTAAATATCGTGCGGCTCCAGCTACAACACCGACAAATTCTCTCTCGCTTTGCAAATTAAGCACGACAGGACGTCGAAGCCTTAAATACATCAAGAATATCCAAATAATAACAAAAGAAAAACATACAATGTAGTTCGACGACTTCGTGTGCTTAGCTGTCGCTCATTTTGATGTCCAGCAAACGCGGAAATCTGTACCGGTGCACGGTTGCTGTGATAACAGCCAATGTTGGAAAATCGTTTCTGAGCAATTCGCATCATTATTCCATTACCTGAAAAAAAGAATTTATTAATTGAATATTCATACAATCGGCACAAAAATCACAACGAGTACGAAAGAGAAGGAGATCAATTAATTGGAATCGACTAGTCAGATTTAAGTTTTCTTTTGAAGTAAATCGGGGCAAGTGATAAAAGAGCAAAAACCGTTAGCAATATGACTGAATTCCAACTCCAGCTCACACTATTGTGTGTTAGTTGCTCGAGTGTAGAACCCGCTTGAATATACAAAAAACTGGGCGGGGCGACGCCAAGAAAAGTGCCCCAGAAAAATGGAGACAAAGGCACATCAAGAACAGGACTCGCAATATTAATCAACCAATTTGGTACTATTGGGGTGACACGGAGGAAAATGATATAATTAAGAAAATCATCACGATGCTTCGAAAGATCTTCCTGCCATTTCGCGATTCTATCAGGAAACTTGCGAAGAACGATTGCTCGTCCGAACAAGTGCGAAATCATGAAGCATATTGCAGCACCAACGGCAGAGCAAGAGCAGACGAGCAGAAGAGCGACTGGAAACGGGAACAAGTATCCTGAGAGAATTGTGAGGAACAGCGATCCAGGGATGGCGAACGACTGCAGTGTGATGTAAACGACAACGACGGCGCACAGCACCACCGCGAAGTTGTTCTCCTTATACTTGGAAAGAACTCGTCCAAGAAGTTTCGCATCTTCCATACTTCTCGGAAGTTTGATATGCACACGTTCTTCGTCCGAAACTTCGGGAAACTTCAAGTAGATGGCAAAAATTGCGGTTGCGAATAGTCCAAAAATGAGGAAAATCAGCAGCGGCCGGGAGGTCGCCTCATCGTTCTTTTGCATTCCTAAAAATTCACAGATTCATTGAAAGATTAAGTTAGTGCAAGATTGATGTATGTAGTGAAACACGGAATGATCCAAAATCAGAAGACAAGAGTTAATTTGAGCGAGTTCTGAAGCACACCAAGAAAAAAGAAGAGAGTAGGGAATATTGGTGATCAAAGATTACATGAACGATGCATTAACACTGAAGACACCAAAAAACAATATTTTGTGCACATTGCTACTGAATATCTCAAATAAACAATCTTAAATATTGAAAGATTCAAATAAATTATAACACATTCTGAATATTATGATAAATAGTAAAGTTATTCCATGTTTTATAAAATTAATTAAGACGCAATGAGCTTCAGAATGTTATTTTTTTTTAAATAAGAAATTGACCTATTCATTTTTTTCAAAAAAATAACATATGCATCTTTTATGTATTTAATAAATTTCCATAATCCTTTTAAAGTTTGAACAAAATCTGAAATCAAGACTCAAAGCATAAAAATTTTCGTGAATTCATCAAAAATAATTTAGTTTTCTTATTTTTAAAAATAAAAATCACTAATCATCGCTATTTACGTGCCTACGAACCATGTTTCTAATATTAAATAATGGACTTGTTTTAAATGAAATTAAAAAGAATTAAACTAACATTTCACAGCCATTTAATAAGAATTTATATTATATCCTAACGAAATATTTTAATTTACGTTTTACTTATCGATTTATTTACGGAAACAATTTTTAAAACAGTAAAATATGTCAAAACTCAGTAAATTTATCAAAAAATTGGAAAAAAATAAATCTTGTATTTCATCACTGTCTCTTCGTGACGAGAGCCTGGTACTTCAAATACGCATGCGCCTTTCTTTTGGCAACCGTCCAAGTGAAATCGATTGGAATTTTTTGTTTAAAAATTTAAATTTTTGTTGAATTGTGAGTTCAAAATCATATATAAATAATTATATTATATTGTAATATTTACTTGTATAAAATATTGTCTTCTGAAATATTTTATTCAGGAAATGGAGACAAATTTCATTGGCGACGATTATGGACCTCTCTTTCATTATCAGTATCGTCTAATTGTAATTGGCGATTCAACAGTTGGTAAATCAAGTCTACTGAGATATTTTACCGAAGGAAAAATGTCCGAAATAAGCGACCCAACAGTTGGCGTTGATTTCTATGCAAGGATGATCGAATTAAAGCCTGGATACCGAGTGAAACTGCAACTGTGGGATACTGCGGGGCAAGAAAAATTTAGGTTTTCGTAAATTGTGAAAAAATTATAAAACTGTATGAAATTAAAGATCAATTACGAGATCATATTATCGGAATTCAGTTGGAGTTCTTGTAATTTACGATATTACTAATCGAGAAAGCTTTGAACATGCTGTTGGATGGCTGAAAGAAGCGCAGGATCATGTTGGAGGTCCAAATCCATCAAAATGCGTTTTTATTCTTGTCGGAACAAAGAGCGACGCAGCTGAAAGACGACAGGTAATCCTATCAATTTAATTATATGAATTTTTAATTATTAATAATAGTAAACTAGATTGGATCTTTAACAAACTTTTATGTGAAAAAATCTTCCAATTTCAGTTTATTTAATTTTAAACAAAAAATGATGAACTGCTGAGCGAAAAAAAAAAACGGATTGATTTTTTTTCGAACATGTTCAATAAATTCGAAACTTGTATAGTTGGCGTCCGGCGATTGCTGTACGTGGGTAGATTTACGGGGATGCGTCTTTCAAAATGCTCTCGCGCGGACTAACAGGTTATTTCAAATTTTATGGACCGTTCCGATAATTTTTTAATCGAATGTCATTGGAAATTCAAGAAAATGCAAAACTCATTGAGACAAAATAAATCGTTATACATTATTTTTTATTGAATTAAAGCTGGAGCGGAATTTATAAAGTAGTTATTTTTCAGGTAAATTACGAAGAAGGCGAATACTTCGCAAAATATCACAAAATGCAGTTCATTGAAACTTCTGCGATGAGCGGAGAAAATGTATACGAGGCTTTCTTTATGGTTGCGCAAGAAGTTTGTTTGTTTTGTTTGAATGTATAATATTATGTTAATTGTAGATATACAAACGAACGCAAGAAGGTGATTTGAAGCCTGTCGATGGTTGGGAAGGCCTCAAAAGCGGAATAATGCGCACACAGTCAATTTGTCTCTCAGAACAGAGTTTTCCACGCGGTTCACCAAGTAGTAATTGTTCTTGCTAATTCTTTTTTGCTTCACTCAGAAAACGGGTGCTGCAATATAGGTTTAAAACCATTTTCTACATAGATTAGGCTCGATTAGTTATATGTATAGTCAATGCTTTCAAAAAAAAAACGGCGTGTATTTTCTCATCTAGTTAAACCGACACTCCCAAAACTTACCCAGTGATAATTATTAAAGTTCGTTGAATTTTAACTACTCCAAAATTGATTATCAATCGGTTTTCCTGTCAATTTTCCTTGTCATTCGTTCAGCCAATTACTTATGAATAAGCTTGCATTCAGCAATACAATAATAATAATAATAATACGATTTTATAATTTAGATTTCTTATTTTGATCACTCGATTAAAAGGTGTACATCACACTAATGTTTTGAAGAGACCAGTCCTCGATGAGTTACATTAGAGAAGTCGGAAAATATGCAATATACAGGTAACGGGAATGGTCTACCAAAATTTTTACATAGTTGAAAATAGAATTGATCACATGTGTTATTTGGTCAAGAGACAAAATTGTTAAGCATGTGATTTTTTAGGAGAGAATAATTTTTGATTAGAGCATTCCTTTAACGTCCCAAAGCATAATCACGCGATTTTGCCCGCTGGTCGCCAACATTCCAAGCGTTTCTTGGAAATGCATTGCAGTAACTCCAGTGCGAATATCATGTGAAGCCGCCAGTGGAGTCAAACTGAATTGCGTTGCTTGACGTTTTCATAAAAAACGATAAAAAATACTCGAAGTTTTGCGAATTCTCCGTCATTTTTTGTTTGCAATCATTGCAAATTCGCACTTTCATTTCATATCCCATTGGCGGATATGTCGTCCAGTTATTGCAGCAACTTCCACAAACCGCTGCTCCGCAAGTACGACAATGATGTTGACGGAGACCTACAACCTGAAATGCAAGAGTGTCTCACTTTTTTTGTTTTCATATGAGTAACTAGAAAATTTTTAAAATCACTCACCTTTCTCTGCCACATCGCTTGCAAATTCCAAAAGAATGGCGCATTACACTTCTCGCAGTAGTCGTTCGAACGCCATTCTGGTGTTTCAACACTAAAACATCAACTTATATTAGAAAAGGAAGTGAATTACCGTTTAACTGTCATATCCCAGCACATTAAAATACCATTGTCATCAGCCGAGAACAGTCGGCGAGCTCCAGCAGCTGCACACAGACGAGTAACTTTGGTTGAATGGCCGCTGAAAGAAGAACAAGATTAAAAAAAGAAACTACAACTCATAAGTATACTTCAACTCATAAGCTTGACCTCTTCCTCCTCCGATGTCCCATACGATTACAAGATGGTCGTGACATCCCGAATACAAAACCTCTTTAACACGATCCCAAGCGAGAGACGAAATTGGAGCTGGACAAGTTTTTTGGAAATATTACTCATATTTCGACATTTACCAGTATGAGCGCTCAGTTTGCTCACAACATTCGCGTTGTTCCCTGACATTCGCAGGACTGTAACACTGCCTCCATGATCGCCAATAAACACGAATGGAAGATCGATCACTAGTGCTGTGCAGCTGTTATCGCAGTGGAATGTGCCTATGATGAATATTATGATAATAGAACTGCTCGTTATTTTAAGGGTGCACTATTTTTTTAGGGATTTCGCAAAAACAAGATTAAATGTATGAAGCAAACTGTTGAATTAAAAGAAAAAAAAACAAATTTGATTTCGTAAACAAAAAGTGACTCCAGTAAATGCAGTGATACATAACCTAGAACAAGTATATACTATAAAATACTAATGACCCTTTGTGGTTAGTTTTTTCTACTTCTATTCAATTCTAGTCAAGAAGTCCCAAACTAGTAAGTATATTAGTTATTAACCCGTATGTGTATAACGAGTGCCTTTCCAACCGACTCGGTCACCGAGTACCGATGGTGACATGTCATTATCGTACAGAAAACTTATTTTAGATATTATAAAAACTTTTTAAGTATAACACATACCAAGTTTCACAGATGTTTCCGAACAATGCCAAATCAGCGATTTGTCTCTCGAGCAGCTGAAAATGAGCTCGGACGCTAAGGCGAATCCCAAGCCCGAAATCGGTCCGGCGTGAATTGACCATTTTCTAGTTTCAGACATGCTATTGAAATCATCGGCAACGGCAAATTCGTATACATTTCCATTGATTAATCCAACAAGAAGTCTGAAAATATTGAATAGTGTTAAACATTATTGTTTAGTTTTGGCAAAGACACAAAAAATAAACAATGAATGCCACGAGTGTTTTAATAGCGATTTTTAATTTAAAAAAGTTTTTTTGAAACATTTTAATTTACTTACTTGTATGTTTCTTCGCTGTAATGAAGACACGTTGGAGCAACGGGCATAAAATGATGAATCGACGGCCAAAATTGGTCATTGTCTCTTTTGAGGTACAATCGAACGGATCGGTCGTCACTCGCCGACCATACACCTTCATCCTTTGACAATAAAACCACATCATTTATGCGGGCGACATGTCCGGTGATTTTTTGCACAAGAACTGTAAACATGAACAATTTTGTGGTCGATTATTTTAATTTACCAGGTTTTGATGTGCCTATGCTTGATGAATTACTTTCGCCCGTTCGAGGATTTATGATAGCTGACATTTCCTACAAAATGTGTACAAAATCGATGGGAAGTACACGATGACACAGTGACAAACAAGGTATAACGGCGAAAATAGAATTTATTACTAATCGTCACAGCGGTACACGGCCAGCAATCTCGCTGACGTTTTTTGCGGCCACGGCCACTAATTCAGTCCCACCAATTCGCGATTTTATAACCGTTCGATATTGTCTATTCTCATTGTTAAAAAATCTAACTAAGCTATAATGGAGTTCCTAAAACTTTTCTTAAATTTTCATTATTGCGAAATTTTCGATTTGAATAATTGAAATCTTCACAATAATGCCAATTGATATCAAACATTTCCAGAAATCTTGGAAAATCCCACTCTGTCTCGATTGAATCAATTGTATTTCATTATATACCTTTTATATTATAAATTGACCTGTAAAAGAACGATTGGTGCCAAAATAACAATACGGTATGGAATTTTTAAGATACCATTTTGCCAAATAAGAGCAGTGGTTAAAAAATGTGCATCCATTTTGTAGATAACGCTCCGAATTGAATTTTAAATGTTCTTGTGGGTCCTACAATGGACAATTTGTGAGCAATAGAATTTCATAATAATGCAAATAATATTTTAGGTCTCAAATTTTAAACTTGACTCAGTCTGACCTGTGCTCCAGCGCGAATCGTACCGCAATTTTAGTAGATAGTTTAAAAATTTGCACAGAATTATACAGTAGAAAAGCGCGCTCCGGAGCTTCCCCAAATAACATGTGGAAAATTTTAAGACAATCGAGTTATTTTGAAGTTTCTCTGAGGCATACGTCCGCCTGATGAGCCCGGAAAAAAATGATTTCAACTTAAGGAACGATTTTATCAGATTTTTAAAAATTCAGACTTTCAATTTTATCTCCGTTCTCTCCAAATAATAGAAACTTAAAATTTCAGATGTATGATCAAAATGGAGAACTAAGCAAATTTAGATATATTCGTGAGATGGACACGAAGTAGGTTTAGCACGAAGTTATCAATGGAAGTATAAATTCCTTTCAGACGGGAATCATTTCGAAGGAAATTTGCGAACAAATTTTCGAATGACATGATAATGCGATTGCGACTCACAGACACTGCCAATTTACGATTATCCCCGCCTACAACAATTACTGCAATGGACATAGATGCTAGCGAGGAATTGTAGAATTTCGAAATATCTATGCATAATCTGACCAACTAGTTCTTTAGTATAATTTGCGGGAATTCTGTCGGCTCTATTCGATTGGTTCATCTCGGCAAAATATTTCGTGATAAAGTAGTCACTGGATTCAGACCTTTCTAGTACAAATATGATATTTCTCAAAGAAATTCAATAAAAAAGTATTATTTAGTGATCAAAAACATCCAATTCATCAAATTGAGTGGTGTGCACTCGATAAAAGACTATTTTTGGCAGCAGTAGGCAACTCAATTTCAGTACGTTGATCTACGAAGTAAACCTATATTCGATAATAAAAACCAAACAGATTTGTGATTCCGACAAAAAATCCGTGCTTGGAAAGCGAATGTTTGATGGGGAAATGGTGCAAGTTCATTGGAATAAGCATCATACGATCAATCCAAAAATTGTTGTCGCCGACAGGTCAAAAGCAGCACGGATTATCAATTTACGGTATTACGCCGCCCAAAGCATTGAGCAAAGCAATGAGCATATTTAGAGCCGGATTAGAAATTTGTCAAGATATTCGATGGAACGATAAAATCATTGGTCAGGCGCAGTGGTATCCCTCCGCCAAGCATCTGTTGTATACGGCAGATCTCGACGGAAACGTTGCATTTTTTGATATTAGGTATGCAATCATATTTATGTAGTGCATATTTTGGCAGCTGAAACCACCAGCTAGACATAAATTGTTTAAAACGAAGAAGGAAACAATATTTCTCATGTCTTTTTCAAACCACGAAATTCTAGGGGTTGGTGTACCATTATGATCCGAACTATAGGCGATGAATTTCAATGAAAAACCCTGTAATACTACAAAATTTGTTTTATTTCCTGAAACCTATAGTTTAGGAGTGCTCGTGGAGCTCTTGCTCAAAAGAAATTGATGAATCACCGTATTACTGCCATCCGACCAACTTCTGATGGAAACCAATTTTTGATTTCTGACGAAAAAGGCAATATCAAGGTGTTTGATGCGTATGATTGGAAGAAATTGTCCGAGTATAAAGTAAGTCAGTTTATTTTTCCAAATGCTACAATATAATTTCAGTTGCCCACATATTCCAATCATATGTATTTTCCGCCTTGTGTTCGCGTATTCGAAGAAGAGGACATCTTTTTTGCAATCAACCACCAAAAAGCAGTTGAAGTTGTGAAGTTTGCTAAGGATTTCCAATTCACACCCCAGCAAAAAACGTATTCAACTCATGTTTGGGATATTCATTCGTTCGCATTTCGTCAAACGTTTCATCAAGTAATCGCAGAGAGTTAATCCATTTATTCATGCATTGTTTGAAGCTTATCGTTTCTGGAGAACATTCACATATTGTCTTCTATCAACCGAAAGTAGATACCAATGAAGAAGATGATGATATAAAAATAACGAGCACGAAAAAAGATACATGGGATTGAAACAATCAATAATAATCAGAACGTGAGTTCACTGAAGCCATCTATATGTAGTCCTAAATTACTAGCTCTTAGTTTTAAAATTAGATTCAAAAACCTTAAAATATTTTTTAATGTTATGCACTGTCTGTACTTGTTAGACGTGTTTTTTAACTTGATATTTTTTCAGAGCTTCGTCGTGATCTCGCTTCTAATAGCCATTTCTTTTGCCAATCGCTCTCCAAGGTCTTCAAATAAATTTGCTCAACATGTCAATTACATATATGCGCACGCACGGTATTGAGTACTACCGTACAAGGTGTGAATATAATTGTACATATGCTCTAATTGTATACGGTGTGTATGTTGCGTCACACCAACAAAAGAGCTCGCTAGGGGTCATGTTTTGTGGGTGGCGCATGGTAGATGATGTCGTCCGTTCACCCGTTATTCTGTGCTCTACGAACTTGTGCACGGCCCTACGAATTTGTACACCGGCTTAGCAAATCTAATCATCATTTGTTTTATATGTAATCCAATGTCAATAATTTCGACGCAAAAACTCGCCCTCAGAGCTGTTTATTTTCCAATTTTTACTCTGTTTTGTTAGCCGATCTTCTTGCTAGTGAACGAGAATACGAGTGCGAACAACTTGTCGTTGAAATCCTCAAGTAGTTCTACTTGACTCCTGCACAAGCACACGTCGTTCCCATTTTTCCATCCCAGCATCACTTGTTATCTAGTTGCTGATGTTTTAATATGTATATTATTAATGTTTTATAATATATCTCATGGGGTCCATGGTTTATAATAAAATAATTATTAAATGTCCAAAAATTACTATGTATTACAATTCACACGTGCTATGTGGTTTTACACACTGCAAAGGAGCACTATGGTACTATGCAAGTTTTGAAAAAATATACTCAGATATAGTCGGCGTCCGGCGACTGTTGTACGCGGGTAGATTTACTCGCATGCGCCTTGAAAAGGTCTCGCCACGTGTGAACGCTTATTTTGTTGTTTTCACGTGAACGATTTATTTTTTCTTTATGAGTTCAGCATTTCTTGGAATTTCTCAATTTGGATTTAAAAATTATCGAAACAACCCATAAAATGCGAAATAACCAGTTAGTCCAGGCGAGACCAAGATAAAGACGCATCCCCCGTAAATCTACCCGAGTACAGCAGTCGCCGGACGCAGACTATATATATATATATATATATATATATATATATATATATATATATATATATATATATATATATATATATAATAAACTCATTGTTGACGTCAAACGGCTGAACGAAATTAAAAAACAATTGGTTAAATTATTTTAAAAAATTGATTTATTAAAAAAAAGAAACCTTAAAAAATTGGTTACAGTGCGTGTCTGCGTACTCTGCATTTTAGCGTACGCGCAGTTAATATTTAACCCGTGCGTAAATTTCAAATTTCCTAGATTAACACTGATTTTGCGAAATTGAATTTCTCGGCACCGATCAGTCATTTGAAACTGATAATAAATCCTAAAAATTGCGAGTGTAATGTGTGATGAATTTTTGAATAATAAATTTAGAAAATTAAAAACTACCAACAGTTCTGAAAAATTTTCTTTGATCAATTTGGAGTTTTTTTTCTGTTTCGAAAGATTCGCATTAAAATCAACAGGTTCTTTTATCTTGAGAAACCGCAAAAATTCGTTGGCAGATGTTTGTGGGTTGTTCAACCTGCCGCACTGCCAACTAAACATGAATCAGATATTGTTTTGTGGTTGCAAACTTCGAGTAAGTGTGCTCTTCGTTGTCAATCACATTATCTCAAAACCCGACAAACTCCGGCCATCAAAACGTGTCGGCGTCTCTTCCGGATGGGCACGCTCACCCGCTTCTCCATCATCTACTTTTTATCCACCAATTTCAACTTTTTAACATGTCCCCCGCCAAACAAGTCGCTTCATCTCTACGAATATTTGATTTGATGCTCTTTTCTCCCTGCTTCGAGATCCCCAGCATTTCGTAGTTGCTCATTTCGGATTCATAAAAATTCTCGTGCATCATTTTTTTTTGACTTTTCAAGCTCGAGTAGTTCTACTACATTTTAGCTTAACCTTAGGCACCAATCAAAATTTTCTTTAGTGTTATTTATGTCTTTAAATAATTAAAATTAATTTGAATGGCAATAGAAATAAGTGAAATTCGGCAGTAAGAAGTCGCCTTCTTGATTAAATAACGTCGTTTCAACAAATTTCAACTTATTATTAGCGAAATATTTGTTCGAAAACTTGTTTTTTAATATTTCTATTAAAATGAGCAAAATGAGCATTTGAATGTGATACAGAATAAAAACTTGAAATAGTTTTTGTATTGATATTGTGGTTAATTCGTCCGTTGAAGATCTCAAGTGTTAATTTCTTACTAATCATATATTTTAAGCACTCTCAGCGCACTTTTCTGGTTCGTCATTGCCAATTCGCGGTGTTGAATTTCACGTATCTTCGAAGCGAAATTCGAGACGAACGCCAAGTGTCGAGTCTCTCTTCGAAATGCCCATTATTTCTCACCAAAATTCTTCAGGTTGCGTCGACGGAAATCAAACCTGCTCGAAACTTTTAAAATATCTTGCACAATCCCAAACTAGTGTTTTTCATCTGTTTGCGTGTCACACGAAAATGTGAATATGCGTGAATGCATTAAATTCTCAGACGTGTTTCAATTTTCTATTAAACGTCGTGAGCATGAATATTCATTGAAACTGTAACTCGAAATATTTTTAAATTAAGAAAATTCTATTTCAATTTAATTTAAATTTAAGAAAGAGTAAATTTCAAGCCAATTTTTTTCCGAAGGAAAAACTTGATTCGCTTCAAAATTATTTAAAAAAAAATTAATAATGTTTAAAAGATGTTCTGCCTAATACGGTTCGCGGTTGTCGCCCAATTCGCATCGATCGAATCTCGTTTGTTGAAACGAAACGACATCTGACATTTCAAATTAACTTCGTTTCGCGCATCGAATACCTCCGCATTTCCGACATTCGTCCAAATTTTTTCCAATCGACGCTGCAAAATTTCGGCGGCGTTGATCAAAGATTGTGGTGTTCCGCCGCCAACTTCTATTATTCTTAGATGACTGCTGAAGTGTCTTAATTGCGTTGCAGCTGCACTCAGATTGTGCCACCGTCAATGATAATTGATTCTTTTGACGAAATGCACTTGAAAATGCACAATTCTCGGGCCATTGTCGTTCGAGGCACACTGCTTACCCGATTCTTTTTGTGCTCGCCAACAATTATGAGACATGTCGGTGTGCCAATTCATCCATCCATCCATCGCTACGTTTCTTTTCGTTTTCATTCACACGGCTTTTGCGCTCCGGTGAACTCGTGCAGTTGACCGGCGCAAGTTTCCGCTCACGGGAAACGTAATACCGTAATTATGCGATTTGTTTGGAACGCGGCGGCGCGCAGGTCTCGCGTTGTTCTTCTTCTCCATTTTCTTGTTGTTGCCAACCAAAACCGCCGGGTTCAGTACACACATGTTTCGAACACGAGTGTCGCGCACTTCCATCGTGTTTGAGCACCGGCAATGCTCCCTGAGCTCCGAGCTTCTCATCATATCCATTTCAATTCATGCACACCTTTGCATTATGAAACGTGTTCTCGTATTAGTCAAAGAAATTCCTTCACGAAATTATTCCCGTTTTTTTTGTGTTTCAAATATTTTTTTTGAGTCTAGCTTCAATCATGGAATCAAGATCTCACATTGTGAAGAATGAGAACTTGAAGGCATCCAGGAAAACCAATAAATTAGAGAATCGGCATAATCTAACAATCAACAAACCATATTATCTCAAGAATTAAACCAAATTTTGCAATTTCAAAATCTAGAAGAGTTTAAGATTCACAACAAGGAATCGCCTCGAAATTCCGTTTGTGTCATTTTTTTTCAAAACTATTTTATCACTGGTTTTAAAAAATCTCGTCGCCAGATTTTATTTTTTCTATAATTAAAAAAAATATCAAAAAATATTCGGAGAAAATCAAAAACTTCACATTTTATTTCGAATCCATTTAATGGTGCCCCCGATTTCATCAAAAATGGCCTTTCATATTTTATTTATAATTTTGGCGGTTTCCGTCTTTCGTTTTCTGGCACAATAGGTGTGAATTGAACTACAAAATCAAGTTATTATTGTTCGAGCTTCTTCTACTTCCCCTCCTCCTTCTCCTCCTCATCCTTCTCGAGCTCGTTCTCCTTCTTCGTTCCTCTCGAGCTCATCCGACTTTGTTTTTGCTGCTTGCCGTTGGTTTGTCGTAACTCATCTTTCCTACCACGAATATTTCTAATTAGAGGTATTCTTCTTGTCTGGTTTCCTCTCCAGATGTGCTTCCTTTTTTTCACCCGTTGTCCTTCTGCCTTCTCGTTTCGTGTTGCTGCTTGAGATTCTGATTAGAAAACACCAACAACAACAACAACACGACAGCAGCAGCAGCAAGGCATTAGAGGATGCTGAGCAACGTGGCCTGCCTTGATTTAATTAAGCTGTCATATTTTTAGTATCGATGAATGTCCGTTCGCTTATTTTGCCTTCGAGTGTTCGTATTAGTTCCTTCGCTTTTGCATTCCGGTTGCCATGACATCTCAAAACTTGCCCATTTCCGTTTCACATCGATTCATTCTTTAAAATTCCAATCATTTTGTAATTTCAGCTTCAAAATTTTTATATTCATCAAGAAATTCTTTACAAAAAAATATTTTGAAGATTCATTTTTTCTACATCATTTTGAATTCAAAGCTGCAGGGAACACATTCAACAATACCAACTACATACTCATTTTTGAGATATTTTCACATGGAAAACTACTTTCGATTATTTGTGGCGCCCATTACGTTTTTTTCTATTGCCTCATACTTCTATTTAAAAAAAGCTTTCTGAAAAATAGATTTATATAATATTCTATTTATATTTTTTTCATCTTCTTAATTAGAATAATAGTCGATCGGCTCGTTCTATTCCATCTCGGGCCGTTCAACCAAGTTGATTCGATTTCGATTCAATATTAATAAATCCAATTTTGCGCGAAAAAGAGGTCAATGAAATTGCGAAATATCCGCACCATTTTTGTCGATTTCAATTATAATCCAAGCGAATCCACTCCAAGTCCAAACACATTGCCTAATAATCCCTTTTGGTCGAGGAAAAGCGCGTATAAACAAATTTGCGGGTTGAAAACGATGAAACACGTCCCATTTTATGGCAGCGACGGGTGGAGATGTGCTCGAAAGGATGAAAAAAGATGAAGAAGCTCGTTTTGTTTGGAATTAAATGACAACTTTTAATGAACACATAGAAGCACACTTACACGAGCTCCCATTTCATATTCGAATGTGCATCTTTTAAATATACTAATTTTTCTTTTATCAGACACAACACTCTAGATGTCATTTATTCTATCCATCTTCTGCGAATTGCAATTATTAAATTTATTAATTTTTCTGAGAACATAAAAACTTTTAAACACTTTCCTACAAGGAAATTGCCACATTTCTCGTGAAATGTGCAATTTTAGCACTTTCGATTTGCCCCAATTATTAGTGTTAATTCAGTCTCCTTCTTCTTCCTCATTCATCCATTCATGAATATTCCATTTCTCATTTAATTCATTTTTTATTTTATGCGAAAACAAGTAGGCCCTTCTTTTTTTCCTCTCTTCGAGCATTTTCAAAAATGAAAAACAAAAATTGTAGAGCATTTGATATTCAGCCTTTTTAAAGTTGAATCGAAAATGGATTTCCATTAGTTTTCCTTTTAGAATATTTTATTCCTATTTGGATAAACTCGATTTGACCTACCAACTTGTCTTTTTAATTCATTGAGTTTTGTATTGATTTTTGCTGTTTGTTTAACGAACAACTTTTCAGAAACCTGATGGTTCCGCGGCCCGAGGATGATGATCTGGTAATCGAACCCGCCGACGACGAGGGTCTCCACTACGGAAATGAGTCGTAAGTATATTAGTTCTTTTTTGTTGTATTGTTCCCATTCTTTCCGCTGTTTGTCGCAATATTTTTGGCCGCTATTGACGAGGCGAGATCAACCGATGAGATACCGTAATTACAGTAATTATAATAAATGAGAGTTTGATGAGCGTGTGTGGAGAGATAGATAGAGAAGAGGATGATCCGCGTCCTCGCGCACACATACATATTTGTGAGCGTCTGCCAGCCACAGGTTAAAACGTGCCAATTAGGCAAGATTACGGTAATCGAGGCGATCTTGGAACGAGGCAGATGTGTTTCATTTCAATGTGCTCTCAATATGTCGATTGTTCGCACATTAATCTGCATTCGCCTTTTTTTCGCACTTTATTTAAATTTTGATTGAACGGCTCTTATGGCTGTTTTAATGAATTCAAATTTTCAAATTTTTTCCTCTTAGAGTCTCTTTTAGTTTTTGACTTCAATTTTTGAGAATTGCAGGTTTGTTCGCAATTTCAAAAATGCTTCTAACTATTCCCTCCATAATGTGCTATTGGAATAAGCAATAAATTTGTTGTGTTGTGAAGTGGTCCCTACAAATCCTCTTCACTAATCTATATATGGTCAAGAAGGTCGCACAGCTGTGTACTCATCATCACGGATTATGCTCGAAATTCGCGTGTTCAGTATCCAAAGAAGAAAAAATAATCAATTTTCGCGATTATGTTGGAAGTTTCTCAAGCTTCTTTTTCTTTCAAATTCTTGTTTGAATTTTGCCATCATTTAAGAGTGAGAATTGATGAAAAGTTAGTGTGACATAATCCGAATAAGAGGTTATTTGAGGAATTTCGAATCGAGTCTTTTACGGCGCGCGTATCAACGGATGACACCTTTATACAAAAAGGTCATATGTCGTTTAGATTTTGCATAATGCACTTGACACGAATCCGTCCGCCGGATGAGCTGTCTTCGTCTCCATTACCGTAGCAAAACTGACCTCATCCTCTTACTCGCAGTACTCGTCTGTCGTTCGCGCACGTCACTCATCCGACCGGCCTCCCGGTGCGCGCTGTCGTCTCTCTGATCCGCGTGCTGAATCGCACATCGAATCGTCGATCGTCTCCAGATCCGTTGCGGTGTTTTGCGGGCTACGCACAACTGCGAACGCGCTCGTCTCGACTCGATCTGATTCGACTCCACCATTATTTATGGGCTTGTAATTACACACATCGTAAAACCCCGCAAAACTCATTTATCAGCCGCTAATCGCTTCATTTTCTTTTGTGGTTTTTCGGTGTTCCGAGAACAATGTTGCAATTTCCGCTCAACCTTATGATATATTTTCTTGATTCGCGTAAAGAGCTCCAATCAGATTTGGCGATTCTTATAGGCATGAAACCTCAAATTCCATTTTTTTCTAGTGCATTTTGCGAACAAAAATTAAAGCAGTTGGTTTTTTTTATGATTCTCTTCTCGCCCTCAACGTTGACTTTAAATGGCAATTGTTTCGGAATGCATGTCGCCGGAACCTCATTGTTGAGCCAATTTGTGGGCTTCTCTCTCACTCTCTTTTTATGTGCTCATCGGCAGAATTGGTCATTCGATTTGAAATCCGCACTAAATCAATACTACGAATTACATTATTTGCCCTCTCGATATCCGTTCAACATATTTTGTTGGCTCGCGACTTGTAGCGCAAATCTCATAGTTAGCCGAGCGATTTATTTTTGGATGCCACTTGATTAGTAGTGGTGTTTAAACATCAAAAATTGAGACAAATTTCATAGCAAAATGTTTCAGCTCTATTGAAGTTTCGAATGTTTTTACGAATTTGATCTACCCAAACAGCGATTCGAAAATATTTCATAGATTTCTCAAATATTTGGTTAGTTTCCCAGATCATTTTTTCTCCATATTTGTCAATTTGTAATTTGTGCATAACACATGACAAATTCGCAACTGGCATGAATTTTTCTTCTCGTTCTCCATATTTGGGCTCCTTCTTTTCGCCTCGGATTTTCGTCGTTCATTGCGCCACGGTGTATGGTGTGGTGTTTCTCGGACGCCATCAATCTTCATCATTATTTCAACTATTTACCCACAGACAACTTTCCTTCTCAAATCGTGATTTAGTGAGTGAGCCGTCTCCTTCTTCTTCTTCTTCTTCTTGTCTCCTGCTGCTCCAGCTCCGGACCACTCTCCGCACATCTTTTTGTCTCGTTCGTGCTCTCTTGCTCAATGTTCCATTAGTTTGACGAATGCGATTTTCATTCGACCTAATTATTGCGATTTATTGGGTGTTTAATGGTTTCCACTTTATTGACACCCATCTTTATTGTTTCTAATTAAAGTGCGTATGAACCGTATATTTTTCGAAACTACTGCTCATGTAATATACTGTAACCCGGATGATCATTCCATATTTGGAAACAATTTGTTTGAGTTTCGAGATTTTTCCAAAAAAAAGTAAATAATTATTATTCTAAATTATTAGGTTGAGATTTTAGACCCAAAAATTTTAAATTAAAATTCGACAATCAAACATCAAAACGTTTCAAACATTTCATATTGCTAAAAATTTCCTTTAATATTTTTCTTTTGTAAAGTTTTTACTAATTTTGCTAATTTTTTCCATTACAAATTCAAGTTTCGATTCGGAAATTTTACATTCGGTGAATGGAAGTGAGTAGGACTCCGACCGCACAAAATCGGCCAGATGGTGATACGGTAGACACACTAGAATTTGATAATGGTGCTCTTAAGAGCACTTCGGTTTGCTATTTGAGCTCGGGTTTTGTCTGCATTCGACGGTGCCATTTGGTTGCATTTTTAAAACTCTTGCAATCTATATTTTTTTTTCAATCAGAAAAACTCGAATAGTTGCGAAATATTTGTGGTGAATCAATGTCTATTTTTTTTTTTAATTTTCTCGACTTATTCCCATTCGAAAAATTTGGTTTGTCTTATTGTTATTGTTTCCGCAAAATGGTGGACGCGATTTTAATATGAATGGGAAATGAATGTCGGACTTCGGAAGTGTCATCTCATCGTTTTCTCGTGTGCCCACTCCACTCCACTCGCTATTTCGTCGAGAATTGTGGCAAGCTTGAGTAGTTGGCAGAATTCGGTGAATAATGAGCTACTAGTTTGACCGACAGACCACCCAATTTATGTGTCTTTTCGGCTTATTCGCTCATTTTCGTTTTTGCTTGTTTGTAGTTGTTGAAAGGTTATTAACCGCAAGGAATAATGTGCGCCTTTTTTTTTCAAAAAGTATTCCGATCGTTTTGCTCAACGTAAAGCAACGATTATACCTAGTTATGGAAATCTGAAAAAGACAAAATATAGCTGAAAAGTTGAATTAAAACAGCAAATACGCCGATGTTCGATTTGTTGAGCGCATTGCAAAATATGTAAATAGAGTTAGGGTCATTAGGCATAAATGCACTAGTCGAACATGCCTAGTATAGTGGAAATTTGGCTAAATTTCGCGTCATTTGCTGTTGTTCTGTCTGAAATCGAATCATGTACGTGCTAATCCGCGGACAAATGATGTTTGCGCACCCATTATTAGTATTAATTTTCGCACCCTCCTAGGCGGACCATATGTGATGTGGTGTTATAAAATAATTTGTATTTGCGCGTGAGCAGCCACCATTTTTTGGCACATGTGCGCGAGAACGTGCTCAGCGTCCTAACCGTAACATTTATTTTGTTATACAGCGTCTTTTTTTAATGATGATTTTATTATTACAGGATGGAAGGCACCTCGACGGGTCAGAGACCGTATATACGATTGACATCACAATTGAAGAATGCCACAAGGAATTCAGGAGATGAGGTTCGATTTCGGTGTGAAGCATTAGGAACAGCTCCCCTCAAATTCATGTAAGTCGTATTTTCAATTACTATATTTATTTTTTTACTATAGAAATTTGATATGAAAAGTTAAAAATAAGTTCTCAAAAGAACATTTCGAAAGTTAAAAAAAATTGTTCTTGTTAAAAATTTTCGAAGTGTCCAATGAGTTTAGAAATAACAAGCATAGTCGGAGAACTGTCGAACATTCAATGCAGATTTCGCGATAAACCAATTTTAACTTATTTTTTGAGTTTTTTTTGTCGAAATCCATAACAATTTTATGGGACCCAATACTTATAATTTCTAGGTAACGGCTCTGAAAATTTGATAATATGTAGTTTATTTTTCGAATACCACCAAGTCGAACTACAAATGCTTCAAATGTCGATTTTTTTTAATCAGCTGTTTTTGATACTATTTTTTAAATTCAAGAGTGCAGTTATAATCATTGGGAAAAAAGTGCGCATTAAACGATTGCGGACAATCGTAGATTTTTTGTGGCGGAACGGATAACATATGTTGTTGTTGCCTTCAATTTAATGGATCCTTTTCTCATTTTATTAAAATCCAATCCGATCAGCTAAAATATGTCTCCCGAAAGAACTATTTCGATTAGTTTGCGTTCCACTAACCATCGAAAGTTGTCTGTTTCTACAAAAACAGCACAATTCGCCAATTTGTTATCGTTCTCAGAAATTTTGGGACGGTTCGCCCGGGGAGTTGCGAATGGTCCGATGTGTAGCAATAAATGCCCCTACACGACCTTGATTCGTTTCAAAGTTTTTTTTTTTTGAAATTCATTTACGAGAATTTACAAAAAATTGGAAATCGTAGCACCGGGGTTTTCCAATATGGGCTCTACTTTTTTTTTCGAATTACAAAAAAGGAGTAAGCTGGCCGGTAAAAAACATCATATCTACATTTAAAAAAAAACGTTTGATGAAATCTCATTTTAAAATTTCTCATCGATTACAAAACTACAATTTCAAATATCAATCAAAACGTTGGATTGGCGGTTAGGCGAATTAAGGTTGTTGAGCGAGTACTGAATAGTGTAACTACTCCACGCATTCTACCGTTTAGGGATTGGGAGCTTAAATGAAAAATGAGAAATCATAGATATCTCAATGAAAACTTATTGTGTAATACGTTTATTTGTCACAGACTTTCTTCCAAAAATTTCAATTTTTTTTTCATACTTTCAGGTGGCTCAAAAACCATGCTCCAGTCGAGAAATCAAAGCGCGTTAAAATTCGAGATAAAGAGAATTCGTCACGTTTGGTAATAACGCAACTGGATGTTCTCGACAGTGGCTACTATCAATGCGTCGTCTCGAATGCGGCCGCCTCTGTTAATACGACCTCTGTGCTTCGGGTGAGTATACTTTTCATCGTCACTATGTTGTACGAAATTTGCATGTCTGCTAGTCGACCTCATCAGCTGGTCACTAGCAAATTGAAATTGTTTCTTTTTGTGTCGCGCGCATCGTTTTCCCTCATTTGGCCATCTTGTTTTCGTCGCGAAAATGAGCTCTGCCGATTATTTCGTAATGCGTCTTCTGCTTTCCCGAATTCAATTCTTGGCGAGCCCCAAAAACGGGTGGATGCATATTTATTTCAAACGGCCGCTCGCAACGAGCTGACTGACATCCAATTGCACATTGTTTCACAATTTTTATGTGCTTCTTCCGCAACATTTTTGGATTTCGTCTTCTTTCGAAAACTCTAAAGAATTGCTTGATTGAATGCAGCACGGGTTTCAGTTGAAATGGCCATTGAATTTCGAGCGCAATGACTGGCTATTTATTGCGCAACCATTGTTCCTCATCTCCTGCATTATCATATTTTTTGCACAATAGAAGAGTGACTCCGCCCATTTCTTGTCGAATCACCAACGTTTAATTTTTTTTTCTCAAAAATTGATGATATAATCGTAGACAGTTGTATATTTTGATAGTTGGACGAGGTCACCCTACCCACACAACACAGTTGGGTCGATCTTTTGGTGGATGTCAGTGTTGGTGATCGATGAGGGTCCGAATCGAACCCAAACAACACAACCTCACACGCTGTCCAGTGATCGGCGTCTCCATTGACCCAACAATATTTTAGCCCACTTTTCATCAGAGCCATCCGATCAGTTTATCTCGAATTTGATTTTTCGATTATGACTGTCTGTGTTTGTTTGTGTTTGCGTAATAATTCTCCGGGTAATATTTATGCACTAGATTAGCAATCAATTTTATTAAGCACATGCCATTCTAGCTCACTGTGTCTCCATCAGAAGTATTCCAAAACCGTTCCTTTTACAATCATGTCATCATTGTTCCTGTAGTCAGACATAATGAATGTTATCGGTATACTAGTGTGTGTGTGCGCGTCTGATTCTCCATTTTTCGGCAAACCCCCCATCTCATTCGTCGCCCGCTTTATAATAAGTTTGAGAATTTAGTCGGCACAATGGGGTATCAATAAAAGAGGCGCCGCCCACTTGAATAGATTTGCACATCTGCGTGTTTTGACCAAAAAAAGAAAAGGCGGCGAGAGAGTGGGAGAATGCGACGACGGCGCCGCGCTTCTCTCCGACAAAATACCATTCGTGTGCATATATATATCAATTACAATCGGGTCGCTCCGTTTTTTTTCCGCCTTTTTCTCTATCATGTTATCGCCGCTCAAACACTGTTATCTTGCATTGGGAGCGTTTTTGATTATTTATGAGCTATGCATGTATTAGTAATGAAACTAACCAACTTGTCCAATTCATGAATTTTTAAACAACGTCTTCGTATTCGCTTCTTGCTTTAGTTCCCAAGTTTCCGCGATCCAGAAAAAAATAACTAAAACCCGTTTGAGAATTGATGAGACCCACGGGGTGGGCAAACCTCCGAGCCAAAGAGTCTTTCTGACCCTAATGCGTGTTTTATGGTGTGTCGAGAAGTATTTCCCTTCGTTTTTCTTTGGCTATTTATTTATTTCACATATTTTCAGCGTTTTCTAACTTCGATTGGCTTCAATCTATTTCCTTCAATCATTGCTTCTTTATGTTTTGGTTGGGTGTGCAATTGATGATATGCAATCGTTCTCGATCATTCGTCTTCGTTTTCATTTTTCGCTGTTTGTCCATTGGCCGGTCCGTTACCCTCCAGATGCTCTTCAGTGTCGGTCGGAGTGGCAGCGAGACATCAGCGTCTCGCTTAATCGCACGCTGTCTCGCCGACTCCTGATCGATCATTCTTCTGTATCTGCTCGACGATATCATTTGTATTCATCTTATTTTCGTGCGTCCTCGACGAAGACGTCGTCGACGACTTCTTCTTCTTCTTCTTCTTATTTACGAACCGATTTCTGAGCCATGTGCTCGACAATAAATCATCTCGAAAGGCCAATTGCCATAAATGTCGACGCGCTTCAATTTATCGCCGTTTTGCGGGTTCTTCATTCGCTCGTCGCCTCGTTTGTTAATGACCGCCACACATTCAATTTAGTCTTTCATTTATTTGTCTCATTCATTTTTCCATTCGATACAAAATCTCTGAGCAGGAGTTTTTCTTCACATCTCAATCAATCTGTTCTATTTACTCTATACAAATGTTCCCAAAAATGGAGGCGATCATGAGAATTAATATTTGTATTCTTTGGCATATTCTTCGTGTGCGTCTCATCGGTTTCCCACATTATTATCACCATATTCTTAGGTCGCATAAACCTGTCGTAAAATCCAATTGGTGTCTGTTGTGCTGGTTTTTCGTTGTTCTTCTCCTCGCCCGTTTTTTTCGTCTTCTCATTGCGTCTTATTGCACTCTTTATTAATGATGTGCGTGCGATCGTCGTCGTGCTCCGACGTTGACCAAAGGCGGCCCGCCTTTTCTTTTCCTATCATCCCGTCAGTTTGAAATGTTTGGTGTTCAGGTGAACAACGTGCCGGATGCACTGAAAGAACGCAAAGGAGGCAAAAAGCATCACAACTTTGACGACTACGAAGACTACGAGGTTCGTTTTTCAACCAACTTGCGCCTCTAATATTCGATTCGCTTTCTATTCCAGCTAATGGATCGAGGCCGCCTTCCAGATGAGGAAGACGCCGACTTATATCGGGTCCCTGACAACGCTGCCGGCGCTAACTATGCCTCGATTGGTGTTTCTGAACGGTGGCTTGATGGAATCAAATTTAGAGTTGGAGACTGTGTGCAATATCGTGGTGAGGCCTGTAGACAGTACCTATCAAACAAATATGTGATGATGACAAATGAGAGTCGTGAAGAAATGTACGATATTGGTTAGTTTTTAAAGATTTGGATATTTGAAGAAATTTTTTTTTGCTTTTAAGATCGCAACCTTCGAGCTGCGATGTTATTTATCAACGGAGCTCCGACGATCTCGCAAAAATGTCGCCAGATCTCTCAGGCGGTTGCCTGTCATCACATGTACAAAGTGTGCGATTCAGAGGAGAGCAATAAGATTGTATCAATATGCCGAAACGATTGCGAACAGATACAGGTAGCAACAGTGTATTTCGATATTATTGGCACACATTTTTTTCATTTTAGGACAAAGAGTGCCCCACCGAGCTTGCCCTTGCTGCTCAGCACGAGCTTGTTGGAGATACCCCGAAGGCGTTGTTTCCAATGTGCTCGAAATTGGGCATCACGTCGAATTGTATACCTATTCTGAATGGCGCATCACAACCCAACCCTCCTATTGACAACCGTCGTGGACATCTCACTCATTGGTGCTATGCGAATAGTGGGACACAATATGAAGGAACCGTGTCGACAACGATCACCGGAAAACAATGCGCCCCATGGTCCGACTCGACATCTCGCGAATTCAATATTCATCGCTATTCTGAGTTGGCGAGATCCAAGAACTACTGTCGCAACCCGGGCGGCAAAAAGACGCGTCCTTGGTGCTATTCGCTGCCACTGGGTCAAGAAGAGTACTGTGATGTGCCGCAGTGCCCAGCTGACATGTATCCAGGACTTGACAAGCCGAATGGAAAGGGAAGCAACGGTGTTTCCGAATCAGTTTCGGCACTTTGGGATTCGTTGGAACCGACGGCACAATTGGCTCTTGTCGGCGGAGGCGTATTTTTCTCTCTTCTACTTTTGCTTCTGTTTTGTTGTGCATGCTGTTGCCGAGCGAAAAAGAAGTCGCAGAAGGCGAGACATCATCACCAAAACTCTTCGCACGCGGCTCTACACTGCTCAAATGCTCCATCGGTCATCAACAGGTAATTCGCGCAATGCGAGCTATTCCGTACATCGTTTATTTTCAGCGCTGCTAACTCGGCATACTATCGGAAATTGAACGGAACCAGTACACCAATCATGGCTCGCGGACCGGGACAACCGCATGTCGAAATGGCCTCGCTATTGCCGAATCATCTCGGACCACCACCATATCCCGAGCACATGCCGCCTCAGATTCCTCATTTTGCCAATCACCCTGAATCGATTGATGAGAACTCATACAGAGTTCTCGAGATCGCCCCATCTCAATTAAATGTTCGCGAATTAATCGGTGAAGGACAATTTGGTGTCGTTCATTCCGGAATTTACACGAGCGGACTGTTCGGACCAGAACCGATGACTGTCGCTGTCAAGAAGTGCCGACCAGATGCGACGAACGCCGAGCGGGCAAGTCTTGAGCAAGAGATCCGCACTGTCGCTTCTTTTGATCATCCGAATGTGATCAAGCTTATCGGCGTCTGCTACCTTGACAATCATCTAACTGCTGTGTTTGAGTACATGGTTCACGGCGATCTTCATGATCTCCTACGGCTCAGAGCTCCATCAAGTTTGGATCATGACATGGAAAGAGTCAATTCGGATAATGCCGATTTCCTCAACATCGCCACGCAGGTTCAAATGATTTCATTAAAATTTTAATTTCGATGTTCGATTTTTGCAGATTTCTCAAGGAATGGAGTATCTCGCATCAATGTCTTATATCCATCGAGATCTCGCAACAAGAAATTGCCTTGTTGGTGATAATCGCACTATCAAAATTTCCAACTTCGGATTGACGAGATCTTGCTATGATCATGACTACTACAAGGTATAATTCAAATTGTACAAATTGGTTTACGAGAAACTTTGATTAAAGATGCTCCATCGTCCATGGATGCCGGTGCGCTGGATGTCGAAGGAAGCTATTGAGCAAGGCCGACTCAGCGAGGCTTCGGACGTTTGGTCCTTCGGTGTGACACTTTGGGAGATTTGGTCGTACGGTCGACAGCCATATGAAGGTGCTACGAATCAGCAGGTCATTGAGCTGATTGCAAACCGCCATCTCCTTGAATGCCCCAATAATTGCCCTACAAACATATACAGGTATTTGATTGGATCGAAATAATCAGTCATTTAAAGTAATTGATTTCAGTTTGATGGTCGAATGCTGGCATGAGAATGTTGAAAGAAGGCCAACGTTCTCTGAAATTCGCAGTCGTCTTCAAGCGTGGTCGCTGGCAAGTCCAGCCCACTCAATACTTCAGCAGCATAATAACCGAGCAGGTTCTCATAGTGGTTAGAATATAGTTGATCAAGAATAGTTCAATCATTCGCTAATTTTAGGTTCATCTGGCGCTGGTCGCGGAAATTCAGGCTCACGTGGATATCAGAGTCAAAAAATGCATCGTCGTGGTGAAGGAGCGTCGCCATTAATGAAACGCCACGACGCCAATTATGCATACAGTGAAGATGGCGATTCCGATTAGAAATGCCATTATATATTTGTACAAATTCCGTTATTTGTTCCATTTCGTTGTTCGGTGAATGTTATGTAGTTTTGATATTTTTTGAACAACTCGAAACCAGGGTTCCCCAACAATTCTTTCATCTCAACTCATCTTCTTCTCGTCCCTTTCCATTATCCGTTACTTATTAGTTAATGTTGAATATAATAACTATAATTTTAATAATCGTTCTGCTTATAATATAATTATTTATGAATATTTTGTTTTTCATTTATTTAGAGAGCATTTTGTTGTGCCCAGGGTAATTTTCCGATTCATGAGCTCTAAACCCATACACACACCTCCCTGACCAAAGTCGATTCGTCCAATTTTATTCTGCATTTGTCTTCTTGTTCAGAAATATATCTGTATTTATTCAATACTCACTCTTTGCCCTTTCGTTATTTAATTTATCTGTCTGTGATTTCAAATATAGAATGAAAATTTGAAAATCAGGAATTTTGAAAACCGGTCTCTCGATGAAATCTGAATGAAACGAACATTGAAAGGGAAATCCATTCATTTTGATAATGAACACAATTGTTTGGTTTCTAGCTTTTCCATATTTAGTATACGGTAATCAGGTTGGTTATAAATAAAAACATGCCTTCGAATTTTTATGACAACGTCTGGTTGAATGGTGTGAATATTTTCAAATGTACCAACGTTTGTAGCAGAATAATTGATTCTCTCACGCCATTATCGTTAATATTTCATTCGTCGAAGTCACACATAATGGAACAAAAAAAATGAATTGTCTATGCGAACAAAAAAGAAATGAAAATTTTAATAATTTCAGATAATTGATCATCGTTACACATGTGATACATATTTCGATTGTATTGACGAGAAAACTCAATTGGAAAATGTTTGCAATGAAAAGCCAAAAAATGAGAAATGCATTCAAAGAATGAAAAATGATTTCGAAGCGATCAGAAAGTTCGAGCAAAATTTGCAAATCAGTTATCGGAATTGTGTCGAAAATGAGATCAGAAAGTTCAATGTCACCTATATTTCAAATGCTGAAATGGTAATCAATTAATTCGATCCAATTAAGTGCCAAATTATTCGATGACAGATTCGTTTTTGTGAGCCATACGTGTTCAATAGAACTTCGAATCACGGAGATTGCTCGATTCGATTGGGAAAAATGTCGAACAAGTGCGAATCTTTGCGAAGATGCTGTCAACCGGCTGCTCGGTAACGGTCGAATATCGCTTCCGCTAGAATTCCCAAATTTCAGATGTGAGCAATCGGTGATGTATAGCGAAACTGGAAGAACTTTAACCGGAATGCGAGAGGAAATTGATATCAAAATGGCAGAATGTACTCAATATGGTATCATTTTAGCAATTACCGAATTCGTTTTAATTTTTATTTCAGAAGAGGAGAAAGTTGAAAGAAAAATGAATAACGGCTTAGAAAAGCCGCATCAAAAAAAGCAGAAAAAGATCAAAATCATCGATTCTCCGCCATTTTCACTCTGCTTGAAGTACTTGAAATGTCAGCAAGATGCTCATGAAATGAGAGTGAATTGCTCGAAATCAACAAATGTAATTTTCAAGTTAAAAAAGAAAACAACTTTTGCTAACAGCCTCATTCAATTGATGCAATCGACGCCGAATCCAGCGAATCAGATTCACTTGCAAGATGCAGGTTATTTCTTTCGCCGTCCTTGTGACAACTGTAAGATTACAGAAATCAATTTGTGGGCGATCATTCGAAAATGAATCAGAAGCGTGAAGAGGCATTCCAATATCTTGATAAGTGTGTTCCAAATGTCAATGTGACGCGAGAGTTCATGATTACTGTAACTACATTTCAAATATTACCATTCGAAAAAAAACGAGAACCTGGGTTGTTGCGATTCTTCAAGCTGAGGGCCGCTATTCAAAATGAATGAGAAATAAGAGATCAGATGATAGTAATGCATATATTGTCGAAATCGGGAAGCTCTGATAAATTGGCTAAATGCCAAAAATGATCTCGAGAATACGAGACGTCCGTTGTGTACTCCGCACGGACAACGAACCACTTAACAAAGCGCGAAAAATCGACACATGTGTTACGGGACCCAACTGTGTTGTAGACAATGCCATTCGACATCGACAATAGTTCTCATGAACGTTTTTTGACTCATGAGCCAAAAAATGTGCACATTTACTTGAACCACAAATTCTTGTAAATTATGTTGACTAGGGTTCTCGTTTTTTTTTTGCGAAGGTAGTATGTATGTATTTAATTTTGAGAATCCATAATTTTAGAGTCGTGTATGTCGTGCAAGTACTTTGAAAGAACGACCAATGCGGCTTCATCAAAACTGTCATGTTCAAGTTGCCCAAAAACGGAAAGAATGCTCGCTTCTCCGCGATTGTTGCGTTCAAGCCGATGTGTAGGAGGATTTCGATCAAATTATTTGAATTTTCGTAAATAATTTCAGTTGTGAACGCAGTGCGTTATACGCTGTTATATCTGATGAATACCTACTCAGAAGAACTCAGTTGCGTCAAAATTTTGACGAATGTTTGATGAAGTCAATCGAGAATCTTAACCATGTACAATAATATGAACAATGTCGTTTTATGTAATAAGAAAATTAATAAGTACAAATAAAAATAATAAATCTAATCACCCGTTTGTTAAAGACGCGATTTCTTGGCATCCAAATAAGCTTTCTTCATTGTTCGCCTCAATATTTTCCCAGTTGCTGTTCTGGCAATCTCGTTTACAAAAATGATTTCATTGACGTTCTTGTATTTAGCCAATTTCCCTTAACATGATTATACAATTTTTGAAGTTGAATATGTTCTACTGTTAATGTAGCGAATGATATCCTCGGCAATTTTTTGGTCTTTTCCATATTTCGGGACGACAGCAGCTACAGGCTTCTCACCAGTGGAAACGTCGTCGACACCGAAAACGCACGCATCGACGACATTATCGTGTTCAAGAAGCACCGATTCCAGTTCAGCGGGAGCCACTTGCTTGGCATTTACTTTGATGAGCTCTTTAGCACGATCGCAAATAAACGTGTCTCCATTTTTGTCATAATAGACAATATCACCTACAAAATGCTTATTCAATTTGTGCGATTGATTTCGATCAATAGCAAAACGAAAAAAAACCGGTTCTCATGAATCCATCTTCGTCTAAAATCTCCTTCATCAAATCTTGTTTCTTCCAATATCCCTTCATGAGCTGTGGCCCTTTCAACCAGCATTCGCCTATTTCTCCAACCCCGCACAAACTCCCGTCTTCTTTTTTAACTTTCATCTCGAATCCAGGAATCAGACGACCAACACTTAATGGCGGCGAATCAACAGCTGGCAAGTGAGAAGCCAGAGTGAGTTCCGTCATACCATATCCTATATTTGGCGTTAATTCATAACATTTCTCATTTTTACCTTGAACGACTTTGATTTGCGGATACATTGACAATAATTTGTTCAAGACGCCTTCTGGAAGAGGGGCGGATCCAAGGGCAATAGACATCAAGGATGACAAATCATACTTTTTGAGAAGTGGCGAATTCACTAAACGAACCAACACGGCTGGAACCATATTCAGTGCCGTTATCTAAAACAAACATTGAGACAAGCATTTCCGAAAGTCTTACCGAATATTCTTCGACTAATTTCAAAACAAGATCAAGATCGAATTTGTGAAACATCAGTTGACATGTTCCTCGATAACATGATATAAGTGTTCTAAGAATCAATAGACTTTTCTATTAGACAGTGTTTGCCACAGACCGGAAAAATCCCATCACATGGTAGATTGGAAGGAAATGTAAGTCATATTCAGGAGCAAAATCACGAGGTAGACCATATTTCTCAGCTGCATCCTCAATTTTTCTAAACTAGATGATTACATTTTTGTAAACCTGCATTTATTTTTACTTAATTACAGCTGCTAGCATAGTCGCAAGGTTTTCATGTGCAAGCATAACTCCCTAAAACTATTATTTAAACAAATATTGATGCTCGACTCTGCCTTTGGTTTGCCAGTTGTTCCTGAAGAGTAAGGAAGGAATACTAAATCATTCTCTGTGTCAATATCGGGCATTTTAAGATGTCTGACCGGTCTTGATATCAATTCATCAAAACTTAGTGTGTTTGGGACATTATCATTCAAACACACAAGATGCTGACACTGAATTCTTAAAATAAATCGAAATAATCATGAATTACCTTTATTTTATGGTGATCGAATAAATGAATAGTTGATTTGTCAGCAAATACCATCTTCGCAGTACTGTCATTTAATTGGTATTCCATTTCATCTGAATTTTCATTAAGAACAAAAAAGCTCGACAATAAAAATACATTTTGTGAATAAAGGGCACGCAGGAGAAACTATAATTCCAGCCCTCCAAGCTGCAAAAAAGACAACAACCGCTCTCCAATCGTTATTTGCCGCAACAAGGATGACATCGCCCTTGAAGATCGTTAGCATTTTTTGAAATCACGTTATCGGATTTCCTACTTTCTTGTAGCCGTTTTCGATAAACCATTCTGAGATCCTAAGCGTATATTGAATGAGATCTCCTCGCGTTACACAGTCATTTCTATTTTCTGCACTCAGCTGAATTTTTTTCTCAAATATAAATCGCATTGAATGTCTGTTTTTGTTAACATTTCGATGGGAATTTGTACGGAAATGAACTTCGGCAAAAAAAAAACATCACTATTTAAACATTTTTATTTCTTTCTGATCGTCTAAAAATTAATATTCAGAAAATCTCGAAAAAATAACGACATTTAAAAATCACTTACAAATGCAGGAGAATCCGGTTTCTTTTTCTGGAAATATTCCAGCCTTTTGAGCAACACTTGATGGATCGGCTCTTTCGAGACATCAATGGTTTCGCCACGAAGAATCATTCCGATTCAAAATAAATGATTATCAGCGTAGGATGCGAACTATACTATCACGCGCCTATCATTAAGCAAGACTGTAGCCAAATGATCGGAAATAGCATCAAAACCAGGCCATTGTTTTTAACGTTTATTCTTTAAACACCGTAAGAGGAACAATTTAATCACAAATTAAAGGCACAATATATGGTTGAATATAGTTGAAATTATCCCCAAACATCCTCAATATATTGGTCATTTTTCTTCAGGTCTAGCAATTTTGCTTTAGCTTCCTTGTCAGTAATTCCTGAAATTCTTCGGCTCTTACAAAATTATTCCCAAGCGGTACCATCATTTTGTGCAACAATGTCTGCAAAACATTGCCAAACATCCTTTGACATTCCCTTCGCATCTCCACAAATGAAAATTTTCGAGAGAGGCGATGGTTCCAAAAATGGAAGAACCTAGAAGTGGTTCAATTCAAAAATAATGGTATATATATGTATATTACCTTTTCCAGGTTCTTTTTTAATCCATCCTGAACTCGTTCACCGTTCTTTTGACTTTCACAAACAATCAAATCGGATAAAATTCCTTCTCGTACGAAGCCTCGAAGCTCTTCACTGTAATTGTCAATATTTCGTCACGTCGTCAAGTTAAGCCATTTTTTATACACTTACAAAAATATTTTTAATTCGCACAGAAAATTATCGGCGATGCGAATTTTTTGAGAAATTCCGTAATTTACAAAAAAAAACAAATCAACATTAATCTTACATGTAAATTCCGTCGATATTCAAATCGCGGCATCCGAAAAACAGTATTCTTTTTTCTTGTGTGAAGTCCTCGGGTGCTTCTAGCTTCATTTTTCTAAAGAAAAAAGTAAATTGCTTTAATTAAATATAATTCTTACAGTAGGAAATGACAAAACGATAAAAATACGGAAACACCGGTTCCAGGGCCAATCATAAGCAGAGGCATTTTTCCAGCATCGCTTCGACTATTAGGTGGCGGTGGTAAGCGGAATCGCGCGGGCTCTTTTCCGAGAACTCGAACAACATCTCCGACTCGAAGAGCATTCAACCAGTCAGTACAGAGGCCTTTTCTTCGATATCTTCGACCTTCTTCGGCAGTAAACTCCAATTCCGAATACACAAATCTTGCGCGCTTCTGATTATACGAAGACATGCTGTATGGACGAGGAGAAAGCCGCGGAAGAAGCTCTAGGATATTCGATGTGATTAAAATTATATTTTTGAATGAAAACCTATTAAACGATCCACTGGTGGTTTAATACTTGGGAAAGCAAAAAGAACATCAGCTAGAGAGAGTCCTGGCTAAAAATGAACATTTTCGATTATATTTGCGATGGAAAAAATCACTTGTCGAACAAATGCTGTAAAATCATTCATTCCTTGCGCGCTGCACAATTCGAACAATCGCCGTTTTTCGTTCGCATCGGAAGCACATTCAGCAAGAATTCGAAGAATTGGCTATCAATTGAATAATTCAAAATTTCTCATTCGAAAAATTGATATTTATAAAATACCCTTCCAGGAGCTCTACGAATATCCAAACACGTTGTGAAAATGTGCCGCAGTGAGGATTTTTTATGAATATGCCCAGGAATTTGTGGATTGAATTTTTCCGTTTTTGGCAGAATTGAGAGCTCGCATTCTTGGTCGGCTATTTCCAGAACACCACACCTACACATAATGGTTTTCAAACATTTAAATTTTTATACATACTAACCGTTTGAGTATAAAATTGACTTCGTTTTCTGGATTCGTAACACAAAAATACATGGCATCTCCAGGTTCATATGCTAGTATTGGTGCAGACTCTGGAATAATTAGAAAGGACATTAAACAAACGTTAAATGACGAAACCTCCAAAGTCGATAACTATTTCCCTTTTAGGTTTCGCAGCCTCAAATTCTGTTACTAAAGCGGTTCCGACAACTGTTGCGTTCAAAGCTTTCGTTACTGCAAAGAGGATAAACTATAATCACTTCTTTTCAAAAAAAACATACCAACTCCAACCATTTTACATTCATTCTGCCATTCAAGACAAGCTAATTTTTGATCAAATTTTTTATGAGAAACAGATGAGAGGATAAAGGATTGCGGAGCAATTGGAACTCGCAAATTCAAATCTGCAGATAAAGTGTCAGCTCCTTTAAAATGTTGATTATTTTTACAATACAAAGTGTCATTCAACCTTTTATTATGGAAGGTTTTGAGTATTCGTATGGTTCTGGTTGAAGAATTTGAAAGCGTTCCACTGGTTCTTGATCAGAATCCGCGATATTTTCCTTCATTTCTTTTAATAATCTATTTTTTTCTTCATCACTCTTGACAGGGTTCAACTTTAACCGTGTTTCAGTAAGCGCATTCATCTTAAAGTACCCCACAAAATGTGTTATAAACATGAATTGCATACTTTATCCTCTTGAACATCGAAACGTTCCGCTAAATAAGCAAACAATTTTTCGATCCAAGGCTCAACGCAGAGTTCCAGTCTTAATTCGTTCAATTATATCTTAAAAACTCTGGGAATCTCCAAACCCAACTTGATCGTCAGCTTCTCCTCTTTCTAAAACCCTTGAAGCGCCCAAAGAAGAGAGTTGATCGTCGATTTTCTTAGGAATTGCTTGATAACTTGAATAATTCGAATCACCAAGACCTAAAACGATAAAATACCAAAAAGCGATCAACACATTTGACACCAAGTATAGCATATTCTAATCGACTCATATAGTCATTGGGCAGCGATTTTCGCGAAATTCGACGAACAAATCTCGCCGCATTATCGGGAGCATCTCCATCACCAGTTGACGAGACAACAATAACAGCAAAACTTTCGCCGTTCAAGTCGAACTGAAAAAGTTACTGTTTGAAAATATTGGGTTGAAAAATTATTACTTGCTTCTCATTTTGATCTAGTTCAAATATTTTCGGATTAAGACCAATAAGCTCTGATTGTTCCTTTATACCTTTAGCAATCTGCTCGGCTTGACCCGTATGAGATCCGTAAGCAATAAGAAAACTGCTCATCTGCAAATATTAAGACATGAGTGATAATAGTTTTTTTTTTTTGAAAATTTAATGTGAATAATCAGAAAAAATCCTTTAAGTAAAATTAAGCAAAAAATCGAAAAATATCAGTGGAATAATATCGCGTTATTGCGAAAATTAAAAAAAAAACAGATGTGAAAGTTTTGTGGATTTGAAATTTGTTCTGCAATCACGGCGACATGAATACACAGATTCATTACTGTAGCGAAATTTGTCAATTCCCGACAAACTCATCGGGCGGCGAAACACGAGTTTTCCTCGGTTTTGGCGACTCCGCCGGTTACACCGTTTCGCTGTTTCAAGAAAAATAACAAATGAGTTGTTTTTGTTGTTGTTTTTACCAAAATTTGCCACTGTTTCGCCGAAAAAAATCGCTGTCTCGCCTGATGAGTTTACCAAGTTTTCTCATTTTTATTTTTATATTGGTTTTACCCGATTCATTCTCATTGAAAATTGTTCTATTATTCTAATTTTTGCGAATCGTATCATTATAGTGCTAAATATGAACGGTTTTATCTGAAAACAAATATTTTGACATTTTAACTATTTATTTTAGCATCAGAATCTTAAAGGTAAAAGCAAATATTTACAAAAATAACAAAAAATAAGAAGTGCAGACGTCCTTCGCACTTTGTTAATGGTTGTAGAAATGCGATAGGCCGTGGTTCGCAATTTCTTATCTGATCTATGCCCAACCCCTTTCTTACGGATATTCACTCGTCAGTTTTTAATTGAAATTCTTGAAAAGAAAACGTCTAACAAATTGTGCGTACATAACTCGTACTCGTTTAATGAAAAACAAAAAAAATTAAATTCAATAATTAGATTCAATTTTCATAAATGAGTCAGAAAAAGTTAATTGATTGATCAAACATCAAAATATGATCCCGTCGTGTCAGGCGATCGATCTTCATCTTTTGCATGACGGGATTCGTAGTTTTATTTATTTGGGGGAATTGCAGTCAGAAATATATGAATATTCAGTAAATTTGGAATGTTAGAATATTATATTATGAGTATTGGAGCTGCATGTTTTTATTTGCAAGCATTTCAACGATAACGATTTATTTAAATTTTAAAAATTAGTTTTCATTTTTATGGAAATAATTAATATAAATAATGAATAAAATTAATTATGCATATAAAATTAGAAATTTTCCCTTTTCATTTTTTTTGGAATTAATAATTTGCATATTCCGGTTGACTTTTTCGCATGTACAATAAATGCAGAATAGATAGCAATTCTCGGTCCACAAATAAAAGAAATGAGCAAATATTGAATAGAATTGCTTTCAGCTCGCTATCCAATATCCCCAATCTAATTATGTAAATGAGTTGATGCGTGTTTCCGTGAACAAGCGTGATGCCGCTTTTTATGCTCTCGTGTGGCCCCCGAGGCCTTTCTCTAGAATCTCTTCATCATCCACACCACCACTTGTATATTTGAAGCCCCCGTGTGTGTATCGATCGAGCACGAAGCTCAGCAGCATTTCATCGAATAATTGTACATATTATTTTCATATATCCAAATACAACTTGGGTGAATAATGTTTTGATTACTAGCTCAGTTTTATTCACGTTTTTATTGCAATTTCCCTTTTCGAAAGAGGCAATTTCCCACAAATTTGTTGAATTATAACAGAATTCGATTATAAAACACCTGCTTCGAATGATAACATCGTATCAAACGATTTCCAAGTCAAGGACGCAAAGTAGTAATTTCATAATCAATCACATGATAGTTTATGAAATGCCAAAAAATTAACAATGATTGCGAAAAAATGAAGACGGTAGAACATTCGTGCGAAACTTCTGACTTGTAAGCGAATGTGCAACTAATGAACCGTATTTAGATCGAAGATTTGTTACCAATGACGAAAGAAGCCCGTTTCTTTCAAAAAACTTTGATCTTTTGTAATAGAAACTTTTGATAACCTGCTGGTTGAGCCAATTAATATAAAAAGTGACAAATTGATAAGGAAACTGCGTCAGTTTGGATGATAGCGAAAAGAGAAAAAAGAACCGATTTTCCTCAAGACTATCATGTGCTGTTTTTTTCGATCTTTTCATATCTCGAAGCGAAAAAAAACTACGTGCTTGCAAGAAGTGACTAATTATCAAACTAAATTTTGATTGATGCTGAAAATCGAGCCGAAACTTCCTTTATGCCAAAGGGCAAGGAGGAAAAAGAGCGTTTTGGCGCGAGTGTGTTCAATTCAAAATGTTTTCTAACAGCCTGCGTCTATCCTTTTTCCACTACTCCTTCTATCGATTCGAGTTTTTCGTTTCTTTTCGCACTGTCGCCGCAATGGAGAGTCGTATTCCTCGGCGCCCGTTTCTCATATGTGTGTGTAAGAGCGTTTGTGTATGTTTCGTCAATTTTTATTGATTGATTTCGGCAGTCAATCGGGGCTCTTATCATTCATTTATCAATTATTCTTGTTCTTGTCTGCCAAACGATGATTCTAGTTTCTTCCTTATCCGATCATTCATCTTTTTATATATGTATGTGTGTGTGTGTTTGATTAGCCATTCATACCAAATTGGAGGAACGATGCAAGTTTTTTTTGTGAGCGCCCATCGAATGATTTACACGGGGTTGACTATTTCGGTTTTGGGGTGATAAGGACGCTTAATATGACAAATCGTCTCGATTTTGTTCTCGCAGTGACGTTGTTTATCACTCTAAAAGGCAGACGCCAAACATTTTCAAAGGAAATTGACGATTTCGTTCGCTCTTCCTGTAACTTATTTGCATTATTCCTGTATACAAATTAAACGTTTCGAAAGAAAATCACTAGATTTTCTATAGATGGTCTGCCACTGTTCGTGGCCTAACATTATGCGGCCACGTCGTTGTAATAACGCTGTTACACAAAAGGCGTTGCGTGCCTCTAATGTATACATTTGACAATAAATTGTAATTTTCTACAAGTGATTTCAATTTCTGTTAATTTTGCAATTATGTTCCCAAAAATATGTACCGTTTTTTAAAACTTTTTGGGAAAAGTTTAGGTGAAACACATGACAAATGTCGTTGTTCTTTTGTTTCTATTCTACTATAGGAGCCTTTAGCTTCACGATGGACGTCATGATACTTACGTATAACATTGAGAGAATAAATCAAATTTAAAAAATTTTGACCACCATTTTTGAATTTATGAGTCGCTACTGTGTTTGTTTATGTTTTCTGAAACACCAATGAATAATTTTGTATATACAATGGTGTTGTTTGATAATATTTATAAACCATGTGAAGACACAATTTTACGTTTTTTATTACAGTGGAATTTGAAATGGTGACCTCGATGGGACAATAAACTGTCCTTATTTGGTTGCTCGTTTTATGTATTACACTTAATGATTATACTTTTATATTGACAATAATATTTTCCTATGAATGATGATGATGATTCTTTTGATGGTTTCACTGTGTTAATGTTTATCTAGATTAATAATTCGAATAGTATTTTTTGCGTATATGTGTCTTGGCGTCCAAAAAAATGATGGTTAAATTCAGCGGAATGCGTTAGATGAAATAAAATAAGCTAAAGTATGGATCTGAAGCCCACATTTCATTTGAAAAGAGTTCGTCTTGCTCTTACGCCTCACAAACACTATGTTCAATATTCATATGAAGATGATAGCAATTCATACATCTTGTAAGTTTTTTTTCCAATTGTTGTTGGGGAGGGTATATTAAAATTTTAGTCTGAAAGTCGAATGCAAAATTATAATAAAGAACATTTTGAATGAATTTTCATTCTGTTTAAATGTTTCAAATTGAAGACATTTGAAAGATTTGTTTGTGGGAAAATTTCAGTCAAAATTCTCTAATGGAAATTTGTTTCGAGCTCGAAATACATATAAACCATTTTCAGGCTAAGCAAGTCGACACTGTTTGGCAGACATACTGAATACTCTCATATTATGTTAATTCCTGGAGCGCCAATTAACAACAAAAAGTAAGCGTTTGATAATTTTCGTATGACAGTTGCATATATGCATAACTTGCATTTGTGTGCGAATCGGTTCGTCGTATCCATGGAAACATAGGCTATTTGGCACTGAACGCCAATGTGGTCAATTCTTCGTCCATCTGCCGTCGTTTCGAAAGCTTCATGACGTTTTACGAATTGTGAAAATGCGCTAGCTTTCCCATGTTTTCGATTCCAATTTTTGTTGAAAAAGATTGTTGGTCGGATATTTTTAATTAGGTTTTTCGCATGAATAGTGCATTCAACTCTCACGTGTATTTATTTAAATATTATTTGAGATGAATTGTCTGAGGTTGCTCGATTTGAATATTATTCATACCGTAGGTTGATATTTTAACACGCTTTCGCTACTTCAAAAATAAAGAACGGACACGATTAGGAATTAGTTTCAATCCTTTAAGCCCCGTTGCCTGTCCGTAAAAACGGAGGGGTAGCTCAAGAATTGAGAACACCATTTTTGAAATTGGATTCGCATTACTTTGTTTCTCCTCTTTCAAAATTTTCATAGAGAAGAAACGATTAAAAATGACAGACGAGCCGATTAACGCACAAATCCAAGAACATTGATTTTCTCAAAAACATTTCAATAATTCAGCATGATATCGCCTTTAATCTCACGCCATCATGCTGAAATTGTTCAAACCGAAACGGTAAATGGAGAAACTAAATACATGATATACGACAATTCGTTGAATGGAACATTCGTTAATGATATGCGCGTTCCGGTACGGCAATACATTTTTTCTTCGTCGCACCTTGTTTTTTTTTCTACCGCAATTTTGATGATATCAATTTGTGCAATTTTCAGCTTCGCTCTTTTAGAAACATTCAGCATCCATTGGCGTGTTGCGATCTGCGGGAAAACGATATCATCACGTTTGGCCATTTCAGTGGCTCATCTGTGCTTCCCGGCGAGTACGCCCCTCAGGCGACACCGGATTTTTCGTTCGTTGTCGAGAAAATGGATCCTAACCGACAATATGTTGGATTTGACAAAGAGTATAATCGTGTCTCGACAATGATATGCTGGTCAGATAATTTGCCTCTCGTGCCTCATCGCAATATTTCCCTCAATCCGGAAATCTATTCCTCTTTTCATGAAGGCGAATCGAAAATTGAAGTTTGTAAAGCATTGGAGATGGTTGAGTCGATCTTGGTAAGTATTTAATGAATTGAGTGATTAGTCATGCTAATGTTCACCTGTCACTAGAAAACGAGAATCAATCTGTTTACGTCGGAAATGTTCAATTATTGAACATTTGTAATTTTTTTGTTCTCATCCGAATAAAACAATAAAAGCAAAAACGAATATATTTATATAAAATTGAGAATGAGCATTGTTTTCCCTTTCGTTTCCATGGTTTTTAAACAAAGCGCTAGGCTATATTTATTTCGTCTAAATCATATTGTTGTGAGTTATTTTTGAATCGCGTAATTTTGGGTTTACCCAAATCGTACATCTTGTTTTTAAGTTAAACGTTTCAAAGTGATTATTATAGCTTTGAAAATTTCGATGAACATATATAGTCGGCGTACGGCGACTGCTGTACGCGGCTAGACTTACGCGCATGCCCCTTGAAAAGGTCTCGCCACGCGTGAATGCTTATTTTGCTGTTTTTTTTTTTCACGTGAACTGCTTCATTTTTCTTGATGAGTTTCGAATTTCCTTGAATTTCCAACGTCATTCGATTAAAACCTTATCGAACCGGTCCGTAAAATTTTTGGTAAGCAGAACTGGCGCTGTGGGATGAACCAAACGCGGAGTTAAGATGCCTAACTTTGCCCGTAAATCTACCCGCGTACAGCAGTCGCCGGACGCCGACTATATTGTTAATGCAGTTATTCTTTAGGACTTTAATAATTTTTATAATCTCGTAGTTTCTTTTATTTAGTTTGGTGTTAATAAGAAATGTTATAATCGGCAAACGAAGCAATTGAACAGTTTGTATGTGCCGTGTGGACAGAAAAGGAATTTGTTTTGAAGCAGGAATGCATTAGGGTAGGATGACGAAAATTCGAAGTTTGGGCACTATTTTGATATCGTGTATACTTTATTGGATATATTCATGCAGTAGAAAAATCTTGAAAATACAACATTTGCCAATATAGGATTGCAAAAAATACACCCTATTATATGATTGTAAACTATTATATGATTGGAAATTTATCTAGTGAATCAAAAAGAGTGGGGTTCAGCCGAAAGTTGGATGTGTGTGTGTGTGTGTGTGAAAGTACGCTGATTTGTTGCATCATAGCAATGTTTTCTCAACAAAGGTCGTTGTGAGGCATTTTTTTCAAATTAAAGAAATAACAAAAATAGAAATGATGCGATTGTTTGTGTATGATTTTGATAAATAAATGATCGCAACGTGACATTCACCAAAATACGATCTTCAACTGACTTCTCATCCATATCCAATTTGCCCTTTCGTATCCAATTTACCCGTCTCTTTTTCATTTCCTTTCCTTCCCATCACATTTTTTTTTCAACTCATATGCGTAAATATGTGTTTTTGTGCGTATGTGTATCGAATTCATAACCATGACCGCCTTAAATATTTGACTACTGTATTTTTGATAAGAATAATTGCGAGATGATGTGTGGACGTTCGAACGTTCTCCGTCGTCTGCCTATTCATTACAACGATTCACGCCCTCCACTTCATTCTTCAATTTCTCTATTCTTCTTCTCAATTACTTTTTTTCCTCTTTCGTCTTCATCTTGTTCAAATTCTGCTTGATAATGTTGATTTGGTTTCTACTACATGTATTGGGCGTTTGATTAGTGAACGGACGACCTTCAATTGTGGTACAGCTGTAAACTAGAGTGAGCTGTCTATGTCATTTGAAGAATTGATTGTTCGTACGAATTTCTCATATCAGCGTCAAGACTTTTGCCTTTGCTATTATTTATCTCAATAAACGATATATTAATTTCCTGTTAGCGCGACGCCATCCAATATTGATTGAAGGTTTTCGCAATATTTTGTGGCAAAGGTGAATTAGCTTATTTAGTAAACATTCGAAGAAGAAAAAGGAAATTAAAGGGCTACGGAAACATTAGGGCTGAAGTGATTTCCCTATCCTTATAGGATAATTCCCAGTTTTTTGTTTTCTTTAACCACGCAACCTCTTTCATTTTCCTTATTTTCTCATATAAACACACTTGTCGCTTTGAAATTTTTTTGAAATCCCTCTTTGAATAATCCCGTTTGAGTTTCGTTTAGTGTCATATATCGTTCGTTTTTTCGTTCATTTAATTTTGTTGGTTACAGTTACCGGGTCAGGCTGTGCCAGTGCCGATTGGTGCCGGCAGACGGAGCAACGCCGTGAACATAAGGCCATTTGAGCAGCAGCTAACGACGCCGTCAAGACGTGAGCCAGTGCTGGCTGCATCAGCAGCCATTCAGGTGTCGCCTCCGCGGTTCCAGCAAAAGCGCCAACTGCAGTCGGCGACACCTTCGCAATCTGCACCGTGTCTGAAGCAGCAAAGGTTGAGACAATCATCTCCGACAACCTACATTCTAGACAAAGTGCCTGCGGCAGGAGTGAACACACCGAAGAAATATCCGCTGAGGATTTCTCCAGAATCTACCTCTCACCTACGAATAAAAACTGTTATAAGGCGAAAGCCTGAGATTCAAAAGGTGCAACAGGATCACGAGCAGCTACAAGAACAGCAAGTTCTCCACCGAAGCGAATCCCCACATGAGCTTCAAGAACAAGGAGAAAACGAAGCTTGGCAAGATCAGCTGTTACTGCATGAAATAGAAGAGCCAGAACAAGAGCTGCTGAGAAATCAAGAAGAGCTTCTGCAGCAGGAGACGCAGGAGGAGCTCCAACCAGCGCAGAAAGAATCTCAGCAACATCAGAAGCACCAAGAAGAACTTCAGCAACAGCAAGAAGAGCTTCAGCGTCACCAGAAACATCAAGAGGAGGCTCAGCATCAGCAGCAGGAAGTTCAACGACGACAGGAGCAGGTTCGGCAACAAAAGGAAAATCAGCGACAGCAGAAGCTACAGGAGGAGGTTCAGCAAAAAGAGGAACATCAGCGACAGCAAAAGCTACAAGAGGAGGTTCAGCGACAACAACAGGAGGAGATTCAGCAGCACGAGGAACATCAGCGACAGCAGACGCTACAAGAGGAGGCTCCGCGACAGCAGGGGGATCTTGGCCCACAACAGGAGGAGCTCCAGAAGCAAGAGGATCTTCAGCGGCAGCAGGAGGAGGTTCAGCCGCCACAGGAAGAGGTTCAGCAACATCAGAAACTCAAGGAACAGGAGGAGGAGCTTCAGAGACAGCGAGAGGAACTTCAGCGGCAGCAGAAACATCAAGAGGAGGTTAAACGAAAGCAGGAGGAAGATCTAAGAAAACAAAAGGAACAGGATCAACTTAGAAGACAAAAGGAACACGAGGAGTTGCTGAGAAAATATAGCGAAGAAGATGATCTTCGAAAGATTCGTGAGGAGCAAGAATTGCTTCTTAAAGTACGCAAGGAACAAGAGGAGAAGCTAAAAGAGCAAGAGGAGATTTTGAAGAAGAGACAACAACAAGAGCTTCTTAAGAGAAACCAAGAACAGGAGTTGCTGATCAGGAATCAAAAGCAAGAAGAACATGAGAGAAGACAAAATGAGCAGGAAGAACAGTGGAGAAAACTTAAGGAGCAAGACGACCTGTGGAAAAAACAAAAGGAGCAGGACGAACTGCGTAAGAAGGAACAAAAGAAAGAATTGATGAAGAAGCAAAGGCAGCTTCAACGACAACAGAAGCAGCAGCAATTAAAGGAACAACAACAGCAGCAACAGAAAAAAGAACAGCAATACCAGCAACAAATGCAATATCAACAGAAAATACAGCAGTTGCAACAGCAATTTCTGCAGCAGCAGCAGTCGAAATCGTTGCCGTCGATACCTCTTATGTCGCCAACGATAAAAACAAATCATGATATCACATCGCAGCAAATTGCAGCAATCACACAGCAGATGTTCGCGAAAGCAAATCCGAATTCGTTTATTCTACCTCAAGTGACGTCACAAAATGTAAGTTTTATTTGTCTGCATGTAATTATATCAATTTTTAGCAAATTTTTTTGCAAACTCTAAATGCATATTTGCCCAACTCATCTGCGAACGTGATGTTCAAATCGTCCACCTCAATGTTCCAGAACGTGCACCAATCGCAGCATCAGCAAGCACCACCGCCGCTGCCACCACCTCCACCTCCACCCCCACCAATTCAACAACCTCAACCAGTCGATTTTGTCTTGCCTGCTCTTTCGGATTTGCTACCGAGCTTGGGGTTGTTGCTTTCGACACAACTGCCAAACAATCCAGCTCCGGAATTGTCAAACAACCCAACTAATCCAGCACCTCAATTGCAAAATAATCCAACTCCTCCGTTGTCCAGCAATTCGATGTTTCTCAATAACTTATTGTTGACGCAACAATTGCAACATTCACAGATGCAGCAGTCGCAATTGCAGCTGACTCAAGAGCAACTACTTCAATTATTGAATCAGATTCAATCACGAAATCAGCAGCAATCGCAGCAGCCGCAACAACAGCAAATAGAAGCTACGAATCAAGTTTCACCGCCCCGAGTAATAATTCCGGAGCCGCTTGCTGACCAACGCCGCATTTGCTCAAGAACAGGAGAATTGGTGCCTTCTGATCCAAACACTCCAAAGAATAGCGATGTTACGGTATATCTTAATTAATATTATTGTTTTTTAAACATATATCTTTCAGAATGGTTCTGTTACAATCGCAACACAAAGCTCGCCTGTTGAATGCCATAGCTTGGCTCCAAGTCCTCCGAAGCCAACACAAAACGGACAGGAAATTTTTGAGGAAATAGATGTTACTGTTCCGATCCAGGATGGCAATTTCATTCAACAATCTGAATCTCCGCCTTCGTCCGGTACAATTATTTCAGATTCTGTTGACGGAGGTATAGACGAGGTATTAAAAACATGATTTAAATATCGAAACAAAAATTTAACTTTAGTCCGACGATGATGAGCCAATTGATGTTGGAACACCGGAAATCGTAAAGCCTAGAGAAGATGAAGTAGCCAGAGAAATAGTCATTGAACAAGTAGTCACTGAAGAAGTAGTCACTGAAGAAGTAGTCACTGAAGAAGTAGTCGCTGAGGAAGTAGTCGCTGAAGTAGCCAATGAAGAAGTAGCCAGTGAAGATGCACCTAAGGAAGTCATAGCTAAGGAAGACGTAGCCAGGAAAGAAGGAATTATTGATAACATCTCGAGTCCACAAAATACACAACCTAAAAAAAAGAAGAAGAAGAGAACAAATGAGGTATTGATGATTTTCATAATTCGAAAAAAATGCGAAAACTCTAGCTCAATAATTTGCTGAATGATGTCGCTTCGTTCGCTCAAGCAACTACATCTAGCGTGCATCGACGTCCAACTGAAGACCATATTGTGGAGAAGCTTGGGCAGAGAAAATTGAGAAAGGTTAGCATCACCTCGTCTGTTCATTTTCCTCCCACAAATTTGTTGCTAACACATGTGCTTGCTGTGTTCTAATGTGAAAATTGCAGAAGGAGAAGGCTGTGCTTCGCGAAGGACAATCTGGTGACGATAAGAACGATCCTGAAAAACGATTGAAACAGCTTAGTGATGAATCTAGCGTCTCCAGTGATTCCGACGATGAGCATCCTACGGTGAACACGAGAAAACGAAAGATTTCATCAGCAAAGAATAAGGTTCCCAACAAAAATAACACATAATATGTGCACTTTTATTTTTTAATATAGCCAGAATGTGCGCAATACTAAGTCCAAAATATTAACGATGCGACATTAATTTTATAACATGTTCAATTATTCAAAATTTAATTCTGTTAAAAATCAATATACCAATGGAATTTTATTTAAGGAAGCGGATATTCAAAGCGACTCTGAACATTCTGACGCGGAAGAGATGAGACCGAAAAGACGTCGAGTGCAAAGAAAACGCAAGGCCGGCAGCTCTACAGCAATCGCAACAGAATCAACTGTACAAACAAATGCCGACAATACTTATTCTGGCGAGGTTTCAAAACCAAAGAGACGAGGAGGAAGGGTTTGCGATGAATTAAGAAATTGAAAATAAACGAAAATTTATTTTTAAGAGAGCGGTTCCAGTTGCGCTTCCATTAGAAACGGCGGAGGTTCTTCCTGCTTACTTATTAGAATGCGGAAATCGCGGAAGATGTAAAGTCAGACTCTCGAAGGAGATTGAATGGGTTCGTTTAAGTGTGAACAATTAATTGTAGTATTGAAAATATTACAGGTTCAATGCGATGACTGTAAACAATGGTGGCATATGATATGCCTATTCGGAAGAAATTTTAAATATGACGAGGAAGATTTTCGCTGTTGTGGTGACAATCCGACCCTTCCACCGTCATATTCAGTAGGGAGAGGACGCAAATCGAGAGCTTAATCAATAATGTGGCTCATTGTCGAATTGTTGTCAAATTTGTTGTTTTTATTGTTTTATTTAGACATCGGTTATTCATTACTTTTTAACACTTTCGTTCGTTTTTTTTATTCCCGAGGCCTAGATACCAGTGTAGTTTGTTTAGACCGTAATTTCCAGCGAAAATAAGTATTTGTTGAGCTCTTTAGCTATTTTTCCATGCCAATCTCATTCACACACACACACACACACACGTCTCTCCGGTGTTTTCAAAACAATGATGTTTGTTGTTTCGTTTCTAGCTCCTCATTTTCAATAATCATTGTTTCTCTCAACACCGGGTTGCTTCATTCATTTTTTGTATTTATTTCTCACTTTTTGATTTGCACTTATATCATCATCATCACACCGATTAATATCATTTAATAATTGCCAACCAATTGTAAGATTAGGAATTTGTTTTCTTGCTGGCGGTCTAACAACTTGATAACATTTCCAAGTATAATTGTGATTAAAAGATCTCCCCCGTTTCCTGTTTAATAATTTGCCAACACAAGTCAAATTACTTACATATTATAATCTAAATGTACCTCTGAAGATGAAAATGTTTCCAATAACAATTTTCAATGGGATGTCTTCATCTTCTTGCTTGTTGTTTTTTTTTCGTTGAATTTTTGTTTGTCAGTACATATTTGTGAAGGTTTTTCGCGAGAAAATGAAGAGGAATCAAAAGGAAGGATTTAAAAACTTGATAAATAACATTGTAACTAATGAAAACTAGTATTCCGGAAATTAAAAGAGATTTTCTATTAAGATATATACCGGAAATGGAGAAACTAATGAAAATACACTAGACGAACATCAAATAAATGAATATCGGGGATCAGAAAGGTTTAGACGTGAAATTGTTTGATTGAAACATATTGATGGCCTAACAATTCGTTTTTAATTATTAGGCCACGGCCATTTTTATTGCTTCGTCTGTTTCCCTATTCTTATGTGTCACATCTAATAAGTTCATATTTTCTTTTCAGCTTATTTCTTTTTAAATTTTTACAAAAATTTTTTGTTACCTGCTTATTAACTGTAACAAACCTATTCATGCAACAGAAAAATGTTAAAAAAAAAACTGCATTTTTTGAATGTATTTATTTTTGACGTCAAGCGACTAAACGAAATAAAAAAAATATATAATTTCCGATTTACCATGGCATCTCGAGACAAGGAGAATGGTGCGTTCCTGCTAACTTTGCGTTTTAGCAACAAACGCGCGTTTAATATTTAGCCAGCGCGTACATTTACAAATTTGTATTGAAGGATACAAATTTATATTGGGTGGGGGGCGGGGCATTTTTCGATTTGGGATAACCGACTGAACATTTTAAGACAAGCACGAAAAAATATTCCCTGGTTCAAAATTATTCAAGGCTCTCGTTTTTATCTGTGATGAGAGCTTTTCCTAAGCAGGAATTCAAAAATTGCGTAATTTTTACTTTTTCTGTAAAAACAATTCATGAATAGGTCCAATAATGACATAAATATATTACGAAGGGAAAATTCCCGGAAACTGTAAAATTTTAAACGTGAAAACTTATATTATCGATGTCGCGCCACTTCGAAAAATTGGCAAAATGCTAAAAAAAATTTAAAATGAGATTTCGGTACGCGGTGTGTCCATAACCTAACATTATACTTAGCCCGGTTAATCTACATGTTTAGTTTCGCGCCAAGACTACTGTCTTTGTCTTTTTGCATTTAGCCGATTTTCCAAAGTTCCGCGACACCGACAATAATAAATGCCCATTTTTTACAATTCAAAAATGTATAATTTGTAAAAGGTTTTAATTTCATAAATAGGTCTATGAGAAGCCCTTTGAATTTTTCGATTTATTACATTTGTTGTGAAAACAAAAATGATTTTAATTTATAAATCACCTATAGATATACATTCACCGTTAAAAAAAACGAGTGACTCGCGCATAACCCGCATGAAATTTTCCATTTATACTTGAAAATTTCGCAACATTTCGTTCATCTCTACTGCTTCGTTTTTCGTAATGAGTAAGAACACCGAAAGAGAGATTTCGTTTATAAAATTTCTGAGTTTTTGGCATAACATTTTTGTTAAACTTTACGAATCTGCTTCGAAAAATACCATTGCCAACAAATACTCAGGGTGTTCGTTTGTTTTGTGATGGTAAATAATATATTTTTCATCCGAATGCATTGATTAAAGGCTTCATTACGCGGAAAATTATCTGAGTCTACATATTCTGGTAACATTTTTTTTCAGTAGCAGACTGTAAACTCTGTTTTTCGTTTAATGGCATTCATACCCACAGTTCTAGTTTTGAACGACATTCAGTTTTTATGGCGGGAGTGTTGAGGACCAATTGGCGGACATCGCCACTACCGTCACGAGAAACGATGATCGATTCAAAGCAACAGCGCAGATAGCACGGCTCACGTGCATTATTTTTTCGTCTCATAATCCGAGAAAAAACTACATGTTTTCATCGATTCTCTCATCGTTTTTGTGTGGAAAAGAGGAAGAGTGTGCGGTGTACGTATATGTTCATATGATGCACTCGGCGAATATCTCAAACATGTGTGTTTCCACCAAGAACAATCTGAAAATACGGCACTCATTGGGCGAGTCATGCGCCCGCCTCTGCGCACTCTTTCTACTTCCATATTCTCTTTGAACAGCCGGCAATGTCTCCCCCTCCTCGTCTCGATACACACACTCCACTCGTCGGTTGTTTCTGTGCGGGACGAGACCGACTGACTGCCTTACTCCTACTTCTCGCGATACCTGCTTGGCTGCTAGGCGCACATCGATTCATTAGCAGTTATTTTTCGAAATTAAATAATCAGTTTGAAATAGTTGTTCACGGCTTTGCAATACTGTTCCAATGATTTGATGTTCGATTCCTTGTCTTTTTTTGTTTGCTGCCGATTCATGGTGTGTTCAGGTCTTTTCTTATGCCTCGTCTAAAAATCAATATGGAAATGTCAATACAATTTTGCAGAAGAAGTTTGATTTGCGAGATGGGAAACTGCTTACCGACGCTGTTCGGCTTTACGCGACAACATGATGAGACGCCGCTCCGAAGGTTACTTTTGTCTTGTTTATGTGTAAAATGCATTATAATTGAAAAGTGAAATCAATTTTCGCAAGACGATACAATGATTACTACATTGAAATTGAAGACGAATCAATTTCGCGTTTCGAAATTCAAAAATGAAATTTTGAATTAAATTTTTGTGAATTCTTATAAAAAAGGAACGATCGAAAAATGAAATCATCGGTTAAAACTCGATTTGAGGATTATGATATTTTTATTTCGCAGATTAGTTATCGTTTATATGCCAAATATGCTTAAAAACATATCCGCTTTGATAATAAATAATAGGAAATGTGAAAATGAATTTAATTGTGTTAAATTTAATTTTTAAGAAGCCGTTCATCTGATGCCGCAATGAGCTTCACCAACCCAACAATGTTGCAACAAAGCGTGAGTTTCTTTTCTTGTCAGCATTTTAATATTTACTCAAACACTTCCTGAAAGAATCGAATCTCCGTTTGACTTACGTATTTGCGTTTTTCGTCGATGGTTTTGTTTATTTTCCGCTCCCGGTTTTTTTTTCAAAATTTTGGGGATTAATGAAGGGCGATACCCAAATATCTAATTTTAGAGCTCATACGTAAATCAACTCTATCAACACAACGTAATTAGACAACGGCAAGCTCAGGAACATGGAAGAGTTTGTTTTGATATTCTAGAAAATTTGAAAAATACACTTATTTAGGATTTGGATGAAGCAAAGCAAATGAGAATCCGCGGATTGTTGGATCAAATTCCAGCCGATGTGTTCCGTGGAGACATGAAAGACAATGAGTATATTTTACATGAAAAAGTATTGTAATAATGAATACGACTATTTAGATGCGCGATTTGCATGGTCGATTTTGAGCCCGGAGAAAGGATTCGATTTTTGCCATGTATGCACTTGTTTCATCAAGAATGTGTCGACAAATGGCTTATGAAGTGAGTTTTTTTAAAGAAACTTTAAAATCAGTGATTATCTTAGTATTTTTTCGAAAATCTTCACGTTTTCAAAATTATTTCGACCACAAATATTGTTTCGTTTTCAGTTTAATTTGTGTTTAATCTTGAAAATAACTCCTAATTTCAGATCGTTCACATGTCCATCGTGTCTCGAACCAGTTGATTCTACAATCCTTTCTTCCCTCACCGCCCACACCCAACAATCCCTTCAACAACTCGCTTGTTCACCCGTTTCTGCTGTCAAACAATAAGAGAATTCTATGTCTCTTTATAGAATATTTTGTTCGACTATTTCTTCATAATTATCCTTCATCCCTCTCCTCCCCGAAATTCTTCAAATTTAACACAATACAAAATGAAATGTAAATAACACCCTGCATATTGAAATGTAGTGCACTTGTACATAGGCTGAATATATTCTGCTGGAATTCTTGTGCATACACTGTCTTTTTTTTCTCGCTTCTGTCTATGATCTACAACTGAGTTCCCTTTTTGGTTTGCATCTAATTTTTGCAAATACGTGTGTGGCTACTTCTCATTCTACTCCGTATTTCTCCAACTTCGCCGCTTTTTTTCATTCAAACCAATTCATATTAATTTGTGTATGCGTATTCAAGCACATTTGATTTTATTTTATTCGCAGTATCTCATGCTTATCTTGTACATTCTTGTCTACAATTTTTGTTGTATTGACTGGTGACCATAAAACTTGAAAGCTTTAGTTTTCTACTATGCTTTTTCTCGTGATGGCAGCACAATTTTCGGTGTTGGTAGTGGTATTGCTGGCAAGCTATGATCTTCTGACGCCGGCGCTTCGGGAACGTCGACATAGTTCGCTGCTGCATGAAAGCATTGATGAATTGTTGCTTCTTCACCCACTAGTTCACGATATGCATTCAACGTGATTTGATTCATTGTCTGAAATAAAACAGATTAAAACCCAAATTTGAAAATATCAGAAATATGAAGCACATAATTGATTGGAAAGAAATTGTATGATTGAGGAAATTTCGGAGTGAAATAATCACATAAAAAAGGAAAACTCATTTTGTCTTCTGCCTATTTGATTGCCTAGAAATACAATTGTGGGTATTCGAGATGCTTGGAATCGCTGGTGTTTATTTTCGGACCATCAAGAATACCGTAAGTGATTTTCGCGAGACAATTGGACCAAGTACCATGTTATGAGCGGTATACCAGCGATCGAATCCACTCTCCTTATATCGAAAAACGCCCAGAAAAGTTTCAAGGCAGACTTGTTAACAGTCTGAGAAAACTATTGAGGGAGTGGTCCGTTCGAACGATCACAATCCATTTGACTCCAGAATATCCACGCGAACCAGATGGAGCAGTTCCTCAACCTGCATAGCGATTGAATTCGATGCGAATTGGAAAGAGATGACAAATGCAATGGCCAGTCAGGACCCTCTATTGGTCTCCATTACTCGCCTGATCCTAAGACTTTCCATGCGGTTTATTCTCGAGAACAAGGCCCACAACAGTATGGAAAGCCGCAATCTTGCTCTTCAACAGGCATGAGGACGATTTCAACTTAATTTTAGTTTACGGTAAATTAATTCCACATCCGACTTCGTGTCCGTGTTAAGGCGAAAATGTCTAGAAAAATTGAAGCCAAATATCCGAATAACAGCGCAAATGAAATTTTAAAGCTTACTGCCTTAATATCCGATTTTTTTCTCTTGAAGCAACCGCCTTTTTTTCTATTTTTTAAACTAGCGCTACATACAGTACTGGCCATAAAGAATGTCCCTAATGGTTTTCCGAGCATAAGTTTTCTAAAAATAAACCGATCATTCTGAAAAATTAACACAGTCTTTCTGACACTAAAATACAATATTTAAACACTTCGGAGCCATTTGTTTCGACAAATTTGACCTGTATGTATGTATTTTGACGGAAATTCAAACGTCTAATTACTTAGATTAGAAAAGTTCCAATTACTTATGTTACAAATTTTCGAGTTTTTGCGGTATCTTTAATAGGCAATTTTTAAATTCTTTTTTTTTATTTGAAAACATGTGAATGACAAAGAATACCAAATAGCCACCTCTTAATCGCTACCCCCCCCCCCTAGACTTTAGACTCCCAGTTATCTCACTCCCATCCCCCCCCATTCCCCATTAATTTTTCCTAGCATCACCGATTATGTATCTTCCCTATCCGTAACATTGCACTCCGTTTTGTGGCTAATACATAATTCGACCTAACAAATAAATACAAAAATGGGTAGAAGGTAAATGAGACCAAATTTTTAAAAATTATGGCCTATTTTCAAATGGGGCCGGAGGTCAAGATGTAAACCTGACAAATGAGACAACTTAGTTGGTAACCTATTTAATCCAATTGGAGATGTTCTTAAGGATCCATTTTTGAGAGTATATTTAAAAACATATATTATTTTATTATTTTGTGAGATTATTTAGGTATATTATTGTGAAAGAATATTTTATGATCGTAAACTCATCATTGAGCTTGATTCCAAAGATTTGTTCGGTTTTAAGGGAATAATTTTTTGAGAATCTATTACTTCCAAAACGGGTGGTTCAAATTGATATTTTCTACATTTCAAGGTATTTTTGAAAATTGGAAACTTGTTAGATTCGCAAAATTTTTATTTTTTTATGTAAAATTATTTCGTTGAAAATTTTCAGATTCACATTTCATACTATCCCGAAATTTTATAAAATGGAGCAATTTGAATGATCTGGTCTATTCAAAATTAGGAGTACAAAATGAGGGTTGATAGAAAAAATTAGAAATTTAGTGAATGGAAACAAAAAAATAACATATCCCGACCTTTTTGCTGATTGTCACTTTTCCGTCTTTAATTCTCGGCATGTCGATTCGAATCTCGGTAGTCAGCTTTTTCTTTGGTTCATCTCTCTTGTTCATATTATTAAACGCTTCGTCAAGCCACTTATCAAATTGCTGAAATTTTAAGGATTTGAATATTCAAAACGCGGTGCTTTACAGGTGTAATATCAGATATATGGTTCACAGTTAATGATTCAGTCTTCAGCTGTTTGTTTCGTTTTGATCTTACTCTTAAAAAATCTTCTCAAAAAAAAAAGTTGAAAAAGCAACTTTTGAAGCGCATGAAGTGCATTGATATCAATCGGAATGATCTTGACCACATCCGATTTGTTCAGCAATTTCACCTTTTTGGCGACGAACTGTGGTCTTGGCGGTTGTTTTATGCACTAAAAGAAAAGTGCAAGCTATGCAGTTGGATTAAATGAATCGGAGCGTGATGAATTACATTGATGGCGACTCGATGGATTTGTCGGTCAACTCGTCCATTCGCCACCGGAATCGACTCGTAGGACACAGTTCCACTCGACTGACTCAAGCATGTCATCATATCGGCATGATAATCAACCACATCCTTCAAAATTGTTTCATTATCGATTCTTCATTTTTACGTATGTCAAGGTAGTCGTCAGGTTCATAAAATTTGTGATCGAAATTTAAAAAAAATTATAGCCACCGGACAATTCAATATTCGGGCTCTATTTGTTAAATCGCTTTAACTATTCCTTCTTTTATTTAAAACAATAATTGCAAGCAAAATAATCAATAATGCTGGGAAATCGACGAATTCGTGCCGATTGGGGATGAGAATACGACGAATCGGCGATCCGATTTCACCAATCCCGCGAATTTGTCTCTATGCCAACTTTAGCCGACAGTTGTAAAAAACCTTACGTGCAGCGGTTCAATGAATTTCAGATCTTTCTGCTTATCTGTCATTTCGAAAGTCAACTTTATCAAATAAAGAAATTATTATTAATGATTTATTATGACGTAACACGTTATTAGTGAAAAACAAACAATGAATAAATAGACGTATAAGTGCCAACATAGCGATAATTGAAAGCTCAACTCAAAAGAAAGAGATTCTCGTCAAAGATTATCTATTTGCCACGTGGCATCGTGTACTTCAAACCAGAAGTGTAGACGGCTAATTGCTCAGGATCGAAAGAATCGAGTTGGGCTCCAGTAGAAGTTTGTTTGCAGGCAAGTCCGACAACTTTTTTCTGTCGCGGCAAATTCCAGATGGTGTAAGTTCCCGGCTCAAGGAAGATTCTATCGAAACCCTAAAAAGAAATTGAGATGGTTGAGTTCATCAAGCACGTTCAGCCATACATCGTATCTATAGATGCATCCGACAGTAACCACTTTGGTTTTGTTGATTCCATCGAGCTCGCAGGTCTTCTCGACCTTTGAATCCCCATTCTGCTCGTACCACCTGCATCCGATCACCTTGTTGATCTCGCGTCCGTTTTCTTGAATTGCGCATCCAACAGCCCGATGACGTTTGTCGCCTCTTCGGATCTTGAATTAAGAAATCATTTCGTTTCATTTCCTCGTTTCTTTTTTTTCGGAATACCTCGCATTGATAGGTGGTTCCGTCTCTCTGGTATCTTTGTCCATCAAAAATGTCTTTGCCGTCGACGACACATCCAATACACTGCTTCGTGCACTTTCCGCCTTGCAGTTTGCAGTAGAACAAGTAATCGCCGTTCTGGAAAATGACGAGACTTGTCGGCGCCTATCAGCATACCGGTTATCATCATGATTTTGGATCCCGTAAACCAAAAAAAATAATTTTTGGGTGGAGTAGGCGATAACAAGAGATCAAGTAGATTTTTTTGCAAGAATTCCTTTAGTATTCGGGTATATTAAAAAAAACGGAAATTGCTGCTAGAAATTTCGAAATGATTTTTTAGAAATGATTTTTTGGTACACAAAATCATTTGCTGTCGACTTATTAGAACAAATGTTAACTATATGCATCTGAGCAAGCTTAGAATGTGCATTAATTGATTTGCAATTAGACATAATTTAAACAAATCAGTAGGATATTTCAAATTCACATTCAAGTCAATCTGAGAATCTCTCATTATTCAAATCTCATAAAATTTCGATTGTTGACCGCGAGAAATCTTGTAAGCATGTCTATTAATGTCCTTCTAACATGTTCTGACACTTCAAGGTCTCCTGTTCAGACCACAGTATGGTTTTTTTTCTATCAAACCCACTCTGAATTGTTCGCCGACTTTGTATCGTTGGCCATCATGAAGACATCCGACGCTGCACATCTGAACGACTCCGTTCGACTTCTTCTGACATTTGTAGCTGAAATTTTGTATTTTCCGAAAACATCGAAGTGTGTTTCAGTGTGCTGTGGCAGATTGTAAAATATCACATTTTGTCGCCGAAAGAGTATCATTGATGTGTTTTTTATGGCCCATATAAGGTCCAACAGAAGTAGATCACTGTTCATTTGAACAATTCGAATTCTCAATTCACAGAAAATCGGCACACCGGAAATGTTGGCAACTTGCCAATGTCGCATTTCTCATTAATTTTCTCTTGATATCACTTCGCACAGTTCAATGTCACTTTTTCCAAATTTGTGTAATAGATCAAAGTGTGCGATGGAGAGAAATGAAACGCCATAAAAAATGGGATGGCGCCAGAGTGGTCGAAAAAACGTGCGGAGAGCGATGAAAAAAACGGATAGCTAAAAAAAAACCAACGTGTATCCGTCGAAATCGTCGATATCACCAAGAGGGACTCGACGTTGCTTGTCATGAGCGATGCATCCTTCGATCAGCGCCTTCACAACACGACCATCATCCCGGCACCGATAGTAATAAGTATTCTGCAAAAATTGGTAAATTGAGTATCTCACGTGAGGTTTTGCAAAAAAATAACCTTGGCGTCGGTCCAAGTTTCGCCTTTCTGATAGGTTTTTCCATCAGAGCCGACACATCCACTGTATCCGAATTCAATGTAGCCATCTTTTCCTGAAAAAATAAGCAAAACGAGATGAATAAACGGTTTCGAAGTTTCAATTTCTCTCTTTTTTGATTAACCAGAACACATATGGGGGGAGAGGGTCATTTTTTTTGAACGGCAGATTTCTGACGACCAAATCAGTCAGCCGTTAACAATTGTATTAAGATACCATCTTTGGAAACATGAGTTTCACGTTTCTCAGGCGAAAGATATTACATTCTTAAACAGAAAATTCAGGCAAATCAAATAACATTTCTTTTTAGCTACTCAAAATTTCTCGCAATAATTTTTAAACATGATTGTTTATAATGATTTTAAAAAATGAAATTCGAAAAAAATGTTCATAATATTTCAGTTTGTTCTGCCCTGATATTGCTTACCAATCTGACATACGAACTCATAACCATCCTGCTGAAAAGTGTGTCCGACCGGAATTTTTTTCCCATCGTTCGAAAAGCATCCGAGTGGTTCCAATTGAGCACGTCGACACTCGTAATAGAATTTCCCGCGAGCAATGATCTCGTTTTCATTCCACCATTGAGCTGGCCGATCATTTCCACTTGTCCAACATCTGAAAGCGAAAGTTGTAACCGAGTAAACGAGAGGTTATCATTCGATTCTGAACACGGTTTTCTTGTTGGCATGTTCAGTAGATATAACGACAGAAAAACAAAACGATTCATCTTTTTTCTATTTGAAACCCATTTGCAAAACTGATTGCGCGTGTGTTCAATAATGCGCTTCTAAATTTGAAACTCACCTTGAACGAGCCGCCTTATCGGCAAGATAGGCATTGGTTAGCGATGTAGAAATAATAAAGAAAAGAGCTATCGAGATCATTTTCGATTTCCGTTTTCGTCGTCCCAAATGTTCTTTTATATCAACGGTCAGTTCGAATTCGAGTAGGCGGAGTCCGCCTATCTCCCTTTCGCGTCTCTTCGTCCTACGCACACTCTCGCGTTTAAGTGACTGCCCATTTTTGGAAGAGTTGTAGATCCGTCATTTGTTTGCTTTTCCTCAAGTGAAAACTGTTCTTCAATTTCCGGTTATCCGGATAAAAATACCATTTCCTCAACTGTTTTCCGGGAGTTTTCTGATCACTTTTAGTATCTTTTTTTGGTGGTAGACAAGGCGCCATGCATGTTACTAATGTGGATCAGACAAGGTCGCCAGATGATAGCCTTTGCATATAAACTTTGATAAGTGATTTCGCACAGGTGGAATACAGAAAAAAACGGGTTAAATATGAGATGATCGAGTATTGCCCCAATTTTTGAAAATTATCAAGGTTATGCTTATTTTCTTGCATTCGTTTTGAACAAAACGATCAAAATATGATAATATCACTATTCAATATGGAACGTCCATAAATAAAAATTTGTTTTGGTGGTTTGAAAATGGAATTGCATGAAAATTTTTTAGAGAATAAAATAATTCAATAATCAAGTTTAAACTTTCATTGTTGCCAAAATTTGAGATCTATTATTTTAATTGATTCCTATCGACTTCAGTATTTCCAAAATTTCCTTTTTATCGTGGCAAAAAAGGAGACTATGAATCGTTTGAATAATAACTTAGTTATTTCTTCTTCGAGAATTTTTCATCAAAAACTATGCCTTTTTGACGGATTTTTTTTTGGAATCGCAAAGAAAGTACATGATACGAGTCAGATTCATCATTCGATCATTCTTTTTTTACTCCTTCCGCTTTTTTTTTATATAATACATATATTTGCAAAATTAAAGCAATAATGATGAGATTTTTTTTGTTTGAAACTGGTTTTCAATTCGAATTCAAGCCGAAAAAAGTAAACAACACTCGCGAATCTAGTTTTATTCTCTAAAAACTCTTACGTTTAACCTAATTAATAAAAATTTTTTCCTCCGGAAGATTAAAGACAAACATGAAATATATAAATAAAAGTCAGAATTTTTCAATGTTCAATGGGTTTTTAACAACAGTAAGTGCGTAGGATGAACATGCGTCTAAACCCATAAACGGTCCTCCTCCGCAATTTTCCATGTTAATGATATTGTCGGTAGCGTCAACTGTTCTGAATTGTTTAGTGCCCGTCAGCATAAAAATAAGTATTTCCGGCCAAAGTTCAATTAATTCTCGAACACACCCATTTTCTATCGTATTAATTTCATCAAAAATACAACTTGTTTTCACCTTCGTTTTCATTAAATCGAAAGCGCTTAATTTGTTACAATAAAAAATTTATACTATAAATCAAGCAAGAATTGTAGAAATTAACGGTTGAATGTAGTGCCAGACCAAAAATCCCACTAAAATATACAGTACTACGATCGCCCTATAGACAGGTTAGAAAACGAACAAATCATTTCGTGTTTCTCGAATCATACTCTCACAAAGACTGTAAAATGCAGTCTGAATAAATATTGTGCAAAATCGAGAACAATCCAATTACTTCACTACATAATAAAAAGAAACTTTCGAACGAATTCATTTAGAACTTGGCTGGCTCAGCAGCTGGCTTGGTCTTGAAACCAGTGAGAAGCGATTTGATTTCTCCAATAGCCTTCGCTGGGTTCAAATGCTGAAAAATTGTTGTCAATAATCTTATCAATTTGCTTGAGAGAACGGCCATTTGTCAAACTACTCGAATTCCCATCGACTAAAACTACTAACCTTTGGGCAAGTCTTGGTGCAGTTCATAATTGTGTGGCACTTGAAAGCCGAGAATTCATCATGCATGCGATGAAGACGTTCAGTAGCGTAGTCATCACGAGAATCAATGATCCATCTGAAAAAAAGAATGAGACACATAATTAGGCGGTCATTTGAATACCTATAAGCTTGCATAAGAACAGCTGGACCAAGATACTTGTCAGCATTCCACCAATAAGATGGACACGATGTTGAACAGCACGCGCAAAGAATGCATTCGTACAATCCATCCTGAATTTCAGTTCTAAATGATATTTCTACCCCTATGTTTTCATACAAGACGCTCTCTTTCAGCAACGCTTTGAGACATTTGCTTCTCCCCAAGAGTAAGTGGAGTCTTCTTTTGAATCCATGGTTGAATTGAAGCGTATTGTTGGTAGAACAAGTTCATGTCTGGGACCAAATCCTGAACACTAATTATGTGACCATTTAAATTGAATAATTTTTTACCTTAACAACAAACATATGCGGAAGAGGATAGATCTTGGTGCTTTTAGAGGTATCACTGTCAATCTTGCAGATGCAAGCCAAAGTATTTTGGCCACCAATGTTCATGGCGCAGGATCCACAGATACCTGATTACAAAAGTAAAAATGCATGAAATTGGAAAATACCTTCTCTGCAACTTCTACGGAAGGTAAGCGTTGGGTCAACCTCATTCTTAATTTTGATGAGGGCATCAAGAACCATAGTTCCGCACTTATCAAGATCAACTTCATACTTCTGAAAATTTGAGTTATAATATTGTCGGTTTCAAATGACTGAATCAAAAAAATTTTTTTGAAACCGACAATATCTACGGTAATTGATATGGATCGGTAATATGTATTGTTAAAGTCGCGCGAATGCGGCAAAAGCCAGGGATACCCTGAAGAAGGTTACATCTATGTACTCCACACAGACATCACTACTATATGCGTTCACATTATACAGTAAAGTATCGAAACTGCAGTTGCGTTACTTCGACAATAATGAAGAATGAAAAATTTCCAAATGTAAACATTAGGCACATTAATCGGAAGAAATACATCACAAATTAGCGTTTCCCACGGGATAGATAAAACAAAGTAACGTTCATGTTTCACCTGGGGCTGTATGCACAACTGTTTTCTCCGGAAACCGTATGTTTAAGAGATGCGATTTCCCGCAAAAATCGCATTGTGCATACGGCCACTGAAGAGTTTTCTGCACTTATAGCCCGAAATGAAGGAGAGGGTGGCCTACGTGCAAAATCGAAAAATCGAAATTTCTTAGTTATAACTTATAACCATCAAATTTTTCGATCAAAGTTAGCACGGAATATGTATATAGACAAACTTGGATAGTTGGTTTTGCTCCTGGAGCTTCTGGATTGAAGCGGTAAATCTCGAAAGTCTTGATTCTCTCTCCAGTCTTCTTTGGCTGCGCAGCGGCACCTGGAGTGATTCACATTGATAAATAAAACATTAATTCCGTGTTTAAATTTTCAATCAAGTTAATACACCAGTTTTAAGCAAAATGTTAGAAAAACTAACCCGAAGCAGCACGAGTGGCGTTGAGCGCCAGTTCGGTGCTTTGAGCGAGAATAGCAGAACGTGCCAACATCTGAAAGTTTTTCTAGCATTATACACCTTTTCGAATATTCGAATAAACAAAATATTCAAAAAATCTGTAAACAAAAACAAAGGACATGTTAAAATGGACGTTTTAAAAATGTACGTGACAATACTCCTCTTTACACACAGCCCATTATTTAGCGTAAACAAAAGGGTAAACGCGAAGCATCGTTTGAGTTTTTATTATTCCTTCGACTAATTTTTTTGGAAACTTAAATATTAAACTTTCTGAGAAAGTAAAGTTTAAGGTAGCATGGATTATACAATTTGTGTATTATATTTCGTTCAATGTCGTAAAATGATCAAAAATTAAATCAGAATGCTTTTTAAATGTTTTTGTTTCACTTTCAGATGAGTCGAAACGTGTTGATATTAGCATTATTCATTTCTGCAACTCGTAGCAATCTGAAACAATCTCCCACTACGGATGATCCATGGGATTTAGACGGGCCTTGTCAAAGATATGTTGAGGTAATTGTTATAGCTATTCATAAGCCCAACATATATTAATTTTTAGAAGTTTGCAGTAGTTCAATCCGAGATGGTGCAATGTGCTACGAATTGGTCAATTCCTCCTAAGGTGTGTACAAACTGCTTTCAGCAATATATTGATTTCAAGCAATATGAGTATTATACAAAACATTTGGTAATGTGCTCATTTTTAAATTTAACAAATGATATTTTAGGACAACATTTTTTCACTGGACAATCGAACTTGCTCTCAAGTTATATACGATAATTATTTGTTGTCTTACAGTAATGATATTTCCCATGCTTTAACGTCAAAAATTTGGGAACAATCAAGATGCGACTGTGAGTTATTTCATTAGATCATAAATAAATATCTGTTGAATTATAATTTTTCCAGCTTGTATTCAAATAAAATGGAATTTTGAGCAAAATAAGTCCGAAGTTGCTTTTAGCGATCGTACCATGCAATTTCAGGTAACTTTTCCAGTGAATTTGTCTGAAAATGTAAATACAGAACAGATTATATGAATGGCGAAATTGTGTAGTGAATTATACATCTGTTCCATTTCGAATGAGCGAGGTATTGCTTTTAAATTTGATTGTGACTTGAAATATTTCAAGATTGGCAATTCAAGCGACATTTGCGGACTATGTAAAACTCCTTTTAATGACTTGTTCAGCTATTACTGGAAAATTTATATCACTCCTGAGATCGATTTTTGTGTAGACGTTGAAACTACGGTATTTATTTGTGAAAATGAATTCAATTGTTTTCTGTATTTATCAGATGAACGATACAATTCATTTATGGAACGACGTTTGGAAATGCGCGGAGCGTCAAGACAGGTAAAACCTTTTTTCACAATTCAATCTTATGGATGTTTTTTAGAAATCGGGATTTAATTAGTGTAGTTGTCACATTTGGAATTCTTCTTTTGTTAACCGCATTATTCTATGCAGCTAGCTACATCCAAGGAACTGAAGATTCTAGAAATTTAATTAGTTGTAAGTAGTTAAACCCCAATATTGAAAGACAACGCATTTGTGTAGATTCACGGTTGGACACAAGGCCTCAACGATCGCGACTAATTTCGTCAAGTGTCTCAGATTCGCATTTTAGACGTCAAACTCTAAGTCCTCCGACATCGACAATATCAGTACCAGTCGATAACCCACATTGAGATTTTTAAAATTAAAATTTAATCATTTTTGTATATAGATTGACACATATTTTCTTTTATGATGTTAAGGGTCCCGAATCTTGTCACTTTTCTTTTTTCAAAATTTCCTTACTATAACTAAATAAATATTATTACTTTTTTGTTTGTAATAATGACGGAATATGGTTTTAAATCTATTTTAGTATTTGCAAGTCTTTTTTTTTTAAGTTTTTAATTTGAATTTTAGGCTTCATCAACGTGGGTTTACGAAATAGTCTGGCCTCTCGAAACTCCCGAATGTAAGTCTTTGTTTTTGTTCTCAAATGACAATTTGTGCAAAGAAAATGAAAAGGTCTAGTTCTTCCCCGAGAGTGTGTGTATGTGTGCCCGCGCGGAAAAACATAACAGCTGCAGAAGTGCTCGTTCTACAAATAATGCATTTAGCCGCCTAATTTTCGTGTTAATGCGTTGTTTGCAGCAGTTGAAACAATTTAAGTATCAAAGTTGCCTGAAAAATATTAAATATTTAAACTATTTTGGATATATCCGAATTTAACTCATATTTTCGTTTTTTAATTAATCATTTTTTTAAGAAAAAGTTTGATTTTATTTACTTAAAAAACCATTTGGGAAATTTGATATAAACAACTTGAATGCTCTTATGGTTTTCGAGTACCGTTTTTTCATCGCCAATCAGTCATGTTGATGGTGTTATAGTTGAGTGACCATGTCTGACGTTTTGGAATATGTTATTTCTCACATTGCATAAGGTGCGCGGCGGAATAATGTTTGTATTGGCATGCGGGGCGATGCGCGCGCGCCCCTCACTCGCCGCCGATTCACAAGAGCTTTATTCGCTTGTCGACGTCCAATTTTTTGTTTTCTTTTTCGGTCGTCCTTCTGCGAATATCGATCCTTGTTCCGCAGATTTCAGATGAACATCTGTCATCGGCTCGTTTCGCGCCGCATTTCCGGCTCTCTGAACGCATTCAGGAATTAGCCTCGGCCAGGTGTTTGTTGATCCTTCGGTTGTTTCACCACACTTCTTTTTTTTGTGTGTTGGGCAGTTGTATGTTTATTTTTCACTTCCTTTCATTCCGGTGTCGTCGGATATTGTGAATCCGGCCGGCATGCTATTATGTGTCTTTTCCTTTCCAATCCAAAGTTGCTAGATGCTTCAAAAAAACCCTAACCAAAAATTTTGCAATTTTGACTACGCTTGTTTTGTTCTCGATTTGTCGTTTTGTCCGGCTCGAGACGAATACGTTTTATTTGTTGCTGCCCTCCAGTCACCACTGTCAATCTTTTTGCCGAAAGCGTGGGAGAATTTCTCCCCCAAATATGGGCTGCGAGCGATTTTTCTCGCTCTGCCTCATTGAATCTGATATTGACTTTGCTTTAGTGTTTATGAAAAAAAAACTTTTTAAACTAAAGTTTCGATACATCGAATGTTTAATTTTCCTTGTTTCCCGAAATTTTCTATAAGTAGTTTTTCTTTTAAGCTTAAAATCTGCGATACGTATTTGCATACATAAAAAATGTTTTATTCGCGAATTGAACATGTCATGGTTGGGGTTTTCCGGTCAAAATGGTTTGTTTTGTTTGAAAAATCACGTTTTTTGGCCTTGTCATCTTCTCGTCTATTCCTGATTGCGCAGTAACGCCATCTAACATGGTTCTTTTTGCAAATGTCGAGAAATCGAATAAATGATGAAAAGCGAGCCGATTCACTGCGCGACGATTAACGATTTCGAATTAGGGGCATTGTGAATATGAATGAAGGCAGCGAGATCAAGTGAAATTTGCTGAATATTGATAATCACGATTGTCCGACAGGCGGAATCGTTTATTTATAAATAGTCGACTGTATGCGGCCGCCCCGTCGCCATTGGCTGTCTCCAGTAGATTAAGCGACGACGTCGACCGGCGGTCACCTATGCAAGCGGATAATTAGAAGGATATGAATGGACGGAGGCAAGCGCGCATATATACATGAGAGTGCGCGAGAATCGAGAGGTGATGAGCAGCAGCCCGTCGAGTGAATATACCCGAATTACACCCGCCACCAACAGCGGGCGGGAGGATGACAACGACGACGACATCATTTTCTCGTTCGTTCGTTTCTCGATGGTTTTCAACACGACAGCGATCGGATGCGAAATTAGCCATGCTTCTTCATATGTGTTTGTGTGCGTCTGTATGTGTATTTCTCTTTTCGTTCATTCACCTGGCCTCACAGTAATTTCAAGTTGTTTGAACAGGCGCCTATCGTGTTCGTTATGAAGTTGTTGTTCAAAATCCCCTATTCCTTTCATCCTCGATCGATGCTTTTTAATTATTCTATTCCAATAATGTTTTGACTCATAACGACTGTCGAGATTTGTGAAATAAGTGCCCGTTAGTCTAAAAAACTAATTAGCCGAATCATATGTCATCATAATTACCAGACATAAATTTAACGTTAGAATGGCTTAAAAAAAAACATACAGGGTGTCATTTAAGTTCCCGCACAAAAGTTTGACGCCATGAAGAGCTTGGCTGTCGCACTTTTCGTGCACCAATACAATTTATTTTTGTTAAATAAGGTATATTTTACTTACTTTCCAAGTTTCACCTCATTCGGATGTGTTTCCGAGAAATGGCGAAGGCTAACATCCATTGCGCTTCCATTATCGAACTTCATAAGCAAAATGTGAGCTCGAGAGACATCATTCAACGGGTCGGTGTGCCTCGTAGAACGGTTTGCGACACCATCAAACGTTTCAAGGAGCTAAATACGACCAGTCACCGTCCCAGACAAGGAAGACTCGTCTCAGTAACCACTCCTCAGAAGATCAACGCCGTCAAATCGAGGATCAGGCGAAACCCCCACAGGAGCATGAGAAAGATGGCGTTAGACATGGGAATGAGCATCTTCGCTATGGAACAAATTGTCAAAACGAAGCTTGGACTGACCCCATATCGTGTCCAAAAAGCGGCAATTCTATCGGCCGTCAGCAAGCAGAGACGCTTCGAAAAAGCAAAACGACTTCTTGCTCGCACGCGGTCTGGACAACACCTCGTCACTGTCTTCTCCGACGAGAAGCTGTTCACTGTGGAGACGGCATTCAACTCACAAAACCATTGAGTACTTGCCCAGACATCCCAGCAAGCTTCTGAGAAAAGAAGAACATATCATCCAGCCTCACATCCTGCCAGCATGATGGTTTTCGTTGCCATCTGCTCAACCGGGAAGTGCCCCCTGGTTTTCGCGGATCAGGGGGGTGAAAGTGAACAAAGAAGTCTACGTTCGGGACATTTTGGAGAAGCATGTGATGCCCTGGACCCAAACGCATTTCGGTGGGCAGAAATGGGTCTTTCAACATGACGGAGCAGCCGCCCACACTGCCAAAACTACTCAGGAGTGGTGCCAGACCCATTTTCCCGACTTCATCAAGTCATCTGAATGGCCTGATTGCTCCCCAGACCTGAACCCGCTTGACTTTCCCGTGATGGGGTCTTGCAGGAGAAGGTCAACGCAAAACCCCATTCAAGTGTAGAGGCTCTGAAGAAGACATTACTGGCGGAATGGGACAATCTTTCCATCGAATACCTGCGTACCACAGTCGCATCCTACCCGAAGCGTTTCCGTGAAGTCATAGCTGCGAAAGGAGGCCGAATCAAAAAGAGTTAATAGATAAATATTTGTTATACTATAGATAAAAAATATTTTGAGTCTCGTTTGATTTGGACTTTTAGTTTCAGAAATATACGTCTTCAAAGTTGTGCGGGAACTTAAATGACACCCTGTATTTGTAGCAAAATGAAACTGTTGAATGAATGTTCAGACACATAGAATGTTTTTGATATACGTATCGTGCATTAGAAAAATTATTTATTCAATAGTGGCCTCTATCATTCAACTATTAATAGTATTTGTTGTGTTTAGCGTGCGTCATCAACGCGTCTTAAGTATCATTTTTCACAACCTATTCATTTTTTGCAAGGCGTGAGCGCTTTCAAAAATATAAGAACCTGCGTTGACTAAATCGTGTAGAGTGCAACGAAGGACGCGCGCGCACACACAAATGGCGAGTTGACACATGTTTTCGATGGGTTGACGGGATATATTGAAACGGCAAAATCAGACCAAACTGATTTGTGTCGAAATAATCAACACATACCCACACACACACACACACACACACATATGTTGTGGAAGAGCGAACAGTTTTCGGATAGCGGGTCGAATGAGTGTGTGTGCGTATAATGATGCGGTTGTTCATGGGTGAACGGGGGCACGAACAAATGTTTCGAGTGCGGTCGGTTGCGAGAAAGAGACCGCCGAGAAACAGAAGAGTTTTGTCGAATGTATTACGAACACTCATCATACCGAAGCAGTGCCTCAAGAAATCTCCCACTCGCTCCCGTCGCCGGTGTCTCTTTATTTCTTTGCCTCAAATCCATCGCCCTCCCGACGACTGTTGTGTTCTTATCCGTGTATCGCAAGAATTGAATGGGATCTCTCACTTTCGACCCTCATTACTTATTTTTTGCCAATTTTTTGTTACTTTCTTGCCTCGAATTAAAACTTTTTTCTTTCAAAGTTTCATAAGTTATTTCTGCTGAATAGCTTTTCCGTGATAAATATCATTAATAAATGAGACCTCGTGAAGCACTCTCGATAATGAAAAAATGCGATAAAAATGCGAGACGTGTGTGTATGAGTTTCAGATGTAATTTCGTATATTAAAGGCTCATAAATCTGATGTGTTCGAGTCTGAATAGTCAAATGATTTGTGCAGGAGAAATTTTGTCGCAGTTAGATTAATTTATGGTTTTTTACTCCATAAGGTTATCGTTCTTCCGCAATTTGAATATACTATTGCACGGAAAACTACCGTGATCGATTTAGATTTAGATTTATATATTCAATAATTCAAAAAGTTTAGTTGCTCTAACTGTCAGATATTCAGTTTTAGGACACACCAATATAATTTGCAATCTACTGTCAACATTAGAGATGTAACGATTTATGTTATTGTCCAATTTTTTTCTTTCAATTCTGTGAAAATTGACGTTTTGCAATTGTAGCATTTTGTGTAGAGCAGAGTTCCGTTGTGCCTCCAACTTTTGACGAATTGCCTCCTACGAGATGTCGGTTCTCCATTTTGAAAATGATTGCAAAATTTTTCTTGTAATATCTTGTCGGCGCCGTTCCTTGAACCTTCTCATGTCTTTTCCACATTGGACTACTCGCCAAACCCTATTATTTGTGTTGTTCTCAAATTAAACTTTATGGATATTGTTTACGAGCTTTCTCTTTTTGCTGCTTCTTCTTCTTCCGCTCTTTTTGCTCATGCTTAACTACTTCTTTATTTTTACAACTTTTATCGAAAATTTTCGAATATATTTGTGGCTTACGAATCGATTGGTCACATTAGAAGTATCGGATTTCGATGCGCATCACCTATTGAAGAGAGAGGAAGGGAGAGAAAATCGCCCGTTTTGTTTTTCGACTCTTCGCTTTTGTTGAATTTGGGCTACTGAAGCTCATTAGCTATTCATTCTTTGCATTTTCGGAAACGGATTGATTTTATTATTACTATAAAAACCGCAATATGAACAATTATATAATGGCATGTCGAATTGCATCCAGTTTTTGGCGGCCGATAGTTTAAAGTTGTCACCTCTGTTTTCTTTTTTTTCGTGGAATATGTATTCCTCGCTTTTTTGTGTTCATAGATGATGTTTCAGATGGGACAAGATGACGAGGACGATGCGTTTATGCTGCAAGCCAAACAACAAATCACATATAATGTAATCAATAAACGCAAGGTAAGTACATTAATATTATTTTTAACTTACATTTTGTTCAATCCGTGCATCTGAAATTGAATTATCTATTTTGAAAGTTATAAAAATATAATTTTTGTAATTATAAATGGATCCAAAAATACGAAATCTGTTCAATGTCGCTTCACCATAATGCCAAATTTTCTATTTTTATTAATCGGTTCGTTTTTTTTCCAGGTATTGTAAAAATTCATGTTCTCGTTAAATCAATAAATTTTCGAAGTATGAGAGATATAACAGATACTTATTTGTCAAATTTCTAAGTTATTTTTTTTTCCAAAAGTTATTCAGATTTTACCCGTGTCTTTCATTTGCCCGAAATTAACAATATATCAATAGATTTTTATGAGATTTTTTTCTTGCTGCGAATTTAAAATATTTAAAGAATAATATAAATATAACACTCAATATATAATAATTTGACGATCAATATAATATCACGTTATTCGAAAACTTTCTTCTTTTCAAAGACGTAATGCAAATTGTAAATTCTATATTCACAGTTTCTCGAAATTTCAAAACGCATATTCTCTCGATTGAATATTCGTTAAATATTGGAGAATATACGTTTTTGTTTTTTTTCCGCCATTCTGCAAACGTATCAATGATTTAGCAGTCTTCTCGTTTCTTTTTATTGAGAAGAAAAAAATGTTGACGATCACCGATTGCTAAGCTCTCAGTTCAGCATTGGTGTCCGACGTCTGTCGGAGTATTAAACATTGAACTACAACTTCATAATGCAAATATATATTTTTTGTTTTCTTTTGTATAATAATTATTATCGGCTTAAAATGAGTGACAAAATGCAGACTATGGCGTTTTTTTTCAAATGTAAATATGGAAAACACTATTTTGTCAAAAAAATCTGTTTTTTCTTCACTTCTGGTACACCTTTTTGCTTAATAGCTGTAAACGCCATTTTTGTTCTGTTGCGAAAAAAAAAATGAAGAAATAACACAAAAACGAGATGATTCATCATATGGAAAGAACAAGAATTCACTGCCATTCCGTGCGTTTCATGCCGTTCGCGGGTTTTTTTCCGCTGTTGGTGCGCAATTCGACAAACCAATACATTTTTTGCGTTGTCGGCGGGTTCGTTTTCATCATGGAGGCGAAACAAAAATAATACATATATTTTGTTTGCTATCAAGCTTCGTATTTATTGATTTTTTTTTGACGGTTCATGAATACGTTTGACATATTCAATTTTGATTTATTTTCGGGAACTAAAGTAGTAACTCTGAAATTCTCGACGATAACTAGTTGCTTGGTGATTTGCCAAAACGTTTTTTTTTTGTAAAATGGCACACAAAACTAGACACAAATGTTAATAAAAAGTGCAAACAGTTGCAAACATGACCGCAATCCTTCTCTAATTCCTCCCAAGAAAAATGCTCACGAGTTTCGCGTTTTTAGTAGTTGTGAGTCACGTTTTGAATATACTAATGAGTTTTTCTCGATTTTTTTCTTTCATTATGATCGTCGGGTTTCATGGAATCGCGTTAAACAACGTTTGATGGTTTTTGCGATCCCAACCCATCCAGATGGCGGCCACATAAACGTTTCTTGTCTGTGTAATCCACTGTGAATTTATGTCATTTTTGCGCACCAAATTGTTTTATTAGTAGGTATTCGAAGGTCGCTAAATGCAGTTCTAATGAATTATTGATGTTTCGACGAAGCGGCATTCAATTTGTTTTATTTGCGTGGTGTTGTCCCGAAAAAAAAAACAAAAACTAATTTGATATTGTTCGCTTTTTTGTTTAATGAAACACATTGAAGGACCAACTGCGACGGTGGCAAGGCAGTGAAATGAACGCGGAACCAGCGCGGAGAACCAAACGACCAAAAGTGCAATTTCAAGACAGCGATGTATTTTTGTCGGCGTGTATGTCTGGCGACGAAGAGGAGGTCGATGAGCTCCTTGAGAAGGGCGCCGATATCAACACATGCACTGTCGACGGGCTAACAGCGCTTCATCAGGTATCGAAATTCCTCAACTTTAAACATTGCGCTCTGTTTTGCAGTCAGTCATCGACTCTAAACCGGAAATGGTGCGATTTTTATGCGAAAAAGGAGCCGATGTGAATGCGCAGGACAACGAAGGTTGGACTCCGCTTCACGCGGCAGCCTGCTGTGGAAATGTGGCGATCGTCAGATATTTATGCCAACACGGAGCTGATTTAGCAATTGTCAACAGGTTGGTTTTAGTCAATCACGTTTGCTCATAATACATTTTAATTTTTCAAAAATAAAATTTAGTTTCGTGGCGTTTTCATTTTCAACTACATTTTTTTCTTTTCAGTGATAAAGAACTCGCACTTGATTTGGCCGAAGATGAGCAATGCCGTGAATTACTTGAAGAAGAATATAGGCGGCAGAATATAGACATCAATGCTTGTCGAGACCGCGAATTGAATGTGATGCTTCGCGACGCAAAAACGTGGTTGGCCACCGGCGAATATAGAGATGTACCCCATTATCGAACGGGAGGGACCGCAATGCACGTCGCTGCTGCTCGAGGATATACTCAGATTCTTGAGATGCTTATCAAAGCCGGAGGAAATGTTCGAGCTCAGGATAAGGTAGTCAGGACATTCTATGATAATATCTATTAATTTTTAAAAATTGATAGGATGGATGGACGCCACTTCATGCTGCTGCTCATTGGGCAGAGCGAGATGCTTGTAAAATATTGTTAGAAAATAATGCCGAATTGTCTGATACCACATTTGCGGTAATTTTGAAATTTATTAAAAGTTTGACGATGAGTTTTCTTTGTTTTCAGGGTCAAGATGTGTTAGCCGTAGCTGATAAAGAGATAGTAGATTATTTAATTGAGCTTGGTGAAGCGGCGCGAAATCGTGAGAAACGAAAGTCGCCGATTACGCCGTCAACTCCTGTTTCTGTTCTGCAGGTATGGAGTGATAATCGCTATTTCATTGAATTTCGAGAATATTTTAGGAGAAAAATCACCGAGTTCATGAGGATCATATTCTCTCTTCTGGCAGGAAGAAGGATATCCAACACAAAGATCAACACAGGTTTGTTTCTCGTTCAATTTTGCTCAATTTTTCATGCAAATCAGCTTCTATCCCCATTTATTTACGAACTTCTTTTTGTTATTCGTTGCACGTTTTTTAAAATTTCATTTTTCTGATCTTTTTCGCTTCACGCGTTTTCATCTTTCAGTGAAAACGAATTCATTCACCATATTCCGAGCACTCCACTATCGTCGGCTTCGACATCCGAGTCGACAAACACCTCGACGACATCGACGACAATCACAATTGGTTCTGATGGTGCAGCAAGCAATTCGCGCGAAATGTCGAAAGAAAGTTCGGCGAGCGATGAAACGCGAACTGAATCTGAAGACGTTGAAGCTGAAGATGAGGCAGAAGTTGATGAAGACGAATTGGAAGAGGATGAAGAGGAAATCGAAGGAGCTAGTGAAAGCGAGAACAAGATAACGGTTATTGAGCGGAATGGCAATGTCAAAAACCCGTCACCGCTGCCATCGGGAACTAATACTGATGCAAGTAGAAGTCCCTCAGCATCCAGGTTTTTTTTGCATTTTTTTGCATTTTATCGCTTATCCGAATTTTAATTTTATTAATATCAAAAGAGAAGGAACTGTTTCTTACCCAAATCAAAAATTTTTAGATCGTCGGATATCTATTCCACTCGGTCCAGCAGCGAGCGAGATACTTCTGTCGAGACGACATCGGAATCGTTGAAATCCGGGTCGCTATCGACATCATCAAAGTTTGCCTCGACGTCGTCACAGTCATCGGGTAGCCGCTCTGTGTCAGTTCCTCCGATTGTTCAAAGCGAAACTCCTCGTTCTTCTTTAGTTCGTTAATATTCATTTTTTTCTAGATAAATATGTTCTTTTTTTCAGGAGAGTTCGTCTGTTGGTAGTGGAGATCAAACTGTTAGTGCGACACTTCCAATTGCGCCAAGTTCAGCTCCACCAAAGGCAATTCACCAATCACCCAGTAGTTGGATTAACCGTGGATTGCCGCTGTTTTCCAGGTTCGTAATTTTTTTTCTTCAATATTTCAATACATAAATGAGTCATTTACGATATGAAATGAATATTGAAATAGAACATTTCATATATTGTGATTACATAGCGTACGCAGCCGCGTTGTACGGTTTATTGTTAAATTGAAACAATGTTTTGAGAACAAACTTCAATCAAACACCTTATGTTCTTTTTATTATAAATTGTTGGTTATTTCAGAAGCTCGACGTCGTCAGTTTCACGAAGCAGCGTTACACCAGCATCGGATATTGTTTCTCCGCCAACATCGCTGAATTCGCAGCACCCAATTTCGGTGCCATCTTCTTCTGCTTCAGCAGCCTCTTCTGCTGCTGGCGCTTCGACGCCTTCGACACCATCGAATGTGATGTCGGCGACAATTTCATCGATGGCAAAGAATTCGCCATCACCCGCGGGTAGTGTCACAATCACAGCAACATTCACGAAACCAAGGTATTTTTTTATTCACTTTTCCTTCGTTCATTCGGTTCCGATTATTTGTTATTTGTTCGTCGTATATATAATTTTGTTTTCTTGTCCTTGTCCATTTTTGTTTTTTTTTTGTGATTTCAGTACCGAGAAACCGGACGAGGTATTCCGGAGTCCTTCGTATCCAACCAATGTACCGTGGGCGTCATTGTGGCACAGCTCCAATGATTCCTCGAGTCATATTCGCTCGCAAATCGAGCAACTCAAAAATGTTTCATCCTCATCGATCAATACATTGCCGCGAGTTTCGGCGTTTCGGCCACCGATTAAAACATCGTCCTCATCCGTGTCTTTAACGTCGTCGTCACAATCACAGCCAGCGAAGATTGCTGAATATCCAAAGATATTTGTACCACACCAGATGAACCCAGTCAAAATGAGGTGCCTATCCGTGTGTTTGGAGCTTCAAGCACGTCATTTTGTGAACCTAACTAACCGAATTTCACTAATTCATCTCGAAAAAGAGTGAGCGAATTCATCGAATTTTGGGCCTCTTGCTGCTTCTCATGTGTTTTGTTAATCGCACTGGTGTCTGCACCTGCTTGTTCATCTCTTTCTTTAATTCGAATACAAAATGCATAATTGTGTCATTTTCAGCCGATGGCAATCAAAGACCGTCAACGAGAGCGAGGCGGAACGTCGAAACAATTCGAGAATGCAACGACAACATAGAAGGTCGACGCAAGGAGTCACCAAGGTTTGCTGATTCAATTTGCCGCGCCACCAGCAATCTGTTGTTCAGGAACAATTGGAAGAGGCAAGTCGGTTCGCAATCGAAGAATCGTCAAGACGGCATTCGGCCGCAGTTGTGTCACCCAATCAATTGCCTTCAACGGTGAGCAATATTCCATTCATTCTGCCTAACAACTGCGGAATTGGCGATGATAAATATTTGTGAAATTCCCCTAATATGTTATTCATTTTATTATAACGATATTCCCTGTATGCAAAGGTTATTCAATCGTACTAGAGAAAGGAACCTATAGAAAGAATGAGATATATATTTAATGGGGGTATTAGTCATTTCCTATTCGCCGAGCTCGTTCTCGTTCTCGTTTTCAATCAAGGCATGCGAACTTTTTATACGTCTAGCGTTTCGAAACTATACACTCATTTTCCACCGATTTCCAACATTATTCCCCGTGGTTTGCAGTCATTCGTTTTCAGAATAATTTGGTTCGATTGGCATCAGAAGAAAAGGATCTCTCATCGAATAGCGAATCGTTAGACATGCCGAGAAATGGGGATGTATCGACGTCGGCGACGCTTTCGCTCAACTCACCGAGCACAAATGCAGCGAATTTGCGTCGAAAGAGTCAGGTAATTCGAGTCGATATTTTTTTGATTGCTTTTTTTTGGATGCGTGTTGTTTCAATCCTTCGTTACTTTTTCTCTTCACCTGTCTCACGTTTTGAAAATAGTATTGCACCAATTATTTATTAGATATCGTGTTGTGATGCATCCTCTCTTCAGGGATTCACAATCTCACGATCGAATCGTCGGGCAACGGGTCCAGTGAATCCAGAGGATCTCGTCCATATGCGATCCAGCGATTCTCAACAGCAGCCAACACCGCCGAGTCCATCGATGAGCCTAAGGCTGGCGGCGGCGCCGTCCAATTCTCAACCATATTCGCCGGCTTCTGTGCGTTCCGTTACTGGAACAGTTCCAACAATGACATCTCGATTTGCTGAAAAGGCGCACTCACTTCCGCCGTCCAACGGAAACGTATGTCATTATTTTTCTGTTTCATTTATTCAAAAATTTTCGGTGAATGCTCAAAAATGGTTTTATGCGATGTTGTTTGTTATGATTTTTGCTATTTCTTTTGTTTGAAGTTTCTTCTGATTTACGTTATCGCCAACTTTTCAGTTGAAGAGAAAATGTTGTGGTCGTATTCGCTTAGTGTAGATTACAAAGACAAAAAATAGCTGGTTGTTTGTTGGTTGAGTGGTTGTATTATATCCACAGAAATAGAATAGCATTTTGTAAATATACTTTTTTTCAAGTTCTATTTATGTTCGAACTTTTCAAAATCTACAAAGAAATTGGTTCATTTGAGAGAAATGTGTTTGAAATTGAAAAAGATCAATTGGAGAAGTTCAAATGAACTCCTTGAAAATACTGACAGTAACTTGAACATATCCCTTAAAATTTTCTTTGAAAAAGATACAAAGACAAGTTTTGAAAAAAAAAGTTGTTGCTTTTTTAGCTTTTTTATCCCCTAAATCTGCATCATAAACTTTAAAAAAAACAAATTTTAATGTATCTGTTTTTTTTTTTTTAATTTTAATATATCTGATTCAAACCGATGAAATTGCAGCATGTGAGAGGAAAAACTAAAAGTTATTAATGTTAAAAGTTATTTTTAAACTTAAAACTTTAGTATAAACAATTATGATTTTTGCAATATTTTAAAAATTTGCTTTGCGCTCGAACAATTGCGGTAGTTTTGTGTCGAGTTTCATTATTGTTGACAAACGCATTTCTCTGCGGCTCTCGGCAATGAGCAGTTCGATTCGTTCGCATTGTGGTCGTTTGGGTTATTCGCAGGTAGTTTGCCTCATCAATAGCTTCAAAACAAATAAATTCGAAACGACGTTAAAAATTGCCGAGTGCGTTTTTTTTTGCGTATTGGTCGCCCCCAAAAAATCCCGATTTTGTGAGTCCGAAAAAAAAGAACTCTTGGCAGACATTGAAATCCATTCGACCTGGTAGACACTTGAGATTTTCCATTATATTTCAAAATGAATTCGGCAGCACATTTTAGTCCGCTGCCGATTCGATCGAATCGATATCGTTGATCACGACAACCATACTCTCATCAGTCTATAAAAGTTCAAATTCACAATTTCATTATTGACATTAATTTGTAACTTTTAGACTTCGAATCACTCGATTTCGTCGAGAAGTGCCGTTGTTGCCGGTCTTTCGACGGCTCCATCAGTTCGGTCGGGACCATTATCATCAACTGCTTCTCGTTTCGCACCGTCATCATCGTTGTCATCAAATAATTCTAATCCGTCTAGCTCACAAGTAACTCCATTTTCATTTTTTCCATATTCATCAATGAATTATTATAGAGCCGACCAACTGAAACGAATCTCAACTATAAGGCCCTTTATGAAAAAGAAAAAGCTGAATGTGAACGTTTAAAACGCGAAGTCGAAGAATTGCGGAGGTCGCAAACAGTTGATGTGAGTCTTTATTTTGAACTTTCAATACATAATGAGAATGTTTGTAGAACTGGCGCAATGCGAACTCGGCGAACAGTTGGCGAACCCGAAATTCGTCGCCTTCATCACAGTCTCACGTGAATTTGTCAGTTGCCAAATCGACTTCACTCGCTTCTTTTGACGAAAATGAGCGGAAGGCGATGGAGCGCAAAATTGCCGATCTCGAACTTCAACTTAAGGTTATTTTTAGTCGTCGTTTTAAATTGGCGATTGGAATAGGAGTTTGAAACAGATTTCAAATTCGTTCAATCATAAAAACAAACAAAAAATCGTTGAAAAAATAAATTTCTATCTAAATGAAGATTTCAGAGTATTTAAAAAACGAAATACTAAAAAGAATTTCAACCATATGTTTTTATTTCAGACTTCTACAAACTTACGAATGGAAAATCAGCGTTTGAAAGAGGAAAACGGTGCATTAGTGCGAGTCATTTCAAAAATGACAATTTGAATCGATCACCTCATTCTCACCAAACAATTCTCTTAAAAGTGCTCTCCCTTAACAGTAAATGTATTTTCTAACCATTTATTTTCGCATAATCACCTCGATTCGCAGGGATTTTCCATTTTCTCTCTCTCTCTCTCTCTCTCTCTCTTTTTCATCCCATCCTTGCATAAATATTTCTCTTAAGCTATATACGGAAACAAACATAATTGTGCAATATTATGGTCCCGTTTAAATTATAATTATTTATGTTTCATTCATCAGCATAATTTGATGCTTCTCAAGTTTTACTTGTATGTGAAAACAGATAGTCGTGTAATGAATACCATTCTGATTGCTGTTATATAGTTTGTGATTACGGATATGATGGGATTTCAGTTCGTTTTTTTTTTATTTATTGTCCCGTTGTTTCCCAATTATCAACTATAACAGCCTCCCCCCGCTAGAAATCGGTTCGATTATTTCTTATTTGTTTCCCGCTTTCTTTCAACATTTAATTTCTTCTCCCTCTATCATTTTCCTTTGTTTCTTTTCTCTTTTTCATGCGTTCGCCGTTTCATTATAAAATAATAACTAATATATCGAAATTACGATATTAACGAATTGTGCTCAAAAACGGTTGGATTTTGTTTGTTGGAATTTAGTTCTCTTTCATTTTTATTGTTTATGTGTGAGTGACAATTTTCTTTAGTAGATCACAAGAAGAGACTGATGAATAAACACTTTATTCTGAATTGAAAGACGATTCTCTGTTTTTTTTTTGAATGTCGAAAGACTACATTGAAAGATTAATCGAAATCGGGATCAAATAATTGAACATGGCGACGAAGCGATTGAGAACGACTCGGCGTAGTTTGGGTACACTGCTGCTTCATTTTCTGAATTTCAAACTATGACATTTTCGGAGTCAATCGACCGAAAGTGATCATCCCACTCACAAAATCTGTGAAGATCTACAGGTAGGTAAATTTACGGTTTGATTGAATATTAAAGGGACTTAATATACACAGATAAGCCGGACAAACGGGAAGTATGGACCCAATAAAGGTTATTTTGAGCAATTTCACATTGTTAAAACATATCGGAAAAATATGTATCGGTAGTTTTCAAATTTTGCAAAAAAAAAAGGAAAAATATTCATTTTTTTCTTTTCCTTTTTTTATGTTTTCTGCATTGGAGTTTTGTGGATTTTTCATTTTTTTTTTAATTTTCAACTTTAAAAAGCATGGGGATTGCACAAAAAATTGTTGTAACCATTTTTTGATATTTTTTCCATATAAATCGTGCCTAGTATTATAATGAAACTCGCAAGCGTGAAATAAACGAGAAAAAAGTATTGAAAAAAAAGCTGCGAAGGTATTAGCAACAAACACTTTTCTGATTTAACATCAAATTTCGAAATCTCAATACCTGTCTTCTTCTATTATCTTCCCATAACTTGGCCCTATTAAGAACATCTTCAATCTCTTCTCCAATGATCTCATCGACGAACAAATGAAGTGTCGAGCGACTTGTGACTGAAATGATTTATTTAGAAAACTTTGATGTTCTGAAATCTCACCTAGTCGTCGTTCAGTTCTGATTGGAATTGTGCTAATATCGGCATCAAATTTATCCAAATTCGTCATTTTTTCGACAGGATTCTTTTTAGTTTCATCGGTTTTTCGTTTCTGTTCCGGTTCAACGTGTTCTTTGCTTTTCGCTTCTTCCCTTCTCCTTGTGTTCATTTCCTTCGATTCAGTCCATTTGGCCCGTTCTCTTTTGCCACCCTGTTTCGGCTTCATCGATTGTTGTTGTTGTTGTTGTTGTTGTTTTCTTTGCTTAACCCCTTCCTCCTCTTCAATATTTGATCTTCGTTGGTCTTTTACATATTTTTCTTGGTTTGATTCCTCAATTTCCTCGCTTATGTCGCCTCCAGATGATTCATCTTTCTTGTCGGACAATTCCTGATTCTCATTCGCTTTTCTTGCTGTTGTTACATAGGTTTCCGTCACTTGGTAAGATCTGTGGTATCGAATTTCATCCTCAGCCGGTGCCGCAACTCCGGGTTTTCTTGAAATTCTCGAATTGATTTTTGATTCAGAAACAGTTTCCTGCGGATTCTGAATCGACACGCATTCTTCTTCGGTTTTCACTGAAACCGCGTCGTTCTCTTTCTTCTTCGCTTCTTTTTCACGCGTATCGATTGGCGGGAGACTCTCGATCATCGATGATGTCTTCGATTGTTCGGATTTGCCGGATCCTCGAACAATTTCTAAACTGGACGTATAAGAAATGCAATTGAAAAAATGTAGCACAAACCTCGCTTAGACGAGCTAGTCGAATTAAGAAGCCGTGGTAGTTTTGTTTTAGATTTCGACCGATTTTGGTCGGCACGTGAGCCATCATCTCTTCCACCTTCTTCCGAAGTTTCACCGGGATTACTATCTAAACCCTTTTTCGGCTTCTCTTCTTTCATCGCAACTCTTTCTCCCATCATCCATTTCTCGTTTGTTCCTAACCAAGTGGCTGTTCCTCCCAACTCATTCAAATGCTCCATACTCCCGCCAATCTGAATCAAAGTACATTATTAAACATCGAGGTGTAAGTTGTTCACATTAAAATATAATCGGCGTCGATTTTAACACGTGCCAAACTTATCAGGAAAACAGCAAAATACAGGCGTTCACACGTGGCGAGACCTTTTCAAGGCGCATACACGTAAATCTACCCGCGTGCAGCAATCGCCATACGCCGACTATACAATTCTATTATTTTACAATATCGGTCATTTTTTTAACGTCTCAAATAAGCGTTCAATGCAATTTGAAATGTTTCGTATAATTTGATACCTTCAGCGGCGGAATATGCGATTGCATATGCTTGAATTGTAGCTGCGAAGCGCTTGGACTCCGCGTGAGGATGCCGTCGAATGGGTACGGAAGTCCTGTAAAACAATTGCGAATATCTCGTCTATCTCGTCCCAAATGGGGGAGTTCCGCGCAGTAGACCGGATGCGCAAAGGTACAAAGGTATATTTCCGCTCAATCATGAAACATTCTGACAAATTGCTCCAAATGCACTATACGATGAACGCCTAATTTAGAAACAAAAAAACAATTGGGCTATGCTTTGGCGAAGACGGAAATTTCAGGGTTGCCAAAAAAACAGGGCCCGTGGCCCGACTCTGAGCTCTATAAGGCTCCCTATAGACCTATATATGAATAGGGGTCCGACCTGACATCGCTTTGACAACCCTAGATGAAATTATGAGTGAAAATCCAATTCAGGAAGAAAATCTTGGGCCGAATTTCAGCAGACTTTCGTTCTTATAAGAATTTGATGAAATTCTGTCCAGACTCTGCACAAATTTCCGAAAAAAAAAAGAAAAATACCTGTGATTGTGCCATATCCCTCTTTTTTCAGATAAATGTCCATACTTTCAGCGGAATTCAAAAATGTGTTTGGACCTTGATTGACTTTGATTATCGGATTATATCTCTGAAATTAAATACCATTCTCAAATTTGTTTGCGAATATTCTGCTTTACCTTTCCTCTCATTGTAAATCTTGATTGACCATACGGCACATTGATGAATGGCCCGTTTTCAACGGCCACGTATTCACCGTTTGTTTCTAAATCGTCAAACTGAAATGTTTTGTTTAACCTATTATCAGAAGAGAATAGCTGAAATACATGCAATACAGGAGTTCCTTGAACTGTGAAAATTCGTCGGATTGCTGTCGAAGTTCTGAGCATCTCAGTGAGCGCATCGAGAAAAACAATCCAATGTTTGTATTGTTTTCGTGTGACAGTAACTAGTCGGCCCGGATCGAAAACGTCGCCATTTCGATAAACGCGGATCTGACAAAAAATAATTAATTTTGCAAAAACTTTCAAAAAATAAATGCTAAATAATTATAAAAACTCATTTGTTGTTTGACGTGCGCCCGAAATTTATTTTAAAAATTTCTTAAAACAATTTACTCGCTGAATTGTTTTAATCAAAAAATACGCATTCCGAATATTGTTGAAACGCACCCTTAAAGGATAATAGTCGACGTGATGAATGATGGTGTGAACCGTCTCGGTCATTTCGTCTCCATCGACAATTGACCTAACAGAAAGAAAATAAAATTATATTCGCAAATGTTTCAGATTTTCACGAGTTTCTTTCTTTCGTAATATCCAGGAACCCATATTGCATTTCGCGTGGAAAAAAATAGAATTCAAAAAAAAGTAAATAATGAAAAACTCAACAACCAAAAAAAGTGGGTTGAATTGAGGTGAAGTATGTAGTGAGTTTTGAGGAAAAAACTCAAAATCGGTTGCTCGCATAGCTCAACAGACTGAACACATCCGGTGCAGGATACTTCGCCCTCGCTGTCCACCACTTATTATTATTATTATTATTATTACTATTCATCGACAACGAAACGACTATTATTATTTTTATAATAATAATAATAATAACAACGATTTTAGTGGTTCACCATTTGGACGTTGGCTGGTCAATTCATTTCCTTTGAAAATTTGTCAACAAACTTGGCCCAATTTAATAATTGTGTTTCAATTGTCGAGAGAATCTAATTTTTTTAATAATAAAAATTTTACTACTCATTTTTTTTTTTCAAAACAATTTTTTTGATTTATTAATCCCGATGTTGTCCAAATTTGGATATTCTTCTTGACTTTTACTCTGTGCAATGCAGCCTATTAAACTAAAACAAAATCAATCAAATATGATTTTAAAAAAAGTGTTTTGAAATCAATTTTTAAAAATTTAAAAAAAATTGAAAAGAATAATTGAAACACCATTTAGTTTGACTATATTATCAAAATTTTAATCGATTCTTTTGAATGCGATATGCATTTTCGAAATTATGAAACCAAAAGACCTCAAGGTTTTGATTATTTATGATCAAAAGTTCACATCAGAAATTAGAAATTAGTCCATTGATTGATAAAGATACCATCTCTGCGCCTCATTGATATATCATTTTCCTCACCAACGAATCGATTGTCCTATAAGGCTACAACGAAGCCGACTGTTATGTAACTGTCGTGTTCTTTTTTCTATCTGCTAATTGTTGGATAACTTATGTTTTGAAATACTTCTGCTGCTATTTAGATTTTGGGAAAATAAACTCAAAACGCATGTTTTTTAAGCATTTTGAATAGGGGTTTAAGAGTTTTTTTTAATAGTTTTTAACCAGTTTCTTGAGTTTGTTTTTTCACAAATTCTGCATAGCACCATTATTTTCTCCAAAAGTTTAGAATAATGAAATATTTTAAACATTCTTAACATTTGCTCACGTATTCACTTATTCTCTGGAAATTCTGGATATTTATACTTTTTTTAATGGATAACATATTTATTTGTAACATCAGCGTTACGTCATCTGAATCTGAAGACGAATAATACTCCTTGAAGAACGAAATCGATTTTTGGTTTATATTCATTAAATCAATTGTAGAACAATGAAAAGTGTTGTCGAAGGACAGTGCGGACAACAAAATGCACTTGTCGGGCTCGCAACATCCATCGGAACATCGAATCAACGAATCGCGCCTTCCAGTGCGGCGGCGAGCACGTTTATGCCAAACTCGACAATTGGAGAGCGGATGGCTGATGAGTTTATGAGAATGCGAGCTCAGGCGAATGCTCCAACCAGTTTTAATATGAATGTGAGCCGAGTTTCTTTGATTTGATTTTAACCAAACGATTTCAGTCACTTCAACAAAATTTGCCTCAAGCATCGGCATCATCGGCGCTAGCCAAAGAGTGGAGCAACGATTTTCAGCCAAGACAAGTTCGACAATAAAGCATTGAATAATATATGTATATTTTTTTTAGAATCAGTTAGCCTCCCAATGGGCCAATCAATATTCTGCGAATCATTTAATGAATTATGATTCAGCATGGCGTCAGGCTATGCCTGCTTCTTCCTCATCGGTTCAAGCGCCGGTGTCGAGTTCAATGTGGTCGGCCGAGTTCCTTGATAATGCCGAATCTTCACTCCAGCAAGGATCCTCGAAAGGAGATCAATGGGCTGACGAGTTCTTGAACCATTCGCAAGATACATTCAAAGGAACTCACAATGAAATGTACGAACCGTTTTGGGATGAATTTCAAAAGAAAATTGACTCATTAGACAAAAAAGAAGATTATGTATATCAAGTAAGAAATTCGTTGATTTTTTTTTCGATTAAATTCAACATTTTGAAGGAAGCAAATCCATTCGTTTCGAGCCAAAATCCGTTGGCAGAAGGCGATGCACTAATGCGACAGGGTGATATTGGAAACGCAATGCTCTCTTATGAAGCAGCTGTTCAGAAAAATCCACAGGTAAACATTTTAGGGAAAAAAAGAGAGAGACGAGTAGGGAAGTAAAATCATTTAAATTTTTATATTTAATTTAGTATTATTGAAATTATTTAAGGATGCAAATGCTTGGTGCCTTCTGGGACTCGCTCACGCGGAAAACGAAAAAGACCAACAAGCACTGGCAGCTTTTAATAAATGCCTCGAAATTGATCCGACGAACCAACAAGTATTTATGAATTGTAAATTCTGAAAATGAGTTCAATTCTCTTAAAGGCTCTTCTTTCGCTAGCCGTCTCACTTGCCAATGAAGGAATGGAAAACGAAGCGGTTCATCGTTTAGATAAATGGCTCTCATCGTATATTGTTGGTGTTGAAATTTTTATTTTGAATTGAAACAAATGATTTAGGGTTCGAATGCAACCGAAGTTTCAAGCCCTAATATTGGGCCATCCTCATTTTTGGATCATGATGCATTCAATTTAGTCGAAGCACGATTTTTGAATGCTGCTCGACAACAAACAACACCTGATCCCGAATTACAGGTAAATTTGGAAAAAAATAGCAGATTAAACAAGAAGGTTTAGAATGCGCTTGGAGTTTTGTACAATTTGAATAGAAACTTCGATCGGGCCGTCGATTCATTGAAATTGGCAATCTCCCAAAGACCTGACGTATGTTCATTATCACTACGTTGAGCTTTTCGAAAAAAAAAATGATTTTGATATAATTTACTTCCTTTTCGTGCAATAAATTGCTAATATCATCAATTTGTCCCAATTTTCAATACAGGATGCACGACTTTGGAATCGCTTGGGCGCAACATTGGCGAATGGTGATCGAACAGCAGAAGCTGTTTCTGCGTACCGTGAAGCTCTAAAAAGATATCCGACTTATGTTCGTGCTCGTTATAATTTGGGAATTTCATGTATGCAGCTTTCCACTCACAGGTAACTAAATTTGTCTTTATTTATTGGCGAAATTAATATTATAGAGAAGCGATGAATCATTTCATATCGGCACTTGAATTGCAAAAAGGAGGCGTCCAAAACAGCGGAATTTGGAGCACATTGCGATCGGCGGCGATTCGAACAAAAAACATTCCTGATAGCGTTTTGAACGCAATCGAAGAACGAAATTTAGACGCTGTTAAAGCTAATCTTCAAAATGTTTGAAATTCGTTTCCCACATGTTGCACGATTGTTTTAAATTTTATATTTTTAATGTTTCCAAATTTGTGTTTTTTTCGTGGTGAAAATGAAAAGAACACATGTGTTTTGTGTAAAATCAAAGTGCCCAAGACATTCTTTTTTTTCGGTTCATACATGTGAATGCACATGATTTTTCGGCCGCCCAATTAAATGAGTCTCATTTCTGACGCGGCTTCCCATTTATCACTTTTCGCCATACAGCTGCTCTCGAACACGATTTTCTTCTCATCAATTCCTTCAACTTTATTGTGACTCAATGACGCTCAAACTGTTGGCCGCCGTCGCCGTTTTTCTATTTTTAACCAATCGCGTGTTTTCTGCGGCAATTCCGAAACCAGAGAAAATCTATAATTCGCCGACGACAACAAAAGAGATTGCGTTGAATGTCGTACCATCAACACCGTCGATCTCGACGACGATTGTTCCGTTGGCAACGGAGACCGACGAAACATTCACGAAAGAGATCGATGAGATTCCCGACGGATTGGAGAACACCGGAAATCCGGACGAGGATGAGACACTGAAATCACAAGACGATCAAAACCACGCGGCGATTGTAATCGACGAACAAGTGTTGAACAATTCTGAAAGCGAGCCCAAGGAAGCAAAAATAATTGAGGAAACGTCGAATCAGACGATTTCGGTGGCATTGGATGAGCTTCCGAAAAATGGAAATGAGATCATCATTGCAGAAGATGTCGCTGAAAATAAAAAAGAAAAAGAGGATGAAATAAATATTTATCACGAAGAAAGCGACGCCACCAATAATGAGACAATTGGTGAGTTCTGAACAATATTTGCAATTTAATCCATTTTTTTGAGTGCCAACTATGGATGCTTCGATGATAATTGGATCAACTGAATCAAGCGATATCGAAATCAAAGCGACACCAGATCAACCAGGTAATCTACTAGAATAGAGATTTCGAAATTTCGAATTGTTTTATTCAGAATATTCGTATTTTGACCTTATCAGTTGCCTTATTTTTCTGCTTCCTAGTGCCGATAATCCATCAAATCTCAGCTGGTGGGATATCATTATTGAATCAGTCCGGGTAAAACAAAATCGAGTGTTTATCAAAACAAAATTGCTATCGATTTTAGTGTTCCATGCGTGAATGCAATGTCGGATTCGTTCCAGAATCTCCGATGTATTGGCCAAAAATCATTCGCAGAAAACGCGGACAACCCGAATGCGAATGCAGATCGATCGAGGTGCGGAAATCATATTTATTATGCAAAAAAAATGAGAAGGTTTAGGAAAAACTTGAAGCATTGTGAACGATTACGGGCGAAAAAAATCATATAATATTGTGAATATTTCGACTAATAAACTCATACACATTTGAAAGTACATGAGCAATCGCACGTGCACGGCAACAGAAGCTTCTTATGAATGACACGAATTGGAGACGATCCATTTGCGCATTGCTCGATTCCGCATTCGCAAGAGCATTCCTCGCATTCGGCTGAAAAACGAAACAACCAGATTCGACACTTTTTTCCAAGAAAAAATCAAAATTCTTTCGTTTTGCTGTTTTGAAGTATCGCTAGAATCAATCAAATCATGAATGTCTTCCATCGTCGACTACTTGTTCAAGTGTCAAACCGAATGTCATGATCGACATATTGATAATACGCTGTATTTTGGAGGAAAGTTCGTCCTAAACTTTGTACTTTTTCTAGTGATGACCGGAAAATCGGATGACATGAACGGACAAATTTCCGTTTTCCACAAAAGATCCACAAGCTTCTTATTTCTGTCGTATTGATGCCAACATTGCCATCCACGATATATCTGAAATAAAAATTAATTTTCTATTTAGACATAGACACAATTATTTTTAATTTGTTGCATTTCTTTTTCTATTTAGTATAATATTTTATTTGTTTCGAAAATTACCAAATCAGAGACGAGCGAGTGTGAAAAATCACGAGTTCCCGTGTTTAGTTGATCGTTGATGCAGGAATTTGGATCGATTTGAACCGACGGCGATGAACAGCAAACCGGATCCAGTCTGTTTTTCAATATTCTCATTTATCGATTTTTTTTTGTCATTCACTTACACGGCGGCTTGTGTCGAATTTTCGAGCAGATACACGTGGAATCCGCCAAGCCACGTGTTTCCGGTGCATCCTTCAAAAAAAAAGAAGTGTCGAGTTGAATTATATTGTATTTATTTTGAGTGGCACGGAACTGATAGCAATTCGCAAGCAAGCGGAGGTTATCAAACTGAATTCCAACCCACTGCTTGATTGTGTTTTGTCGCCGACATTTTTCGGGTTTTGATCTCATTATTATGCTCATTGAATCTTTTTAAAAACTGCGTACATCTTCAATTATTTGATTGGTATTTTTTTTCAATTTCATTCCAAAAAATTTTTTACAATTTATTTTAAGAATTTTTTAGTAATTGCGTCAAAAATCCAATTATAGATTTTGTTAATATTCCAATGTGTTTGAATTTGTTGAAAACATACCTTCTAATAAGCCAGTACATTTGGGAACACTTTGCAATGGCGCGCAAGTCGTCGATTCCGGAAGGGCAACTTGCTCGCATTCGACACTCAACGAACCGAGTACTGTATATGCGGTTTTTGCCCTTTTTATTGAAGAAATTCGATATCCTTTATCACATATTAATTCCTAGAACATATTTCGAAATATTTATGCTCATTGGAATCGGCATTGAACTCACAAAATCAATATCAGCTGCTTGTGAAAACGAGAAAAAATATGAGAACAGTTGAAAGGTAAAAAGAACGAAATACATTGCGAATGACTAATGAAATGATAAAAATCGGAGAATTATGTCAAATCTTGTTCGTATTGACGATAAGATGACACAATCGATCCAAACATTATTCAAAATTCGCTGAATCACGGCTTGTTTAAATCGCGTCGCCAACGAATCCGACGATTTTGGAACCAAATTTTGATCTGCAAATTCATTTTGACTCTTTTTATTATTACACAAGTGTAATTTGAAAATAATTAGAGTTTAGTTACTGTATTATAATTGTTTTTTAATAATATTTAGGAATTTTTGATAGAAAGTTCCTAATAAAAATTCGATAGAATCGAAAACTCGATGATTTTTTTGAGATTTGTTCTATGAGAAAGTGTACTCAAAGGTTTTTATTAGAATATTCAGATATGATGAAGTTTTAATATAGATATAATTAAAACAGATTTTAAAAAAATCAAACCTGAACTTCCTCTAAGCCCAATCGAATTGATAATCGTGCTCTCTCATCCGCGCAAATGTATTGACGTTGACTGAAATATTGTTCCAGAAGAACGAGCTGCTCGACGCTGAACGTCGTCCGTTTCCGTGGTCGCTTTGTCGCCGGATTCATCGTTTTGTGTCGAAAATGGGCGGTATGTAGGCGTGTGTATGTGTGTATTGAATGAATGGTGTTCGTTGCCGTCGGCCATATTCAGAATGACACTCGTTTTCCTTTTGTTAGCTTGTCATCTCCGCGTTTATTATAGCGGTTTTTCGGTTTTGGGTGGAAGGCGTCCGCTCGCAAATTATCACCCTTCAACAATGACGAATTCATGAATTAAATGCCGTTTTCAGATATAATTCTATAACAACTTGTACTCTCTCAGCACCCCAATTAGATTCGTAATTGAAGGCAGGAAAACGATGAATTCAAAAACGATATGTTAATGAAAATAATTTGAAAATACACAAAGGGGGATCATTAGGATGTCAGAAATTTTTCGCTTCAGGATTAGTGAAATATTCAAAGAATTCAGTATTTAAGAATAAAAACTATTATAAATTAAAAATATAATTCAAAAATGTTCCTAATTGTTGAAATCATTCAATTTTTGTTTAGAGTTGATTTAAAAGCTGAAGCTGACTCACGAAAAATTACAAGTATTTTTTATACATATTACATATTTTATTTTATATTATCCATACCCAAAATTTTTATCGTTTTTTTTAATTGTTTTGTATTGTTTTCACTCAGCTTTTATTTGCATTTTAAAGTGCTCCTTCTGCTCCTTAGCTGTGAACAATCAATCGATTTGATCATTGATTTTGGTCCTGGAGAATAATTAGTCGGTAAATACTGGTTTTTTCGCCTGTCCTTCGTGTTTTATTCCTTCATAGATATCAGATAGACATTAAATGAAATAAATGAAAAATGATTTTTGGTTTTGTGCTTGTAACCCACTAACGTTGCCTTCTTGTTTAAACACTTGTCTATTTGCGGACATTCAACTCTAGTCTCACTTGTCTTGCACAGTCGCTCTTCGATAAACGAACTGTTCAATGTTCATTATTTTCATTTTCATTTATGAAAATTCGCATAAATGTCTTGTAAACATTGTTGCGTTATTAATTAGACAACACCGACATACTTGTAGTTTTTGTGAACAAATGGGTGGTGCATTGTGTTGCTGCTGCCCAAAAGTTACTGATCGCGAAAATGAACAGCTTTCAACCGTTATTTTGTCTCGTCCGCAACCGAACATTGGTAAGAACATCGAATTTCTACTCACAATTGTATAAAAATAGTTTGTTAAAACCGATAATTTTTTAAAACCAATATTACACCATGTGGTACAGTAGTTTATTCTGTTAGTTTATGCTGCCGTGTTTACAGATATCGAATATAACGTGGATTTTTTGATATTTAATTTTTACGTGAATTCTCCAATTATTTCTAATGACATTAAAATGTGTTCAAGTTTTGAAAATATATAAATTATTTGTATTTGGATAGTGGCATTTTATTAAGCGCAATAATAGGTTCTCATAAAAATATACATGTTTTGATTTATATTGTTGTGATGTTGTATTTATTAATACGAAAATAGGACAATTTATATTGTAAACGTTTTTACCCAATTATAGAAATTATTTTCGCGAAAACGTAATGCGACAAAAATTGAGATCTGTGTATGGCCGAGCTTTTTTGAAACGAAATACGGCCACTTCTATTCGAACTGTAAAAATTCCTTGCGTTCAGGAAATCTATAAAAATGGATGGCAATGATGTTGAAAACAACGAAAAATTGCCAAGTTTCTATTATACGAATGTTCTTCTACGAATTAATTTCAGAACAATGTCGTGGAAACCTTTTGGTTTTCCTAAATCCCAACAGTGGACGAGGTTTGAGCTTGAAAACGTTTGCACACACAGTCGCCCCGAAACTTGACAAAAATTTGATTAAATATGAAGTTGTTATCACTAGTAAGTCATTTTGAAATTAAATTAACTGGAGTTCATTGATTTCCAGATGGTCCGAATCATGCTAAATATGCGCTTATGACAAAAACGGATCTCGATAAATTCAACGGAGTTCTGATATTTTCCGGGGATGGTCTCGTTTTTGAGGTTATTAACATCTATTATACTTATTATTCATATTTTAAAGGCTTTGAACGGAATATTGAATCGTGAAGATGCATTCCGAATATTTCCGACTCTTCCATTTGGAATCATACCAAGCGGTTCAGGAAATGGATTATTGTCATCGGTTCTCAATAAATACGAGTAAGTCAAATTTAAAACTTTCAGTAATTAGAAGGATATTTCTTCAGTAAAAATATCAAGCCAAAGGAAGTAATGGAGAAAGCGCTCGAAATTTGTACGTCAACGAATCCAGTCGCAGAAGCAGTAGCTTTGTATTCTGTAAAAACGGATGCTGGCCCAATTACATCATTTCTGTCAATTGGATGGGGACTTATGGCTGATATTGGTGATTTGAACGGTTTAAGTGTGCTTAACTTATTGTTTTTTAAAGATATTGAAAGTGAGAAATGGAGAAGGCATCTCGGCGGACATCGATTCACTCTGCAAGGATTTATTAGAAGCATTAGTAAGATAATTACACCTTGATTGAATTTTGATTCTTTTTGTTTAGATTTGCGCTCGTATCACGGAAGATTAACGTATCGACCCTATCGGCCCTCAGACACGTTTACACCGAGTGAAAACAAATTTGCGATTTATGACAAAACAATGGGAGAAAGAGTAATATCATTCATATCGCTTCAAATTATTATTTCTGGTTGTTTTAAAGATTGCCGACCTTGAAAGCCAAAAGGTAAATCCAATTTCGCTTGATAAATGGACACTTCATGAGGAGAATCCCGACGATTCAACTGATTTAGTTACAATTGAGGACGAATTTATCAATGTTTACGCGGTTTGCATTTTATTTGATTTTTTTTTTGATATTTATGATATTTTCATATTTAGGTAACACTGTCCCACATTTCATCCGATGGTCCATTTGCGCCAACTTGCAAAATTGAGGATAATCGCATTTTCCTGTCATACATTCTCAAAAAAGATGTTGGTTCACGATATGACATCGCAAAATACTTATTAGCCATTGAAGAGATGAAACATCTGGATCTTCCGTTTGTTAAGGTAATTTTGTTTAATGATTTTTCTAAGCTAGCTGCTAGCTGATGATTTTTATGTAAAAATTCGTTAAAATTAACGAAAATTATTGGCGTTCAATTATTTTAAAACTTTTCAGTTTGTGGAAGTATCTTCACTTCATCTTGACGTTCTCACCGAAGGATCCTACGTTGTGATTGACGGCGAAGTCATCGAAACCAAAACAGTTATTGCGAATTCGACGAGGAATCATATGTGTGTAATATCCAGTGCACAATAATCCGTTTTCTATATCGAACCGGTTTTCATCTTATCAATCTCGTCAATGTTGTTTTGTCTTGTTTTCTAATCAATTATATTGTACAAAATCTTAGAAAATCGTGTAAATATGGATGACGATTAGATTTTGAGAATACTTGAGTATCACTTACGCTTATTGCTTGAATTGTGCCTCCTCTTTCTACTTATTTTTGCGCTGTGATATTTTTTCCTATTTTATTCAGACATAAATCGATTTAAGTTTTGTCTACTTCATTCATATTATTATCGAATTTCGCGTAGTTTAGCATTCTAAAATTACCTTAATTGTTAGAAATCTAATTTAAACAATTTCTATTAGATAATGCTCGCGAGGCAAACACAGATCCGTCAAAATACTCTTCATCGGATCTCTAAACGATTTGTAGCATGGAGGGATTCATTTCGGGAAGGCACATTTTCTTCTGATGTCGATGCCCAGAAGCCTACTCATATTATTGTCGGAGCTGGAAGCGCTGGATGTGTTCTAGGTAATTAATTTTATGATTTTGCACTGTGAATACAACTCATTATCATTTAGAAATAGAAATAACGCAGATTCTCGTTTTTTTTGCGATGGTAAATATTTTTTGTTAGAAATTTTTTCAACTTTTTCAAGTTAAAAAAATGAAATTTCTTTTGAAACGTGTCGTTACAAAACAAAGAACGGTTTTGATATTGACTTTGCTCTCTTCAGCGAACCGTTTGACGGAAAACCCGGACAATCGGGTTCTGCTCATCGAAGCAGGTCCAGTAGATCACAAATGGGACTGGCGAATTCACATGCCAGCTGCGTTGATGTACAATCTTTGCTCTGAAACATATAACTGGTATTATCATACCACAGCTCAGAAGAATTTGAATAATCGAGTGTTCTATTGGCCTCGTGGAAGGTTGATTCAGTTCTTAAGAAATTATCGATTTTGAAGTTGCAGAGTATGGGGTGGATCATCAACACTGAATGCGATGTGCTATGTACGAGGTCACGCATTTGACTACAATCGATGGGAAAAAGAAGGAGCTGACGGATGGAATTACGCGAATTGTCTGCCATATTTCAGGAAAGCAGAAACGTATTCACATACAAAAGTAAACACGAAAACAAATTATATTTGTGAAAAAACAAGACACGAATTGTTTTAGGGACCCGACGACCCGTATCGGGGACACAATGGTCCGCTTCATGTTCAACGAGGTGCAGCCGAAAATCCTTTACACAAGTAAAATACTGCATATTTTGATTATGTATGTAGAATCGCGAAAAACTTTTTTAGAGCTTGGCTAGATGTCGGAAAGAATCATCCGCTTGGGTATACTGAAGACATGAATGGAGAAAAACAAGAAGGAATCGGCTATATGGATATGACAATTCATAAAGGAGAAAGGTTGAATTTCAACTTAAATATGAGACGACAATAATTGTTATTTATCAAATCTAATAATTTCTAAAATAGTTTCTTTCTGATAATTTCGAAAATTCAGATGGAGTTCTTCTAAGGCATATTTACATCCAATTCTGAGTCGACCGAATTTGATCACCTCTTCCGGAATAATGTGTACTCGAGTTCTATTTGATAAAAATAAAGCGATAGGGATTGAATATATTAGGTAGTAAATTCTTATGCTAGTATGCTAATAACTATAATTGATTACAGGAAAATTAATTTTATGGGAACAGAGAATATCGATTCGTATAGTCGTGAAAAAGTTTATTGTCAAGGCGACGTGATTCTTGCTGGTGGAGCAATTAATACTCCACAATTGCTCATGCTCAGTGGGGTTGGACCAAGCGAACATTTGCGATCTCACGAGATTCCGCTTGTTGTCGATTTGCCTGGTGTTGGGAAAAATTTGCAGGTCCAGTTGTTCATTTTAATTATAACATTTAAACATTTTTTCAGGATCACCTTGAAATTTATGTGCAGCAAGAATGCACGCAACCGGTGACATTGTATAACAAGAGTTCATGGAAATTCCCGCATAATATGATCAAAATCGGATTAGGTAATTGTTGATTAAAATTCTCAAATTTTCTCTTAAAAAATAAAGTTCGAATATACGAATATTTTCTATTATTGTCTAAATAAAAACTTTTTAGAATGGTTTACTAGACGGACCGGATTGGGAGCTTCTTCACACTTAGAAACTGGTGGATTCGCAAGATCAAATGACACCGTTTCTCATCCAGATATTCAATTCCACTTTCTGCCTTCCACAGTTCATGACGATGGACGTGTGAACGGAACATGTCATGGTTATCAGGTAGAATGACTTTAATGATAATTTCCCAACCCTATTTGAAGGTTCATGTTGGACCAATGCGGTCACAATCTAAAGGGTATTTGATGCTACAATCGAAAGATCCCCGAAGAGCTCCAATTATTAATCCGAATTATATGAATGAGGATGATGATTGGAAGGAGTTCAGAAGGTGCATTCGACTATCGCGCGAGTTATTTGCTTCGAAATCTTTCGACGAATTCCGCGGAAAAGAATTAGCACCGGGAGAAGAAGCGCAATCCGATGCGGACATCGATAAATTTGTCAAGTATATTGGAAATTTTGAAAGTTCTTAAAACAGCTAATATTCAGAGAAAAAGCGGCATCGGCATATCATCCTTCTTGCACTTGTAAAATGGGAAAATCCGATGATTCGATGGCGGTTGTCAATCCGAACACAATGGGAGTTTATGGAACGGAGAACTTAAAGGTATTCAAGTTCATATAAAATTGAGCACATTTTCCAAAATCTCTTGTTTTTTGCAGGTTGTCGATGCAAGTGTAATGCCATCGATTGTTAGTGGAAATCTAAACGCTCCGGTTATAATGATGGCTGAAAGAGCAGCTGATTTGATCCTTCACAAGAAGCAACAATTGCCACCGTCTAAGGCTAAAGTGTGGACACATTAGTATTAATGATTGCCTAGGAAAAGTAATATTTACTATATACGGGCAAACTTGAATAGATTTATTGGAATGAATACTTAATTATGTACATTGCTTTGATTACCGGTATTTGGAAAAGGAAAATGAATCAACAATGAATTATATCAAAAACCACCAAATAACGGGTACGAATACTATTGAGAGAGTCGAGGTAGTTGATGAATCCGGCATTTTGGTGGATGTCGTCGTTATCGGAGTTGTTGTTTCTACAGTTGGATTTGTGTTTATAATTGATGAAGGAAGAAGAGTGGTTGGGAAGAGCATTGGATCGAGACGATCTGAAATTTGGAATAGTTTTTCCTCAATTATGCGAGTCAAACTCACTTTGAGCAACGTTTTTCACTCCAAATGCCAATTCATTTGACATTGTCGTTGGTTTGATAGTCACATTCACGATCTCAGCCAATTTTAGTCGCTCAACTCCTCGATTAATGCCTAAATCCAATACATTTATAAATCACGAAAACCAATTGAATACCGTGATATTTAAATGAATCTCCCGATAATTTTCCGCCTTTTGCCCACACTGTGAATACTTCATTTGGTCCGAGGGGATGATCTGTCGGCTCAAATTCGCGGGTTTCTCGCCGGAACATGATAATGGTCCTTCCATCAACTTCAATTCCATAAGAGGCCGACAGACTCATCTCTCCTTCGTACCAGTAGTCTTCAAGCGGGGTTGATCTATCTCTGGAATAGAAATCTGAAATGAGGGCTCGTCCATTTTTCACAGATCCCATCACAATATCAACACAATCCATCGCATGAAGTGGCGCTTTCAAGCCAATTTCAGCTGAAAATGCATTGTTTTGAAAGTGGGGTTTGTTCGAACTAATATAGAAGATACCAAATCCATTGTTGTCGGGCATCACTGGTTTCGCAACGAATTCCCTCCGATCGACCATATTCATTTGCGTCGGTTTACCACGAGTATCTAAATTTAAAATAGAGACGTAGAGGATATTAATTAAATATGAAACCTTCTAATATGGGAAACAGTCTGCAAGAAGTGCTCAATTCTGTTGGTCGCCATCCGAGCGACGCCCACGATGTCGTTTTGAAATCCAGAATTACTTCAACTTCATTCTCAATTTGTCTTGAATATATCTAAAACGCTTTGATTCAAAATTGAAGTATTCAAATATATCGGTAATTGTTCATCAAAACCAACATGGTCATCAGCTGAGAGGTCGTGCTGAACATAACAATCCGAATTGAACATTCCATATCGAGGCAATTGATTCACAGCGAGCTCATCATAAGCGAAACACACGTCATTTTGAGAATTGAATTCTAAAATGATTTCTTTTTTTTTCAAGCGATTCTTTCAACAATTCTTACTTCGATCGCATCGCTGCCCGAAATATCCGTACGCACAATAGCATCTCTTTCGGATCAGCGAATCTGAAGAATCGTGTTTAGTCTCGCTTGTTTGCTTATTTTCTGTTGTTCATACCTGACTGATCAACACATTTTCCGCCGTTCATGCAATCCGAATCTAACTCGCAATGAGCTGAAAATAAATCGTCTTGAAAAATGATTTCGGATCACTCGTGTAATTACCGTAATATTGGCATCGATTTCCGGTGTAGCCACTATCGCATTGGCATTTATTCTTCATCAGGCTTCCCTGTTGTCCACAAAAATTTTCTTCTTCTAAAAAATTGAGAATAAGTGAGAACGAATTGAAATTTTGTGGGAGAACTCGAATTTGATGCCGAGATCACGTTGACATCGGAGCACGAGCGGAAGCTTTTTCCGTTTTTCTGAGTTTGCTCGACAACGAGCATACATTGCTCACACGGAGTTTTGAGGCTGATCGATTGAGCTGAACTGCTGAAAATGGATTGTTGAACATAAATTCGAAAATGGAAAACGCACAATGAAAACGTGGCATCTGAAGAAATCGGAACATCTTCTACAGTGATGCCATCGGAATCGATGAGTCGAATATGATAAGAAGCCTGAAAAAAGAACGTTTGAAGATATATTTTAGAATTATTTCGAGATTGATTGGTCATTTTACGTGCAATTTCGCAAAGATTTTGATTTCTGTACTTTGATTATTTACGGTTTTTTGTTCTGTACAATCTCCTTGAAACGTGATGCTTTATAAGTGGTTGCATTTCATTTCTACAAATTTTTTGAAAAGACGTCGTCAGCAACACTTTAAAATCCACTCAAGTTTCTTTAATGTGAAAAGGTTTAATATATATATATATGTACATATAAAGGCCCATAGCAATATTACATTAAGCACTGATGGCGAGATCCACGTGACATTGTACGCTTCGCCGATTCTGAGATCCGTATAAAATGCTAAAATCAAAAGTCAGAAGAGAGAGAGAGAAACTCGTTTAATTGCTTACGTTTGGTGGGTTTTGGAACACCGCATGGTGGTAGTGTGAGTTCAGTCGGAAGGAAATCGAGCGGAGGGAATCGAGCCTGTGGATAGGTCAACACCACATTCGCTTCGCAGAATCTTGACACGAAAAATAAGAATGCGAGCCCCAGAAAAGGCATTCTGAAACTGTGTGCGTATGTGTGTGTGTTTTTTATAAATAGAAGAAGACCCGAAAAGTTGAAAACGGTTAGTTCGTTATCAAAAAGGAATGCGAGAAATGATGAATCAATTAGCGAGGAATGCCGAAGAAACTGAAATAATTCAAGGTTGGAGGGTAGAAACCAGAATTCCGTTGTTGGTATCCATCAAAACTGACCATTAATGGGCAGTTTTGCTGATTTGACTACTACATCAGCTATGAGGGGGGAAAGTTGGTATAATCTAATAGGAAGTTATTAACGGTGTGTACAAGATATGAATGGTGTAATCAATTTGACGGACGGATAATGATTTTAGGATTAAAATTGCGCCCATTCGGTGTGTCGGCTGAACAAGGCTTCTCCAAACAATTTTTGCGATGCGAGTACTGGTTACAAGGATGTTCTGAGAATCTACAATATGCTTAATTACGCATTCCGCTTTCCGCTATTCTGAGGGATATTTTCTGAAGTTGCTTATTTCGCTAATCTAAACAAGTCAGTATAAGTAAATAAATAAAATATATATAAATATATGGGAAACATTGCTCAATGGATGAAAAAAAAAAGTTTAAATTTGAAAATTGCCTCCAACGATTTTTTTCAAAAATGTTTTCGTTTAGTTTTGTTTGAAACCCATTTTGTGAATTTCGAAAAAATCTGCTAATTTCCATTCTCGTTAAAATAACGGTTTTTTTCGAGGACAAAAATTGCAAAATCGTTTTTCGAAAAAAAAATCACGGTTGTCCACAAGTAAAAACAATTGACGGAAAAATGAACTTGGATGGAAAAAAAGTGGCAAAGAGTAATAAAGAGACGATTAGAAGTGAATAATGCCCAGGAGAGGTATAATGTATTCGAAATCGTTTCGCGCGATACGCATAAATGCGACAACGGCGACAGCGGCATCGGGGAGGCAACGGTCATCAGAGACAAAATTCTGAAAGCGAAGCCCGATCGACCGGTTCAATTCGGCGTCCGATTCGGTTGTGTTTTCGACATGACTTGGCTGAAACAAAACAAACACTAACAAATCGAAAGTGCTATTAGAAGCTGAAAGTGTTGATTTACGACGTCGCTCTAATTAGCCACATTATTATATTAATTTGCGTGCGAATTGCGGAATCGGAATCAGTCGCGAGTTAATTGCAAACTTTGATCGCAATTTTGTTAATGTGGATCAGAAAAAAGTGCAAATTTGTTAATGATTTTATACCGTCCATAATTAATTGGTCCGTCTAGGCAATTCGAATTTCAACCGAAAAAAAACGAAGCGAATAATGGGGGAGGAAATGCAAATAAATTCGGGAGTCCGTTTTCTGGTCGAATTTCACTTTTCAGCCAAACAAGGATGTTTATTGAGAATACAAAAAAAGTGGAACACATACAGGATTTCGAATAATATGTATCAATGAGCGATTTGAAAAAGGTGACTGGAATTTTTCTGAAATAATTATCGAGAATTTGATATTCAATTGGCCACCATATTCGTAATTTAAAAATTTTCCGGATATTTTTTACAAATTATAGAAAAAATGGTAGTTATCTGAAAACAAGCAACCGATGTTGTGATATCTTAAAATTTGAAATTTTTGCGCAAAAATCAGGCTGGCTATAGTAAAGTTGAACTTTTTTCGCAAATAAATTATTGATTAGGATCGTTTGAATTTTGCGGTTCGTTTTTAGGTGGATGTAACAAACCGTGCGCGATCCAAATAGAAGATTAGATCATTTCAACACTTTTGAATTCGCAATTGCGAAATGCAGCGCAATTTTCATACTACGAATGCTTCAATAATTCGAATTTGAAAAAGTATCGGCTATTTTTGCTGCTGGCGAACCGGTTATGCAATTCTAGTTCAATTTCAAATCGAATCACACAATTAATGAGCAATTTGTATGTGTTACAACAATTAATTATTCTCGTTGTGTATGTTCTGATTGATGTTTACATTATAAATGTAACACAAGGCTATCAAGAATCACGCAAGTTTCCAAACAAAAATATTGGGGTAAATGAAAAATCATGGAAGAAAAGGGTGAATCGTACCAAATAAAAATAATCTTATTAAATAAAAAAACAAACAGATTTTTGGTTGGAATAAATTCGAATAATCCAAGCCTTGTGTACTTATGAAGGTTTTTGTATAAGAGTGTGCATGCTGGAATTAGAAATGGCATGGCATCTGCCACAATATGGACCATCTTAATTTGTTGATGGCTTGTAAGGGATTTTGAGTAATCCGCGCAACCGTCTGAGGAAAACAGTTTAGTTGTTCAAATTGAAAAACGCCACAAAAGAAACCAGCTTGATTTGGTAGGTCAATTTTGCAGAAATATATGTGAACACTTCATTTTGAGGCAAATAATCGGTGTTTTAGTATTCAAATGAATAATCGATCATGTTTTTCATTAATCACAGTGTAACCGCAAATCAAAACTATTCCAGTTTTTAAATGCTTAAATTGTTGACCTTATGACTGAGAAAAAAAAAACAAATAGAGGTATCGAAACATGCATAATTTGTGAAATGGAAAGTTTCTTTTTGAAATAGCCGCAGGAATGGTTCTGTTGTAAAGGACCAATTGTCCTTGAGTGGACAAAGCAGGCGATTTCCAAAAAACGGACAAAATGAAGCGAACCGGTCGGCACCATCATCGGGATTAGTCGACACCTCAAATAGAAGCAAGGCATTGGGGGGGATTCTTGGAAACCGAAAAAAATCAAAGAGGCAAAGATATTCCGGGCATACGCAACTGTATAAACTATGTGATCGACGAGTATCACGAAACCGACAAAAAAACCGGAAAATATTGCCAAAGGTAGGTGGAATAGTCGTCTTATCGCGTCATTTATCTCAAATTCATCTCATTCTTTTCAATTTTTTGTGTTCCTCGAAAATCGCGTTGCTAATGTGACGGATGACCGGCGAATAATATAGCAAACACAAAGTTTTTGGGATAATCACAAACACAGAAAAAAAAACAAATAGGAATGGCCTTTATTTATGAGAAAAAAAGAAGCGTGTTCAACATTTCAAGAAATTACATTTCGGATTTTTCATTTAATTGATTTAAGTGTCCCCAATTCTTGTTAATTCGTCGATTCTTTATTTTCAGTTGGGACAATTGCTTGCTATCCGAATTGAGGTGCTTCCAGAATTTCTGCCAACATTGGGTCACATTCAGAAAACGCTCTGACAATTTTTTTCCTCATTTTTTTTTAAATTTTAAATAATATCTTGAATAGGGCTTTAAAAAAATCTAAATCGAAAACTACATTTCAGTCACAAAATATCGTGGTGTGTTTGTATGTTTTGGCCATTCATTTGAGAAGGTCATGCAACTTCTGAATTATTCACTCGTCCAATTTTTATATTCCTATTCGTGCTCTTCTTCCCAATCCATTTTTTTCTCTTTTGAAAAGCCTTCTCGAAAAAAAAAATGATTTATGTGCAAAATAAATATGTTTGCTGTCGTAATTCAACGAAGCCAATTATTAAAATAATAATAATAATAATAGTATTTGACAATATCTTGTGTTTCATGCTCGCAAAGGCAGTAACCCACGGTTGAATGAAGCAGCGCAGAATACGTGATACGCAGAATACAATGACGAGGAAGTGTGTACTTTTTGGAGACGCAGAGTGCGGCGCGACATCTGCCTATGAAGTGCTGGACACGATCCAAGGCTCTTTGGTTTATGAGCACAATTCCCATTTCTGGCAACAGATTTTCAATTTCGGGCCTTTTTTATTTGAATAAACATATTCCTCGAAGACTTTTTCCAACTTTTTCATACCATTCACATATGTGTATGCTTTTTTCTGCTGATTTTTACACTTTGAATTTGTTGTTCAATGAGATGTTTTGAATATTTTGAAATAGGAAAAAAAAAGAAAAATCTAATTAGTTTCCGGGGGACGTTCATCTTGAGAGAATATCCACAAAAACACACTCACATTTTGCATGAAATTTGAACTCGTAAAATTTGAAGTGAAAACAGATGTTTTTGTTTTCAGAATTTGTATTCGCATTTCAGAATAATTATGTGCTTACCTAATGTGAATTCGAATATCTTGCCAAAACTACGAATTAAGCTTCCATTGGTTTGTTACTAAGCCTATCAAACGTTGACATCTCTATTATTCATCTATTAATGTGTTCATATACTCTTAAGATTTAATTTGAAAATTTATTCAGTATTGAAAAAAGCGGAGAAGATCTGAATATGAATGAGAATTCGGCCGCCAAATTTCGTACTTCTGGTTACGTTCTTCTCCTCTTTGGAAATACAATTTAAAGTAATTCTAGTGTACTTTTTTTTTCTCGAAAACGTTTTCGAATTACTTCTTTTCTTATAGAAAATTTGCTCGAAAATGTTCCAAATCTTCACACGTAATCTCAGTGATTAAACTTGGGGTCAACGAATTCAATTTCGCTTAAAAGGTTTTGAATCGTCGTATAGATGGTCTCCATGACAACCGAAAGCGAGTCGTCGTCGATTCGAAACTCGTCGGAGCCCATCTGTTCGTCATCCGTTTAATTGTCACAACAATTTCCATTTTGTGTGTGATAGTTTTTTTCATTTTTTTTTTTCGCGAAATTCATTTTGGGCGACAACAAAAAAGGAAACGTGCACGTGCATTTTGTATTAGCAATAATTGCGGTAGTTGAGTTGGTGCAACGAATTCAAAAACGATTTCACTTTACACCATAATTATTAACCTTTTGAATCGGTGGTGCAATAGAAAAAGAGGTTGACAGCAACGCAGAGGCGCCATTCAAACTTCCGATTGAGCCGTTTTCTTATTCTTTCGCGGATGATCGGAAATCGTACACCGGAATAATACATATTTCTTTCTCATTTCGACTCCACCCACCTCTAGAATTCCTACGGTATCTCCAATATCGTCGATTTCTTTTTGTTTTTGTTTTTTTTTCGATTTCGAACCAGTTTCATCCAGTTTCGCCAGTCGATTCTTTTTTATTGTAACACTTGCTTTTATTCAGCTAACAAACTTGAATTATATTGCCCAATTGTCTCATTTTCTATTAACAATATTGTTTTTGAAGGCAACAAAAAAAAAAATAAAAATTTATTTTCGATGTTTTTTTTATTAGTGTGTTAAAAATATTTCAATTAAAAAATATTTGATTGAAAAATTATGAATCACTTCTTTCGTAGCAACCACCAATTTTTGTTTTTTTTTTTTCATATCCATCATGAAAAGAAATTTTTTCTTTCTAAGTCTTAAACTCAGCTAAATCGAATAAAATATTTTGAGAAACTAAAGTTTCTCTAAAACATTTTCTATTTTTCTCAATGCACTTTAGAAATTATTTAAAGATTTTAGAATTTATTGAGATAATTTAGAATTTGTTCAGTGTTTTTTTTTTTAGGTTTATCGAGTCTGAAGCAGTTTAAAAAATAATTAATAAACTGTAGAATTTCTCCTAATATTTCAGAGTTTATTATTGAATATTTGATGCTCAAAATATTTTTTTAATTTGCCTGAGATTACAGCTCAAAAGAAGTAAAAAAAAAACCTTTAATGTCTCCCTTCATTTGTTTTAGAGTCCTAGCGAACTGTCCGCAGATTGCATATTCCAAAATCGAAAATTTCGATAATTTGCAATTTCGCATGGCGCGGACGTCGTTGGCGAAGCGTAAAAAGCGTGTAAAAACTAGAAACAACAAACAAACAAAAATGATCGGATTCACAATGCTCACTCACTTCATTGTTGTTTTCATTCCGTTTCATTTTCTTTCATTCTCGTGCCCGTAAATCGACGGTCTTCCTACTATCCGGTTTCTCTGCGTCTCTCGTTCTTGTATTGTCTACAGTATCGTTTACGAGTCGCTTCGTCGTCAGCATTCTCCAATTTCGATTCAATATTCTGCCATGTTTTTGTTCCAAAATAAATGTTTTCGTTTCCTCAAGGTTTTTGTATTCACTCAAAACATTCCAATATTCGATTTTTCATTTTTTTTTCATTTTTAAATTTATGTCCTCAACCAATATTTATTCATTCTTGTTCGTGGAATCTGCCAATCTTTTCGACATTCCTAATTGGTGGTTTTCTCGTCCTTGAAACGAATTGTCTCATTTTTTTACGGCTTGTTCGACACTTTTCGCTCTCTTTTCCATATTCTATTTAATTCTTGCCGGCTAGTTTTCTAATTCAAATTCTATCTTCATTGAATATCCAATTCAAAGCCATCCATCGAATTTTTAGTTTTGTTTTATGCAGATTTTCAATCTGGATTTGAGTTTAGGTGTTTACGAGACTTTCTAGAGTCATTTAAGCAGTTTTTACCTTCCTTATTCACTTTTGCTCGGTTTTGAATTTGAAAAAAAAAACGAGTGATTGAAGGTGATGCGTCAATGATCGCCGAATGAAGTCGAGTCTGAGTTCGGAGGACGTTGTCCGAGTCAGCGAAGACTTGTCCGAATGCCGAAATCGACTTGAGGCCGGCATTCAGGAAAATCGACGGAATCGGCAAGTCATTCAAGATATTAATGACCAGGTAACAATACAAAATCGCCAAAAAAAAGCAACAATTTCATTTTAGCTTCAAAGATTCCGACAAAGAGCTCAAACAGATTCTGTCGAATCTTTCAATTCGCCCTATATTGCTCCTGATCTAACCATTGCAACTTCTGCTCATAATATGTCGCTACCGTCATTAACAATTGACATTCCGCTCAACACGACAGCTAGTATGAATTCTGCTAGATATGCCTACCGTAACCGACACAAGTCGTTCGCTGGACGAGATCAAACTAGATTCAGATCAATGTAATTCGATTTCGAGCTCAACTCTCTCTCTCATTAAACCAATTATTTCAGTAGTCCAAATGGACGAAATCGTTCGTCTCCTCGATTATCAACGCATACATTTGAAGTAGATCAGTACACTGAAGACAACATCGAGGAATTGTTCAGTCGACTAAAGGATGAGCTGTTCAAGTATGTGATTCCGAATCTGGATCTCATCTTCTAGCCAAATAATTCCAGGAATAACACTCTGGAAGAGGTCAATGAAATGCTGCGAGAAGAAAACGATGCGGCGTTGGCGGCAAACGAGCACCTTCGTGTTGATGCCACCAATCTTTCTCGACAACTTCAACTTCTTCAACAGCAGCAGCATCAAGAATCAATGAGAATTCAGTCGGAGAATACGGTGTCTACTTTGCTCATATTTTATTAAATCTGCGAAAAAAGTACAAATAATTGGGCATAGTCGACGGTTTCCGGTTAAATTGACTTCGAAGCCGGAAGTAGCTTGCGAACTCCATTCTTTTTTTTTTGAAATATTTCCAAAGTCCATATATGGAAAATAATTCATTTCAGCGTTATCGAAATCAAGTCGAAAATCAACATCGCAAATTGCTGAGTTTGTGGAAAGAATTTTCGGCGGTCAAACGACAGGTAATTTATTAAAATCGAATCGATGGCAATCGAAAATCGGGTTTGACAGCTTCACGAATTGCGAACAACGACGGCGAATGATCTGGACAGACAGATGACGGAGTTCACGAGATGTGCCGCGTTGATGAGAAAGGCGATCAGACACGCCGAACAAAAGGTTTCATTCGAAATTTCGGTTTTGAGCTTCTCTTTAATTCTACCTAATGATTTACAAAAAAGAAATCAAAACATAAAATGCATTGAGATTAGATTAATTTGAGAATTTGACCAGGCCGGTGCGGAAAAGACCCATCGAGAACTTTTCGGCAAAACTGTTTTCTTTTCAAATTCCGTGATTGTTTCGCTTCTATTTTTTTATCGTTTCAGTCAATTTTTTTTAATTATAAATATGTATTAAGAAAATGAGCAGAAAATTTTTCCTATAGAAACCAATTGAAATAGAAAAGCGGAATGCGCTTTTTCAAAAAAAAAAGGGCTAATGACTGTTTAATAGAAAAACTGCAGATTTTCCAAAAAAAAAACAATAGAAAACGAATAAAAAACTTAGAGCTTTTTCGCAGAAACTGCATATCACCATAAGGGTTACCCACATTTAAATATCTACCGTAATCTTGGTTTAAAAAAAGATTCCGATTTTCCGGTGGAGGAAAATTTAGATCCGACAGTCCTCTCCCCTCCCCTCTCGCACGGCCCTGATATTATTTATAATTAGTCGAATTACTTTAATTGTCATTATTTTCTTCAAGAACCTCGAGCTGAAAGAGGAAATGCGAAAGGAGAAAGATGATGTTCTCGACGAGACATTGCGTCAGCTGAATACGGTAACCGAGAACTATATGAAGGTAAACGCGTCGTCGCTCGACTTCCGCCGATTCCAAGATTTATTTTAGGCTGAGGAAAAGGCGAACGAGCGTTTACGCGATTTGAAATTGAAAGACGACGAGCTGCGGAAGCTGAAAGAGCAAAACGACGAGTATACCGAAATATTGGAGCAGCTCTCCAAAATGACATATGAGATGACGGCTGGAGGAGCGAATCAAAAAGACCGAAGTCAGAGTCCATCCGTTCGCTATTTCTCTAGTTCGTTGTTTTTTTTTGTGTTCATTCATTCGTTTTATAGGTTGTAGTTATGGATTTTGAGTTGTTCTTTGAATTTGTCTTTGTTTGGAAAAAAAGAAATATATTGTAATTGAATTGTAGAAGACAATCCGATGGATGTTGCAAGAAAAGTTCGGAAATTGTTGAACAACAAAAACGGGGAACTCGACGAGACGAAAGAAGCAGTACGATTGGCCGAAAAGGAACGAGATCGCGCTCGCAAGGATCTGGAAAAGGAAGAAAAAAGACGAAAAGCCGAACAGGAATCGGAACGAAAACGATCGAGTGTGTATTCGCAAAGGTTTCAAATTGGCGAGATTTTGGCGAGAGAAAACCAAATTCAATTGAATTTCAGAGAGCAAGACCTTAAGAAATTGGAAGACGAATTGAAGAAGGCACAGAACAAAATCAAAAATCTTGAAGAACAGAAAGAGTCACAGGAAAAGCTCGTCGCGTCTGTCCAGAATTCGCTGTCAGATGCCCATCGCCAACACAAAGAATTTATCGAGGAGCTGATGTTCAGACATCGTGATGAACTCAAAGAACGTGAAGAATCTTATGAAGAGCAGCTGAAATCGAGAGCCGCTGAAGAGAAAGCTCGGATCGAAAAGGAGAAAATAGATCGAGAACGGATTCGGAAGGAACAGGATGAAATGCGTGAAGCTCAGAGAGCACTCAAAGCAAATTTGGCGGCAATTCAAACCGAATTGGACGATAAAATACTGAAAATCGAAGTACTTGAAGATGAACGAAACGAGCTGAAAAAGGCATTGCAAACTGAAAAAGAGCACAGCGATCAGAGAGAACTCGAAATTGGCGAATGTCGCGCGAAAATTGATGAAATGCAAGACAAAGAGGCGGAGCTTCGAAAACAATTGGCTGAGGTGATTTGATTGATTCGGAATAGTGGGGGGCATTATAGAAAATGTTGAAGGCTCAAGCAGCGATCGGAGCCATTGAAGGTGACACGAAACAGAACGAAGAGGAGATGATGGAAACGAAAAATGAGATTTCGAATTTACATGAACAGATCGAATCGTTGAACAATGAATTAGAGGCGAAGAATTCGGAGATCCAAGAGCTGAGAACGAGTATTTCGGAGAAAGAAGTGGCAATACAAACTGTGCGCAACAGTTCGCAGCAACTATCGGTTACATATGAAGAGGTTCGAAGTGGAATAAATCTAAAATACGCATTCAGCTGTTCAGGTCAGCGGTGAGAATGACGCATTGAAAGCAGAACTCGCACGTCTACACGAACAGCTTAAAGAAAAAGCCAGACAGATTTCGGAGGCAAATCAGAAGATCGACGATGCTTTGAGGTATCGTTCCAATTTTGGCTATAGAATGCACTCTCGGGATTTTCTTTTTAGGAAATCAGAAGCACTAGCTGATGATTCAGCCGTGTGGCAAGAACGGAATGATCAATTGAAGAAAGATATCGAAGAAATGGAACGTCGAGCACACGCGAAACAGGACGAAGAAGCCGAATTGCGATCACTTTTGGACGATCTTCGCGTTAATTTCGACAAACTCACAAATGAGTCGAAGAAAAAGGATGTTAGCATCGATTCGCTGAATGGTAATCAGCAGAATTGAAACACAACTACATACATACTATGTAGCTGGCTGTTTCAGATGAAGTGGCGATGCTGAAAGAGCAATTGAAGAAGTCTGAGCAAGAAAGAAAAGATGAAATTGCGAGAATCGAAGAATTGGAAAAGAAAACCGAAGAGGAGCTGAAAGAGGAGTTTGCTGGAAAACTGAAACTCATTGAGAAGGATAAGGTGACAACATCGATTTAATCAGTTGAGCAACATTCTGAATTTCAGAGTAACGCGGATCAAAATATCAAAGAACTGGAGAGTCGATTCAATGAATTAATGAAAGCTCACGATTTGCTTAGAGAGGAGTATGATCAAGTTAAAATGGATAATATACATTTGATGTAATTGTGGTTTCAATTTCAAGCAAAATATGTATATATTTAATTATAGCGATGATTTGGAACGAATGAAAGAGAAACTGAAACGAGAAATGGAGAAGGCAAACGAGCAAAACGATAATGATCGTGCTGAATGGGAAAAAGAGCGAGCAAGAGTATGAAAATCAAACGTTGAGTTCCTTCTAGAAGTATCTCGTAATATTCAGCTTGAAAGTAGCCGGAATGAAATTGTTGCGGAACTCAAAGAGACCATTGAACATCTCGAAGAACAACTTCGTGATAGAGAAGAAAAGGAGAATAACCTTAAGAAAGAGCTGAATGATATACAAGAACACGCTCGAAATGTCGAAGATCAACTGAGCAAGAAGGAATCGACGCTCGAAGAGAAAGAGTTGGTTGCTAGTGATTGTGTCGAATATAAGTTAGTTATTCAGTGAGGATTGGAAGGCTGAGAAGAGAGCACTTGAAGATGAGAAGGTGAAATTGATGGAGCAGAAAGAAGAAGCAATGCTAGAAGCAACGAAGAATGCGACGACTATCGATCAGCAAAACCGAAAAATTGCGTTGCTCGAAACTGAAATCAACAAACTCTCAACGAGTGTCATCGAACGTTCGTATGAAGTTATAAAAGTGAATGTTGAATTGAAATATTGCAGGAGATAGTGCAATTCGTGCACTCGAAGAAAACACGATGGAAATGGTGGCGAAAATCGAAGAAGTCGAGAATCTCAAGGAGAAGCTCAAAGATGATTTGGCGGTGAAAGAAAAACTCAATGAGGATTTGAAAAATGGAAAAGAAAGTGTTCAAGAAGCACTAATTGAGGAAAAAAAGAAAATTCATGGTAATCATGAAATATTAAATAAATCTCAATTTTTGTCGCGCTTCATTTTCAGAACTTCAAGATCAACTTCGTGAGGCGAATAAAATGGCACATAGTATCCGAATGAAAAATGTGAATCTCGAAGAGAAAAAGAACGAATTGGAACAAGCTAATACAATATTGTCTAATAAGGTAGATATGAGTTACAATTTTGAGTCCGGCGATTGCTCTACGCGGGTAGATTTACGCGCATGCACCTTGAAAATGTCTCACAAAGTGTGAATGCTTATTTTCCTGTTTTCACGTGAAGGTTATTTGTTTCTTGATGAATTGGGCTTCTCTTTGAATTTCCAACGTCATTCGATGGGAAATTTATCGAACCGACCCATTAAATGAAATTAATCCATGCGAGACCAAGAGAAAGACGCATCCCCGTAAATCTACCCGCGTACAGTAGTCGTCGGACGCCGACTATATGTTTGCAACATTCGATGTGCTCAGGCTCGACAACTCGAAATTCAATTGATGGACAAAACTACAAAAAGTGAAGTTTCATCGGATCTTCTCAGAAAAATGGAGCATGATGCTCAAAATATGTTGAAACAAGCGCAAAGTGAACAATCAAAGGTTTTCAAAAGAAATATGTATATTTTTCATTGAAATTCGACCGTTTAGATGAGTGATCTCGAAAAGATTCGCCATGAATTACAAGAAGAAAATCGTCGACTTGCTTCCGATTTATCAACTGTGAAAGCGGCATTCGAAGCAAAACGCGAGAGTAGTAAATCTGCAATCACCGACATTCTAGTGCAATATCGAAAAGCTGAAGAAAAGGCGAATGAAGGAGCTCTCGAAATTCAGAAACTTAAGAGCGAACTTCAAACTTCAACGTATTCAACGCATTTGCAAAAAAAATTAGAAATATTTGCTCATTTATAGGATGAAAATGGAAAGACTTGAGGATAAAGCGAAAAATGCTGAAAATCGACTGAAAGAAGTTCAAAGAAAATATGATGATTTGCAAGCGAGAATGACGAGTTTGCAAAGATCGGCCGTCGAATCCATTCAAAATCGTATGTTCTTTCATCCTGTATGTCAAGACTGAACAATTTTTAGCAATAAGTCAAAATCAGACCAGAAATAGAAGTCTTTATGTTGACATTCCACGGTCAGCATCAAGTATTGGATTGAATGACAGATTCGGTGATGATGAAACACCTTTCCGACGATCTCCTTCGGTTTTGTTGCATCTTCAAATATTGAAAACATCACCACAAATATTTTCAGGTTCGATTTTCTGATAGTAGTCAAAATGTGCAACGAGCCATCGATTCGATGGATGTGAGCTCTTCGGTTGGCGTGACCCTTCGAATTCTCAAAGAGCGCATCGAGCAGCTGGAAGGAGACAAGGCAGAGCTGTTGGAAAAACTCGAAAAGTCGAAAGACGATCTGCGAGAAAAATCGGAGAAATTGGCCGACAAGCAGATGACAATTGATCGAATTGAAAGAAGTTTGGTAGTTTTGACCGAAGAGAAAATTTCGCTGGAACAACGAATGACAAGTCAACGACAAATGTATTTGACGAATGAGGAATCGAGTAGATCAAGAGAGCACGAATTGAGGTATGCCTTAATCCTGAGGGTTTTTGATAATAAATGGCGTCTAGAAGCATGAAAGCAAAAATATCAAGTCTTGAACTCCATCTTCGAGAAAAAGAATCAAAGATCAACCAATTGAAGAATGAGTTGAGCATGGTGCAAACTCAACTGAACGATGTGATTGCATCTAAGGAAAAAGTGACAACTTTGATTGGGGGACAAGAGTCGAAGCATCGCGAGCTCGAGGAACAAGTCGAAAGACTTATTCGAGAGCGTGAGTCTGCTAATAATCGAATCAGAAAGGTGACAGCAGAGAACGAGGTATACAATAGTTTCTCATGTGCAAAATATGTACATATAATCTGTTAAGAACATTTTGCGAAAGCTTGACCAGCTCGAGAGAGAACGCGAGCAGTTGATGAGGGAAGTGACCGAGGAGCGCCGAATTAATGAGAAAAACCGAGTGCTGCTGGATGAGCTTCGAACGAATGAACGCAATTGGAAAAACGCGGTAAGAAATGATTTCAGTGTTCATTCAGTGCCAATGCGTCATATATAGGCATCGTCAGCAAAACGAACCGCGGACGAAATTGAGAGAAGTATTCAAGAGCAGAAGAGATGGGAAGAAACTCACAACGAAGTATTGGCGCGGAATACGGTTCTTTCAAAAGAATGTGATCGACTTCGGGGAGAGATGAGAGATCAAATCAATCGGATGAATGCACTCAATCTAAAGGTTTCATCGATTTCCATTTCGCTTTCAAATAATTGTTTTTTGCTGTTTAAGTCGGTTGATAGTGAGAGGAAAAACAGCGAACTTGCCTCGAAACTGCTAGTGCTTCAAAATAATGTTGACGCCCTCAAGAAATTCGAGGAAGACTGGAAACGATTGGAAGCTGAAATGCGAGCTGAACTTAAAACACTTCGCAAAGGTGATCGAATAATTGAAAATTGGCGGGCATTCAATAATATGGTAAATATGTAGATAAAGTTGCGAACACTGCTGAAATCGAGGATTGGAAACGAAAAAGCCTTCGAACTGAAACGGAAAAGAAGGAAATTGAGGGAATTCGCGTACGATTGGAACGAGAAATCAGCGCGCTTAAACGCCATGTCGATGCTGTAATTATCTCGTTCGAAATGCATTTAATTGATATTGAGAATTTAGTTGGAAGAGGAAAAGAATCGCACCGAAAAGGCGATTCGCGATATGATGAATGAAAGAAGAGCAATCGACAAATCATTAGCAGCAATGGAACGAGAAAACCAACAATTATACCGGAATTGCGCACAACTTCAATCACAAATTCAACAAATCGAAAAAGATGCTGGAAATCGTGTGGTTTCGAAATTGGCGAAAGATCACACATTGCTCAAAGCAAAGGTTGCTGTGTTAATTGAAGAAAAACGCCAGGTACGATTTGCTCGAATTCTAACCTGATTTTCCGAGTTCAGCTGCAATCCCTGTTGGATCAGAAGGACGCGAATTACTCGCATAAACGGAAGCTGCTCGAATCACAAATCCAATTGCTCCGCGAGCAACTCGAATCGGAACGTCGCAAGCGTTCGAAATCTCAAGTTGGTGCAGCTCGTCGAGCTGTTCAACATTCATCGGCATTCCGGGTATGACTCGACCGCATGTGCTTCGTCGGCTACATCATAACCCCATGTCCGAATTCCCTTGCTTTAATTGCCTGCAATCGCTTATTAATTAGTTCAACTGCGTTCATATATGTTTCATTTTTCCCTTATTTTCATGCATATTAACCAATTAGAACAACAAACTAGGTGTTAATGATTTCGAAGTCATATCTACATATTCTAGTCGCATTTTTTTCAAAACTAGTCGTTTGAAATTCAATAATTTATTAATATTGATCACCCGGTTACATCTTTCAATTATGCTAATGATCTCTAACGCATCTTTCAATTATTTTACTAATTTATGCACTTCCCTAGGAAACTGTAGAGTTCTATGAGACAATTTATATAATAAATTATTTTTTAGTTTTTTTTTTAATTGCTTTTTTAACCCTCGTTTTCAGGATTTATTTCAAAAGGAAATGGATGGAAATTTTAAAGCAAAAATCAAAAATTTGTTTTCATACATATTGATAAAGAAAAACGGATTTGCAAATGTCAATTCAATGCGGTTTTCTGGTATCCGGACAGCTGTCTAAACAACTAATACGAAATTTTATGTGACTTTCGAGTTTTATGAGCATCCTGTTAAACCGCGAGAAATCACATGAGCAGAAGAGAAATTATAAAACTAAAAATGGAATATTGTGGGAAAATGCATGCCAGCAATTATCGTTCTGTTCAACAATGAATGCGTAGCTAACAGAAATGCTTCGACAATTGGAATGCAGAAATTGGGAACAAATTGGTTTTTCAGCAAACAGTCGAGCATCGCTCGATATCATGCGAACGAACAGTGTTTGAGCACAGGCAAACGAGTGTGATATTCATCGATCGAAAACCACCGCTACCACCGCAAGCGATCCAACAGCAGCAGCAGTCGAAACAAACCCCACAAATATCCCCAATGTCACATTCCGATTCATATACTTCGGGTACTCTTATTTTTTAATTCGATTTGACTTCATTCCGATATCTGTATATAATATTTCGAGTCATTACAGGAAGCACGACACAAACAGAAGCGCATCAAAGATTCCCTTGATCTGTTTTTTGTCCGTAGAGTCGTGCTTCGTAGATTTTCGTAGTGCCAATGTTTTTTTTTTGCTTCTGCTACTACTTACACCTCATTTATATACGCTTACTGCCAATTATAATAATATGTCGGGTGATATATCAAACCGTGTTTGTCGAAAGAGCATATTGTTAATAAAAATTCGTAGGAATGGTTCATTCAGAGAAACAAAAAATTAAAACGAAAATTAGAAAACTAAAGAAAGACGACGCCGAGTTACAGTAATCATGAGTGTTGCAAAAACAGTATGTCCATCTGGAATTTTGAAGATTTGAAAAGAAAAAGAGATTCCAAAAAAAACCTTTTCGGAGGAGATGCTTGATCTACAAAAGTATAGCATCCATTTTGAACAATTGTTGAGTTTCCTGGTGCCATTACCAAATTATTTTGATGCCAACATTCCGATTTATATGGTTCGTATGTCGATTGTTTTGTCATCGGCTCAGTGATTTTGACACAGAATACATTTGTCTAAAAATTGATTATACGATATTTAAACGTTAAAAAATGAATATATCGAACCTCACAATTATTGTTGTAACGCAAACAGGAGTTCTCTTTGGAAGATATCTTCGATCCTCGCCATCCTTCACATTGATGGCATATCAAGCAATTCGCTGTAAAATGGAATGGATTATATTGAATGTGATTGTGAATAAGCACCGATTTGCGAGCTAGCCAGCAGTAGTACAAAAAGCAACATTGCGGCGAACTTTTGACGATTGTCGGACAACACTGCGAATCGGAAGTGGGCAGTTGTGCCACACACGAACCACTAACAGCTTCCACATGTGCCATTTTTCATCATAATTGTCCATTTTCTTTCACACACGTGTTTTGTTCAAGACATTCCGGTGTACTAAATACCCATTCAAATTGTTTAAACCGTTTGATATACGATGCCGACGCCACAAAGAAGCAATGAGACACGGAAAACGCAAATGTCCAATTGGAATCTACGAAATGAGCCAATTGAAACAAATCTCATTATAGAGAATAAGGGAGGAGATGATTATCTGTTATTTCCATATTCTTGTGTGACATTGATTTTCAAATAATATACATCTATATGAAACAATTTATTCGGAATTTTGCAATTATACAAGCATATCACACAAAAAAAGGACCGATTTAGGGTGAGTTAGCTTCACAGGTTATCCAGAGTACGGTATTCGAATTCCCACTGTTTCATTTTGAATTACAGCCTCAAAAAAGTGCCACAATTATGCAAGTCGCCTGTTTTTTTTTGCGATGGAATATTTAAAATAATAAAAAAACAGAACTAGGGTTTATGTTTTTTTGCGTGCTCAAATTATTTTAATTGTCTTGCTTTTTTCTGTTAATTTTACTTTCCCTATTTTGCAATTAATTGAAATTCTTTCAATATAATTCACTAGCAAAATGACACAATTCGTTTAAAGCAAAACTAATTTGGCGACGTTTATTTCGCATCGTTTGATCCGTCGGTGTAATCGAAACCAATATGTGATGGGAATGTGACGAAGCATCTGGCATTATTTTGTTCTCGGTGACCTTCGAGCAACGCAAACCAAAATTATTTTTCTTCGTTATTTGAAAATTTAAGATTTATGTGTATGGGCTGAAAAATGTGGTTTCAATTTTACACATAATGAAAGAAAACATACAATATAAACAATTTCAAATATTTATTTGTGAGAAGCAAAATTCTTCAATTTTAATAACAATAATCATGTTTACCGACGGGATTCAATTCGTTTTTGCACTTTCCTCATCTAAAATGTGATTCTTAATTTCGTTTTATGCTCAGGCAAATCAAATAAAATATTTTGAGAATCAAATATTCAGTGATAAACTCTAAAATATTTTGAGAAATTCTAAAATTTATTGATACTTTCGAAAACTTATTGAGAATCGCTAAACTTAAAAATATTTTTAAAAATCTTATAAGATTTTCTAAAATTTATTGAGCAAATTCTAAATTATCTCGATAAATTCTAAAATCTTATGAGATTTCCTAAAGTTTATTGAGACAAATCTAAAATATTATAGAGACACGTTAGTTTCTCAATAAATCTCAAAATATTTTATTCGATTTACCTGAGTATTTTGATCTATGTAGGGTCGAGTATACTCAAAGTTTTATAATTGGATGTTTGCGAACTCATTATTTTTTTGTGTCAATGTTTCTCGGTGAATTCTATTTTATATCACAATCGCAAAGAAAACGAGCACTCTGTGCCGATTTTTTCTCTAAAAAATACCATTGTCCGCAAATACCAAGTTCTTACGCTCATTACATTGATACTGGTTCAGTCCAAAAGCATAGCCCGCCATATATATAAAATTGACACACGGAAACGTATATCTCGAAAGGTTATTCATTCGCACACTTCCCGGCGGTAATATATACTAAATTTCCAAAAAAAACTACTTTATACTTTGCGTGCCGTTCGTAAAAATAAATCTTGCCGTTTTTCCGTCCACTGATAAATTTGGAGAGTACTGCTTTCGATTGTTTAGTATAGATATAGAAAAAAATGTAGTCAGAAAGCTTTTTTCAAATGCATATTTCAGTTTAATTATCGAGGCAATTCAGAATGGCCGATTCCTGCGAAAAGATTGATGGGTGTGAGAAGGCAAATGCATGAGATTGACGTTCGAAAATTATTTCATATTTCGCCAATAATGCAATACATATTTAAACCAAAAAACTAATTTGAAAGTCTTAATGAATTTAATTAACGTCAATAGTGAATGTTTATTCACATAAGTAATTGGAAGACTAATAATGATGATTCAACAATGGCATTTGATTGTCACCACATAACAACTATGTTGACATTAATGTTATTCGTCACATAAAAAATCAGTCATCTGGCTCATCCGGTCCACTGTGTGTACATTAGGATTCTTGCTAGTCTTCATCTTCATCTATAACTCTCTAACTATATTGATTTCTGTAATTGCATACCAACCAACCACAATTAATGCTCTACTGGGTGTTCGTTTTGCTCTTTTATGGTACAGCTAATTGAAATTGAATGAGATGGCGAGCCCGCGCGAACAAAGTGAGGAGAAAATGAACATTACTCGGCGGAATGTGGTTGGTCCGCTGATGATGGTGGTCCCATCCATTGTGAAATCGAATGGATGAATATAAATTCGAGTAAAGTGTGCAAGTGTCAGCAACGTCGATATACAACAGACACGCGCGGAGAATACAGAGAAAGGCTCGCGCATGTCCTTCTCCATCGTCTTGTTGTTCTCCTCGACTCGCACAATTTCTTGCGTGTAGTCGCCCATCTGTCCTATTATTCATGGTTATGCCTTCCGTAGCTTCATGCCAATATAGGCGTCGATGCTGCGGTGATTCCCTCGGGAACAACAAATTTATAAAGTCCCGCTCAACTTTTTCTATTAAAACTTTTCACTTTTCCATAAATTTGAGTTTTCGTTTCCTTTTTTGTCTTTCCAACTTCATTGTGTCAACAAAATAGTTTTTTTCCAACGTTAAAATTGAGCGTTATTCTCCAGCTTAATAATGACACAACTTTGTTACAAGTTATTAGTAAATATTAACGAGAAACGCAGATTTTAATATTTAACATTGAGAAGGTATTTTGGTTTTTTAATCAATAAAATATGCATTGCACCATTTTTCGTTTTATGTTAATATTTTAAAATTAAATAAATACCCTAGCATTGAATTTGTTTTGTTTTTAATCTTTATTAGTTTACGGATTTTTTTCCATTAGTCCGGATGCTCCATATAGTCAACCTGCGAAATATTAGTAATCGGTGATAATGCGCAATTTCACAAATATTAAATTGTTCCCACAGTAACGAATCAATCTCATTTCAAATTCCAAAAATTTTAAAACTTATCTTTTTTCCACGGCGAACATTCTCTTCCTGCTCCACTGCAATTAAATACCTGCTAATATCTCGCTTTCGAGCGTTTGTGGGCTTTACAATCTTTTTTATTGTCGTTGTCGAATAAACTAGTAGGTGATTGCTCGCCCAAAGAAAACTATTCTCGCGTTATCCTCCCAAGAAGTATTTTACGCTTGCCCCAATGTTTGAATGATTTTGTTGAAGTTTTTGTGTGCAACACGGCAAACATAGCTGATTTCATTGGAGAACATTTGCAAATAAAAAGAGAGAGGATACCTGTGCCAAGATAAATACTCGCATGTTTATGCGCGATCGTCTGATATCCGAAAACCGAGGGCCGGACGGACGGTCGGCCGGTGAATGCGGAGGTCGCAGACACGCAGAAAAGTTTGTGTGCAGTATTGCGTGGCCGTGTACGTATCGGCTGCACACCGGCTCGTCAGCGTCCGCTCATTAAAGCATTTTTTTCTAGTTGTTTGTTGCGATACAATTTGTTCAAGAGAAAAATGATGGAGACTAAAATATTGATTTATTTTCACGCTCCTCTTGTTCTCATCTTTTTCGCTGTGTTTCATTTTTTCGTCTATCCCATAGTTTTTTTTTGAAATAAAATATTTTGTAGATCGTCGGAAGCAACAAGTGTAATGACATCGACTCCACCACAATTAGATGGATCTTTCGATGCTTCCGATATCGCAACACCATGTACAATAATCGAGAGAATGCGAATTAAAGACGATTCTGATGATCCTGAGAGTAATGATGGTAAGTGTCCAAGTAAATATTTGCAATGCAACTAAAAATAGCGTCGAAAGATAGATTTAATCATAAATGACGTATAAAATAGTATTTTCGGGGATTTCTGGTAATATTGTTGATTTTAAAAAATTAATCTAATGTATATCACAATGAAACGCTCGTTTATTTCCGAAAATAAATTATTTCCTTTCGTCATTCTTTTTTTTTTCAGAGAACTTTGAAAATTTATCGCAGTCAAGTGCACAGTTTTCACAAAACTCGGAAGCCACGACTACAGTAAAACAACCGTTCCCTCAAACCAGCACAAAGGCATTTTTTAATTTCAAGGTTAAAGTAATTTAAATGATTATAGGTTTATTGTCATATCGACGATGAGCCAACATTGTATTTGATGGAAGTGCATGTTCCTCCTGATTTGATAACATTGGGAGATGTGAAACGAGTATTGATGAGAACTAACTTCAAATATTACTGTAAAGCATTAGACCCTGATTCAGGATAGTAAGTTGAAACGATTTTCAATTTGTTCCAATATATTTTTTTTAGCGAGGTGAAAGCTGAAGTCCGCGATGATGCTCAGCAATTAATTCCGCTGCCAAATGGAAGGTTTGAGCTTTTTCTGCTCACCATCGAAGGATCGACTCATTCTGACGGAAGTAGTGGGAAAATGAGAAAGCCTAGCCATCCGGTAATTGAAGAGTGGAAATTCAAATTTACGTATTTCTTCAGGTTCCGGCGCCAGCTCCTTCAAACAAACATTTACCGATGAATTATCATCATGCTGCATACCAATTCGATAATTCCAGTAAGTTTATTGCTTGTTGATTTTTTTTTGAAGTAATTGCAAAACCTGAAATTCTCAAAAAATGTTTATTTCTTCAAAAATTTAGGTTACGCGTAGTTTCAGGAAGTAAATTGAATAGTGCAAAAAAAAAACTTCGAAACAAAGTGTAACATTTTCATCTGTTTTGCTCATTACACTAATTTTTGAACTCAAAAAGTTCCTCTGTTGTTTGAAAGAAACCAAATTCGGAGATATTTACTCATTGATTTTTCAAAATTTTTATATAAAATAAATGTGCTAGTAGTTATCAATGCTATTTAAGATATTAAGGATATCGAACAAAGTGATTTTTATTTTTAACTTTCAAAAACATTTTTTTTTCGAACTAAGTTTTCGAAAACAGTTTTTTATCAGTAATATTGTTCGCATGTCATATGTTTTCATTAAAAATTTCTCAAGAAAAAAATTGATTTATATATATATGTTGCAGTGATGAGCACCGATTCGGAATCCGTGATATCAGCAGCAGTACCAAGCTATCTAAAAGGAGCCTATGGTCGTCGTTTCCCGCAATATCTCGGTTAGTTTATTGTTTATATTTTTTCATCGTGTGATTGGAATCGAAATTGAAACCCGAAAAAAGTAATTAATTGAAAAGAGGCCCGCTTGAATCGCTATCACTCGAAATAGCGGATAATAGCGGCGAGACGCCGAGCAAACGGATGAATCCGCCGAGCGACAGACAGCGATGTCACATTCAATTGTTTCAATCGCGAGACATCGCGTTTCGACATCCAACCCATATTATTTTGATGGCATTGTGATAACATTTGTCACCATTTGATTCCTTCTTATTGAAAGTCTCGTTAATGCCCATAATTGAGTTTGCGCGCTATAAAAAGAACGTTATTTGATGTTTTATCGTCATGTTTCTCACATGTTCGGCAGTTTCTCGCCCGAGAAATGCTGTACAGTTCGCATTCTTGAGAATTGGGGGCTCTTCACGAAACAAAAATCGTTTATCAGTGGTCTTCGCCGCAAGTCCTTCCTTTCCCTCTCCTGATCTGTGTAAACACTGAGTTTTTGTTTTACTGGCTATCCTCTTCTTTAACAGTTACTTTTTCTACTATTTTTTGTAGAAATACTTGAAATCACATTTTTTACATGATAGGTTTCGAACATTCTTCTGCGAGTTCATTGAAACATGGCATTCTCGCATTTAGTTGTTCATCTATCCTAACTATCCTCTCTAATTATAGAGACCAAGAAAATTTATGCAATAACACTAAAATACTGAATTTAGATTATTTGATTATTAATAAAAAAAATTAAATTAAACCGCTCATAGATTTGATATTTTTTAATCATTCTCTCTTATTCATTGTCGGTGTTGTGTGATTGCGTAAAATTGACCAAATTCCAAATATTTTAGAGGGAGAGAGAGCTCGTAGCGAGCGCGGAGTGCCTTTAATCTAACGTTATGTTTAGCTCGTAAACACACATTTAGTTTCGATATTTTGATATTTAACCAATTTTCTTCTGTCTCGCAACGCTAAGTATTTTTATTACTCCCTTTTTAAATATTCTATTTTCATTTTAGCCATTTTAATATAGTTTCGTTATAGTATAATGTATAAACATGATATAACAAAACATGAAGGGCTGGGTTAAACTTGATTACTTTTCATTGTTTAATTTAAGAAGTATGATTAAATTTAACATTACCTATATATATAATAAGTTGATTACTCTACAGTGTACACATATTAGTGCTTTGTTATTTTCCTCTCTTGATCTGGTTTTCGACGACTTCCGATGTTTTCTTTCTATTTTTAGAATGATAAAGGCGATGAATGATGACTTCCATTTTCGGTATCACATTAGGATCGCATCACACCATTTTTCGTTACCGTTTCCTTTGCAATTTGAATTTTTTTCTCGTCAAGAAGCCAGAAACATGTAAATGCTGTTCAGTTGTTTGCTTATCATTTATCATCAAGTGCGTAGGTAGTTAGTTCATTTACGTATAAATCCGCCGATATTTTATTTACTTTTTATCCGTGTGGCGACAAAACGAAGAAACAAGATAAACGTTTGACGGCGGCCAGTTGCGCTGGAAATATTAGTGCCCATTCGAAATTTATTGCTTTCGGCACACTCAATTAGTTGCTCGTGTTCTCGAAAATCTCTTGTTTATTTGACAGACGTTGAAAATAGAAACGATACCATCTTTTTTTGTTAAGAACCAATTTGTAATATTTGTCTTCCGTTTTATCACCTCTTACTTTATCTCTTGAACCCGTGCTGCTTATTTCGACCTCTGTTGTGTGTTTAGATAGCGACGAACCACTTGATCCGCGGATCGGATCGGGTCGTTGACGGTCGACGAACGGAATCAGGAATGGCGATCGAAGAATCTAAAAGCGTCTGCCGAAGCGAATTGTTGCGTGGATTGATGGAGCCGCGAAAAGAGAAACGCATAATGTCTTCATACATTGCGCCACATTCGCTATCGAGTTCTAGAGGAGTGGTTTCGGGACTTGTTAGTAAATTTGAAAAGAAGAAAACCGATCGAGTACCACTTGCCGAAATGGAAGATATTGAACCAGTGATAGTTGAACAACAGAAGAAGAAAACGAGACGAATGTATTTTGGAGGATCGTCTGGAAAGAAATTTATCAATGACATCCTATCAAAAAAGGCTGAAAACGACGAAAATCAATATGAAAACAAGAAAGGGCGAAGTGGAACTGTGGCCGCTGAGCCGGTGAATATGTCATTTGCATATGAAGCGGAGCCCAAATTCCGATTGAAACGAACGCTGACTGATTCAACGAATAATCATTCTGCTTGGAAGTTCGTGGCTGTACTGGGTGGTCCGCTCAAAAAACGGCTGTCGGAAGGCGCGGCGACAATTATCGGCGCCGCATTACAACGAAATGAAGACAACGACGACGGGAAGCAAAAAAGTACACGGCGGCGGATTAAGAGCCGTTCGAGTTGTTCGATTGATGCGAGCAGTGTGAAAGCCACTTCATCATCACCCGCTTCATTTTTTAGCGCTCTTATCAGATTGTCGACATCTTCAAATTCACTAAACGCCGAGCAGTCCATTATTACGGCTCCAGTCGCCAAAACGCTGCAAGAGCCCAAAAAGCCGCATTCAAAGACTACAAATGTGGTCTTGAATCATCATCCCAAGAGTATTCCTATTGATGAATTATCCCACAAATATTCCCTCCGACCTTTGGAACCCCTGACTCCAGATCGACCTCCGGTGAGTCCATCGACGAGTCATACTGAATCGATCGACTCTAATAGCCCATTGACATCGCGTCGTCGACCGATTACCGTGTCTGGAGGCGCACTGATGCGAAGCGAGCGACGATTCATGTGCAACACGATCGGTCGACGAAATACGATGAGTCGGACGATGTCGCTGATACCAGCCAGTTCACCACTCCCGCCGTTGTACGAGGAAGAAGCATGTAGTACAATGGCGACGGTTGATGGAAATGGCGAAACGACGAAGCGAAAAATGAAACAATATGGTGGAAGTCATACAACGAGCACCTATCAAGGAAAAAAGGATGTAGCACCAGATGCATCTCCGAGAAGACACCTCATTGGATTTCTGCATCGGACGTCGCATTTGTCGTTGACATCGGAATTAAGTGCGGATGCTTCTTTCTATTTAATTGGCAAGTTTATGGCTATTTCATGGACATTGAATGTTATCACGACTGGCCAAATGGTCCCATTTAACGTGGTCAGTCTAAGAAAGTTCAATTTGTTTGAATTTCTCTTCTTAGCTTGTTATCTAAACGATAAGGGAAGCAAATTTCGATTCCAATAATAATGCAGTACATATTTGAGAGAGAACTTAAAATGTTTTTCAGGTCATCGACGAAACTTGGAAGAATCAACGATGGGTTCGGAATCTGACGCGCGAGTGTTTTCTGATGACGATGATAGGTGAGATGTTCTTTCTTTCATTTTTTTTTGCCTTTTTCGGTGAAGCTTTATTCTTACGGCGCAGAGTTCGCAACATTTTGCTTGAGACGTTTAGTTTGAGAGGCGTGATGAATAATGGGAAGGATTTGTGTGATGTCCTTCTTGGTGTCTCTCTTTGGTTTGGTGCACATAAGTCGCCGTCCTCCCATGACACTCACTTTCCGTTGACTATTACTAAACACATATTTATTGGCTTCCTCTTTTTTGGTCCAGCTACTATTATTTGTTCGAACCAAAATGAGCGGATATATGACGGATGACGATTTTGCGAGTTCCGATGGCAAAGCTTATTATTCGACAACATCGACATCGTCCGATTATTATGTGATTCAGAGCACTCGAGATGTGTTAGTACTTTCAATTTTGTCCGCCATTAAACTCTAGAATATACGATCAAATGTGCACGAGCGGGCGAAATAAAGCTGTTGGCGTATTTAACTGCCTCGATAAATCTTTTGATACCCTTCGCAAATCTCGCCGAATCGAACGCTATTTCAATTTAATTGGTTTTTGTTTTTTTTTTTTTTGACCGTGTCAAGGAAGGCATGACCAAGTGAATCGAAACCTTTCAAACGCAATCATCCGTCACTGAATGAAACGGCGAAAAGCGAAAATGTCTGTCCAACTATTTATGAGTGTGAGTTGCCCACATAACGACGGTGATTAATTGTCGTGTGGGTTTAAAAAAAATGATCTCGAAAGCTCGGCATTTATCACATTTTGCTCGGTTTTGCACTGGATGGTGAAACACGTTGGTTGAGTGTGTGATAGAAAACAAATTTTGAAAACAGAAATCAACGATTCTATTTTCAGGGGTTCCACTACTACGGACTTTACATCCGTATCACGACAACACGAAAAAATGAAGAAAAAGAAAAATCGCCGAAATTTTCGGAAGCCATCAAGAGCTTCGTCTTTTTCTAGTATTACTGGTACCCGCTATTTATAAGTATCAATCATTAAATATCAACACCGTTTTTCAGAGTCTTCTATGAGCTTGGATGTAATCACTGTAACTTTAAATATGGACACGGTCAATTTTTTGGGAATATCAATTGTTGGGCAGACGTCGACAAGAGGCGACAACGGAATTTATGTTGCGAATATCATGAAAGGAGGAGCGGTGGCATTGGATGGTCGAATCGAAGCGGGAGATATGATTTTGCAGGTCAATGATATCTCCTTTGAGAACTTCACAAATGATCAAGCTGTAGACGTTTTACGGTATTTGGCACCCATTTTTATGTAAATATATTGAATGGCTTTTCAGAGATGCTGTTAGTCGGCGGGGTCCGATTAAGTTGACTGTTGCGAAAAGCTTTGAGAACGGACCACAAAGTTGCTTTACAATCCCACGGAATAGTCGAGAAGAACCTGTGAGGCCTATAGATACGCAAGCATGGATCCAGCACACGAATGCAATGCGAGGGATGCCGAGTATTATGGAAGGTTCGAAATCTTGTTGAGAAAATTCCTATTTGTAACAAGCGCATCTTTAGAAGCACCGACTCCTATTCCTGGCGAATGGCCTCAGGTGCGTCCACAGAGCAGTTCGACAGTCACTTCAAACGGATCCAATGGCCAAAATACTGTAGTTGGTGGATCGCATATTCACTTAGATATTCATACGGATAAGAAAAAGGTATAAATTGATTGCATCATTCAACTCTTTATGTAATATTGTTGAAGGTTGTTGAAATTATGGCAATGCCAAACTCTGGTCTAGATATCAAAAATAGGACCTGGCTTAAACTCCTTATCCCAATGTCATTTTTGGGATCTGATCTTGTTGAATGGCTTCTAGACCATGTTGAAGGACTTCGAGAACGAAAAGATGCAAGGAAGTATGCGTCGGAACTCCTAAAACTTAAATATATCGCCCATGTGGTTGATAAAATATCGTTTGCGGAGCAGTGCTATTATGTTCTTGGAGAAGAATGCGCAGGTAAATCGAGCAATTGAATATAAACCCCAAACTTGAATGAAAATTGAAGATTTTGCTCGATTCCGAAACGAAGATGGAGGTCCGAAATATCAATGGGCCGGTGTGAATGGAATGCCGGGAGCAGTTCTGCCAGGACAACCTCAACAACAGTTATACGGAACAAAGGCGATGGCGCCATCAATGGTGAGCAACGGCGAATCGCGCATGTATGTAATGCACATTTAAGCACTTCCCTCGAGATTATTTTCAAATATTTTCGATTTTCCTGCATTTTATGTTCATTTTTTTGAGATAAGGAAAAGATTTTTGAAGCACAATTTAATTTATTGAAAATCGATTCCTTTTCCCTCCATTTCATTTTTTGCATGATTTCTGGTCCGCGTCCAATGTTTTTTCTTCATTTTGTTTTCTTCATCTCATTCTTCGCACTGACACAAAAGCGCAGCTACAGGTTTGAATTTTGTTTTGCCCATCAAGAGATTTGTCATCCGGTGATATTCTTCAAAAACTCCTACTGTCGATCGGCGTTTCAGTTTTTCAAGAAAATCCAGTTTCCATATGTAATAAATTGTCCAATTATTCTTGTACCAATTGCTCAAAATTGTGTTTTTATTATTATTTTGTACTCATTTTGCCAAAAAATCCATTACTAATACAATCTCTTTCTCATTTTCTAGGCCATAACATTGGATGATTTCGTTTTGTCCGAATTTCGCATGATATTTTCAATAAATGTTTATTTTTTCGGTTCAATGTCTCTATGTTCATTTTTGCACAAACTTTAAATTAATTTTGCATGAAAAAAAAAACGCCGGCTGATTTCAGGGGGTTTGAAGAGACAATGAGTGGTGATTTTAATTTTTCTAATTTAGGTGAGCGGATATGCTTCGATGCCTGTTTCGCCGTATCCGATGCCGATAAAGAGAGAAGATCAACGAAGTCAAGGTAGTGGAAGTAGTGGAGCAAGTGCCAGAATGTAAGAACTGTAGAATTTCTGGGGAGTGTATTGTCGGCGTCAAACGACTGAAGGAAGGCTGGGCATTCAAACTAGCGAAATCAGTGTAGATTTAAAGTTATCGTGATATGATGCAACGTACGCAGTCTCGCGTACTTCTCGCTGCGTCGAGACGTATTGGAACATAGTCAATTTTTTTAATTTCGTCAAGTCGTTTGACTCCGACGATAACTATTTAAAAAAAACGTTGGAAATAATAAACATTTGAGTTTTCGAAAAGAAAAGTTCCTTCATTCCAAATCTGCATTGATTTCCTCATTTTCAAAGGTTTTCGGCTTATCAATTAAAAAATTTTAGGCGTAATGTAATATTACCAGCGAAACCATCATCATCAGGTAGTGGACACGGTGACGAACCAATATCGGAAATGGCGGCGTCTCGGCAATCATTCCGCGCTGCGATGAATCATCCTTACGAGTTTTATATCGATAATATTTGAGATTTCTATTTGTTTAAGTGTTTTATTTTTTGTCTCTTATCAGTTTTGCCAACATTTCTCAACAAAAAACTTCCCTAACAAATCAAAACTTATTTTTTGGTGCTTCGCAAACAAAAATTGATTGGTTGAAACGGGCGTATTGTCTACATTTTACATATTTTTCTGTAATTAATTTTCCATATTTCATTGTATTTCAATAAATTATACACTTTGTTTTATTAATAACCAAATTCCTAGTAGCAATGCTGAAAAAATGGGAGACAAATAGGATGAATTGCACAAATGTTTGTTATTGCATGTGGAACACCGCGAAACTCCGCCGACTTGTTCGCATACTGATTGCGCTTGATGGCATGATTCATTCGGGAGACCCGTAGCTGATGTAAGTACCGAGACCCCACATCCGCGAGCAGTGAATTCTTCTGGAAGGACTACTAATCATAGACTCAATGAGCATAATATAAATTTGCAGAGAGGCAGAGTTCGGCGATAATGATTGTCGTTCGAAAACTAAATAAATACATATAATAATATTTCTGCGGCTTGGATTTTGAAGCCACACTAAACTCAAATATTTAAAACTGCTTAATCGGTAGCGAGGCGAATGCGTCCGCGCTCGATAAATGGCGGCAATTTCTTATCGACTTCTGCTAAAATGTTTCAGATTCTGCAACTGGAAAAGGGGCAAAAATTGGATGAAAAATAAATACTTCTATCTAGACTGAACCATTTTTCATCCAATTTTCATTCATTTTTGTCTGTTTCTATGTTGCAGTGAAGGTTTTCTGAGAAATTGCCACAAGCTTAATGCTTGCTAAGAAATTGCTATAATTTACCAACAATTTATTAGAAAAAATGTTTGGTGTTTAGATTATTAAAACTAAAGTGAGAAGGAAAATAATTTCAAATAGGATGCATTTTTGATACCGTATTTTTTAAATATTATTTTACACTTTTAACACATTCGATGTAGAATTAGGGCTAGAATTTAAAACAAAGTTCACGTCGAGAATGCAAAAAAGAATGATTTTCTCAAAATTAGGCGCAAATAAATCTACTTTAATTTTATTTTCTTGGAATGGTGTAAAATATTAAAGTAACAAAACCTTCAATTCCCTCACACACAAATTTGAAACATTCGATTGTTTGAGGTGGGCATTCTGTTGGAGTATATCCCTTCTTACTCCCTTGTTCGCACCATATATGACCTTAATCGTAGAAATTTGACAGAAAATTGCGAATTCTTACCATATGCTTGTCCTTTTGACGATTCTGGTACAATTGTCAATATCAACAAGAATAAATTGAATGCGTAGACGAATATCATTATTACACCACTAATATTGAGTGGAATGTTTGCAGAATATTTTGGAAATCCGAAAAGAAAGAAACAAAGAAAGTCAAAAAATAATGACGGATGGAGACGGGAGGCTACTATAAGAGAATTGCGCACAGTGCAAATAGAACAAGTAAAAGAGATTGTTTGTGCTCAACGAGTTACATTCTTTTCTGACTGTTTGCGACCAATTATTGAAAAGTTACCTGGCCAATCTGTAAAAAAAACTTAGGGAAGCATTTATTAATCGCTTCAACGGAATCTTGCGAACTAGTAAATTGGCCAATTCTTGCACAATTACTTTCGAGTTTTTTTTTCAATTTCAATCAATAACTGTAAAATTTTACCAGACAAAAATATTCCAAATAAAATAATATACAGTTTGCATGATTCATAGAACTTGCAAGAAAAACAGAAAACGAAAAAGAAAAGAGTAATAAAAAGACATGAAAATAAACTCAACAAATACGTTGTAAAATGTTTCTGATTAGTATTATTAGGAATACCTGAGCGACAATTAGTATGTTGGAACATTATTAAGTTTAAATCATCCGCTGTTGTCAGTTGAGACCAAACGCTCAGAGTGTTTCGGTGATTGATGCATTGTTTATCAGCGGAGCATTCTGAAAATGTTGTTGCGATTTATGTTTAGAGACTATTAAAAACTTTTTTCGCATAAAATTCAGCGGGATCTGCTGAACTTGCCAACTTTTGCTCCAACATCCTCATGCTTACTGAAAAACGACAAATTTAAATTAAATTTCTGGGAATATCGCGAAGACGCACCATTGATCCGGTTAATATTTTCTTTTAATATATTTGTGGTATCGGTTTCTTGCTCGAGTAAACGAATCTCAGTCTTTAGAGCTTCATTCTGCAATGATAACATTTCTCTTAATTTCCTCTCGGCATCGCATCCTTCTTTAAGCTCTAAAAATGAAAAGTTAAAACTTTAAACTGCCCAGTATATAAACCCTTTATCTCTTGCTTTGACTTATTTTTGAAATTGGAAAGATGGTCACATATTTTCGCAAAATCTCTTTCAGCTTCCTCCAAATCTTCACTACTATACGAAGAACTTTTCTGAAATTAAAGTATTAGCATAGCGTTATAAATATTTAAATTTCAAACGAACGGAATACTTGTCAATTACTTCGTGCAGATAATCCGCCACTGAGCCCATTGGGGTTAGTCTGAAAACCTATTTAATTGGAATTTATCGATTGATTTGTTGGCAATATTACGAAATAAATCTACAATTAAACGGTAATTTGTGATTTTGGCCAAACAATTACTGCTAATTTCAAACAAGAAAAACTCTATTATCAACTAATTTCAGAGAAAAATTTGAAATCCATGATTAAAATTGAGAGCAATAGATGTAGCGATAAAACAATATTTGAACTGCCGCCGCGTGGTCTCGCCGCGAACACACCACAACGCGTGTGTGCCTTTAACCCACACACACACCCATGTGTTCGATTTACGGCGATTTCGCCACAAGAAAAAGCAAATTTTTTTGAACGTTGCTCATATTAGAGGGTGTTTAAAATTTTTATTGTTTTGTATGATTTTCTTTTCATTTTTCACTTTTTCTCGTGTTTTTAGCTGGATTTTCGCACATCTTACGACATTACTTTAATTTTTTCAATATTCCTCCATACTCTCCTTTCTGCAAATTTTATTTCTGAAAATTTTTGGAATAAAATTGTTTTTTTCATAGTTATTATGATTTTTTATTTTTCTTATAATTTTTTGAATTGTTCTTTCAGCGATGCCACGTCTTAAACGAAGAGATTCCGTTTCGCACCAAAGTACGCCAGAAGCAGAACATTTGCCACGAAGTTCACGACGAAGCAAAGTTCCAAAGCGTTTTCTTGATGGAGAGTTTAAATTATCGACAGCTACTCCAATAACAAAAAAACGTAATACACGAAACTCTTCGAATTCTACTCGTGCCAGTTCGTTGGCCAAAGAGGATGCAAAAGAGAAAACTCCCTGCTCTTCACGGCAAAAAGGTCCAAGAGGGTAATTATTCAATTTAAAACGATTTTTTTCAATTAATTAATTAAAGACGACCAGCTAAACGAGATAAGAAGCCGCGAAAGGAGAAAAAACCATGGGAAGAAGATGTGGCAGAAGAATTCGAAGCTGAATATGAATCAGAAACTTCAGATTCTTCAGACGATGATTACATTGAGCCAGAAGGTTTGACTGATGTTTTTTATATTAATAGATGGTCATTTTAAGGCGAAACGCCAGATGATGAAGATGAAGATATCGATTTTGACAACATAAAAATAGAACCAATAGAAGAGGTGAGAAAATCTTCGAAAATATATAAATAACTTTATTTTTTGCAGACATCACATGCTTTTTGTCCATGGGCTGAGCTTGATCCTTCAACAATACCTAAACTAGAGCTCCCGGAGAGCAGTAGAGATATAGTTATTCCCCAAAATGCAATTTTCGACGTAATTGAGGTAAGATTAGTATAATAATAAATTGATAACCATATTTATTGAAGATTTATGAAATTCTGCGTGGTTATCATCGCACCCTTCGACTTACACCGTTCACATTCGAAAGCTTCTGTGCCGCTTTGATCTCCAGTGAAAATTCTTGTATAATGGCCGAGGTGCACATTTGTTTATTAAGAATTTGTTTGAAATCTGACGACGAAGAACAGGTTTGTCTAAATTGATATTATACAGGAATAATTTAATTCAAATATTTCAGGTTCATTTTTCTGTAACCGATTCAAATATTGCCGTTAACATTATTCTGCATAATTTGGAAACAATGACATATGCCGAGGTATTTTTGTTTATTTTTGCATATTCATTTCAAAAGTAAACTTTAGGTCATTAGGCAATATATTGAATCTTATCCCGGGGTCGATGATTCAGTTCGTGCTGCCATTAACGCCTACAATTATCCATACGTTGGTTTCGAGCCAAAGTTTGTTTTTTATTTATAATATTTGTATTAATTAATTTCATCATTGTCAGGATTATTGTACTTTTGTTCTTGTGTTATCGTTTCCTTTATTCGGTCGAGTATCGAAAAGTGGTCAACAATGGTGGAAAACCGCAGGTATTATCAGATTCGAACGATTGAAGGGAGGCGGGGTTTTCCTTCTTATCTAAACCTGAAGAATTAGACAATTCACATTAACTTTTTTGCAGCATGATGAGACGTGTCGCTTATGTGGAAAAGGAGGATCACCGATCGTCGGTTGTGTTCGTTGCGATGCTGCCTTTCATCCGTCTTGTAGTGGACTCGAGCCTTTTCCGGAAACATTGATTTGCAATCTTTGTACTCAAAACGTCGTTAGAGGAGTGACAGATTCACTTCCTTTCGAAGATACAATTGAAAAAGAACCTCTAAGAATGCGGCCGATCGGTCGTGATCGCCACGGTCGCATTTACTGGTGGGTCATTCGGCGCATTATTGTGTAAGTGCTTAAATACTTCTGAAACTTGGAATAGTTCATTTTACAGACAGTCTGAAGATGACAGCGAATTGTATTACTATTCGACACCGCCTCAATTGTATCAACTTGTTCAGTCGCTTGATGCGAATTATTATGAAAAGGACTTGTGCGATTTCATTAGAAAGCGCACTAACGAAATTTTGGAGCAGATGACACTCACGTTGGAGATGTCGACCGAAAAACGAGATGAACTTGTCAAAGATTATTCGCAGCGAATGAAATGTTCGATGGCCGAGGCGAATGAAGCAATACCGACAGTTTATTTTCATCGCGATAATTGTGAGTATAAAACTTTAATTTTCGTAATTTAAAATAACTTTTCAGTGAAAAGAATGTCGCACATATTGAAATATTGCGCAGATAAGGTTGCTTCGAAGGATATGAAAGTAGAAGAAATGGCAGAGGTTTGTAGTTTTTTTTCTTAATATTCAGTTGGAGATTTTGAGTTTTCAAATTGTTTCATTTCCGAGAAAATAACAATAAAAAGCGTTAACTGTACTATTACCATTGCAAAAAACGAGCGCCTTGCATAATTGTGGTCCATCGCACTCTTTTGAGGCGGAAATTGAAATTGAAATTTAAATCGTGGGAATTCCCATACCGTACTCTGGAAAACCTGAGAATCAAGAATCAAGTCAAGGTACTCCTTTTTTTGTGGATTTCATATTTTACCTACTATAAAAAACTGTTTTTTTATAATCAGCGACTGATAAATTAGGTATTAGGATATATTTAATTCGGGTTTCTCTGTCGGCCCTTCTGAAAGGTTATAACAGAATTTTCATGTGATTTGATTAATTTTTTTCAAAAATAACGTAATGGACGCGAAATAACTAGTGATTTCGCAAGACCCTAGCGTAAATCGTATGCCCCGAAATGTATAAGCAGTTGCCAGACAAACTATATGAAATGTTCAAGTTATTTAGAAAATATACCATTTCAGGGAGATATTGTGAAAAAAGAAGAAGAGGAATGCGAAGTGTTTAGTGCGACAATGTTAGGAATCACAGCGGGTCGTTTGGTTAACGTTTTCTGGAGTGGAGGATATACAGGTATTCATAATTAATAGTCAAATTTTAACTTATATTCATTATCAGAAGAAGAACTGTTTCGTTATTATTATGAGCACGGGCAGGAAAAAGTTGATCCTTTCGAAAATTTTCGGCTTGGTGATCAAAATGATGGAAGCTTTAGGTGAGATATTCGTTTTATGAATTAATATCATTAAAAATTCTATAAATTATTTCAGAAATTATAAAAATTATTACGCGAACAACGAAATGGCTGAAAGTGCGCATGCGAGGAAGAAGATATCTGACAGGAAGAAATATATTTCATCCAAGTTTTCGTTTATGGACGACACTGACTACGCGTTCTCTGTATGCTATCAGTTTCTTTCTTTTTTTTTAACTTTGCTAATCTTATAGTGGTCGATTGCTAAAGGACGAAACCTTTATGGAAATGAGCTTCTCCATTCGAAATATGTCGAGTGGACAATTAACAAATTAATCAACAAAATTCCTTCTGCTTTATTCCATCGACGCTGGATATATGCAAACAAATCGTTTTTCGATGAATTAAAAAGAGCGAATCACTTCAAAAAGTTATGTGAAGTTTTATTGAAACTTGAAGTTTTGCTTCGAAAACCAATTTTTGTGCCGCAATGGTGGAATGGTCTTGGACAGTTTCGTTTCGAGAGAACCACACAAGAGCAAAGGGATCTGCAATCTAAAGAGTTCCAGAAACAAAAGAAGCTTGAAGCGGTAAAATTAACGAATTGACAATTATTATTTGACTCATTTAAAGGATTGCATTTCGAAAGATCTCGATGATTCGTTTATCAAAGTTAATTATACAAAGACGAATGGTGTAAATACGTATCTTTTGAGGCAAAAGGTATGGTTGGAGTCGAATTTCGAGAATAAAATCGACATTTTCAGGGAGAATATTATCGTAACGCTGGGAAACATGTGATGGGCGGCTGGATGTGGATTTCAGCAAAGTTTGCGAGCACTTATGTTGGTTTGCCGAAGAAGCCAGGAGTTGAAGAAGCGCCGACGAATGTAATGCTTAACATTTTATCATTTTTCCGATGATTAATTTCTAGGAGGAAACGACAGCGAATAGAAAGGCGAAACGATTAGAATGCGTTGTTGAGAAAATGCGAAGGATGTCGTTAAAAAAGAAATCAGCACAGGAATCTTCGACTGAGAATGAAAAGAAAGAACACGTTTTGAAATGTTATTCGAGTACCTGTCGAGAGGAAAGGTTTGATCTTCGAGTTAGATATTCGACATTTTCGATTTTTTCTTCAGACTAGTTTGTTCTGATCTCAACAATTCTTTGTATCAATCGTGCTATTCTGCGGACTGTCGAGCAGCCAAACAGGCGAAACGTAAGGAATCTAAAATGTGCCGAAATATGTTCGTTTTTTTTTCCTTTCCAGAAAATATGTCGAAACCTCGTGGAATTGTTGGAGAAGATTTGCCCTGGCCGATTCCACAAGTGCATCGATTCGAATCGAAAGGGAATCGAAATATTTTTGTTGTCGAACCGAAGTAAACGATGCCAACAAAGTGCCGTCAGTTATTTAATTGAAAATTTTAGAATTCTGCGCAAATTGATTTGTACTGCTGGACGTGAACATGTGTATATTCCCGGATTTTCGTCGAATAGTAAAACAAACTTCGCTGTGTGGAATTATCCAGCTCCACGACCATGTTTCGATTTGAGTTGGAGGTAATATTGTAATTTTCTTTGCAACTCAATAATTTTTTTTTGAAATCAGATGGAACACATTAAATGCTCGATCGCTTCATGCCGTTGCGCTTCAGCTCAAGATTTTATGGTTGTCGATTAGGTGGCAAGACATGGAACCAGAGGACAACGTTAGTTTTTTCACCATAGTTTATAGGTCAATTCAGATAACGTTTAAGAAAAGAGAAAATTTTAATGCAGAAAAATAGAAAATTATTCTATTTTTCTATTTTATTACATTGGCCGTTTAATATTCATATTTTTATTCAGGATCACGATCGTCGAGTTGTTATCGGCTTAGCTACGCATGATGAGCGTAGAAGAATTATTGGACACAAAGAAATGGGACCATTTGGTCAATACGAGCGGTATTTTGAAATTTCTGTAGTTTTTGGAAATTCTCGAAATTGTTCAGGTACAAGTTGGAAGTAGAAATTATTCCATTGCATAATGAAGATGAAGATGTTGATGATGAAGCGTGGAGTTCGAAGAAAGAACGAGAAGGAATTGTGGTTAGAGGACGAGGTATAAAATTACAATAATCAAATTTCACATTAGAACTGGAAACTTTCAGAATGTAAAAAGCGAAAATCTGCTGGACGCCAACTTCGAATGCCAAAGGCCGTTCGTCATGAATGGATCGATGGCGTCGAATTACGGTTGTTCGAAATTAAAGATTACTGGGAAAAAGTAATTCCACAATTGGCGCCTGTTGAAAAAAAACCGATTAATCCACAAGGCGTTGTGAGATATCAATCTACAAATTTGTTGCCTATGCAAATGCCTAGATCGATGTAAGACGGATGTTCATTTTAATTGTTAAAATGTTGGTTTTAGGCCGCGAATGATAACTCCGACTATTCGAACACCACAGAATGGAAACTCTTCACGGACTCAAACCCTTCCAAATACGGTTTCAATTGAAAATCGCAAACGTCGCCTTGAACCATCGTATCTTAGTGCGGTAATCAGTTAAAATTCGATTTTGTTTTACTTCAATATCACTCTTTAGTATAATACGTCCCAAATTCCACCTCGTCCAGTTTTTAGTAACATTAATGTAGAACCGAATCCGAAACGAAGTCGGATTGATACGCCTGTGTTCATATCTCGCGCACAACCAACTGGAACAGTTCATGTTGAACGAGCTGCAGCTGGCGCTGAGAAGAGGATCGACGATTTATTCTACGGACAAGTGCCACGAATAACGCAACCATATCGAAGAACAAGTGGATACGATTATTCTGATATCATGGTTCGTGGAGGCGTACGAATGCCAATGCCGGCGGTGCGAAGAGCTCAGCCACGTTTTATCAAAGTTAGTTTTATTTATTCATTAACATTAGTGCTTTAAATTGTCAAATGCCGATTTACATTGAGATAAGAAATTAATATTATTGGCGTAATGCGACGTCAGAAAATTAGATAAATACCAAAAAAAATTGAGAGAGGTCTTGGCGCAAAAAAAAAGAGGCTGAACACCGAGCACTAAGGCCTCTTTAAATTGTTGGCATTTAGCCAATTTTTCGCAGTCACGCGGCGCCGATTCACTAATCAGCGCCGTTTAAATTCAAAAGAATTACCGTGCCGATTTTTTTCCTCACCCAATTCACTCCTGTAGACGATCAAAACTTCGGAATCAATCCGATCCGGTTATGTATAAGATTTTAAAATTTTTATATCCGGTAATCGGTTCATACGATTTAAATTGAAAAATTGATGAAAAGTTTCATTAGATAATTGTTTTTAATTTCCTGTTCATGAAATACAAAATTACAAAAAAATTATACTTTTTTGCCACCCTGCGTTGGAAAAATGTACAATTCCTTACATTTTTTATTGCATGAACATTTTTACTGCCTGAACCACACAAAAAAATGAAAAATTTCGGGATTTTGTTCCAATGTGCAACAAGTGCGCTCCATTGAACAAACCGCGTGCACGTGACATTGCGCTGCGGTTTACGTATTTTGGAGTTGCATATCCTGTCTTTCTATTGTTTCTGTCATAAGCCAAAGTTTCAAGCTTTTAAAATGAATTTTTTGCAGCCGGTTGGGGAACCGAACTCAGAAATGCGCCGTGTTGTGGTACCAGTGTCGGAAGAAGGTGCGTCTGCCGTAGCAAGCGATGGAGACGAACAGCCTCCAATTATTCCACGTTACGGATCGAATGGTCCAAATACTGATCAAGGCAGAGCACCTGCACGTCAAATTGTTTACAACTCGACGAATCAAGCCCGTGGTAAACCGGTCTACGTGATCAAAAGACCTGATGGTACGCCAGGAAGTGCTGTAATGGTCCGTTCAAATGTTAACGGAGAACCTACAAGGATGGAATTGCCTCCTGGCTCAGTGGTTGTTCAGCAACCATCTGGCCAGAGAATTGTTCAAGTTCGAACTGTTGGAAACGTCCCAAGGCAGTTGATTGCTCAAGGGCAAGGCAATTCTCGGATATTCCGTGTCCCGGCAGCAGGGCAGTCACAACAGCAATTAGTTCGACGTGTTATGATTCAGAGCACGAGACCGCAACCGGTTTTGAAGAGATAAAAAGACACCATTAATTGTAAATTTTAGGTCATGGAAGAACCAATAGATGGAATGACAGCAAAAAAACAGTACGTTGTTTCGGGACCTAATTTTCAAAAAGGCCGTCAGCCGCAACGTGGCGGGACCACAATGCAGATAGCACAACAACAAGCGGTAATTAAATTTTAATTATGAATATTCATTAGATTTTAGGCTTCGAATGAGCAAGAAGTCATAACAGACGGTGTTGTACAAGATTCCAGCAATTCATACGAAATGCCAGAAGATTTCGTGCAATGTTCTGAGCTTTAAAGAAATTTCCCCAACCGGCTCAACTTGCAACAACCACCATGCTAAATGTGTAAATTTTCGGGTTTCTTTCATCATTCTTTAAATTTGAGTCTCACATATTCTCGTGAATGCAACTGCATAAATTGAAAATTTCTACCGTTGTTTTAAATATTCTATATTAAAATGATAAATTGTTAATTTCGTCATTAATCTCAATGTTCTAATAAAATGCCAATGCTTTTTATTATTTACTATATACTGATAAATATTTTGAATTTTGCTCACTGTTTTGATTTGATATGAAACGAGAAATGCGACAGTCAAATAGAAGAATTGAAGGAAACTCGAGAATCATGATGGACGTTGCTTGCCGCGATTGAGAATCTTGTACAGCATTGCAGATATCCTTCGTTTTCTGAGCTCAATAATTTGCATAAACTATTATAGGAAGGAAAACGAGCATTTTCAACAAAGCGTAAAGTAACAACGTATCGCGATTTTATGGCAAGTCGAGGATACCTCGATTCTTCACGGTTTTGGCTTCAAATTAAAACATGATTTATTCGGAAAATTCTTAGATTACCCGCTCGACCACTTTTACTTCCATTCGAATTTAATGAAGAGGAAGAACGAGAAATCAGTGAAGCAATTGCCAGAGAAGAAGAACTCATGCGAATAGAGGTGATCTTTTAATTGAAATATGATTAAATTGTTAAAAACCTTGTGAAAGATTAGTTAAATGCATTATTAAATTAATTTTTTAAAGTTAAGCTAACAACAATTTTTTCTTGTTTTGAAATAATGGAAATTTTTTAGGAAGAAAATAAAGCAATAGGAATGAATTATGATTCAATTGGAAATCAAGGACATAGTTCTCGCGTTTTTTTCTCTTCCGATCACATGAGACATCCGCCATATGTTTCCAATCTGTTGCCATCAATTAACGATACACCGGATGATAAAATTATTAAGCAGGTTGAAAAAATATTTACTTGAAATCATGTAATCTAATTTAAACGTTTACAGGTACTTGATGTAATGTTTAGCCAGGTTTGTCGATGGGACAAACAATATGGATGGTCAAAAATGCATTTAAAACGCGCAAGACAGAAGAACGATACCGAAAAGTTCCAGTAATTTTAAAGAGTAATCAACAATATTTTTGAATGATGACATTAAGAATGAGAAAAATGAGAATGAATCAACGAGAAATGCTCCTTTCGGAACACGTCGAACGTCTTAAAAAAGAAATCAATAAAAGAAGAACAAAACTTGAGAATGAGGCCGAACAGCAATGTGGACTTCTGACGCCGTGGAGGAAATCGAGGACTCGTCCTCAACGAAGTACGTTTATTTCATTTTTTGTAGAGTACGAGACACCATTGCAAGTGGGAAAGCGGCAAAACGTTGCTAGCAAATGTGGATAAAAATAGATACTTCTACAGTGCGTTGCAAAATTATAAGGCCACCCCCAAATTTGAACGCCGCGCAATGATTTCGATATTTTGAGACCAACCAGTGTGAAAATCGTGTTCAGCATGAAAAATAACCTATATGTACCTATTTTTATGTTAGTATCTTCAAAAGTAACCGCGCAGTGGTCCAAAACCGTTTTTTCGAGCGGTGCAGAATTATAAAGCCACACCCATGAAACAAGTCATAAACTCAAAGATAACGACAGTTTAATGTTTAGTGGCACCTCCATTTGAGGTAATAATGCCAGAAACACGGTCTGGCATGGATTTGAGAAGGTTTTAAAGATATTGGGTCGATTTAGATTTTAATTTCTGCTCTAATGTCTTCCATTCGACTACGATTTCGGTTTTGAGCTCTCCAAGCCCCGAATTTCCTTCCTTGGCCATAGAGACGCCGTACTTACTCTCCACAGACGTTCTACATGGGACTCCAAAAAGGAGAACATGATGGCCAATCGAGAACGTCCACACTGTGAGACTGAAGCCAGTCCAAAATAGACCGACTCACATGAATGACCGCATTGTCCTGTTGAAAAACGACAATAATGACGTCGGAATGGAAGAAGATGGCTCTCAAGATCATTTTGATAGTCCGAAGAGTCCACCTTACTCGTCAGAAAAGCAATTTCCAGAAACCAGGCCGCCGAAAAAGTTCCCCATACTATCATGCTTCCTCCTCTAAAATTGAGTTTTGAAAGCAGGAGGCGATTTTTCCGTAAATTGTGCCAGAAGCTGTTATAGCCGTCTGGGCCATCCAAATTAAATTGTTTTTTCATCGGAAAAAATAACCTGTTGAAGTTTTAATGGATATTATTCACAATATTCTCGAATATAAGCACCTTGTTCCAATCCTTATTCATGTTTTTGAATGCGAACTCAATTTCTCTAGCGATGTTGGGATTATTCTTGATGGTTCCCCAAACTGTCCACTTGCTTTTGTCGAAGTTTAGCTTCTTCTTGATGTCATTTGTAGACTTCATACTGCTCGAAGCTGCTCGAATGCTTGCTCGATTAGCGCGATAGTCCAGTTTTCCTCTGCCGCCTGACTTTTGCGACATGTTGACACGACTTGGATCCTTCACAAAGATGTCTACGAATGTTTTCGGACCATTTAAATTCTTCGCAACCCAACGGTTCGACCATCCTGCCGTTTTGAATGCGAGAATCTGAGATTGCTCAGAAGCACTAAGACAGCGACCACGTGGCATTTAAAAATGATTTAAAAAGAGACGAATAAGGACCACTGTAGGTTCTCAAAGCCACACAACAATTTTTATGCACATTGGTCCCGCCAAAGCTTCAAAAATATGCGAAAAAGCCCGTTGTATGGGGGTGGCTTTATAATTCTGCACCGCTCGAAAAAACGGTTTTGGACCACTGCGCGGTTACTTTTGAAGATACTAACATAAAAATAGGTACATATAGGTTATTTTTCATGCTGAACACGATTTTCACACTGTTTGGTCTCAAAATATCGAAATCATTGCGCGGCGTTCAAATTTGGGGGTGGCCTTATAATTTTGCAACGCACTGTATAGTCTGAACCATTTTCATCCAATTTTATTTTTGTCTTTTTCCCAATATTTTTATGATCAATCGTGAAACCGGTAATACAATAGAAAACCGAGACTCACTCGTTCCGGGAGTTTACCTACGGTCACTCAACTTTTTTAAAGATGATTATTGAGCTTAAAAAGTTTTTAATTTTTAATATTCTCTCCTTTTTGTTTTGGTGCATAATTGTGCTTCATTTTAGTTGTCACGAAATTTGTTTCCAGTCTCGCATAACCAGAGAAAAACTAGCTTTTGTGTGTCCTCGCGCGCGAAAGTGTTGAATGTTCGCTTGCACGTATTTTGTTCATTTTCCTGTACATCGAACTCAACTTCCTTTTTATAATGCTAAAAGTTTTTTGATGCGTCATACTGCACGTTCATTTACTATCTACAGTACCGCTCAAAAGTCTATCAACCTTTGGTTTTTTCTTTATTTTTCAAAGAGTACTGCACCGATCAACATGAATCTTTCAGAGATAATGTGAAATGGGGTTTAAAACATAATTCATGTCATTCGGTACACAAACACATATCCGAAAAGTACATGACGCGATTTTACACACTTTCAGGTTTTTTGCGTTTTTCAACTTTTTTTTTAATTTTAATTTTTTTAATTTTTCTAGAGTAGTTATCCGTTCATATGTTCTTATTCATGTTTTCAGAAATACCTAGAGCTTTTGGGAACAAAGACTTGACGGATAACGAGAAAAAAGCCATCGTGGCTGGTCGTCAAAGTGGACTTACTTTGAAAACGCTTGCCGGAATGTTCAATCGAACGAAAGGATGTATTTCCAAACTCTGTAAACGCTAGGAAGTTCAAAAAAATTTTTCTGTGCCTCATCGCTCCGGGAGACCACGAATTAATGATCGTAGTGAAGATAGAAATATTTTGCGGACGTCCAGAAACAATCCTAGACTCCCTGCCCCTGCAATCAGACGGGAAGTTTTCGTGAATTCTCCATCTCCACCATCCGTTTCGACTGTGAAACGTCGTCTCTGTGCTGCTGGGATTATGGGAAGACGTCCAGTGAAAAAACCCTTAATTTCTGAGAAGAATAGAATGGCCAGAGTGAAGTGGGCAAAGGAACACGTCGACTGGACAAGACAAGACTGGGATAAGATTTTGTGGTCCGACGAAAGCAAGTTTCTGCTTTTCGGAAGTGATGGAATTCAGTGGAATCGTAGACCAATTTGGTCCAGGTATGATCCTAAGTATCAATAACCCACTGTGAAGCATGGCGGTGGTTCGTGTATGGTATGAGGTGCGTTCTCTGGAAATGGTATTGGACCGCTTCATCGCGTGAATGGGATCATGGACAAGAATGTCTACAAAGACATTCTCTAGAATCAGATGCTTCCGCACTTGAAGAGAATGGGTCGTGGAAGTGTTTTCCAACAAGACAATGACCCAAAACACACTTCTTTGTTTGTTAAGGTGAGAAAATTGATAAGTAAACAGCATCACAATGAATTTCGGGATTGGTTTGCAAGCCGTCGGGTCAACGTCATCGAGTGGCCGAGTCAGTCTCCTGACTTAAACCCAATTGAACATCTATGGGAAGAGTTGGAAAGACGTTGTGCCAACAAAAGAGCCAAAAATTGCAATGAGAAGTTTGCTCAACTGCAGTCTGAATCGAATAAGATCCCCATGTCGACCATCGACACTTTGATCGACTCCATGTCGAGAAGATGTCAAGCAGTCATTGAAGCTAAGGGCTTTGCAACTCGATATTGAGCTTTAAATTATGTTTGTTACTGTTTTTGTTAATAAACTTTGTTTTTTGTTAAACCAAAACTGTTTATTGAAAACCCCAAAAAATCGGTATTTTTCGAAAATTCTATTTTTTTTTTCAAAAAATTTTTTTTTAATTAAGCAGGTGTCAAATCAGCTGGCCAAAACACGTTAAACCACTCCAAAAAATAATGGGAAAAATTTTGGATCGATACCGCATCTTTAAAAAAAAGTTATCCTCAAAAAACCAAAGGTTGATAGACTTTTGAGCGGTACTGTAAATTGAAATTCCATCTGTTAGTACACCTAATATTACACCAAATATTACAAAACGAGCAGATTTACAGTGAATTTGATCCGGAGGTTATCCCCAGTACGGTAGCCGAATTCCCACAGTATAAATTCAATTTTTGTGCACTGGTAATTGTGTATATCATGTTATCGACGTTGCGCAGAACTCTCGGATAGATCTTGAAAAACTATTTTGCGAAAAAAATGAGCATAGAACTATGAGTAATTGTGGACCATCGTATTTTTTCGGGTGGTAACTGAAATTTCGACCCTGTTAACTCAAAACAAATAGGATCCGATAAAATTTGGCTCCGGAATCAACCCAATCTGATTGATAAAATATCTTGTCCGCAAAGTTACGATTCGGGTAAAATTGATTATGGAGCCGAATTTTGCCGTAACCGATTGGTTTTGAGTTACCAGAGTTTTATCAGTGGAAATTCTGTAGCTGTGATAACCTGCGAATCAAACTCACCTTCCATCAGCCCAGAATGCTCGTTTTTTCGCCTGTAATATTTAAGAACATTTTAAGGATAAACGTGAGAATTAGGTTGCAACACAAGATTACCTTTTTTGGTTAAACGATTCTACCATGAAAAGCTTGGCTGTCGCACTTTTCGTGCACCAATACAATTTATTTTTGTTAAATAAGGTGTATTTTACTTACTTTCCAAGTTTCACTTCATTCGGATGTGTTTCCGAGAAATGGCGAAGGCTAACATCCATTGCGCTTCCATTATCGAACTTCATAAGCGAAATGAGCGCCCGACAGAGATCATTCAACGCCTCGGTGTGCCTCGTAGAACGGTTTAAGACACCAACAAACGTTTCAAGGAGCTAAATACGACCAGTGACCGTCCCAGACAGGGAAGACTCGTCTCAGTAACCACTCCTCAGAAGATCAACGCCGTCAAAACGAGGATCAGGCGAAAACCGCACAGGAGCATAAGAAAGATGGCGTCAGACATGGGAATGAGCATCTTCGCTATGGAACAAATGGTCAAAACGAAGCTTGGACTGACCCCATATCGTGTCCAAAAAGCGGCAATTCTATCGGCCGTCAACAAGCAGAGACGCTTCGAAAAAGCAAAACGACTTTTTGCTCGCACGCGGTCTGGAGAACACCTCGCCACTGTCTTCTCCGACGAGAAGCTGTTCACTGTGGAGGCGGCATTCAACTCACAAAACCATTGAGTACTTGCCCAGACATTCCAGCAAGCTTCAGAGAAAGGAATAACAATTTATCCAGCCTCACATCCTGCCAGTGTGATGGTTTTCGGTGCCATCTGCTCAACCGGGAAGTGCCCCTGGTTTTCGTGGATCAGGTGGTGAAAGTGAACAATGAAGTCTACGTTCGGGACATTTTGGGGAAGCATATGATGCCCTGGGCCCAAACGCATTTCGGTGGGCAGATATGGGTTTTTCAACAGGACGGAGCACCCACCCACACTGCCAAAACTACTCAGGAGTGGTGCCAGACCCATTTTCCCGACTTCATCAAGTCATCCGAATAGCCTGCTTGCTCCCCAGACCTGAACCCGCTTGACTTCTCCGTGATGGGGTCTTGCAGGAGAAGGTCAACGCAAAACCCCACTCAAGTATAGAGGCTCTGAAGAAGACATTACTGGCGGAATGGGACAATCTTTCCATCGAATACCTGCGTACCACAGACGCATCCTACCCGAAGCATCTCCGTGAAGTCATAGCTGCGAAAGGAGGCCGAATCGAAAAGAGTTAATAGATAAATATTTGTTATACTATAGATAAAAAATATTTCGAGTCTCGTTTGATTTGGACTTTTAGTTTCAGAAATATACGTCTTCAAAGTTGTGCGGGAACTTAAATGACACCCTGTAGTTTCTTCCAACTTTGTCTGGCATTTCTTAATTTTCTTAGCAACTGTTCTCATTGAAAGATCAGAGACATTGGGATTGAAATCGAAATTGATCGTTTATCTGAACTGGAAAGTCTCGGGTTTGCCGAACAAAGTGGATGACGCATCGAATGCGAAATCGAAAACAATAGCTTAATATTAACTTATGGTTGGCGTCCGGCGATTGATGTGGTGAGACGCGGGTAGATTTACACGCATGCATCTTCAGAAATGGTCTTGCCACGTATGAATGCTTATTTTGAAATTTCCACGTGAACTTTTTTTTTAATTTTTACTAGATGAGCGAATCATTTCTTTAAAAACTTAATACGACTGAATTTAAAAATTAACGGAATAACTTCTAAAGTGCAAAATAACCGGTTAGTCCGTGCGAGACCATAGCGAACTCTGGTAACTCAAAACCAATCTGATCCGACAAAATTCAACTCCGGAATCAACCTTATCCGATTGGTAATTCTACGAATAAGATTGGAAAATTGTCGTATCCGATTGGTTTTTTGGGTTTTTCGGATCCGATTGGTAATTTATCAGATGGTTGGATATTTGTCGAATCCGATTCGAATTGAAATATTAAAACAAAACGGATTCAAATAATTACCAACCTTATCCGTAGAATTACCGGATCTGACAAATTACCAATCGGATCCGAAAAAACCCAAAAAACCAATCGGATACGACAATTTTCCAATCTTATTCGTAGAATTACCAATCGGATAAGGTTGATTCCGGGGCCGAATTTTGTCGGATCAGATTGGTTTTGAGTTACCAGAGAAGGCGCATGCACTAAATTGACCCGCGTATATCAGTCGATTCCCTTTGATTTCAATGGAGAGTGCGATAACATAAATTCTTCAAAAAATGTTACTATCTGCCCTTTTTCCGGCTTTCGAAAACTAAAATCACAAGTAATCCGCCACTACTACCGGTTTTTCCTGTTGTGCCAATGTCAAACTACGGAAATTTGAATTTCGATTTCGCAATTCGAAGCTGTCCATCACGTGATATCCTCGCAACCTCATGATTCATTTGACACGAACCAGACAGACACAAAAAAATCGCAGCACCTCCCCTAATTCAAATTCTTCGCCACCCACCACGCGAGCGCAATGTGTTCGTTCCAAAGAGTATACGAAAATAGTGAGACGCAGAGATTAGCGGTCATCTGATGACATCATTGCGAATGGTCATTCTCTGTGATGGTCACTCCTGTAAACATAATTTGGCTGCGTATGCAAATCCCGCGCACTCTTTCGTCGCGCTTTTCGTCAACGAGAGAGCATGGGAGTGGCGGAGGGCGAGAGAGAAACCGCAATAGTAGAGCGTAGAACGTTCGAGAAAGAACGTGAAGAATCCTGAGGAAGGAGGAGGCGCGGCTTGATTCGGACCTCGAATATAAAAGGCAGCTATTTATAACTGTGAGCAGTTATTGTCTATTTCATTGCTAATTATGACTATCCCATTGAACGACTATGAGGGCAGCGAGCTCGAAAATGAGCTTGATGAGATTCTGCCCACATTCAAATCTGCTGATTATGACTGGAAGTGCTTCGGCTATTTGCTCGATGAGACACCTCAGCCGTCAACGTCCTGTGAAAAGTCAGAGATCGAAAGCACGGTAATCCCAAAACCGCCTTTCGAACCGATTGGGAAAGGAAGACGCCGAAGAACAAGTACGGTTCACTCATTCACTTGATTGGTTCTTCATTTTCAAAGTCTAAATCGAGAATTTTTGTAATCTGATGAGAATGTTTGGCTGTGATTCATTAAATTTTACTATATTGCCCCTTATTGAAGAATTGTGTTAGAGTTGGTAAGCCGAAACTCGCTTTGTAAAATGTTTTTGTAGGCTCACAAAAATTTTCCGAATTTTTATCGTGTTTTTTAAACTTTAAAAATTATTTTAGGTCACAAGACCAAAACGACGACTGGTGCCACTACAAATGTGAGAAAGGAAGTTATTAATCCCGCTGATATCACATTGGGTGGAGATACCTATGAATATTCGCATGGCAAGGACGAAGACAAGAAGGCAAATATCGAAATGTTGTTCTCAATTTGAAAATTATTCATTCCAGAACACTGAAAATCCAGATGATGACTCGATAGCGTCGCATGTGGCTCGTCGTCGACGAACCTCGACAAATGTATCGAAAAGCGAAGAAGATGAGACAACTCGACATCCTAAGGAACGCAAATATGGAGATGTCAAGCCGAACTATTTGGAGAATTCGCCGTTTATTGGCAGCGAATATCCGATTGCAGCACAACAACAGCCTGATAATCCAGCCGATCAAATAGATCGAAATGCTCTTCATTGCAGTTGTAGAACGCTTTATGACGAAACTAAGTAAGAATGTTTATTTTGCCGTTCTATGTTATTTTAATATTATTACATCCAGGTTCTATTTGAACTGTGACATGTGCAATGTTTGGTTCCATGGAGATTGTGTCGGTGTTACCCAAAAAAGAGCTTCCAAAATGGACGGATGGACTTGTGCTGATTGTTTGAATGAGGAAAGGAAAATCAAAGAGTCTCCACAACTTTACTGTGTATGCAAGAAGCCTTATGATGATACACAGTATGTTGAAGACACACAAGGCCGAAATGAATTGCATATTTCATTTGCAGATTCTATGTTGGATGTGATTCGTGTCAAGGATGGTTCCATCCTGCCTGCGTGAATATAACTCAAGAGGAAGCCGAGGCGGCCGCGGAGTACATTTGTCCGTCGTGTCGAGTTGAAGATGATCAGAAAGGCTATGAATCGTCATCATCGGAAGGATCGATGTCGAGCAGAGCGAGCAGCAGCCTTCCTCTTCTGTAAGTTGGCTGGTGTTTTAAATATTATCTTCAATTGTTACAGACGATCGGATTACAGTCATGTTTGGCAGCTTCTAGAACTTCTTTTGGAGCACCGAATGAGCCATCCATTCCACAAACCAGTCGATATTCAAGAATTCCCTGATTATCTAAGTGTGGTCAGCCAACCAATGGGTACTTAAATCTCAAAATATTCTATTTAAATAAAAGTATTTAGATTTGTCAACGATTACGAAGAAGCTCGAATCATTGGAATACAGCTACCTTCGCGAATTTGTTAGCGATGTTAACTTGATGTTCGAGAATGCGAAGAAATACAATCCTAAAGAAAATCCAATTTTCAAATGCGCTGAAACCATGCAGGAATTGTTTGAGAAGAAGTTGTTAGAGATTCGTGAGTTGATTCGCGGTGATCATAAAACGGATCGACGAAGGAATCGTTGCGAAAGTCAAAGAACTCTCGAGGGATCTTTGGATATCGATGCTGATCAGCTGATATCACTGGACCCTGAGTTTGTTCATGAGTTGTATATACCAGGTATGAAAACCCAATCCAGTGATTAAATATGCTGCCAACCTAGTTTTTTTTTGTTTCAAAGAATTTCAGTAAATTGTTGTTTTAATTTAAAGAAACCATAATATTTCTGTTAAATATCTTTTTTTTCATTTGTTTTGCTTAATTTTTGCTTACTTGCTCATTTTGTGACCTCATTTTCTGCCTTTTTTGTATATCCAGGTATTATTATTTCTCTAGTTCGTCTCTGAGTGTTCATTTATTTTCTTTAATAAACGTTGTACGTTTGCAATAGAAATATTCAGCAAATAGTTGTAAGAAAAATAATAAAAATATGAGGATTTAAGCATCGATGATAAACGAATAGGTTGGCTGCTCTCTGACCAAACGAGCTTTTTCTTTTGAGCTCAACGATGGAGCATCTTTTCTCTCGCTCCAATGAAGAATTATTTCCTGAAAATGTTGAATAATGAATTCAATTATATTTATTGTCGGCATCAATTGACTAAATTCCAAAAAAATTATGGCGAAGTCTTCAATTTATCTCTACGTTTAGCCCGTAAATCTATACATTTCGTTAAGACCCCAGTTTTTTTCGACATTTAGCCAATTTTCCGCAGTCGCGCGACGCCAACAACAAAACGTGAACATACTTGATCAGATGGGCAACTCAATCGAAAGATTTCCTCGTCATAACCATTTTTCATGTATTCTCGAACTTTCGCTAGCTCAACTGGAAAAGTGTAATTCTTGAGAGCCTGCAAAAATCGTTTTGCTTATTTTTCTTCCTACATCTCAATTACCTTTGCTGCAATTCGAATCGAGTGTAATCTTGTCAAAACCAAGCAATCAATATGGGTGACTTCATTCGAGCACAAAAATCTTAAGCCAGTCTTCGTCAAATACTTTTCCAATCGTAGTAATTCGGTATTTAATGCCTACAAAAAATGTTTGATATTTCGAAATAAATGTTTGGTGCACCTTTTCATTATGATCGACGTCTTTTAGAAACCAAGCAAATTTGATGAACAAATCGCAAGTCGAGTCTTCCGCTTCGACATCGTCGGGTCTTTTCGGTGGCAATGATTCAAGAAAGTCCAAAATGTCATCCTCGGTTTCGAAAGTTTCATCGTCCTCAGTATGAATTCCGGGCACTTTTCGAAGACCAGTCTATAATCGAAAAGCTATCGACAATCATCCCAACTATGATGGAAACCTCATTGAAATCATAACTCTTCTTATTGACATTGATGGTTTTCACATCGAATTTGAGGTTTGAGTCGTGTTTCGCGTGAAACAAACACCGCATGAACAAATGATGGGCTGTGCAAATTGATAGTCACAAAATTGGCATCAATTCAAGAAAATAGCGGCACATGGAAATTTAATTTGATGCCAGCATATGATATTAATTATTTGGCCACAGATTTTCCAATTGATCGAGGCAATCGACTTTCGATGGGAAAATTTTCTTTGGACTCCCATAAAATGGAAGTAATCAACAATTGAAACGATCGATTGCGTGTTAGTGGTGTCAAGAGAAAAACGGGTTGTGCTCTCGCGAGCTCAAAATTGAAACGGTTCGAAATCAAATTTGATCAAAAACTCATAAAGGGATCTTTGAAATTATCTTGATCGATTTGCTAAAAGCCAAATTAAATTAGACTTACAGACTGGATCTCCGCATGGTTGTACAGAATTGCCACCGGCGGATAGCCACAGAGTGAATCGCGTCATGTTTCGCTCTGCAACAACAATCCAAATTGGCCGTCGTCGTGGTTATGTCGAACTTTCGATGTGGCAATTCGAAAAACGTGAACGCCGACAAAAAGCGGACAAAAATTCACGATAAAATGTGTGTGATAAGCGCATTTAGCACTAAATATACCCGAATTCAAACATGTTTAAGACGTTTTGCAATCGTCGAAATGAACAAAAAATGAGTGCGAGTGCGACAACGAATGAAGAATGCGAATGAATGAATTATTTGATGGATTCGTGAATTTGTGCGACATGAAACGTTTCGCAAAAAATGACTGGCCAACGAGTTTTGAGTGGCAAAATCAAATCAAAAATAAAATAATGGTCCGAAATGAATGTGTAATCGATAGGTTTTTTTTTCGTCCGTTTTCTCGCCGGCTTTTCTTTTTTCTTCCTCTATTTTCTTCTCAAAAAAATATATGGCGAATGCGAAGAGAGCGGAAAAGAGCCGAGTGTTTCTCGAGAATAAATGACCCAACGAATGTGAAATTCAAAACAACACAAAATGATCGTGGTTTTAAAATTGTATAAGAAATTTACATATTTATAAAGTTTCGAAAGATAAAAAGGCACCAACTGAATTAATTTGGATAGTTTCGCAATATTTGCCATTAGTTTCTCTGATTTTAAAAGAATAATTATCAGTTTTGATAATCAATCAATTTTTTCGAGAATGCGATGAATAGTGAGAATCAGTTTTCAAATAAGTTTTTCGCTGATTAGATTTTTTTTTTAATTTTTTTCATATCATTTTTTTCCATTCCTTCAAATCGTCAGCGTCCGGCGACTGTTGTACGCGGGTAGATTTACGGGGATGCTCCTTTCTCTTGGTCTCGCGCGGACTAACTGATTATTTCGCATTTTATGGGTTGTTTCGATAATTTTTAAATTGAACGACGTTAGAAATTCCAAGAAATGCCAAACTCATCAAGAAGAAATGAATCGTTCACGTGAAAATTTCAAAGTAAGCATTCACACATGGCGAGACCTTTTCAAGGCGCATACGCGCAAATCTATTCGCTCACAGCAGTCGCCGGACGCCGACTATATGTATTATAATATTTAATTTAATAACAATTCATTGTAAATGTTCATTTTTTGAATAATTCAAAAATTAGGTGCTGTTGAAATTTAGATTAGAGTTTCGATTTTGCTTGTTCCGGGAAACCGAGACGATACAATCCGACGACTCCAGCTCCTCCGATTCCAATGTTATGTTGCATCGCGAGTTTGCAATTCGGCACTTGTCTCTTTCCGCAACGACCGCGCAATTGATTGCTGAGCTCGACGACTTGCGCAACCCCTGAATTTACAATTTGCGTATCGCGTCATTGTTGTTCGAATGGCAAACCGGTTGCACCAATTGGGTGTCCCTTGGAAATGAGACCGCCGGATGGGTTGATCACCCACTTTCCGCCATACGTATTGTCACCGCGGTCAACAATGTGGTGTCCCTGACCGACTGGGCATAATCCGATCGCCTCATAAGTGATCAACTCATTTGGAGCAAAACAGTCATGCAGTTCAATGACATTCACATCATTTGGGGTGAGACGAGTTTCGCGGAAAAGCTCTCGCGAGATTTTCTCGATCATGTCGAATCCGCACATTTTGATGTTGGATTTCTCCTGGAACACCGATGGAAGGTCGGTGCCGAGTTTCAATCCGACAATTTCAACGGCTTGCGCCTTAAGACGCGGATTCTTCTCGAGGTATTTGTCAGACACCAGAATCGCAGCAGCAGCTCCATCAGAAGTCGGACTAAAATTCGAATTATATTCCATGTGAACTTGATGTTCAGCTCAACCAACCTGCATTCCAATAGTCCCATAAAATCATAGATTTTACGACCATTGATTACCTGATCAAGCGAGAATTCTTTGGTGAATTGCGATTTTCTAAACAAAAATTATTAGAGACTTAAATGAGTAAATGAACGAACGGATTATGCACAGAATGCTTGTGATTTTTGTAAGCAATTTTGGCATAATGTTCGCGTTTTGAGCCATATTTCTCCATGTGTTCAAGAGCGGCGTTGCCAAACATTTGAGCTGTGATTGGAGCTGGTTGAAGTCCATAAGTATCATTCATGACCTAAAATTTAAGAAAATCTGCTTCTCAAATTATTTCATTTGGCCAACCTCAATATGCTTATCGATTGGAATGGCTCGATCATCGATGGGTTGCTGAAGTTTTTCGAGTGATCCGCCAGCCATCTTCTCGAATCCCGAGCACAACACGACGTCGGCGTTTCCGCTTTCAATGATCTGTTTACCCAAGAACAATCCCGACGATCCCGAAGCGCAGGCGTTGTTCACGTTGAAAATTGGGATTCCGGTGAGTCCGACCTCATAAAGAGCGCGTTGTCCGCAGCAGGTTCCTGGAAAACAATTGGATTTTTTGAGAGACGAGAAGCCGATTTCTACCTCCGTACAAATAGCCAACGGTGGCCTGTTGAACATCCTCATATTTGAGACCGCAATCATCAAGGGCAGCATTAACTTAAAATGAAATGATTTAATGAAATGATAGATTAGCACGTACCGGCTTCCTTGACCATGTCAGGATAATCCCAATTAACGGATCCCGGCTTGCAGAACTTGGTCATTCCAACTCCAACCACATAGACCTTCGGCTTCGTCATTCTTCTCTGAAAATTGACTGTAAATGATACACTTTGTTGTTCAGAATGCTGCGAATGAAACGACAACGAATAGTGATGTTAAAAGGAGAACACACATTAATTTGATCGTATGATAAGACAACAATGTAGTCTCGTTGTCATCCGCTACTTTGTATTTTGGTGCACTATTCGAAATCGATTCTATCGGCAATATTTTCGTGACAAGTGATCGCAGATAATCAATTTCAGCACATCAAATAAAAATAAAATTTGGAAATGAAATGTCTTTCAAAAATGTGATTCAAATAAATGTTGAATACCAATTGATATCAACAACGAGCCCTTCTTTTTGTAGTCCGTATGCCTAAATTGTTTTTGATGATAAAAGACATGCTTTTTTACAGTATTCAATTATCATTTATTATTATTGTTAGTTCATCACTACATCATAGGCATATCAGACGACGACTCAAAAAGTGGGAATCCGATTGATAAAATGCGAGAAAGGAGCATTTATAATGGGTAATGCTCAAATTATTTTAAAAACTTCTTTTTTTCATTTTCCATTTTGTATTATTATTATTATTGTAAATAGATATTCAATTAATAATGTTTGGAGTTTACTATTTAATTTGAATTTCTTCGCTTTTCACTACATCCAATTAAGTATTCAATATTGGGGTAATTTATTTCTGCTTTTGTTAATCAGTATAGTTCTTATCATACAAACGTGAGTGATCGCCAAATGTGTCGTATAAAAGAGACAACATCTCAAATACAACACATTTCGTTTGCAAATCGATCCCAAAAATGCAAAGTTTTAATATTTTTGATCTATAAAATCGAACTTGATAGATTTTCGGTTTGATTTCTACATATTTAGTTGATTTTCAACTGTAACTGTAGTTAGCCATTTGTTTTATTATTACACCAACCCGTATTTGCATCCAAATCATTGCCAATCTCTCTCCGCCTTTTCTCGTCTATTCCTAATCGATACCACCACACACTAATACGTTTATCAAAGTCTTGTTCATTATCAATATTTTGCTTTAAAATGTGTGCATAAATTATTACGTTTTGTCCATTTTTGAAACCCTTTTCCAACCAGATAATTTTCAGCCAAAAATGTCGTTCAAGTCTGATGTTGTCTTCGAGGAAATCAAGGAGAGAATCCATACCGTAAATATGCAACAAAATCACATTTCGCACAATAACTCGCATATTTCAGGATAAGGAGATGGTGAAGAAGGTCGGAACCTCATTCCGCATCAATATTGCTGGAACCGATGGAACCACTAAAGTATGGACCATTGATGCTGTGGTAAGAAATTTGTCAAAACGAATCTGGCCAAGTTTCTCCGTTGTAGGACCCAAACAACCCGTATGTCGGAGACGACAAAACTCGCAAAGTCGAGATTGAGATCAACATTAAAGATAACGATTTCGTGAGCATCGCTGCTGGAAAAATGAAGCCTGATCAAGTACCCACCGATTTCTCAAATGACTAGCCACTCTACTTTGGTTTTTTTAGGCTTTTATGCAAGGAAAAATGAAGCTCAAGGGAAACATTGCCAAAGCGATGAAGCTGAGAACCATTTTGGACCCAAAGATGCTCAAAGCCAAACTCTAAATCGATTTTTCGAAATTTTGTATAAACGCGATAACAGTCGATTAATTCTTCGTTTCAAACGCATTTATCGAAAAGGGGGATTAACACATTTTTTTGGTGTGATTATTCTTTTTTTTTTTGATAATTTTACGATACGGAAACAGAAAGAATGTTTTGGGAGGGGTCGGAACAAATCGATTAAACAGGCACGATTGATATATAAATTGCGAAATCGGAAGTCGAGTGGCGAATAAACGGGGTAAAGTCGACATATTATGTTATTTTTGGGGACTGCTGGAGTCGTTTTATTTTTGGTCGATCGAAGTTTTACGAAAAAATATATGGGGGCAGTGATTCGCGCGGACGAACGAATCGCAAGTGATTTGAAGATAATAGATATATTATTTGGACAATTGGAATAACTATGCGTTGAAGACTAGGATTATGATTTAGAAGCAGAATTAGGCGGTCGGCGCGTTTGGAACGACCTGAATTCCGGTCAATTCGATGTCGCCTTGAATTTGAAGTCCGGCGATGTCGTGCGGGTCGACGCGATGAGCATACGAGGCGAAACGCTCGCCGTTCACGTAGATCTGAAAGCAAACATTTTTTTTTTACAAAATATTAATTCGAATTGACTTGTATGTAAATAAGAATTTTTTACGTGCGCCTTTAATGCGTATTCTAGATTTCAAGGCATTTCAAACAAAATCAAATTGACGCACCTGGAACGCGAATTCCTCATTGCGAATCTCCAAGTCGAAACCAATGCTTCTTTCGAACGGATTCTTGCCCTCACGCTCCTCATTTCCCCATTCGCCGTTGATGAGCGAGTTGCGAACAACCGACTGAAATCAATTCGGTTGAAAACCAATTCGACACACGCACACGCACATAAACATTGCAACAAAGATGATTTGAACATAATATTTGACACCACACAACGAAATAAAAATAAACATTCAAGACGTTTCGAGATGACTTTGCCGTCTTGTCTCGAATGATTATTTCTTGTCAATCAGTAGTTTGAGTTCGACCGAAACAAACCTCGCAGGAATCAATAAAAGGATCGTAATCCTTCTGAAATTTGTTTTAGGGGGGATTTGATTCAATTAATTAAGTGCTAATTAGATAATTACGATTCACAGATAACCGATTTCAACTTAGATTTTGAACAACACAACAGGATTACTATATACATAGATATGTACAGGGTGGCTGAAAATTACCCGGACTATATGAAAACCAATGTATTTCAGTGAATAATTGTTCAAACACACTCAAATTTCATATTTAGCTTATTTTTACAATAAAAAACATAAATAGACTATCGGTGTCCGATTCGAAATCCGCGGTTTCTGATGACGGCGCGAAGACGCTTCGGATATGCGTCGACCGTGGCGCGCAGGTATTCCACCGACAATTTGTCCCATTCCTCGACCAGCGCTTTCTTTAGAGAGTCCAAATTCGGGTGGTGCATAGCACGGACCTTACTCTGTAAGACCCCCCATACGGAGTAGTCCAACGAATTAAGGTCGGGAGACGAGGCGGGCTGTTCTGTTGACTTGATGAAGGAGGGTAAATTGTTGGCGCACCACTCCTGCGTAAACTTTGCAGTATGAGCTGGCGTCCCGTCCTTCTGGAACACCCATCGTTGTCCACCAAAGTGTTTTTGGGCCCAACGAAGCAAGTTCTTCTTCAGGATCTCATTGATATAGTAGTCCTTGTCGATTTTGACACCCTTTTCCACGAAAATCAGAGGAAATTTGCCATTGGAGCAGATGGCACCGAAGATCATGACGCTGACGGGGAGCGACGTACGATGAATCGTCCGGCCGAGTTCTGAAGCTTCCTCGGACGTTCGGGCAAGCACTCGATGCTTTTGCGAATTGAATACGGCCTTCACGGTAAACAGCTTCTCGTCCGAAAAGACCGTCGACAGATGTTCCCCAACCCGCGCGCCCGCCAAAAGGAGTTTTGCCTTTTGGTGCCGTTTGAGCTTGTTGGATTGAGAAAGGATTACCGCTTTTCTGACACAATAAGGAGTCAACTTAAGCTTCTTTTTCACAATGGTTGTTATTGAAGCTCGTGACATATTCAGGGCGGAAGCCATATTTTTGATGCTCTGATGAGCATTTCGTCTGATTCTGTCTCGGACGATCTTAACGTTCGAAAAAGTCGTCACCGTAGGTTTTTTTAGTCTGCCTGCAAGGTCCTGGGTTGTGCGAAGATACTTGAAACGAAAAATCGCATCGTAGACGGTGCTTTTCGGAATTCCCAGATGCTTCCAAATTGCATACGTGCCTATTCCTGACTTGTGCAATACGATAATTGCGGGTCGGTTTGCATTTTGCTTCGCCATTTTGCTAAAACCGAACCAATTATCATGAAAATTTGAGAGATAGTAAAAAAAACATTGCTAATTAAAAAAATTAAAAAACATTGCGCTGAAAAAGCACCAGTGCGCCTCACGAAGGCTCGAAATTTTAGTCCGGGTAATTTTCAGCCACCCTGTACAGTAGGGTGCCAAAATCATTACACAAAAACCTACTCCTGGGGTGACTTTAGCGCACATAAATCCACTTCCCTGCAATTGTTTTGGTTTTGATTTGAAATTTTGTATTCAATTTAATGGAATGCGCAAAATTTGAAGCTGGTTTTGAAATTTAGCAAGTAAAAAAAAAAATACAAACCTTCTCGTCAAAGCGCGGATTGAAGTGAAGAGCGATGTCTCCGTTTTTCTTCAACAAGTTGATGTTGAACCTAAAAACAATCTCGATCACGCTTCATTTTTCAATCCCAAAACATTTTTCAAATCGAATTTCATCCACTATTGTAGTTTAGAAAAAAAACTGCAAACATTTGGTGTTCTTTGTTTTCTTGTTGAAACTACGAGCGAGCGTTTTGTTCGGAACTCGCGTTCATTTATTTTGTTCGCCCCATTGCCTTTTTTTTAGAATTTGCACCGTAACGCTTCAGTCGACCATCAATCTTCGAGGGGGGGGGCTTTGAAAAATGACGAATTTGAAAACAAAAAACTCACTTTTTGGCCTTCTTTTCCGGTGTTCCATAAATAACGAGGGTCTTGCCCGGAATCAAACCATCGGCGGCAATTCCGCTCTCATACGGCACCGGCTGAAAACAAAATATATAACGATGAAGCGACAAGAAATGGTTGCTCATCCGTACATAGTATTTTCCGCCCCATTGGACGTGATTCAAGATGACGTCTCCGTCAATCGACAAATGCGACACCGACTGCAACGGGATGCGGTGCTCGAAGCTCTTGACTTCCTTCTGGAGAAAAAAAATTGAATTCTCGTCTTGCACATCTTGCAGGCAGGCAATAATGAGCCATTTGGGATTTCGGAAGACTTCAAAACCAAATGATTTGTTCGTGTTTGATTGACGAATCATTCTTGATCTCGTGCTCGCCGCCAATTTCTCGAATGACTTCCGGTTCTCGGAGCCCAATTAAGTCGCAATATGTGTATGCGCGTGTTTTTTTTTTTTGCTTGTTTCATGTCTTGTTCGAAGACGACTGGATACTACTCGAGCTATTTGGAGTTGGAGTTGAGAGCCCGCAGGGATTTGTGAGCTGCGTGGGATGACCTCGAGCTTTGTTGCCGCCCATAAATAGATTCACAAAAGTATGAAGTGGGTGGGTCACAAAACTTGCAAAAAAAAAAGAGCCACGCAGTCTAGTTGGTGCTTAAAAACCTCTCAAATTTCGACGGAATAAAAAAGAATTTGAAATCGTCATGAAAAAAAAAACACAACACTTTTTTTGTTGGTTTCGTTCATAAATCAATGATCAAAACAATTTTAGAATCCCATTATTTAAAGAAAAATGCACTCATTCTTAGAAAATGTTTTCAAAAATTCTCTAAAACGCCCAATGATATTTTGGGTGTCTTTGAGCACTCTACTTGACATCAATTTTTGGTTTCCTCATCTTTTTTGGCTCATCTTTTCATGTTTCGCGTTGTTTCGCGCAGAATTCCCAAGACTTCCTCGGTGAGAGATCAGCTTCTGGTCAGAGAGGCAATAATAAACAACTGATGTTTGCTCGGAATTATTCAAAAACGTATGGACCAAAAAAAAGGTGGGAAGGTAACCAGAATATTCTCGAATTTCAAAATGACACTAGCTTCCTGTTTCGGATTGCAATCGGACAAACGTACGCGATTGATGCTGATGGTGAACTTGCTGTCGTGAGCGCGGATGCGGATGTCGAACGAGTCGCCCTTTTTGATCGGATTCTTCTGACGCTCTTCCTTGCCCCAAGCGCCTTTGGTGAACGCGTTGAACACCAACTGAAATCGACAATTATGAGTATTTGCGATAAAATTCGAGTTTTTTGATTTGTTTTTAATGGTTAGACATCCAACTACATCTAAGAAATCAAAAATGGAATATCAACAATCACACAATAATCATGCCGGGAAAGGAAAACTCCTTTCAACATTTTTTTCTGATTCTTTTCTTTTTTCATTGTGACTACTCGACGAACAAAACCTACACTCGATTTCAATATTTTTTCTCGTTGCCACTTTTCGAGTGTGATCTGAAATATGGCAAAAAACGCGTCAGCTGATGGTTGGCCAATGTCAATCATTTTTGCGCTTTTTTCTCCCAATATCATTCATTATTATTCGAAGCGACATCGAGATTCTCTCTCTCTCTTTTTTTTCCTTCATAAGAACTTTGATGTGTTCGATTTGAATTAAAATGGGTCTTTAGACGAAACGCCCAAGGGAGGGAGGGAGGGAAACGAAAATGTGAACGATTTGAAATGGAAATGGGAAATGCGAAATTTATTAGTAGTGCCGCACAATTATTCAATTCGTTGGCTTCATCTCTTGATTTTCGAACGGTTGCGATATTTATTGAGAGTTTTCTTGAATTCAGAAGCACGCCGAATTTTGAATCGACATTTTAATAAATTGATATTTGAATTCAAGCGAATTTGAAATTTTAAGTGATTTTTCATAACATTTTATTTATTAAAAATACAAAATCAATGGAGAAGCTATTCAAAAGGGTCTCGAAATGATTTTTAAAAAAATTCGGATTATGCGATTTTTCGAAGAAGCTATGGAATTTCAGCAAGCGACTTTGGTCTCCGAAATTTCGGATTTTTTGGAATCGGTAATAATACACATATTGCGCGAGCCCACATACATAAAGCGTATTCAAGACCGAATTTGCTCATTCTCGAGTTGGCGAGCATTATTTTTTTTTCGCAGTCCTATTGAATGCGATTGGAAGCATCATTACGCATGCAGAAAGGAAAGCACAAAAACATATGGATTTCGATTTGCGTTCGTTTTGTGTGTTGGTTTGCCGAGACCCTGCAATTATTCGTCCTCACGCCCATGTGCTCACCTTTCCCTCATCGAAGCGAACCGAGACGTGAAGCGGCACATCGTTGCCGGAGAAATCCGGCGAATCTTTGTGGAGATTGATGTTGAACCTACAAACTCGAATTGAATTTGGCTGGAAAACGACACAATGCACGCATGAGGCTTTATGAAGATCGAAAATCAAAAATGATTTTTTTTTGACGCAACAGAGCACTGAGCAGGTCAGGTTTCGAGCGCCACCGACTCATTTGGCAGCTCGCAAAAACATTACCTCTTGCTTTCTTCGATCGTCGATCCGCGGATGATGAGAGTTTGTCCGGGCTCGATGCGCTCAGTGAGCTGCGAGCGGTATGGGATGTTCTGCAATAATCCGAATCTAATTAGCGTCGATATGGAATTGTTAGTAATTTGATTGGTTGGGAAACGACGACACTCACTTCACCATCAAGCACAAAATCAGACAAGGTTTTTCAACTTCTTTGAAAAGAAAGAAGCTGAAAAGCCAACGAAAGAGAACTAAGCGAATCGAATGAAAAGTTAGAGAGAAAAAAATTGGTTACGATATATTTGGCAAAGTGCCAAACAGTCGAATCGCCGATCGTCTCGATTGGATTGAATTCGTGGGATCGCGAGGAGGAGCCCGACTCTTGCTGCTGCTTAGCCAGGAGCTTGAGCTGTTGTGGCAACAGCCAGGTCTTCGGGCATATTTGGTCCGTCAATCCGCGATTTTTAATCGACAACAGTTTGAATAATGGAATCGGGAATATGATGCTCGTCTGGCGAATTGTATTCGGTGGACTCGTCGCAAATTGGCAGTCTCGAAGGCCTCGGGGGCGAGGAGAATGAAATGAAAAATTGGGCGGGGCAAGCAACCGAGATGAGGAGGAGAAGGAGTGGAGCAACAAAAAACGACGAAGGACAGCTCTCAAGAGATGATTTTTTCGGGATTTGGTTGTTTTTGTTACTCAAACGACACACACACGCACACATCTCGAATAAAATGACATTTTCAACATTTGCCACTTTCCATTTATGCATGTTTCAAATTTCAAATCACAAATGTTTGCTTCAAACCCAAAAAAATCGCTGAGACATTTCGTTCAATTCCAATATTTCTTTTATTTTCTAGCAATTTCTATTCGAAAAATTTCCTCAAATTCATTTTTGTAGCGATTTCTGAAATGTGCTCATAAACAAAATATTAGAGCCCTAAAACAGTTGGTCAACGCTTATTTTTGTTATTTTTTTCGCCCCCCTCTGAATATTTTGAATAATCGTTTTTTATTCGACAATGTTTTTGTTTATTTTTTCTTGTTTTCAGTTTTCCAAAGAAATTTAAATTTCGGCCAATGTCGTGTTTTTATGAGTGTGACAAAAATGCAATTAAACGACTATTTCGAATTTAATTAAATCGGATTGAAAGTTCAACACTTGCATTGAAAAAGAAATGAAGCGAACACTATCAAATGTCATTTCCTTTTCATTTTGCCGCATTTTGCACAACTTTCGTTTCAGAATTTTTTTTCTGCATAAATCTAAAAATACATATTTCATCTACTTTTTTGCCAAATGGACAATTCTAATGGATTTACGGGTGATTGAGCACCACTCAAATATTCATTTATTTTTGGACATACTTTTGACCAAACAACATGTGAGGAGCAACATTTCTGCACATTTACTTTCGAGAGCACGTTTTGCACAAAATCCATAAAAGGAATATAAATTCATATAGAAATAAGTTTGAGTTTCGAAGGGAAAAGTTGAAAACGCTCAATTTTTTTTGTTTATTTAAAAAAAATCTTTTCATGGAAGATTATTAAATCATTTACAAAACATATAAGACAAATCATGCAATTCCTGAATTAATTTGAGTGATTTGACCAAGAGATCTTCTCAGATATGGTGTCAGTGGTCCCATTTAAGGTTATACCCCATGTGTCAACAACTTTGTGCTTGGTTTTGACGACAAGTATTAAACACATTCATCATTTCGAATCGGTTAGTTATTGATATAATAATAGTCATTGGAATAAAAAAAACTAACGTATTTCTTGACTTCGGCCATGATGATTGAACGAACGAACGCAGGAAGTTTGACGGATCTGAAGAAAATCGAATTAGGTGAAATTATAAGAATTAGAAGCGAGCGAAAGAATATGAAGCAGACTTACTCATAGCCTCTTCTTCCATCCGCTGACGCCACACTTTTGGATCGACGCCTTCGGAACATTTTGTTGGAGCGTCGAATAAAAGTGTGGTTTGGAATCGGATGAATCGAGAGGTATGAGTTAGTGTTTGAACATCGTAAACTTCTATTGAATATACAATGAAGTTTTCAAGAGGCCATTTCGGTTTTTGCAACACGAACACAAAAAAGAAAATAAAATGGTTTCCGATGGGCGAAACGATACGGAATGAAATGAAAAAAAGTGTGGGTAGGCGGGTCGATGCAAGCGAGATTCTTGTCGAATGGTTTGAATCGAAATTGTGTAAAGTTGATCGAATGATTACGAAAAAAATGTGCAAATATCATGGGATTGTCAAACAATTATTGGCTAGTCGACCGACGCCCAAATCGTCGAAAATATTATTAGTAATTTTGGTTGTTCTTTTAAACAAATCTTCGAGTGAATCATCGCAAAACTATCAATTCTTTCGAGAGGAATGACTCAGTTTCGTAAAAAGAAGGCGGAGATTTTATTTGCGGAAGAGTGTCGACGAAATTTCCAAATTAATTTTGCAATTTCAAAACTTTGAATAATTTTGGTTTACAAAAATTGAATTTTTAAGGATGCCATTAATCGGCTCTCCAAAAAAATGAGATATTTTTGGCGAGCCATGTTGAGTTTTGAAAATGTATTGCAGTTCAATGAAAAATGCAATTTTGAGAGAGAATATGTGGGAATTATGAGAAAGAAAATGAAAATAAAATACTAGGGATTGGAAGAAACTAAAAACAGAAATTGCTAGGATATTTGTCATTAACAAATTGCTCATAAATCATGGCGGTCGGGCTAAATATAATAGAAAACGAAGAAGAAAAACGTTACACAATGCAGTCGTTGACAAACGTTGTTTTTTTGGTGATTTGCGGAATTTCAAACTTTTATGTATTTTGAATTGTGACTAACACATTACTTTTGAAAAAAATGGCATATTCGATCGAATAAATAATCGATTTGTTGAGAAAGATACATATGGAAATGATGGGAATTTTTGAGAAAAGAGCCCCACTAAATGAAAAGCGTATGGTGACAAATAGGAATTGAAGAATGCCACTTCAATTTGACGTCTTCATTAATTATATCAAATTGAAACATTGGGTAGAACCCGCACAAGTCGATAACAGCGGAATGCGGTTTTCAATGATTTATAGTATTCACTAGGAGAAGGTAGAAGAAGATGAAGATGATGGTGGGCAAACGAAGAAAAAAAAAGAAGAGGATGATGAAAAATTGAGACAACGAGCTAAGCTTGCTTGAATCGATCAACGATCACTCATTACAATCGATCGATCATGCTCCGCCCAGGCGAAACAACGTGAAATCAATCATGAAGAAGAATCGAGCAACGATGAATCATGAGAGTATGTTGAATTGATGTTCTCGAGAACAACGATCGAATAGAAGAACGAGTGGACTGAACGAAGAAGAAGAAGAAGAAGAAGATGTGCATTTACAATTAAGAGTCTTCTGTGTTTAAAATTGACGACTCTCGAATCGAGCATTTTTGAATTCTTTTCGAATCAAACTGAAATTGAAATAATATTATTAAATGATGTGAAAAGAGCATTCATGAATTCGCTTCATCCACTTGCAAAATCATTTTTGGGAAGTGTTTTTTTTTCTCGAATTGATCAAGTTTCGATGAATTCGGTTCCGGTGTTCTTCGCCAATCTCTTGGCGTACTGTAAACACATATCCAATATGTTTTTTTTGGCGCGATTTTGATGTCGAGTAATTAAACGCCTTTTTTTCCGCTCTTCTATCCTCATAGATTTTTCACATTAAATGAACCGGTTCTCACTGCGCTCAAAACTATTTTATCACTTTACTGCCGTCGCCGTCGCCGCCACAAAAATGTTGCCGTTGTGTGTTGTCATCATTGTTTGTTGCTGTGCATTATGCCGCCCACCTCGTCCATTCGAACTAATGAAGCTAGGTAACGGAAAAATAATCAAAGAAAAAAAAACGCGGCGAAATGTAGTGCGAAATGAATAAAAAATGGAATATGTACATATGCAATAGAATCGAGTGCAATGTTGGCAAGTTTGCCTTCGTTTTCCTTCCCTTCTGCGTACATGCACACAAATAATGAAAAAGCTAACAATTGACGAGTATTAATGTTTGTTTGGTGCTACTATACAAATTGAAAAAAAACGTTTGGCAACATATAAATAAATAAAAAAAGGAACCATGTGTTTGAGGATTGCGGTATCGATCGAATATCGGTTTGTCTTTTCTCAACTCTACAATTCTTTGTTGAAATTTTTGTTTTTTTTTTATTTTGCTCAACGACTAATGCAAATATTTACAGAGAAAAATGAAAAAAAAAGAGTGAAAATTGAAGAACAAAAAGCTGCTTATTCAGCTATTTGGATGCAAAAAATGAATATTTGTCTTATCATATTACAATTTTTTCGATGGAACGATTCCAATTTCTGAATCACGTTTTTTGGAATGATGTTTTTAAAAACTTCATCTCAATTACATGCCAATGCGTGTCGTTAGGTCGTTAGAAATGAAATCTCATTTCGGTACATTTTTCTTCGTCTTGGAATGTCGAAACCTGCAGTTACTACGACAAATCGACAGCCACGCCTCATGCGAATTCGAACCCTAATCGAATGGCCAATAAATTACTCGGAAAAAAATGTTTTGAGATGCTACAGTAGACGGACTCACCAATAATAAATAACGGCAATTCAAACCATATGTAGGAAGCAATAAATATTTCCGACGCAAACGAATGTTATAATGGAATTCGATGGAAAAATGTCCGCCGAAAATAGTACTTGACGTGATTATTATTATTATTATTATTGAATTTTGAATTAATATCTGGACACAGATCGATTGATAGAAAGCAGCCGGGTAAACCTGATAGATAGTTGGGTCGAAGGGGGGGGGGCGAAAAAAAATTGGCAATTATTACGCATGTTTACCGAATCGGAAATAAATTATGAGACAGTGGCTTTCGGCGATAAAAACGAGAGGGAAAACCGGCCAACTAGTTTCGTTGCCCTTTTGCCAAGGTCGCTTCGGTTTCGCTCTGTTCAATGAATTACGGCTAATTTTTGTACTCAACCGTCGAATGAAATTCGCCCTCCCCAAACACACAAAAAATACTTCAACTGTTTTTTTTTTTGACATTGATGTTTCTCGTTTTTTCAAATCTCGATGACAACATGTGTTTTCCAACCATTTTCGGTTGGCGACAAAACGAACACGATTTGATTGATTGATGAATGGGAACCGCATTTGAAATCGAAAAATCGCCGCGTTAAAACGAAATACTCGTGAAATGCGAGCAAGAAAATGTTGCCCACGGCAACCGTTGCTCGGACATAATCACACGCATACATAAGCATGCGAAGGCCAGCGTATTGTAGTTTTCAACAACAAAAAACCTAAGAAGATCAAATTATTTCTCATGTCGAGGTCACTTTTCTTGCACAAAAAATTATTTCAGCCAAAAATTGCCTCGGCTCACATTTCTCACCATCGATTCACTCGTTCTCACAGATCGCGAATTAAATTGTTTACGGATATTTATAGCAATTACCATCTGCCGACAATTTCCGGGAATTCAGAAGCGTCTCACCTGCCGAATTTCCGGTCTTGTTAATGTTCACATGCGGACATAAAATCGTTTCGAAAATTAAATGGAAAAGGCTTATCCTTGAATTTAAAAGAAAAAAATTATATTCCAATAAAATTCGCCGAGAAAATCTTTTTTGAATAGATTAAATGTTTTCCTCAGCAGGAAATCGAATGCGTCGCGACATTTTTAATAATAAACAAGAAAAATCCAATAATTCCATCCCACACGAGACACATTTCGTTTTTTTTTTAATAAAAAAAATCATCGAAACAAACCATCGGATTTCGATATTGAATTTGGCGTTTATTGCAATAATCTGCTGTCAAAAAAATTGGATGAAATGCCATAAAATGAAATGAAAATTTGACGTACTTTGGCACATTTTATACATTTTGAGGTGAAAAAAATTGAGGAGATGAGAAGAGAGCATTGAGGTCAGCGATGCGCAGACATTTTCAAATGGCAACAGTTGGCAATTAGCGGGCGAAATGTTGCGATCATGAAAGAAGAAGAAGAAGACAAAAAAAAATATTTTTTGGCTGGCATGCAACAAAATTTAAGAGAAAAAGAAAAGTTGGGCAAGAAATGAAAGAATATAAAGGAAGGCGACGGAAAACAAAAGAAGAATGGAGTTGGAATTTTTGGCGACCTTTAACGCTTCGACTATTTTGAAATTCGAGACTATTTTACACACTTTGGAAAAAAATTGAGTGAGTTTCGCCGAAAAAAAAAACGAATCGAGGCGGTGGGTAAACTAGAATAGAATACAATACAATATGTTTATACACCAAAACGTCTCGATTGCGTCTAAAAATATCGGGAAAAATTGCGGGAAACATGTTAGCAAAAAAAAAATAAAAAGCAATAACTTGTAATTGAATTGTCTGGGTGTAATTGAGACGAAAAAACAGCGAAGGAAAAACAAAAACACGCGTGGTGTTTGTATGTGTAGTAGGCTGTCGATAACAATCTACTAGGGACCATTAAGATACTTTAATGGGTGTCGATAAGAAGCCAACAGAGACTTTTATGTGTTGGCAACATCTGGTGCTCGAGTGGCTGCAAAATGATGGCGATTTCGATTTTGCGCCAAAACACTTTATACATATAATACGAGGAGGAAATGCGACGAAAAACGAATTGCAATTACCGCCCAAATGACACCTTTTATGTTGCGGGCGGGAGGGGGCATGATTGGCGTCGTTGGTGTTTTTTTTTTTAATGTATTGTTGTGGCGAAGAAATGCAACATGTAAAAACGGGGGGTGGAAAGAGGACATCCACACATACATCACAACTAAAAAGAGGAAAGAAGATGGGAGCGCGTCGAAATAGAGATGGCCAGTTGGATGTGTGCCAGCCGGCCGCCGAGAGCTGGCACATTGCCAATTCGAGTGGGCACGCGAGTTGAAGAGACGCAGACGCGGTTGGCGAGAGAGCACGCGTTGACACGAGACGCCGAGAAATGAAATTGAGAATGTGTATTGAGAATGCGCATATGCATAGAAGTTGAAATGAGTCGAGAAGCTGAATGAATTGTTTGCACCGATAAATCTCACCCCCCCCCCTCCAATCATTCGCTTTTCATTTCTCAGTGTGTCATCCATATTTGGCACATTTCTCGTCGCAATCATTTTTCTTTGCTCTCTAAAAAAACGCGTCATTTTTTTTTCGAATAATCCGCCAAACCGACGATTTGATGTGTTTTCAGAAAACTTGGCGAAAATGCAATTTTATTGCGTTGAAAAGAGAATTAATTTTGTAATAAGTGTGACTTGAATTTAATTTGAAATGAAAACAAAAGAAGGAATTCGTGGAAATCAAGTGTCTGTCTAGAAAACCTCTTGATTCAATGGAAAAATCCAAAAATGTTTGGTTACACCAATTGGCGTATTTGGGATTCGAGATAAACCAAAACGAAAATCCAATTTCGATGTCATACAAATGAGTAGAAGAGGCTAGCAAACGAGATGTGCGTGCTTCTGCTGCGGCAGCTTGTTGAGATTCTTTAATTCATTTAATGTTAAATTCAATTTCATCGCGATTAAGAAGCTGGCAGCGGAGGACACAAGAAGTGGAAGAAAACGATAGAAAATGACCAAATATGGTCATGCACGTCCTATTTTTATTGCTATCATTTATGTGTTTATCAATAAATTGCTTACTGTAAATGGGCTGGGGGTCTTGCGGCGAATTCGAATGAGTTTGTTCCAGTGAACGATCGAAAAACAACAACATTGAATTATGGCCGCAAAATTCCATTCAAATCTGGTTTTTAGAATCCACAAATGTATAGTTGCGAATAATAGGCTGCCGGACGACGGCCTTACGCGCCAATTTCCATTTTTGGCAATTTATTTATTCGGGCCCTACTCCAGTTGGCGCTTCAACTCCAACGTCTTCTTCGTAATTAGAATGTGTTTGCCGCACACTGCGGTCTGTCTCGAATTTGCAGGCAAATAATTCATTTTCGATTGAGCACAAAAATATGTGTTTATGGTGATTCAAACTGACACTTCCACACTGTAATTGGCCATATTTGGAGAGCGAGCTTGCACGAAATTATTAAACATTTGAAGAGCAGGACCAGGACGATCGAGTGGAACAAAATGGCCGGAACCCTATCAATCAATGCCGATTATTATACGATACTCGTAGCATACTTTTACGGTGATAACATCGATAGAAATATGGGTTGTGAGAGGATTCGAGCCCTCATATCGCATAAAATAGCCACCAATGACGCGATTCTTCGAATAATACCAAGGTTGGTGTGATTGAGTCTTTTTGAAGGCGTTCCTTTTCGCCAAATTCCTCACAAAATACTGATCTGCCAAATAATTGCAGGCGATGTCGACATCTCCGTTGTAAATGAGAATTTGAAACGATTTTCCCTGAACAACAAAATATACATATTATCATTATAATTGTTATTTGACTAATTATTTAATTACCGTTAAATTGCGAAAGATTTGCTCGAAAAATGGTGTCATATCTTGATATTTCATCTTATAATCATCGTACATTCGATCGCTCAAATAATTTTTTTCCATGAAAAAAAAAACGAAATCGAAATTACTTGCAAACGTTCCACATTTCGTTTCTTTCAATCCATTTCTCATCAATCTTTAATGCTTTTTGAACATCTCTCCTATTCAGATAATGTTTGACGGCAATGTCGGACCAACACGAATACGCGAATTGGCCATCTGTCGAGAATCGATTCATCAACGCCTTAAATGACACACTCAGTCAGCATCCGTTTCAACATGCAAATTATGAAGTTTACCGAAATTCCTTTTCGACGTACTTCATCGACTGATTTTTTAATTGGATTTTCAACATTTTTTGCCGTGAAATTGTAATAGCAATCATCGTAGAAATTGAAGAAATTGAATCTGTCCGAAAATCTCTTTTTAAAATTAATTTAATATTGAATCATACCCCTGCCAATCGGTAGTATATGTTGCTATTAAAGGTTTCAATAATCTACCACATTCGGTTTTATTATTTCCAAAATAGTCCATATTGTTTCTTGTTATCATGAACTTCTTCAACGCGTTTTTTTTTTGGAATTGATCGTGGAAACACAAGGAATTTACCGTAAAATCGTATTCGTCGACATCTCGAGCTCCAGATGTTCGACAAACTCTTTTGATTTGTTCCCATTCGCTGAAAATTCGCAATTCTTTTTCGAATCCATCGATTGATGGCCCCTACTCAGGCGATGTTCTTGCGTGATACGCATTCCACAAAACCATTGTATTTGTCGTTAATTTGACATTCATAAAACCATTTCCTATGAAAATTCCCTTAAATTTTCTCGATAATCATAATATTGAATATTGATTGTTTTGAACAAAAATGTAGAAAACCTTGAAATTTGGATTTGGGAATGTTCGCGCTGCAATCTTTTTTGCAACAAGCGCCGATACCATTGGTACATACAATCCAGCATATGATTCTCCGGAAATGAAGAACTCGTTGGTCTGATATTCAGGATGTTTGCTGAAACTTTTCCATTCTACTACTGTCACTATCCGCATGAATTTTTCACTTGATGAAGAAATCTTGAATAGCTCGCAGATTCTGATTCGCCGTCGTCTCGTCGTCGGCTTTCGAATAATTCGCAACGTTCGTATCGTATGAAAATCCGACGCCAATCGGTGATTCCAAAAACAATATATTTGCTTTCTGAAAACAAATTCTTAATTATTGACACTGGACAAAAAAGGCTCACATGATTCCATGCATACGGATTTTCAAATAGTGTATCATTTTCATAATTAACGAAAACTGGTCCGAATTCTTCGAAAAATGCCGACAGTGACGAGCAACCGGGACCGCCGTTGAACCAAATAATTAAAGGCGCATTCCTAATGAGAACATCACGAGCTTCCAATAATCTTAATCATAATAAATATTAGGAGTATGAAGAATAAATATTATCAAACAAATAGAACATTCTCCATGTTTTTTCGTCATTTCCATCCAAATAACCTGATTTCAGCCGAATATTTGGCACTTGATTGCTACCCGGTAGTCGAATATAACAACGAATAACTACAATGAGAGACAGGAAAATGAAAAGAGCGTTCGGAAATGAAACACTCGTCATGGAGAATGTCAACCTCTCAAACAACATTATTCGCACTTTGATTGGGTCGTATAATCTTCGAAAAACCCGCTTCGTTAATGTACGTATCATTGGTGTTTTTGATATTTTCCATTCATCAATATCCTATTTCAAACAATTCGTATTCAACTTTTAAAAATATTTTTTTTAATCGAATCATTTATTTCGATATATCAATACTATAATTTGCCATATTTGAAAAACTCGAATATAAAAAATTATTGAGCATTTGATAGGATGGACCCGGTCGATCAAGTGCTACAAAATGACCAGCTCCCTAAAATTTATGAGAAAAATACTACCATGTTCAATGGATCAAAGAATTACCCTGATACTAACAACATCGATAGAAATATGGGTTGTGAGAGGATTCGAGCCCTCATATCGCATAAAATAGCCACCAATGACGCGATTCTTCGAATAATACCAAGGTTGGTGTGATTGAGTCTTTTTGAAGGCGTTCCTTTTCGCCAAATTCCTCACAAAATACTGATCTGCCAAATAATTGCAGGCGATGTCGACATCTCCGTTGTAAATGAGAATTTGAAACGATTTTCCCTGAACAACAAAATATACATATTATCATTATAATTGTTATTTGGCTAATTATTTAATTACCGTTAAATTGCGAAAGATTTGCTCGAAAAATGGTGTCATATCTTGATATTTCATTGTATAATTTTCATACATTTTGTCACTGAAATGCATATTAATCTCCCCTTTCATTTTGATTTCGATTTGCTTTTTTGAAATACTTGCAAACACTCCATTCTTTCGTAGTTTTCATCCATTTATCATCAATATTCAGAGATCGCATCACATTTTTTCTCTTCAAATACTTGTCCAATGCGCCGATGCCCCAACATTTATAAGCAAGTGGTCCATCAGTTGAGTATCTATTCAATAATGCCTACAAATTCGAATTCATTAACCATACCATATAAAAAATCATACCGAAGCTCTCTTTATAGGCAATAAACGAAGTGTTTCTTCAACTGGATCTTTTGCATTTGGTTTCGAAAAATTATAGTAGCAATCACTGTAGAAATTATAAAAGTCATAGCTGTAAAATGAAATTCATTGTTCAGTTTCAGTAATTTTTTTTCCAAATTTCAACCCTTCGTATTCTGATACATTTCCTATTAAAATCTTCAATAATCGTCCACATTCTGTCTTATTATTTCCAAAATAATCCATATTGTTCGATGTTGTCATAAATTTCTAAAATTGTTGAATACAGTAAATCACTTCTTACGCTGTCATACCGTGAAATCGTATTCGTCGACATCTCGAGCTCCAGATGTTCGACAAACTCTTTTGATTCGTTCCCATTCGCTGAAAATTCGGAATTCTTCTTTGAATCCATCGATTGATGGCCCCTACTCAGGCGATGTTCTTGCGTGATACGCATTCCACAAAACCATTGTATTTGTCGTTAATTTGACATTCATAAATCCATTTCCTATGAGCAAACCCTAAATCCAATGAATTCCACTCATATCGATCCACATTTTCAATTCGACCTTGAATTTATCATTAGGAAATGTTTTCTTCGCAATTTCGTTTGCGAGAAGAGCCGAAACCATCGGACCATATACTCCCCCGTATGATTCCGCACCGATGAAATAATCATTTTGGCGATATTCAGGGTGTTTACTGAAACATTTCATTTTTTGACATATCGGGTTCGATCTGAAACTGATTAAAGAAATCTTGAATAGCTCGTAGATTCTGATTCGCCGTCGTCTCGTCGTCGGCTTTCGAATAATTCGCAACGTTCGTATCGTATGAAAATCCGACGCCAATCGGTGATTCCAAAAACAATATATTTGCTTTCTGAACACAAATTCTTAATTATTGACACTGGACAAAAAAAGGCTCACATGATTCCATGCATATGGATTTTCAAATAAATTTTGGCTATTATATTCAATATAGAATGGTCCGAATTCGAAGAAGAAAGCAGTAAGAGATGAGCAACCGGGACCGCCGTTGAACCAAATAATTAGAGGCGCATTTCTTGACGGAAGATCTCGAGATTCCAATAATCTGAATCGGTTGTTAATTAAATTCGCCGTGTGGATATCATCAAACAAATAGAACATTCTCCATGTTTTTTCGTCATTTCCATCCAAATAACCTGATTTCAGCCGATTATTTGGCACTTGATTGCTACCCGGTAGTCGAATATAACAATGCGCTTTTAAGAATAAAATGAGTATTAAAATAATATTTGAAAACGATAGCATTTAAGTTGTCAAGGCTTTTTTTTGAATCCTTCTCTCATCGAAATTGTATAATTTGACCAAAACCAGATTTGCTGTCATTCAATTTTTGCGACAATGTGAGGTCGTTTTTTTTGGTCAAAAAATTCATGGCAAACATCGCCGAATTCATCAATTTGTGTGTTCGGCCTCGATTGATTTGCGATCTTTATTCAAAAATAAAAAAAACAACATTTAGAAAATAATTAAAATGAGGAGAAGCTTAGATTCCAGGGGCTTTGTTGATTGTGACAGTATGCACCTCGACGTCTCCATCAATCTCCAAAGTCTTAACGTCGCTTGGACTTCCGCGATGAGCAAAAGTTGTGAATCTGAAAACGAAAAGTGAACACTGAAATCGCTGAATTTTCTCGAACCTCTTTCCATTGAGGAAGATTTGGAATGAGAATTCCTCATTGATGATGGTAATATCGAAAATCTCGTTCTTGTTCAACGGGAATTTTCCTTCTCTCTCCTCTTTTCCCCAAACATTGCTGGTCATCGCATTTCGGACGATGGCACCTTCGTTGTATCGGATCGACACTTGGAGCGCGTACTCCTTGTTTTCTCGGTACAAATTGATGTTCACGCGTTTACCTGAGATTCGATGCGATATTACAAGTCATCTAATCAACCGGACCTTTTGGAAGAGCCGAAATGTCAAGGCGTTTTCCAGGAGTCAATTCAGCGAGCGCGATGTATGGATTCGGGAAGATTCGTCCTCCGTAATGGAAGAGACGCAACTTGGAAAGATCTCCGCGGATCGAGATGTGGTCAATCTGTAAATACTCTCGGCCTCTTAAATTCTAACGATTTCGAATCTAACGAACTCCATCAAGTTTCTGTCTTTGCTCGAACGTGCCGACTTCGTAGCGATTAGCGAATACTTGGAATTTGTTCTCGAGAACTCTGACTCTCAAGTCGAACTCCTGTCCCGGCTTGAATGGATTGCTGACGCGCTGCTCGTTCTCCGACCAGTTTCCGCTCTCGAATGTGTTGTAGACAAGCTTTCCGGATCCCAAAAGGCCTTCATTGAAGCGAATCGAGAAATGCAATGGGAGATCTGCATCGTTTGATGGTCCTTTGTGGAAGTTGAAATCGACACGAGTTGGCTTGTCAGTCAATGTTCCGACGGCATGAATCGTTTGTCCGACCTCGATCGGATCACTGACACGGGTCTTGAACGGAAGTTTCTGAAAATAATAGCTAGTTATTATATTTTTGTGAATAAACACATTTTTCACACTCACATAGTCTTGCTCTCCGATGAACTTTTTGTAGTTGGTTTCCTTGGAATCGGTTTCGCTTCCTTGGGCAGCAGCCGAAGCAATCAGACAAAGAAGGATTAACGACCGCATTCTGAAAACCAAATACAATCTGTCGATGTGGGGCAAAATTGAACAAAATAAGCTTGAGAGATTCGGCGAGTGGGCGATGCTCGACGGCCAATTGTCAAGATAAACGGCGTGTTTATCGTTGCGACGGCATCGGCCGATTGAATCACGAATTCGCGCCTGATTTATGGTTGTTGATAGTTGGCAACTGCTCGAGTTTCGAAGCAAACTCAATGAGAGGACAAGTGTTCAGAGGAATGATGAAACTCTTACACAATTCGAATCAGTTCATGAAAACAGCCAATCCAATAATTGAGAATTCTAGCGAACTCGAAATCGAGCAGAACATTATCAAATGGAATTGTAAAGTCTACGAAAGTGAGGTTTAAGCCAATTTAAAATATTTATTTGAGAAAAAAGTACGATGGTGCTCACTCATTATTTTGTTCTTTTCTAGTTCGTAACAAAACCAAACTAAGCTATTTAGTAAAATTATTTTTTTTTAACCCTGGCAATATGGGATGTTTATTTAAAAAAAATGCCGTCATAGAAAAGAAAATATTCATATTCGAGAATTATTCGCAAACGACATACTCGTTGACAATAATTACGGTAATTGGCGTACTTGAATAGTAAAACTGGTTTTGAAAACAATTTTATATTACAAATTGGTACAATGATTTCGAAGAATCTAATTAAATTGAATTATTTTTTTATACTTATATAAATAAATCGCGTGAATAAATCGATAATACTCGATAGAAATTCGTGGGACCCGTGCGTGTAAAATGCACTAGTCATCCGCGTGGGACCCACCGACTCGCGGTACCCGCATGGCCATGGAAACGCTTGTTCAATCTACCAGAGAAGAGAGCTACCAGTCAAGGTCATTTTTACCGAGATTCCTATCATGAAATGAGAAAGTTTTCCTGTACCCAGATTGATAATTTGAGTTGTATATTTCCGACTAATATATTTAAGCTTTCAAATTAAAATGTATATATATTTGCTTCCAATTCTTGTATAGACATTTGAGTCTCAAAGGACCCCTCTTGATTGCACGTAGACATATGCCCATCAATTAACAAGCAAAAAGTTTTGTAACAACTGCTACAAGTGTTTATATCGAATCCCGTTCGAAAAAAATACATTTGGAATACAAGAATTACACATTTGGCTGGGCAGATTATGCCGAAAAGCCGGAATTCATATACAAACCAAGGTCACACCTTCTTTTTTTGTTGACGACCTCTGATTCAGAAGCATGTCTCGAATATTCGGTCGAAAATGCAAATACATATTGTTTGGTTCCGATAAGCTGGTTTTTTGGTTCATCGTTGATCGTTCAAATTCCAAAAAAAAATGCTGTGCTGACGATCATGTTTCAATCTGGAAACTATTGATTTGCTTGACTTTATTTTTTTTTTAAATTAAAAATTTATGATCTAGAGAAGAAAATTTTGATTTCCAAGGACACATTCGTCTAGAATTTATTATTGTTATTGTCATCGCTGGAAAATATTCTCCAAGTATGGTCGATCCGAAAACAACACACTATGAATACAATCGAGGCGACGACCAGGAATAAATGAGAACGTTCTCAAAATAATTCCTTATTTGTCCCTTAATTTCGTATGTCAATCGAGCAAAACAATCAATGAGGCGAAATTCTGAAATTTTGAAATGCAAATAAACGAACTGAACGGACCAATTGGATCGACATCTGATTTCTAGATTAATGGCATTTTTTTGAAGAAAAATCACTCCTCGTTCGTATTCAAATGTCTTCGTCTCGTTTTTCTCATTTATCTTCTTTATTTTTTTTCGTTTACTATGCCAAATACAATCTAATTAGAATGAGTGTTATCTACCAGTTTGCTTGTATTCGAAACAATTCCCAACGAAATAGCGTTCGGTTAGAAGAGAACCCGATAATGATTCTCTACTTTAGTGGAGGAGAGAGAGCTTCATGAGGACGAGTATTCACATTTCTTCTTCATTCATCAATTCATTTTTCTATTTATACACCATTACGTTGTATTTTTGTTGATAACATCAATATACATATATGAGTGCTGATAATACTCATTTATGTAAATAAAATGTCACATGTTTTCGGTAAACCGTGTTCAAAACATAGAGATGTGCGAAACCCGTAACGTGTCGCGACACATTTCTCATCATACGGTGTTTGTCGAGGTGGTTCGACAGCTTTGCGCTGGGGCGATAACGTGACCAATGAGGCTCTGCCGAGGTGCGTTTATTGCTGGTTGAAAACTTTTCCCAATTGCCCGCGATGACCCCTGAAATACGGGTGTCATACGCAATTTTTGAACGGTCCGAACGGGCCTGAAAAACGAAGTCCTCGCAGGAATCCTTTAGTTAGAATAAATGATATTCGCACAAACTGACAATTTGCATAAGCCAGTACACGCTAGAATACGATAATGCTGTTGCCATTGAACAACGCTTATTTGCATAGTTGCGATGAAAACAAGTGATGTTTTCGTTTGAAACCCTTCAATCGTTTGCTGATAGTTGCATTCCTTGTTGGCGTTTTATTCATTCAACACACATCGTGAGAATCACTGTAAGTATGGTTACTGTATGTTCTAACATCCTTCAATTATTTTTTATTGTAATCAAACTCGAGAAACGAAAAACGGCAAATTATTTAATTATGCGAAATAAACAAACTCGAGAGCGCGACAAGCTTCATAATGGTCTCAATTAAAAAACAGAGTCGTATGACGTTTTTTTGTCTGAAAAGAGAGAGAGGTATTTTTGTCTGAAAAGAGACGATGTATTTCTTTTTACCTTTTCATTGAAATTACGAAATATTTCAAACCGTGGTTTTTTTTTAATTTGGAAAGTATGATATGAAATAGAGAATGAATGCGCATATTTTTCTAATTGAGACCATTTGTGGTGTTATCCGACAAAATTGAGGCGGCAGGAACAAATCATTTGGAGCAGTAAACTTCCTCATTCGGAAATTATCTTAGAGCTCACTACACTTGTATATGATACATAATAACATTTCGAGGTTGATTCAGAAGGCCTTACACACCCGATTTGCATGGGACCGCCCATTTTCCCTTCCTCAAATGACTCTTGTCCGATTTATTAGGTCGCAGCAGTATGATGTGTGTCGATTTGTTTCCGCCGACAAAATGTTTTTCAATTCGAATGCATTTCTGGTTCGTTGTCGAAAATCGAGCATCTTCTCTTCAATTGTAGGCCTTTTTTTTGAAATGTGCAAAAAAACGACTGGGACAAAACGATTATGTTCTTTTGAGAGGACGTGACGTATGCTTTTCTTCTCATTCGCCTGTTGCAGCTCCTGATTTTCGACGTTGCGATTTCACACGATTTTGGCTCTACTTGCTTCTTTTTTTTTCGTCAAACCTTTAAATTCAAAATCGAATCTTTTTTTTTTCTTAGGCTACTCTTTTCCGATTAATTTGCAAAATCAGAATATTCAAGAAAAAAAGGAAACAATAAAATGTTGTAGTTGGCGACTAACCGGGTAGATTTACGAGCATGCGTCTTTCGTTATGGTCTCGCCACGCACGAATACGAATTGTCCATTTTTTCTTGATTTTTTGAAATTCAGATAAATTGAAATGAGCATTAGAATCTGAAATAACCAGTGCTTCCAAATAAGACCATAACAAAAGACGGTTGTTCGTATAATAAATCTACAAAGATGCCATATTACCCATTTTCGCTAGCCAAATACTGACTAGAAATTCAATTTCCCAATATTTCTTTTAGTTTTGCATTAGTATCCAATTACTGTAGATAACGAGCTGCATCGATGAGACTCTTGCTCCTCAAATGGTTATTTTTAAACGAAAAAATAATCCAACTCTTACTAAATTTGATGCCAATTTGGCAATTTTGAAGAGCATCATGAAGGCTTCATTTTCAGCGTCATCTTGATGATTCGCGGCTTCACATTTTCTTTTCGAGACAGCCCCGAAAATGTTTAATTAGGAAATAATTGTACGAGTGTCTCAATGTGTATGTATGCATGTATGGGTGTGTGCGGTGGGTGGATGGGTGGGTGTAATTAGAAAACTTGCCGAGAAATTATTCGCGCTGAACCTATTCTTCGTCGAAATCTGACCTTGCACGAACATTTGAGAATTTCTAGACGAAGAAATATTAGCTTTGAGTCATAATTATAGCAATCGCGAAAAAAACACCGCGCACCCTAGTTATTGTGATTTATTAAATTTCAAAAAGTTTTTGAATTTGCAGGTCATCCGTAGTACAGTAGATCAATTCCCACTGTCAAAACCGAAATTCGAATTGTGATGAACTGAAAAATTTAAACTGTCTGAATGTTTGTGTGTGTGAGTTATTTTTTGCGATGGTAATTTATTATTATTTTTTTTTCCTAATAATAAGTTATTCATTTGTTTGGCGAATATGTTGATTCACGATGTAGATAATTAAAATTTACTTCATTTTTAAGACTTCGTATAGTTCGATGGGAATACGGTAGAAGAAAAAAAAAGCGATTTTCCGTGAATCACCCCATACCTTAAATGGTCATGATTACACGTGAAACAAATTTGGAAGCAATGATTCACGTGATCACGTTGATATATAAGATCAATTTGCACTATCTTTTGTGGTTCGGTGCAAGTTCAAATTGATGTCCATCATAATTAATTGTGATTTTAATTGTCAAAAATAAAACCAAATTCCTGATTTTTTAGAGAATATTCGTTGAAGACCTCTCTAGCTTTCTTCTTTTATTTATAGAACCCAAAAATTTGCTCTCATCTCATTGTGACCAACCAATTCATTTTATTTTTTTTTGTTCATTTTCAAAAGCCTGGTTCTCTCGAGGGCCGATAACTCAATTGTTTTCGGCAGTCGCTCTCCAACTGACATTCTTCTTTTCTTTCGTTTTTTATGCATTTCCTAAGCTTTTCCCCTTTTTTTGATAAAAAAAAAGATCGAATAGGAAATGGATAAACACGAACCACCATATTTGAACATAAAACGAGTGTTTTTCGAATTTGTCGTTTTGTCGAATCGAGCTCAAAGTAGAATGCGTTCAACTTGAATGATTTTGAATCAAATTCGACGTGGGTGTTTTCAATCAAAATTCCACTCCGCCCATTTTCTTTTTTTGAGCATTTCTTTTATAAATATTCAATTTCGAACATTTTTTCTAGAGTTTTCAAATTTTTCATTCATTTTTACCTCGATATTATCCATCCATGTTTGGTATTAAAAATTGTTTCATAATCCGCGAGTCTTCGAGGAAAGAAACATTTTTAAAAAATATCAAAGTATACAAAAATTATGATGAATGAAGATGTTCCAATTTTCGAATAGCTATTTTTATGCTTTTAATTATGATGACATTTTCAGCAGTTATTTAGATATGATATTTGATGAATAATTATCAAACGCGAATTGTTTGGTGAATTCGAATTCGCCGGAATTGACACTAATGTTTCGCGACAATTTTTCTTAATTTCTTTTCGACAAAAATCGCCGCTTCAAATCATGAATGTTTTAAACTGCGATCATCATTAAAAGTATTTTTACAATGCAGACAGGTTTCCCGATATGATTCCATTAATTTCCCATAAATGAATGCATATCTTCTAACGTTTATAAGCTTGAAAACCCAAATGCGCAAAAAGAAAAGCATTGAATAGAATATCGAAAAACGAACATTTCCTTTCGCGATTTGTCTTCGTTTGACACCTCGTTTATCAATTTACCACGTTTTTTTTCTCGTCACATATACGCCCGCCTTCCTTATTTGGCCCTAAACCGGACAACTAAGATGAAGAAGAAAAAGAAAAAGGAGACGGCCGCCCCCTTGTTCGAAATGATTTTCAAAATCAGCCGTTTTTGTTTTCCTTACTTCAATGTGCTTTAGTTTCGTTTTCGTGACAACAAAAAATGTGAACGACGACAAAACTAACGAATATTAATACAAATATGTTGAAGAGAACGACTCCCAGCCGACGACAAATAATGAATCATTCGACGATGTTTCGTATTCACAATTGGCTCAGATCACAGCGGAAGCTCTTCCAGGTTCGTCGAGAAACGCCTACATTTCTACTATATATTATTATATTCAATTGCTCGCCTATTATTATTTTTTTCTTCAGAGCAAAATGTGCCTATTGATGCTAGTGATGATTAATTTCGTGAATAGCGTGATTTTGACACTGGAAGTGTGCGGAGAGGATTCAAATGTAACTCGCTCGTTCGTTTTTTTCAACATTTTCTGAAATTTCACATTTTCAGTTGGCGTTATTGATATTCTTTATCAACACATTTTTGGTGTTCCTCTCAATGTATGCGCTTTACAATTTCAAACCGCTGCTTTTGTCGCCGAATGTCATTCTGAAGGTATTCTGAACATTTTTTGTTTAAGCTTAAATCATTTTTGAATCTTCAGATAGTTTTATCTTCTTCGGCATTATTCTATGGACTTCAAATGGCTGAAAAACAAGCGAATACAGCGATATTTGTGTGGCTCACAATATCGGTCATTTTATTCATTCTCGAGATTCATGTGATGTTCTCGACGACATTCGATATCATCAAACAAATCAATCTGCGTGCTTACAGTAAGCCGCCGCCAGCGTATAATCAGGTGAGCAATTCCTCTTGTTTTTCTTTTCATTATTTTGCATTCTTGAAAATAATGAAGAAGTTCTATTCTTTCAGGTGATGTGCATTGAAGCACCTCCACCAACATACGAAGAAGCCTTGAATCGATTGCGCAACACTGAAAGCGCCCTCACATCAGGTCTCAAAACGACAACTACAGTACCCGTCGAACTCGACACTCAAGACTTGGTTCGAATGGCCGTTTAGACACGTTCAATTTTGGACAGTTCGTGTTCATACGGGTTCTGATGTTTTTCAGTTTTTGTTTGCTTTTTTCCCATTTCCATTTTATGGTTTGATCTCGAAATATCCACCCCTCGCCCAATTCTTGTCACAGTACTGCTCATTAGCCCTAATTTATTCGCTTTTCATTTCTTGACGACAATCATAAATGTTTCGAATTGTTTGTCGACAAAGAATGTCTAATTTGTCATTTCAAATTTCAATCAAACAGCGAATCAAAAATAAGAATTCCATGGTTAAATCATCACGCAACATGACAAGAGACACGGTAATACCGTATTCGGAAAAACTCAATTTCGTCTTTTTTGAATAGATGAAAAATTGAACATCAAGGTTCACGAGTTCAAAAAATAACAATTTCAGACCAAAAAGGTGATAATAGTCAGTCCTTTGTTATTTTAAAATTTCAGCAATGATATCATTTCAAACATAATTATGTCGCTCGGTCAAGGTTAATCGTGTTTTCTTAAATTTTATTGATATCGAGTACATTTGAATTGTGGGTTAATGGTAGGACATTTCGAAAAAGGAGGGGCTGCACGTGAAGAGACGAAGACTTGGTGTACCAAGAAAATTAAAATTTTTATTTAAAAAACTAGAAAAATCATTTTTGAAAGGCAAATAATTTCAGAATATTAAATCTATTGCTGTTGAAAAAAATGGGAAAACAAAATAAATTTGAATGGCCGAACTTTGGGTTCGTGTAGTCAGCCACGGCCACAACAATTTCCACCAGCTGTTTTCATTTCGAAAAATCGTTTGCAATTCAGCTGAGTTCATAGTTTCAAAGATGGTAGAAATCAAAAAGTGAGATTTTTGAAATATCATGTTTACGTCATTTGACCATATTTTTTTTCTGGTGCGAGTGTCCTCTCGAAACGTTTCACTTCATTTTCGTCTGATATGCCATGTTCATCGCTCAAATTCACAGTGCGACAATCTTCGAAAAACGAAGAACGCGAGATTTATACGTCAGAGACGACGAACTTGAGACGGCACGTGTTGTCAGCCGCATCGCTCCCCTGTATTGTTTTTGGTGCGCGAACAACTAGTGTGGGTATGTGATTTTTTGAAAATATGATTGATTGACTTTTGAACGACCGATCAAATGTCCAATGAATGAAGTAAAGGAAGTAAAACATGCCTGCAAAATCGAGAAAATGACGATAAAGGCTTTCGAAGATCACACAGAGAATTTTTCTTTAATTTTTCAAAGGAGGATTGGGTTGCATTTATCAATCCAAACCAAAAACCTCTCAAATTGATTTGTTACGTTCATTCCTCTTCTGTTTGATTTTTTGCCAACCGATCTGCAATATTTCAAATCGCTTAATTTCAATTCGAACATATACCAAAGAAAATTTCCAAGAGTAGGATGATCGATGATAAAATGGTGGCGAAAAAATGAAATACAAAGACTGAAGAATGTTGATTGAGAGTGAATGAGGATTTTGTGGGCTTCTCGAATAATGAGAGAACCGGATACGTCGGTGTGTAATGATTATCAATATGCTGAATATACTATGGTTGTTGATTAATTATCTTACAATGCCAACGTACACCAAACGCGGGCATCATTGATATAATTGCCGTGTTCAATTCATCGATATGTTTGAACTTTGGCCGTATCACATATGCAGCAGGACAAACCTGAATCCAGAAATTGTTTGAAAAAATTTAAATGAAACCAACTGAAAAATCTTTAATTAACCAGATATTCGAATGAAAATTTTCCTGTGTCCAAATCGAAAATTGACTTGAAATTCTTTGTGCCGGATACCACCCAAAACCGACAACCGGAACTTTTTGTGTGTTGACAAACTCGAAATTATTCAATAAACTGTTTTCGCCGATTTTGGGCGGATATTTTGCGAAAATTTCGCGAAACAATGCGCGACAAGTCGACACAGAAATCTCCGCTGGACATTCTGGCATTCGGTCACCAGATGTTGTGAGTAATCGGTATGTTCCTTTCCTATATATTCAAGCACTTTTTTTTTGAAATAAATACATCAAACGTTCACCTCAAATGATCAATAAGTCCGTAGAAATCAGTAAAAGGGACTTGCTTCTTATCTGAAACAACGAGCATTCCGCTCAATTCCGAGGTATAATAGTCGACGAAAACATGGAACCAAGCGAGTAGCCAAATTGCAGAGAAAAACTGAAAAATATCATTGAGAAATTAATTTGCTAGTCATTTTTCAACGTGAAATGCAAAAAATGTCGAACGTCGATGATCATGGATTTCGATATTAAAAGTACTTCCTAGTAGTTGATTCATTCCACTCTGCAGGCACCTGAACTTTTTTAGTAGTGTTTTTTTCATTAGATAAAATTAATTTTCAGTTTTTGAAATATCGAATAGAATGGGGCAGGTCTGGTCTATTATGCGTTTTCTCGATTCCTTTGATGTGCCGAAATTCCCAGATATAAAATATATAATGATAGAATTACGAGTATATTGTTTCGGTGGATGAAGAGAATTCGACGACGCGAAGCACAAAAAACACAATTGCGACGACAATGATTGTGATCGAAAGCAGAAGCCAGACATACTTGGAAAACGGGCGGAATAAAAATCCGATATCTTCAGATTTTTGTGGATCAGAAATTAAATAAACCTCAATTATTCTATTATAAATGATGATAATTCATCTATCAAACCTGGTTAACTTCGAATTCCGTTGGATATGAGAAATTGAGAGTTCCAACTCGATCAGGAGTCATTCGAAATCGTCCGCAAGCCATATCAATGATTCCTTTTTGAACATCTCCTAACATTCCCAAAATAGTATTAAAATATTTATTTCGGAAAATGATGTTGGTGAGACCTGTTGCAGTCCCATTTTCCATTACATATCCTATTCGATTGTGATATCTCACCAACTCATAACTCCATCTCAGAACCTCCAAATCAACGATTTTTGGACTTAGTCTTTTAAAACTCGTAATAAGTAATTTATTTTTGCAAACATCCTCTATATACAGTGCGCTATATCAATTTCTGGATTTTGGACTGGATACGCCACCCTCGAAAATCTCAAAAACCAGAATATTATAAAAAATCATGAAATAATTTTTTATATTCTACATTTTATCCGTTGGTTTCCGAAATTCCTACAACTTATTTCCATTGAATCGTCATTTTATGTCAAATTTTTGAATTTTACATCGATGGCTAAAAAACCCGCTGATCAGATTCGGAAAAATCACCAATGATAGCGAAATTGATACATTTATTAATTTGATTTTGTTATAATACCTACAAATCCTGCGTAAAAAGCGTTTTATATGAAGCATAAATGAACTTCTGATTTTCGAGGTTCACGTATCCACTTCATAACCCACAATTTCTTTTTTGATGTATGCATATAAGGAATGTTTTTAAAAATCCAGAAATTACATTCATTAGAGTTTTACATTGCTCCATTTCAATTCCGATTTGATGTTTTACATTATACTTTGACCCTAAACTAACTCAATTAAAATAGAAATTTTAAAACATTACCTTTATTATTCAATGTCGAATCAATTCCGATTCGAAGGTGAACCATTATTTGGGGAAAAAAAAACGAATGTGTAGGCAAAAACATTCGTTTTCAATATTATTATTATGAAATTCAATAGTCACAAAAATAAAATTTTCATTCAGAAAAGAGGGATTGAGTGTATATAAAGTTAACAATTACACGTATTCAGAAAATAGTATATAAACGAACGGGATTCACGAAAAAAAAGAACCATTTGGTGTTGAAAACAACAGAATTGCAACCAGATAGAGAGATGAGGCAGTTAATAATCTAGACAAAATAACTAAAACTACAATGAAATAATATTACTAAAAATCAATAAGGACATGAAAACAAAACAAAAATATGATTTTTTTTAAATTTAAAAACAGCACTTCAACGGGAGATCAACAGGAAAACTATTAGGGCATTGATTGCACAGATAATTATTTACCACGGACCATATGGTCCCCAGCCACGATTCGATGATGGTGAACCTCTTGAGAAATATCCGTGATTTTGAACAGGAGGCATTTCGTGCCCTCTTGGCGGCGGCAGAATTCCTCTTCCTCTCATCATTGGATGACCTCGAGGAGGAGTGTATGGACCAAGTAGGCTTCCACGCATTGGCGGTCCTCCCCGCATTGGTGGTCCTCCACGCATTGGTGGTCCGCCTCGCATTGGTGGTCCTCCCAGCATTGGTGGTCCTCCTCGCATTGGACTACCGCGAAAATGTGGTGGTGGAGGCGGTGGAAACCCACGCCCACGAGGAGGCATTCCTGTAAATAGAACTAGATGAATAAAGAAATTTTTTGCGCTACTGCGGAAAATTGGCTAAATGTCAATAAAAAATGACAGGGATCTGGCCAAAAAAAACTGAAAGTGTAAATTTATGGTCTAAGTGTTAGAATAAGCTAAAGATACACACCGTATATTGAGACCAATTCGTAATTTTTAAATGTTTTGGCATTTAGCCAATTTTCCGCAATCACACGATGTCGAAAACAGATTTGACAAAAAATGTAACCTCTTGGTGGATAAAACATCGGAGAACCACCTCTTCCTCTCATTGGAGGACGTTTAGGTGGCATGTACTCATTATATGTATGGGCGGGTCCGTTAGAATACTCATATTGAAGACTCATATCATTGTCGTAGTCGAAATTCATCCCATCATTTGCATCCAGATCAGCTTCAGGAGATTTTCTAAATTAGGATCTGTATATAGCGGATAAAAGATCAATTAAAAATTACTCTGCATTAGACATATCAACATCTGGAGGAGGCGGAGGCGGCGGCGGAAGAAGTAAAGACGACGCGGCTGGTAGATTAGGAGGCGGTGGCGGAGCTAAACCGACACCAAAATACTAGCAATTTTTGCATTCTTACCTGGCGGTGGTGAAACGCTGAACAACGATGGTGGCACAGGTGGTTGACTAACATTAAACACGGGTGCAACAGGTGGAGCTAGTGGATTCGACAAATCTGGTGGCGGTGCTGGTGGAACTGGTGGCGGAGGCATCATTGCCAAATTGAAAGAAGGAAGCTCTGCTAGAGGCGGTTGAGGAGGAAGCGGAAGAGAATTTTCAGCTAGTGATTTCATTTGTTTCTTTCCCAATTGTGGATCCACAATATTCTCATTTTCGATTTTCTCCTCATTTATTGGCGAATCATTCGCTGAAAATTACAAATTAGTACTTGAGAATATTAGAAGTTTGATATTATGGCTTTATTTAGACTGACCCTCTTCTCCATATTGCTTTTCTGTCGAAAGATTTGCATGATCATTAAACACACGGCTATCTTGATCTCGTATCTGAAAAAAAAACGTCAAACGAAACATAAATTATTCAAAAACATGCCTGTTGATTTAACGTTTCATCATCAAACCTATCATGAGATGGAATTGAATAACTTTGTAGATTTCTGCAGAAACAATATTTTTCAAATGTTTTCTCATAATTCCTACATTTGCGAATGTTGCGTTCGAAAATCTTGATCCGTTTTCTCAAATTGCTCTTCCTGCGATGTTTTGTGGTATTCGCCCATTTGGTTTTCGAATCTAATTCTCTTATCCTCATCAATTCTTTCAAACTCAATTTCTCTCCTGAACTCCAACCGATCTTGTCGGAAATTAGACATAGTAGACGGCATTTTGTTTTTGAAGGGAGTTCCCAGGAGAAGCTCTTGAGGAATTGGTGCAACCATTCCACGCTGAATCGCATCATCGACAATTTCGCGATCAGATTTCTCGCCCATAATGAAAGATGGCGGAATGTGCGGTACTCCTGACATGACGTGCGGAGTATTCTGTACAATCGGAGGTGGAAATGAAGGATCGAATGAAGGGCCTGGCATCATCAAGTTCTGCGGAGGATGTGAGAAACTAGGCACTGAAACAATAAGATGATATTATTGAAAACAAACCAATAAAATTACTTTGCAGTGTCGGGACCATTTGGATTGGGGTAGTCATGTTCATTGTCTGCAAAAAAAAACAAAATCATATTTACCCTGTGATCACTGGTCGAAATATCGAGAAGAACCTTGATTTAAAAATCTGTATATACGTAGAAAAATCTTACAAATTCAGTGTTTTTGCAATATTATTTCAATGGAAGCAATTTTTAAGCATTTTCACGTTGAATTATTCAAATTAGCTTACAGTTATTGGCAGTGCAGGTGGATGAACTCCTTCGGTAAAAACAGGAATGGCTGGATCGAGATTATTCGAAATTCCCTCTCCAGTATTTTGCTTATTTTTCTCTCTCCTGAAGGTAAACAATTAAGTAAACCGAATATGCTCAAATTGCTAACTTTTTCCTTTTCTCAATCTGTATTTTTTCCGCTATCAAGTTCGAAACAGTGGCGCGATCCTCCGAAGTCACATCGGGATCATCCATGAAATCCTTTGTCGAATCCAAAATATCATCTAAATCGAAATGTTTCACTTAAGTCTAAAAAAACACCCAACTTATTCGTTCGGTTGTTTCAATTATTCCAAGAATAATTCGCGTCTTCGTCGCCGAAATTGATATTCGACGTAAAACTGCGTCACTATTATTGACATCAGCTTGATGTAAGTGATTTTCTAGAACGAAAGTGGTTTAAAATTATTCGAATATTTCACTACTACTCGAAGGATTTTCCACAGGTGGCGTTGAAGCCTTCTTCGGTGTCGTATTGCTTCCTTCGCTGCTTCCCCTAGGACGCCTCCAACTTTCGACGCCTTTTCCTCTCCAAGTGTCATCAATAGGCGACAAATTCCTAATTTACAGTAATGAATTAGCCAATTTAATACAATTTAAAAACCTCCATGATGGCGTTACTCGCTTCTCCTTCTCCATTTCGTGTAGCTGTTTTCGCATTTCTACGTCGGACATTCGAACACTTAATATTTAAATCTTATCAAACTCCATATTATTGTTTAAACATACGCATATTTGAATTGAGAAGCAAACTGCGGTTTTATTATAAAAATGAGCAAGAAACAGTCCTCCATTGTTCCGACATTATATTGTATTGGTGCAATTGTATCTAAAGTTAAATGAATTGCCGAGTTGGGCGCTTAGATTATGATTTTTCTATTGATCGAATCATTCAAAATAATATCGTCATAGCTTCTTTTTTTTTAATACGTATATCTCAAAATTTAAAGTCTACCATGTAAAATTTCTGATCCGCGATGCGGATAAAGAAAAACTGAAAGGATATCGCCATCCTTTTTATATTTCCACTGTGATACCACATCCTCATTAATATATCGCGTCAGATGTTCATCGAATAAACTTTTGTCATCTGCAACGAATTTCGCCTGTTACCAACTGGTGATCATGTCGTTTCATGAATACCTTCAGGTTCTATTCGAAGAACTGCTATAGCACACGAATTATGATCATTCATCGCACGATGTGATTCCATCAAAAAACCTTGAACATCGTGCGGCTTCTAAACAAAATAATAATTACTAATTAGATAATCCCGAATATTTGCTCACATCCAAAACCATCGTTCGATTTTCGCATGAGAAAAGAAACGTTTCCATTAAACCACGATTGTTCGAAGATTTGGGAAAAATTGGAACTGCTTTCAAAGCGATTTTCCTATTTGAAAACACCCCACGGAAATTCAAAATCCATTGTCTGAAAATTAAAAATATTTTATTAGCTTCAATTATTGACAGATACCGTTCAGTTGACTTGGGAGAAAAACTATGACTTTTGGGTCTCTGAAATAATTTTTTCAAATCAAAGCTGAGAAGTCAATAAAACTAACTTCATATGATCTACCGGGTCGGTTATATTCGGGACCATCAATATTATCATACGACGGCGAGGCTCCGCCCCCGTTGTAATCGTTGTCGTCATCATAGAAAGAATGAGCAGTTGCAAGTTCTTCATCCTGATGCCTCTTTTGTTCTCGCATTTCGCGCCTTCTTCTGTTCTCCCTATCATGCATTTTGCTCTTAAAAAAAAAGAGAATTTTCAAAAAAAAAATCGAAATAATACTACCTTTTCCCTAATTTCCATCAATTTCTTCGCTTCGGCCTCCTTTCGAATCTTTTCAGCGACCATCTTTTTACAAATATCGCAATATTTTGAAACATTGTGATACATATGCTCGGAGGTTGTATCGCGTGTATCGTCACCCATAATCGAATCAAGAGGCTGAAATATTTATTAATTTTCCTCGATTATTACTATCAAATAATAAAGAAACTAACAACATGTGCAATTGCGTTTGATGATTTGCCTGGTTTTTTCTTGGCATCCGACTTTTCTTGCCCGCAATATTGTTTGAGTTGAGCACAATCCATTGCACCAATTTTTTCAGGAGCAATTTGATTTAACACCACACTCTTAACAAACTGCAATTTAAATATTAATTAGAATGAGGCATTTGCCAATTAATTTTTTACTTCGTTTTCATTGCATTTCACGATGAATTGAAGTTTCCACATTCGATAGGAAGCATTCAAGGAAATTTTATCGCTGCGTTCGTATAACCTTTCTTCGATTTTTGTCGCAATACGTTTCACATCATCTTCTTCAACTTTAAAATTTAACTTCATTGCTCTAAAACAGTACAAATTTGAATATAGTTTTTGTCAATAAATCTGAAATACTTTTCGAATAAATTTTTACAAAATGTATCTCTCGCTTCTGCTCTAATCGATGCTTCATCAATTTTTTTCTTCGGAATCGGTCGCATATTTCCCAGGATTTCGCTTTTAGACACGCTTCGCTTCATTGTTATATCCTTCGCCGAATTCTTTTTGCGGTCTAGATTTGAATTAATAAATTAATATGTAGAAAACAAAACTAACCAGGAATGGAATGTGATGGACTTGAAGAAGAAAAAGGAATATAATTAGGAGAGAGTAGAATAAATGATCTCAACTCTCTTGCGTACAATCCGGCATTCAGTGTCTCGCCAGTACGGACATTCATCACTGTTATCGTTTCGGCATCTGGATTTGCCTAAAAACATATTTTAATTAAAAAGTGATAAAATTCACCTATTTTTTAAATATGCAAAAAACTTATTTTTTTTACATGTTTTAAACCTGTTTCTTGAATATTGTTTTACATGCATATTTTCAAATCATTCGTTTTGTTCCGAGCAGCACATCACAAGGTTTTGGCAGGACTCATTTTCCTGGTCCCCCCTTTGCGTTATTCTAACTAATCAATAGAACTGACCTTCAACGTATTGCTGACATTAGCAGCAATGCATTTGACAGAGCAAAAATAGCTGAAGCTGCCGAGATATTTTTGCCAAATTTCTAATGGAACACTCTCTAATGATCGATTGCAGTGGTAGCATTTGCTGAAAATGCACATTTTTTTCGAAATTGATCTTATAATTCCTATATGAATCTACTTTCGTAAATGATCGTCGGTTGGTCTCGCATTCACAGGCGGCCTCCACTTTTTTCTTGCTTCTTGGTACAAACTAGAAAACGGAAGTTGGTAGCATAAAAAGAACGGACAGGCATCAGAATCGCACGTCAACAGCATTTCCTCTGAAATGAAGCAAGTGTGAGAAATTCGAGTTGAAATATCCAATGAATACCAGGGAATTTTTTGAGCTCTTCCTTGTACTCTTCAGGAACTCCATATTCTTTAAGAATGTGTCGCAGATCGTCAAAAGCGAGAAGTTCTTTGAGTTCATTTTGTGGTGCAATAATACAGTTGAACTCTTTCTGTAACTGTCTTCGATCTTTTCCGGCCACACTCTTCACTTTCGCCGACGAGTATTTCGATTTATCTTGTTCCACTTGTCTCAATTTTCTGACTGGTGGGGTAGAATACGACACCGAAGGTTGTGAAATCCTAAATCTCATAATTTAAGAAGCATTATTTTTCCTTTCTCAAACATTTTTGGTGCTTCTTCCTCTTCTTTCTCACTATCTGTAGCACTTTCTATTACTATATTTGGATGTCTCGTCTCTTCATCGTCAGATTCCAGAATGCTCCGTCGTTTTCGCTTCCGAACCGCCTCATTCGCCTTCTTCTCATTTTCAGCTTCACGTTTCCGCCGTTTTGCAGCTTCATCTTCAGCTCGTCGATTCTTCTCATCTTCCTCCTTCTGCTTATTTTTTATCTCCTTTTGACGCCTTCTCTCTTCTTTCAATGCCTTCTTTTCTTTTTCTAATTCAACTTCGAGATTTCTCCTAGATGATTTAAAAATTTTTTGTCTAATTAAAAAAAACTTACATTTCCTGATTTTCAGATTTCTTGGTTTTTGCATTATTTTCTCCAGTTTCCTCATCTCTCTTGCTTTTTTTGATATTCGTTTCAGCTTCAATACCATTCGTTATCACTTTTTTCTTTCTTGGGTCCTTTTCTTTAATTTCAACACTTTTGTCTATTTCCTTTTCCTTCTTCATCTTCTTCTTTGTTGAACTTCCTTCTGTGTTTACTGTAGTTTCAACAAAACGAGAATCGCGTTTTTCTCCAACAATACTCGAGTTCTTCTTCGATCGATCAACATCTGAATATTCAAATCATATTCGCAAAACTATACATTTTCCACATACTTCTACGTTTTCTGTTCAACGTTTCAACTTTCGCTTCATTGCTTTTCCTGTGCTTCTTTGTCGCCGATTTTTTGAAAATTACTTTGAATTTTGGAATCTTTAAAAATTCAATCAAAATAAAAAAAAAAGAAAATATCACGTACTGAAGAATTTACGGCATTTTGAATACGACCTACGTCATCCTCAGACAACGTAGCTACCATAAATGCGTCATTTTGCATCTGGTTGAGCTGAAAACAATATTAATTCTGGAACAAAAAATAATATTGAGATAGTACAGAAAACCGAAGTAAACGATTGAAAAAATTAGATAACGTGATTTAAAAAATTAAATAATTCATTATCACAGCCGTTATTCAGAGAGGAATGTGTTTTCTTTTTTCAATCAGAATCAGAAAATGAGGATATTGAATCTGAATCAGATGAGTGTTCTGGGACTAATGCAACATTTTGTAAATCTTCTACTAAATCGTCTCCGTGTTCAATTATGTCAGGATTCGCATTTTCAGACTGCATTTTGAGACGAACAGCCTGTTCAGGTACTCCCTGAAAAAAAACTCGTTAATTGAAAATCTGATACTTGATAAACCATTTTAAGCATTTTAAAGTATTTCTCATAACGTGGATCTTCGCGATAACGCAATTTCGAACTATTTTCTGTTGATTCTTTTTCTATTAATTCGTCAGGGCGTAAATCCGTTTCTTCAACCTAGGCAATTGATTTATTATTTTTTTCGTTTTGGTGAGCAGTTATTTATACCGGAGTTTCTGTTAGCGCAGAAGTCGAAGGCGTCATTTTAATATCGTTAGTATCAGCCGCAATTTTGATTTCCTTTGCATTGTCTTGAACTATTTTATGATTTTCAAGTTTTACGGTCGATAACTAGAAGCTTGAATATTTAGATCATCAAGCATTAAATGGAAATAGGACCTTAGCTTCGAGAAGTCTTAATTTTGTATCCACGTCTCGCAACTGTTTTTCAGCTTTCAATAGCGTATCTTCCATATTTTGCGCAAAGTTATCAAGAAAACTTTTCATTCTTAATATTACGCAGTTAATGCTCACTGCTGTTTTTCTCGGATCAATTGGCCGATACTGAAAACCGACGATAAATCGATTTTTCCGAAACAAAAGTTACCTTTGATAAGTCGACGTTCATCATAAAATTGTATCTTAAAACTTTATCAATTAAATTATTTCGGCAATGTAAAGGTAATATTCTGTATAAAAACAGTATTAACAAATAAGTCAAATAAATTGAGAAAATACTTTAATCAATGGAACCAAAAACAAAATAAAAGTTAGAAATACAATAATAGTTATACAAATTTGACATGATATTGCTATTGAAAAAGGCTAAGTGATATCGCGAACTTGTATTTCCTCAATTGGTGATATTATATTTTCAGCGTTTGGACGTCGTCTTGGTGTGCTTTCTAGCGAACTTTCGCTGCTCGGAACAGCGGATCGATCAAGAACTTTACCAAGATTCAATGGAGGAAGACGATCTTCCGGAACAAGAAGCTCGTTAAGTGTTTCGACCATTGGAACGATTTCTTTGAGTAAAAGCTTTAAAAAAATGTATGAAATTGGGGAATTTGAGGGATTTACCTCAATACGAATAATTTCATTATGAATGTCACTCAAACCCAACAAAGATTCGACAAAATCATCGTAGATTTGTTTTTGCGTTTTTACAGTTTTGTACAACTTCGTAACACGATTTTCGACCTAAATAGAAATTTTATAAACAACAATTATAGTAAAATCTTACTTGTTTGGTCAATGTTGGGATTTTACTTTGATCAGCAGTTACAGATTTTGCACAAATATTCAAGTGCTCTTGGAATCGATTTGCTAATCTTTAAAAACGTCGATTTATAGTCCATTTTCTTGTGGAAACTTACTTGAAAAATGGACGCGAGCTCAATTTCTGTGCTGAATATGTTGTGCTATTACTGGTGTCCTTTTTGCCAAGAACTGATGGAATGATAGGCAGAAAACGGGGAATTTCCTTAAAAATGACTGATTTGGCACGCTTAATGCGAAAATCCATAAAAAGAAAGTTTTTTTAAAGCTTTTATAGTTAGAAAATGCGAAACTCGCTTTCAACAGTTTTCCAAACGAGACCTAAGACGATAATTCTAAATCAATCGCGCACCGAATTCATCCGTCCACGACAATACTAAAACTTACACAAAAACGTTTATATATTTCGTCATCTTCAATTGTTTGTTGAGGATGAACACCGTCTTTGACAACGACAATACCTTTTGAACGCTTAGTACTTGCTGAAAAAAGATAAACGTTGAAATTGAAATGTTAGTAACAAACTTCTTGCTAAAAATGAAAAAGAATTTGAATTTGACTGTTGAGAACTGGTGCTGGGAGATGCCGCGCTTTGTTCGTTACCCATGGCGTTATTTAATTAATTGAAGCGGGTTCCGGATCGTTAACAGGTCCCATTTGAATTTGGTCAATACCAGTCTCTCGCCAGGTCAAGTTTGGATCCAAAACTGGCTCCTGACGAACGCTTCCCGGAATAGTATCTGCTTCAATATCAGGCTCAAAGTCTCTCGAGATAATCACCTCGTCCTAAAATAGGCGGCAAATTAAATCTACTTTATCGAAATGTTTACTTTAGGTAATCTTTGAAATATCCACTCCTTGTCCCACTTCAAATAAGTATGATCGATTCGGACTTCAGATGGAACGAAAGACATACGAACCAATGTACCCGGCTATATCTGTAATAATTTAAAAAAATGCCATATGTTCAGCACAAAAACTTCCTGCACAAAATAAGATCGTAGATAACCGAGAATTAAAATTACACGCAGTGAATTTGAAATATAAACATATTTTTGTTTGCTTTATTTTTAAAAACAGTTTCGGCTGGGACAATCGAAAAGAATTGTAAAAAAATGAGAAAAGCGCATAAGAATTACTTGTCGATATTCATCTTTTCTCCAATATAGGCAAGTGCGCTCCACTGCTATGGCCTGGAATTCAAAATCCCGGCCATCGTACAAACGCTCCCGATCTCGGCAAAAATTAGATTTCAGCAAATTGTGCCGTAGAAACAGGGTGAAAACAAAAATTTGCAATCTCTCACATTCGCTCATTATATAATATTCTATTTCACCAGCGTTTCTCCAAAACACTCTATTCGCCGTCTATTTTACGGGGCAAATTCCTGAAGTCTAATTTCGCAAAATTCTTTTTTTTTAATATTTGGTTTATTTATAGCGCTACACAGATTATGGAAACAGTTAAAAAATATATATATACTAAAAAAACCTAAAAATCAAGTGAAACTTGAAAAAAAACTCTTACTTTTTACCCAGTTTTTTTTTGTTTTGTTTTTCAGCTGTGTAGTTTCATTATGGTTGTGGTTATATTTAACTATATGATCAACAATTTTAACAGCTTGTAAATGTTTTTAAAAGTAAAATTTGCAGCCAAATACGATTAATGATTAGGTGATGAACAATCGGCATCCTTCAAAACTAAACGTAAGTTTTTCGTTACAAAAAATAATAAATTATTACTCATTTTCAGAGTTTCACTGATCTTAATGAAATTGGACGCGGTGGTTTCGGAGTTGTTTATTCAGCGAAACGTGAAAATGGAGAAAAAGTTGCTCTTAAAAAGGTATTTCCACAAGCTAAATCGATATTATTTATGTTTAAGATTGATGGAAGGGTTTCGAAGGATAGAGTTTGGAATGAAATCAAGTCGATGAGATCCCTTAAACATCGAAACATTGTTGAGGTATTAATGAGAAAAGAATAGTTAAATTAGCCATTTTTGCAGTTCTATGAAGATTTTATCGAAGCTGGAGACACGTACGTTGTTATGGAATTATGTGAGCACGGTTCTTTGAGATCGTACGTCAAAACAAACGGTCCACTGCAAGAGCCAATTGGTTTGTAATTTTACTTATTTATAAAGAATTATAATTTTTTAGCTGCTCATGTTCTTCGCCAATTAATTTCGGCAGTTACTTATATGCACAGAAGAGGTGTTTTACACCGTGATTTATCCGCTGGCAACGTTTTCATTAAATCAATTAGAAGAGGATTTTTAACAGTGGTCAGTTTTCGAATGAAAAAAGTCATTTTAAATTTAAGATTTTAAGAAATTAGGTGATTTCGGCTTAGCAACTAATTTACGGCAAGGTGAGACAGCTTGTACAATTGTAGGAACGCCAGGATATATTGCACCGTGAGTATAAAATAAATTAGGCGATTTATAGTTTTTATTTCAGGCAAGTATTTAATCAAGATTACGACCAAACCGCAGATGTGTTTTCTCTTGGTGGTGTTTTGTACACAATGCTGACAGCTCGAGATCCACCGAGCAAAGGAAATGTTGTGCTGAATGGTCTTAACTCGAATGCTGCCAACCTTATCGAACGGATGATGCATCAAGATGCGAAACGACGTATTGGGTTAACTGGTAAGTAAAATTTCCGATGAAATTGGGTAGCTTTTTTTTATTTTTTCATACGATGCAATATTTCAGAGATCACCTTATCAGACTTCATGCGTGACATTGACGAAGAGGGTGGAACGATGTCTCGCGAATATTCGACGGAACGTCGTCTATTAAGCCGAGAGCGGAATCGGAGTACCGAGAGGAATGCATTGTCTCGAGAAGGTCGTTCCGCTGAGCGGTGTTCTCGTGATCGTCGTGGTGTCTTACGCTCAAATAGCCAACCTGTATATCCGCGTCGAAATTCAGTGTCCGAACGACCGAACGTAGCTGTTCATAATCGAGTAGGATAAGAATTTGAGATTTCAAGATTCTGATCGAAATATTTTAGCTTCCATCGACATCGAACTGTCAATCTAATGATAAGTTGTGGCCGATGAATATGGAAAGATGTGCCGGTCAAAAAGTTCGAACGGCAGGTGGAAGAGTAAGCTTTTTTTAGTAATAATATTGTCGACGTCAAACGACTGGTGAGAGGTGCGTCGAGAAAACGAGAAGTACGCGAGACTGCGAGTAGTTTGATATACTAATTTCCATTTCTCTCGTTTTTTTTTGAGATTGTAATATTTATTTTTTTCTTTTTCAAACAATATTTTCAGTACATAGTGGAAAGCGATTTTCGAGCTCGATTCGAAGTGGCTGCCAAAGGAGATGTTATTCATCGAATTTTGATTGTCGAGATTGACACTTTCCAAAAACAAAAAGTTTTTGTGCACAAAGTTGCTGATCGAAGAGAGAAATGTCGCAGTGAAAACGACGAACTCATCGAGTTAACAAGTTCGCCAAATGTCTATCTTTCGTAAGTTGAAATAATTTATGCATTGTTTTTCGTTTTTCACTGTTAATATCCTGGAGCTGTTCTTGGGGTTGGACAGTGGTCGCATCCACCACTTGCTCCTGGCTCTCCTGGTGGTCCTGGCTGTCCTGGACGACCAGGCTGACCGTCTTTTCCATCTCTTCCTGGCTCTCCAGCTGGTCCTTGTTCTCCGTCTTGTCCAGGAGTTCCCGGTGTTCCTGGAAGACCGTTTGGACCCGGCAATCCTGGTGGTCCTGGCTGCCCTGGTGGTCCCTGCGCCACATTCACTTCGTCGCATTTTCCTGGTTCCCCGTCAGTTCCCGGTTCTCCAGGTTCTCCATCCTCTCCCGGCTCACCCGGTTCTCCCACGTCTCCAGGCTGTCCTGGAAGCCCTGGAACTCCTGGCAATCCATCTTTTCCATTCTTTCCATTTGGTCCTTTTGGTCCTGGTCGGCCTGGTGGTCCTGGAGGTCCTTCTGGGCAATCATAGCACGGGGTTGGAACATCTCTTCTTGGCAGATCTTTAGCATCAGTACCATCAGGTCCATTAAGTCCTGGTTTTCCATCCCTTCCGTTTCTTCCGTCTTCTCCTGGAGGTCCTGGTGGGCCAGGTCGGCCAGATTTGCACGAACAGCATTGACCGTCATCTGATAGGGTGGATGCTTGGTTGCTGAAACCACTTTCTGGACCACTGTGCACTGAAAATCGAAGGTTATTTCTTTTTAATGAAGTAATTGTTTTACCTTCTCCGAAATCATAGCCTGTTTGCCTCTTTGCAACAATCTTCTTAGCTCGCACACCGGCATTCATTTGCATTCGCTCGTATTGAATGAAAAGACCTGTTGTGCGATGTCGACAAAAGTCAATCTTTAATAATATTTTTCTCATTTTAAAGTTTTTTTTTAAAACAAACCTCGCTATGAAGAGTCGTTTGAATATGCTGCATATAATTGTACAGAAGAGGTATCGCGATAATACATGTCAACGTTGAGACAGTGCTTTAAAATGAAAATGACTAGACTTCAAAAATAACAGGAGCAGTAATAAACCAACCTGATGCAAATTCCGAAGAATGCGATTTTGCGCGAAACTCCAGCTTCGTAATTCAGCTCCTTCTCGTCCATGTTGACGCAGTCTTATCTTTCTCCGTTTCATTCCAACTTTATATACCGTTCGCCCTTCCTTTGTCTTTAGCACTTATCTCCGCATGTGTTTTTATGCCGCTATGCGCATCGCTACACGGTTCGAAAATCGCATAAGTTTTTTTGTAACTGTTCTTCATCATGTTCGAAATGGGATATAGTTTTTCGTCGATTTAATAGCTTTGCTAAATTAAGGTCAAAAGCGGCTTTATGATATGAGCGGTGTTTGTTTCATGACATTTTGCGTAAGACCATTTGCATAAAACAAGGATATCGTGTAAATGACACAGAATTGGTTTGCATTTGTTTGGAGAATTGGATAATTTCGCATGAATGTTTTTAACTAGCTAGACATATTGCGAAATTATGTCGTTTCAGATTGTCTCAATTACCCAAAGATGTCTATAACGACTATCTTCGGTTGTCGAAAATGATATCGGCAACAATTCGGAGTCGAGTTCCGAAAATTGTGCACCGAAGGCCTTCACAATTTCCTGATGCTGTAGCTCAACTCATGGAAAACGGCGATTTACGTATTAAATTTTCCAGATGTGAGCTTTTTTATTCGTATTTTCAAAATTTTATTTTATATTCAGCATTAATTATTCGTAAGGTCGACACTGGCGAGGTTTTCAACTGCATTGATGGACTGATGAGTAAACGAGAAAGTGTCACTGGTTATTTTTTCTTTTTTGTTTATACTACAGTGCGCGTCATAATGATACGCCACCCCCCAAATTTCGCAGTTTTGAGAAAACCATATAAATTGGTGACAAGAAAATTTCATTTTCGAATTCAGGACCATTGAAAACCTATACACGCGTATTTTCATCAGGGTCCGTTGATCCATATCCGCACAGCCCGAAAAAGTTGGATTTTCAAGCGCGTCATAATGATACGCCACCCCCTATTTTTTTGTCTTTTCTTTCGGCATTTTTGCATGTTTCTCGCTGATTTTTCTGTATTTTGTATAATTTTTCAACATTATTGTCTTTATATTATCCATCGAGCGATCGTCCGTTTTAGTTTTGGCTTGAAATCGGGCCGAATTCGGGCCTTCGAACAACTTCGTTTTGTTTAAGGACTAAAACGCAAGAAAAAGTCTAAATAACCATAAGACAACAAGTTTGAATGCGAGAACACAACAAATTCAATAGTTAGTAGTGTCTCCATAGTTTTTGATCACTTCACATGTTCGATTTCGCATTCTGTCGGCGAGTTCCTTGAGGTATGCAAGTGACCGACTGTTCCATTCCAGTCAAATTGCGGCCTTCAGCTCATCAAAGGTTGGCATACTGCTTGGTTTGTGAGCGAACGGAACGTTCAAGAAGCCTTCAGACGTTTTCGACGGGATTGAAGTTGGGGAGCTGGCTGATCCATCCAAAAGTTTGATTTTCTTTCTTTGAAACCCAATTGAAGATGCGGTCGCTCTTGTGAATGACTGGATTGTCTTAATGGAATTAGTGAAACAAATTTAAAAGCTATTTCGTAACTACGTATACAGTTAGATTTTCGAGAACGTCCGATACCATCCTTAATCAGCTTGACATTCTGATTGAGTTATACCATAATGCCAATTTGGGCTTTCCCATGTGAGCTAATGTAAGAGATTTTCCGCGGCCGATGATTATGAGAAGGATAAGTGAAAATAGTTTATAAGTGAAAAATTATCGGCCAGGCTGTCTGCACACGAATGCATGCAGTATGCCAACCTTTGATGAGCTGAAGGCCGCAATTTGACTGGAATGGAACAGTCGGTCACTTGCATACCTCAAGGAACTCGCCGACAGAATGCGAAATCGAACATGTGAAGTGATCAAAAACTATGGAGACACTACTAACTATTGAATTTGTTGTGTTCTCGCATTCAAACTTGTTGTCTTATGGTTATTTAGACTTTTTCTTGCGTTTTAGTCCTTAAACAAAACGAAGTTGTTCGAAGGCCCGAATTCGGCCCGATTTCAAGCCAAAACTAAAACGGACGATCGCTCGATGGATAATATAAAGACAATAATGTTGAAAAATTATACAAAATACAGAAAAATCAGCGAGAAACATGCAAAAATGCCGAAAGAAAAGACAAAAAAAAGGGGGTGGCGTATCATTATGACGCGCTTGAAAATCCAACTTTTTCGGGCTGTACGGATATGGATCAACGGACCCTGATGAAAATACGCGTGTATAGGTTTTCAATGGTCCTGAATTCGAAAATGAAATTTTCTTGTCACCAATTTATATGGTTTTCTCAAAACTGCGAAATTTGGGGGGTGGCGTATCTGTATTTTGAAATAATTGGTTTTTTTTTTAGCCGCAACTACCTCAAAAGTGAACGAAGTTTATTCATTTCTAGTTCAATTTGAGAAATGTTTACTAGGAATGGGTCCCAAAATGGCGTATCCCATAGTTTTCAGCGTTGGTGCTAATATGTAAGTTAAAATTTGAATCTATTTAGGATTATTTCAAACATTTCAGATTGAATGGATGTAATAACTCGCCAGATTCTTTAGCACCTTCTACAAATACTCAGTCACGATTCGCATTTAGTAATATTTCTAATTTTCCTTCACAGGTTTTTTTCTTAGAAATTTCCTAACAATCTATTGTTAAATCTAGATGCCTCGTTCTGCGCCATGTCTTGTCGGAAGAAACGCAATGTCTGCATCAGGTTCTTTGAAAAAAGAAGATATTCCACCAGCACCGAAGTTCAAATTCAAACTGGTTGAGCTGGTTTCAATAATATTTGATGATTCTCTAATTTCAGAATAAAAATAATCAATTTATCGCAATTACCGCCGCTGATGGAAGATTATTGAGACAATCGACTCGAGATCCGTCGGAGTTTATCTTCACTGATCCAGCAATTCGGTCCGAAGAAATCAGGTTTGTTATCGTTTTTTGATAGTCGGAAAAAATAGAAAAAATTAAATATGCTAAAGAAATATATATATATATATGATGATACTTAGATTCCGAAGAACTCAAAAACCACCGGATCGCGCTGCAGAACTTTTGCGCAATTTGTTGCCAAAACTCTCTATTAAATAACTCGTTTTCTTTTGTATTTTCGTAATTATATTGCTAGAGTCAGTCTGTTAAATAATTTATATAATTCGTTTTTTCTTCTTTCACTCGGGTAAATTTCTCCATTCTTTCCATAATTCTTTTATTCGCGCTTTCTTCTTTTTTTTTTGATTTTCTAATGTATTTTAAAGCAATTCTTGTAATATTCACCATTTTTTCTTTGAATAAAATTTTATTATTTTTCATACATTGTTTAGTCATCTTTTGGTTTGTGACCGGCCATTTGTACTTTTGCCCTTTTTAATAGAATTTTTTGTTATGTGACATAATTGATTCAGATGAGGTTTATTCGCCATCATCAGTGGTCAAATTCGGAACGACTTGATCTTCTTAATATTTGTTCTGATGACTCTATTCCAAAAGATTGGTTTGTTTCTTAAACTCGTTCGAACAAATAATTCAAAAAAATTATAACTTAAGGGGTTTGAGAGCAGCCGAAATGGTTAAAAAATATGCAGATCTACCGATTTGTCACTTTTTCACGGCCAAGGTTCGTTTTTTTTTAAATAATTTTCTGGTTTATTGATTGATTATCCGTTCGTTTTTGGAAATCGAATAGTTGCTGTTAAAATATATTTTTAGACTTGTCATGCGGAATTTGAGAGAATCCTTTCATCGCCGTGTCCTGGAATAGAACTTGTCACCAATGGACAATACTCTTACAGTCACAAAGTACAATTTAATAATTTAAAAAGTAGAATTTTAACTCATTAATTTCAGGTGATCATGGAGAAATGGATTGCACACTATAAAAATGAAATTGAGGAAGAATGTGCTAAGAAAACCGAATTAGCATTGATTGAAGTAAATATTGAAGAAAACTTCTTTAGTTTGAGATGTAATGTTTTTAGATGAGAAGATATACCGCACTTCTTGAGAAAGTTCTTAATAACAAAATGAGTCTTGAGGAAATGGAAAAATTATTAGAACAACTAAAGGTTGAAGATCCAAAGGTTTTCTTTATTTTTTCTCTTAAAATATTCTGATTTGTTTTTTTTTTTCAGCGCGAGGATAGTATGCAATTTAAAAGAGTTGTCAGTACTTATTCGAATCGCCTGCTGCACATTTGGAAAGAAGGGAAAATTCCGGTTTCTAATCATTTTCGATAAAACTTGAGTTGAAAACATTGTTCAGACAAATATTACTTGCACACAACTGGCGCCGACAAACCCGCCACCACCTAATGAGACAAACAAAGGATTGTTAACACCGCCGCACACCTCATCGTATGATTGATTCTGTTACCGAAAATGCAATATTTTTGCTTCAGAAGTACATCTACAATCTCTTCTCCAATACGCAGTGTTGCCGATGCTTTGAAAGATGCTGTTCCGATTTTTGTCGAGCCAACTCCGCCGGTTAAAAATGAAAGGAAACCACCGGTTGAACAGGAAAAAATCGAGAAACCACTAAAACCGGATGAGACGGTAGATTCTCTTCGAAGAATTGCAAATTCAAATTCACTTTATTAGGAAGTTAAAGAAGAAATTTCTGAACCGAAAACTCCAGCTGCGGCGGAGACCAAATTAAGAGGAAGACCACGGTCCGGTAGACATTTCAAAAATCCTGAAGATACAGCAAGATCCGAATCTCCTGCATCTAGCATCAAAATGGAAGAGACGTAACGATTAATTTTTTAATTACGTTAATTTTCTATTCTAGTGGAAAACGCTCAAGAAGTGGCACGATTGTGACACCATCACCAACTCCGCGATCAAAGAAACGAGAAAGCTCTGAAGACAAACGGTAATTGTTTTGATACTCACTTACTTTAATTGTAAATTATTTTTTGTAATCTTCAGATCAATAAAATCGGCGGACTCGTTCGAAATTCCTTCGGCACCACTTACTCCTATGCCATCCGAATGGAAAGATGTGGAATGTCAGACTCATGTTTCGATTCAACCTCGGCATCGCTCTTCGACTCCCACAACGGAACGAAGAAAAACGAGCAATGTAACTATTTATACGCATTTTGAAAATTTTCAATCGACGTTTAGTCTGCTCCAGTCCGTAAGAGTTCACGTAGATCGGAAGTCAAAACGAGCGTTCCGCCTACTAGCGAATCGGCGTCTTCTGACCGATTGTGTAATATTGCCTGTCAAACTGGACGCGTTGAATTCGAAAAAGACGACCTTGTAAGTTCTAGAAAGGTTGAATACATTTATTATTTACCATTTATTTCAGATCGTCGTCGATTATGATCCAAATGTAAAATATTTCACAGAAACCGTAATAATTGATAAACGAAAGCGCGAAAAGAAAACGAATGAGGAAACCATTTCTGTAAAATTAAAAAATTTTTCAATTTTTTAAATTGATTTGTAGGAAATTAATAGTGAGAAAACTGATGAATTCGAAGAACCGGCGAAGAGAGGGGCAAAAGCTGATTCAAAGAGAGAATTGACGTTTGTAGTGAATACCGACAGCGTCACTGCTCAACGTATGAAATCATTTTTTTGAAATCTTATTTTTGAATCGAAATTTCTTCAGGTTTGATTGACGAAAAAGGATTTTCGGCAATTATTCCAAATACCGATCAAAATTCTTCAAATAACGAAGTGCCGGCGAAGCGAACCCGAAAAGATGAAAGAGCGAGAGAAGAAGCAACGAATCTCAAGGTTTTAATTGATCGGCATTCCCAGTTTCGAATAACCGCTTCATTCATTTCAGTATCAATTGAATAATATGTGGCGAGTGTTGTCAGATCACAAACACTCTGGTATTTTCTCACATCCGGTTAATGAAAAAGATGCTCCGGGTTACTCTTCTGCGGTTAGACGACGCATGGATTTGACAACTTTGAGAAGGGAAGTCGAGTCGGGAATTGTTACGTCAAAAGTTTCGTTTTTGGCGAGGTACTTATTAATCAAATCAATGGTATTGAATTGAACATTGATTATTTATAGAACGTATAACATGTTTGCGAATGCGGTTATGTTCAACAGCACTGGACATGATGTGAACACATATGCGAAAACGATGGTTAAAGATGTGATGATGGATATTTCTTGCGTGGTTCGTTCCTTTTTAATTTTCGAAAAAAGCAATGTCTTCTTTTAGAGCAACGATGATAGAAAACCAGGAATATCTAGAAGAAGTAAATTTCTTGATGAAGCCCGATCATCGCAAAGATGCATGTCGCTTGAGCCAGAACCTCTCCAATCTCTGGGAACTCCTGGAAAGATAAGAACTTTATTCAAGCGTAAAGTTAATAATCAAGTGTCGAAAGGAAGTTCAAAGTAATAATGTTTTTGTTGATTACTCTGTATTAAATTCCTTGTTACTGTATTTATTTTTGAATATTTTTATAAAATTGTCAATTTTCGATTTGAATTGTTAGCTATCTGTTGTGTTTCCAGTTTTCATACATTCGCTAAATTTTTTTTTAAATAAATGAAATAAAATTCAGAAAGAATAATGAATGCTGATGATTTTTTCATTGAAAGAGCGAGAAGTCAGTTGGAGCGATTATCTAAACAACTGAAGGAATTGGATGAAGAACGGTTGAAAAATTGTATAAATGTTTATTTTTCTTTTTCTTTTCAGAGAAACACTTGAAGAGAATGAATATGCAAAATTACGGGCTATGACAATCGAGCAGTTAGAAGTTATTTTTTAATAACATTCTGTTAACCAAAAACTTAAAAATCGATATGTTTTCCTTCATATCGACTAATTAAATGCTTATTAAATTTTGAAAAGCATTAAAAACTATAGTAAATTCATATTAAATGCGCATGCAAAAAATATATTCACGTCGCGGTAAGATTGATCATTTAAATTTATCGTCTGTCTTAAAAACTTCAAAATGAATAAGTTGAAATTTTGTGGACCATCATAGCTAGTTTTTTTTTTTAAATCAAATGTCGTATTTTTCGTTTTACAGAATTTAAGCAAAACGCTCGAAAAACTAAAGTGTGGTGACATGACTCTTCACGACGATGTTACATTGACTCGAATGGCGATTCGTGCGGCCATCAGCGAAGCGTTTAAAACTCCAGAAGTGATTGCTTTGTTCGCAAGAAAACAACCAGGATTGTTACGAGAAAGACTACTGCTGGTATATTTGCAATACATATAATATCATAGTAGTATTGAATTGTCTAAATTTTCAGAATGATATTAATCTTAAATTGAACAAGTGCACCAAGGCGACCCACAGTGATAGGAAATTAGAAATCCTCATAGCATTGAAGAATTTGAAAGAAAATCTGACTGAAGATGAAAATGCTTTTATTGAAGAAAGAACTTCTCTGCCGTTTTTTAATTTGGAATCTGTTTCATTTAATCGAACTGCAAATACAAACTTATAGATTTTAATTTGTGATTGTTTCGTTTTTAACAGGTTTTCCTAAACCTTTTTAATACTTTCCGTAAATTTCATTCATAGGAAGAAACTCACAAATTATTTAGAACATATGTCTGTTAAAGCACCAGCTGCTACATCGACAACGAATAAAACAAGAGTAATTGTAGTTTGAATTTCACCATGAAAAATTGTTTTGTTTTCAGTATAAATTGGATGATGAAGGAGTTTCGTATCCTTGGAGTGCTTATTTTTCAGTTCGAAAACAAAGAAAATATTATTATAACGTAATAACACATGAATCAACATATGATCATCCTTCAACGAAAAAAGGTATATTTTATATGGGAAAAAGTATACTATCTAAACTTAATTGAACTTATTTAAGTAGAAAATGAAAAAGAGTCTCCGAAGAAAGAATCGGTTAAACGAAAATTGTCACAAGAAGTGAAATCGGACGAAAAAGGCCCGTGCGCTGGCAAAAAATTGGATTCTTCGTCAGAAAGGAATAATTCCTTTCGCGTAATATTCTTATCTGAAGAATAACTTTAATTATTCGTAATTGAAGGCAATTCCTTCTTCTTCTTCTTCAACATCTGTCGTAGCAGATTCAGATGCACCGAAAGTGAAGCGTAAAAAGCGTACACACGATGAAACGGAACAAGTACGTAAAACACTTGATTTTCCCTTATACATAATTAAAGAAAATCAATTTCGTAATTTAGGATATTCCTTCGATTGGCGATAAAGTTAAACCAAATGTTGAATGGTGTGATTTGGTTCATGTTCGTACGGTTTTTCCATACAGGGCATGCGCTATTTTGGACACAAATATTCTAATAGAAGACCCAGATATCGCTGAGAAAACGGAAGAAAGTATGATGAAATTGTGTTTAAAGCGATTATTAAATCAATTTTGTATTTCAGAACAAATTTTAACAGTAATCCCGTACAATGTTGTTCTTGAACTTGACGGATTAAAGAAAAATGAGAATTATTCGGTGCGGCAGAGTGCTCAACACGCGTGTAGAACATTGCAAAAGATGAAAAGTAACAAATCTCCTTATCTTGAATTGGAAACATCTGTTGAGGTAAGCAGAGACTCTCTACTATAGAAGAATCTTCATTTATATTTATTCAGAATCGGATACAAATTTCCTCTTACGTACCCCACTCGTCGAAAGGTGACGACATGATTCTAAAATGCGCAATTCGTGTTCAACAAGAATGTAATTCAAATATTTTATTTATTCATATTTATATATTTTTTCAGTGTTGTCTGTGAAATCAAAATTGCTACTCACCAATGAAAGCATCGTTTTGCTTACAAATGATGTAAATTTGAGATTGAAAGCTCAAGCGCATAACCTATATTCTATTAGTTTAGATGTAGGAATCTGTGAAAAATTATTTTCAGTGAATAAAAATTTAGGATTTTCGGCAAAAGATCACCGAAGATAAATCGGAGACTTACAATCCATATGGAAAGTGTTCGAATGTTCTAAATGAATGTGCACTTGTTAGAAAAGATTCGGTAATCGTTTTAAGGGGGTCATTTTTTCATTAATTCATTTCAGAATAATGTTCCAGATGAACTTATGGACTATTTCAACTCAACATTCAATAATTCTTTGGACATTCCCAATGATGTGGAGAAAACTAGAGAAAAATATCAATCTAACTCGAGAAGAGGAAAATTTAAAAACATTCCGGAATTTCCTGCAAATCAAATAATTAGTCAAATTGAAACCGATAATTATGATGAAGCAGAAAAGATGGAAGTGGATGAAGTGAACCAACGATTAACTAAAATTAAGTTATTTTCATTTTTCAGGTTCCTGTTGTTAAAATGCCAACCATTCCGTTAGTATCAGACTTTGATCTAGATGACATTCCTGCGGTAAAAATTTATCTCAGCAATGAAAAAATAAATTAACTTAATTTAAAGGTAATCCCGACACGATTTCGTAAGAATGATCAAAACAATTATAACGGAATCACAAGAAAATCAAATTATGCCTCTTGGAGCGATAACGAAAAGGCGACCAAAAACTCGTCGGAGATTAATCGATTTCATTCAAATAATTATGGGTACTCGTTAGCATCGACGAGTCTTGAATCATCGTATGCCTTGAACTCGTCTTTTGATTCGTGCCGGGCGGCATCTCCTTCTACATCGGCGAACCAATACAGAAAAACGAAGAAAACGAATAAATGTTCGAAATTATCAACGCCGCCGCCGGCTGAGATCGAATGGATCAGCCCTGTTACTTCAAGCAAACTGTTCGCTAAGAAAATGCGGCCACAAATGCCGTTGTGATTCAATTTTTATTCCTTTTTCATTTTTCTTTCTTAGAAAACGTTAGTCTTATAGAATTGAAAATTAAAGCTAACACATCTAATACGGTTAGTATTCAAACAAATTCCGGGTTTTTTTCACTTACTTCTTGACGAAGGGATACGATTATATTCGAGAAAAGACATTGTTCAAACTTTTACTTAGAATTTTTAAAGCTCTAATTTTCGAATTAAGTGCCCATTGTGTAGAATTTGAACTTCGCCGGTTATTTTCATCGGTCTTTCCTACACTATGTCATTGTTTTTTTTTTCAATATGTGATTCTCCGTCAATTTCCAATCTGTGTTATTGAAATCTCCTGCAATTCCCGATTTTCAAATGTATATTTTTGCTATTCTTGTTTGTTGTCTTCTCTTCTCTATTCTAATTTTCACAACTCAATTTCTTCATTTTTTAGTAATGTAATAGATGATCCCAAGTTTCAATAAATTAAATATATCGAATGGGGACGAAGTCTTGATCGTTTGAACGTTTGCCGAATCCCATTCCGCCCAATGTGTCGAGTTGACTGAAATCGGCGCGTTTTGGTCGCTCCGAACGCTTTCCAAGACCCATTCCTGTAATGCCAAACAAAAATCACTCAATAAAATCAAAATTTTCAGAAAATACCAGCAAGAGAATCGAAAGTGCTCAAAGCAGCACGTTTATCACTACCGTAATCGGCGTTTCTCTTGCCGAGACCCATTCCGGCTAATGTGTCAAATCCGGAAAATTGTTGAATTTGCGACCGCTTTCCCAAACCTTAATGAATTGAATATTTATTTTGAATTATAAAGTAGATTTGATTACCCATTCCACCGAGAGTATCAAACGCGGAAAATTGCGCTCTTTTTCCGAGACCCATTCCCCCTAAAGTGTCAAAAGCGGAGAGTTGAGCTCGTTTGTTCGCATCGAATTTGCTCGCTTCGCGCAATGTCATCGATGAGGCGACGTGACAGATTCCCAAAATGCCGATGATTGGAACAATCATTTTAGCACTCTTGAGTGTTTTACCTTAAATTATTCAAATTGAAAAAATTAACCAAACTAGTGTAGATTGGCAAAGTAAAATTTGAGTGTTCAAAATGCAAAATAGTTATGCGCAAAAAAAATACAGGATTTTTTTTTGTTTTTTATTTAATACTTATTTTATTCCAACAACACGTTTGTTTATTCTGAAATGTTAAGAAAATCTGTGTTATCCTGAAGTTAAGGTTTAAAATCCTGCATTTCTTTTGCCTTATATATATTCGAATTCAAATTTATATCTGTATATATTTATTAATGATCTGACAAACGAAAATCACTAAATATTTTCAATCTTAAATTTTTTATAGGCATCCAAATGACGAAAACAATAAGCTTCTTGACGGGATTCCTTGTCAAATTTTAGAAAAGATACGAATAAACAGTCTATAAAAGAACAGGCTTATGAAAAAAGAAATAATCCTTGAATTGGTGACGTAAGATCTCAACCGACGACCCAAAAAGACGTCGTCATGACTGCGCAATAGTAATTTTTTGAAGGTTCGAAATTGGGTTAACACAAATCCGATAAAGCTAATTGTTTATTATTCGCCACTCTGCCCAAATTTTGGATTACTGTAAGACAGGAACGAATGAAATAATTTATACAAACAATTCGTGCATAGAAACCACAATGGTGTGCATGTTTTCGACAACAATTTGTCATATTATGACTGCTTAGAAACGCGCAATATTTGATATAAACCCTTTTTATTTTATTGTTTTTCTCACATGCGAGTGTTTTGACCGTAAACGAAAAGAGATTACGAAAGTCCACACAACTGGAAATGAATTGGACACAATGCGATAGCTTGATGAACAGTTTTTACTCACAACTTCCTTTTTTCATTTTTGGGCCCGTTCGGACCGTTCAAAAATTGCGTATGACACCCGTATTTCAGGGGTCATCGCGGGCAATTGGGAAAAGTTTTCAACCAGCAATAAACGCACCTCGGCAGAGCCTCATTGGTCACGTTATCCCCCCAGCGCAAAGCTGTTGTCGTCGACCGATGGCCTTTACTCATACTAATGCATATCCCGACAACTCGCGGGTTTCGCATTATGATATGCATAGCATGTGTGAATGTGATATGCTACGTGTATCGCTCAAATGACAAACAAGGTAATTAAATAAAAAGTTTCACCTGACGCCATCAATTTTTATGAATTTCGAAAAGATTTCTCATTTTTACATTGGCATTTCATATCAAGCAGTCGACTGATCCTGCAGTTTGTTCATAATGACGGTATTTGCGGATGGATTTCGAACAAATTCAAAATTTTTGAATAGGATCCGAACTGCTGGATATCGCAAAGAGGACATGAAAAACGGGATAAAACTAAAAAGAAAGGTCATAGCGTATGTTTGATGCGAACTCGAATGAAAAATAATCGAACACTTCAAATTCAGATAGGTAAAAATGATGGCGGTAAAGGCGCAAAAATAAATGTTAGTTCGCGAAGGAAAAAGTCAAAAGAAAAAGTTTCGAAATGTTAAAAATTCGTGTTTCAAACATTGTATAACAGAATGCCAGCCGAATGCTGAATCTACAGCAGTCGATGAAGAGTAAACGAGGTGTTCTACGGAACAAGAAAGTACTACAAGCAATTCATGTAAGTTGAATCGATCGCAGTCGAATTCGGACTGGCTCGTCTTTCCAAAAAAGAGCAGATCGCACAAATGTTTTTGCTTAGTTATTCCACAAAAATGACGATCACGTCATTCAACAAAGATTCAACATTTTCAGAATGCACATGACAAAAAGAAGAAGGAATCTATATTGCATTCGCTGATGAACACATCGTCTCACAATGAAAGGTGAATATGCTGATCATGGAAGCCTTGAGAATGTTTCGATTAAGATCACAAAATTCGAACAGACCAGAACACAGTTTTGGATCAGATGAGCCTCGGCTGAGAGCACAAAGCAGCGAAGGTTTTGAGCACTCATTGATTTCAACACAAAATTAGTATTTTTATAGATTGCGCAGTTCATCGTTTGGATCCAACAACACCCAAGGATCTCCATATAATGACGAGAGAAATCGACGAAGATGACGTGAACAAATTGATGGCGAAATTGAAAGAAAAACCCAAAACCGAAGCTCCGCCTGTAGATTTATAGAGGTTGTCACCGAAATAGTCAAGAGTTCAGATTCAATTGGATGCGAAAACACAATTGGTTTTGGATCGAGTGACACGAAAAAAGAACGTTGTTCGATATATGAGTGGCGAGAAAAACAAAAAGAAAGGCTCATCGAGACAACCAACAAAACACTCGATGCCATCATTGGCAACTCCGGCGAGTGATTCGGCATCGGCAATATCAGCGGTTCGGCTGATTGATCATCGAGAGGACAATGTCAAAACTGCTATGTTTCCTGTGGATCTACACAATTCACCTTCGTTTAGTATGATTGAAGTGAGCTACTGGAATGAATTGAACGATTCGAATCAATTTTGACAATTCATAGGATGACAATTATGATAATGTGCCGAAATTGGAAGAAGTGCTCAAAATGCCGTCCGAAAACATTTTTAGTTTGACCGGAAATCCGACATGGATGGATTATTTGGAACCAACTGAGGAGGATAAGGTGCAACAAATTTTGAGAGTATTTCAAACAATCATTTTTTGAAGGAAGGCGTCGAAGAAGTGTGCCCAGTGGGAAGTGAGCACATCGAAATGTTCCATGAGAAGAAATTCAAAATGAAATCACCACCTGATGGAAAGTAATATTTTGGGAAATGGATTTTGCTTAAAAAAAACAAGAAAATGAATGAAATTCTCAGAATTCAACTCGATCAATGGCTTCCTCTGGCAAAACTGCAAACTCGAGACGAAGTCTATTTCACAAGTGACATCGTCTTCTGCAACACTCTTCGAAGCCTCATCAATGTTTCCTGTACACAATATTTTATCACAGTTTTTTTGATAGTACTAAAATATTGCAGCTGCAAAAAACTTGAAACCTGGAGATAGACCACCCCCAGTGATTTCTTCGAACGAAATGAAGACACAATGTGATGATGAGGCGCTTTCGGTATCGATCTCTGATCCGACGCCTCAAAAATACTACTCATATTCGGTTAGCAGATCAGAATATTTTTGATTTAATCGTAAAACTCGAATAATTTAGAGAGACAATCCAATAGTTTCTGCTCGAAGTCGGACGTTTATCGATAAGACGATTAAATCAAACAAAGAGCTCAATTGAACCGAATAAATATTTAAAAATCTTTTGAAATTTATAATTATCAATGATTTTTTTTTCAAATTTTATTTAAAAACTATTTTTTTTTGAAAACCAATAGAATTACAAATTTGAGAACATTTTTGTTGGTCGATTCCAATTAAAACTGGTGCAATTTCATTAATGATGTGATTTTTGAGCCCCAAAAACTACTCGTTTTTTTTTCAATCGAAAAATGTGTCATCATATTCAAACTGGGAAATATTGGAAGAAAATGAATGAAATTGTGTTGAAAGATTCGATACTTTATATATTTTAAAAGGGTATTATTATGTGGGAGGAGACGAGAGAAAAAAATGTGATTTTTCTCATTTTCTTAATTTAGAATTGAAGAGAAAAACGGAAGGAAAGCGACAATTGAATTTCGGAAATTGGGTGTTAGAAGTGAATAAATCAAGGAAATGGGAAGGCATCGTTCTGATGCTGCCGTCGTCGCCGATTCGATATTCATCTAGTGTGAATTCAATTTAATTGAATAGATTCTTCTGAATGATGGGCTCGGCTCATACGGTAGACGTTGAGTGACATCATTTGGAAAAAGATTTCACTTCTTGAAATATTTCGTCGATTAAGAATGATGAAAAACTCGATTTTTTTAATGACTTTTTTCGGCAAAAGATAAATTGAATTCTCGCTTCTTTTTTAAATATCTCAATTTTTCATATTTCCTAGTGGCTATTTTGATGCAATACCTTTAGGATTTTCAATTTTCGCAATCACAAACAAAAATTTCTTTATTGATTGATGGAATAATTCGTCAAATCAAGCGAAGAAAACAATTCGAAGATCACTTTTCGCGGTGGGACCCACAACGGATACGGTAGTGCGGATTCGCTCGAATTTCTCATTGTTGTCCAATGAAGAATAACCAGAAAATGTTTTGAGTGTTTCGAACCGAAAATGAGAAAACGAAACATATTTATTTGATAAAATTGATGGCATTTTCTTTCTTTTTTTTTGTCGGCTCAAACATCCCGTGAGATTTCGAAAAATGCGTAAAAACTGCTCTGTGCTCTGAATGAAACGTCAGTGAGATGCTCGTTGAAACAAAAAAAACGAATTGAATCGAGAACAAAAATTTAATCGAAATAAGATTTTCGTTGGCGATATGTTGCGCGAGCTCCCCTTGAAAGCATTTAGTCGACCCAATAAGATGCATTTCTCAAATTAGTTCGTTGATCACACCAACACTAATCTCTTCCTCCCATTCTCTCATAATTAAGTGTCATTATGATGCTTGGAATAGTTGACATACACGGGTTCAATTTGTAAAATGAATTATTTTTTTGAAATAAGAATAAATGTTGGTTTGACGCCATTTTTGTAATGACGAATTTCGAAAAGATTTCTCATTTTTACATTGGCATTTCATATCAAGCAGTCGACTGATCCTGCAGTTTGTTCATAATTACGGTATTTGCGGATGGATTTGGAACAAATTCAAAATTTTTGAATAGGATCCGAACTGCTGGATGTCGCAAAGAGGACATGAAAAACGGGATAAAACTAAAAAGAAAGGTCATAGCGTATGTTTGATGCGAACTCGAATGAAAAATAATCGAACACTTCAAATTCAGATAGGTAAAAATGATGGCGGTAAAAGTTCAAAAATTAATATAAGTTCACGGAGGAAAAAGCCCAAAGAGAAGGTTTTAAAAAAAGTGCAATTGCTGTAAAAGTATTGATGGAATGATTTGAACAGAATGCTGGTCGAATGCTGAATCTACAGCAGTCGATGAAAAGTCGGCGAGGAGTGCAGCGGAACAAGAAAATTTTGCAAGCAATCCATGTAAGGAAATCCCAGCACACAAAACATAGAGATGTGCGAAACCCGTAACGTGTCGCGACACATTTCTCTTCATACGGTGTTTGTCGAGGTGATTCGACAGCTTTGCGCTGGGGCGATAACGTGACCAATGAGGCTCTGCCGAGGTGCGTTTATTGCTGGTTGAAAACTTTTCCCAATTGCCCGCGATGACCCCTGAAATACGGGTGTCATACGCAATTTTTGAACGGTCCGAACGGGCCTGAAAGACAATAATCAATACCATATAAACACATAATGGCTTGGTCTGCCGAATTATGGAAAATTGAATTACGCGGGAATTACATTCTTTTATTGGTTCAGTAAGACATGTCTCAAGTTTCGTTGTTTGAAATTTAAAGAGAAAGTTTTTAGAATAAGTCTTAGAAATTATGTTTGTCTTTAATTATTTTTTATAATATTCTTCACCACAATAGTAATTTATCAGAATTCCCATGAGAAGAAGAAAAAAGAAAAGGAATCGGCTGCTCATTCTTATACACCTCAATTTTCGGGATCGCATATCGAATTAAAGTGAATATTGTTACGATTGGTTAAATTTAAAAAAAAACTGTTTTAGATCGATAATTTCGAAGCAAGAACATAGCTACATTCAGGATGAAAATCGCGATCATCGGATAAGAGGACAATATAGCGAAGGTTTTTTTTTGTGAGAAAGAAACAACGGGGATGATTTGTTGTCAGAATGCACCGCGTTGCGGCTTGATCCGACAACGCCGAAAGATCTAAACATTCAAACGCAAGATGTAGACGAAGATGAAGTTAATAAGTTGGTGGCGAAGTTGAAAGAAAAACCGAAAAACGATGCGGCTCCTGTATGAAAAATTGATCGAATACGAATCGGATTGAATTCAAATTGAATTCAGGTTCAATTAGATTCAAGGACCCAATTAGTGTTGGATCGAGTGACGAAAAAGAAGCATTCACTTCGTCTTTTGTCCGATAAGCCCAACGAAAATGACCCTAGAAAAATAAGCTCGACGAAATCAATGCGGATAATGCTGACGGAGCCGACACAGCCGCCTACAAATGATCAGAACTCGACAATGACAGCGATTGCTCTGAATGAACAAGCCGATAACAATGCCAATTTGAAGACTGCCATGTATGCCGTTGAAACGCGAAATTCGCCTTCCGTTTCAATGATTGAGGTATGCCGTAAAATTCGAGCAACCATCGATCGAGTTTAGGATGATCATTATGATACTGTGCCCAAGTTGGAGGAAGTGCTCAAATTGCCGAATGACGACATTTTCGGAACAAGTGGATATCCGACGTGGATGGATTATTTGGAACCGAAAGAGGAAGATATTGTCGGTTTCATTCATTTCTAACATATATTTGAAGTCTGAGTATTTTTAAGGAAGGAGTTGAGGCTCCTTGTCCGGTTGGAAGTGAGCACATCGAAATGTTCCATGAGAAGAAATTCAAAATGAAATCAGCACCTGATGGAAAGTAATGTTTTGGGAAATGGATTTTACTTAAAAAAAAAAACAAGAAAATGAATGAAATTCTCAGAATTCAACTCGATCAATGGCTTCCTTTGGCAAAACTGCAAACTCGAGACGAAGTCTATTTCACAAGTGACATCGTCTTCTGCAACACTCTTCGAAGCCTCATCAATGTTTCCTGTATTTTTTTGCAGTTTTTCTCATTTTTCGATTTTTTCTGTTCTAGCAGCGAAAAAAATGAAAATTTCGAACAGTTCGTCACAAGAAAATATCGAAAATGTGATGAAAACTCAATGCGATGATGAAGCACTGTCGGTTACAATTACGGACCCAAATCCACACAAATATTACTCATACTCGGTAATGTTTTATTTTTGCTTTGTGAAAAAGAACATGTCAAAATTCAGAGACTAAATCCAATTGAGTCGGCTCAAAATCGGGTTTTTGTCGATAAAACAATACCACCAAAAAAGGAGCTAAACTCGTGCTACGACGAGATTTAAATAATGAATTTTTATTTCTATTTATTTGATTTTTTTTTTTGATTTCAAAACTCTTACTTTATTGTTTTATTGACGTGATTTTTTCGAAATCAAACCATTCAATCAATTTAATTCATTTTCCAATTTTAAACGTGATTTGAATTCGATTTTTATTTTAATCTCACAGCTCCGGTAATTTTTCTTTAATCTATAATTCCTTCTAAATTATATATTGATGCGATATCTATAAATTGACGTTGTTTTTTTTTTCGCAGTTTCTCATCATTCTATAGATGCCGAGTAATAGAGATCATGAGAAAAAGAAGAAGGCAAAAAAAGGAACACCTTCAGTAGTCAACCGAATGCGAAAACTCGACAAATTTAATGGTTTAGAATAGAAAAGATGACAGTAAAAACTGGAAGACGCATTTGAGTTCGAGACAAAAGAAATCAGTGCGGAACAAAGTTGAAAATGAGATGAGACGAGAATAGGCATTTCGTGTGAATTTTTAGACTTCAACTCGGACAAGCCGACATCAAAGCATCACAAAAACCAGCAAGGGCTCGCGGAGAAATAAAAAGGTTCGTACGATACTGACAACCGATCTATTCGTCTGGTGTTTGCCGATAGCTTTGCGATGGGGGGCAATGAGGCTCGCCTTATAGAGCTTTTGAGGGCCGGGGCCGCCCGTAGAGGAGTTTTTATCACAGCAACAAAAAACGCGGTGGCGAATCCTCGAAAATGTCCGAAGACGTTTAAAATGAAATCTGTCATGTTAACAATGGAGGTCTTTTTGCTGTCTGTATTAAATTTTTTTTGCATACAGATTCTTTAGAAAATTTCCAATCGAATGAACTAGGTCCCTACCTGCGCAAACTTCTAATTATCGAGATATGGACCTTCAAAGTTTTAGCCCCTCACCTCGTTAATTTTGCGTAGAAGTGTGCGGGAACTCGAAAAAATTGAAAAATTGAAAAAAAAAATTAATAAGTTATATGATTGCTGATGAAATGCTTGAAACAGTGGTTAGACCTCCCTTGTAAGATTAAAACAAGAACAGGCTCTCTCTCTTTGGCAATCGTGTTTCGAATAATTGCAGATACAACCTGAAAAAATTGACGAAGAAAACTTGAGCTATTTGATAAATAAAATAAAAAATAAACCCAAAGTCGAAATCGCTGAAGTATGTTTAATCAAAATTTGCAAAGTATGTAGAGACCAATGGATCATTTTGAAGATTCCGTTAGAATCAAAAACCCAAATGATACTTGATCGTGTGACTAAAAAGAAGCCAACAGTTCGCTATTTGGGGTACGATAAACAGAAAGGGATGTCGAAGAAGTCAATGACGGTTGCAATGGAAACGACAACGATCATGGTGAATGAACCACACGAAGACTGTGCGAAGAGCATCCATGTTGCGACGGATACTCAAACATTGCCTTCTGTTAGTTGGCATTCGACGAACAATTGAATAAGCTTAACCGAATTCAGGAAGAATGTTACGATGATTTGCCAAAAATTGATGAAGTTTTGAGAATGCCAAATGAGGATATTTATCTGCCAAATGGATATCCGACATGGATGGAATATATCGAACCGAATTTTGACGATGTTGTGAGACGTTTGAAAATTCTCAATTTTTATAAAAACTATTAAAGGAAGGAGTTGAGGCTCCTTGTCCAGTTGGAAGCGAACATATCGAAATGTTTCATGAGAAGAAATTCAAAATGAAATTTCCGCCGACTGGGTCGTATGATTCAATATTACGTTTCATTTTCTTCAACCCATTTTTTTTATTCAGTATTCATTTGGACGAAAGCCTGCCACTAGCAACTTTAATGTCTCGCGACGAAACGTACTTTTCGTCTGAAATTATCTTCTGTAACACTCTTCGGAGTTTAATCAATATTTCCGGTAAATCAAAAGACGTAGTTGAAAGAAACGAATCGGAATGTTTGAAAGGTGCGGATTATTTGAAAAACGACAAAAATGGAATGGACATGGCTGAAATGAAGACACAATGCGAAGTGGATAGAAATTCGATTACAATTATTGATCCGATCTTTAATTTATGCTATAGCTATTCGGCAAGTTATCTCATATTATTGAATGTAAAACGGACGGGATCTAGAGAGAAAATCCGATAGAATCTGCCCAACAACGAAGAATTGTGTTAACAAAACCGATCGAAGGCAGTTCGTTCACTTGTGATGATGCTGACTTCGTTCAGAATACCCACAGATTCAGCGTATAAAATGGAACAATTCATTTTGCTAATATTTACTTATTATCTTCTTAATCTTCATTTATTTGAGATTGAATTTATTTACTTGTTTCTAGAAGAAAAGTCAATAATAAATTAATTTACATATATTGCATATTGTCAAACGCACAGCCTATGCTTAGCCCGTAAATCGACACCTTTCAATTTGTGTCAAGACCGCTTTCATTGTGTTCTTCAGGCAAATTGACCAACATTGCGCAGTAGAGCAATGAAGACAGTATTCTTTCTGGAAACTAGAAAAAACCTCGGGAAGTCAATGTTCAATGTTGCTTCTCCTTCTTTCCTACTTAGAATATCTTGAAGCCCGTTGGATCCCGGTATTGCAGCGGCGGATAAAATCCAGTCTTGTAGAGTTTGCCTTTGATAAGGGCTTGCTGAAAATCTGTGCCAGATCTGCACACGGGTCCTGCATATCACATCCACGCATGCTATGCATACTATAGTGCGAAACCCGCGAGTTGTCGGGATATGCATTAGTACGAGTATAGGGTATCGGTCGACGACAACAGCTTTGCGCTGGGGCGATAACGTGACCAATGAGGCTCTGCCGACACAGATAAACGGCGGCATAGGCACAATGGAAGCATAGTGGAAAAACCGTGTTCAAAACATAGAGATGTGCGAAACCCGTAACGTGTCGCGACACATTTCTCATCATACGGTGTTTGTCGAGGTGGTTCGACAGCTTTGCGCTGGGGCGATAACGTGACCAATGAGGCTCTGCCGAGGTGCGTTAATTGCTGGTTGAAAACTTTTCCCAATTGCCCGCGATGACCCCTGAAATACGGGTGTCATACGCAATTTTTGAACGGTCCGAACGGGCCCAAAAGGTAAATTATTTCCATGTCCGCCGAAAGATGAATAAATACCATAAAATAATGTTTATTTGAAATGTTAAAAGGAAACCGTATAGAATCACGAATTATTACTTTCGAATGTTTTTCAATTTAGCAGCAAATGAGGCTTTCTTCGTTGTCTGACCATCATTTGTGGATTTCTTATTATCCGGTGTTATCAATATGGAATTTGTTGGAGTATTTCTGTTAAACGCAAATCGTTTTTCGATATGAGTCGAATATGGCATACAACGCAGCTTTTCCGATCGGCACATGAATAACTTCGGTGTGTTGCGATTCAGACCTTTCCGATTTCGGTGATTTCTTATGTCGCTGTCGATTCAATTTGATCGAATCTCGCGCTTCGCTCGTGCTCAATTCAGCTTTTTGCAATTTTTCAGAATAATTCTGCAATTCAAAAAGTTCATCAAAAATCTGTTCAGCAGTCTCCAACATCTTTAATACTCGATTCCTCTTCGCTCTTTCTAAATAAATTGAAAAATCAAAACGAATCACTTCAGTTCAAAGTGTTACCCCGAGTTTTGTTGTTTTGTACATAATGCGACAAGTTCGCACATTAAAATCGTGCTAACGGGGTAAATGATTAATTGTAATACAGTAATACTGAAAGAAGACACCGACATCTATCGAACCAGTTTGAATATAAAAATGGCGATTCATTCGAAAAACAAAACACAACACGTTAATGATCATTTTTTGTTGAACAAATCATTTTAAGAGAATATTGAAAGTAAAAACTCCATTATCCATAATTTTTTAATACCTTTGAACGCTTCAAATGCATAGTTTTTCAGTAAAATTTAATTCTTGACGAAAGAAACTTTTCATTTCGCATCAATTAATCTCGATTTAAAACGTTTTTTTTATTTCCTAAAAATAATTCAAGAAAACAGAGATTGTGTGCTCGTCGTGACGCAAAAATGCCGACGAAATTTAATAACTAGGGAAAAAATTGAAATAAATTTGTGGATATTTAGTGCGGGAATTGAGAGGTCCGGACCTCGGCCGTGTGGGCTGTATTCCCGACTCTATTCCTTGTTCATGGTTTTATGTTCGAAACCAACAAATGACGACGTAAGAATTTATTAGTGAACGAAAAGAATGAGCAATAATAACATAGTGGGGGGTCGTAGGTTGTTTCACGGCTTCCTACCTCCTCGTTTACTTCCCGAGCATCGCTTAAATAGGGGGTGAGTGCGTGGCATTGATAAGGGTCATGAATTATTGCTTCCGGTAGGAGGTTTGATTATATATATATATATATATATATATATATATATCTCCTTCCGATCACTGTTTGTCCTGATGTTGCCTTATGACTCACTTACAAGTTTACTACACTTTTTACCCAGATAAATTTTTGTTGAATCTCAACTTGTTCTGACTTTTACTTTTTGAAATACATCCGTTTGAACTTCTACCGGTAATTATGCCCGACCCTGTATTTGTGCAGGTGAACATATGTGTTTAGCATAGATTGTGGGGACTGATGGTCATGGATCAAAAATTAATTCAAAAACTTTATTTTCCCACAAATCTACTTTTTAAATTCAAATTTATGGTTTAAACTATTAGACACAGTTAAAATAATTAAAATAAATAGTAAAATGTGTGTAAACACCGCGACGCAAATAGCACAGACAAACGCCAAAAGAACACCAATCTCAGCATTATTTTGCACATCGAATTTTGGGGTTTTCTTCAACAAGAATCTCATTTTCAATTATTGCCTGCATTTTGTTTTTCATACTGACTGATTTTTGAGAGAAATATTACCTGCTTCAGTGGAATTGAGTTGATTTTTATTTTCAACTTTTTCTCACCATCTCGTCTTGTTTGATTTCCTTCGGTTCTTCACTGCTTTTACAAAACGCTTATTAATGCACTATTCGAATGACATTTTGACAAAACTTTTGCATCAATTCGTAGGTGGCGATCTGAATTAATTTTTAGTTTCAAGACACTTAAAAATACGAAAGAAATCAGATCCCTCTCGAATACAATAGCAACAAAAATTATCGAGTAAAATTATCGAGTAGAATGGTTTTTTTAAGACAGCTAAAGTGAGAAAATAAGGAAAGGTGCAAAATTTGATACTAAAACTGCATAATAAATGTTTCTTTTTCGTGAACATTAATATATCGTCGTTTCTATTGCAAACAAATCGTGAGAGGAGCAATACCATTTTTTTTTAGCAAAATTTCGATTTATTATTTATTTTCAGTAATTAATTTTCGAGATTTTCAAAACTGTTTTGTGATAGAATAATAGTGTTTGAGTCATAAATTTAAAAAAATCTTACCTACATCCAAATATTTTTGAATGTTCAATTTTTTGTTTTCCGTTGTCTTAGAGATACTAGTTTGATAGAAGTCGTTCTGAAATTTTAACAATTTGTATTCAGAATCTTAAAATTGAAATGTTTATTATTTGAAAATACATTATATTGAAAAAAAAAATAAAATATTCAAAAATCACGAAACGAAAAAAGTTAAGTAAAAAATTTAAAAAAAAATCCTTAAATGAACGTGAAAAGTCTTATTTCATTTTTGTCCATTGAATTTCTTAGAGACGAGCATGGAGCATTCATTGTTCATATTTCAAAATCTTGTTATGAATATTGACGACAGAATTTCTGTTTGCCTAATTAAAGACAAGATATTTCTTCACAAATCAGAGAATATCAGCTAACTTCCGCATAATTTTCGCTGGCGTATCAAGGCAAAACTACTCTTTTTGGTCGCCCACCGAAATTTTATACATTTGCAACGATTTCCTACTTTTTTTAAAAATCAGTTTCTTCTTTATATTTGTTGAAATTTTGAAATCGCATTGAAAATGTTTTTTAGAGAAAAGTATCCAAATAATTTCGTAAATTTCGAGATAGTTGTTTTTAAGCTGGATCGGTTTTAGTTAGCTTTTTATCAACAAATTACACTGAAACAAATATATGGAATATTTTGGATACTTAATTTATTTAATATTTAATTAAACATGATAATTTCTTCTTACTCGACCGAATTGGTTGGTCCGTTTTCGATCGTACCGAATCATGATTTTGGCACGGCCGAAAAACTGTTGCGTCATTGTGGACCATCGTATTTTTCGAGGCGGAAATTCAAATTTTCGAAATCGATGATTAAATGCGAAATAACAAGTTAGTTGTGACATAAAAGTGACATAATCTGACAATCAATATAAAAATCATGTTTTTTAAATTTTTGAATTGAACTTTCCAAAATTTATAAAAGAAATCAAAAGTCGAAAAAGATTCATTATTATCTTGACATTCGTTTTGGTTAAAAACTTCATTTTCCACATTATTTACCAACTCGAAAATTAAAAAAAAAACACTGATTATTAAAGATTTTCGATAAACAATTAGTGATTGTTTGCAAAAAATGTTGTAAAAAATACATAACTAGGAAAAATTTGATCAAAGGATTCGTTATAATTAATTCATAGTTTATTTCGGGTTTCCAGTATTCCGCGCCGTGTGCGCCTTTAGATCGCTAACATTGTCTTTTTGGCATTTAGTCAATTTTCCGCAGTCGCGCGACGTCAAAAATAAGGCGTTCAAAGTAATGTAATCATTGCTAAGATAATCGAATCTTGATGAAAATTCAAGTTCAGGATTATATAGTTTGTTGAGCCCATAAAAATAAGAAATGTTAATTTTATTCGATGATTGCTTTGGTTCATCAGAACATCCTTGGATATCTTCTGAAATTCCTCTAGTGTGGTTTTCTAGAAATTGCGTGGCCAATTCAATAGTCGATCGGATCAATTTTCTTGGTCAAGCAATTCAGTTTTGTCAAAATTTCTTCTAAATCGCAAGTCATTGTTAGAAACACAATGATTGTAAAATACGAAAAGTATTGACAATAATTATATTTTGCCTATTTGCACTCGTGTCGCGTGAACTCCATCACTTTAGGGATCGAATTTCGTCTTGTTGAGCTTCTCGTCGAACATCATCATCAACTGTACATTTTGACTAGAAATCATTAATTTTATCTTCTTCACTTGAACCAGCTGATTGATTCAAAACCGATTCTAAAGTTTGTAAAAAAACTTAATTAAAAAGTCTATTGAGAAAGTAGCATTGTCGTCTGAAAATGAAAAAAAAAATTTGAAAAAAACATTGAAAACTTCAGAAGTTTGGTTGCAATAATTAATTCTATTAAAAGAAACAACGATTAAAAGCAGAAACAACATTAAGCGATCAGAAAAAGTGTGTGATTTTGGTTTTTCAAGTCTCAGAATGAAGTTCGTCGAGTGGGCGAGACAACCGCTTCAACAATACGATCCTCAAGGATACTTTCAAAACTTTTACGATGATCTTGTGTATCATCAAAAAAGGTGACGTTGTTCGCACTTATTTTAAGCAAAACTTTTTTTTCAGCGGATTTATTTCACTCCATTTGTTTGTGGCAATATCAACTAGCACATTTTCAATCATAACGACATTGATGGCATGCTATGTGATAATGAGCACAAGAACAAAAATTCTAAACTCGTATCGAACAATTATTCTAATGCAAACGATTGTTTTCACACTGTCCGGCGCTGTTCCATCAATTTTAGCATTTTATCGAGTATATCCAAGTCATTCTCTATTTACAACAAAAATCCTACCGAATGATCAAAGTGTCATGCTAACTCTACAGGGTGTCATTTAAGTTCCCGCACAAAAGTTTGACGCCATGTAGAGCTTCGCTAACGCACTTTTCGTACACCAATACAATTTATTTTTATTGAACAAGGTATATTTTACTTACTTTCCAAGTTTCACCTCATTCGGATGTGCTTCCGAGAAACGGCGAAGGCTAACATCCATCGCGCTTCCATTATCGAACTTCATAAGCAAAATGTGAGCCCGAGAGACATCATTCAACGGGTCGGTGTGCCTTGTAGAACGGTTTATGACACCATCAAACGATTCAAGGAGCTAAATACGACCAGTGACCGTCCCAGACAAGGAAGACTCGTCTCAGTAACCACTCCTCAGAAGATCAACGCCGTCAAATCGAGGATCAGCCGAAACCCCCACAGGAGCATGAGAAAGATAGCGTCAGACATGGGAATGAGCATCTTCGCTTTGGAACAAATCGTCAAAACGAAGCTTGTACTGACCCCATATCGTGTCCAAAAAGCGGCAATTCTATCGGCCGTCAACAAGCAGAGACGCTTCGAAAAAGCAAAACGACTTCTTGCTCGCACGCGGTCTGGACAAGATCTCGTCACTGTCTTCTCCGACGAAAAGCTATTCACTGTGGAGACGGCATTCAACTCACAAAACCATTGAATACTTGCCCAGACATCCCAGCAAGCTTCTGAGAAAGGAAAAACAATTAATCGAGCCTCACATCCTGCCAGTGTGATGGTTTTCGGTGCCATCTGCTCAACCGGGATGTGCCCCCAGGATTTCGTGGATCAGGGAGTGAAAATGAACAAAGAAGTCTACGTTCGGGACATTTTGGAGAAGCATGTGATGCCCTGGACCCAAACGCATTTCGGTGGGCAGATATGGGTCTTTCAGCGGGACGGAGCACCCGCCCACACTGCCAAAACTACTCAGGAGTGGTGCCAGACCCATTTTCCCGACTTCATCAAGTCATCCGAATGGCCTGATTGCTCCACAGATCTGAAACCGCTTGACTTTTCCGTGATAGGGTCTTGCAGGAGAAGGTCAACGCAAAACCCCACTCAAGTGTAGAGGCTCTGAAGAGGACATTACTGGCGGAGTGGGACAATCTTTCCATCGAATACCTGCGTACCACAGTCACATCCTACCCGAAGCGTCTCCGTGAAGTCATAGCTGCGAAAGGAGGCCGAATCGAAAAGAGTTAATAGATAATTATTTGTTGTACTATAGATAAAAAATATTTCGAGTCTCGTTTGATTTGGACTTTTAGTTTCAGAAATATACGTCTTCAAATTTGTGCGGGAACTTAAATGACACCCTGTAATTGGTATTTGCTCATTATATGGTATTGAAATGTACGCCTCGGGCACTGCATTTATCATCAATTTTATAAGTAGCTCACGAGTTAGGTAAATTTATTTTTTTAATCTTTATTTTCGTTTTTATTTAAGAAAATTCTCATCGATATTTATTTCAGTTTGCAAAAATTTGACGTCGAAAATGTTGTGCGTCATGTCATCGAACTTTTAGCCGTTTTATTCGCAATTCTCAACTATCTAACATTTTATTTGAGTAAGTTCGAATTTAAAAGATTGATTTGGCAAACAAAAATAGGCACAATTTGGGATATGGCGAGTATTCATAAGAAGGCAATCGAATTCGATCCGAGATTGATAGCATTCTTCGAGTCTTATCGGGTGTTCACTATTATTCTAACGAATGGACTGGTGTTGATCTACATGGAAATGGTTGTTATCGCTATGCTTTTCCCTCTTGTTGGAATTGCTGCAATCGCAATGTTAGTTTTTGACCATATATCGTATTTATTTGAAATTCAGTACTTATTATTTTATTAAAAAGTTTGCCGCGGTTACATCGAAAACGTTGTACAGACAACAGAAGATGATAGCTCGAATCGAAATTTTCTATACTCTTATGTTTGTTACCAGCATTTTTCCGACACTTGTGACGCTGGCAATGGCTCAATTTTATCCATTCATGGAACTACGAAGGTATCCCAAACCCGTAACAATGTCGGCAGCCAATGCTTTCCTATAGATTTCCATTCAACTTCTTCATATTCTACCCGGCTACATTGATATCGAGTTTGAATCCGATTCTTCAAATCGTGATGATAAGGGCTTATAATCATCGAGCAATTGAGATAATTCGATATATTTGTGGAATTCGCGACTCGTCGGTCAGTCGAATTGTCGCTGCCTCATCCATGCCGCAAACTGCCATTTTTGTAAAATAATTTATTAATTATATTAATATTGTTAACCCGTATTGAGGAATGAGAAAGAAAGAAAGAAAATAAATAATTGCTTGGATGCTCGAAACCGTGCATTTGGCAAAGTGAGAAATCGATTGGGAATTGAGCAAATGTTGGGCGAATGACTGACTGCGTCGCACGACGAACTCCTGTCTAGAATTCCAATTGAGATGACAGCTCATCCGGTTGAATATTCTCGATTTCGAACACCATTCCACTCTTTATCTCACGCTTTGATATCTTTAAAAAAATTTGGAATGATTAGGGGTTTTTTTTTGAATTGTTTCGAACTACCGAATCATTTCGCTTCCTTCTACTCGGATTTGCTCGATACCCAGTCCCAGAATACAAATTCGATGGACAACTTGAAAGAGCATTTGATTCCCTATTGGCGATATTAATATTCGTCCTTAAAAGTCGACCGTTCAATGCTTTCAGCGGCCGATATGCAGGTGTCATAAATGACGGCTCCGGTTGTTTTATTTCGGTTTTTTGCAGCTCATTCCATATTTGCAGCTGAAGTTTAAAAATATATTTTTTTCGGCTTAAAGTTGGCTAAGTTCTGATGGTCTTGGCGCAAAACGAAGAGTGTAGATTTACGAGTTTAATACGAATATGCATGAAACTGTGCACATTATTCATGTGTAATGAGTGTTTGAAAACACAATAGAAACTAACATCGTCGTTGGTGATATAGATTGGGTTATTCATAATAACCCATGTGACTGTTTCATGACATCCTGGAAAGGTGAGCGATCCCTCATAGGTGACGTAATAAGCAGTTTTTGGAAGAAGTGCCAAAGGTTGAAGACTCGTCAAATTCGTTTTCATTCCTTAAAAGATGACTATGTGGAATATTTTTGAATTCTAAAGAACCTTTATAGGTGATACTCTGCGATGCGACCGTCAATCTTCGCAATTCGACTGTCGTCGTCTGCCCAATCTGAAATTTGAATCATTTTTGTTTGCCGCGATATATATAGTATTTTGTATACATCAACGACCACAGAAATCGCCAACAATCCTCGTGGTGAGGTCATCGCCACACTATAATTCGCATACAAATCGCTGTTGTATGCGAGCAGCTGAATTTCAGCAGGAAATCGCACCCTGTCTACAGTATGCTCGGATCCTTTTTCGCCTTCGTCGGATTTTCCGAAATGAATGGTTATCTGAATTTGGTTATCAGCCAGTATGACACTGAATGAATGTACCTGGTGCAATTTGTACTTATATGGCATTCCAGGACCGCCAGTTATATTAATTGTTGGTTTATTGGGTAAATCTTTAATTGTCGCTATCGGCAACTGTCCAGTATTTTCGAAAATTGCTTCTACCTAAAAATGAAGTGAAATCAAATGTCTGAGATTTCCAATTCCATACAATATTTCCTTCGATATTAAGTGACATTAGATGTGGATCATAAAGGAGTTGAGCAGGATCAATGTTAACAGGAGACTGCATTTGACCAGCTGTGCACATCCTCCAATCGCCATGAAGTAATCCCCAGAAGTCAGGACCTAGAATTTTGCTTTGTTATTATAAATATTAGAATTTGAAACTTCAGTGGGTTTGATGTGCCGGTTTTCCGTTGTACGGCACATTCATTTACACCACCATCGATTCTTCCCAACCGTTTTTTCGCTACCAAATTTTCACCTTCCGAAATTATTGATTTTTCACTATCGTTTTATTACTACCAATTTTCTCACACTCATCTTTCTAAAAACAAATTTTTTTATACTTTGTGAAATTTGTAAACATTTTTTTAATTGGAAAAATCATTGATCTGAGAAAATAGGGTAAATGAAATCACCAATTTGCATTGTATAAAAACAAATTTGAATTACCGCCTAGACAAATAAAACCAATCAGGGCTTTCTTTTTTTTGCAATGATAATTATCAAAACTAAAATTGATCTAATTTATTAGATTTCCGAGCGAGACAATCGGTTCAATTCTATTTTCCCATTTATTTTGCAAGATTATCTCGAAATTCTATTTTTTTAAAATACTTTCGAACGAGAGAATATATGCATGAAGTGCTTTTTCGCGGAAACACTGAGCATCATAAGCGAGGTCTTGTTAGTCTTCAGGTTTTTTTTTCTGAGTAGGAAACTTATCTGACTTTCTTTTTCGGTATAACGTCTCCATTTAATCCAACAATTTTTTTATTAATATATTTATACGTAAAATTCAAAATAAAATTTGTGATATTTTTTTTGTTTTATAATCGTTCGATTTTCATCGACTTCTTACCTATGACACATGGATAAATGCAGGCTGTTAGAAGCCATGGAATCATAATAGTAATAATAGTAATAATAAGAATAATAATAAAATTGGGGGCGTCAAAAGATCTGTAAAAGGAAATGTGTGAAGAAATGAATAGAATGCATTCAAAAGTTGCCCGTAGAGACGGACGACGGAAGGTCGCAAAACGAGGAACGAGGTTTTTTGAATGGCAAGAAAACGACACAGTACACAGAATAATTTATGGTTTTTAGGCGGCTAATTGAGGCGGAGCACGAAACGAAACATAAATCAAAATGTTGGGATTGAAAAACGCGGGCCACGTAAAAATAAAAGAAGACGGGCGGGCCGAAATACGAAAGTTGGAGATAATTGGCGGAAGTATCGCTTCTTTCGCAACGTTTCGTGCATTCAATCAATATTGACAAAAAAAAAGAAGAAAATGTCGAGATCGAGAAATGATGGAAAATAAATGTGAGAAAAAATAATGATGAAGGCAATTTGTAGGAAAATATTTGCCAATTTTAGGTTTGCATTCTTAATAATGGTAATTCGCCATTTAAATGTCAATTTTTTTTTACTTTTTACCGCCATTGCTAAACAAGGGATTGTGTAAAAATAGGGTCAATTTGTAAAAAAAAATGGACTTATTTGGTTATTTTTCAATATCATCGTTTTATTTTATATTACGAGGATATTTTTAACACTTTCAATTGATCTTATTAAACAGTTTACTTTGTTCTGAGAGACAACTTGATATTCGGATTCGTTCATTTGAAAATTCTCGTATTAATCGAAAAGTTATTTCGTCTTCATTTGTCAGATTTCAAAATGAATCATTTAGCTACATCGGACCGCTATTTTGTAAAAGTTAACCATTTTTAGAACTACTGTCGGCGTCGCGCGAAAATTGGCTAAATGCCAATAATAATAATGACAATGGTCTTGGCGCAATACTAAAAATTGTAGAGATTTACGCGAGCTGGTTAAAGGCACACACAACGCAATGAGACCTTTACCTAAATGTTTTCGCCATTTTGCCAAGATTCCGAATTCGCGCGTCGCCGCCAATATTCTTGATTCCATTTTGCATTGGCCTCAATTTAAAATCCTAGAACCAGCTATCCCTTGTTCAAAATCTGCTCACACAATTCATATAAAACAATTTTTGCTTTTATTATCGTCTTATATATTAGCATAAAAACAATAGTAGTTTTTAATAAAATGTGTAGACTCCAACATTTAGTAATCAAAAATATATTGAGAATCAAATTGAAAATAATATAGATTTTTAATCTACTATTAGATGTAGTTTTCGAGTTGGATACAACAATTTCGGGTTACGATATACAAATTTGTAGTCGTTCTCGACGTACTTTTGTTGTTTGAATAATTATACATCAAAAAACGGGATAGGAAAACGAAGAAACACTGGGAAACCAGCAAACAATGCAATTTAGTTGATTAGGAATGTGCTCGGCCGATTCAATTCGATTTAAGGAAAACGAATCGAGGCACGCGGCCCACAACCGAATCCCAAAGGGAAATAAATTCGTCAACAGGTGTCGATTTAATAAATGCATTTGAAAGTGAGAAAAATGATTTTAAAGAGCAAAAAAGCGTACGCTGAGATGGAATTTTTTTGATATTGAATGCATGCTAATAGGACTCGAAAGACTAGGGTACGTGCTATGAAAACTGATTTTTTATTCACAACTAATTTTGTATTCTTTCACTTTTTTTTCTCCATATGCCGTTCGCCACAAACCAGTACACAACACTACTCATCGTATTTATTTATTTATTTATTCATTTATGCACACGAGAATGCGTGGGAAGAGATGGGAAAGTTCACGGAATCCTTGAAATTTATTATTAATCACAACCTGGAAAAAACCAGAAGACGTTGTCAACATCTAATTTTTTCTCTTCAATGATGTTGCCGATCATCGAGTTTTTAACCGACGAATATTCGACTAACATGCAAAATTTAAAAAAGCGGTCGGTCCAAATCGGAAAATTCCTTCTAAATTTCGCGAAAATATAGAGTGGAGGAACTTATTATAAATTGAAGTCGCGATTTTCTAATTTCGCATTTTTCAATAGAGTTTTTTATTTCAAAATTACAATGCGAAAAAATAATTAAAATTAAAAATAATAAAGAACGTGAAACCGAGGGGTTGGATTGAACAGTTTTTAGAAATTCATTGAGTTGTAAAATAAACGAGCACCCTGTGTAGATTTACGGGAAGTTTTATTCGCAAGTTAATTGTAGTACGGCACAATAAATTGTGTTTAAATCAGAAATTACCGTCTCGAAAAAAATGCGATGGTCCACAATTACTCAAGGTACTCGTTTTTTTTGTGAAAGTAATATTTCATGTCCTTCATTTCACAACTCAACCATACTGAGAACATGGGTTGTTAAATTTAGAGCTTTCATTTTATAGGCAAGGGCTCGCAGTCAGACCGAGATTCCGTTTTCTTTTTAATCATAACAAGACCTATTTTATTTTATTTAATACATCTGCGGACATTTTTTTCGGGGTACCTTTTTTATCGCTTTTTTGTTGCTTCGTGAAATTAGCGGTGGCCCCAATTCAAACAAGGGTCCTACGTGGGGACCCGGCATTTTTTCTCAATTATCGCCTATTCCATATTATATTTTTAGGTCAGTTGAATTGAATTATTAAGTTCTCACTAAAAAAAATGATTCGTTGGTTTTCGCATTAATTTAACAAATGAGTCTGAAAATTAAAAATGAAAGGTAATAGTGGAGAGAAAAAAAGAAACGAATAAATGATCTGTAGAGGAATAGTACGAAAATGTGGCGAAACTGAACTCAATTCGCTATTTGTCGTTTGGCAAAATGAAGCTTATTTCGAGTGTGGGAATTCGACGAGTTTTCGCCAAATTCGGAAGCCTAAGATGCGCGAGGTTCACTTCCAACTTTATGAATTATGTGCGAACGAATGTGGGCGCCGATTCGGGTGAATATCATTAACGGCGGCAGTTTGCAGGTGCACACACACACGCAATCTTCTAATTCAAATCGGATGAGACGAACCAACCGATTTTCAAGTATGCTAATCATTCAAATGAACCCAGAAGCGGTTATTTTTTCGGCAAAATTGGAGCATTTTATGAAGAAGTGAGACTAAAAACAAATTTTTTTTCTCAATCTAAAATAATAATCTAGAATCAAATTTCTCACACCCACCCAAAAAAGATTAATTTATTTTTAATCATTGGACCAATTTTTCTTTTAGATCAACTAGAAAAATGGGCTAAAGATCAATCATTATTTTAACCGCAAAAATTAGGAAACAGCATTTTTTGCAATATTGAAAGCTTATGTTAAGAAACACCATGTTAAAAAAATTAATATTTTGTGAAAATGAATGATTAATATGAGGAAAACGTAGAAAAACGTAATCACAAAGGATTAAATATCTTTTTTTTTTAGATATCTTTTTTTAGATATCTTAGGTATCAATTCTATAAATGTTGATGCATACAAAAGTTTGCTTATTCTCATCGTCGTCCACAATAAAATAGAGAAAATTCGGTACAATTCATGGATCGACGCTAAAATTTTGGCGAGTTTGTTTATTGGCCGACAAGAAATGTGCAAGCAATTCATCGGAGCGATTTAATTAAGTTTAGGCGTTTCGATGAAATACACATTTATGAACAAGCCAAAAAAAAGTGTTAAGACTTGAAAAATGGAGCGAGAAAGTTGAATCGACATCGAGACGACTTATTCGATTTCCAGGCTACGACGGAAATTCGCATTTTCAACACACATACACAAAAAATGCGATTTTTATTTTTTGTTCTTCCTATTTTTTAAATATCAAATTTTGTGCGTTTTTTTAGATTTTATTATTCTGAAAATTAAAAAAAAAAATTAATTTTTTATTAATCGGCCTGATGACATTCTGCAGATTTTTCGAAAAAAAAAATCAAAAAACAGACAGAATTTTTTTTCCTAAAATCCTCGTTGAGCTCATGTCGCTAATTATCGTAGTTTTTTATCAATTTAATTTCAAAGCAGCGTATTATAAAATCGTGAAGGTCTTAGAGCGACTATCGTTTTTTTTTTCTCGCGATTTTTTGCTCGTTTGTTCTGAATTAGTCTGACTGATTTCCTTTTGTAAAATAGCATATTTTAATTAATAACTTCACAATTAAGAATTAGCCAAAAAAAGTGCCGAAAACAAAAAATTTTTTTCGAAAATCAAAGAAAAGAAAAATTGCGCAAAGACCTTCACGATTTTTAAATTACATTCTGTCAACTATCAATAATTGAAATTGAACCTAGATTAGGTGGATATTAGAAACTACTATTTTTGTTTTATATTATGAAATACTTTCTCCATACCTTTATCAAATTAAATTAGATATACATACACATACCATTAATTTTTCTTTTTCGTTGTCACCCATTTATCCTATAGATGTTCCAATTTTTAAAAATTTGAAAAAAAAATTCAAAAATAAATCAATTTGCACTCACCTCCAAATAAGTCGTTGTCGAATGTCCACGGATATTGCACTTCGATGCTCGCTGATATCAACAGCGAAAAAATTGTGACGGCCGCCTTCAATCGAGCCATTTTTGCAAAATGTGTTACGAGTTTCTGCAAAAAAAAGAAACAGAATGAAAGAAACTCAAAGGCTCAAAAGAGATTAGACTGTCAAATGTTTTCGGTTTCGAATAAAAACCCACTAAAACTGACAGAAATGGGTGGAACAGTGGGATTAAAAATGATGAGTTTCGGTGGAATAAAAAGCTCAAGCAATGTTGGGTCTCAAAAAATTGAAAATTAATATTTTAAAAAATGAGAAAATTTCTGTGTGCAATATACGGCGAAAAAATAAGAACAAATAGGTTTTCGTCAAATAACACCTGGAATAAATCACGTATACTAGTGAACCGAGTTTGCATTTTGGCAGGCGATAAATTATTTAAATGCTTATGCACAATTGATTAAAAATAGTTATTTTTCGAAGAGGGCATACGGTGACTATAATAACGAATATAGGCAAAATTGGCAAAAAACAAAAGCGCAAAACTAAAAGTGTAGATTTACGGACTTGAATATAAGATTAGGTTAAAGGCGCATACCGTGCACCACGACTTATCCTCGATATTTTTTTGGCATTTAGTCAATTTGCAGAAGTCACTTCGGCAATATTCAATATTCATGGTTCGCTCGTCTTTTTAGCGAGTAGGGTAAATCCAAATTTTTTTGATTTTCTGGGTAATTAGACTAAATCACAAAATATATCGTTGAATGCAGTTTGGGGGAGGCGCTAGAACATTTCAGCTACCTAATTTGGTCTATAATTCTTTGGCTGAGTATCAAACATATGCAAGATTACAGTATATGTACATCAAAGGCGCATTATAAAATTTACGAAGAATGTTGGGATCTTCCAAATGCGTCAACAGATGGCCGTCATTTTTCAATGTGATGTTATCACATAATAGTATGGTATAAAAAATATCGAGAAGAAGAATTTTTCAGTTAATTTGAAGTTTAAAGTCGGTTTCAAAAAAATAATTGAGAAGCATGCTGATTTGTTCTTAAAAAAATGTAAACAAAGAAAGCGTCTGGATACATGGTTTTGCATTGATCGTTTCTGATTTTCACCATTTTTTCGGAAACGGACAATTTTCACAAATTTTCAGAAAATATACCTAAACGATGAAAAAAACAAGATTTAAACAAATTTGATAAATTTGGAGCAAAATGAGAAAAGTGTGAATGAGGAATAAACTGAGCACTTATTGCGGTGAGCGGCGATACGATCAAATAACCATAAATTTTATGGGCTTCTGAATAATCCATATCCGGTCGTCGGCGGCATTTCCGTCGACTGACAACTTATATTGGGAGCCACAACGAGAAAGTTATGAGTCTAATCAAACGCGGCAATGGGAATGGATGAGAATGTTGAGAAGGCGACTTTTTTTTTATTATACTTTGCCTCCTTCATCTTTTTATATCCTCTTAAATATTTATTCGACAGAAGAAAAAAGGAAAGTTCTCACGGTTTGAATCCATGAAAGGGCAACGCCGGAAACATGCCCGGTGCGCACTTGGTTCAACGCCAATCTTGGACCGCTAATTCGATTTGATAATCTTCTCGCGAACTGCGAAATTAGAATTACTTATATGGGCGTCACCAAGGGCTCTCTAATGGAAGGAAGTAGAATGAATACGCGAATTGACGGTGAAAAAGAATATTTATTTCCGGATGACACATCGTTGCGCAAATATTCCAAAGAAAATCGCAAAAAAAGGGGGGGGGGTTTGCAATAAACTAAGAATGTAATACTACTTGAAACGGAGATATGCGGAAATAAATGTATTGAATAACGAAATACATAGTGCTAGAATGGAAAAGAAATTCGAAAAAAATGATTATTCTTAGAAATAATATTTGGAAATTAGATCCGAATTTTCGATATGAACTCCCATTCTTGAATTATGTATTTTAAGTTTATTGAGAAAATCGGATAATCTCCACCGATTATAGTAATTATGTTATCGAATTTTTAAAAGTTCTTGATATTGCCATTTTCAGAAATAAAACTCCATGGCATTTTGTGCTCTTTTCAAAATATTGCTCGAATATTAAATTTTGTCTCACATATTCCGTTTTTCTTTATATATTCTGAAATTTACGAAAAAATTACTCATACTATTAGTTTATGTCATATTGATAGTCTCAATAGAAAATATTTTGCTATTCGAAAAACTAAAAATAGCAATAAGCGTTTAAAAACCCCCGAAAAAAATTATAGTTGAAGACGAGATGAATATTCTTCTCTTTTATTAAAAATGGAGGACTTTGGGAGCAAATAAATGAAGGTTTTTGTTGGGTGCTCTCAAAATTGTATCAATAAATACAAAAATGTGTATATCCAAGAAAATCTTTAGCCAAGGATGAAGCCATGTGTGTTTTTGATTTTTTTTTCGAGAAAATGATAATGCAAAACTGCAACGATGAAAATAAAAGAGGGGGGAAACAAAAGTGCGAAAATTGGATTGAAAAATGGGTTTGAAGAATCATCCCCCCATTCAAAAAAGGCCCTTTTAGGCTTGTCGTAGTCCTATAAATAAATGAATGCAAATTCTCGTTCGAAAGATACCTCGGAATATTCTCAAGCACATTGCCTATTCATTAATCAAAATATGCAAATGAAACACTTCCGGAGTGAGTGCAAATCGTCTCAACTAATATGTGTATCTTCGAGCATTTCTTGGAATGTTTAATAAATGACGAATATTATTTGGATTAATCTCAATAATTCTCCTACGCAAAATATTCTCATAATTCCAACTGTTAAAGATGCCATGCAAACTCGAAAATTTTCTTGAAATGACACCGACTTTTGAATTGCCGCCAAAACAGAACTCGAAATGTGTTTTTTGCCTCGCAAATATCTTTCATTTTTTGGTCATTCGTCGTGATTTATTAACATTTGAAATTAAAAAGATCAGAAATATAATAAAACAATGTTAATGGTCTCGGCGCAATACTAATAGTGTAGATTTACGGGCCTTTGCATATGGATAGATTAAAAGCGGAAAAAAATATTCAACTAGACGAAACGAAAGTTCCCCCGTTAGTAAATTGAAGGCGATGTGTGAATGGAGTGTCGTACTGGTAGGGTAATGTTTTTGAGATCTTCCGTGGAACCCCAATGAACCAAAACCTATCGCAGTTTGTCTTTTGCAAACCGCTTATCACCGCAATGCAAATATCACAGCAAAAAAAGACATTCAACAAAGAAATCTTATTTTCGGTTGGTTTTGTTGCAACCAATTTGCAATTTTTTTGACTTTTTATCTATTAACGGAGTCAAACGATTGAACTAGCGAAATCAGTGTAGATGTAAGTTTATCGTCGACTAAATATTAAATGCGCGTACGCTATAATGTAATGTACGCAGTCTTGCGTACTTTTCGCTGCCTTGAGACGCATTGGCATATAGCCAATATTTTTTTTTTAATTTCGTTCAATCGTTTGACGCCGACAGTAATTCCGTACTACTATTGAACACATAATGCAGTATAAGCAGTTTTATCACAACATCGATTTTGAGGGTTTCTCGAAATGGAAATAGTAAATGTTGAAAATATATATTAAGATTTCAATGAAATAAAGAATGAGATTTGGAAGTAATTCATATACATATATGTATATACAGACTATTTTCGAAAAATCATCGTCTGGCGACTTGTGTGCTAGTGTAGATTGGTTCTATTGGTTATTTTGCATTTCTAGGTTTATTTTAGAGATTTTAAATTTGAACAAGATTAAATATGCAAGGAAATGATAAATTGAACTAGAAAAAATAAAAATTTCCTATTTAAATTCCAAAATATGAAATACTCATGCCGAAACTCTCACATAGGCTCGTAAATCTACCCAAGTTTATAATTCGTCTGACGATATTTATTGATTAAATGCACATATATGCGTTTGAATTAGAGAAGTTAATTATTTCGTAAATAAATGGCTGAAAATTTCCGAAAATGTACTAAACGGTTGTCACATTGGTGATGTTTCAGATGTCCATTTCTAATCTCTTCCCCTGCCCCCTTCCTTCCCCTCCCCCGTTCCACCCATTCTCTTCTTCTCCTCCGGCAACCTCTTCTTCGCATTTTTTTGCTATTTCGGCTGCGATTCAATTCGAATTTCTGTTCTATTTCAAGCCACTTTAAATATTTAAAGAGCATTTTCGGCATGTATTCAAAATGCATTCGATGATCGATTTGAACGAACAAATAAATTGAAAAAAGGGAGAAGCGAGGACGAAGAAAAAGTGAAGCAAAAAATAAAAGCGAAACAAACAATTTTCGGATCAGAATACATAAGTTTTTATGGGTTTTTTCGACTTTATGCGCATGTTGAAATTTATGAACAAAACCGAGAAATTATGCAGCAAATGAATAAGAGAATTTTTCGAAAACTTGTACACAAATTCTTTTTTTATTTCAAAGCGATTTTGTTAAAATATTTGGATCTAAAAATTTTATTCTCAAATCTCAAAAAGAAATTAGAAATACGCACATTCATATTTATCAGGCAGTAGTATTTATGCGGTCGATATTTTTTTACTTGATGAGAAGCACCAAAAACAAATCAATTCGTCATTATTATAATCTGAATGAATGAGAAAACAAAGTAAATTGTGGAAACAACAAAACGAGGCGGAAAAAAGAGGAAGAAGCAATAGAAAAAGCTTTTTGTGAGCTTTGCATTGCGCCTCTGAATTTACCAGTATTATATGGCTCAGTGAACCGACGAGCGGCCCTTCGCTTCTAATCCGAATACCCATCATTCATTTATGATTTGTCAGATGCCACCTAGTCAGCAAAAACGAGCAACAACGAAAAACAAGAATCTATATAAAAAGATGCGGTGCGGTTTGGTTGAAGTCGAGACGACGTCGTCTCAAGAATCTCTCGTCTCCAGAAACTCGCCCACGGTGTAAAACGCAACAAATTTCGAAAAAAAAGGTGCTGCTCGTTCATGCATTTGCTTTTGTGACAAGTTGTCTGCCTAATCGTGGCGATGTTTAATTTTTCTATTCCTCTACATTTTTTGTTTTTCTTTTGGGCTGAACAACACAATCAAATTCGAATATGAATGCGAACGACACTTCCTAATTAAATTTCCCGTTCCATATTCTATGGATATACTTTTATATAAATATTGCTAGCGCCAAAAAAAAACAATCACCTTGAACAGTTGTGGACCATTGAGGTAATTTTAATTTTGATATGAACCGGAAGAATTCGAATACCACTTTGTGAAGGAAACTCAAAAAAAAAATCAGGTTTTCCGATATTAATAGCATTCCAAAATTTTTTTCAGATAATTCATAAGAAGTGTTATTTTTTAAACAGATTCTATTCGGACCAATGAAATCGTTATATACTAAACTCCGACGGACATGAGTCACATCATCCAATCCGAAGTAAGAATTCATATGACCTTATTCCACACTTTAATTCTTTCATTTATATCCTTATGTGGTCATCATCGTATTAGCAACAAGTGCATGATGTTCATGAATTCCTATTCTGTCACTGAATATAAAAAATCGTATGAATATTGTTATTATTCTGTTTAATTTCAGAAGTACATGTAAACCTTAAAAAATGAAATGCCTCAATATCTGGCATCATGTTCAATTGGCAAAGATAATTTACATATGGATAATATCTAGAAAAATATGAATTTACATAATTAATAGTACGAATATTTGAAAAATAAAGAACAAGAAGTTTTCGGGAGAAAAATGGACGCGAAATACAAGTGCTCGACGAGAAATGCACAAAGTGGAAAATGATCATAAAAATGAATTTGGTTGTTGAAACAGCACTTGAGAAAATAATCAAGGCAGTCGTCTTCATATTATTCGACGTTTTGTACAAATGCAAGTGGTTTCGATCGAGATCACCATCGATGTGCTGGCAGGCGCATCAGCAACACTATCTAATAAATTATGCGGAATTTCGTTAATTATAATACTGTTTCTGAAGCATTTTCTCGAACTCGTCGTCGCTTATATCATTCTTGATCTAAAATTATTTGATTAAATCGATATATTTTGGTTATCTAATACCGTATGATTTTTGGTAATTTTCTCACTATCAACTGGAATATTCAAGAATCTTTCGTCAATCTGCGCAAAGTGTTCCTAAAATTGTTTAATTCTTATTTTGTTTCATATACATATATTGTCGGCGTCAAAAGACTGAAGCGAAGCGGGGTCTTCAAAAAAATCAGTGTCGATTTAAATTTATTGTTGACTAGATATTAAATGCGCGTAAGCTATAATGCAAGGTACGCAGTCTCGCTGCCTCGAGACGCATTAGCACCAGTAATTTTTTAAAATTTCGGCCAGTCGTTCGATTCCAACAATACAGTACCGCAGAAAAAGATACGAAATAATTAATTTTCTTCAAAAATTTTGAACGAATTTTCCAATCGTGGTGAAATTTTTTTAGCACTTATTCTTCATTGGGTAAAATGTTTAATACCAAAATCATACTATGGAAATTAATTTTTTCAAACAAAGTATCGAAAACTAAAAATATATTGAAAAAAATGGTATAACTAAACTTGATTGATTTTTCCATTTTTGCAGATTTCAAAAAAAAATGTCCGCTGGCAAGTATTTTTGCGAACTAGTGTAATTCACTTCAAAATATGTTAAAAAATTGGGTTTCTTACTTTTAGTAAAAATTTCACCTCGATGAGACCACTCGTTTAATAGTTTTGAAGAAAATTAACTATTTTGTATATATTTTCTGCGATATTGTATATTATTCAAAACCAACCATAAGCGAAGCCCCAGAATTGCCAATTGGCTTGCGATACGCTTTTGGATCCACTGAAAAACGACTTTTTCAGTTTTTTTTTCGATTTATAAATGGAAAATCAACCATAAGAGTATCTTATTTGTGCAAATGCTTGTGCTTTTCCAGCAATCATAATGATTGGAACCACATTTGTTTGAGACATTAGCATTATTGGCTTTTCGATTTTGCAGCAAAATCTGAAATATTTCCTCAAATCGGAGTGCAATCCTCTCAATTCTTACCGTGCTCCTGTAACTGTCTTATCCTCATAGGTTTTCAGCTCAAGACTTTCCTCGTAGCATCCATGAACGCAGTTCCCAATGACTGAATCGACAATTACAAGGACGCGCTTGCCTTCCGGCGCCTATTAATTAAGTTAACGGTTTTGTGAAAATCGACGAAATCCGATTCGGAACCTGAATATGGTAATTGCATTTCCTCAATTCTTTCACATTCGCCTTCGGCTTCATGTTGATTGTGAACTTTCTTTGCGTCTCTTCGGCCTTCAAAATTCCGCGGCATTTCTTTGGATTCGATTCCTCAATATCTTCACAAGTGTTGCCGCCGTATCCAGTAGGACAACTGGAAAATCGTCCACCTCCCTAGCTTGTCAGATTAACGCAATTTCGACTTACATGCACATGTTACAATGCCGCGGATTCTGATAGCCGCCATTCGTGCAGTTTAGACGATTTTTACAATTTTTCGAACACTCGTAATGCCGATTAATCTTGGCGACATCAAGGAACGAAGGACCACGAAATTGGCCCATCGTCGTTTGAAGATTTCGATCATTCGCGATTATCGTCGCACTTCCGTCGATTGAAAACCTTTAGAAAACTCCAAAAAATTGTTCGAAATTCTAGACATCATACTCATTCGGCTTGTAATGCATCACACTTCCAATATCGTATGTCATTCCGTACGTTTCCATATTAGATGGTCCAACTTTCGCAAAATCATAATAATTCCTTTGTGCGATTTTCTTTGTGTTGATTTTCACATAAAGATCGCGATCGTAGCGGGATTGCTCGTGGAAAAGTCCAAGAGCGTGAGCGACTTCGTGAGATGTGATTCCGAACTGAAAAAAAAAACAAAAAAATATATATTTAAGAAAATATAAAAATAAAAATTTGAAATATATTTGTAAATAAATTGTTAGAGAACAAAAACGAAACTCGAACGTTCGAAATTTCAGAATTTTAGTTAATTTGCTCAGTTCACATTCTCACCAGTTCACATCCTTTTCCAATATTCAAAATTTGTCCCTTTTGATTGGAATCCCTTCCGACCGTACTCCAACAACCATCGTCATTTCCAGATAATAGAAGGTATACCTAAATTGAATCATTTCGCGAATCCAATAAACATTATGAGATTCTAACGCCTTCATTAGTTCTTGGCTTAAATGTCACACACGTATTTTGTTGCCAAAAATTGATAGCGGCTTGAAGGGAATTTTTTGCACTCGCGGCTGAAAATGAGTATCATGTCCGTCTGTTAGTAGTCGTGCGAATTTGGTACATAAACTATTGTGGAACACATAAGGAACATGAGGTTTCCAAATCGTTTTTGGATATTCTGCATTTTTGAAGGCGGTTCGCTTGGATCGAGGCTTCTGACGCTTCAAATGTTCGCTCACAATGCTTTTCAAGTGCGCTCGCGACAAATGGATGTCGCCTTGAAACAGAAGATCTCTGAAATATTCAACGCATTCAAACGTTTTCGAACTATTTTTTACTGTTTGTATCGATTCAAATGTGAAATACTCTTGACTTTATCACGTAGAGCATACTTCGGAGGTGTGTATGGAATCGAATCCTAAAAAAGTTGAATCGAAATTCGAATGATCATTAAAGTTTTCGAGACTGTGCCAAAATGTTTCTTAAAAACACCAAAAATAGAAATAATTTTGTTCATATTGTCCGAAGCTCCTTCTTTAATCAAGTTTTGAGGAAAAAGATCAAGTTCAAAAATGTGGAACCATTGCGAAGATGCAAGTGAGTGATAGAACAGGAAAGGTGTGAAATATAGTGACGTCACTTGTTTGGATCATCGGATAAACGAAGAATTACTAGTTTTCGGTTTTTATATGTTATACATTCGAATGAACAGTTAAATTGAATTTGAATTGAAATAAAATAATACTTACAAAGTGTTGCTCAATGGAGTCAAGCTCAAAAATCGAAGAGAGAATGTCGCGCAGCTGGTATTGCTCGTATGGATTCACAAGGTCCCGCAGCTAAAACTCGGTCACAAATCGGTATTTCGGATCGTTTCAAACGACGAACCCACTTTCGGTATATTTTCGTTCTGTGTAATCACGATTCCAAAGCATAGCGTGACCAAGAGTATTGTGGGCATTTCAAGACGAGTCCGATATGAAATGATGTCGATGATGGTATTCGAACGTTTTTGACCAAAAACGAAAGAAAAACAAAATCAGCACGATGACCGCGTAGAAATGTCTACAATAGGGCGTCAAATTCACGGATAGAGTGGACAGATTGAGAGAAGCCGTCGGGCGGGGGCGGGGGCGGATATGAAAGCGAAAATATGCCAATGAGGGCCAATGAAGACGCAATCATTTTTGCGAATGCGCACGGATTCTACAATCATTTGGCATTGGCAACAATTTTCGCGCGATCGGTTCACCGATCGAACCTAAACGACATTCGGAGCGGTTTAATTCGATTTCGATCGATCATTTGTTCATCCAATGGCACATCATTGATGCTGAACATTGTTATCTCACTGAATCGACCAACATGTTTTTTATCATCAGCTTCCTACTACAAAGAATGAGACGATGAGTGAAGAGAGTGGAAGAACGGCGAGAGATGAAAAAAAAAATGAAATGTGCTATAGTGAGAGCTCGTGCTCTTTTCTGCCAGAAGGCTGATTGAGACCGACTCATATTGCTACACATTTTTCAAAAAATGTTTCATTTATTATAGAATTTGTTGATGAAATTATTTTAATTTCGAATAATTAAATATAATTTTTGAAATTAACTTGGCGAAAAATAAAATAAATTATTTTTCCGTCGAATGCTTCTAACTGTAGAATAATATCTGTAATCTGTGACTTTTTCATTAATTAATCTCAAAATTACGACTCACTTCTTCTTTTGAAAAAAAACCAAACTTTTTTCTGTAAATTAAAGATATTGTTTGATCTAAACATTATTTCAACAGGTTCTAATAAATTACAATTTCTTGAATGACAATTTTGTGCTATTTTGGAAACGCACTCCAGATGGTATATTTTCTTTAAACAAAAACACAAGTCTATAGTGTTTCTTTTTTTGCATAGTCTTGCAATTTCGCGTGTAAGACATTTCAAAAATTCGTAATGTTAATTAATTTTCCCTTGGCAAATGTTTGTTTTTACCAAGAAATCAACTTTTCGATTTCAAAGTCTTTCGCGCTCTCTGTCGGCGCCGGTGAGGCGTTGTTGCAGATGACGTTCAGATGCGCGAAATCCGGTACGATAGGTGTGTCATTTCGAATCGGTAATCGTTCTTCGGGTGTAATAATCGTCAATGCTGTTTGTTTCAAATCTCGAACAGAAACGTAAAAAAAAAACATTTGAGAAAAGATTAAAGATGATGTGAAGAAACTGTTTTCTGTTGAAATTCTTGTTACTAAAATAATTAATAAATATGTATTTGAGTAATTCGATTTGGATAATAATAATTGTTTAAAAAAGAGCTCTTATTCAAGTTGATATTACTTTCCATAATCAGTACTTTCGTTTGTCCGCAAACATATTTTCCCTTTTCCATCCATGATTCACTTCTTATTTGCCTTTAGGCACAGTTTTGTACACACGCTCAATTTTGTACTTTTTATTTTGCAGTTAAAAATGTCCGACGAGCAGGTATCGACTTTTACTCAAAGTAAAAAGAAAATGTAGAAATATTTCGAAAAATTGAAAATATTTAGTCCGTCAGAAGCTCATGTCCGCCGAGGATGAAGCATTGGCACAAAAACTTCAAGCAAAAGAATTCGAAGAGTATGAACTGAGATCGAATCTTGCCAATTTCTAAACAACTTTAGACATTATGAGAGAAATCGAAAAGTGAATGGAATGATTGTTGAAGATCGCAAAAAATCGAAGGAAGAGCAGAAAAATGAAGATGAGCTTTCAGTTGAAATTCGACGTCTTCGAAGCCAACACAGGTTCATTTATTCACATATATCTCTCTTATTTGAAGTCAGGCATTTAAAGAATGTGTAAGGACGAGGAGCTCGCAAGATGGTTACAAGAAGAATATCGACTGGAGACTGAAAAACAGTTAGCAAATGAGGCACAGTTGAATGAAGATGAAGAATTGGCATGGAAGATTGCGAATGGGTAAACATTAACGGCGAATCTATAGATGGAGACCGTTTTCAGACATTTCGATCCGGATGTGCCGGCAAGCAGCACAACAAGCCAATAATTTACTTTACTTCTTTGTTTCATTTTTTAAGATTTTTAAAAATACGCCATTAAAATCATTACGAAAGTTTACCCGTGCAACTCAACTTTCATTCTTAAAGGGCACTATACCAAAAAAATTAAATTGTTTCAATCCAATATATTCGTCCCGAAGTAATATATTGTATACTAAATTAATATTTATTGAAATAAACGTTGAACGCAAAAAACCAGGATTTAAATAATGCCTTGGCAAAAAAAAAACCGCGTCCGAACACAATATTTCAGGCAAAAAATTTACAGAACCGTCGATCAATATTTTACACGGAAGTTGACCCAAATACAGGAGTGGAGATTGGGAAAAAAGACAGAGAGAGAAAAAACAATCTCGGAAAAATCAGCGAAAACTCTGCTGAACGACACAAATTCTTTTGAAGCCATCAAAGTCTGCACAGAATTTCAGCAGCATTTGTGCGCTCCTTCAAGAAAGCTTTCGCAGGCTTTTAGCAGACTCTACCCAGTTTCTAATATAGACTCTGCTGAAGGTCTTCGCAAACTCTTCACGACTTTAACGAGATATTGTTAAGCTGCAAACAATAACTAAATGTGGTAAATACATATGGGAAGACTATTATATAGGAAACACAAAAGGAAATTGGGTAGTTTTGAAGGGATCGAGATCATCAGTGGAAAACCGAGAAACGTATAGAAGACTACACTAAATCAATTGTGACAAGAAATACATATTTCGAATTTACGGCATACTTTTTTTCTTTTTATTCTTCTTCGTCGAATCCAATTTATGCGGACTACGAGCAGTTTTGGTCTAAAAATCAGGTTTAAGAAAACATTTTTTCGTTAATAATTTGGTATTACTTTGGCTCGTTGCCACTCTTCGTCTTCGACTTTGCTCTGCATTTCTTTGTGATATTCCTCTTCCTTCGCTACAATCGCTTCCATTCGTTGGCGTACTTCATCCGAATAATAATTGCGAAAGACTGACTCAGCAGAACAATATTCAAATGCCGTATACACATGAAGTAGTAGCTGGAATAATGCATTTTGAAAGAATTAATGTAATCATCGCAACCTTTGGAAATCTCGAAGTAAAATAATAAAGAAATTGATCAGGTAATTCTCCAAGCGAATTTTGAACTTCTTTCGGCAATTCTTGATAATGATGTTTTTTATTTCGCATTGCTCGAAGAAGGTCTCGTACCGAAAATGATTTGTAGGTGCGAAACTTTCGAAGATCTGAAAACACGACATCCAAATAAGTAAGGAAGAGCAGAACGATATTTGATATTTCATTAAATTCACCTTCACGCAGAGCATCGCAAATCTTATCCCGCCAAGATCCGCATACAAAAACTGCTTCACATTCAAGACGTCTTACAACAGGACAATCGTCAGATTCTTTCTCGACACGATCCGACACATCCTAAATTATTTTCGCATAAATTTAGGTCGTATTGAATATATACCGAAAAGAATGCTAGTCGTCTTTCAGCCGACCAGAAGAATGGATGAATAAGCACATGAGAAGAAAGAGGTCGTTCAGATGGTTCATGAGCGATCATCGATGAAATTAACTTCTCAGCGAGATGGTAGTCTAAAATAAATAATGTGGAAAAACGCATAATCTCAAATTCGAAATACCATCAAGAAGTTGCAGTTTGTCCAAATAGACTTGTTTATTAATGATATTTGATTGGCGTTCTATTGGCGTACCGAATGGATGTTCGCCATTTGATAAAACATAGTAAAATATGCAGCCAAGAGAAAAAATGTCAACTGGGTAAGACTGGAAACATAATAATTCTTACCATAAATACAACGACGATGATTTTTACCGTGCTATTCGAATTGATCGCTTCAGGTGCAATCCATCCATCAGTTCCCACCAATCCCGATGTTAGTCCGATTGATATCGAATTCTTGCCAGGTTGAACTTTCTTACAGAGCCCAAAGTCGGAAATAACAGTACGCATGACACCGCTTTGATTCGCCGAAGTAATTAAGACGTTTTGTGGTTTAATGTCGCGGTGTACTGCAAGTTTTAATTGTTTCAGAAGCAAAAAAAAACACACTGAGATTTTACCAATTTTTGAAGCATGAAGATGTGCTAACCCATCAGCAGCTTGCCGCAAAATTTCGATTGATGATATTTTAACTGCCCTCCGAACTTCATCATTGTCAACGTAATCATTCAGCGAAGCAATACAAAGCTCGAGAGCCAAATACCGGAATTGGCTGTCGGCTTCCTGAAAATAAACTTCAATGAAATTATGTTAATTATGTAATTTTTTTCTACCATGCAAAAATAGCGAATAACATGCTGATGAGCATCGCTCTCCCTCAGTAAATCTGCTTCGCGATGCGCAAATTTGACGAATTCCGAGACAACTCGCTTTACCGCAACATCTCTGCCATCAAATTTGCCCCTGAATTATATATTTTATTTTTAAAATTATCAATGTTAACCAATTACTTGTAAACGACAGTTCCTTGACATCCTCTTCCTAAAATATCTTTTGGGTTGTATTGAATTTTTCCGGTAGACATCCATCCTTCGGGAACCTTTAACTAATCAATTTCAATTGAACACGTTAGCAATTCTTTACATTCGAATAATCCCTTATTCTGAAATCGGTCAGACTACTATTCGATTGACGTGACGTCTGTGCTTCGCCGTTAACAGCCATTGCTGAGGAAATTGCAGACGAGTGTCCCCACTAAATCAGGAATAATTTGATTGTTCAAAACCGGCCTTCAATTTGAATTTCCCTACCTGCTTTCCACACATCCATACGACAGAAAAGAACAGGACAAGAATTGTAAACGTGGCGATCAGGAGTTGTTTCGGATATTTCTCGTAGATCGCTTCAGCGATTGAAAAGAACGACAAGTCGTCATGACGAATATTTTTGGATAGCAATTTATTTTTTGGTTCGGGTCCAGCTAACTAAAATGATACTATAATCACATTTTTCAAGCCAAACTGGACTTGGAGAAGCTGACGGCTGATGAAAGCTATTCAATTTTCGAGCATGCGTCTTTCGTTTTAGTCTCGTCACATGTCTAGAAATCTATTCAAAAAGAAACCAAACCATATGATCTGTTGCCAGATTAAGAAAACTTCTACGATAAATAACTAATATAAAACTCGCCTAGTACTAAAAATTCGCCCTCAATCGTCTTATGTGTTATCGAAAGTATATCGGTAACAATTGGCCTTTTTGGGGGAAGATAGTGCTCAATTTCTTCCTTCTGTAAATAAGCATCGACATGTTTCGTGAACGTCATTTTCGAACAAAATACCGATAAAGCAATCGGAGCAGATCCTTCAAGAAGAGGTGGCCCAAGAAGTTTCGGTGAATACGTGATGGTGTGATGATCGACGAGAACATCAATCGCATAGAGACCGTATGGAGATTCTCCTACATAAAGTGCAGGAAAGAAGGAATGCGTCAGCGATGTTGTTCGGGGATCAGAAGACGATACTCCAAGAATACTTGTCCATTCTTCCATCGAATACACGCTCTGGAAAGAGAGTTCAATTAACAAAATATTACAATCGCAAAAACCCGAATTTCCATCGTTTAAATTAAAAATTGAATTACCGCTTCTTTAATAGCGAAATGATTCACAATTATACAAGATGGTCGTTTTCTTGACACGGTAGTATTTGATTTATAATGCAATCCGATAATAAAACACCAAAAAGAAGCGATTTGATGTTACAGTTTTCTCAGAAAGATTGGTTCCAAAAGCCCACACTTTGCTAATCACCTCAATGAAAATTGTGTTGACTCTCTCCACACACCATTTATCAAAATCTTCTCACTCGTTTGATTTATGTGCAACCCCGGACCCGTTCATCTTTTCAATCGTTTTCCCACTTCTATCAACTGATTGCCACCCATCAATTGAGAATATCGAAGCGTCCGACCTCTCCAATCATCATCATTAAGATCTTACGAATGAGCAATTCGAGAATCGTGTTGGACAATTGAAACGTACACTAATAAATACGCACAACACACGTAAAATTTACACACGCCCTCAAACAAATTCGTCGCCTCGCCGATCATCTAGCAAAAAGAGTCGTCCCTTCGAATATCAACTGTTGCCGTCTTGGTTAGATATCATCTCTCTCCGGAAAACATATACACACACAAAGTGGAAAAATGAAAGGACCACGGCGGCAGCGATGAGGACAACGGCGACGACGACATTGGTTCTTCGCAAAAATATGATGGCACATATCTCGACGTATTTTTAGTTTGTTTCTTGTTGTGTTACGTTCGTCATCGCCCTCCACAACGTTTTGGAAATCAAAAATTAGGAAAAAAAAAACCATCCCCAATTTCAAGAACAATGTTGAAAATTTTACATAGTTTTAGAGTTTAGAAATCTCATAAAATTGATATGATATGTGAAAGTCTTACAAGAAATGAACAAAAATGAATATCTTGAATAAGAAAACGAAAGCAAAAAGTACAAGGAGCCGTTTTTCGGAGGGTTCTTAAAACACAATTTCTGATTTTTGGATTAATCCATTCTCACTTAATTACAGATTTTTTTTTACAATTATTTCTGAATAAATTCTTTTGGTATCAATACTTCCAAAGACGGCTCTGTCGTCAGTAGAAAGAAACTTCTTTCATATTTGACAATATCTGAATCTTAATTTCAAATAAATAGAACTTCTTTACCTTCTATAGCAATAAAACTTGATGATGTTGCCATTAGAACAGAATATGTTATTAATTCTAATATTTTTGAGAACAATATTCAAAACGTGAATACGTAATTCCTTTGATATCATATTTGAGACAATAATATTACACTTTGACTGTTTCGGATATTTCGAACCCATTTTGTACGGTTATAACAAAGATCACATTAGATTACACTTCTCAGATGTTTTTTACAACCATTGTTATATACTGAGGAACAAGGTGTTCGAAGCACGAAACCATTTCTCATACACCAATATAATATAGCTAGTAAGATTCGAAGACAATCAAATCAACCGTGCTATGACAATTCGTCATAAGTTATGTGCGTGTGTGTGTGTGTTTGTGTGTGCAATAGTGACACCCGTGAGCGCTCGCCATTCTCACTTGTCCACTCATTTTCTCAGCATTTTGTTAGATTTGCAACATTTTTGGGCGAAATGAAGACTTTCATGATTCCGAAATTCATTAATCATTCGAATCATTGACACGACAACGACGTCGAAAGCTCGATTTTAAATCAAATCGCAATCAGTCAGCAATTTGCCCTCATTGATCAGGATATTTGAGAAATCAACTTTTTCTATCTCTCTAGGATTATTCTTGATTTTTTGATCCCATCCATCCTTCTTATAACTTCATAGTTTGTCAATTGCTACTCGTTGTAACAATTTAATTCTCGGTAGCATTCCGTGAACTGTTTCAAATGGGACTATGGATGATGAAGCACCATCCTTAAACAAATCAGACACCAATGAGCAACAGTTAAAAGGAGCTCGCTGGGCTCAAGACCAGAACAAGAAGAATCTGTCGTTCGAGAAATCCGGGGCATGGAGGTCGTCATTCGCAGGTATATTTTGATCGTGGAATCAATTTCAAGACAAACATAGAATGCGTTAGCGGAATTGAATATCTGTAGGAACTCGAAATGCGTCGGAGGAAAGCAAGAATATTCGATTCGCGTACGACGCGCCGTCGCCACAAGCGTCGCCTCGACAGAAGCGTGGATCCGATTGGCGCACGGTGGCACGTCGGTTATCCGTCAATCCGGAACTGCTCAGGAAGCATGGTGGGTTCATCACTAAGTACAACACATTAGTGAGTCGATGCCATCGTCATAACTCATGTTTCCCGTCAAAAATTCGAGTTTTTTTTGCATTCTTTGCGAGAGTAATTTCTGTCTTGAAACCGAGAGAGCAGAACAAAACAAAAAAGAACACACACACACAGCACATCTCACAAATACACAATTCAAAACGACAATCACCCATACATCAATTTCTCAACACCCTTTCGGCAAACTATTACTCTGAGTATATTAATTACCATAACAATAATGAACAATAAGAACCACAAACGGACAACACCATTGCTCGACTTCCATACACACCACGGTAACCTTATTTGATTAACTCAAAAATTTCATGTTTTTTGGAAAAGCTTGAAACTCGATGCATTTTTTCACACTATATTAGTATTTCTGAGTGAATCAGCTCATTAAAAATAGTAAAGAAAGTGTTTTCTTGACGGATAACATCAATAACCCCATTAAATCTAATTAATAAGAAAATGGACTTAACTATTTTATTCTAGTTCACGAAAATAATAATTCCTTAAAAACAAAACAAAAAATTGAAAAAAAAAACCGAAATAATGAGGAACGGCTGACTTCGTTCAATTTTTGATAACAATTTCTATTGTAAATGTTACTTTCGAACACATTTATTAGGGGATATCAAGTTGAGATCGCAGAGGCGAGTAGTAAAAAAAAACAGAACTACTTATTGGATATCAATTGTTCTAATCAGAAAAAAAGTAATAGTGAATGATTTTTATATAAAATGAGGTTTTAATCGGTGCACTCGAGAAATTTAACACGAAGAGACACACTTTGGCAACAAATCACCTCGAAACAATCAGCAGCTCATCGCGTTTAATTCGACGCACAGACGCGTCATTGACACACGTATTCTCGCACATCCATTTGTTTTGATCCGCCTTTCGGTCATTAAATAATCGCTTTCGAGTTTTTGGCACCCGACGAAACCCGAAAAACTAAGAAAATACCCGAAATTGCGATCAATTATCCGTCCGTTCGCTAGCCTCAAACCCCCTCTCGGCAAATATTTTTGCCATCAAGCTCTTGTCCGACGCCCAACCGGCCATTAATCGGACATTTTATTTTCTACCAACCACCCTCTAACTACATTTCTAGCACTTCATCCCACCCCCTCCCCCCACTGCTCCATATATTATTATTCTTTGTATTAGAAGAAGACCACGACGATATCTCGAATCAGAAGCGATTATCAAAACGCCGAACACGACGAACATTTTTCTTGCTCTACTATTACAATAGTTTGTCAACGAATTGAATCAAACAGATATTTCGGCTCACACAAAAAACCACGAGTTTTTGGTCCGGTCGCCAATATTTTCTCGTCGTTCACGATATGCTTTTCATTCTTTTGCGGACGCTTGTTTAATTCGTGAGCATCATCACCAAATATGGCCGAAGATCGCATCAAATCGAAAATGCGGCGACCGCAATCCGTCGAATCACATATTTCGCGACACAATCAACAGCATCGTCCGTCGAAAACCATCGCGATGCTCATGCCGCCTTTAATGTTCGGCGAATCGTTTCGAAAGTATCGCAGAAACGGTATAGTGTCCTATAGACATACATATATTGATTTATTTCTCTACCTTATTTTAATTGACAATTAAAACTAATCAAGTGATATAGCCTGCCGGCACAAATGATATTTTCGATTATTTCACCAAATTTTCTTTGTGCACTTAACCAGTTGTCGATGGTCCATTAATTTTTCGAGTTCGAAAAACTCAACAACTGATCAGTGCAGTCTGAAAACGTTTTCGAAATGTTGGAGAATTTATATTGAGATATACAGTCGGGGTCCGGCTACTGGTGTACGCGGGTAGATTTACGCGCATGCGTCTCGCCACCCGTGAATGCTTATTTTGCCGTTTTCACGTGAACTGCTTCATTTTTCTTGATGAGTTTGGCATTTCTTGAAATTTCTAACGTCGTTCGATTTAAAAATTATCGATAAAATGCGAAATAACCTGTACGTCCGTGCGAGACCATTTTCGAAAGACGCATCCCCGTAAATCTACCCGTGGCAGTCGCCGGACGCTAACTACATGAGATTTCGTAAAAATATTGAATGCATTGTTTTCCTTAAAAATAACAAAAAAAGAGAACTGAATAGTAGAAGATTGACGCGGTATGTTGCAAAGAAGAAGTGCTAGTTTTTTTTCGTTGAAGTGAAAATTACAAAATGTGCTATATCTTCGAAATCTGATATCACAAGTCAAAGACAAAAGAGACTACTTTTACAATTTTTTCGGCCGCATTCGCTCAAAAATCTCTCTTTAAAAATAGCATTTTAACATTATGATAACGGAAAATAGAATTCCTCAAACAAATGATGAGCTTCTACATAATAATGGTGCAAATCATATTCGAAGAATTAGTGTTGGTAAGTTTTATGTTTCAAAAAAAAATCCGAATTGATTGGCAATTCACCAATATTTTTATTTTCAGGTCTCCGAAATATTCGAATGACTGGCCATTTAAATTGGAAAGAGATAAAGCATAGGTAAAAATTCAATAGAAAGTGATTAAAAATCGATCTTTTACAGGTTCGAAAAGCAATCAACATTTCACGGAATCTCGCATGCTGCTACAGCCCCATCAAAACAATGGCAATGGTATTTTATTATATAATTTGTGAAATTTCAAAAAAAATTAATTTTAGGTTTTGGTACGCAGCATTTGGGATATGTTTATGCGCCCTACTTATTCAAATATTCTTTGTGATCTCCAGATATAGATTATATGAAAAAACGGTTGATCTCGATGTAAGCCATTTTACGAATTTTCCCCAAATTTCGTATTTAATGTTAATTTTAGCATGTTTAAAAATTATGAATAAATTTATTCAAAAATTTCCATGTCAATTTCTCAATTTTTAACGTCAAAAATTGCAGTTAAAATTTGAAAACGCTCCATTTCCGTCGATAACAATATGTAATTTGAACCCTTATAAACGAAGTGCAATTCAAGCGAATCCCAGTACGCGAGCAATGGTATTTTTCGATTTTATTGTTTCGGTCATCTTTCGAAATTTCCAGATAGAAGCATACACAAGAAAAATTGGTTCCGGCGAGAAATCGGAAGGTATCGCCGCCGCTTTATCACATCACGGCGCACTTCATGCCAAAGGTTTGATCCGCTAATTTTTTTCGTTATCGTTCAAATGATGAATGCGAAAATATCGCTGAGTCGAAAGATGAATGAATGCTTGTCGAAAAAAATCACTGACAAATTTCAGTGCGAAGGGCAAAACGGAAAGCAAAGGGAAAAGCGCGTTTGAGAGATCGACGATATCATCAGGCTCTCGCTCAATGCTTATGCGATATTAATCCGATAAGTGCTGAGAGAAAAGGTATCATTATAACTTATAATAAACTAATTATAAATTTAGGATCGTGTTTTGCTGCATTCAAAGGAAAAATTGAGATCGATACCAACACGACCTTCGGACTTTGGAATCTTCACACTTCGAGATGTCTCTGCCAACTCGATATGGTTTCTAAAACCCTTTGGCCGTGCTTTCCATGTAAGACATCGCGAGTACATGAAACATGAAATCAAAACGAATTTCCAATTTGAAGATAGTTCGTGGAAAGAAAAACTATGTTCTGAATGTGTTGACAGCACGGGACACTGTCCGATGAGGTTCTATAAAGGAAACGAGGCTTATGAGAATATCAAAGATCAAGTTGATTTAAAACAATTTTTAGACACTGAAATATCAACAAATTTAGGTCGATTTGTGTCTTTGTCACAAGGAATACAACCATTGTGTGTCAACAAGAGATGACGGAGTCATCATAGAAATCGATCCAAATGAGGAGATTAACAACATCGATATTGGGCTCAAGATCGCCAATCAGTTGTTAGAAGCGGAGAAAAAAGCGGCTACGACAACGACAACCGAAGCTCCAGCAGTAACGGAAGCACTCGGACTAGAAGTATAAAAACTATAATTGAAAGTGATCTATCTAAATTTGTAGGAGCTAAATGATGATATTGCGATTACTTCACAAGCCCAAGAAAATCTCATGTTCGCCGTAGGTGAAATGAGCGAGTCTTCAAAGGAAACAATGTCTTACAATATGGACGAACTCATTCTAAAGTGTTCTTTCAATCAAAAAGATTGCAGTTTAGAACGGTTTGTGGATCACAATTGCTCGCTCTTTTTTACACTAGAGATTTATTATAGAGACTTTAAACTTCATTACGACAACACATTTGGCAATTGTTACACTTTCAACTTTAATCGAACAGCTGAGGTCTCATCGCACCGTGCTGGAGCAAATTACGGTAATTTGTTCAAAAAGTGCTTAAATGTTGATAAATTTAAAGGATTGCGTGTCTTACTCTACGCCAATGTCAGCGAATATTTGCCAACAACCGAAGCCGTTGGTTTTCGAATAACTGTGCACGATAAATTCACGGCTCCGTTTCCGGACGCTTTTGGATATTCTGCTCCAACCGGGTTCATGTCGTCATTCGGCGTTCGATTAGTACAATTTATCATAAATTATTTTAATATTTCACGTATTTTTTTTAGAAACAATTCATTCGTCTAAAACCGCCTCATGGTCAATGCAGCGATGGTGGTGAAGACTCAATTCATTTCGTCTATACTGGATTCAATTATTCTGTCGAGGTTGGTGCAATAAAAATTACTTATGCACTGATTTCATTTAACTATTGATAGGCATGTCATCGAAGTTGTGCACAAAAAGTGATGATTGAGAAATGCGGATGTGCTGATCCGATGTATCCGATTCCCAAAATCCATATGGATAAGGGGATCAAGGCATGCCAAGCAATAGATATGATTCAACGTGAATGTCTTCGGAATACTACACTTTACCTCGGCGAACTCTATTCGAAGGGAAAAGACGTCATTCCCGATTGTTTCTGTCATCAACCGTGTCAGTAAGTGTTTAAATTCCGACATATGGCTTCATAAAACTTCAATTTGATATTGAACAAAAAAGCACAAAATTTAAATTTAAAGAGAAACAAATTATGAGGTAACCTACTCGTCAGCCAGATGGCCATCAGGATCGGCAAAAGTGATGGAGTGTTTGCCGGGAGATTTGATGTGTCTTGAGAAATACCGGAAAAATGCAGCCATGGTTCAAATTTTCTACGAGGAATTGAATTATGAGACATTACAAGAAAGTCCAGCGTATTCGGTAATATTTTTGGCACAAAAATGTGAATTTTTGCGCATATTTAAGCTTACTTCTGTTCTTGCTGACGTTGGTGGTTTGACGGGTTTATGGATTGGAGCCTCAGTCGTTTCATTACTTGAAATATTCACTCTTGGAGTCTTTTTAACGCAATCCTATGTTCGGAAACGTAAAGGGTAAAAGAGTTATTCGATAAAGTCTATGAATACCAGGAAAACGTAAGAGCCAAGATTTTAATGAAACATTCAGGTCAATATCTGCTCAATCTCATCACAGCATACCGACGCACAAATCTTCACGAGTGTCTCTCAACACGATTCACAAGAGCAGCACTTCTCAAAGCATCAAACTCTCAGTTGTCGATCTACGATCTGTGCGTTCCATGCATTCAAACCACTCTTCTAAATCAAAACAGTCAATACTAATTGAAGATCTTCCACCTGCGATTCAAGTATGTTCCCTTTTCGGAATCAAATTTACATTCTTTTTCAATTCAAAGGAACAAAGCAACGATGACGAGGAAGATGAATCAACAACTGAATCATCTCGAACAAACGCTTCATGCCGATATTTGGCTCCCGGTGAAGATTTGCCGTGTTTGTGCAAGTACCATCCAAATGGAACAATTCGGGTTATGAAGGCGTTATGTCCAGTTCATGGATACATGGTTAGGAGAAACTACGATTACAGGTATACCAATTTGCGTAAAATGGAATCTACTTATTATTTACAGTTTATCAAACAGCGAAGAAGAGCAAGAAGACGAAGTTCATCAAGAAGAGCCATATTTCTCGGAACCGTTTAGGCGAAGGTAGCAAAAATTACCGAGCAATTATGAAACATCGTCGCCGCAAGCGATTTGGACTGACTTCTCAAAGAATTGTTTAAAAATACATGAATTATTAACACTCAAAATTAGGATTTCGATAGTTTGTGGTGCTAGACTCGTCCTATGTTCGAACCCAGCCACGTCTTCTCAAATAAATTCTACAATTTGCAGAAGCACAAAATCTCGTCGCTCATTAGGAGAAACTTTGCATATGGAAGCACATAATGATCCAAATGATGGCGGAAGAGATGATCCCGAAAACTGATTTCACACAATTAAATATATTCAATAAACTCACAATACGGTGTATCTCGATTTTTACGTTAGTTGAATAATGTTCAAACACGGTTATCAAAGTCAGACATGTGTACATCTTATTGTTCAATTTGTTCTGTTTTTTTTTTGTTGCATTTTGTCTGTCTTTCTAGTTTCTCAATACTGGTCATAAATCCATTATCGTGTCCAACCTTATTTTCCAAAAGCAAAACTACTCACCTTCGCAATATTCTCCATTGTTTCTTTTCCCATCACTTTGAAATCGAGCTTATGTAGGCCGTCTTGTTCCAACAGGTACAAAGCGACGATGGGAACTTTCAGATCTTCCTCCCATCGTACTTCACCTAGAAAATTTTTAATTGGAAATTATTTGATTTGTCAATATAAGCCCTATGAATGCAAAATAACCGGTTAGACCACGTGAGATCGTAGTTTGTACGTACTTTTACCATACGGAAAATTGTGCCTAATTTTTTTTTTACATTTTGCCAATTTTTCGCAGTCGCGCGACATTTTTCATTGAACACACAATTAAGTAAGAAATGACCTGTATTTTTGTCAACCGCAAGCAAATTTCCTGTAGATGACGAAACGTAGTGTTTCAGTGGATAATTGTTGTTTTCTAAATATGTAATAATAAGTTTATATGTAATTTAATAAATCTTTGAGTCACCAGGGAGAAGATGGGCGGTATAGTCATTGAATGTTGCATTCCATCGGTTGTTTTCGAGAAACATCGACACATGATACTCGGTTCGCCCTGAAAATGACAATTTACTCATTTTGTCGACATTTTATAGTTCGAATGATAAGTTGTACAGCTAAAATCTGCATCATTTCTAGATAATTGCTCGATTGGGTTTTTTGTTAAAATATTTTTTTTTACTTTTTACACACCTAAGTATATGGTCTGTTTCTGGTTAGCGGGGCAGATTCTTTCAGCAGATGCTGCTGATAATGTTTCCACCTAAATAATATTTAAACAACATAATTTAATGATTTTTTTTTCTTTTCTTACTTTTATCCCGGTTTCTGGATCAATGCCGAACCAAACATCTTTTTTGCTGCCTAAAACGCAATAAAATTTTATGAATATTTTCATTTCTCTTTAAATTGTCACATTTGTAAACAATTCATTAAATACTTCTTTCTTTTAAAAGTACCTGCATAACGAACTCCATCGTTTCCTGTACACGGAGCCGCGTGAACGAGTTGAGGAATATTGAAAGGAAGTTTTTTCAAACTGCTATCTTTTAAAGAATAAAGAGACCCGTCCAATGGATTCGGTAAAAACGTAAAGCCCTGTTTAACATTTGTTGGCGAACGAAGTACTGGCTCTGAAATGACATTTGTTTGAATTAAACGCACGTAAATATTTATTATTTTACCTTCTTCCATTATCCATTTAATTTTTCCTGTATTGATATCTAACGCATTTAATCTACCATCCATAGTTGAAACAAGGATCGTTGAAAATGTGGTATCACTTTTAACGTTCTCGGTATTCACGTTTTCCTAAAACTTCAAGTGTTCCTTAATACACTTTCATACTTACATTTTTAAAACCGGGTGGTTCTGAACTTGTGGGCATTACTAGCCAGAAAACTAACAATATCCATAATTTAAATCGCATGACTTTAGTGATACAGTCATAAAGGTAAATGTCGGAAGGAAATGAGCCTAAATTAACTTTATGTACATAAATGCATACAACAAACGTTTGAAAACACAATAACGGACAATACACAAATGATTTTGTCTATAATTATTATTTAAAGATTCTTGTTAAATATAATGATTAGAGTACGTAAATAAATATTGCGAAAGAAATGTTATAATGCGTGTAATAAATGGATTTTAAATTATGTGTACGGTTCACATTCAAAGTCCGCATTCGAGCGGCGCGCAAATTTGCGGACCAGTTAACAAAGAAATTTGCACATGGGATGACGCTTTAACAACACAATAATTCATTAAAGAAATTGTAAAGTCTAATGAAATGTGCTAAATAAAATATTCCAATGTTACAAATTAAAAACATCCGCCGATATTGATTATTATATGAATAATTTTAAAAGAAGTACCAAATTTGAATTGATTTTTTGTCGAAAGTATGCAGGGCAACATTTTTGCAATTGGCTAAATCAATGTTTGATAATAGTAAACTCTTATTTCGAAAACATAAGAAATTTGAACTATGAAAACTTCTAATTATGTTTTATCGTGGCGAGACATGATAGGTAAATTTACCGTGCGCCTTTTCTACAGTAGTATTTCTTTAGCTTCTCTGCGCATCTTTCAAAACTAATTGCAATCAGTTTTCACCCAAATTCGAACTTTCTAAAAATTTCCAGATTTTCCTCTTTTTTGGAATTTTTCTGGCGCTGTTCTTTTTTAACAACGAACGTTTCTTACTTTTTTTGAAGTTCATACATCTATTTACTAGCCTACAAATATTGACAAGTTAATGTTTAATGGGATTTTATATTCAGATTCGAGATTCGAAATTTTTCGATGCAAGTAATTTTCGAAAAGTAAAAATAACTGAAACAAGAGTTGTTGTCGATAATTTTTCATTTTACATTACTGATTTTATTAATTCATTATTATTTATGTAAGGAAATGTGAGACCCGACTTACTTGGGCTACTCTCAAAAATAATTTGACGTTTTATATAAAGTATAGTCAGCACTGCACTGAGTATGGGTGTAAATTTATAGCTATCCCCATATTGTATGGACCTATTCATGAAATGTGTTTTTTTTTACAAAAAATGTAAATAATTACATTAAATTTGCATTTTTAACCCTACATTGGAGAAATGTGCAATTAAAAAAAATGTTTTTTATTACATTAATAAGTCCATTCGTCGCCAGACGCCAACTATATTTAATTAATATATTTAAAAAGGAATTAGGAGATGATATTGGTAACAAATGCTTTGAAGATTCGTGCAACCGGAACGTGGAGTTTTGAATCATTTCTTAGCAAAATTCACTGAATAATCCGTGGGAAGAAGAGGGAATCAATATATGGTGGGAAAAATAAAATACTCTAAATTCAGCATGACGTTTTCGAAGTAGAATTAATAAAACGAAGTCCATAGAATGTGCGAAATGATACCGAATTTGACAGCTGAAAGCTTTTTAAGTTTATCGGCTTATCACCTGCACATACACATATTTATAAAAATTTGTTTATTAAATTGTTCCTGAAAAGTAATAGAATTTATTTTGTGTTTTGAATATCGTAAAAACAGAAAATTGGCTTTTGGCGATAACAACACATTTTTCTGGTGAATATTTTCTCACGGTATTGTTGCGTCTGTACATGTATACGAATAATTTAATAAAAATCTATTTTATTTCAGCAAAACACAACTGAAGAATCACATAACAACCAACTAGTATATTGAAGAGGTATGTTTTTTTTCGTTTCACGTTTCTCTTTTATCATGGTGTTTCAAAAATTGTTACTGTTTTTAAACCCACTAATTTATCAAAGGGTAATTATAAACATCCACGTCATTTCGTCTATTATTTTACTTATAAAAAATTCTTCATTGTCGCACTCATTTTATTGTTCTTCGTTTCGTTACGGCCGATTCATCAAAATCAATAAAACACATTACGAACGTCATGTAAGAAATAATATTTCCCCGCAAAGTTTTACAATAATTCGTACTGGCTCTAGTTTGTATGTTGAATAATGCTAACTCAAATATCTAAAAATTAAAAAGATTATTGAAATTTACGAAACACGTGGTTTTGTGATGTGATATGTTTTGTAATTTTAATGTTAAATGCTTTTTATTTTTAGATTTCGTTTTACTTTTAGCAAATTCCTTTTCGCGTTGGTACAAAATAAACATTTTAAAGACGAGAGTTGGTAATTTTACCCAATTTTATGTCGATTACAGAAATTTTATTATGAAACATCAATAAATTAAAAAAATTTATATATTAAATATATCAAGTAATTTAAACCTAAAGTATAAAGAAAAAAAGAAGATTAATGAAAGAGTAAATTTAAAAACAAAAAAAATAAATGATTCATTCTTTTTTTTTTTCTAATTTTTCATATTTGTCAATCGATATTTAATTTTTGAATGCCCTGTTTACTCAGTCGCCTCGATTTTTCTCAATGTCCACGTCATCCTATTCATTCCGGTCTTGTAGTGGAAAGATTTTTAGTTTTCTATCCTCAATGTCATCATTTGTTTGTAATTGAATTTTCTTCTTGCGTTTAATTGGAGCAGGATGAAAAAGGAATTCATGGTGACGAATAATGATTCACCTGTAAATTTTGAATGATGCTGATCATTAATATGGATCTACCATTTAAAAACTAGTTGTAACAAATTTGTTTATTTTTATGTCCCTGTTGCATTTTCTCTTATTTCTCTCGCGCGAATTTAACCTGATCATATGTTCGAAAAACTCGTGCAAATACAAAAAAAACTGATTTGTCAACACCCACATCTGACAACTTCGCTGTTTACTTTCTTCATACTGAATGTGCAAAACATCTGGTCATTTATTTTAATGGGATGCGTCATTTCGTTTCCATTTTCGTATTTGCTATATTAATATTATGAGCGGAATTTTTAACCAAACCTATATAATTAAATTGAAAATAAATTAGCAGGCTGATTTCACTGCGTAAGATAAGGTTGCAAAATCAGGAACTTCTTATCAATTTACTATGGTCCATTAATAACCGAAATACGCTTGTTCAGAGAACACATTTTTATACGAAATAGATAAAATCCCAACCAGGCCAGCCTTTGAGAACCAACGGAATCATAATTCCTGTAAGGTTATCAGTGAGAGTTCTTTAATTGAAATCTGTAATGAAACTGGGCGAAATCGAAGATTTTGGATATTCTGAAAGCCGATTAATAATATATTAATGGATTCAGCCTGTGTGGTTTTCAATGTTCTGTTTAAGATTCAACTGTAGGGTCGAAAAAAACCACATTCATCATGTTTGACAGCTGATACGTTTGATTTTTTCATTTCATATCTCCTATTTCTTGGCTTGATTTGCGAAAAGTTTCACAATATTGAGCAAAAGGTCTCGACAAAGTCTGATTATGGGACAACCGCAAAATTAGGAAAAAATTCTTCTCGCGTTGTTTCTACATACATTAATTTAATTTGTCTATTTGAAATTAAACCGCCAAATTTGAGATTCATCTCAGCGACGCATTTGATTCTTAGATAAGACTTTACTGACGAATATGTGAATCTTTTACACGTGTACGCGATATGTTTTTTTAATAGTGTCGCCAGAGTCGCCTCAAAAAACTTGTCGCCCTCATCTCATTATTTGCGTGTTCGACGAGGAGGACGGACGAGGCGCGCGCGCGGCGACAGATAGGGCAACTCTCGTCTAGAGTGTTCAACCGCTCGCCCGTCCAATTTTTTCTCTCAACGCTCTAACCTATCGATCCGTTTTTTGTCCTATTTCACTTTTTTGCCGTCGTCCCTTCACCCCCAGGCCTTGAATTATTTGCAAACGAGTGCGTCGCGGCCACGCTCGCTATTTCGTTTGGCTTTTTTTATACGCTCTATGTTGCAACTATCTTTTCGGTTCAGTCGTTTTTCGAAGGAGACGCTTGTCTCGCTGAACTCTTCATGATTTCCGCCCCGGCTCACTATTCTTTCATTCTTTATCAGACATCACTGCTTCCTGCGTTATCTCGCTACTTTTTGATAATGGCGAAAGTCTTTTGAAATTGAAAATGATGACGAGATAAACGTATAGATCCGTACGAAGTGCAACCGGTTGGATCCAAATATTACACCCAATCGAAATCATTGAGATCTTTCCGTCGTTCACGCGGCTCAAGCGATTTTCGTGATTCATTGCGGTGTATGTTCGAAGAAGAAATTCGGCGGAAAAGATGATATTGAATCCAAGCGATGTTCATTTTGTTTCGTTCTACTATTTTAAAACTACTGTTTCTTCTTCCTCGTCTTGTTTTTGTTCTTCTGCTTCACTCTCCACTGCTTGCAAGCTTCCTTCGACGATCGTCCGCTACCGAAGCAACAATCAGAACGTGTTTATTGCGTTATTTTACTTTTTGTTTCAATATGGCGGCCAATTTTTGACTATCTATCACCATTTTCGACATAACGGATTTCTCCGCCTACCTAATCCTTCGTCTTAATCGAACACACTTGCAACAATGTTCTGGATTTTCGCATTGGGTGGTTTGTAAATCCTTCTTTTTTATTTGAAACTTAACGTCCCTAGAGAATTTCCAGTCATTTAATTTTGGGGTCTATGTGAAGCAAATGTTCTCTTTTGGTTTTTCAAGAACATTTATGGCTATAAATAGCTTTTGAGAAGTCGAATTAGGGCAAGCTGAGCCCAATCTCATTGGCAGACAGCTTCTTTTTCAGCTACTCCGAACAATAGAGTGTTCTAGCACTTGATGATCCCTTAATTAAACGCTGATTTCTATTAATCGTGATTTGAAGGTTGCGAAATGTTACTGGTATTTGTGATAAATCGCTCACCTTGTTTTCGTGAAGTTTTTGCTTGCCAACGTCAAAGAACGAATCTCGGTGCCTGGTACGACCTGCATCCAAATACTCTGTATGCGATCTCTTGATAACTTCGTAAAATCATTTTAAAAAATTAAATTACTAAAATTATAGGTGACTAAAAGTAGATAAGGGCTGTTAATTTTTGTATTTGCATCTTCTAAACATATATTCTGTGTTCCGAATGGAAAAATTTCCTCCTAAAACATTTTTAGATTCTCACAACAAATCGAACTGAATAAATGGGTCTTTGTTCATTTTTGTGTCGTTTGAAATACCAGTTTTTTTTTTGTTTAAGGTGCAATGTTTTTCTTAAGATATTCTTCATGATGGTAGCCATTTAATATTTGCACTTTCTATGAACAACGGTTGTTTCGAAACAATGTAAATAGATGAGAGTGTGTTTTTTTTTAACAATCATAGTCCACTGTGTGCGTTCCTTCATCTTGCTATAACCAACCTCCACATTGGAGTCCACACGAAAATTGTTTTATCGGTGACAACAAGTTTCACGAATCGAATCTCGAAAACGTGATGATCATTTAGTTATCTTCGATTTTCCCATAATTGACAGCTGCTGTCCAAATTAAATTCGGGACCAAGGTGATTTTGAACTTTTTTCGATCAGATATGGTCTTACATAACCTTGAGGGATTTGTTAAGTTAACCACTGCGATGAGAGTCATCAATCTTGTAGTAATACTTCGGGGCACATCTCTTTTCTCATTTTTTTTTCTCGTTTCCTCGTTTAAAAATGAGAGAAGGTTATCTAGACGAAAAATTCTCAATTTTTTTTGACTTGGTTGTCTTTCAGCAATTGATTATAAAAAAGTCTGTGTCTAGGTGGTCTCGTATTATATTCCTATGGTTCGACATCTACACATGTGGCTTCATAGCTGACAACCAGACAGTTGCGACCCCGGTGACAAAGTGCGAATAATCTGCGTCTCCGATTTGATAGTAATCTCTAGTCGGGTAGGATCTCTCTTTTCATGAAAATGAGTCCGATTTTGATGATGCACCGCAAAGAAACAGCGAAACGCTGGTTTCTGAGATTCGAGGAGATCGATGTCTCGATTTAACACACGTTTTGTGTTGTATGGCGTGCGACCGGCCTATATGGCGCAATATCGTTTCTCACCTTCCAACATACAAATATCTCACCCAATGTTTTTCTTTATTCTGTTCTCTAGTCAACTATGAAATTCGCCACAATAATGTTAGAATGACACTAAATCGACACTGACGACAGATTGGTTATCAACAAAGGGCACATAATTGTCTCTTCTCTCAATATGCAATGGTCTTCTAAAGCTAGTCATCGTATCAGTTTGAGCTATTCGATAAGAGCCTATCAGCCCAAAATCGCAACATTGCTACCCCGCACTATTGCTTTTGCAATCATTCTGGCGTCGAGTGCAATCCTCTTGAGCTCTTGACACGATTGCGTTTCCACTGTACTTTTGAGAGTATGGAAATGAGCGGATACGCCAATATATCAGTACGATTTGGTGTGAGAAGTTTCAGCGCTTCTCCAAATCCAATCTTTGCACTTCGAAAACGATTTGAGCGATTCCTGATCCTCTGATGACCTTTCAAAGTCGTTTTGTACCTATCAATCCGTGCGCTTTCGTCCGTCCTTTAGTTCCTTGTCATTATCTTGGAATGCATTTCCGCATGTGAAGATCATCATATCCTCGTCGGATATGTCGAAAGACATTCGGGAAAAAAAGTAGAAAGATCAAACAAATAGAAACTTATTTCTAAAATGTGTTTTGATAATTTATTGCAAGTTTTAAACACATCTATGCCATTTGTAAAAATGTCGAAAATTATTCCGATCGATCCATTTCAATGTCTTATGAATTCGTTTTACATTTGCACGCTCTTAGCTTAGTTAATAGGTTCTAGACATTTGCGTAAGGAATAAAAAACAAAAGAAATCTTTTGTCTTGATTTTTTAAAGATTTTCTCGATCCGGCTATCTATTGTTCATCTTCGCGTTGTTTTCAAGAGTTTCCAGAAATAGAAGTTTCTAATCATGTACGTATTTAACAAAATCAATCATAGCGACCGCAAACAAGTAATTTTTGTTGTTGTTGATAAGAATGCAATTGGGGGGTATTCCCTCAGTGAATTCGGACGCCGTCCTCTCAGCTGATGCTTAATAAAATTGTTGTTGACCGTAGCCAGCCTCCCGCCGAATACTCTAACAAACCCTTCGCCCGAACAGTAAACACAATCGACACTGTATTATCTGTGCCAAAGAGGCATGCAGCAAAATGTATGCAGTGATTTATGAGTGACCAATATTGTAATGAATATCCAGTCTCTCTTCTTTCCCACGTTCTCTCTCTCTCTCACTCAATTGCAAACTTGTTTTGCCTCACTGGCACACACTACTATATATTTCGAGCTGGTAATATGTGCTGAAAAGTGTCCGAAAGTATTTCGCTACTAATAAAAAATGACCTCGGGAGCTTGCATCTGCAGATGCAATCGTATGACATTGATGGTTTTTTCGGCGTTGTCGAGTGAACAGTAACTGCACAAGGTTACAACCCGCCCACGTGATCGCTTCAATCGTTTTTAATATTGCCAAAGTGTAACGCTTCTTCTCATTTTTTTCTCCTCGGTCGCCCAATCAACCCCACACACACACACGCATCCTGTAGGAGCAGGCAGGGTCTGAATGTTTTATTGATCAGCGACGAACAGACACACAAAGCATCACATAATTTTCCAACACGATTGCGCTCGGTATGAATAGGGTCAGTCGTATTAGCAAAAAGAAGACAAATTCTGTCTTTATAAACTTGTGTGATTTGAAGTCTGCCTATTGTGTCTATATAGGCGATTTTCCCACCGTAGGCATATTCTTTCCATTTGTGGAAATGTCTCAAAGATTAAAGTATTTATAAATAGGTTATTAAAGGTATTAGTGTAAGTTTATCCACGACAAATTTAAATGTTCAAAACAAAAATCTATTTTTTTGTTCAACATTTTTTGCAAAGTGTTTTCCAAACATTTTATGAGTAATTTCTACGACCCTTATTCGTTCCGTATCATTAAACATTCTTCAGTTTTGACATCATTTCCAACCAGCTGTGCTGTCTTTCCTTATCATTTCCCGCCAGCGACCATCACTATAAAAACAGGGAGGGCGACAAGGGTAATCCCGTTGCAGAATCGAATATTCATCATGTTTAATATGTATTATTATTATTATTATTTGAATGCGTATTATATTACACTGTTTTATAGTACACGTGTTGAAAGTTTACGATTAGGCGTCCGATGTGGCGCGCGCGCGTGTCCCGCAGCCTTTAGTTTTTGTAGACGCCGACTCTTTTCGTCTATCCGACGTGTGTATGTGTGTGCGTACGCGGGCGCCGGCGCGCTCCTCCTCTTCCTCCGCCCAATCTGTGCAATTCGAAAATGTATGGACGAGAAGGGTGGTGATGAGGCTGCTGCCGCGGCCACGACGGCGGCTGCGGCTGCGGCGCTCTCTGTTTCTCACAGATACGCATACGTAGGAAAAAAAGAGGCCGGTCGAATTGCGAGGCGACAGAAGAGTGATTCGTTGGTGTGTTCGTTCGTTCGCTCGCTCGCTCGCTCACCCTCAACCGTCGGTCGCTCGATCGGTCCGTTCATACGTTTGTCGGTTTTTTATCGGCCTCTCTTATAGCACGGCAAAGCGAGGGTTCTCTGCCACATCTGATGAGTTTATGAGGGTATATACATAAGCAAATATTGTTTATAATGATGAGACGGACCACACCCACGCAATTCTTTTTTGGAATTCCGTTTCCGATTCTCTACGCGCAAAGGTGTTGCATGCGCACAAATCAACCAATCTTTTCAAAACTGCAACTCTTATTCTATTTGGAAATAGTTTTAAACGAATGTGCCTCGTCTGTAGGCGCGCCATCTTATGGTGTGAATATTTGACGGATTTTTACGATAGCCTATGTCGTTTCGTATTTCTATTTCTTTTTCGCTTCGTCCGCCGGGTTGGCCAATACGAGGCAGCTGGTTTTTTTTCACAAGTTATTCATTCCTCTGTTCTGTATATCTATAATCAAATTGAAAATTTCGTCCAATCCATTTCGCCTTGATCGCATTGATGTCCTTGAAGATCCTCTGATTTTATCGCGATTTTCTTAAATGTGTGCTTTTTTTTCTTCTAAATGGACTCATTTTAGAACCACATCTTGTATGTATTGTACGTAGTACACAATTAATCAACGACTATGGAAGTATCAACATCTTATTTAACACCGGCAGTCAGTTTTAAATACGGCAGTTTTCATGTGAGTTTCCTAGTTTAAAAAAATCACTAAATATAAAGATTGGTCTTTAAGGATTCCGAAAATGTCTCAACTATCATGGATGATGGGATTTGTAGAATCGGAAGCTACAATTCCCAGGGTTATCACTATGACGGCTTCTTATACGGTAACTGACTACAAAATATTGTTGGAAAAGTAATTCATTTGTTTCTAGAAGACGGGTCGATTGGAGAAGACGAAGAAGCATCTTCTTGTGGTAACGACGAGTGCATGTTCGAAATGTCAATGAACTGTGAGACGGTTGGAACCGATGTTGAAGTTTGTTGGAATATTTATTGTCTTAATAATGTTCATGATTTACAGATGAGAAGCGAATCCGATATGACTGAAGAACTTGACGATGACAACGATTCAGATGAAGAAGACGAAGAAGATAACGATGAATGGACGAATCAGAAGAGAACTGACAAACGGGTAAGCATTGTGAAATATTTCACCATTAACTTATTGATAAAAAAATAATTGTTTAATATTTCAGAATAGTGTTGCCTATTATGCGGCCATGGAAATGCTCCGAATTCGTTTCCCATTCCAATCGATCTCAATTCGCATTTCGGATTTCTGCTGTCTCCAAGAAAAGGTGAGATTTGTATATAATAATAATAATAAGTATTATTCGTAGCAAATATTTACTAGCACTTTTCGATTTATTTTTGTTGCCATTGCGCCGCGCAAGATTATTTAAACAACTGATGTTTTGATAGTATTCGGGAAAATCCTTCTAGTGGCAGGCAGATATATTTTGAGATGTCGTCGAAATTCTTCCGATCGCTTTCAAACATTAACGAATATCGACCATATTGTCGGAATCACTCTTGATTCATTTCGGTTTCCTCTCATTTTTTTGCGCACTCCTCATTTGCCTAATAGTACACGCCATTAAACATAGATTAGATGAGTGTGGCCGTGTTGCGAAGACCTCCTAGTGTGTCTTAATGGCGCTTTGTTATGGAAATGAGCAAATTTCGAACGTTTCGGAAATAGTGGCGTTTAGATCTGAAAGAAGAAAGAAAGAGTGTACCGAATACGCTGCCAAATGAAAATGCTGCGAAAATGTGGCAAATTTGCACTATTCCTGCACTCTTTTTTTAAGCGACTCTGTTTCGCGGCGGCAATTCCCTGTGTGCCTCATTTTTTCGAATGCGACCACCCTCTTTCAATGTTGTGTTCTTTTTACCGCCTGCCACAGCGAAAAAAATGGTTTGAGTTCCTGCAAAAAAACGTTTTGTTTGCTTTTATCAGTATAATATGAACACTTTTTCAATTTCGTTTTCGAGAGGGGATTAGCAGCGTTTTCATGCGGCAAGTAGTGATTTGTATGCATTTTTTGTCTGGCGTCGTACGTTAATAATTTGAGACTTTGGCGTTAGGTACCACCTGGCACCGTGAGCCATACTCTCGCGACAAAGAACACAACGCGGAGTTGAGATGAGAGAAGGCGAGGCGCGAAGAGCTGGCTGCTAGCCAGCGTTGCTTATAGCTCTGTTTCTCCCTCTTATGCTGCTGCAGCTACTCCGAAAAAGCTTGTCGAGGAGGGACGCATAATTTTTTATAATCCAACGACACACCTTTTAATGTGTTTCTTTGATCGCTATCGGTTTTGTCGGTCGGCTGTGCGAAGGGTCGCGGTGAAATATTAAAACGATATAACACGCGTATCAAGCCATCTGACCGTCGCCTTGAGATGATGAATAAACGAGACAGCGAAGACCGAAAAAAAACCGAAAATGATTGGTTTTTTCTGCAACCATTTCGTCGCTTCGTTTTTCGCGCTCTTTCTCCCGCGCCCGTCTCACCACCCTAAGAATTTGTGCCACCGTCGCCGCTGACGTTTGTTCAGGGTCACCCAGACGGCTGGCTGCCGATTCTACTACGGTAATGAACTGGTTTTTTGGCGCGCGATATTCGCGCACAAATTTTGCTTTGAACAAAAAACCCCCGAGGACATTGGAAGATGTTTGTCAGAACCTTGAAAATTGTCTATGAAGCGGAAAAGTTATGATAATTAAACTGGGTGTTCGCGTTTGTTAATTGAATGTTATATGAGATTTTGCGACCTAGTTTATAATAATAGTGGCGGTGTGCTGGTGCTTTAAAGTATTCAATTTTCGGTGATCAATGATCATTGTAATTTGACTGACATCTGCTATGATATTACAATATCAAATTTGCTGCAGTCGTAAGCGAAAGGGATCAGATAATAAGAAATGTTCACGGAAAAGTCGGGATCAACCTACACACATTAATATACACTTATAACGGGATTCGTTGCAGGACCTTCTCAACGATACGATGATCGATTTCTATCTTAATCATATCGTCGAGCACGTTCTTCCCGACAACGCGGGGCGCAAGGTTACCGTCCTTCCATCGGTGTTCTGGCACAATCTCTCGTTACGACAGCATGCGATCGACTCGGAAGAGGAGAATGTGTTGACGGAGGAACAGAAAGTATTGCGCAATAACATAACCCCGAATATACTAATTTGTTGTTCCGTTTAGCTCGACCTCAAGTTCTCGGACTTGCACGATTTCGTTGAAGATTTCGATCTTCAAGACTTCGACTATATCGTCGTTCCAGTCAACGAATGGGAGCATTGGTCGTTGGCAGTCATTTGCCATCCATTCACGCCAAACGCGCGTACTGTCATCTTCGATTCTCAGCTTACAGCTGATTTGAACAATTTGCAAAACATCGCAAGTCTCATCGAATCGTTCATGAAGGTTTAAATGACCCATAATTTGATGTTTCATATATTGATGTATTACAGTACTCTTGGCTTAGAAGAACTGGTACCCCAATGCCATATCCGCTTCAATGCGTAATTCCGAGCAATATGCCCCAACAGACGAACAATTTCGATTGCGGAGTATTCATCGTCGAGTTTGCTCGTTGTTTCTTGATGTCTCCACCGAAAGATGTGAGAAAATTCATACACCTTCTGTCTATTATGTTGCGCCTATTTTCAGCTTGACATGTTCGACTTTTCGCGTGAATACAATGACTTCTCGGTTGCCGGAAAACGGGCTGAAATGCAGCGCGCCGTGCTCTCGTTGTGCTCGAATCGCGCTCAATGGCGTCCGCTCGTCGAGCTTCTAAACGGCATTAACACCGCCGTACCACATCGCGCATTGTAAGCGCACCCAACGTCTCATATGCCCCGGTTTTGGGCCGTGCGTCTTCTCATTGAAACCTGCCCCATACAGTTGCCTTCTTCCGCTTCCCTTCTTCATATTTTTCATTTGTTTCTCTCTCTCTCTGTTCCTTATTTGTTCTTTTCTTAAATTTATTTTTCCAATTTGTTTTATTAATCCGTTTACGTTGTTTGATTTTCTTTTTCTAACCTTAAGTTACCAAAAAAAGCGAAAAAAAATCTCTCCCAAAACGAATTGTTGATTTGTTAACCAATTTCTTTATATTGTTACTCCTCCGTTACTCCTCGGGCTCATTGATTGGTGAAGGGACCTCGAAAATATCCAGAATCACACGGACCTATTGTGATTGATATTCAAAGTCGTTCCGTGAGAATTGTCCATGTTCTTTGAACATCAATCATATTCCGTTACTCCTCCAAATCAGACTGACTGGTTTTGTCTCGTGTAATTGTTCACTTTTTGGCAATGTTCTTAGTCTTTTCTTACTCTCCTTTTAATATTTTCAAAGTCTATTCAATCAAATTTTGCTCCTCCTAAAATCATCTGCGCTTGGCGAGTTGTTTCTAGTTATTTTCTTGGTTTGTGAATCCGAATCGATGCGCGTCTCAAAAGAAAACCGCGCATTTCTTTGAATTTGCATTCATCTGCTGGATCGCCACAGTTTTGAGGGATTTCACTTGTTTCATTCTTCTATTGTTTTGTACTTTAAAAAATGTCCAAAATTGTTGAGGACCTTTCGATTCGTGACATCTGAGTGTGTTTCGAAAATTGTTGTTTCCTTGTGCAGCTCTTGTTGTTTCTTGTTATGAGCGCCGTTTTCACCAGTTTTCCGCTTCCCGCCCATCCATCGTTCGTTTGTTGTTTGCCACAGTCCTCATCACGTTGTTTGCCATCATTGTACATTTTTTGAGAGCTTGACCCATCAAGACATGCGTCATCGCGAGCATCACCAACCAGTCGGCGAAGATTGTTGTTTTGTTTAGTAACCGACTGTCCGAAACCGCGAGGCGCACTGTAATCGGCTCTCCATCGTTGTTGAAATCTCTTGAATTGTTTTGTTTTCATCTTCCGATCTTGAATTGTGCAGTTTTCGCTCCAAACGCGTCTCATTGCATAATTCGGCTCGTCCCAGGCGTTTCTTTCGAAATGTTCTGATTACTATGCTCACTTGTTGAGTGCTTCCGTTACAGTATAGTAATCACAACACTTGTTTCTTGCTGTTAACCCATGACCCCTAAATTAATTGTTTCGTTACCATCTTGTTTTGAACAATTACTTGCCTCCCATCATCTTATCCCTCGTTTGTTATGGGTGTGGGATGATTACGAGAAAAAACCATACGTCCTTTAACCTTTCTTCTTAATTTTTTGGTTCATTTATTCTATTTTTCCCCTTACTTTTGTCGTCGTCTTACAAAAATCCACTTCGGTTGAACGATCATATGGGTTCCGTTTACTTTTTCATTTCTTTTTGCTAATTTTATTATTGCTCGGATATCGTTTTTCACGATTTCCTTGCAATTCCTGTTATTCTACTTGTCGTTCATTGTTTCCTATTCTATTTTCAATTGTTTAATCTTATGTGGTTCTCTTCTTGGCTCTTCGCATATTTTTTTTTGTCAAATTAGTTACTAGCTATCGTGTTTTCTTCCCAAAATTTTCAGGTGGCTCATAAACCCACCGAAAATTAATTTTATTGTCGTTGCGAGAAATTCTTTTCGTCTTTTTTGTAAACGCAATAAATGTGTTGTTTCAAGTTTTATTTACAAACACAAGTCAATCGTGGCAAAATATGTGAAATTCGACACCGGTTTGCTAGGGAAAAGGCAACACCGAAATATTATGGATGCAATAAACAAATTGTGTACATTTCGAATATTAACTAATTAGATATTTGAATTAGTCATCATCGACAATTATCGGACCTGGTTGTTCTAGGCTACCGTATTCTTGGGGTTCTTGAGGCGGAGCTTCTGGATTTGTGACTCCGGAATAGTCATTATGCGCTACCTGAAAAAAAGAAAATGGTTCAATGATATTTGTATCCTATTTTGCAATGTCTAGACAGGATTTGTAGATTCTTCTTTGTTTCACTTCTTCTGTTACTGAGCCTCTTCGTGGCGAAGAAGATAAACTGTTCATGCTCCTCTACATAACTGGGGATTTCGTCACCACAGTGGAACATGCTCAGGCTAATCAGTACACTGTCCCACGCAGGCCGAGGGTAGAGTCGAATACTCCTCATCCGGGCGGCTTCGATTCGGCCTAGCAAGCCGGAAGAAGTAAACAGGGACCCAGTCCGCTAAAAACAGTATAAAGCAAAGAAATGTCCCGGACCCGAGCTCTGCCCCTGGATTGACAGTTACAGGACAAGCAGAACGGGAGCAATCCGGGCCTGATGGCAACTGTCTGGTCTCGGTTAATGGAAAATCGCCCCCAAAAACACGAAAAGTTCACTTCAGAATTGGCACTTTCAACTGTAGATCGCTCGCTACAGAAACCAGACTCTCTGAGCTCCTCAATGAACTCAATCGAATCAAATTCGATATCATTGGACTCAGTGAGACGAAAAGGCCAACTGAAGAGCATATGAAACACGTTGATGGGACAGCGATTTTCCTAGGCAAACGTCATGACACTTCTGTTGTAGGAGGGGTCGGCTTTGTAGTTCATAGCACCCTCGCTCCCCGTATAGAAGAAGTAAGATTTCTTAGCCACAGGATCGGCATGCTAACATTCAAGGTCGGAAATAAGCTTAAATGCACAGTCATGCAAGTTTATGCCCCAACCGCCGACGCCGATCCTGAAGAAATTGAACAATTCTATGACGCTGTGGAAGAAGCTTACCGTTCTTGTAGGAGCGACTACAAGCTAGTCATCGGTGACTTCAACGCACGCGTAGGGGCCAGAAGTAATGAGAATGAGCGGTTCATCGGAGTCAATTCGATGGAACCGCGCAATGACGCTGGTGAACTCCTCGCGAAAGGCGCCGAAGAAAGTATTGGACCCGGAGATGGCTAAAACAATAAGCTCGATTGTTAGTCTTCCAGTAGCCAACAGCGTTGACGAAGATTACTCTAATCTAACAACGCTACTCAGGAAACTACAAGACCAAGCCATTGTTAAACCATCAAACCACCGGACCAATAGGATCTCTGTCGAAACACAACAATTGCTCTCGCGCAGACGAAACATGAGCAGGTCCGATCCCAATTTCAAGAACCTCTCAAAACAGTGCCGAGAAGCAATCGAACGAGATCACAAGGAGTTCACCAATTCCCGGTTACTAGGAGCAGCCGATCAACGCAAAAGCTTGAAGAGAGTAGCGCGAGACATGAACGAATACAAGTCACTGATTCCATGCCTCAAATGCTCTACTACAGGCAGAACTCTCACCTCTAGAACAGAAATGGAGAAGGAAGTGGAATCGTTCTACACGAAGCTCTTTGCGAGTAGAGCCCCACAAGCGCCTACGCCTACGACAACGCAAGTCAAGGATAGGCCCCTTCCATTTCTACGAGAGGAGATCGTTTCGGCACTTCGGTCCTTCCCAAATGGGAAATCAGCTGGTAGTGATAAAATAAGCGCAGACTTCCTCAAATGCTGCCACGAAAACACTCTCGCGCTGATAACGGACCGATTTAACCGCTACCTAGAAACCGGATCAATACCGAGACTGTGGACCAAGTCAGAGACAACTATCATCTTCAAGAAAGGTGATAGATACTCCCTGGAGAACTACAGGCCAATCACGGTACTCCCTGTTCTATACAAGGCTTTCACAAAATGCATCTTGAATAGAATCAGGAGTAAACTAGAATCCAACCAACCTGTAGAACAAGCTGGGTTCCGCAAGGGCTTCTCAACAGTGGATCACATCCACTCTGTCCAAAGACTGCTAGAAGTGGGACGAGAATATCAAATCCCACTAACACTTGTCTTCGTTGATTTCAAGAAGGCGTTCGACAGTGTTGAGCATTCAGCAGTGTGGCAGAGCCTAGGAGACCAAGGCGTTGAAGAAGCGTATATCCAGCTACTCCAAAGTTGTTACTCTGACTGTTCCACAAGCATCACGCCATTCCATCGACAGGTAGAGATACCTGTTCGAAGAGGAGTAAGGCAAGGTGACCCAATCTCGCCGAACCTTTTCTCCGCGTGCCTGGAGCATGTTTTCCGCGAATTGTCTTGGAGTCAATTCAAAAACGACTCAGAAGACAATACGAACACTCCAGGATTACGTGTGAATGGCCGCAACCTCACACACCTGCGGTTTGCAGACGACGTCGTGCTCATAGCGCACAGTCCGCAAGCGGCATCCGAGATGCTAAGTGAGATGGTTGCGAGATGCGAACAAGTAGGGCTCCAGATTAACGCTGGAAAGACCAAAGTCCTACGTAACCCCTTCGCAGACTCCGCCAAGGTTACCCTAACGCACCAGAATTCGGTCAGTATCATTGACGATGTTGACGAATACGTGTACCTTGGAAGACTACTCACCCCCAAAAACGAGCTAGTCAAGGAGATCTTCCGAAGGAGAAGAGCAGCTTGGGCAGCGTTTAATGGAATCAAGAACACCACCGATTTGATTTCCTGTAACAAAACCCGCGCACAGCTCTTCGATTCCATCGTTCTCCCAGCGCTGACTTACGGATCAGAGACTTGGACCTTCACCAAAGCTCTTGCCGAGAGAGTCCGAATTAGTCACGCTGCGCTTGAGCGAAGATTGGTTGGCCTCACGTTATCACAACAACGTGAACAAGATCTTCATCGAGAGGACATCCGCATCATGTCTAAAGTTCGGGACCCCCTACACCACATCACGAAGAGGAAGATGACCTGGGCTGGACACGTTGCTAGAAGAACAGATGGAAGATGGACTACTCTTCTAACGGAGTGGCGGCCGTGGAATTGGACCCGGCCAAGAGGAAGGCCTCCCATGAGATGGTCGGACTCGCTTCGGAAGGAGATCACTACAAGAACAGCTGAAGGAGCCGTTATCACCCCCTGGTCCACCCAAGCCAAGGACCGAAAAGCTTGGAAAGCTGTGATTCGCGCCTCAACAGGCGAAGGACGAACCGACTAAGTGACTAAGTGAAGTGACTTTTTTGTAAACGCAATAAATGTGTTGTTTCAAGTTTTATTTACAAACACAAGTCAATCGTGGCAAAATATGTGAAATTCGACACCGGTTTGCTAGGGAAAAGGCAACACCGAAATATTATGGATGCAATAAACAAATTGTGTACATTTCGAATATTAACTAATTAGATATTTGAATTAGTCATCATCGACAATTATCGGACCTGGTTGTTCTAGGCTACCGTATTCTTGGGGTTCTTGAGGCGGAGCTTCTGGATTTGTGACTCCGGAATAGTCATTATGCGCTACCTGAAAAAAAGAAAATGGTTCAATGATATTTGTATCCTATTTTGCAATGTCTAGACAGGATTTGTAGATTCTTCTTTGTTTCATTTCTTTTTCTTTCATGAAACATTCGAGGGGTTTTGCAATCATTGGAAAGAAAGAACTTTGTTAGTAATCCGAATCTAAATACCATGTTAGCTAAATGATTCATTCTCAAAGCAGCAGCAACTAAACCAACAAATTTTTGGGCATTTTCTCACTTTTTTTCCAATGCCTAGTGATTTTTCGTTTGCTAAAATACATAATTGAAATTGTAGCTATTTCCTATGAAAATTCAAGAAACCACCAACCTCGGATCCTCTGTATAAAATGTAGTGCTGAATAATGAAGACGATGTCGAAAACGATCGAAACAAGACCAAGACCGAATTTGACGGGATTTCCGTAAAAACCACCCCAATCATTGAAATTGAGAGCTTGAAGAACCATCTGCAATTAAAAAATCAGTTATTTTTGCATAAAATTTCAATTACTTGGAAAATATCTAACGTTCCTCCGGTGAAGTCGAGAAGGATATTTCCAATTGACCACCCGACAGTGCTTTTCCGCCTATAGTTATAGATCGCCTTCAAATTATTCTTATTCGATTTTTTAACTCTAAAACAAGTAGTTAAACCTGAGGGAAATATTTTAAACAGGTGATCGCCATTTTGATATAAGAAAGGCTTATGACAAACGAGAGAATCGAAATCGCACGGAATATGGTGAGAAGTCCGCAAATGGCACCAAACGACAAAAATCCGATGATCACATACCTACATTTTGTACTGACTTTTTGATTTTCTCTCTGAAATTTCACATTTTCCACTTTGAAATAGTGCACAATCCATTACCTCATAAATAAAGCATTGGATAATAGTGACTGAGCAGGCAATGACCGCGTGCACAGCGAAAACGACGTCATTAGTGAGGACAGGTGGCGGAGAATGTGGGTTTTCAGTGTGATAGATTTCCTAAAAAAAAACCAATTCGTTTCAATCACATTTGTCAGGGACCGTATTCTTTGGGAATATTGAGAATGTCGAATTTATGTATATTATTCGCCAAAAACCTCTTTTTCTATCTAATCTCTCTTGATTATCCATTTTTCAGTGTACATGTTGAACTTATTGAATAAATAGTAGATATAAATATGTAATCTAACAAGGGAGATATTTTTGCGGTCCGTCTTAAAATTTTTTTTATTTGATGAGCTAAAACTTTATCTCGATAATTAGAAGTTTGCGCAAATAGGAACCTATGAAGTTCATTCGATTGGAAATTTTGTAAAGAATCTGTATGCAAAAAATAAAAACTTTTAAGACGGACAGCAATAAGACCTCCCTTGTAAGAAGAAATAAGCTATTACCTTGACATGTTCATTGAAGAAAAGTAACAAATTAAATGCAGAATATGCTCCAAATCCGAGTAAATTGAGTGCCAGAAAATCGAAATTCAAACCAACCACACTATAAACGTTAAATGTAAATTCGGGAAAATCATTTACAGCTATGCTACCTTTTTCTTTTGAAGTTTAATATAATTTGTGGATAAAACGAGACGCTCCATGCAAGGAAATAAATCCATCCAACAACTTCGATAAACCAAGAAAGAGTCTTCGAACGTATAACAGAAACTCGGAAGAAAGCATCAGTGAGGCTGAAATAAATTTATTTTCAAAAAACTTAAATGATATTAGACTTACTCGAATGGACATGTTGAGTTATCAAGGCTAGGAAGTGAGCAATTGACAACCTGGATAATTTCTCTGGAGACTGGCTGAATACCGGTTAGTTCGAAATGAGCACTTGAGTTGTGTATGGTAATCGTATGTGGGTATTCGATGAACTTCGAAGTGCTGAGGAAAAGCGTAACATCCTCGTCTGGGATGCTGCTTGAATTTCTGAAACACAATCTATTTCAATTTCCTCAAGTATGTATAGCGATCACAGATTAGATCAATTGACATTTCTTCAAGGTTAATTCAGTGAATGATAGTCGAAAGAAAACCTGATGATCATAAGCATCCAGGAAGTATAATGCGAATATATTCGAGAAATGTGTATTACACTGACATCGCTACACAATTCAACAGTTTCCTCGTTTGAATGTGTTTCATTGATATTATATCAAACAAGAAGTTCAAAATTTTTGCTACGCGCTTACGTGGAGTACCTCGACTATTCATTGCTTTTTAATATTCAAACATTTATTGAAAAAGCTTATCTGCAATTCAAACCAGAATATGTTAAATTTGTTTATAAAATTTTATCAGCAAAACTTTAAAGTGCATCAATATTCGTGGTTTGAACTCGGATTGGAAAAAAAACCAACTTACAAAACATCTAAATCGAGCCAAATTTTACTGCCAACAACTATTTCATAATCGATATTTCGAGCAACAATTCGATCCGATGAAACAGTTGAGAACGCACACAAGCATAATGCTATAATTGAGAGTTGAATCATGATGAATTGCTATAAAATTGGTCGATCACCACATAGACATCCTGAAAAAAAAACAAATATAAGTACACAATCAGTTGAAAATCAACTGATGCAATGAACGAAAATGTTTGCTAAGCTTTGAAAGTCGATAGAAAACATATGATCGACAAGCAAAATTGTCAAAATAGACACGCCGGGTCGAGAAACGCTATTATCAGGCGAATGTGTTCGGCGTTTCGAAAATGATTGGGGGGAGGAGTTTGATGAGATTGTATGTAATAAATCGGGAAAGAGACAGAGAAAGAGTTGTATAAACATATTTTGGAAATAAATAATGCTAGACGATATAATCATAGCGGAAAATATGACGAGGATAATAACAATATTATGTGTGACATAATAATATTACGATTCGTTATTTTTCAAATTTCGATTGAAAAACCAGTGCGATTATGAGCTGAGGCAGAAATTTCCAAAAAAGTTTATCGATAGAAATGAAAAAAATTTTGAAAAGAAATGTTCAAGAATAGCAAGTGATGAAAACATTGAATAATTATTCGCGAAAGAGAAAACAACTAGTTTTCTCGGAATCGAATGAATCGAAGGGGAGTTTTATCGGTAAAAATTCGAACAATGGGAAAACTCCGTATGTTTAAGATTATAAAGTGCTTAGTGACATTTTTTGGAAATATTCACCTCCCCATTAAGATGTATATGACCAGTGATATTAATGTTCTAATAGAAGTAAAAATATATTTACCATTAAATGATTGCTTCGCGCCATTTGAATAGCTTTTCACCAATGAAAGACAATGTTGACACCATATTTTCTCTTTAGCCTTTCATGTATTGCCGATAGAAATCACTGAATTCCGCTTTTTCATTCACTAATTTGACAATGCAAACCCGGCATCTTGAAGAAAAAATCCAGTTTAACTGCATGGCCGAGTTTGGAGTAGAAAATTTCTAGGCCACATAATTCTTCGCATTCAAATTTTTTCCTAATTTCGATTTTTTTTTCAATTCGTTAACCACTTTTTAAAAAGATTTTGTCCGATTAATTTTTTGTATTTTTCTGTAAGAAAATTTAGTCCAATACTGACAATTATTAATAAAAATGTTTTTAACCAAGCTCCATTATAGCCAATCATCAACTATTTTATATTGATGACTCCGGTAAATAATAGCAGCAAAAAGGAGAAATCTGGTCCCATTGAATATTCCCCAGCCGCTGAATTGATAAGAAAGCATCCCTATTCTTCTAAAAAGTCTGTTCAATTATTATTTATTTATTTAATCAATTTCTTCAGGCCGCGAAAAGGTGCACCGAAAATGGAGGAAGACAAATTTCTAAGTCCAATTGCTCCTGCGAGTTGTAGCTCAACGAAAAGCGATCATTTGTAAGATAATTGATATTACATTGAAGGAAGTAAATTAGTATTCAGCGAGTTGCCGAAAATTGATTCACTACGTTTCAAACCAATTAAGACGCTTTCAAGTAGAATTGATGGGACAGAATATATTGAGGAAGCATCAACTGAACTCATTCAGTATGAATTTTTTGAATTTATTTATTTAAAAATTCATGTAACAGAGAAATGTTGGAAATGGGTCGAATTGATGAGGCAATGCAATATGCCGACACTTTATATGCCAATTTTGTTTCGGAAAATAAAGTAGATATCGTCGCACTGGCCGATTACATAAAAATCTTGACGGTTCTACGACAATGGCGTCGAATCAACCATTTAATTGCTAGAAACAATTATCACCAAATCCATATTGTGTTCGCTTATTATGCGGTCACTGCACTATTTCATAGAAAACTTTATGAGGATATTATTGATATTCCGGTTGGACATCTTATACCGCATATGCTCGATTATAATTTGCCGATTCGATCGCCGTCGCATGTTACTGGAAAAAGTGTGGAAGACGAAAGAACTAACTACTCATTCGCGAATATGGCTGAACTGGACTCAATAGCAAGAAAAATGGGAGTAAGTTACGTAGTCAATTGAATTAAAATAAAAGTGAAAAATTTGCAGTTGGCACCTGCACTTACTCTTGTGTTTGCCGAGAGTTTTCTGAAATTGATGAACCGTGATTCGGCTATGTTGTGCATTGCGTATTCTGTCAAACACGTAAATGATCAATTTGAATTTATTTCGAACATCTGAATCTACAGATCAAATCACCAGTTCTTGTTGAGCGATTGATGACGAAATACAATCTTGTGGAACCAAGTGAATGGGAGAAATACAAGAAAGTGGTACGCAAATTTGTGTAAAATTCTTCAAAATAATTAATTTTTAGCGGAAGGCGCAATTGGCTCTACAAGAAAGTAGTTTCGATCCTAATGTATTAATCGAAAGAGCTCAATTTGCTTACGAAATGGGAAGATTTGCGGAAGCCAAGAAATTGACTGATTTAGTATTTGATAATTACGGACCGCATCCAGTAATTTTAATTAATTTGAACAAGAGAACACACGCTTTTCAGAATTGTATGCTCTTACGAATTCACTGTATGGTTATACTCAAGGATACGCGCGGATTACTTGATCTTGGGCATCAGTTAGTTGCCGATGATCCTCATATTGCTCTTCCTTGGTATTGTGTCGCTCTTTATTATTATACTATTGGCGCAAATGCCCGTGCACGTTCCTACATCAGTAAGAATCGCTTGAAAATTTGTATAAACAGTGTATATCGCGTTTTTAGGCAAATGCACTGTTATGGATTCTACATTTGCCGATGCTTGGGTTGCTTTTGGTCACATTTTACATTATGAAGTTGAGCATGAGCAGTCGATGAGTTGCTATTATCGTGCTTCGAAACTTGTTGATCGTAGCTCGGAGCCTTTCCTTTATGTTGCTCTGCAATACAGCACTCACAGTCAGAAATTGAGCAAGAAATTCATGGCTGAAGCTGTCGCGCGTTCACCGAAAGATCCAATGATTCGGCATGAGCAAGCTTGTATTGCATACGCAGCCAAGAATTTTGAAGGTACGAAAATAAAAATGAAATGTTTTGATGAAAAAATTTAGAAGCGGAAGAAATATTCATGGAAGTTCTTTATATGGTCACGGAGGCGCCTGAAGACATGGATGTCAAAGATGTTCTCAAAAAGTTTGCAGTTATTTTTGTACAGTTTTCAAGTAGTTTTTCTGTTTACAGAAGAATTGAAGACTTTTGGCGACCAATGGTTAATAATTTGGGGCATATTTCTAGAAGAAGAGGAAAATTGGAAGATGCGATCATGTTCCATAAGTAAATTGTCTTACTTGAAAATCTAAACTAACGAAACAATTAAGACGAGCATTGAAAATGGAACCAAAATTTGTCGATGCGATCGCTTCGATTGGCATTTGCAATGCTATATTGGGAAATGTATGTTTGCAATTAAAAAGAAGAAAATTAATTGCTAAAAAATTATAATGTTCTTTTCAATACCCACTTGTTAAAAGAAAATTATTTCAGATAAATACTGCAACTGAATTCTTTAATCGCGCGTTAGCTATTGATCCGTTTAATGAGGTTATTTTTAAAACTTCACCTCTCCGTTTAAATTTTTGAGTTCCAGACAATTCGTCAATGTATGTCAAGAATGGTTTTGACGGAACAATCGATTCATGACATTGACGACTTTGTGGCAAGCTTAAAGAAAACTATTTTCTGGATTTTTTATCGATAATTTTTCAGAAGTTCACTGATTATCTTGAATCTCCGCAAGAAGTGATACCAAATTCATCTCTTCGTAAGGTAAATTTATATGAACATAAAATCTGAATTTTTTTTGTTAAGCCTCACAATGATTCTTGGATGATAAGTTCGCTTCCAAAATGCACGACGCCAATGGCTTCTATGATTAAACAATCATTGGAGAAACGATAAATCTCTCTTTTTTTCATTTCATTCATAGTAATTTTATGATTTATATTGATTTTATTCATTTCATGTGAATTTCTTTTGAATATGCTGCTGTTTTTGATAAAAACTTTTCGATTTTATTCAGAATGGAGCTTAAGCAATTTCAGCTCGTTGTTTCCTTTCCTTGACTGCTTGTTTAAAGTATTTCAGACATTTATCGAGTGAAATGACATCCTGAAATATTATTGTTAAGATTAGAGAGATTGATTTGGATACCTCTAAACTTTTCGAAAGAACTAATGCAGGAAGCATTGAAATTGCGCGGCCACTCAATCCATGAGCATCTCTAGCAATTCCTAACAAGGTTTTCGTTTCAGTGGTCAAATTTGCAGAATTCTGAAATTTTGAGATTATGTGGTTAATTTTCCGTTTTTAAATTCAAACTTCTTCTTCCAAAATATCTTCAACAGCTGCTAATTTTAAACAATTCGATTCCGAAACGATTCCAATCTAAACATAAGACTCTAATTAAAATTATTTTTATTTTTAACTCACTCTTTCCAATTCAATTATACAGGATTTTAACATTGAATACAGGGCAAAATGCGATGGAATCCCGACATGTCGGACAATATCAGCACGGTCTACCAGAGCTCGATCGAGGGATTCTTCGAGATTCGATGTGCACAATATCAGAACATTTTCTCTCCTGAAATATGAAATTAACAATTAAATCAATGTTTCAAGACAAACCTTCTGATTCGGTCGATTTGTGTGAGAAGAGCATTTACTGCCCGAATTGCATCAGCCGGTTCCGAACGCGAAGACGATGATTCTCGGCACATTCCAAGAGATTCGACTTCGTCGATTAAAACGAAAACCATACATTTGGGATCATCAGCGAGTTCGTCAATTTGATCGAACATTTTTTGCACCAATTTACCACTCTCGAAAATTAAATTTCGTTAATTTGAATTATACATGACGATTTTAAAAATACCTCTGAAAACCATTTCGAAAATAAGCTATGGCTGTTGATTTCGACGAGAACTGAATGCGAATATTTGGTATTTAAGCGAATTGCAAGATGTTGGGTTAAACCCTTGCAGAGTGAAGTTTTGCCGGTTCCGGGAGGACCTATATATTATGGTTTTTGATAATTACTTCAAACTGTTCCTACCAATTAGCATAATGAGTCTGTTGACGTTAATAATTTTTGGGTTTGCTCGCTTTTCTGATAAACGAAGAAGGGCATAAACATAGGAAATTATCTGAAATATAATAATCTTAATGGTTTAGAACTATTTTTAACCTCGTTTTTCAAATTTGAATCGTAAATCAAATTTTCCCATGTGCTTTCGAATTCGATGCATGGCAACTGCCATAATTGAGATCCAATAATACTATCTTCGTCTTCTTTAATTAAAAATACGATAATAAGAATATGGATTATTTGAATACCTCCAATCGATTGAGATAATGGTCCATCGGTGTTTAGCTTATAAATATGGCAATTATCAATTGAAGGAATGAATTCAGAAGCTGATGAAAGACTCTGCCCATCATCCAACTGATTACACCCAATCAAAACTTTTTCTATGATGTTTTCCACTAAACCAATTTTAAATAATGAATAGATTTCAGAAAATATTTACGTTTGATGTTTTTATCCGAATAATCAGAAACGGGATCGCACACTTCTTGAAGATCTATCGGTTTCCAATTTCTTGATTTGCTGAGTTGAGAATTTACGAAAGACCCAATTTCACTTAATTTTTCCATTGCTAAAGATTTAGGGCTACAAATTAGATATGTTACGTATTAATTTCAAAAAAGAATCGACATACACTTTTTTGTTCAATCGAACTTCGATATGAAGTGATAAAGATGTATTTTTGGCTTCATTATTATCGGAAATTGATATTGTTTCCATTTGGCAAAACTCCGGTTGACTTTCCGTATCAGTAGAAGTTTCCGACATGAATAAATCTGGAAATAATAATAAATTCGAAACGTTCTAAATAAAAAATGATTAAAAAACGCAAGAGCAAATTACTTTAGCGAAAAATAATTTGAACTTCGCGGCTATGACTGGCAAAACGCCAGACAAAGTTTGCGCCTGCACAGACTTTGCGTCAGTTAGTTACTTATGACGCCTTTAGTATTATTTGAATTCGAATTTAGAATGTTCATCGTTAAATTCTTCAAGCAAGCGACCCATTTTTTAAAGAAAATTTTAAAAGTCGAATACTATAATTATGAAACGGTAGTGTTTGCAGAAAAATGGCGGATGATGAGCTGGAAACATACCGACTTTGGAGAATTAGGAAAACTATTCTTCAGGTATATTTTTATTTTGGCAAAATTTTCAATCTTTAAGATATTTTAGATGGTTCATGATCGCGGATATCTTGTAACGCAAGACGAATTGGATCAGCCACTTGAGACATTCAAAGTAAACTATAATATGATTACTAAAAACTGCAACCAATATTTTTCTCGTTCATTTGGCTATATATTTACTTTTTATTTTTATAGTAACATTGTTGATGTTAAGGAAGTATACGGAGATCGGCCTAGTGAGAAGAAACCATCTAGAGGAGATTTGACGGTTCTCGTTGCCCATAATGATGACGCCACTGGTAAAATCACAATGTTAATAAGTAATTTTTTTTGTTTACAGATCAAATGTTTGTATTCTTTCCGGATGATCCCAAAATTGGCATCAAGACGATTAAGGCAATTTGTCAACAAATGCAAGAACAAAATATTTCGCGTGCTATTATAGTTGTGCAAACAGGAATGACACCAAGTGCGAAACAGGTAATTTGAAGTCAAAATAAAACTGATCATTTATTATATTTAGTCAATTGGAGACATGGCACCGAAATATATGCTTGAACACTTTCTTGAAGCGGAGCTCATGGTAAACATTACCGAACACGAACTGGTACCGGAACATGTTGTAATGACCACTGAGGAAAAAGCCGAACTCCTTGCCAGATAGTAAGGCTCGTTTTTAGAAATTTTATACGAATTTCTTCCAATCTTCAGCAAGTTAAAGGACTCGCAGCTTCCCAGAATTCAACAATCAGATCCAGTTGCCCGCTATTTCGGACTTCGTCGCGGACAAGTCGTTAAAATTATTCGACCATCAGAGACTGCTGGAAGATATATCACATACCGACTCGTCGTCTGACTTTCAAATACAAAGAAATTCCAGCCGGCCGGCAAGCTGTTTTATTCATGTTGTTGTGTTGTGTTATGGTCGAGGAGGCTTTAAGCGGCAAGTAATGTTTTGTTTTGTTTCTTTATGGCTTATAGTCTCCCTGCTTGTTATTATTTTGTGGGCAATAAATTAAAACAATTTATTGGTTATTTGACTGTTGCGAATGGTGAATTTCGTCAGAAGTGGGAGCTTTGATGTTGAAAAAACTCTTGAATTTTTCTCGTAGCCACTCGGAGTCTCCTCCATACTTCGGCTCCGAAATGTGCATCGCAGCTCGCTTGTAGAAGGAATAGTAGAAGCACGCAACTGAAACATTTAATACATTCAACGATTATGAGAACAAATAAAACTTACAAAATTTATGAGCAATATACATTGATAAAATGATGGGATTATCGAATATAACATCTCCATCAGTGTCCCAGGAGGAGTTCTGAAGAAATCAATTAACTTAAAGGATTCTTTCTCAAAAGCTTACCAAACTCACATAATGATAAGCAATAGATATTAGAATATAGAAAATTGTGAATATAATTGAAGGTAGAAAAGTGATAAGTAATAATGGAATAAGACCAATTTGAAAAACGAATGTTGAAGAAAACGAAGTGAACAACATTATTGAAGACATTACCAATAAAGTGTCTTGCAATCTTAAATTGGAAATGTTTAATTTCATTAAATAATTAATCTCATATTCTTACATATACAGCATTAGAAGAATGGTGTTATTCCCATATAAAATGACAGAAAGACAATTGAATATCATGTCGACTGCGAGCAAAACGATTTGAGTGTATAGCACTAAAGGATATTTGCTTCCCATCTGAAATAATATTTCTTATTGTATTTTCGAAGGCTTACAAATTTTTGGGTCAATATTTCAAGCATTGTTTCGAATATTTTAGTTTTTTTTGGATATTGTAGTTCTTTGAGCCGAACCACTCTCAACCGTGCCCTTCATAGTCCAATTTTGAATTTTTGTTATAGGTTAAAAACGAATTCAACTTCTTCGCACTTCTCTCTCACGTCGCAATTTATCAACGCGAAACAAATTACAGAAAAAATGTATTGCTCGTCGACGAAAGGAAACAAGGTTGAGCATAAAGAGAAGCCAAAACCGAGAGAAACGTGCGAATTCACCATGACAACCGCTGTGGTGAGAGCCCGTCCTCTTTTTCGATTTCGTACTCATTTGTGCACATGTTGTGAGCTTGTTTAATCTTGCCATATATAGTCTTAATATTGTGCTTGAGCTGGATTATCTTTTTTCAAAGATTATTAATGCCGCTAATTGACTTTAAACCGTCTTATACCCTTCATTTAGGAATTGCTATAAGTTCTTCAAAAAAAGCAACGACTAAAATATTTGATTTTCTCGTTTTTTTTTCAAAACTCTAACTAAATTCCTAAATATTTTTTTTAAATATATAATGATTTATGTACGTTTGAGATAATTGGCCATCCACTCGATGCATTAAATATGTTGCAATTCGATTTATCACGTCCACATCGGGTTTACATTCTCAGCGTTTCTAATGAACTTGATTTGTTTCATGAGAAACAAGAGTTTTGTTGAGTTTTGCAAGCAGTTATAGAGTAAAATTCTCGAAATTTCTTTCCTACAAATATTGTTTTCTATGCGATGGACATGAGCACCAATTAAAATTATGCTCATATTCTCTGAACAATGAGTGTGTGTTTCTGAATCACCGTTGCCCTTTTAAACGCTAAAGGATTGCGATGATTAATTTTGGCACGTTTGACGTAAAGACACATTTATTGTAGCGGTAAATGCAATTATTTGATTGCTGAGAATTCGAAATGCCTATAGAAGACTGATTGAGCCCACGTTGCTATGCAACGAAAATTATAAATGCTTATTTGATTATAAAATTATGTGATTTCGTTTCGTGTTCCTTATTTTATTCAGCCAAATTTCTTTGTAGTAATATCACGAAATCAAATTATTAATTTTAAAATGTTTTCAGTCGATGATTTTGAGCGTAAAATTATGATTAATAAGCAAATTGCTACGTCATAAAAAACTGAAATTTTGGAATATGCACGCGCCATTTTAGAAGCCATGCAATTCGTTTTAATCTTTTTTGATTTATTCAAATTGAAATCAAATTATTCTAGTAATGTCGGACACCAACAAGCAGTGGGTTGAGAAGAATCTCCAGCGACAGGTTCTCCTCGCTGATATTATTTGATAAGTGTGAATGAAATAATTATAGCGTCGAATGCTGGAAGACAAACAACGACAAAAGCGTGTGCAAAGTGCATCTGGAATCCGTGTGAATTCCGCATTCAATGCCTATAATCATCGCAATGAAGGGTAATTTAAAGGCACATGAGATGAGAGGCAAACAGGAAACTTATAGTAATGATGTTGGAGCCAACTTCGACGGAAATTTCAATCTTGGCGGAGAGACTCTTGCCCCAACTGTCATCACAATTCAAGCACCGCCAGCTCCACCGCGCGATCCATCGCCAGAACCAAATTCTAAAAATCTGATGTCGGATGCCTACAATCTAATAATTGAACCTATGTTTGATTTTCAGTGACTTTGAAGATTCGCAATCCAGCGATTTGTCTGAGAAACTTCAAAAGGCGGATCTCAGTCAATGCGTCGCTTCTGATGATGAGAACAACTCTGACAAAGTGTCGAATTCAGATACATGGAAAGATGACATTGAAGAGCACACGTTGACGTGCGAGCAACAACCAGACATCAATGAAATCTCGAAGAACATCGTCAAGTAAATCAATTATAAAAATGTGAGCTGACCAATTCAGAATTAGGTTCGTCGAGGACCCGGCTCGTCGCAATACCGTCTACAAGTGTTCGATTACTCGTGACAAAAAAGGTGTTGACAAGGGAATGTACCCAACTTATTACCTTCATCTCGAATACATGGACAAAGAGGAAAAGAAAAGAGTAGATCACATTGGCATTTTCAAGTAGAAACTGTGCTCTTTAGATGTTCTTGCTTGCTGCTCGTAAACGTAAGAAGAGTACCACAGCGAACTATTTGATCTCAACGGACCCTACTAATTTGGCGAGGGAGGGTGATCATTTCATTGCCAAAGTTCGGTGAGAGATCATTATAACTAGCTTATAAGGATATCGGTGTTTAGTTCAAATGCTCTTGGCACCCAATTCACCGTGTACGACCGCGGTAATAATCCAAAACGAGCTACCGATCCCCTGACAATTCGTCAAGAACTGGCTGCTGTCATTTACGTTCGTTGGATGTTTTTGAGAGACCCTCAATACAGTTTTTATAGGAAACCAATGTTCTCGGATTCAAAGGACCACGCAAAATGACGATTTTGGTTCCCGGAATGTATGATCCAAACACTGCGGGAAACTCGAGACCATCGAATCAGGCCGATCGCGAGCCGTTCACTAGAAAGAGTCTGCGACCAGTCGTGGTCTGTTTTCGTATCGATTATTAGCAATCGGTTATTCAAATTATAGGAGAAAGATACTCTTCTTGAACGATACAAACTTCGAAATACTGCCGATTTGGTGGTGATGAGCAACAAGAATCCTGTCTGGAATGAAGGTAGAAATCAAAATTCCTAAAAATTCCAAATCTGGTTTTCAGACACCCAATCGTACGTTCTTAACTTCCATGGTCGCGTTACTCAAGCGTCTGTCAAAAACTTCCAGATTATTCACGAGCTTGATCGTAAAATTATTTTTTTTAATGGCTCAACCAATTTAATTTTTAGCGGAATACATTGTGATGCAGTTCGGCCGAGTTTCCGATGAACATTTCACAATGGACTACAGATATCCGTTGTCGGCTCTTCAGGCTTTCGGAATTGCGATGACCAGTTTCCATGGAAAAATTGCTTGTGAATAATTGAATCTCGTACTAAAAATTTTATTTATTTTTTGTTTCAATAACATCTCTAGAACACTTCGTAAAAACTTCTCCTGATTCTGTGATTTTTCGTCGGTTAATTTTGTTTCCCTAAAATCTCTCTCTCTCTTTTTTTTATATTATCGCCAACTTTTCGTAGATCAATTTCAAAAAAATCTTCACTGAACAAAATTGCATTATAACGTTGATTTATTGTAAAAATATAAATTATTAATATTATGATTAGCATGATATGAACGTTGTAAAACAAAATAAATACTTCTTAATTTTTCGTTTCAATGAATCACAAGCAATCACAGAAATGCTAACGGATCATAGAAATGCGTGTTTTTACAATCATGAAGAATGGATAAAAGAGACTGGAACGGATCGAGTGGCTGCAAAAGGAAACATAGTCATTCTAAACATGTTCGCCAGTTTTTGCGAGGCAAGAAAATTATTATCATAAAAAATTATTAAAATTATCACTACACTCAAAAAAGAAAAAGAAAATCAACTTTGAATAGGAGAAAATGCGATTCGAATGGAAATACTTATTGCTCCATGATGATCGATGGTGGAACGTATTGGTGTGGCGGGAATGGATAATTATGCAAGAGCGGTGCCTGCATTGGCGCGACGCCGTTTGGTGGCGCTTTAATCGGGCTTTGACGAGATCGGACAGTGATTAGTGCTTCACCGGAACAGATTGGCGATGGGAAACGCGTGAAAGCGATCTGCAATTGAATAATCGTTTTGAAGTTCAGTAATGAAAATGACATACGTTCTCAACGCTCACTTCCGGAGTACTGAAGTGATTGAAGAGATCCTGATACGTTATGTTCGCTGTGAGACCGTAAACAATGAACTGCGAGATTTGACCCGGCACGATCGGCGAAATCGGTGGAGACGGATACGAAGTCCAGAATTGCTGTTGCTGCTGTCCGATGAGAGCTTGCGGCGGCGGAAGGAACTGGACAGGCGGCTGCGACATCGCTTGTCCGTTCTTCACCAAATGCTGAAGGTTCAAATCCTCCGGGGCGCATTGGAACACCTCGATGTATCTCTTCTTCTTGCCGACAACCATGTATTTGTTGTGGACGGCGAGAGCAGTAGCGAGAGCGGCTTGCTCGCTGATCATTTGTATGAACGCCTCACCGGACGGGTTGCCCTGGTTATTGAAGATCATATGGACGCCGTGGAATTTCACCATTTGCGCGTACTCGCCCAAGAAGGTGATGACGTGCGGCACCTGAGCCTCATAAGGCAATCCGCGGAGACGAACACAATCGCGGCGTTTTTCGTCTTGCTGCTCCAATAGAGCCGGAATCGCAACGGCGGCAGCGGCGGCGGCGGCGGCGGTGGCGTTCGCGATCGCCGACGAGCTCGCCGAAACCGCGGTGTTCGGATCCTTGCTGCGCTTCATGACTTGCTGCACTTCGGCGGCGGTGCTTTTGAACAGCTCAATGTAGCGCTGGCCAATCGTTTGGCGGTGTTTTTGGAGCGCCTGGTTGCATTCGTCATCGGTGGAGAATTGCACGAATGCGTCACCTACAAGTATGTTGATTATTTGCTGCCAACCATTCCCATATATGTATATATTTCCTACCTGTTGGACGGCCATCGTTGCGAGTAATGAACAAAATATTCTCCATTGGTTTGAGAGGCTCGAAAAACGCCTTCTGAAAATTAAAACAATTTGTTCTTCATTCATCCACCGATGCATAAACAATTGAAAAGGGGGTGCTGGCAACATCATAAAAAAATGAAAAAGTATTGTTCATCAAAAGAATCCATTAATTATTCTTCGTTTTCTTTTTTTCCTAGAATGTGTCAACTTCACAATCTATCCATTCATTCATATGCAAAATTTTGCGAGTTTCTCTTTTTTTTCTTGGCCTGATTATTGATTTATATCGTGTTCTCCATCGACGTGGCCGGCGAATATTCAATTTTTATGGCTTCATAAAAATGGGCAAAATGTGCTGAGCGCGAATATTGTATTCGGTCAAAACGCGCTCGAAATAATAAAGCAAGAAAAATAAAAGCAAAGGCAACTTACAATTTGTTGATCGGTGCAATCGTAGGGCAATCCGCGCATTCGCACAATCACCCCATTTTGGCTCAAGAATTCCATTGCTTCGGAGGAGGAGCCTGAAAACGATAATTCATAGCAAATTGAAACAATATGTAATAATAATAATAATAAATATTATTGACATAAATGGCATAGGAGTAAATCAACTGATAACGAGCGTTTCATTTGCCGATAAATGATTTAACCGCACCCAGTTTTCTTTTTTGATTTAATATTATTCGCTTAATTTCCGCCTCCCTAATTAATTTTTTTTCTGTTATACTTTGAATAAATACTCGCTAACAATATGTAGTATAGAATAGAATTGAAAATTGATTTTTATCTATGTATATGTATATTGAATAGGAGCAAATGAGCCATGGGATCAATCAAAACGCCCCCGTTTTTGTTGACTATTTGACGTGTCATTCGGATCGTTGCGAGAGCACCGAAAATCAATATCTTCATTTTTGGAACCGGAATCTCTCGTTTTAAAAGAGACTACAATCTTGAAAATTAGGAAGATGTTTAGAGGTGTGTGATGGGATGTTGAAAAGAGGAATCCTAGGATGAGCCGTTGATTCGAAACACCTAGGTAGATGGGAACAGGAAACAATGAGGAAGAGAAGGAATCACGGATAGTTGTCAGCACGACCGCACACGAACAGAATGACCGAATGGGGGGGGGGTGAAGCAGCACACAGACGAGATGTCGATTTTCTCTGCCTACGTGGCCCCGGCAGTTCCCGTGCCTGTGCCCTGCGTCGCGAGCGACGGCGGCGGCGGCCCACCATTCGTCGTCGTCGTCGCCGTCATAATATTAATATGCAAAAATAAAAAATATCGCCGAAAAAAGAAGAGAGAAAGAGCGCGCGCGCCCACACACGACGATATTTTCATTTTTTATGATCGCCTTAGAAATCGGCAAGAAAAAAAACGATGAAAGCAATGTTGAATCCACACTAACTCATTTTGTTTTGATTAATAATAATAATAATAATATTTTTATTATTAGAATATTTATTTTATAAAAGCGGGACTCTGTTTGGATGTCATTCAAAACAAATAGTAATTGACATATTAAAATTAAACAATTCACTCCATTTATGGAGATCGATTTGAGGATTGAAAAATGCGAAATTAATGCCAAATTCTCTATAAACCATACCAATTTGGGTTTATTAGATATATGTCTTCGTTTAGAAAAAATAGAGACAAAGTCTGCTTTAATAGTCGAGATTTGGATGGTGAAATCCAAATAAAAGGCGTTTCACATTGAAAATTCATGAGGAAGAACCATATGAAAAATCTAGACAGCTTTGTTAGTAGAAATTCGATATTTGAAAAATGACAATTTAATTTTAGCGTTGCATTGGTTTTAGTTCTGTATTCTAAAAAAAGTATGTAAAATAAGCCCCGCCCCCAAGGTCTTAAAATAGAAATGAAAAATTCTTTAAAAAAAACCTATGTAGTCAATTTTTATCTATAAAATTGAATTTCCATGAAATGGCTGGGGTTTTGTAAGCTGTAATGTGAGGACAGACAATGGCGGCGAATAGGGTGGGGGATGTTTGATCGTGCGACCGTAATCGGTAATTTGTTGTCACATTGATTGGCACAATGCGATATTTGCAGTACGTCCTGCGGGTCGGACGGGTGGTCGGGATGATAGGCGGACGGGTCCCGTTCGCATTCGCTGTGCTCCCAAATGTCAATTCGCCGCCCGTCTTTTTTTTTTTCATCGGGTTCGGTTTTTGTGCGCACGTTATTATTATTCGAGAAAGCCCTTCCACCCTTTTTCTATTTGGACAGCAGGCAGACGGTCGCAGTCGCTGCAACAGCACACGAACGGGGGGAGGGGGCTATCGCGATATACCGCCGGCGACGGACTACATCGAATGCGGCGTCGTCGCCTTCCACCGTAGTCGCCACCGACGATACCGACAACTAGGAACACAAAACTCGCAGCAAATATGAAATATCGATCGAGCGCTGATTTGAATCGACGAAATACATAGCCATTTATGGGGGGGGCACACGGGGAAGGAAAGGAGAAGTGACGGCGACGACGACGACGATAGAAAGCGGGGCAGAAGGACCAAAAACGCTCTCAATAATACATTCCGGCACACGTACACAGCACACTATTCACAGACCATTTATGGTTTATTGCCATTTTGCGCCTTTTGTGTGTGCGCTGGATGTGGGATGATTCGAAAAAATAACGTTGTCGCCGGAAAAAAAAATTACGACATTTTTATTAATTAGAGCGTATTGGCTTTAGTTCTTCAGAATATTCTAATAAGTTTCAAAAAATTCGGTGAAATAAAATCTCAAAATGGCTTTGTGATACGTGATTAATAAAATATTAATCTTTCGCTTCAATGCTTAAATAATTGCTGGGTGTGGCTCTTATTGAAAGTGATTCTTGGGGACTATTTGAACACCTTGCATCTGTCAATTTTCAGGAATCGGGTTAAGATGTGCATAAAGTAGGTTCAAAGAGCAAAAGGAATGAGGAATTGAATTTTATTGATTTTTTAAGAACACCAAATATTTTGATAATATTCGTGATTGAAATTTTTATCAAAAATAAAATTCCAAAAAAAAATTATTCGAAAAGTAAAAAATGTTGAAACATGAGAGAAATGGATTTTGTGAATCTCGCGAGAATGTCGTTTGTGTCGTTTTTCGGCACAACATCTACGCTCGAAACCAATGGTAACTGACGCACGCATAATGGACAAACGAAGCTCGAATATATTTGATGCATTGTTTGTGTATTGAAGGAAACAATACCGAGTGGTCCCGGGCGATTTTTGGGCGAAAAAAAACGAAAGAATGTCATAAAACCAAACAAATATCGAAAAATGTTGTGAATCAATTGCCGCACACAAAACGACGATCAAACACAAAAATGAGGAGAGCGGGACGGCGATGTCGGTGCGAGCGGATATGAGGGATTACAATAGCTCTGAAAGGAGTCCAAATTCCCCCCCCACACACACACATACACTTCCATATTTGGGTGGCATTTCACTTTTAGCTTTTTCGCTGAGCGAGCTCACCTGAAGCCACGTGAAGGAATTCATCAAGTGTTGCTTTGTAGACTTCAATGTATCTGGAGAGCAGGAAATTTCGATGACGTTTCAACGCCAAATCGCGTGATTCTTGATTGGCGAATTGGACGAGCACTTCACCATTTCGACGGCCTTCTGATGACAAACATAAAGCAATTCCACCACTGAAATATTCAATTACATATTTAATTCTCAGTCTTCCATAAATATTCAACCGTTTAATGTTTTTTTTTTAAACATTTCTAGAATATCCTTTTTGTGGAAAAATATTACAAAATTTATATTTAACATAATTTGTATTTCGAAATTCATTTTGAGTAATGAATTATCGTCTAGAAATGAATTATTTCAAAATTGGCCAAAAAATAGAAAATCCAATTTTTCACATTCTCGTTTCATGCCTAAATGGGATGCATTACTTTTTTCCAAAACCAGAAATTTGCCTTTGTTTCATTTTCAATGTTGACGAATTGGTTTCAAGGGTTCGCCAGTCAAACGGAACCGCTCAATAAATAAGGACCACTTGAACCATTTACCTCGATTGTATCATATCCATTCGACGATCGCTCGTTCTCATTTTTTTGGTCTCGATTCAATATTTTGACAGAAAACGACTTTCCCATCAATTGGCAGCCACAAAAATTCCCATTCGGTTTACAATATTCGATCAAATTTATTGTTTTCCGATTTTTGAATACGGTAATGCAATTTATCGAGAATAGAAGGATATTTTCATAAAATTTGTTCGAAAATAAATAGTTTCAAAAAAGCGATATTGGGAATTTCGAATAGTTTCGGTTGCATATATTTGTCATCAACACTTTCACTATTTCAAATAATTCAAATGGCAACACTTTTTTTGTGCTAAACGCCCACAATACATATATCTAGTTTGACGCGTTTGATTCTCATTAAACCGTTCGTTCAGTTCGAATCTAACATACGGTATTATGTCGAGTCCGGCAAAGAATTGTGCGACGTGCTGATCCGACGCCTGCCAAGGTAATCCTCTCGCTCGACACACCACATTTTCGGCGTTGATTTGAGGCGAAGTCTCGTCGGTTATTGGTGCACTTTTATACTCCAAATCGACGATTTTGTGGATTTTGTCGAGTTGTTCTGAAAAACGAAAAAATGCCACATACAGTACTGGCCATAATGATGTTCGCCTAGTGTTTTTTGAACATAACTTGGCACAAACGCGGCCGATTGGGCTGAAATTTTTACTGTAAACGCTAAACACAGTTGCGCAACCTTGGAAACGACAAAATTGCATCATCTTGAAAAATTATTTTTTTTTTCAATTTTTTTGTTTTTTTCGATTTTACCAATTTTTCATTTTTTTCAAACTTTGTCCATAAAAATTTTTTTATTTGAAATTTGAACATGAAACATGTTTTTAGTAATTTTTCAACCTTCTGGAAAGAAAAATTTCGCGGCGGACGTTCAAAAAGCGATCGTCAACGGTCATAAGACTGGGTCATCCAGAAGCTCTCTAGCTCAGCAATTCCTGTGCTCCCGAAGAGGAATCCAAAAAGTTTTGCAATGATTAAGACAAAATTTACTATTTTTTAATCATTTCGGACTGTTTCTAATCTATTGGGCTGCATTTTTGTCAACAAATCACACAGTGGACCTCGCAAAACCACTAGGCTCCATGATCGGAACATCTGCCGTGCTTCGAGAGAAGATCCTAGACGGACTGCAGAAGATATCCAGATGCTTGTGGTAACGCCAAATGCTTCAATGTCATCCAGAAGAACAATTAGACGTCGTTTGGGGGAGAATGGACTTCATGGAAGGCGCCGGCGAAGAAACCATTAATCAGTGAGAAGAAACAAAAGACGAGGGAGGCATGGTGCAAGGATCATCTGAACTGGGGACGATGTGAATGGGCCAAACACATCTGGAGCGATGAATCGAAGTTCAACTTGTTCAGAACTGATGTAATAAAGTGGATTCGTCGACCTATCGGAGCCAGATTCATGCCAAAGTACCACCTCCGAACGGTGAAGCATCTTGCAGGGTCTGGAGCTGCTTCTCCGACACCGCCATGGGACCGCTCCGACGTATAAATGGAATCATGGATCGGTATCAGTACAAGGATATCCTGGAAACCACAATGAGACCTTGGGAATTGGCAAACGTCTGACGTGCATTCGTTTTCCAGCAAGACAACGACCCTGAGCACATGTCGGGACATGTAATGAATTGGTTCTAACGTCGCCGCGTTGATGTTCTTGCATGGCCATCACAGATTCCTGACCATAATCCGATCGAACATCTCTGGGAAGAACTGATACGCATGGTTAGAGGGCTTCGAGCATCAATCGCCGACGAGAAGTTCGCTCAACTCGAAGCCGCATGGAGTGCCATTCCGATGCAGTGATCCGCACCCTCTTGGACTAAATGCCTCGCAGATGTGAAGCGGTTATTGACGCCAACGGATACGCAACAAAGTATTGATGAATTAAAAACCGGTTTTCTACACATTTGTAATGTTTTCGGGTTTCTGAGACTTTCAAATCACATTGTGTCATTTTTTCCATTTTCTGCATTTTTATGAAATTTGTGATTTTTCGAAAAAAAACTTTTCTGCAGTATGCGATATCATTCAAACGCATTTTCAACGCGTTTTAAAGATATTGTAAAAATTTCAGCCCGATCGGCAGCGTTTGAGCCTAGTTATGCTCAAAAAACACTAGGCGAACATCATTATGGCCAGTACTGTACGTATTTGGGTATTTCGTCGTTTACGACTTAACGGACAATTTCTTGTTATCAAGGTTAGAATACGGTGGATTTAGATTTCAGTCGTAAAAAAAAAACAAGTAGTAGTATTGAGATGGTGACAGTGAAAATGGCGGAGAATTTTATTCGAAAATTGGCAATACGGAATATCCAAAATCGGCGCCAAACGACTGCTGGTGTAGATTTAGGGACATGCGTTTTTCGATATCGTCTCACGCGGAATTTCTACATTCAGACATACTTTAAATTTGGAAAAAGCTAGAAATGTAAGAAAATGAAAAAAGCGATTAAAAAATGGAGAATTGAAGTGACAATAACAAATTGAACATTTCACAATTTGTTATTGGCAAGACTGAAATGAAATATTAATGCCCGTAAATCTACATCAAGTCGATGAGTTGCGACTAAATTATGACTATTTATGACTATGCAGAACGTGAAAAAAAACTCAATATCAATTAAAAATTTCTAAAAACCATATATAGCAAATTGCAGAAAAAAAGCAACAACATTTTATCTGTTTATAACCAATTTTGTTATGAACTTAAATTGTAAATTGGAAAAAATAAATTTTAAAAAGTTTACTGTCTCTGAAAGCACAAAAAAGTTTTTTTTCAGTTCGCAAAATAGGTCTATTTGATAAATGGTTTTCCAGAATTCGGAAAATTCGGGAAATTTCTACTCTCGATTTTTTTCCAATTTATTTTCAAAGAAAAAATGTTCAGAATTTTTATATTTCCATGTTTACGTGACAATTTGTATTTTTTTATTTACATTTCTCCAAAGGACTCACATTTTAGTGCAAATTTCCCCGTAAACAATCTAGTGAATGTGTGTGTGTGGATATTCGAAAAAAAAAAGTAACAATCTGGATTCAAAATCGAAGAGTGCTTTCATTGTGTAGTTTCTCCGCTTCGCAATTACATTATAATTTGTTGCTTGGATTTTTCAAATTAACTGGGCAAAATTTTGAAATTTTGTTGGATCCGATCCCTACGAGATATTGGAAATCGCGGAAGTGGCTTTTCCCGAAACACACACACATCAATTTTTTGAGGGCACAGTTCGATTTCCGAGCTCTTCCCGACAATATTTGTGTCTGCGTATGTTGGTGAGTCAAAGGGCGACTGGTACGCACTGTTTGCGTACACAATGGCCGCATTTTTGCACAAAAGGAAACTGAATAAGAGCGCGAAACAGAGCCAAAAAAATTGACGGCGTATGTGTGTGTCTGTGTGTGTGTGTTTCTTTCGGACGTTCCATCAGAAGTCCATTCTCCATTTTTTTCGCGCTAGCCTCTTCTCTAGACGCCTTTTTTTGGAGCAGATCTATTCATTCGCTCATTCAATTCAATTCAATTCAATTCATTTGAATAGATTGATTGAGCACAACTCGACAAGGTCGTCACGGCTCATCACAGTGAATTCCAAATTAGGCGGCGAATGAAAGATGACTAATCAAAATAATAAGCAATATCAGAAACGTATCAAATACACATTAATTCCGACTTAGATAATACAAAAATTGAAAAATTGCTCAAAATCTGGTCGAAATGGAATTTTTAATTTAAATTTATATTAGAAAAAAATACGCTTTTTTTTTAGCAATTCTTCTTTGTTTTTTTTCTCAAATACAAAAATTCATCAAAATTTTTGCTTCAATCTGCATAGTTTGTGTGCGAAAACGCATAAATAGGCTGGTTCCCCCGCATCATTTTTTTCTCATTAATTTATTTTTGCGCTCTTTCCGATGATGAAGCTGAGAAAAGGCAAACACATGTGTGGTTTTAGCGCGAACATCTGGGGGTAGCCGCGGAAAAGTCGAAAAACAAATTGCAACTGACTGACCTTCATTCAAATCGAGAATTCTTCGAGCCACCTTGATGTCGATTTGCGAGTTTTCGATCTCTTGAAGCATCGGGTTTAATGCGAGAATATCATAGTAATGAAGGAGCTGGTGCGGAACATATTGCTCGTTCCGCACGAATAACGGAATGAGATAATGGCGAATCGGCTCGGGACCAATTGTGAAGATGTGGCTGAACGGATGCTCGTCGAAGAACTTGGTGATTTCCTCGATCGTTATATTTACAGTAAACTGGATCGTATCGACGTCGTCTGAAGAGGATGAAGGTGTTGTGTCATTATTGTTTGCATCCTCTTCATGAAGACGTTTGAAGTAGGTCACGATGAGGTGACTCTCGTTTGGGTCTTCAGAGACTCGAACGAGAAGTAGTCGTTGTTCTGAAAAAAAAACCGGCAATAGAGAGATCAATTCGATTTATATGTTGCATAGTTCCTAGAAATATCTAATTTATTCCTTGTTCTCAAACACTTCTTACGGGGTCAAGGCTGGCGACACACGAATCGTCAGCAATATCCTGGTTCAAATAAAATCTCGATTTCCTTATAAGAAAACGATGCCTTCATCAACAGCAAATGACCCATTTTTTTAAACAATAAATACAACTTTTTGGTTTTCCTTATGGAATTTCAAAACCGAAAAATCAAACATGATGTGGTAAAGCAATGTTTATTCTAAACAAAACAGCCTTTCAATCGTCACATTTATCACAATACAATTATAAACATTTGACACCACCAATATTATTTTTATTATTTTACCAAAAATTATACTACTCTTTCAGGCTTTTCGAAAAAAAAATTGGCCAAAAATATACGTTCAAAAGTGTTAGAATATGGTTTGAATTTCAAAATTCGAATGGTGAAATAAAATTGTTACAAGTTCTTCTTTTTTCTGAATTAACAAAATTAAACATTTGCTCAATCCAATTTTTGATAATACCCAGAAAAAAAACAACGATAATTGGTCAGAAATGAGAAAATTAAAAATATGAGTGAAAAGAGTTGTCTATTAGCAGAAGCTCAAGAACGGAACAGCTTGTATTGAGAATAAAAGAAACGTCATTCAACGATAAATATTTCGGAAATTCGTCAACGAGTTCTCATAATTTCATAGAAAACACTTATTCATGAATTGAATACCTCTCATGTTTACAACAAGACCCCCTAAAAGGGATGACCTTGACTGAATACGAATCACTGAATTTTTATCAAATAGGATGTAGGGATGAATGTCTCACTAATAACAACAACCCTTATTATTAAAAAAAGAACAGACAATACCTGGATGAGACGTTGGCCGATTCATCAATGTAGGGAATCGTCAATGCGTCCTTGGGTACATACGCAAACCAACGGGGCTGTTGCTGCTGCTGTCCGCCCAATCGACCCGCCATCGCCGACGAAATAGCCGCCCCTTTTGAGAACTCACTCTTCCGAACACTGCAAATTAAACAATCCTATTTATGTGTTCAGTGTGAAACTGCGAACGCTTTCAATATGCCAGCTGATTTATCAGAATTCGAATTCGAATTCAAAAAAAAAAACAAAAAAAAGACAACAAAATGATGAGTGGAAAAATTAACAGCAATTGCGCTGAAACAAATTCAAAACGTTGAAAAATCTGCCGGGATCAATAATTTTTTTGAAATTTAAAAGTCTTAATGAATTGATTCAAAATTTCAATGTTGGACTTTAAAAAACCATTCACATTCCACAACTAAATTGATTATTCATCTGGAGAGCACTCGATCTGCTTGTGTCTCTATTCGATGAGAATAATTGAGAAGAAACCAATCAAATCTGAACGAGAGAGGAAGGTTCCTCATTCAATCACGAGATCATCCCTTGTGTTATGTTTAGCCTAATGCGATCAGACGATCAGCTCGATTCTTATCTCATCGAGATCAATTCATCTAAGAAAAAAAAATTAGAAAATACACTTCAAGAATAAAATAAAAATTTGCAGTGAAATTTCAAAATGAGCACTTCGCTATCGCATCTCCACCTTTTTAAGAAATTCTGAAGAATTGGCTAACCGTTATTTTTTTTCAATTAATACCTCCATAAACTATCAACAATTAAAACCGATAATTTATGAACCCAATGCCCTGTATCTAAACGTATTTTGCTAATTTTCTTGTGAGAATGACCTCATTTTTCGAGGACGTGCTGTCCGAGGCCTCGATGTCTTCACCGCGGCCACGTCTCCTCATCTTGTTCATCATCGCTCCGACCGAGACCGTAACGCCGGCGTGTCCGCCACTCAACCTACTATTTCATCATTTTGTCGCATGCGAGATTAGAAGGCGGATGAAAAAAAACATACACGCACAAGAAGGTGGATCAGCTACTTGGGAATAGTAAGTCGAACGGCGATATTCAGACATCCTCAAGTCTTCTCACTTTACAGTGGTGTTGGCGAACGGATAATTGGCGAACAACTTGTGAAATCATTTTGGTGTTCGATGAGATACCGTAATCTGATTCACGGCAACAATGCAGATGAACGGCCGTCGAATTATAGTATTAATTAAAGTCGTCGCCATAAATTAGTTCTAATATGGATAATAAGAATGTTTGATTACGAGAGGAAGACGTTCGGATGGTTGGGGGACTTTTGCAAGTTTGTTCATAAAATGTCGAAATATTCAAAAAGATCTTCAATACCTTTGCAACATTCGAAAATACCACCCGTACTACACGTGATTCACATTGTTAACTTGACTTCCTTGAACCACCCAAATAAACTTTCTCTTTCTGTTACTATTGTGATATATCAAGTTACAGATAATGAGTGATAAGCTTTTCCGCAAACATCGTTCCGCTTTTTGCAAATCAAATTACTTACAGGGTGTCATTTAAGTTCCCGCACAAAAGTTAGACGCCATGAAAAGCTTGGCTGTCGCACTTTTCGTGCACCAATACAATTTATTTTTGTTAAATAAGGTGTATTTTACTTACTTTTCAAGTTTCACTTCATTCGGATGTGTTTCCGAGAAATGGCGAAGGCTAACATTCATCGCGCTTCCATTATCGAACTTCATAAGCGAAATGAGCGCCCGACAGAGATCATTCAACGCCTCGGTGTGCCTCGTAGAACGGTTTAAGACACCAACAAACGTTTCAAGGAGCTAAATACGACCAGTGACCTTCCCAGACAAGGAAGACTCGTCTCAGTAACCACTCCTCAGAAGATCAACGCCGTCAAAACGAGGATCAGGCGAAAACCGCACAGGAGCATAAGAAAGATGGCGTCAGACATGGGAATGAGCATCTTCGCTATGGAACAAATCGTCAAAACAAAGCTTGTACTGACCCCATATCGTGTCCAAAAAGTGGCAATTCTATCGGCCGTCAACAAGCAGAGACGCTTCGAAAAAGCAAAACGACTTTTTGCTCGCACGGAGAACACCTCGCCACTGTCTTCTCCGACGAGAAGCTGTTCACTGTGGAGGCGGCATTCAACTCACAAAACCATTGAGTACTTGCCCAGACATCCCAGCAAGCTTCAGAGAAAGGAATAACAATTTATCCAGCCTCACATCCTGCCAGTGTGATTGTTTTCGGTGCCATCTGCTCAACCGGGAAGTGCCCCTGGTTTTCGTGGATCAGGTGGTGAAAGTGAACAAAGAAGTCTACGTTCGGGACATTTTGGGGAAGCATATGATGCCCTGGGCCCAAACGCATTTCGGTGGGAAGATATGGGTCTTTCAACAGGACGGAGCACCCGCCCCTACTGCCAAAACTACTCAGGAGTGGTGCCAGACCCATTTTCCCGACTTCATCAAGTCATCCGAATAGCCTGCTTGCTCCCCAGACCTGAACCCGCTTGACTTCTCCGTGATGGGGTCTTGCAGGAGAAGGTCAACGCAAAACCCCACTCAAGTGTAGAGGCTCTGAAGAAGACATTACTGGCGGAATGGGACAATCTTTCCATCGAATACCTGCGTACCACAGTCACATCCTACCCGAAGCGTCTCCGCGAAGTCATAGCTGCGAAAAGAGGCCGAATCGAAAAGAGTTAATAGATAATTATTTGTTGTACTATAGATAAAAAATATTTCGAGTCTCGTTTGATTTGGACTTTTAGTTTCAGAAATATACGTCTTCAAAGTTGTGCGGGAACTTAAATGACACCCTGTATAAGAGTTGAGGTCCAGTTTGCGCCCTGTTCTTCTTCTCGAAATGTTTCAATTGTTATTCATCGAGATTCGAAACAATCGATTCGAGAAGATTGAAGCCTGTTCACTTTCAATAATCGGCTGATCGTATCTCGAAATGCGGAAACCGATGATTCTCGAGACAACGAAAAACATGCGTCAAGCATCATCATTGTCCCGTTTGGTCTTCGTATCCATTGGACAAGTGTTAACGGGTCAAAGAAAGCAGAAAAAAAACAAAAAAAAACGATTAAAAGCAAAACGAGTAAAAGCGACGAGACTCACTTCTTTCGGATCGCTTTTAATACGCGAATCGCGTCGAATCCTCGTCCAAGACTATGGATCTTGTCGATGCACACCGAACCGCTCACATCGACAGCTGAGCATTATTAATGTCAATCGGAAATTGGAGGGGACTTATAGAAATACCTAATGTAGTAATAACAAGGCCAATGAATATGAAAATGATTGAGACCATCATATACTGGAAATTACCAACTGGATACAAGTCACCAAATCCGACTGTCATCTGAAAATAGCAAAAACTTGAATTCATTTGATGTTTCTCTAATAATCTCAAGCAAAAACATGTTTCATTCAAGCATTTGCCTTCTTTTCAAGATTATTCTTGCATAAAGATGTTTCATAGAATTTTCATTTTTTTTCTGGCAATCGATTCCTCCGAAATACTTGAATGTGTGAGACGACGTCGATCAAAATCAGATAGGATCTGAGGTTCTTGTTTGCTAATTCAATTTAACGAGAAAACGTTTGTATGAAACTCTTTGAGAATGATCTCGAAATAATTTGGATTCGCCAGTTCGAGAGTTGCCATCAGAATTGCAAAATCAAATTTGGTATGAAAATAAATTGGATGTGTTCATCGAAGAATGTATTTCCTTATTATTATTCGTTGCCATCGATCACCCATTTATACAGTTTTAATTATACACGTTCTCAATAAAATCTCACCAACGAAACCAGGCAAAAATAGAAGGCATCGACAAATGACCAAGTCGGTTCAAGTATCGTGTAGACGCATGCTGAAATCGCCATATATCCCAGCAAAACGACCAACACCATTAATTGTCGTGTGGTTTTGACGTCCTCCGTCGGGTCCATAATCAATAAATCAGCGACGAATTTAGCGACATCGGCAATTGTGATGAGTGTTAATGGAATTCTATTCATCAAAACGAATCATGTGCAAATTTTGGGGGGGCCGAGGGGGTTCGAATTACCCGAATATCGCATAACACATGCAGAAGATTTGACCATGCGTTGATATTGGGATCAGATTGCCATAACCAATCGATGTCAAAACTGTGGTGGTGAAAAATACCGACGATATCATGGTCCATCGCGTCGAGTTGTTCAATTTGGCCAAATCTTTAACCAATGTGATTTTGTTTAAATAAAAATGAGAGAGGACAAATACCTGCTGGTTTGAGGCCCGCTTCGAAAGCAAGAAAATTCAGATGAGTAAACGTATCTAGAAGATGATCGATGTCTGCTTGAGAATCATTTGCAGATGATAAAATATTCGCCATGAGATATTGATATTGCGAATAATGCCTTTGGTGGTTCTCAAGCTCGTATGGTTTTTCGATGTAGGCAAATATGGAAGCGCCGAGGAAAATATAGCATAGAGTTGCCGAAATGAGAGCAATGTGTGGTAGAGCAAGTCGGAGATTCGCAATTATTCCTCAAATAATATGTTTCGATTTCATAAATTGAATTCAAATTAAAAAAAAATCACCTTTGGGTGAATCGTCATCGTTGTTGTTCGAATCGATGATCATTGCGTTTCGGCGTCTCGCCGATGAAGTGAAATGAACCTGAGAAGCCTAGATTTCAAATCTCGCAAAATTCAATTGAATTCCACATTTTTCGGATCCAAACAAATAAATCTTTTTTATTAAATTTTCGAAAAATGAAAACTTTTTTATTTTTGATTGACTATTTCACGCGGTTCTTTAAGAAGTTTTTTTGTTTAATTTTCAAACAAACAAATTATTTTCAGAATTAAAATTGTTGAGAAGAAATAGTTTGGCTAATTTATTCATCGAAAGAACAAAAAACGACGAAGAAATCAACTGAATGGGTAGGCTTAAGCTTGGATGAAAAAAAAGGTTTGCAATAAAAAGCAGGTCCAAATCTTCTTAAATCGTCCGGCATGTGCTTTCGTGAAAATGTGTGAAAAGTGGCCGAATGCATACAATTTGGAGTCTTTTGTCGACACGGACCATTATTGCACGCACGTCATTTTGGAATTCTAATTACTACTTCTAAATCATACAAGACCAACATTTTTTTGGAAAGAACGAACGTCAAAAAGTTGAAAAAAGCAGGTTTTTCTTTTCTTAAAAAATTTATATTAAAAAAGAAAGAAAGAAACATGTTTCTTGCTAGTGAGTACCTTCTTATAATTGTAATATTCTTGGTTTTCTTCACAAAGAATTTCGTCGAGCTGCCATTCAAAAAAAATTGTGTTGTGGGGTCGACAAATTTGAAATTTGCTAGTCTTTTAGTAAAAAAAAAGTGGCAAAACAACAAACTGCCGGGGATTTCCGATTTTTGGGTTCAAAAATTTTGATTGAAAAGAAAACCAACAACCAGCCATTTACGATTCTAGATAAAATTAAAACGCTATAAATAATCAGCGAATCAATCAATATCCATCTATCAAATAATTTTTTCTCGATTTCTTATAATCAGAATTGATAAAATTTTCAGATGTTTTCCAAATTACAAAAATTTCGAAGCGAATTTCAAAAACCATTAATTTTTAATAATTTTTGAGAGAAAACATGTGCATCGGCACAAAAATGGAAATTTGAAAAAGTCGAAACAAAAAAGAAAAACTCACTTGACTCATATCGTCGTCGTCGTTTGTACTGTTCACCGTATTGGCGGCGGCATTCGATAGGAGCTGCAATTGTGCCCAATCGGAATGATTTTTCGCAATAAGCGCAGCCGCCGGCGTGAAATAGAAGGCGGACAAATGTCCGGCAAGAAACCGTCCCGGGGGATGCATGATATGATGGCAAACTGACTGGAAACGGGTGACAAACCCCCACCCCCTGGCCGGTTCTTTTTTTTCTGTTCTTGTTTTCTTGTGGTTTTTGCGGTTAGTTTCTTATCTCGCGTGCGAGCTGACGACGACGACAGCGATGGCGATGGCGATGGCGACGTTGGCTTTGAGAACGAAACGAATATGTTTGCGAGAGTAACAAATCTATTTTGGCGGCCGTTTTTCGAGTTTCCGACAATAATTCGTAGCCGCTCGGTTGAAACGCCTCGATGAGCAATTTGTCGAAATCGAGTCATATTCGCGTTTCGCCCGTCGCCCAATTCCTTATAATAATCTCATAAAAAATCGACCTACCATTGTGAGGTTGCTTCGATTGCTACTGATGGACGATTGCTACTGAAAATGAATGATTTGAGAATCGGGGTGAATACGACGGATATTCTTCTTGTAGAAGCTTACATCAAGAAACAAAAAATTCAGGCTCGTCGTATTAAAGTCGAGTTGAGTCTGGCCAATTTAAGAAAAAATCTTTTTTTTTTTAAATAAATAATAGTTTGAATATTGAAGTCATTTATGATTTGATTAAGCTTTATAATTTGGATCGAAAAAAATGCATTTTTTTTTTAACTCTAACAGGTTATTTCAAATTTTATGAACCGGTTCGATAATTTTTTAATCGAATATCGTTAAAAACTCCAAGAAATGCCCAAACTCATCAAAAAAGTTAACTGTTCACTTAAAAACTGCAAAATATCTATTCACACATTGCGAGACTTTTTAAAGGCGCATGCGCGTAAATCTACCCGCAATCTCCGGACGTCGACTATCAGTTGTTTCACGTTTTAATCGTTAGAAACAAGGGCGATGGCTCTTAATAGTATTTCCATGCCGAGGCGGCAATTCAAAATATCAAAACAGTCACACCACAAATCCGCCGAGATCGTGTATAGGAGAACTCAATCCTTTATACATAGTTTTTTATAAGGATTTGACAAATTCGATGAGCACCCTAACTTCAATCGACTTTTTGACTATGGTAATATTTTTCTCGATGAGCCCTCTCGAAAATGTTCGTTTTTTCGATGACAAATTGGCTCGTATGATAGGTCGAAACGCGAGCATTTCTTGTGTACTCAATTGTTTTTTCTCAGCATTATTCATGCTCGCCCATATTTGCCCGCGCCTGTCTTGATTGGATTCATGTCCAAACAATTATGAACTTTTTTTGTGTCAATGGCGCCGCACAAAAAAGGCGAAAACCTCAAACTAATTCTATTAGTTACGCCAATATTTGCACTCAATAGTTTCCTACGCATTTTCGACGCAGCCCGACGCACTCAAGAATACAGTAATACTAGTTATAAGGTATAATCTTGATCCAAACTTCCTTGACCTTTTGAACGGACCCTCTTAAAGTTTACGTATCTAATTGAGCGAATACCACGAAAATAAATCCCATCAAATCGCAATAATTCGTCCACATGTCGTTTATCTCAAATCCTCTCAATTCTCAGCGCTGCCTAATTCTCAAAAGGTGTCCATATGGTAATTAATCGGTGCTTAGTTTCGGCCGGCGCGTGCCGTTCCGTTTTTCTGCCTCTTCAGTGTTACAAAAACAGTGTGCCGGTTCGAGCGGTGCCACATCAAAGAATTCTCATTTATTTTCGCGTCGTCGTCGTCTCTCTCTCTCTCGCTCGTCGCCGGGTTACGGTATGAGCTGTGTTTCTAATTTTTGCATATACATTTTCTGAATACAAATGCGCCTGGTTGCTTCCTTTTGGTTGCTTCATTCATTTTTTGGCCTATTGAAAAGAAAAGAAGAAAATGATTGAATGACAACGTCGGTGTTTCATTATAGGCCAGCGTCGAGCAGCACCGTGTGCTGCCTTATCATTTATCGTCCGCTGGCCACCCGTTTTCAACTTTTTATCGATTTTCTGCCTAGAGTTATTCGTTTCTATTCGGCTCGAAATATTATCATTCATACACTAGCACGATCATAAATCAACAATGAAGTTTGTAAAAAATATGCAATACGACATAAAAAATGGAAATCATAAAATTTCATTAAAATTATTTTCAATCCCACTTTTTTCAAATCGGATATCAAATTATTTTTTGAAATAGTTAAGTATAAGGCTAGCAAGAAAATCACAAAAGAAACCTGAGAAATTCCGTCGTATCAATGTTGACATGCAAATCAATACGACGTTTTTTTGTGTTCATTCAACAATTTTCGGAGCAAAAATGAATAATTATAATGCGACATTCGTGAGTGTATGTGTCATACAGTTTTCTCTGCGAAAAAGCAGCACACAAACCCAATAACATCGCCATTTTAACGTAGTCAATGAACAATTTGTACTACAGCTTCCTCATTCATTCCAATCATGTGATCAATTATTTTATATCCTTCAGAGGTGTTTTTTCATCAAATAAAAAATTCTCGATTCTTCGATGAATGATTTTCCTTTTTGTTTCTCATCGAAAATCTATATATATTTTTTCCAATTTTTTAATTGATTTCTTTGAGCCGACATCGTTCAATTCAATTTTCGAAATAAAATTGTCGACATATCGCCTTGTCGGATTTCGTATTTTTAGTAGGACCTTGATTTTTTCTTCTTAATGAAACCTCATCCTAATTTACTTAGCTGGATTCCAATGACCTTTTCGTGTTAGAGACAAAGGAAAAATCGAGAATTAATGGCACCAAACTCTTCTTCTCAATGCCTACAATTGATTCATCGTGTTTTTTTTTTTTTGAATTTCGGCGAATTTCAAATGGAATCGTAATTATCGAATGCAAATCTTTGAATCTAGCCGCCATATTTATCTTGTTGCCTTCAACACCGGAAATCTACCGGAGGAGGATCGTTCGTCCTTCAATCAGTGTCCAGCACATTTACTCGCCAATATTTTCGCTCGAAACTTTTTCTTTTCGATTCCTACCCATTTTTTTCGTGCTATTTCGTGCTGTGATTTACGCACACAATTCGTCACTTACATGCGCGATTAAATCCGTTCTCCGCAACAGTTATTTCGTGTTCTCTCGCGCGCCGTTTTGCACTCTAAATGCCATCATCAATTACAGACGCATGCGATTCATTTTTCTACTCTTGCTAATATTCGCGAGTCTCGTTCAAACTGCCGATCCCGGTAGGCCGAAAATCAAGCAGAATTTGCCGCCGAGGCGCAGAACTCGAAAAGCGATCGTTCGAGAATGTGAGTTTTGATGTTAAGAATCGAATTGTTTGAACCAAAAAAAAATGTGAAGATGCATATATCAGAAAACAAAATTGATTCGTTTATCGAAATTTAGGGAATATAACAACGCCTGGTGGTGAGTCAACTACCGTATTCCCCATTTGTATTTTCTCCTCTGTTTTTGAGTTGAGCATGTGGACATTGTGAGCATATTGATAGATTTTTGAAATGAAAAAGTGATGTCATAGCGATCGAAATTTTTTTACATTTTGAATTTCGTACATTTTGGTCCCACAAAGCAACCATAGTACGTTTTAAGAAGTCTTAAGGACCTATGAAAAAAAAAATAATTTTATTTTTTTCTGTATTTTCCTATGACTATAGAAGAAAATTAAGAATGCTTTGTACATTTTGCATGACATTTTGGTGGACTCGTAAGACCTTTTTTGATAACTTAATCGACTTAAATGATTGATATTTCAAAAAAAAAAAACAAAAATTAACATCGAGTTGTGATAAAACTTTTTTGGGGTTTTTTTCCTAATTTGTCGAAGATTTCATTGAATTAACACGCTCAGTAGAAATTGAAGGCTGAGACGGAAGATTAAGGTAGAAGCCAGTGAAGTTACCAATTATGGTCTGAGGCTCACGCGGGTGTAATCATAATGGAAGCTTCTTAAAACCAAGGGTGATTTGTGAAAGTGTTTCGATGGTCCCTCGCGAATAAAAAAACCCTGTGTGCCCACTCAAATTGTCGGTTTAACCCGCTACTTTTCACCGAGGACCTTACAATTTCTTTTCGAATAAAACCCAGTCAACGACAATTTTTAAAATATATCGATCTTAAAACATTCAATTCGATGATTCCCGATATTTCGTTTTGCAAAAAAAAGAATAACTACAATTCATGAAGAGAGCAATTTCTCGGCACGAAATCCTCGAAAAATGTTTGCCAAATTGGATGTGGTTTCCAATTGTGTTCGACAAAATTACGCCGATTGAAATGTGTTTGAATAATCTATTAAATCAGGCGATTTGAAGCGCCTCCGGGCACTTAGCGAAATGAAAAAAAACGCGTTCTTAATGAAATTTCATAACGCAAAAAATTCGGCGAAATCTTGCTAGAATTGCGATAAGAGCCGTTTCGCACACTGCACACTACGCTATCGCGTTTTGCGCTGATGGAATCACACGATTTTCGCAATTTTCTCATATTTCTTCTAGCGTTTATTTGTCAAGCACAATTATGGAAGCAATGTGAGAAAAAAGATTTCAATTGTGGTAGGTTTCAGTTGTCTGATAAATGTTTTCAAAAAATCGAAGTGTCAAAAGAAATTCAAAAATTAATAAAATCGTGGTATTGATTCGAATGTTTTGTAATTGTGATCTACCCGTTTTCACAAAAGAAAAGAAAAAACATTTACGTACTGTTTTCTTTCAGTCTGTTCCGGCACAACAAATGGAATATCTCGCTATGGATCTGGCAACATTCTCGAGGATCTGGAAAAAGTTTGAAAATATTTATTTTTTTTAAAGCGATATTCTGCAACACGATTTTTGAGATGTACAAAGGATGTCAACGTGTCTACGGAAATCTTGAAATTACTTGGATCGAAGCGGACGAGATATTGAAATATCGAAATTCGACAAATGATTCGAGCCCGTTGAAAACTGTCAATTTTTTCGATCATCTCGAAGAGGTTTCGATATTTTGGTGCCTCTTTTTTTTCAATTAAAAAAAATTTCTTTTCAGATACGTGGAAGTTTGATAATTTATCGCGCCAATATTCAAAAAATCTCATTTCCAAAACTTCGAGTCATTTATGGGGATGAACTATTTCATGGAAACTCATTGTATATACACAAGAATGCGGCGACGCATGAAATTTCGATGCGAGAATTGAGAGGTAAGTATTCGGACAAAAAATATTAGTATATTCCAATTTGAAAGAATACGTTTTTTTATTGTAGAAAAAAATGGGAAGTCAGTCAAATGAGTCAATTATGTGTGGCTCTTTGTCTTTTACGCCAAAATAATTTTAACAAAAGCTTTGTTTTTTTTTTTTCAAAATAGAAAACCGAATTTTAAAAAATTCAATTTTTTTTCAGTAATACGAAATGGAAATGTGACGATTCAAGAAAATCCAAAAATGTGCTATCTTGGATTGAAAATTGACTGGAATGAGGTTTTGGATTGAAATTTTTTTTGAAAAATGTTGAATTGTTGTAGCTTATTTATGATAAAAGCACGCAACATGTCGAATCAACAAATTCGCATCATCATTGTTTCTCGCAAAACGGCACATCGATGGTCGATTGCCATCCGAATTGCGGCCAACATTGCTGGGGAAAAGGAGAAAGTGATTGTCAAGAAAGTGAGACATTTCGAAATATTCAATCATCTAATTATTGCTGTCCAGTTTATCGTTCTGTTTGCCCGAAATCTTGTTCACAATGCTTCTACTCAAACTCGACGAAAGAATATGAATGTTGCGATATTTCGTGTCTTGGAGGATGCACAGGTATGCCTTTTTTGAGAGATTTTCAAGCTTGAAATATGCATTTCCTATTTTTCGACTACAAAATTGTTTTAAAACAAATCTCAAAAATTACTCAATGGAAAAACAAAATCGTGTTTCGCTCATGTTGCACCGTTAAGTCTATCGTGTGTTTCGCAAAAAAAAACGACTGCCTGAATTTTTCGCTACAAATCCTTTTAGTTCGTGCGGTTCTCGTTTGTATTAAAATTCCGGGAAAAATACACAGGACCGCACGCGAACCGCGGCGCGGCTGGCGACATGGAATAATTACGGTGACCGCCTTTCTTGGGAAACAAACACTATATTTGTCTTTAAAAACGTTTCTTTTGAAGTTTTTATTGTCGATCGACTGAACAAAATATTACAAAATATTAGCTATTTGTTATGTGTTTCGTGATTAAAGGACGCCGACAAAATCCCGATTTTTGTCTGCCTACACACTGACGCAGAATTGCACACATTTCATTTCGCACTAATAAATTCTCTTTTAAAATGCAATTATTTAAAAATTTCCTGGCTGAAATAAAAGGAAAACAGATTGACTGAAACACTTTCACATCATTTTAAATTTGTTTTAAATTATCGTTATTTTTTTCAAAAACAAATTCGAATAATTCAAAAATGCACCCGCAGTTTAAATACGACCAAAAAAACTATTTCTAGCCTAAATTTCATACTTTATTATTTCGTACTATAATTTTCGAATACAAATTTTTTACAGTTTGTATTTATATTAAAATAGAATCAATATTTTGGATTTGAAAAATAATAGAAGTGAGAAGCATTTAGGATCGGGCCCATCAAAATGTATCGCATGCAATCGCTTCGAAATGGACGGAAAATGTGTCGACGTGTGTCCAACTCGGAAATCATTCGACCACAAACGCGGTAGATTAGTGCCGAATCCGGAGGGACGATTCCAGCACGGCAATCATTGCGTGAAAGAATGCCCAAGTAGGATTAGAAATATGAGAAGAATTTGCGAAACAAAATAAAAAATGAAATTCAGGAGAACTGCTCATTGAGAATGATGTGTGCGTTCGTCATTGTTCCGAAGGGCACTATTATGATGCATTGAAGGATGTGCGGGAATGCGAGAAATGCCGATCAGCGACGTGTCCGAAAAGTTGGACTATTCTCGTGCAAACGAATCAATTTTTAATTTGCAGTATGTACTGTAGATGCTCCATTGACGAAGGAAATATTGAAAACATTGACTGGATGCGAGCAGATTGATGGTCATATTATAATCGATAAACCAGTCGGATAGTAAGTTTTTGGAAAATAAAATTGAAACGGAAATGAACGAAGTGATAATAAATGCACACTGGAAAAAAGGTGCGGCGAGTTTTTGAGGCGGAGACATCAACAATTCATATTTTTAGTGGGTCTCTCCGCGCAGCGGAGAAAAGACCATTTTAGGTGAGGCAATAAATAAAAGAGATGGAGAGATTAGCTCGAAATGGCTCGCATTCTCGGCTCGTTACACAATAACAATAGACCGAGTTGCAGTTTCACGTACGACGATTTGAAAGTGCTCGAGACGATCAAAATCGTCAGCGAGTATATTGTCATTGTTCAACAGGAATTTTTTGATCTCAAATTTCTTCGCAATTTGCAAATTATCGAAGGAAGAAAATTGCACAAGTATAGAAAATTATAGGAAAAATAGTGAATCAAAAGAAAAAATTTCAGTTTGCGTTGGGCGCTCGCAATTTATCGATGTGATTCTCTAATGCAATTAAATCTTAATAATTTGAAATTGATCAAGACTGGAGCAGTAATTATTGGCGAAAACCACAAATTGTGCTATGTCAATGACATCGATTGGTCGTCTATTGTGGTGATGCACGAGAATAATCGAACTGCCGTTCAAATAGTCAAAAATCGAGACAAAAAATTCTGTGGTATCATTTTGTTTTGTCGAACCAATTTTTAATTCAATCAAAAATTCTAGAAAAAATTGGAGAAGTCTGCAATCCGAACTGCAATAGTCGCGGATGTTGGGGGAAAAGCGCAAGCGATTGTCTTGAATGCAAATCATGGAACAATATGGGAGAATGTGTATCGTCGTGTGACAATATCGGGTAATTTGAATTCATCGAATCGTTTCAATCTCTCTCTCTCTCTTTCTCTCTTTTAAGATATTTGCGAAATCAGACTTCGATGAAATGCCAGAAGTGTTCGCCGGAGTGTCGAACTTGCAACGGAATCGGAGAATATGACTGTCTGACTTGTCGACATTTCACTTTGTACAATGCCGATTTTGGAAATCGAATGGAATGCCTCGCACGCTGTCCGAGCGACACCCACTATTCGCTGCCCAACAACACTTGTGTTCAATGCGATCCCGCATGCTATAACTACGGGTAGATTGATTTTAAGTGGTACATTTTTAATTGAGGCATATTCTAGATGTACGGGACCAAAAAATCAATTAGGAGAAGGTGGTTGCAATCAGTGCAAATACGCTCGAGTTATAACCAACGACACGATAACATGCCTCATGTCGTCTTCGATGCTCACAGTCTGCCATGAAAACAAATTATTCGATCATTATATTTCAACAACGAAAATTGAAGGCGTTGCTGAAACGGTATTCTATTTTTCCTTGATTTTTAAACACCTTTTTAATTTCTCATTTCAGCATTGCGCCAAGTGCGATCCAGCTTGTTTGAATTGCACATCAGCCGGCCGGAGCGTAATCAGCAATGATTGCATTTGCAAGGATTACGCATTCCTAATTTCTGGGGAAAAGGACCAAGTCTGTTTGGACTATTGTCCCGTCAACACATTTCTGATACGGCCGCGAGAAGATAACCAATTCGGAATTTGCAAAAAGTTTGTCGCTTTTATATTAACTGTATTCGATTTAAAACAAAATAGCAATTCAAGATTAAGATTGTCGGTTTCAAACGACTAATTTCGAATGAAATTCAAAGAAATATTGTCAATGTGCCAAGGCAACGAAAAGTACGCGAAACTGCGTATCTTGCATTTATGCGTACGCGCATTTAATATTCACTCAACACTGATTTCAAAAGTATTGAATTTCCGACCAAAAAATCAGCGATTTAAAACCGACAATATGAAATCTTCAACTTAAATAGAAATATCAAAAAGAGAACTGTGAAAGCAGTTTCTCTTCCATGCGCCATTTCGCATTTTTTTTTCTTCTCAAAACAAAGTAGCCAACTGTATGATGGTACACCAAGTACTCTGTCAACATTTTTGTAGGTGCCATCCTCTGTGTGACCAAAACTACAATTGCGTCGATGATACATCATTCGGCTGCACCCGATGCAAATATGTTTTCATTCAAAATTTCGAAAACGAAACAATGGTAGGCGGTCGATAAAAGACGAATCGGTTACATGTTGTGAAAACAAACACCTATAATATTGAAGGAATGCCTCGAGAAATGTCCCGCCGACAAACCATTCAAAGTGTCTGCAACTGGACAATGCCTGGATTACGATATCGATTCGAGACAGAGGAAAACGAGATATGTGATTACCGGAGCGGTATTCCTTGCATTCCTGATAATGCTCGTCATAATTTTGGTAGAAACAATTCAACTAAATATTTTCGTTGATTTATCATGCCTTGTTTAGATAGTTTATTATCGTTGTCAGAAGATTGGAAAGAAACTCAAAATAGTCGAGTTTGTCGACTTACCCGAACTTGTTCCTATAAACTCCAACGTAACATTTTTTCCATTTTTTTCGCATTCTTTTTTCAATATATGTTTGTAGATTCAACCAAATATGAATCGAATCACCCTTATTTCGTCGCCGGAGCTTCAAGTAATGCAAGATCGGAAACTCGGACAAGGAGCATTCGGCACTGTTTATGCAGTACGTGCAGAGCATTCAATTTTCATTCAAAACAATATTTTTAGGGGATTTACTATCCGAAAAAGACAAAAAACATCAAAGTTCCTGTTGCGATTAAAGTATTCCAAATGAACCAATCGCAAACTGACGAGATGCTCGAAGAAGCAACCAATATGTTTCGATTGCGACACGACCATCTTCTGAAGATCATTGGATTCTGCATGCACGACGATGGGCTTAAAATTGTGACAATCTATAGGCCGTTAGGAAACCTGCAAACATTTCTCAAACAACATCAAAAGCATCTCGATGCGAGGGAACAAATGCTCTACTGCTACCAGATTGCTTCGGTATTCGAAATCGCAATTCTCAAAAATCAAGAGTCTACATTTTTTTTTCCAGGGAATGAAATACCTTTTCGAGCAAAGGGTTGTTCATCGAGATTTGGCGGCTCGAAACGTGCTCGTCAAAAATTTCCAACACGTCGAAATCACCGACTTTGGACTCTCAAAAATATTGAAATACGACTCGGATTCGATTGTGATAAAAACTGGCAAAGTCGCGATCAAATGGCTGGCGATCGAGATATTTTCGAATCACTGTTACACACACGCCAGCGATGTGTGGGCGTTCGCAGTTACGTGCTGGGAAATCATCACATTTGGAGCTGTAAGAATGCCTATTGTGGATTCGCCGACGAATCGCCGAATTTTTCCAGAGTCCCTATCAAGGAATGTCGACGGACGCGATCCATCAATTCCTCCGCGATGGAAATCGATTGTCGCAGCCAGCGAATTGCTCGCCAGATTTATACCAAGAATTATTGAGATGTAAGCTTGTTGAATATATATATATTTTTTTAATTCATTTGATAATTATAATATAGGTTGGATGTCGAACCCGGAATCTCGTCCAACATTTGATGTTCTTTACACGAAATTCCAAGAATTTTGCAAAGTCCCGAAACTTTATATTGAGAATTCTCATAAGCCGACCGAAACGGATACATCCGCTGAAGAGTTATTCCAATCTGAAAGGTATTTAATTGAGGAATGATTGAAAATTTAGAGTTTTGAGTTTTTTTAGACTTCGCGAAATTTTTGCTGATTCAATTGATCCACAAGCTTACTTCGAAACTACGAGTATTCCCGGATCACCGACATCAAACGCTACGGTATACATTTATTGGAATTTGATTTTTAAAAGAATTAATTTTGCGATTTCTTAGTTCACAATTCCGAATGGAATAAATCGAATGCAATCGGTTAATTCCGGAAGATATCAAAAGAATCCATTTGATAGTAAGTGTGAATCGATACGTCTTCAAATCTTCATTCAATTCATTCAGCACCTCCGGATTCAGCCAATTCATATCTTGTGCCAAAAGCCAAAGAAGTTGTTCAACAATCATCTGTTTTATACACTCCTGTCGTTCTAAACGAACAAGGACAAACCGGTAAAATAAATGAGGTATTCCGTCATCATCAGTGATCTTCAGAAGTCGATTCCGGTGCTGAATACTACAACGAACCAAAAACCTCTTCTGGATACTACAACGAAACGAAACTCAATAAAATCGTTGAAGCAACAGAACCTGAGGATATCGAAAAGGAAACATGCTTGTAATTATATAATTAATAATAATGATTATAATAACCATGTGCATAATAATACTAATCATATTGTAATTAGCTTTAAACGTGCATTTTTCTTTCCATTCTCGATTTTTTCAACAATATTTTCGGGTATCGCATCTCAACCTTTCTACGAGGTTTCTACAAAACGAATTGTGCTGATGAATGTTTTTTGTCCATCTCTCTCTCTTCATTTTTTTACCAAAAATTGTATTGCTTGTGAATAAATTGTTCATATTTTTAGATTTCGCTAATATTATTACCGATGCGAAATGAATTGAATCAACGACAAAAGAAAGCGTCAAGAATTGTGGCAACAAAAGAATTTGCGCTCAATTTTTGACGCCTCGATAAATCTTTTTGTATCGGCCCTTCGTTTTTTTTTTCTTCTCTCTCCATTTTCGAGAGCCTACCCTTTGGTTTGGTCCGCTTCGGCTGATTACACTAAATTCCGTTTGTTGCTAGTTCTTGTTGTTGTTTACCACACATTTCAACTTTTTTTCTTGATTTTCAATTTTCTTTTGTTATTGTTGCTGTATACTTATTTGGGTGCGGCTCGAAAAAAAAAGAAGTTGCCGAATCAGCGAAGAGGATTACCGTCAGTGTGCTCGACAAGTTAATCCCCGACCAACTTCTTTCGAGCCGATTTTTCGCTGGTTCGTTTCTCTTTTCGAAATGTGTTCAAAACATTTCCAATACACCACTTTTACATAAACTTTTTTTTTCTTCATTCGCTCTCGTGAGTTTTTCGAAACAGCACATGCAACTAATTAGGTCACTTCGAGCCAATTTGCCGGCGTGAATTAATTTGCTCCATTCACTATTTCTTTTTGTTTCCAACTATTACACAATATTTAGAAAAAGATCGAAAAAAATAGAAACATCCCTTTAAAATGGACAATCTTTTAACCCCTCGAATGAGCTTGAGTGGTAGACTATCAACCTTTTTTGGTTTTAGTCGATGAGGGCTCCCATTGGGACCATATTCGAATCGCCGCCTAAGCCACCAGAAAAAAACAACAAGCATGGACTTGTGACGTATCCCGGAGAATGTCCGCAGATGCTTACAGTGAGATGCACTTAGGCGGCTCTGCGAAGCCGACCAAACCCACACTTTGGAATATTCATTGTGAGTCGCTCGGTGAAAATTGGCGGGCCCCGCGCGGGTGAAAACAACGATTTGCGGGTCCCGCGCGGGTGAAAATTGAGGGGCAAACACTTTCGTCGAGCGGGGCCCTCATATCACCGTCGCGGGGCCCTCATATAACCGTCGCGGGGCACTCATATCACCGTCGCGGGGCCCTCATATAACCGTCGCGGGGCCCCCATATCACCGTCGCTGGGCCCTCATATAACCGTCGCTGGGCCCTCATATTACCGTCGCGAGGCTCTCGTGTTTCACCCGCGCGGAGCCCTAGCCCTTTTATCACTTTTGCGTGGCCAAAATTCTAGATAAGATTCATATTACAATTAATTAACAATTATATACTTAATGAAACATCTTATTAAACGAAAAAACAAATTACACTTAAACATTCTTATGCATCCATATGGATCGAATAACACTCTTTAATTGTGGAGAATAATGTTCCTGAAAAACCATAAATAGAATATTGAAATATAGGAATAATAATATATAGTCGGCGTCCGTCGACTGCTGTACGCGGGTAGATTCATGAAGATGCTCGTTTATCTTGGGGCAAGAAAATGCGAAACTCATCAAGAAAAAATAAACCGTTCATGCGAAAACAGCGAATTAAACGTTCACACGTGGTGAGACCTTTTCAAGGCGCATGCGCGTAAATCTACCCGCGTACAGCAGTCGACGGACGCCGACTATATTGACTTATAATACGATAAGTCTATAGTGAACCGTTTGTACATTCATTGCCAAAGTTATAAACAATGAAAAGGAACTTACTCAATAGTACTTCTGAAGGTCCATGGTGAGGCTCCATTTCCTTGCCAACTATAAACATAAATTATGTTACATAATATTATATATTATATATACAGTGCGTTGCAGAATTACAAAGCCACCCCCGAATTAGAGTGCCGCGCAGGTTTCGATATTTTGAGACTAAGCAGTGTTAAAATCGTATTCAGCATGAAAAATTACCTATATGTACCAATTTTTATGTTAGTATCTTAAAAAGTAACCGTGTAGTGGTCATAATTCTGCAACGCACGGTATTTAATTTTTTTGCATTTCCTTACTAAATGTAAATCTTCTTCTTCTTTGGTTCGACATTGCGCTTGGAGCATATTACCATATATATGACTGAAATAATTAAATTTAGAAGTAAGAAAAAACTAATAAAAAAATTAGACACTTGCTAATTAATTGGACGAGTTAAATGTGATTGGAACGAACAATTTAAAACGACTGAAACAAAATACGATAAACAACGGGCACGTGTTAACGGCGGAGTGTCGTACACTGTGTTTCCACTAAAAAAAATTTCTGTGAACGAGATTAGTCTAGAAATTCTCAATAAGAAAAATTGGTCTATTATTCGAAAAAAAAAACAATAATAAATATATTAATAAAAAAACTAAAATAAATAAAATATTCCAAACGCAAAATGTCTTGTTTCCCAATCGAATTCGACCACATCCGAAAGGAATACGGTCGTGATGATTCAAACACTTTGAACAATGTTTTAATTGATACACAACATGTTTAATTCTTTTGCAAAATCTTTTTTGGAAAACTGTAATACGCTGATATATTGCGGTTGCCGCAAATGGCCCGCGCGGGCCCCTCGCATTTGATGGTCTCGCGAGTGTCCTTAGAGAGCCCCGCTTACGGCCCGCAGTTGTCCCTGAGAACCCCGCATTATTTTCACCCGCGCGGGCCCCTCCATTCCCATTGAACGCAAATCACCCGCGCGAGCCCTTCTGAGATATTCACCGGCGCGGGGCCCGCAAATATGACCCGCGCGGGACCAAATAGCCGTTTGGGCCCGCGCGGGGCATAATTTGGAGTCGCGCTGGCACCGCGCGGGTCCAACCACCCATTTCCACCCGCGCGGGGCCCGCCAATTTTCACCGAGCGGAATTTAAGAGAATAAAGCCGGATGTTGATCTTTTTGAAATCAGAAGAACAAAAATAGGACAATTGGGCAGAAATTAATTACATTTTCTTCTTTTTTTTCGCATTTCTCATTCGGATTCACAACATTGAAGCACTTTGAAGTGTTGGAGTTTTGGCCCAATTCCAGAAATTATTTTGTTTCATTGCTGAATACAATCAAATTACAGTGTTTCGTTGGTTTTTACAATTATCATAAAAATAATGGTGGCCATAAAGGACAGAATGTTCTGATACATGTTCAAAATTCATCAATAATTCTCTATTTTTGTTTATCGTTTACTTCATCTTCTTTTCAAAGCCCAACGAAAAAAAAAACGGCAGCCAGTGAGCGTTTTTTCCTTCTTTTGATGAATTGCTCAATTCTTCATGAGCTCTTCGATTTCGGCCGTCACGCAAAAAAAAATAAAGCGGAGTACAGGAAGTGAGTGAGTTGCAATTAGGCCAACTCCTCTAATTGTTCTCTCGCCTTGTTGTTGTGATTCGCAATTGCCGGTTAAACGGATTAGTCGACGCGCGCGAGAATCAGGAGCAATTCGAAATGCATAAAATCTCATCAGTTCGCCCGATGATTGCAACAAAGTGCGTAATGCGCGAGTGAGTTGCGTCGACTTCATTTTGCGTTTCGAACCGGCGAATCCCCTCGAGACCCGAAATCACATCCAACATTCAAGCCAAGCGACACCACTTTTTGCCCAATATATACTGCTTTTTGATGTTATTGCCTCCGCGTTTTTGCCAACTTTATTCATTTTTTATTATCCACTGAGCAGCCAGTTTTTTTTTGTCGTGTTCGTTCATAAACGATACGATGTAAATAATATTCGAAAAAAAATCTGTGAGTTCAGAAAGCAATAAAAACACCAGTATTTTGGATTTGTGTAGTAAAATAATACTAGAATTTTCTAATATATAAGTGCTGGCTTGAATTAAAAACAACAGAATTTTGAATTTTCAAAATTTTTATTCATCGATGGATTGAGGAAATGTCTAAAATCCGAAGAAAACTTCAATACTTGATCAGTTCGAGTTCAAAAATTTCCCGATGAGTCTTGATCTCTCCTGATATCCGTTGTCGGCTTCTCATCAAACTAACATCTAAAAGTTTTGCCAATTTCTGACCGCAAGTCCAACTTATCAAATTTCTTTTTTTTATTCGCGATTCTATTTCGCTTTTTTTCCCCTTTTTATTTCTGTCTGCTCCTTTTTTTTTCTTCTGTCGATGGCTCCTCATATTGCTCGTTTTTCATTATTCTCAGTGAGCACTTTTCGCCAACTTTTTTTCTTGTGCGCAACGAACGTGCATAAGTGCTCTTAATTTCTCCACTTTAAAAGCATCATGGTTCAATTAAAAATAATTTTTTGTTCGAATTTCCTTTATCGCTTCGTAGTGATGCCAAAAAAGTTATATTTCCAATGTAAGATTCATTGCAAAAAGTTGTGAGACTCGAAAAATAAAAATGAAAACAATGGCTAATTGTCGTGTTAAGAATCCATTATTTCGCCTTCTGAATTGCCCCCCTCATTTCCGTCGTATTCGATGTATTTTTGCACATTATCTTATTTCAATGCTATTTTTTTTTTGTAGGAAATGCAATAGGAAATGTGATAAAACCAAAAAAAATGGCTGGAACCGCTGATATCGACCACATCGCTGTTCGTTGTTTTTTTTTCTCAAATAATTAATTTCGAATTTTTTTTCAAGAGACCGAAACGCCCAAATATTTTCCGAGTTCTTCGCCGCACCGGCTACGGCAAATGCCTCCTTTGCTCGATTCTTCTTTTTCTTTGCATCACCTATGGATCGTTTTGTCATATAAAACATGATGCCTATTCCGGAAATCAGCCCTTATTAATGTAAGCTCCAATATGGGCCTTCAAATTTTGGACATTTCTTCAGATATCAACACGGCCCATGTGCTCAAGGATATAATTTTGTGCCAATTGTGTTCGGCCTCATGTTATATATTGTGTATATAATGGAATGCTGGCATAGTCGGACCAAAATCATCAATATGAAGAAGGTCCGAGTCGAAGATGCAATGGATTATATCAAATCTTTGTGCTCATCGCCCCCTATTGTTTGGTGGAAAAGTGTTTGCTATCATTACATGAGGAAAACGAGACAAGTCACTCGGTACGCGAACTGATTTCAATTGAATTCCGATTTTTATGCTGAAGGTACCGGAATGGAGATGCAGTTCCAGCGACTCAAGTGTATTATGAGAGAATGAATTCACATCAAGCCGGTAGCATGTTCATTTATGATGTTTGCGGATACAAGGTATTTGGACTTAGGATTTCTGCATTGCGATTTCTGAATAATTTGAATTGTCGACTAAGGTCTCCTCTTACGAGAGAAATTCACAAAATACAAAAAATCATAAGAGGAAAAATTTATAATTTCTTTTGAATTTTGATAATTTTTAATGACTCAAATGACGAAGAAAACCACAAACCATTTTTTTTTATTTTATGGGAATTTAATTGGTAAATTTCGTCCCTCCTTGATAATACTATTTTTAAGTGTTTCTATTTGAGGACATTTCGAAAACGATTGTTGATATTGAAAAGTATCGAGTGACAAGAATTCGGCTCTCTCGAAGTTTCGTATTTGCGAACATGCAAGCAGCAAATGAGTTTGAAGAGCAACGAACAAGGTTTTTCAATGACAATGAGACGAAGGATGATTATATGGAGGTAATCGCGATGAGCGATTTGTTCGGTCTAATCGGAATGTCGTTAGGTTCGTGAAGGAATGGACCTTGCTGATGTCGGTTTCGTCGATGAGATCCTGGCATTCAACAAGCCGACACCTCCGTGGTTCCTTCATCCAATCGTTTTTTGGCTCTTCTCGCTTTTCCTTCTTTCGTGGCCTCTTCGAATCTACACCGAATGGCGAACGGCAATACTTCCTTTCCAAGTTGTCAAATTGTTCGGAACACACTACTTGAGGTCTCACTTTCTTTTTTGACTATCCTCCGCATGAACACATTCTCTTGAAAATCATCAAAGGGTGTGATTTTCAGTCCATCTTCTGGAAACTATACTGGTCCTTTGACTCGAACATCGACCATGGATACGGTTGAATTGGAGGCACTATTGAGAAGAGAACAACATTTTGTGGTTCCATCGTATAGCGAAGTCATGCTAATGCAAAACACTATTAGCAATTCGAGGGTTTTCGCTTTATTTTTCTTTTACACTCAAATTGTAATTGTTTAGACTGCGTTCGCTCCTTCACGTCTTCGAGAGTTGAATCTCATTCACGCTCGCCCTCTAGTCAGTTCCACAAATGAGCACATTGTATTCCAAAATTACGGAGCCACCGATTGTGAGAATGGAAACCTTCCTTCTACAGCGACAACATCAAGACAACCGATAAGGACGAGTCAAAGCATGAACTTTGCTCAAGAAATGTGAGATCCGTAGAGGGAAAATTGCGAGATATTATTCAATTTCAGCGGAGATTCAAATTCCCGTGGATTGATGCGGGCTGTTCCGCGCAGATCAGGAACTGGTAGATCGCTATCAATCAGTGGAATATCAGCATGGTCAAATGGATACCGGGAAATTGGATCAGAAGATGGGCAGTTTTTGATTGAACGAGACGAGCCACCGCCACCCTATGAGGTTCGGTTTAATTAAAATGGGGCGAGAAGAGCGCATTAAAATAAGATTAATTTTGATGAATTGCGAACGGCAAGAAAAAAAAAATCCAGTATTATTCCAGTAAATCAAGAGCCAAATAAATACTAAATACCAATTTTCAGGTTGCTCTTCGCATGTGCGCACCAATCTATGAACGACTACGACGTTCAATTTCTTCTCGCATTGCTTCAATTTCGCAATTAAGTTTAAAAGAACCTAAACAAATCACAGCAAAATCAAATTCCAATAATAACAACGATAATAATAATAATAATAATGACGATGAAGATGAACCATAGGTTCGAACACCTCATATTATTTGTTCACGACGCAATAATATTTCGGGTTTTATTTTTCGATTCCGAATGCGACCAATTTAGCCAGTTTTTCAATATTTAATGGTGCTTTACCACGTGTATTATTCATCACTTCAATAAACAGTTTGCACTTCAATCGTTTAATATGTCACAAGAATTGACCTAATATGGAAAAATATTTACAGTTCTGTTAGATTTGATTAGATATATTGGATATATTTTACAAATGATTGTATTATCATTGCAAAAAAAAAACGAGCACCTTGAGTAATTGTGGACTATCGCACTTTTTCGTGGCGGTAATTCAAATTTGAATTTGAACAGGGGGGATTCGGGAGTACCGTCCTATGGATAACCTGCGAAAAAATCTCAAAATCGGCGCAGGGCGCTCGTTTTTTTTTGCGAATGTAATAGAATATATTGCCGTTTTCGTCGCAAATCAATGGATCACAATTAAAAAAAAACAATTATCAGAAAAAAATTTGCAAGAAAACGATAATATTTACAGAAATCTAAGTAGTCTAATCACAAAATATTACTAAATATGGGAAGTCGGAGAATTAATGATCACCTAAATTGTAAAATCTTCCTATTTATGAGCTTCATTGCTATTTTGAATCGAATAGTATTCTGTTGAACTGTCTTCTAAGCCAAATCCAGCAAATGTTGAGTTTTGAAAGATTTTCGACGAGTCGTTGAGGGAGTCGAGAAACACTAAGAAACAATTATATGAAAAAGATATAGTATTCATTGTTTCACTCACATTTTTGCTTATTCGTTTGCAATTTTTCGAGTTGTTCAATGCGTCGTTTCAATTCATCAATCTCACTTAAAACTTGGCAGCCCAATTCCGATTCATCCTGTCGTTTGATAGTGAATGTCTCATTAGATGTCACACGATTACACTCTTTGTCTTCAACTTCGGCTTCATCGCCGTTATCATAGTGATAAAGCTTGAGATAATCAGTCATCTTCTCCGAGGATAGGGCTGATTCACATCGAGCCCGGCTCTAAATAGCAAATTGTTAAAAAAAAAGAATTCATTCAAAATTTTACTTTGTTTAGTGTCGACATTACGGAACTATTGATTTTGAGGACAGGTGAGAATGTGTTCGATTGAATATCGTGAATGTTTGAGATATCCCTCGGAGTACTTGTGCTCATTGGTACAAACATCTCAAAATACATATAACACTACTTAAAAGACACAGAATAATTGATAACTCACTCGTTTAGGCTTTTCTTCTGGGGTTACTTCAAAGCTGAATTTAACCGATTTACTAATGTGTCGGGGCAAACTTGAAGCGACTTTGATTATCTCGTTCGGGGGAACAGCTTCATCATCAATATACTCATCGCAAAACTCAAACTCGACGTGGCAAACTTCTTCTGGTTGGTTATTATCCTCATTCCTCTTAAAACATTATCGATGTTTCTAAACTTAAAATAAAAAAAAATAATAACCTCGGCTAAAAATTGGTTGAGTTTAACCACATTATTTTCGCGGAAAGAACACAAAATTCTTTCAACCAACGCCTTGTCTGAAGTTCCATTCTTTCTTGACGACCACCAAAATGAAGGACGCCATGAAGCCCATCGACTATTATTTGACTTTACGTCGTCGGAACAGGTTGATGAAGACGAAGACGATAAGACGTCCGGAACTAAATTAAATGATTGTAACGAATACATGTAAAAATGAATTACAATGTTCCTGGACAGCAGCTTGTCCCAAACAGATTCCTTCTACGGTCGTAACCATCTGAATTAAAAGTTGTTGAATATATATTTAACTAATTTTTTATCGGGATAGAACACCCTTTTTGCTAGAAACTTCAATGAGCGACTTTAGAAAAATGAATCCGATTCGATTTTTTCGCGCGTAAATTGAAGATATATTTTAAAAAAGAAAACGGTAATTTTATAAATAAATACTTGAAAAGAACAAAAATATGAATATTAAATAAGACTATTCGAACACCAAAAAATTATAACACACTTGCTAATTTAAAATTTTCGAAAAAAAAAATACCGTAGTTGTGAAGTATAATTGAGCGTTATTTAAATGATCTTGCATAGAAATATTACGGTAGCTTATTTTATGAGAATTTTTTTCAACGAAGATTTAAAAATATTTTTTATCGGTGCACTTACTAGTTAATGCTTTGACTCTTTTTTTACTAGTTAATGCTTTGACTTTTAATATTAATTTTTCACATAAAGCTTTTAAAAAACCCAAATTGAAACGATGAGATGCAGAGATTATTATGCAGATTTATCAGTATTCGTTTAATTTTTTTTTCAATTTTAGTCAAATTGAAACTCTGTTTTATCTGCATATGCAATGTTCCAAAGATTCTTCATGTCCTAATATTGTCTTCTAACAGAATGATGCGATTTTTCGAGTAATGTAAGTGCGCTCCACGGAGAATTAACGCGGTACTTCATTAATTTCAAAAATCAAAACTGGGATTTTTATTTTCCGCAGCTTTTTATCCCTTTTAAAGCTATTGTTATAATTTTTGTTTGTCTTTTTGTTATTAAAAAACATTTTTTAAAGGTCTTTGTGTAAAAGAAATTGAATTTTTACGTGAATAACTTTGGCTTTTCTTACTGTAAAGTTAATTTCTATAGTTAATGTTTCACAAATTGTTAGTACCTTTCAATGCTTGGTTTCAGAATAATTTTATTTAGAGATGCCACCAAACCAAAGAAAATCATTGCTAACTAATGAAGAAAGAATTAATCGACTTAAAGAAGCTCGACTTAAATATGGGTAAGCATTTGACAATATTATATCAAAATGAGATTGCATTATGTTACTTAATTTTAATTTTTTTTAGAAATCTAAGCAAAGCGAGAACTTCGAAATCACAGCAATCAGCGCTTATCGGAACGTCGAAACCTCGACAAGGTATTTCTACAAGAACTTCTCAATCAAAAGAACATCCGAAAACGTAAATAAACAAACAAATGTTTAGTCTTAGGTTCTTAAATCTTTAGAAAGTCTCAAGCTTCAACTGTTGTTGATTTTGAACCTTGTCCCGAATCTTTAAAAATGATTGACAGTGGGAAAGTTGTGATTCCGCGAAGCACATTCGGAAGACCATCATTAAACGAAAGGAAATCTATTGCTCCAAGACCTTCTATCAGTGGAAGAAATCCTAGGCAATTTGTAATATTAACAGTGACATTTTTTAAAATAAAAATTATGTCTTAAGAGAAACTCTGTTGCCAATGAGCCACGAAGTAGTCTTCTTCCACTTGGAATCAATGTATTTCATGCAAACGAACAACAGAAAAATGAGGTTGAGTTCATATTAGTTAATCTATTTAAAATAACACTTTCCAGTTATCGCAGTACTTTTCAAGCCAGGCGTCGCGTTCCAGTCTTGCCCCAAATTCCGATACATCAAACTGTCCAACACCTAGTCGAGCTTCTTCTTCTTCAGTGTTTGGACGGATTGGATTAAAATCAGCCAATACGTCCGTTATTGAGCAAAGATCGCAAACGATTCGATTCATGGAAACAAATGTGATCCAGGAGCAACGGGAATCTGCCGAGTCATGCGAGGTTTACCTATATATATATATATATTAAAAGTATTAAGATTCGTTGTGTTATTTATGTTTAGAAAACAATCATTTTTGTTTTTTTTTTAACGTTTTGTTCCGTCTTCCAAAGATGGTTTCTGAGTGTACAATTTTCGAATAATTTTTAAGCACAATAATGGAAAATAACCAATACATCGATGTGAGAAAAAAATATACTTTCAGATCGAAACCGAATCGGAATCGGCTCGCAAACATAGCCCCTGTCGAGACCCCAATTTTGTTCCAAAATCAATTTTGTCAACAAAAAAGAAGCCAAAAAAGGTAGAAAAATAATTATAAATTTACTTTATTATTATTTATGTTCAGAGTATTATTGGCAATCTTAAAACCATAGCATCTCCAATAACATTAGGAACATTTGATTCGAATTCGATGAATGAGGAAAACTGTGAAAATAAGAAGAATGTTAGTAAGATCATTGAGGATATGACCAGGTACTTACAATTAGAGATGTGAGAACTTCTAAAGAAGAGCTCCAAAAATTTCAGTTTAATCGACGCATTGAAAACATGCAAAGAGGATCCGACAGTATCCGATGTTGTTAAACTAAAAGTATTAAAAGAAGATATTGAAAAAATTATTTCCCGGTTAGCTAGATTAATTTTCGCCAAAGGTAAAATCGTATCAAAGATTTTTAGGAAAACAATTCGTGAGTCCCTCAACGAATCGATTGTGGATGTGAATGAACCGTTGAGATTCCTGCAAGGTGCTGAAACTCTCATGAAAACTCCGAAAGCTTTTAAGGAATTTCGCGAAAGTATTCCCGTATGGCTTTTATTTCTTTTTTCTTTTGCCGCGCAACTGCAGAAATTAGCTAATGCCAAAAAAGAGGCCTCGATGCGCGGTGTGCCTATCCTTATGTATAGCCCACTAAATCGACACTTTTAATATTCCACCAAATCTAGCCAATCCGCCAATCTGTATTATTGTTGATTTTTTGGCAATTTGCCAACTTTTAGCAGTCGCGCGATGTCGAGAATATAAAAAAAAATATTTTCAGCCTATTGCGCCATTAAGTGATATTGTTGAAAGTATCTTGAATTCACAATCCCCAGAAGAGGATAAAACGCCTCTTCCAAAAAGACGTCGGTCAGTGAGAAAATCTTCTGAGCTCAAAATTCGCGGAGGACTCGTTGTGAGAGAGCCTGTAGATGCTGTAAGTGATCATTTTTAAGTTTGTTCCTGTCGAATATGCAGTACTGGTCATAAACATGTTTGCCTACTGTTTTTATCATAAATTTAACGAAATTTGCACATTAAGGGGTTTATGACACGCTGGATTTATCTAGAAATTCAACTCCGCATAGGTTAACCGCTTCTATTGCTTCCTCCATAGCAACACGCAATAGAAACGGTAATTCGGAGCTGTGTCGGTGTTCTCAGTCAAAGACAATTATGATGGTCTCTAATATGTTATTTGTATTGATGGTTTCAATTGATTTATAAATGTATAAACTCAGCACCTCAGAAACCCGTAAAATGTGCAAGTCAATCAAATAGAATTTCCAAATTTTGTATAACTTTTTTTTTTAACATGAAGATCATTTTCTTCTTATAATTCTTTTTAGTACCAATTTACGAACTTTTCAGAGAAAAGTTCTCTTCAAAAGGCGATCATCAAGACTGTCAAAAAACAATACTCGAATCGAAAACTAGAACCACTCACATTGGATATGTATATTATTTTAACTTTATGAATTTCTTTCAGTTTTAAAGCCTTGGTAATTGAATATCTCATTAAAAACCTTGCGTAATATCAAATATTCATCTGTAAATATGACTAAATCGTCTATAAATAATATGTAAACCCCTCCGTCTCTCTGTCTTTCGAAAATAACGCAGAAAAAATAATGTAGAGTGTATGTGCCGAGATGCTCACCAATTCAAATTCCTTTGTCTTGGTCTCTCCCTACAAAGTGCACTGCGTTTTGCAAAAAAAATTGAGGAGCGCGCAAACATTCTGCGTCTTGGACTCACCTGAAGATGACCGGTTCAGTTGAACAACGCGAGTGATTAAAGGGACGACCGGAGGAAGACGGATGATCCGCGCGAAATTGATAAGCGGAAACTCATACGCATATCATGTGCGCTTTTTTTCCGGAAGATTCATTCTATTTGTGTTTCCGGAATACAGTTGTTATACGCTAAACAAAGAAACATTCTAGATTGTTTGTGGTGATAAGTGCTGAGGGTGAGTAACATTCAGAAAAAGACTCGAAACGATCAACTCCATCGACCAGGTAGTCGTTTGATGAACTGTGCTTACTTGCAAATAATTTCTGATGTTTGATACACGTGAGTCTACGTCGATGCACTCGGCGAACCCTTTGTCAATCCGGTTAACGCGAAATTACCCTGCCGAAATAGTGTCTGACCGGAAGATGGATTCTCAAAGCGCGGCAACAATCCGTGTCATGCGCAAATATTAACACTTGAATCCTTTGCGCAAGCATGCACTGAAACATTGGCACAAGAAGCACCAAAAATGGAGGTTTGAAGACAACTGGTCCATTCGCACCATTGTTGGTGGGAAATTGAGTAAGCCGCCATCGAAATTGCGAATCTGACTACAAACAAATTCTGGTTTGCGAACATCTTGGATCCGAATCGACGATGAACTGCTTTGCGGATTTTTTGGGAGTTTTTTTTCTGAGATTTCTTTAATAAAATCGAACGGAGTATACATATTAGAGTTAACTTGGAATACGATTACAATGTTAATAGAAATATTTGGCATAAAATTGATGAAAATTCAAAAACGGTCGGTGTTCGGTCGAAGGTTCATACACGCGCACGCAAAATTGCACACATCACATTTGATGATTTTTAATGTTTTTTCTCTTATTTGATTACTTCGTGCAAACCAAAACATTCCAAAATTTTCGGACTTCAGCTTGCATCGACAACGGCATGTCTACGATCCCAGGGGCGTTCCGGAGCGAATCGGACCACCTCGTCTTGTCCGTGTCCAATTCGACGGTCACCATTCGGTTAAAAGAATAATCCATCTTATTTTCTTGATAATTTGGGGGAAAAAATGGAAAATTGACGCATAATTCAAAAAGTTTTACGACGAAATCTTCCAAAATTTTCAATTTCATTAAACTAAATATAGTCATTATTTTTCATTTTTCACATTGGCAGGAGACCGTCGCCAATTATTTACACTCGTAGCCATATTCGAAAGTGTTTTATTGCGATGAGATGATCACAGCTCTCACCTTATCGAATCCCCCGTTTGTCTCCAACACATTTTCGCCTTAGTTTTGGCTTTTGATCGCTCTGTTGACATAATAGAATCGGAGATGAAGAAATTGCCATTTCTTTGTGCTTTGTGATCGTTTTTTTTCTTTTTTCTAGCGAAGTTGTAGACAAAAAGTGCTATTATGGCAGAAAAACAGGCAAATATTAGGCGGCAATGGTGAAATTCTGAATGGACTCGTTGAGGTGACGTGACAAAACAACGAGCCAACCTACCTGAATTTCCGGATCGTTGATCAAAATGTGTCTGATCTTCTGTGGACGTGAAAAGTTTTGTAAAATTTCGACAAAGCTATGGAAAATCGCAATGACCGTCGAATCTACAGATGATAAGAATTTGTGATATTAAAACATAAATGACAGCTTATTTTTTCACATTTTTCATTAGAAAATGTTGCATTTTATTCCAGAATATATAAGAAAGCTGATTAATGCTTCAATTACCGATAAAAAACCAATCTGTTTCAAAAATGCAGAGATTGGTTACAATATATTGAATTGACTCTATTGCAAGTTGACATAATTTTGAGTTCCCGCCAACACCATGAAAACCAAAAAGATTAATTGGAAATGATTTCAAAAATGTGCATTTTTTGGTCATGGGAAAAATGACAGGTTTTTTTCCAGACAAAAACACTCTCATATTTGCCGAATGTTGCTAGTTTCGTAATCAGCGAATGAGAAACGTTTTTTTTTAAGAGCGCTTATTTGCTCATTAGAGATTTTGGCACGCAGTGTGGCATGACTCAAAATCCTGTAAATGAGTCATCAAGTGGCACACGAATTGTTGTGCAGTACGTCATTGTGCCAAAAAGTTGGTGGACTTGAAACCAAGAATTTCGAAGCAGTTGACAAACGCAAACAATAAATACTTGAGACCGGTCGAATGGAGCTGCGGTCAGCGGCCGGAGCGAGTAAGGCAAATGATGTTGATGATGATGACCAAAAGTGGCATTCCAAACACACACACACACACACCGACCGGGCTTGCGGTCGTTCGAACAGTTTGGCCGCTGTGTTGATGGAAACTCAAAAAAAAAATGCTAGGAGATTTAACATCAATAATGAGAATCGCGAGATTTCAAAATAGCTCGTTCGAAGTGGGTAAACTCTTGAGAAAACGAACATCTCCAAGTACAATCGTTTTTGACAACACACAATTTGAACTTGGTCATATCGGAATTTTGACACTTAAAACATTCAAAAATAAACCAATCAACGGGGCTCAAAAATCGAAGATGAACTTGATCAGTTGGCTTTTGATCTACTGTTGTGTGAAATCGAACGAATTACTCAAGCATATCAATGGTCAATTTGTTGAAGTTCTGGATTCCATTGATGACAAGCCTTTCGTTGGCGTTTAGAAAACGTCTGTAGATCTGATGATGCTGTTCGAAAAAAAATTAATTCATCTAGATCTCAACATATAATGATTTGTTTTATCATATTTTCACATCATAAACGAATTTGTACTTCAGAAAATCTCGTAAACTTTTTTTCTCTATAAATCCTACAAATGACTTTTAAAAAAACTACAAATTCTACAAATGCCTCTTAAAAATCAATTCATTTTGGTGAGTTGCTGATTGGGTACCATGTTCTCAACCAGCAGTTGCCGGAGTCTCATTATTTGATTATCATATTAATGAGTAACATTTGAGCGATGTTGCATGCCAACACGTTATATCATCATCATCATCATCATAACATACGCCGCCGGAATCGTCTACGCAATCCTCTCAAGCCGCCGTGTCGCTCGCGATGTGGGCGGAGTTGGCGCGGAATGCTCCGCGCGAGATTTCCGCGTCTTCCCGCGCCGACTGCCTCGCCGTATAAAACGAAGGCGATTCGTCGAGCACACAGCATTTTCACCGAGCATTCGATCCATTTCATCCGATGGCAGCCCGCAGAGCTTACACCATCTTCTTCGCCGTTTTGGCCATTTCGGCTTCATTCGCCCTCGCCGAAGAGGAAACTGCCAAGGTTCGTTTTCCGTGTTCTTGTCCGACATTCGTTCCCAATCAGATTTCAATATTCATGTGTTCTTTTTTAATCAAATACTTTTAAAGTGTTTGACTCATTTCGAGTCATAATTGATGTCCGCCAGCATTTTTCGACATTTTCCTAGCTTTTTCCTGCTTCATTTTTCTGCGGCGAGCACCTCAATTGTTCGGTGGCGCCCATTTAAGGACAACAAAACAAATATTATTGGGTATTGTCCGAACAGGACTTAATGCCCCATTGCTACAAAAAAACAGCAAAGGCCGGTCCTATAAATAGTGTGGTCAAACAGAAAAACAGAAGAAAAGCACTTGAGTGATGGGCAAAGACAAACAGAATGCTGCTTACAGAATGAGACGGCGGTTGCGACATCTCGTGCCAAGAGACAGTGCTGCTCGTCTTCGTCAAACTCGTGCTGCGGAAACAACAACAACGCCCAGTGTATTCAAATCTGCCTCCAGCAATGCCAGAGCTCCTGCCAAACGTCAACTTGCGTCCAGCAGTGCCAGCCAGCATGCCAACAACAGTGCGGTGGAAATCAGGTACGAGGCCATATGTGTTCGGGTCATCGGTTATTTTCTTGCAGCAAGTTATTCTTCTTCCTCAAACCAACAACTGCAACCAGTGCCAGCAGCAATGCGTGAGCTCGTGCGCCACAACAAGTTGCGCCCAAAACTGCCAGAACAGCTGCTCCAGCTCGTGCGGAAACTCGGCCCCACAAATCATTGTCCTTCAACCACAACAGAACCAGTGCGGAGCTTGCCAATCGACCTGCCAACAGACCTGCCCAACCTGCAACTGTCAATCTGCCTGTGCTCCAGCTTGCGGAAACAACAACAACAACAATCAAATCATTGTCGTCCAACAGGATAGCTCGTGCTCGTCCAACTGCAACAACCAGTGCTCGTCCTCGTGCACCACCCCGATCTGCATTCAGTCCTGCCAGTCCTCCTGCCAACAAGCCTGCCAGCCAACCTGCCAGCCACAATGCATGCCATCTTGCTCTTCCAGCTGCACCCAGAACCAAGCGCCAATTGTGATCGTTGCTCAACAAGGTGACTCGTGCTCCAACTCGTGCTCGAACCAGTGCCAGTCGGCCTGCCCAACCCCAATCTGTGTCCAACAATGCAATTCGCAATGCCAATCGCAATGCCAGTCCTCGTGCTCCGGAAACAACTGCAACCAGCAGCAAGTCATTGTTCTCCAACAGCAAGACAACTGCCAGAACTCGTGCCAGAACAGCTGCATGAACACCTGCCAACAATCAGCCACCGTTCTCCAGTGCCAGCCGATCTGCCAACAGACGTGCCAGTCGACTTGCCAACAGGCCGCCCAGATTGTTGTAAGTGTTTGATGTTAAGAAGCACATCGAATTTGAGTGATTGCAGGTTCCATGCCAGACCTCCGGATCCGGTTGCGGATGCTCCAGCGGATACTCGCAATGCGGAGGATCGTGCTGCCGTCGTCGTTAAATTGTTTTCATTTTCAACCGACCCGCTTTTATCGCTAATTTTTCAATTTTAAACGCGTATTCTCGCGATAACCTTCCCGTTATCGTAGCCGTCAACAGTCATCGATGTCTGTAAATAGTCGTCGTTTCATTCATTATTATAATTTTTAATTATTTTTATTGTCACCAAAACATTGACAAATAAACTATTTAATTATTCAACAAATTGATTTGAATGGGAATGGGATTATGAATCGGCAGTTTTTACAAAATGTTTTCATAATAATTTCAAACGATCGAATAACCGGATTGAAAAATAAAAACATTGAGTTTTCCAATTATCTTTTTCTATGCAGTTTCAATTAATAAATTTGGTGCTGGTTGAATAATGCCTAATTATCTTTGCATCTTCGTTGATCTTGTCAAGTAAACCATCTTCAATATTTCTTCGGAGGATCACTATATTCCTCTCAACATCATTCCCCCCATGAAGCTCCAAAGTCTCACGGTTGCTTCATTCTTCCAGAATTCCATTCATCGTGCCTGTCTTCAAAAACTCCCACTATTCTGCATGATTCTTTTTGAGAATATCCAAATTTTTTTTTTGATTTGACTTTTCATTCAATACTCCACGGTCTTATTCATACACTCTTCTACAGAATTGATGCGAAGTTTTAGAGCTTATGATCAATCTGTCACATTGATGATTGCTACGAGTAGTTTAAGCGCTTAACCGATTAAATTTTCAATTATATATCATGAAAAAATATCGAATGGAAAATGAAGAAAATGTCGTATCGAGGAATTTCAGAAACACAACATATTTTCATAATGTTGAGACAGTTTTAAAAATAAGCCGCCAAGATTATTAAAAAAAAAAGAATAATGCTCGCTTTTTTTTTGAATTTTTCAATTCTACTGAAAGTTTTTAGAGAGGTGTGTTTTTTTCATAAATAACAAATAACTGTTCAATTAGAAAATTTCAAAATAAAACAAATAATAATGTAAATACAACGGCAGACAGAAGGTTTGTCTTCGATGTTGATTTGGTTGTTGTCTCAATGTGACTGGGTGTTGTTCCAACAGATGGTCCAGGAGAAACAGTTGTCGACGTCGAATTCACAAGTAATTCTATTGAAAATACGAATTATCGAATAACAGTTTGGATGAGTTACCTGTTTCGCAAAAGTCTCCCATGTAACCCGGAGCACAGAAGCAAATACCATAAGCTAGTGTAGCTCCTTCGGCACAAATCCGATCCCAACAATATTCGCCCGTGTATCTGTCCGGACATTTGCATTGCCCGAATTCATTTACTTGTCCGCCATGGCAAACTGACGTATCTAACAAATATTTAAAACCAATAATTGATCGCAAAACGGCATTTCCTACCAGCTGGCAAGTGTTGAACATAGTAGTACATTCGACGGATTTCGAATTCTTTGTTTTCATTGATGCCTCTCAAAATCCATAATGTCATTTGAGTTTTTGGAACATTCACGGGATTCGAGATGTAGTTGAACGAGCACGAAGAATTATCGCGTGGAGACATCGTCAAATGAGAATCGGTTGCCGGCAAGTCGAATCTTTCTTGATTGATCGTTTCTATCGATTATTACAGATGGGAAAATGTTGTAAAAAATGTTGAAAAAAGCCAAATACTTACGAATCTCAATAGTTGTTGGAACTGCGCTGTAATCGGTTCGCGAACGAACAACTGCATAGATCGCGCGATTGAATTGAGTATCTAAATAATTCCTGTGGATTTAGATTCGATTCACAGGTTGAATTCACTTTGTCGCATCGAAAAAATTTGGGTTGTCGCAGCATCATCAGTTGGCGATGATGTGAATCCAAGGATTACGCCTTTCGATGTCTTGATTCGTGCCTTTAATGTGAAAGGATTATGAATGAAACTGGATGCCAAAAATTCACTCACTGTTACTTGACATCCTCCTTGGTTTGTGCCCATCACCACTTGCCAAATTCCGTGATTCTGATGGTTTTTCTCGAAGTCTGGAAAGCAATTTTGAGCAATTCACATAAAAATCAATGAAAGAAAAACAGATCAAATCGAACCGATTCGTAAAATCACAACATTTTCGGATTTGTATCGAATGAATGACGTCATGTTGATTTCTTGCTCTGCAATTTCAGAAATGTATGTAATTTTGGGCAATCATCCAAATTACGTGAAGAATCCTGAATGCGTATATTTTTTAATCCGGCACCCGTCAATTGAATGATCACAGCATCGGCGTCCTTCTCGACGTAAAGCTCAGCGGAGTATTCTTGCACTGAGCAATCGAACTTTTCGCTGTCGGTTGTGAGAGCAGTTGCGCCGGTGGTGATATCAGCAAACAAAGGAATCAACTGAAACTTAGCATTGATTTTCAGGTTCTCGTAAATCCCATCATACCGAATCTTCAGTTTTGATCGGAATCAACCGACCGCCAGATTGTCGTTGGACAATTTGCAATTGCAATGGAAGATAAAGGGCATTAGAAATTGTTCCATTTGAAATCGAGAAGAAATTAAACTAAAATCATGTTGGATAATTGTTATCAATTACTAATTCCCATCAAAAAACCTCAGTATCTTTATCAACAACATCCCAATTTCGGCCAATATCACTCAAATCAGTAACCTGTTGATTTGTGAAATAAAATATTTGAGCCAATGGTAGAATATTGATCTTTTGAGCCTTAATATTGATATACATGAATGAAAAGAATTGTTGATATCGAATATATATGTGTACCTGTATAATAGACATTAAACCCATTGTGTGGTCCAAATTATCGAATAGTTTCAACGAATCAACTTTTTCGCGGAATAATTTAATAAAAACTTTCGGATTGTAGGAACTCAGGACAACGCGAGATTCTGAAATATCATCAATATCAATAAATTCGAACATTTCGATTTTTTCCCAATAAACCTTGATCACAATGAACAATTAAAGTAAATTCTTTGGTGTGAGCAGTTTCTGTGCTCGGTTTAATGAAATCGATGATCTGTTCGATTTCGCGCGACAATGTCTTGTATATTTCCGCATTTCCAGAATGTCTTTCCAACACAAATATATACTAAATTGTAAATTTTAATGATTTTCTTAATCGCACGCGTCGATTACCTGATTCGGCTCATTCATTCTCGCATCGTTGATGGCCGGAATGTATTTCGAATCACATGTACTCAATGAATCGTCATGAGATTCTGCCGCACTAAGCTCTAATAAGACACTCGCAGGTTTGACATAATGTTGTGGAATATGCTTTGTGTGGGAAACTGCAATCGAAATATCGTGCGATTAATCGAATTCGCTCACCGATGTCGCAATACGATGCGATTACCCTCTGTTTGTAAGTGTTGCCGTAGTACAATCGAACAACGTTTCTGTAATGGTTGAACGTTTTTGCAATGTCGGGCTTAATCTCACGTCAATGGTCCCGGGATACAAGTTGACGTGTCTTGCCACACATCAAAGGTATAATCAAACGTGCAGTCCTTTTGAGGGCGAAGACTTCCATAGTATTCCTCACGGACCACTTCGTTTGTAGATGACTCCATGTGATAGCTGATCGTGTCAAACGGTGGAAAACCGAACACTTTCGATGTGACCCACTTTGGAACTCCTTCAATTCAGGATCACATAATTTATGATTACTGATTTTATAGTTAATACAGTCAAATGCTATCAGATTCAATCTTTTCTAATCATAAAAACCGAAAAAGGTATAACACACCTTGGGTAACCATGAAATTTCCAAGATCGATTTCACTATCGCTGCTGAGTTCAGATAGGATCACATAATCGGATTGAAGGAAAATCCGATAATTGTATTGAGTTTGAAAATCGGCGACGATTTTAATAGACGGATCATTGAACGAGAAATATAGCTGAAAATTAAAACTATTAATGGATAGATGTATTTTAAAAAGTATACTCGATGATTTCTTCCTTCTGAATAAAGATTTCCATTTTCAATTGACGGCAATTGTTTATTATTTGCTGAAATTTAAGATTTGAAATTTAAAACAGGAAAATAGAAGCATACGATCTGTTGGATCAAACGTGATCAATATGAACACGAATTGATTATCGGTATCTCTTGTTGGTTCAATTATTCTGCTACCAGTAATACCGTATGCAATATTGATATTCTCAGGATGATAGTACATTCCAATTACCTCCGTCAAAATCTTAACCCAACCTGGTATTTTTTTTAAAGATTGTAAATGAATGAATACCTCGCTTGTCTCATTTCCGTTTTTGACAAAGAATGAATCACCATGTGCAGTCATCGCAATCCTTCGATATACGTCTACCGCGTCCGAGGTTCGGTCAACTCCATCCGGAAGTGACAACAAAAATGCGAGCTAAACGCATATTTCAAATTGGATTTTGAAAGATTATTCAAAAACCTTATGCCTCCACAGAATGATATTTTGCATTGTGAGTTGCTCCTGAGTTCCATCTTCAAAATGATAGGACAGTGGTGTGGCGTCTGATGCTGGAGAATCAGTGAAGACGAGAAGAACTGAATTCGGTCTTGTTTCGCCATAACTGAAATTTTGATAAGTCATTGCCAAAATTCCTTTTTCCCAGCAATTTTACAACAAATTTACGTTTGCTGAGCATTGTAGGCTGATACCAATACCGGCTGCGTATCGTCTCCATCTTGTAGTTCAATCTCAAAATATAATTCAATGAATTCACAAATTATGATCATTTCTTACATTCTTTATTTTCTCCAAAAATTCGGTGGAATCTTCCAATAAAAACTCAGTAACATTTATCGAATCTCCTGAAACGAGATGATGCGTTTTTTGCAATGGTCTCGCGCGGTTTTGTAGAAAGTAGAATTCAAATGGTTGACGCTGGTGCACCTTGATTTCGCATATGCTATTTTTCAAACTATCAACAATTTCAGGGCATTCATCGACAGAAAACATGTCTTGATGCCTTCAAAAACCAGTCATTTCTTGAAAACATCGCAGAAAGTCACGCATTGCGGAAACGAAAGGCAAAAAAAAATAGTGTTCCCATGCCTTCAGAAGGGTATCTTCGTGATTCGTAAAAACAGTGATCGTGTTTTTGATTCTAATCAGGGTTCTCGGTCAGTCGCGTGGAAGGCATATGGGATAAGAGAAGGGTTCCCATGTGAGTGAATATGGGTTCCCACATGCATAAGGGTTCCCATATAGGACTCCCATGTGAGCCCAATTTTTTTTCCTTTTTTGTTTTAATTTTACTTTTTTTTTCATCATCTTCAAAACAATGAGAACTCCAACAGACATGAGAATGGACACTTGTCTTCCTTACAACAAAAAACAAACTACTGAACTGCAAGAATTAGATTTCAATTCCAGTGCAATCAATACTTGATTTTTCCGGCATCCTTTTGAATGTTTTTGAGAATTTTAGAAACTTAGGTAATACGGTTGATGTGCTTCAGCCTTGTTGGTATTTCGCATGTTTGATTGAAATAATAATAAAGACTAAAGTACATAGATTTAGACGGACTTCAAGATGTTGAGAAATACCCGATGATTGAGAAGGAATTAAAAGGTGGTATTGGTGTCAATTGATACTCTAAGGTCAATTATAAATACCCTCCAAAATTCAATGCATTGATACCTTCAATCTTTTTTTTGTATGATTTTAAATTGTCCCCCTTTTCGAATATTCCCTCTTCATCTTCAACACTTTTGTGCCAATTCAATTATTTCTAACAAGATGAACCTGTGAAATTTGCCATAAAAATTTAGTTTGATGAGAGACGTCGGCAATAATGCATTTTCAAAGGCAATAAGGACGAAATACATCGATATATTGATAATAAATTGCACTTTGAATGTTTTAATGAATCAGTCTTGGACTTTTAACTATTAATCGTTGATTATTTTGTAAAACGTAAAATAATCATTGGGGTGTAACAGTATCCCTGAATTTTCAGCTGATAACTGTTTCATTTGCTTATAACAATCGTATTAAATGATTTCAAAATCAGAATAATGCAGTTTACAATCAGAAAACTAAACGACTCTAGAAAATGACAAATCTCACCTTTCTTCACAAATCCATAGAATATATAATTCACAAAGTTTTCTTTTACTCGTGTGGCCTGATTCTGAAAACAAAAATATGTACATACATATATTAGACATCGAAAATATCAATAATTGAGTCGTCTGCTGGATTGTATTTACCGTTGTGATTTCATCGAGCATTTTGTTGAATGAGCTAACCAATGCATTCTTTTGCTCCAACATTGTAGTCTTTGTGTTGAATACGATTATCAGCGATCTTTTATGGAAATCCATGTTTTCATCAACCGGTGGACGACATCTGCCTGAAAATTAAATTGGAAATAATACAGAGCTAGAAGCACCTACGAATTCCACACCGTGGAGCGAACCATCCAGGAGGACACGTGCATCGATTTTTGTCGGCAATTCCGAATCTTGGGCATCTGAAAATTCAAGTCAGATGTTAGATTTTATAGAAATCCAGTGTGAATTACTATTGCTACTACGTTTTAAATCACGAACACTCTTTAATTTTTAATTATCTATATCGGAATGCGTAGGTGGCAAATAAATAATCCATTTCAGATAATAATGAACTTATGAGCACGTGTACCAATATCATTATATAGAACGAAATAAAGATGGTTGATATCCGTAATTGAGTGTGCTCGGGGTCCGTGAGAGACCTCTCATTTGGGAATTCTTTAACTAAACTAGCCTTGTATGCTCACAGAGTTTTCCACTGACAAACTCCGGACATACACAATCGGTCGCATTGAGCGGTGTTCCGTGATTCAGACATTTTGCGACATCGGATGCCACGAAACCTTAATAAGAACGATCCAGAAACAGGATGTACTGCTTCAAACCTGTAACTGCAAGAAATGTGAGAAATTGAAGAGTGTGCATCTCCTTGGAAAACCACACTCATATTGGTCTATGATGCTATGCTTTTATATCTTCGATGTTCTTATCAGCAAAGAACAAACGTTTTAATCTTTTTTATATTTTTCGATAAAACGAAACGACTAGACATATGTATCTGACCAAATTTTGAAATCTGTACGTTGAGCAAAGGGGATCGAGTCTCAACGAATTTATTAAAATTCAAGGAAGCATATTGGATTTGTTCAGTAATTTTGATTTAATTTCGTGGTGGGAATCAGACGTCAAAGAGATATTTGATAATAGCTTCGAATGATTCGAGAGGAGCCGCGTGTGAAAATGATAAGCGATAGTCAAAGAATAATTTTTAAGGAATTTCAATAAAAACTTGAATGAAAAGGAAAAAGAAGGTGAAAAGAGACGAGGGAAAAAAGAGAAGATTGGTATCAATTCCGAAAATCGATTGATCCGATTGTTTTGGATCGTTGCTTGTTGCGCTATCTCGCAGGGTGTCAACTAATCATAATATTATTCGAAAACCAAGACAAGTTCTGTATGATTGTGTTCGATTCGCCTTCTCCTCCTCATCTTCGTGGTCACCTTCTTCATTTTCTTTTCCTCCTTCTTATTCTTCTCACTTCATCACCACAATTTAGCATTTTGTTGCATATTCTCATTTTTTTTTGTTCTGTATATGATTGATTTTCGGCGATCGGACAAATGGTTGTATTGTGAAATTCATCGAATTACGAATTACTATTATTATTATTATTATTTGCCCATAAATTTTCATAATCCTCTTGTCATCGCGACTGCCGCCCGATTCACACATTTTGGCGTTTCAGTTCGAACGACAAAATCAATTAAAACCTGCAAACTGTTTGGTGGGACTTGATGAATTTTTGCAACTTTCATCTCAAAAGTTGTGCAATATTTGCCGTCATTTTGCAGTTTTTCAATCAGGTTGTCATTCTAATTTATTTGCAATTATTTAATTTGATTTCAAGCGGGTGGCTGGATTCGCATTCGAACAGTGCAATGTAACTCGATCATGTTGGTATCATCCACCGGAATGCGATGAGAATAATATTCAATTATGTCTGTCCGGCGTTGAATGGCAAATGCTACCAGAAGGAATATTCATTCAAGTATTTTATAATGCTCTCAATTCACACTATTAATTGACTTCGTTATAGTTAGAAGCCCACGTGGCCGACCTTGATCAAACTCGGCCATTTTACGCAGCTCTTGGATTCAGCTTCAATCAAAGAATGGTAAAGAGTTTAGTTATTCGTCTCTTAAATTGCCAATTATTCCAATTACACGTTATTAATTATATTTGCTAATATTCACACACGAATGATGATAATATCGCAGTATTCTAGGTCGTAATATTTGGCCTTTGATGTTGATCGGCATTTATAGTTTTTTTTGATTAGGTATCAGTGCTAAAGCATCTTTATCGGTATTAATACAGTGAATTAAAAATTAAAAGCTAAACATTTAAGCAGCTCATCTAAAAATGACAAATTTGCCGAAATACGCAAAACGAAGAATTGTGGTGACGTCCTCAGATTAATCATATCATTTGACACAATGTGAATGATGTTTTATCAAACTCACATAGTGCAAAGATTAGACAAAAAATATATGTATGTTCTTGAGAAATAATTTTAAATAAAAAAAAATGAATTATGGTCATTAAAATGAGATATCGATCATTTTTTGAATATTTTTTAATTATTTTTGTTGAATATATTTTCATTTAACAAATTGGATCGTCGTTTTTTTTCGACGCTGTAATTTACATTTCGATTTCAACATTGGGCATTTGGATACTATATAATCGGCACAAGAGTTTTTAAAAAACAGAAAAATGAATTCTCGTTTTTTTTCGAATCAAAAATTGCCTATTAATGTATTTATTCGTAGCTTTTTATAATTCAATTATAAAATATTCGATCGCAGGATGACGACACTGTATTTGAATGCGTTGTTCCGCACACCGGCGAAGGCAAAGTTCAAATATCATTCAACGACGAAACATTCAATCAAGTTCTTCCGCAGGTTTTGCAGGCCTCGTTCGTCCATTGATCTCAAATGTGTTCAGGCGACGTCAGTGTTACTCACCGAAGAAACGACATCGTATGTCGACGGCGTGATAACATGCAGCGGCAAATTGCTCTTGGACAATCGTCATTTAGTCGACAACTCGTCACAATTTATGGTACCGAATACGGCAAAAAGCAATAAGGCGATTTAAAAAAAAAACCTTGAAGGTTCATGACTTGGAGACCGGCTCTTATCATTTGCTGTTTGCTCGCGGAAGCGCGGATGTATTTAGTTGGAGCAATGCCATCATTCGTATGAGAATTTGCGTGAATTGCAGCCCTAGAGAAAGATATTCATTCGACAAATGATGGCACTCAATTCCCATGGATGTCTGATACGAAGGTCTCATTCTGTCGAACAAATTGCTCATCTCCAAATTTGTATCAAATCGATGAGATGCGACAGACCTACAATGTCGACAGGTATTGGAGATACCGGATAGCGGTGTGGCATGGAATTCTGCTCATATTCGCGTGGTGGGTTCTCGGCTCGACGGGAATTCTGATAGCCAGATATTTCAAACCATTGTTTCCGAGAAGCAAATTGCTGGGAACCGCTGTTTGGTTTCAAGTACGCGTTCCAATCGGTTCCATGCAATCGTTTTCGAATTGATTTCAGCTTCATCGAGACATGATGATTGCATCAGTTCTTATTCAAATTGTGTGTGTGTTTTTCATTTTTTATCAAGCCGGCTGGACATGGTACCAGTGCTCGTATATGTGCACTTCTGACGTAACATCGAGGGCCGTTCGAATCTGCACCATTTCATTATTTTCAGGATTTCTCCAAAAAGATGCACGCCATCACCGGATTTGCAGCCACAGTGTTAGCAATTTTCCAGGTTTTCGATTGTGTTTAAACTCTTTTTGTGCAAATTTTAGATTAAGCCCATTTTCGCGTTGTTCCGCCCGTCGCCAGCGTCAAATTTTCGCGTCTTCTTCAATTGGGGACATTGGTTTCATGGAATGTTTGCGTGGGCTTTGGCATGTGAGCAAAAAATTCGAATGCGAAAACTGGAAATCTCATTTTTTTCCCTCTCTTTTCAGCAACGACAATCGTTTTGTCACTGCCGATGGGAAAAACGGGATTGAATAGAATGTTCGGACGAGCACCGAATTGGATTGTCGCCGGCTATATGCTATTCTTTGTGGCATGCAACTTGATATTGGAAATTATTACAATATCTAGCAATCGGGACAAAATTGGTATGAAAAACTACTAAAATATATATTTTTTAAATTTTTTCTTTTCTCATTATTGATAGACAATATTACGAAAAAAAAACTACATATAAACTCCAGCGATTTTAATTATTCTGAACGACGTTATTCGATTAAGAACTAATTATTTTTTTCCCGGAAAATCGTGACTATCAGAATCGGCAGCTGCAAGACACAGCACAAAAATTGCGTGTGCCTTTAAATACCATTTCCAACAAATATTTTCGAAATTCGAAAGCTCTTCAAATATTCTTTTAAAAAACACTCAAATCGGACATTTTTTCAATCTTAAAAAAATTTTTAATAAATAAAACAATCAAAATTTTTTTTAATAATTAAAAAATAACCGATTGAAGGTTTAAAACTCGGAGAATGAGTTGGTTTTGGTGGCGAGTTTGATTCTGGTAGCCGCTTTTTTTTTTCGGAAACACACCGTTTTAACTCAAATTTGAATTGCCACCTCAAAAAAAGAGCGCTAGTCCACAATAATTCACGGCTCTCGATTTTTTGGATATTGAAAATAATATTAAATAAAAATAAATAACAAGACCTTGGCGGAAAAAGTCGAATAATAAACCGCATCCTCCCTAAATTTGGTCGACAATAAAATTTTAAACTATTTTCCGAGATTCAATCTTCCTTATTACTTCATTTGGTAAAGTGAACTCAAAATGAAATTGGCTAGCGAGGAGCATTATATAATTGATATTCAAGAATTTTTTAATTTCGATTGGGAAATTTAAAAAAATAATTTAGAAAGTGGAATTCAACCTCATCGATTTACTGTTGGTCCAATGGGTATGGCATTGGCTAATCTCAATACTCCGATTAAAGATGCTCCAATTCCAGTTCCAAAGGTTTTTTAAATACAAATATAAAAAGGATAACTCAATTTTTTAGAAGACTAAAACGCGGGTTACTGTTGTCATAATTCATTTAATAGTCAGCTTCGGAGTCACAATCACATTCGCCGTAATGCTCTTCAAAGCTCTTTGGTGCCATTCACCATAATTATTCCTAATTAATGTATTTATTATGACAGATTTTGGACCATTTTAATTATTTATTTATTAGGAATTTTATTAATTTCACGCATAATTTAAAAAAAACAAATATAAGAAAATATGAATGAATGAATGAATTGTGACGAGTATCTGTACATTTTATTAAACAAAAAATAAAATAATTGAATGGTTTTGTTTGTTTTTTTTTGAAGGAAGATGATTACAGCTATGTTCAATTGATATCATTTGAAGTCACTCGTTTTGCAAAAATTCAGAAAGTGGCAAACTATGAGACACATTATACTTTATTGCCCACATTTCCTTCAGTCTTCTTTTCCGAAGTTTCTAAAAATCGATTTGATTAAAATGCACAAAGTCGAGTTTTATTTACTTTTCGTGGTTGGAACGTCGACAGAGAGGCTGGTGGCATTAGCGAGAGGATGATCTGTAAAAGGGTGAGATATCAATAAAATAAGCAAAAACTAATGGTGAGGATCGGCGGAAATTGGCGAGCACCGCGAGTGAACCAAAAACTGTTTGCCCCACAAATGTTCGTTTCAACACGATCGGACCCAGATATATTCCACCGAGTCGGATTATCAGCTCAGTCAAGATCGATGTGATCCATAAGGCGAACATAGGGGTGACGTTCGTTTCGAACATCGTGGGTGATCTTATTCGCTTAGAATAAAGAAAAACGTTGTCGAAGACAAACGACTGTCGAAAATTGAAACAATTTGGGCCATATATATTTTTTTTCTAATAGTTTGCACGAAAACACCAAATTATTGGATATGAATTTTATGCGATTATGTCTAAACCAGGCTTGTTGTCATGAAGCCGAGCCGCCCTACATGTTGGAATATGGATGAAACGTGGATCAAAAGTCGACAAACATCTGATCTGCCCGCCGAAGTCGTTTGTCTTTGATAATATTAAAAGACAGAATTTCTTTTTAAAAAAAATAAATTATGCCCTTATTGAATCAATTGTAAATAAAAGCTTGGCTCACCATTTCCGGCCTTCTGTGGTCGTGGGCTGTCCGGAATCGAGCTCGGCGGCGCTAGATGTCCGTGTCGAATAGTGATTTCAGTCTGCAGCAAATCTCATGGCTACTTTGTCTCATATTTGAAAAGCTTACATCATTCGAGTCCTGACGGAAAGCCATTTGACGAACCAAGCTTGTGCGTCGAACTTCTAGCATTTCATAATACGGGTTTCACCACGAAAAGCCGAGTGTGCGATAAATATTTTTTTTTGAGGAGGCACCGTTCGCGTTCGCTTTTCTACAATGATTGAATTGAATTAATCGAAGCGGAACGACGGCAAAAAAAACGAGGCAAACGAAGAGAAAAAAATAAAAAAAAAATAAAAATGAAGAGGTGGTGCTGGTGGCGGAATGGAGACGCGAAATGTGCCGAAAAGAGGGCTCGCAAAAAAACGAAGAAGAAGAAGAAGAAATAGGGCTCGGACAAGCCGCATTTTCTATTAAACTCTTCGGCAAACAACAACGAATGGGTATCGAACTAAATCATTTACCCAATATAATAGTTGTTTGTTGATTTGATATCCTTAAAACTAACCAAGCAATTTCCGTCAGTAGAAAAAAAACGGAAGAAAAATGAGCATTTCCTGAGATGATAATCCTTGGAAGAGGAAGTTTTGATAACGAAGTCACTTTTCAAAAATTGCGTTGTTATTATATCAGATATTAAAAGGAATATCTAAAAAATATATATATTAATAATAATTTTATTAATAATTTTCGCAAATTCGAAAAAAATACATTTTAAAATAAAATCGGATTAATTTTAAAATCTCCTCAAAAGACGACCATATTCTTCGAAATATTCATTTTTCAAAAGCTTTTAAATCATTTTATTAAAGATTTCGTATTTTCAGCATCGCGCGACTGCGAAATATTGGCTAAATGCAAAAAAAAATCAATGACGATGGTCTTGACACAAAACTGAAATTGTAGATTTACGGCGAAGGGCAGGTAGGTGCCTAAATTATTTGGCATTTAGCCAATTTTCCGCAATCTTGCGACTTCGGTAATATGAATGTATTAAAAATAATCCAGTTGAAAACCTATTATATAATTGTTTAAAATTAGAAATGGAAGATAAAATTATCTACTTTGTGAAATCGACCAAATCCTTTTACCATGAGCTACTCTTAATTAATCGAAACAATTCTCAGATCCCTCGAATTGTTCTTTCTTGCAATTGGAGAATTTTCGAGAATAAAGCGAGCGAAAGGGTAAACAATTTAATCTATAATCACATATTTGTACCAAATCCCTCCACACAAAAAAACGACTCAATCGAAGCAGAAAATAATTTTTGGGGTCAGAAGAGTGGAGTAGACGAACACTGCGCAATAATCACGACTACCTATGCATGCGTATTTGTAGGACGACGAATGAGTCAGACGCCCTTCTCTCATCGACTGGGACTAGTTCACAAACGGTCAAGGAAGCTGATGTTCCGCATATGTTGACATTGTGTTAAGTGATGTCATAAACTGTTTGCGGAATGAACAATAACAAAAGAGAAAAAGAATTGTGAATTCCTTCCGGACCAGTCTGAAGGTGGATGACAAAAATAAGCATTATTATAGGCAAAATAAATGCATTTGGTTGGGGGGGCTTAAATCGACAAAAAGTCACCATTTATATAGATTCGTCAATATTTGGTTTATTCCACCCAAATACTATTTAATGTTCGGTGTCGAATAGAATCAAATGAGGTTAAGCTAGTGAATGCGCGGAAGTAGTCTCGTTTGACCTTAATCACTTGACCGGGCAATACTCTTTTTTTAGGTTATTATTCAGCATAAACGACCAATACTCAATGGGTAATGGTCAAATTAAAAAAATGAATCGTCGACAAAATTTGGCTTAGGTTTCAAAAAATCAAACTCTATAGAATGTCCAAGATTTTTCTAGAGTCGACTTATTCTGGAAATCCAATTATGTTGGGTTCAAAATAATGGATAATCCGTTTAATCCAGACATTCACTAGCAATATACGACTATTGATGTTTTGTGGATACAAAAAAAAGAAGAGTTGACGTTATTCTCTTTCAAAGGTTCGAATTTAAAAAACGCAGAATTGTTGGAAGACAATTTTGGTTTCCATAGAAGTCGAGAAACCATTTCATTCTTTTGAAAAAAAAATAGTGAAAAGAAGGCGGGAATGGCGACTCGTTTCCGCAAATATTTGCGTGGAAAAGTAAAGAAAATGAGATGAAAGCAAAAAAAACACAGAAAGTTCAACAAGTTCAAATGTTTTTATATACTAATATTTTTTGCTTTTAAAAAAAAAGTTGCGACCGTTTTACGATCAAAACCGATTTTCCACCCACAATGCGAGCAATCGAACCCCGTTATTTTCACATCAACACCCTCTATTTTACAGGGTGTCATTTAAGTTCCCGCACAAAAGTTTGACGCCATGAAGAGCTTGGCTGGCGCACTTTTCGTGCACCAATACAATTTATTTTTGTTAAATAAGGTATATTTTACTTACTTTCCAAGTTTCACCTCTTTCGGATGTGTTTCCGAGAAATGGCGAAGGCTAATATCCATCGTGCTTCCATTATCGAATTTCATAAGCAAAATGTGAGCCCGAGAGACATCATTCAACGGGTCGGTGTGCCTCGTAGAACGGTTTGCGACACCATCAAACGTTTCAAGGAGCTAAATACGACCAGTGACCGTCCCAGACAAGGAAGACTCGTCTCAGTAACCACTCCTCAGAAGATCAACGCCGTCAAATCGAGGATCAGCCGAAACCCCCACAGGAGCATGAGAAAGATAGCGTCAGACATGGGAATGAGCATCTTCGCTTTGGAACAAATCGTCAAAACGAAGCTTGTACTGACCCCATATCGTGTCCAAAAAGCGGCAATTCTATCGGCCGTCAACAAGCAGAGACGCTTCGAAAAAGCAAAACAACTTCTTGCTCGCACGCAGTCTGGAGAACATCTCGTCACTGTCTTCTCCGACGAGAAGCTATTCACTGTGGAGGCGGCATTCAACTCACAAAACCATCGAGTACTTGCCCAGACATCCCAGCAAGCTTCTGAGAAAAGCAGAACAATACATCGAGCCTCACATCCTGCCAGTATGATGGTTTTCGGTGCCATCTGCTCAACCGGAAAGCGCCCCTGGTTTTTGCAGATCAGGGGATGAAAATGAACAAAGAAGTCTACGTTCGAGACTTTTTAGAGGAGCATGTGATGCCCTGGACCCAAACGCATTTCGTTGGGCAGAAATGGGTCTTTCAACAGGACGGAGCACCCGCCCACACTGCCAAAACTACTCAGGAGTGGTGCCAGACCCATTTTCCCGACTTCATCAAGTCATCCGAATGGCCTGATTGGTCCCCAGACCTGAACCCGCTTGACTTCTCCGTGTGGAGTCTTGCAGGAGAAGGTCAACGCAAAACCCCACTCAAGTGTAGAGACTCTGAAGAAGACATTACTGGCGGAATGGCACAATCTTTCCATCGAATACCTGCGTACCACAGTCGCATCCTACCCGAAGCGTCTCTGTGAAGTCATAGCTCCGAAAGGAGGCCGAATCGAAAAGAGTTAATAGATAAATATTTGTTATACTATAGATAAAAAATATTTCGAGTCTCGTTTGATTTGGACCTTTAGTTTCAGAAATATACGTCTTCAAAGTTGTGCGGGAACTTAAATGACACCCTGTATATGCAATTTTATTTTATTGGAAGGAAAAATAAATAAACAAAAAAAACGAAGTAGTTCAACGGGAATCATATGTTTTGAATGTGAAAGAGTCACATGAGTTATATTTATTGAATATCTCTAAATTGTATAGGATATTCATAAAACATTGTCAGATTTCTAAGAATTTGAAAACCGGAAGAAAAAAAAATTAGAAAGTTGTCACTATTTTCTGTATTAGGGCCATTAATAATTTTGGTTGATATGACCACTTTAATTTTTTTTTTAATATTTCAAATTTAAATTTAAATATTCAAAATATTAAGCAAAAAAAAACTTATCAGTATAGTCTTTGGGTGATTAGAAGATATTCACAAATATATTTTGTGATGAAAAAAGTTTAAAGCAGCGATTCGCGGAAATAAAAAAGTATCATAGCACAACAAAGGAAATTGAAAAAAAAACGACGAGAATGAGATAAAATATTTGGGGAAAAAAAAGTTGGCGTAGAAAATGCGATTTACCTACTCCCACGCATACATTTACTCGGATTATAACCTATGTCAAAGAAAAAAAAAAAGAAAAACTCATCACAAAACAGGAGAGAAATAATGTTTTTCGAGTGACTCGATGAATAGCGAATATTTACTTTTGGATTTGTGTAGATTGCTCGTCGAGTTCAGACACCAAACATCGCTAGACATGATCCGAACACTTTTGATTAACTCGATCTGACCAATTTTTATTGAATAACGAATTCAGTTCGCAAAGAACTAAATTACAAATTTTGCAGAAAATTAATAACTATGGGTCGCATTGATTTTATATTCTAGAAATTTTTAGAAAAAAAAAAAACTGAATTCTCACACGAAACTTGAATGGCAATATGATAAACGGCTGGGCAGAAGATGAAAGATGACAACGTTTTTTTCTGGAACCACAAGGTCTTTTTTTTTTATTATGAATAAGGCATGAGAGCGATCATCTTCAATTTCCAAAACACGAATATTTGATGAACTGATATTAGCAAAAAGTACGTGTTGCCCACGCAAATGTTATTCGATATTTTTCTAGAACGAATTCAGGCGTCGAGCACGTAGAAGAACCTCCGAATGCAATTTTTATCAGTGTTTGCCAATCATGCGAAGCCGAAACGAACATCAATCATAATGCATTCACGTGAAGCTCGTTAAGCATGATAAAATCCACAAAATAAGCTGTTACCACCAAACAAGCAAGCATTTTTAACAATTGTGGACCTTTGCATTTTTTTTCGGGATGGTAGTTTGAATTTGAATTGAAACGGTGGGAATTCGGGTATCGCACCACGTATAACCTGCAAATCAAACTCACCGTAAATCGATTTATATGTATTTCAATAAAACCATGTTCATGTCGATTTTCCGGTCTTAGAATGAATAATTTTTGTTGTACCATTATGATAGTTTGTTTTTCCTGGGCGATTTTTGGTAAACATTCAAAAATTCTGAGAAATGCTCGAAATTGGGTCTCAAAAACACGGGCGGCACAAAAACACTGAAATTAATAAGAGTTCGTTTTCCAATTAATCTAGCCGCTGAGATGAATTTATTTATTTCTTTTTGGGGGAACACAAATAAAGAAATTCTGGAAAAGTAGTGAAAAGAAAAGCATCTCGAAATCTCCATGGCAATATTTCAAATGCGAATGAGCCAATTCATCGAAATCACTATAGAAAGAAAAAAATATATAGGTGAAGAATGGAAAATAAGAAGATGAAGAAGGAAAAGTGACGTGTGAATCAGAGGAAGAATGCGAAAACAAAGACGAAACAAAGCGTTGAGTTGAGCATCAATCTTTCTTCCAATTACTTTGTGCAAAATGCGATGAATGACGAGACGGTTTATCTTTAAATAACTGCGACACTGGTCTTCGATTGACGAATAATGGAAAACCGAGCTGTCAACAGGAAAACAATTCGAGAATTGAAATTCGATACCATTCATACGAGTGTTTAGTTTATTTTAGCACGCAATGGAAACTACGAGAAATAAAAATCAAAATCCTACATTTTCTTTGGTTTCCATAAAAGGGAGTTGGTATCGAAATGTTGTGGCTATCCAGGAAAAATGTTTTTCATCAGCTCAACAAAATTAGTTTATCTTTTATATGCATATTCGATTATCTTTTAGACAACAAGAAGCATGGGACAATAAACTCTCAGCTTTGTAAAAAAAATCACAAAAACGACATAAGGCACGAATATACTCAGTATGTTTGGCAAACAATTATTACCGGCATTACGCGACAGCAGAAAATAGACTAAATGCCAAAACATTTAGGAAGAGGTGTTGGCGGTGTGCGCCTTTAACCTATTCTCACCCATAAATCTACACAATTAGATTTGCTCCAATTTTCTGTAGTCTCAATACGCCGGCAATATCTATACTCTATACATTAGCATGTTCAATATTACATAAACATAAAATTTACATAAAAGTATTAATTCTTCTTTGATGCTTTCTTAGTAGACTTTGATTGTTTGACTGGCTTGTCGTTGCGGAATATGTGAGCCCCCATAAGCCATCCAACCGTTGGGCATACCTGAACAACATGAATATAAATTTGATAATCATGGTATAAGTTTTAGAAAACAATTGGAGATTAATTAGGTTTCTGTATCGAACTATTTTTGCTTGATCGAAATGATTTGAAAAGATTTCATTCGAAAATATCAGAACTTCCATTTCACTTTAATCAAAATTTACTATTACCATTAAAAAACGAGCATCTTGACTAATTGCGAACCATTGGGAATTCGGGTGCGGATAACCTGCGAATTAAACGCACCGTGAATCTACACAGGATTCTCGTTTTTTTTTTTGTTGCAATTTTAATAAGTTAATATCTAAATATTACCCAGTAGAGGAGAACAAATGAATTGTTGTCAATTCCCTGACATCCGTATAATCTTGAGGTGGCAACGATTGGATTGAGCCCAGGAACTCCAATGATGTAAAGAGCTGCAAAAGAAAAAAAACATGATTTCTTGTAGCAAATTTAAATATAATAGTTGCTAGATTTACAAATGAACTTGAATTCGTACCGAGAGCCAAATAAAGAGAAATAACAAATGGAATCGTGCGACGAAGAGCTGATGATTGTGCCAAAAACGAGATGATTCCACGAATAGCAAAAGCTCCAGCGATTTCAAACGCGATAACAGTACCGGCAGGTTGCTGAAAAATATTATTCCAACAATTATACAATAATGTGTTATATAAATTTACATGGTAATTCAAAATACATTCAGTATTTAAGGCATTTTCCATGTGAACCGTGGACAAATTTGAAGTAAACGTCCAAATTGCGTAAGCCAATCGAGAAGCGAATGTAGCTCCGATAAGTTGTGCAGAGATTAACGCGAGAAGCTTGGTAGATCTGACGAAGTTAAAAAGATTATTGTTATCGATTAAGTTGATTTTTACGAAATTTTGTTGAAATAGAAATCTTCGAAGACTGGAGCGCAATTTCCGAGAGCGCCGCGATTGAACACGCTTCCGGCAGTTAGAAGAAGTCCGACGACAATGAAGAAAGCATTCAGCCCATAATATTTAACAATAATTCCTGCAAAATTGGCAAATTGTGAGAAGATAAATTTTTGTTTTTAATTTTCAGGAATTCATTGATTTAGCATCTCATTAGAACACTTTATTTAATCTCTTCATCATTTCATTTCGAATTAAATAATACTCTCCACATTTTAAAATTTACCATTTTCGTATACACAGGTGCACATTTGAACAGTTCCAATCATTTCGATAAGGAAAAGACGCGTGTTTCCGCTCTTTGGTGCATATTTAGAGACAAGCTACAATTTATTGATGTAAAACAGCGATAGAAATGACTTACGATTCTCGCAATTTCTCCTAAGGCAAATACGAATGTGTAGTATGCCAAAGCCGAGTACAATGGAAGAAAATAACTGCCTTGCAATGCATCCGTAATTGATTCGATACCCATTCTTCCTATTAAAAAAAAGTTTATTTGATAAATGCATTCTTGTGAATGGAGGAAATACAAGATTGGTCTTATCTCGACATTTGTTGCGATTACGCGTTTCAAACGACACGTCACCGCAATCGAAAGTTGTGGTTCGGACATAAGCACGACTTGATTCTTTTTTTTTGTGAATTATTTGTTTATGATTAAAACAAAAAAACATTTCTCAATAATGCGATTGAATACGTTTAGAAGGTAAATATTTAAACTGCGTAAAAGTATGCAAAATATTGAAGACCATTAATCTTTTTCAAGTTCAGTAAAAATTTATACACACACTTTTTAAGAAAGAATTGATAAATTGAATTTAAGAAGTTTCATTCGTGAAAATAAAAAAAAATTTAAATTGCGCTGCAAATGTGTCAATCATATACTGGCGTAGAGTTAGTGCATCCGGAAACTGGGAATTTTTTGTTGAGAATGTCTAAAATTAATATCAAGAATTTCAAATTAACAATAAAAAATTTTGATTTAAATTGAAAGTAAACATGTTTATTGAAAGAAGATTTATAATTCTCAATGTGTTTTAACAGTGACATTGGAAAATGGATGAAAATAAATGAAATGGGATCAGCGGTGTGACCTAGGAAAAAATGTTCTCAAAATGATTCGGCTACGGCCACACTTTATGGATTAGTTAATTTAATTGAGTAGAAAATAAATGAATATGTATATGAAGCGGAAATAAACGAATATATATATATATTTCGTATGTTTATAAAGCATTTAGAATTTCAAAAACCGAATATCAACATAAAATTCACAACTTTGTGAAAATAAAAGAAGTTGGTGATTAAGAAAATAAAAGAAATTCGTGATCATTACACATAACTTTGAAAATAGCTTGTTTTTTTTTTGAATTTGTGTGCCGGGCGTGCTTTTTTTCCTGTATATGTGTGCCACACTTGCATTTTCAATTTCTGAAACTGATTACTAATTTTTCTAGGCCACGCCAAAGCTGCGGCGAGTCGTGGATGTCTTTAGGCCTGTTTACTTCCGAGTTACATTTTTCGTCTCTATCACGGGCAATCCCCTCACCAAGCAAACATGTCTACGTATTGAAAGGCTCGTCGCAGCCGAGCGAGTGTGCGGCGCAGTGGTCAAGCCCTTCGTCGTAGGAATTTATAAACGCGGGGTCGACTCCCGGTGGCTGACCATGATCGAAAACCTAGAGTCTCTGAACCATTTCGTGTTTGCACAAACAATGCTCATTACCTGAGTCAGTTTTTTAAACAAAGATATATTTAGAACTGATTACCATTTTTACTCTAAATTTTCATTTTGGACGTTCTCATTTAACAATCAAGTTCTATTTTTGCAAGTACTGTAACGGTCAGTGATTTTCGTCAGAAAAAGGCCGATTTTATGTGAAATTTTCTCAATTTTTAAACAGGTTATTCTCCAAAACTAATTATCACGTGAATATTAAAAATGTCAAAACCAATGTTGGCTTCATTTTTCATTCATTTCTAATTTTCCAATTTTTGCCAATGTTTCGTGTCGTTATGTTTCGACGAAGAGGTCCGGTTTGGTGTGATTTCGTTTTAAGCTCTTCATTCGGGGATAAGTGGCTAATAAACAGTCGTGTGAGTTCTTTCTTCTTCTTTTATGGGATTTACAGTTTTTAACGAAGTTTGTTAAAATTAAGAAATATTTTGAAAAGTTGCGATTTCGATTTGTCCCGACATTGAAGGTTCCGAACCGCTGTGAGCGTGTCTCGAGAACATTCGTTGAGTCGGATTTGAGAGAGCCCGCACGGACGCCGCGTTCTCGTGCCACGAGACGCGGACCAACGTCCCGCTTCGGTGACCCATAGGGTCCGACCCAGGAGGGAAATGCCTGGGGAGTCTAGGCGCACACGGTGGAGTGGCGTCGGGACTATTCGATGTAGGGACCGCCAAATTGGCAACACATTTTTGAAGGTCCACTTTTTTCCTGAAAAGCGCAACGTAATAAATTATAAGCTTTGAATGTTGATAGAAATCAAAAGAAAATTATTTTTAATTATTATTCAATACTTAAAATTTTCATGAACACCTTGCAATCAAACGATCAACACAAGGAGAATGAGGAACATTAATGGCAGGACTTTAAGCAGTGACATTTTTTTTACTTCTTTAACCTTTTTTTAAGAATTTGATTTTAGATCGAAAAATATCCACACTAGAACACGTGAGCGGATCGAAGTGCAAACAGTGAATTTATTTTTCCATTAATTCAAAAATTGAATGTTCAATTTCAGATCAGATGGATCATCAGACACATCAGACACTAGGCATTATCGATTCGTAGAGTGCGAACAATCATTAAATTCTTTTATTAATTGAACATTTTCGGAATTTCGTTTCGAATTCCAAGTGTCAGACGATCGGGCTCACATGCATCAGCATCAGATGATGCTCGAACGATTCGGCCACTATTTAACTAACTATTATAAATTCCCCATCATTTTAGGAATAGAGGAAGAAAGAGAAAAATGACAAATCAAGTGTATATTTTTGAGGTAAATTTTGAGAGTTCGAAAATTGGCGATTTCGAGTCGTTTCGGCTCACCGACCGAATAAGCGCGCGAATTTGAAAATTCGGTTTTGGCCCTGCTACCGCCGATCTCCGCTTCGAGATAAGTCTGTATGTAGCAACCAGATCTACTTTTAATGCGGCAACATCATTTTCTGTAATGATCGTTTTTCTTATGGTGCAGCTATTGTTAAGACTTTGCATTCCACAACCCCCCCCTGAACCCTGATTTGAATGATTTTTAAAATTTCGATTTTAACATTTGGAATTAGAGAATAATCTTTTGACCGTATTTCGATAGTGACAATTCTTAAAAGCAGTGAATTTCTGAAAAAATTTCAAATATTTGCAGGAAGAATGTTTCGATGATATGCATTGCCGCAAAATTTGAATCAAATTGGACGATAATTTTGGTTTCTTCATTTTTTTAACCCTTGATTTTGTTTATTGTTTTTAATTTTTGTTTTAATTCTTTTTCTTCTATACGCCAGGTAAGTCCTTTTTTAATGGGAGCATCGTGTTAAACCCTTCAAAAGTGCTCTAGCAAAACTGAATTAGCTTTCTTTTTTGGAATTTCGGGAAATTGAGTAATTTGAATGTGTTTTGCACACGAATGGACCCAAGATAAGCTAATTTGTTGGTTTAATTCCCTCTTTTCGAATTCAAAAGTGTAATGGAAATGCTAAAAATGTGTTCTGTGAGGGGGATTCAACGCGTGCATGAGGGCCCGCACTTGTTAGAATTTCTAACACAGTCTGGATTTCAAGAGGTTGGTGTGTCGTATAAAATGAATTGAATTGTGGCGCATGCGATCTATCACATCACTTTTTTGCGAAACACGCGTTTTTTATTTACAATTGAATTGATAACTGAATACTATTCCGTGTGAACCCTAATTTTTCGCCATGGTCTCGGCACGCGTAAATGCGCTTTTTTGATATGTTCATGAGAAACTATCGAAAAAAAGAATATGTTTGACATTTTTTTTTTGAATTTCGAACGTGATTGAAAATGCGTATAATCGAAGTGTTCCGTAGAATCCGTAGATTCCGTAGAGTTCTGTCAACGATAAATTGGAATCTATGCTGATATCGCAAAATTAACCGCTCGGGCTTTTTTCGAATTATCTTCATTTAAAATACAAGAGGATTCCCATGGTAAAATCATCTGCGGACATTTTTCGGGACAAGCGCGTTTTTGTTTGTTTTTCGCATGAAATAATTAACGAAAATAACTCAAATAAAGGGCATATTTTTTAAAAAATCGCTAAATATCGATTTTAGAAATTTAGTGGTAGTAGGAAAATAAAAATAAACAAGAATGTTTTTAGTTTTAAAATTATACCATATTTACAAGTATTACAATTTACAAATGCAATATTACAAAACTATTTACAATAAATAAATGAAAAAACCAAAAACCATATTCTTGAAGAGATCGTATCGATTAGAAGGCTGATTCATTGCTTCACAGCATTTTCGCTTTCCTCGACAGTTTCTAAAGGCGCATAAGACAAAAGGAGCCTTAGAAGGAACAGTTGAATATACAAATATTATAAAAAGTAATTTCAAAGTTTACCTAGATGGAAACCCGTTTGCACAGCCAATATTCAACCAATAGCTTGTGATTATTTTTTGCACAAGTCGAGTGAGTGCGGAACCAAAAATTATTGGCTGGGGCGATGAGGGAAAGATGAAAGATAGGCGAATAGACGGAAAACATTGTTCATCATCTTCTATCGCCTTCTCGAAGCCAAGAAAGAGTGCTCGGCGTTTTTTTTTTTCGACATGCCACTGGCAGGCAACAATGTCATGTGTCGAGTTCTTCTGTATCGGAAAAACATCGGAATCTCTCCGGCGAGCCCGCTCTTTGTGAGAAGCTCGTAGCGCTTTTAGGCACCTCCTACCCGCAAACACGCTGCCAGCATCGACGGCAGTCAGTCAGTCCGTCAGTCAGCTCAAATCTGAAAACCGAACACTCGTTATTTCGCTTCCGATTTTTTTGTTTTGCTTCTGAAAAAACGCATAGAAAACGTATAAAACATCGAGTTTACGATCAAACGAACCCACATAACTAACACATGTTTGCATTTTTCAACCCAACTTGCTTCACTTTCACAAAATATTCCTTGTGGCGATATGTCGTTACAGTATGTTATTGTAATTCAATACCAGATTTTTAGCAATTTCAGCAGCTTCAGAATGACGTACGAGACGATTTCGGTTCGCATGAACCGTTCGGATCGCAACATTCGATGGGGATTTTCCGTAAGACAACAAGCCGATGGGCTCATCATCGATAGGGTAAGTCGGATTGAGGAATCTCGAGATTGTCGCCGATCAAATACTTTTCAAAGTTCAAGCGATTGTTTCAAATAATGTCGGGTGTAAAAAAAAATAAGAGATAGACAGAATATCATATTACGAGGTAAAAGAAGCAACAACAACAACACGCAACGAAATGTTTGTTAACATTATTTCGAAAATTATCACATTGAAAAATAACTTAACTTTAATTTATATTGAATATGGAATAAATTTGATGGAAATTATGTCAAAAAGATATTTTGCAAATATTCACATATGATATTGGAGTATGCAGATTTTTCTTGCATTTCTTTCTTTTTTTTCGACGTTTGCTAGAATCAGTTGATCGTTTAAAAATAAACGAATTTATCAAAAAGCTGCTCATTTTGCTCGTTCAACCTTTGACTCCTCATTTCTCTAGTGCTCTCATTCTTCTACCATTCGTTCCGTCGCATCCTCCCACACGAAATGAACACTACAAAACACTAAGGATAGAGGCTGACACGATTGAGTAGAATGACGAAACCAATCGAGCTGAGCAAAAAATAGCTCACAATACGAAATGATGAAAAATGTAGACGCATTTTAGTTTTGCAGGTTGAACCGGATTCGCTTTCCGACAAAGCCGGAGTCAAACACAATGATAAAGTGGAGCAGGTAACAATTAGTTGAAACTGGAAACAAATGGGCAGTTCGACAGATCAATGGAAGAAGCACCCGTGGTCTTGACGCGAATACCGCAAATCGAATGATCGATGATTCGTTCAACGAGGTTCGACTTTCTCTTCAAAGGTACAATAAAATAGTGGAAATATTTGGAAATTAATAACAAATAAATGAAGATTTGTCACATCTCACACCTGCCTTCCATGGACTTTGAGTGAGAAGGACAACAAAATGGTTGTCGAAGAGATCAAACCAGGATTCGGAAGTGGATTCGGTGGAACTACCCATTTCAATCAGGTTCGAATCGGAAGTTTGAGATTAGTTGAATGAAGATGATCAATCATTCAGAACAGCAACTTCCATAGCCAAAATCAGTATCAACACCAGCAACAACAACAATACCAACCAACTTATGGTGGAGGTCATAGCCCAAGTGGCTTCGGTGCTCATAACGGCTATTCTCAATCGAATCAACACCATCAACAAAGGTGGGAAGACGCGATTGGGTACCCATAAGCAATTGACAAAATTTAGAATGCACAACTTGTATGTAGTGATTATAATGAATCGATTTTGCATAGCATTTTGAGTATTCATCAACACATTTTTGTGAATTTCCAGCAATCATTCCTCATTCCATGAGAAGGTCGTCCCTGTGCAACGGGCTCCGTTCACGAGCAATTATTCGAATGGCAATCAACACGTTTCATCGACAACTAATTACATTAGTCCACCGCGTGAAAACTACAATTCCACTCCGGCAGCGTTCGGAAATAGTAACGGATATTCTGGAAATCGACTTTCGCCGGCTCCTCCAACATCCTACAGGTTTCGCATTTTAAAAATGTTTGCTTTATTGATCAATTTCAGCTACAACAATGGAGCAACGCTGCAATCGTATGGAAATGGAGCTGGAGGAACTCCACTCAACCAAATGACATTTATTAGCACCTCGCCAACCCCTGGATCTTATGGGCATGGTGCAGCTGGTGGGCTTTCGCCAGGCAAATCCCTCTATCATTCGCCAAGCACCAGAACTCGCAATGACTTATCACCAGGAGCATCGGTTCACGTAAGTGATGATTAGAAATTGGAAAACAACTAAACTATTTTTTTTCTGAATTCAAATAATGAATTTCAGCATCTTCAATACAACTCTCCAATGAATTTGTATTCTTCACAAGCTTGTGCTGAGCAATATGCGATGCAAACTGGCCAACAACTTGAGTAATTGCCTTCTTCATTTTCAACATTTTTCATTTCATTTTTAGCGGTCAAATTCCTCAAGGCAAGACTCCGGCATATTTGACATCTGAAACGAAAAAAGCGAGTTGAAATCATTTCTTTTTGTGTTTCGATTGAAAATCGTGATTTCAGTTGATCGAGGAGGAAGCACGCGGTAGATCAACACGTGGAAAGTCGCCGTCAAGCCAAAGCTCGTGTTTCAAGAGAATTGCTCATGCCGTTGGAGCAGACGCTTGAATAATATAATTTTTTTCTATTAAACATTTAAGAACGCTTTGAATTTTATTTGAAAAGCTCCGCTAGTTCAAACCAATATACATATATAAAATATTCAATTTTCAAATACACTTTTTTTTTTCATAAAATGTTTTTAAAAATTTTAAGACAAAACAAAATTAGCAAAATTGTTTTCAATGAATGAAGGGATTTCACAAATCAGTTTGATTTCGACAACATGAAAAAAAAATGAATGATTATTCTCTGAGCTTCAAATATAACTTAGTGGTTTCAGGTCCCAAAACCTCTCGTCCAATTAGTTTCGGCGGAATCTGAAATTATTTCCAAATTCTCTCAGAACATTTCTATTGTCGAAGACAGATGACTTCCGGGGAGTGGATGGGCGGAGCCTAGCAATTTTTGACAATCAAACATACGCAAAGCTACCGTATACATCAAAGGCGCATGAAAAATTGTTTCTTAATTTCGAAACAAAACTGAAATGTGTCTTTGCATATCCGACAATTGGGTGACTACGACAATAGTATTCAATTATACTTACTGTCGTTTCAGGCCCAGTTGTTAATGTGAATGTTCTGAGCATATGAGCTGTCAGGACTTTAATCTCAAAATATGCCAGCCGCATTCCGATGCAAATTCTTTTTCCGATTCCGAACGGCACATACGAAGGATTCGTCATAAACGATTCCTCTTTTTCCCATCTGAAAAAAAATGAACATCAATGGGAAAAAGTGTGAGGAATACCGTTCTGGTTTGAATTCGTCGGCGTCGTCTCCCCATATTGTCTTATCATAATGGAGAGACATCGAATCGGCAATGACTTCGACGCCCTCCTCGATCGGAATTCCTCCAATGACTGTCGCTTTCATGCATTTTCTCGATGGTCCTCTGAAATCGATTTCAAATGAAAGCTGCGATTTTTTCAACCTACGATGCTGCAGTTGGATACAAGCGAAGAGTTTCGCGAATCACAAAGTCTAAATAGTGAAGGTTCGAGAGTTGCTCATAAGTCAAATCCTGGAAAAAAACGCCGTCTCAATATGAGAATATAAATTTTTTGTTTGGAATTACCGCTGAAACACACTCGCGATCAATTTCCTCTAGGGCCTTCTTTTGTGCTTCTGGATGAGTTGCGAGGCAGTATGAGACGAGAGTGGCGGTGAAGGAAATAGTGTCGAATCCAGCGACAAGGAACAATGCGCTCATTGCAATGATCTCGTCGGTATTCAATTTGCGATCAAGCTTAAATCAAATTTTCGATTGGAACTCATCGAAATTCCAACTTTATTCGTTAATCCGGTCTCCTCCGTCTTGAAATCTGCGCGATAATCCAAATACGTATCAATGAAATCGTTGTGGACGTGATTTTCAACACCATTCTTCTCGTCCATTTCTCGTTGCACAATTCGCTGACGAACCGCTTTATCGCACACTCGCAACAAGTTAACCAGAGCAGTTCCGCCGAACAATTTTGGGAACGCCGTGAACATGTAGCGGAGAAATCGAGAAAATCTTGGAAACGATCCAATAATTGTGAACAGAAGCCAATCATCGTTGTGGAAAAATTCGTGAGCACTTTTGCTCAATGGGTTCTGGAATAATTTCGACTCTTGCTATCCCATTGAAATTCGCATAATCACATCAAATGTGAATTCTTTATATGCCCTGAAAATGTGGAATTCAAATGACAACGAAAGTGCCTACAATTGAATATCTGTCGCCTCATTTCCGTTCAGTCTCGCCACCAATATCTCGACTAATTTTTTCGCACTGTCGTCCATTTGTGGCATTACGTTTTTTATGTTGTTGGAGCTAAACGAGAGGCTTGCAACAGCGCGAAGTCGTCGCCAGCGAGGTCCGCGAGCCGAGAACACGTGCACACGAGTATCGTTTTCCGGGTCCACTTGCAACTTGTTCATCCGTCTACTGTAGAAGTTGTCGAATTGCTTTACGAACACTTCATTGACAAGTTCAGGCTCCGAAATCACCAACAATTTGGTTTGCCCCTCGGTGATTCCATAAATTTTTCCGTATTTCTATAAATCGCATTGTTTGAACTCGACGAGCAATTTCAAACTTTTGTCCATGTTTGGAGTTTCAGAAGAATCGAATCCTGCACTTTCATGGTATCCAAGAATGATCCGATCACCGGATATCCCCATGGTCCAGGAATGCCTCGAAGTTTCCAATACAGCCAGTTGTATAGGTAATAGCTAAATGTTGGATCGAATCCTCCGGATATCCAATTTCTTACCTGGCGATTCCAATGAGAGCGGTCACAGTGATTGTCGTCGACAGGATCATCGTTTCGAATGATGTTCAACTATAACACCTTATTTATAGTAATTGCAATCCAGACAAATGAACATTTCATCACCCCGACTAAAGACTGATAGTTTTTTTTGTCTGTCTGGCCATCGGCAATACCATCGAGGAAAAACTTCTTACGATCTCCCGTATACCGTAGTCTGCTTGGAGACCGAAAGAGAAATCACGTGAATCAAAAATTGATAAAATATCAAAGTTCCGTTATTGTTAAACAAACGTAGATCGAAGGAAAAAGAGATCGAAATTGAAAAATTTTGGTTTTTTCATTTTGTTAATCAATTGTTCAAAGCAAAATAAATATCCTATGTCGGCGTCAAACGACTGAACGAAATTTAAATATTGATTGGCTAATTGCTAGGTGTTTCGAGGTGAAGAGATGAACGCGTGTTTGCGTACTCTGCATTTTAGCGTATAGTCGGCGTCTGGCGACTGCTGTACGCGGGTAGATTTACGGCGATGCGTCTTTCTCTTGGTCTCCCATAGACTAACTGGTTATTTCGTATTTTATGGACCGGTTCGATAATTTTTTAATTGAATGAAATACGAAACTCATCGAGAATAATGAAGCAGTTCACGCGAAAACAGCGAAATAAGCGTTCACACATGGCGAGACCTTTTCAAGGCGCATGCGCGTAAATCTACCCGCGTACAGCAGTCGCCGGACGCCGACTATAAATGCGTGGAACAAACAGACACGGTATCCAATATATAAAACATATTTCATGGTGAATCAAAAATTGACAAGTTCTATGAAAATCATTTTTGTCCGTATAGCGTAGATCTAAAATTTCGTAGATCACCACCGATATGTCGTTTGACGCCGACAATATTTATACTCAGCGACTCGAAAAGGCCGAACCGCGGTTGGTTGTGGTTTCAAAATTGTCGGGTTCCACGAGGGTTCCCAAAAACTTCCGCGGTTTTTAGTACGACACTCCATTCAAACATCGCCCTCAATTTAGCTTGTTCAATTTTTTCCACTGTTTGTTCCAAAATGTTCCGCCAAGAAGTTTCCGCTGTTCGTTCCGATCGAATTTCTGAAATATAATAATTTTCGAAAAATAATCATTGGTTGAAATCTTCTTTTATGACAATAGAGAGTCCTGGTGTTTGAATGTGAATTTTTGGAGATGATCATGAAGTATTCAGACAATGAATCGATTTCTTTAAAACTATTCAATTTTGAATCAATGATTAACCGAAATAAAAAAATTGGTATTAAAATTAAATCGACGCTCGTGTGACCCAACTCTACAGTATTCAGTCTGTTTCCGAATAAAATTGTCAACCACAAGCAATCGCCACAAATTCAAATTCATTTTCGGTATTATGAGTCTGAAATCGATTAATTCCATTTAAAAGAAGAAACCCGCAATCGGTGATTTTTTTTAAAGAATATGATGAGTTTTCGAACTTCCAAATATTTGTTGGATACAGTAATATCGTTCGCTCCGCCTTCCTCCAGTCGTTTGGCGCCGCCAATGTCAAAATATACTGGTTTCGCTTTTATGTGGTCGTTGATTTCAATATCTCACGTAGAACGTTCAAAAGTTTCTGTCGTCTGCCCAGTATTCGATGAGTCTTGATGAACGATACCGAATGATAAGTCAGACCGCTTAACGTGTTGAAAAAATGCGGAAAAATTTACAAATGAAATTATTCAAGAAGCAACTAATTTCATTCTTGTTCAACGTTTGATTGAAAAAAAAACAAGGCGAGCCTGTTATTAAAAATCGAATTATTAATGCATAATATAGTCGGCGTCCGGCGACTGCTGTACGCGGGTAGATTTACGCGCATGCCCCTTGAAAAGGTCTCGCCACGCGTGAATGCTTATTTTGCTGTTTTCACGTGAACTGCTTCATTTTTCTTGGTGAGTTTCGCATTTCCTTGGATTTCCAACGATATTCGATTAAAAAATTATCGAACCGGTTCATAAAATTTGAAATAACCTGTTAGTCCGTGCAAGACCATTTCGAAAGACGCATTCCCGTAAATCTACAACAGTCGCGGGACGCCGACTATATAATATTTTAAAACGATGCATCTATTAAAAAATATATTATTCATTAAAATTCAAATTCGAATTTTTCCTGAAAAGACACTCATGGATTCAGCGTTTATTGTAAAGAATTTGAAGCAAAATTAAAGTGGGTTCTTATCAGTTCAACCAGTGATGATGACAAATTCAACATAACCAAAAATGTGTCGATTTTTTGATTTGTGTTCGAAAGTTGATTGAATATTATGTATTAGAGATATCGAAAAAATATAAAAACCGTTCGAGTCTCGCAAAAATTGCTTCATTCCAAATGGCTCTTCTGTTTCTTCTTGCAATCACCGCATCCATTGGTGTTATCACTTATTACCTTTTCGCATGGACTTACTGGTATCGACGAGGCATTCCTGGTCCGTTGGGACTCCCATTTCTTGGATGTCTACCTCAGATGTTCAATAAGGTGTCTCCTGCGATTCTTAAAATACAGAAATGGACAAAGGTATGTGCGACGTCTGATTGTTGATTTACGAGCATCTCTTATCAAAAAGTTGAATTCCAGAAATATGGTCGTGTATACGGTTTCACAGAAGGGCCATCAAGAACATTGGTAATCAGCGATCCCGAATTGGCCAACGAAGTGTTCGTCAAGCAGTTTGACAATTTCAATGCCAGAAAATTGAATGCCTTTCAAGGAGATCCGGACGATGAACCCCAAACTCATTTGTTCGAAGCCCGCGGTTTTCGATGGAAGCGCCTGCGGAATATAACAAGTCCAAGTTTTTCGAATTCAAGTCTTAGAAAGGTTTTTTAAAGTTGAAGTCTTTCATATACAGAAATTCTGTTTTTTAAGGTTATGGCTAAAATTCATTTGAGTGCCGATGAGTTGATGAAGCATTTAGAAGACAAATGGAAATGTGGGAAATCTGTCGATATTTCAAAGTATGAAATGAACATAGAAGAGAAAAAACTATTAATAAATATTGTTGAAGTCAAACGACTGGACGAAATTTAAAAATTATTGCCTATGTACCAATGCGTATCGAGGCAGCGAGAAGTACGCGAAAGTGCGTACCTTGCATTTAAGCGTACGAGCTTTTAATATTCAGTCAACGAAAAATTTAAATCTACACTGATTTCGCGAATTTGAAGACAAAATAGAAAACTTCAACGCAGAAGAAAAGAAAATCAATTATTATTCCTTTTTTTGCATTTTCATTTTTTTTTGAATTAATTGTTTTCTTTTCAGATTCTATCAAGAATACACGATGGAGCTGATTTGTCGTGTTGCAATTGGGCAAATCGAATCAAAAATGTTCAATAACCCGCTGATTGAGAATATTCATAAGGTTTTTCCCAGCGTTTCCACCATTGTGAATGTCTTGCTGATTTTCCAGTTATTCTCCTCTCAAATTCCATTCATTTTCTGCGGAACATTTCCACATTTGGCGAATTTCGCTCGAATTGCTTGTCTCGTTTTTCGCAAACAATTCGGATTGGAATCTTTCTTCGAAATAACCAATTTAAGTACAAAAGCAATCAACGATCGGATAGATTCACGCAAAGAAAATGAGCAGAATGGAATTAAATATGAAGTTTTTTGTTTTATTTGTCTCAATTTTGAATTCGAATTATTCAATTTAGGGTCCCAACGACTTTATCGATTTGTTCTTAGACGCAAAAGTCGATGAAAATCTTTGGAAAAATGAAACAGGCTCAACATTCTCGTCTAAAAATTCAACAAAAGTGGGTCTTAAATGGAAATTCAAAATCGGTTATATTCGATTTTTTTAGATTGAGAAAAAACTATCAATTGACGAAATAGTTGCCCAATGCGTTCTGTTTCTAACCGCTGGATTCGACACAACGAGCACGTCGCTTTCATTCGTCACCTACTTCATTGCGAAACATCAAGATGTTCAAGAAAAACTTTTCAACGAAATTGCCGAAAATTGTCCAAATATGGTTAGTTCATTTTGAATAATTGATGTTGCAAAAAAAAACACATTTGAGCATTCCTCGAAAATGCAATAAATTGTAGGAATTTTCTTTCGACAATCTGGCAAAGTTGAAGTATATGGAATGTGTGATCGATGAAACACTGAGGTTGTACCCATTCGCGACTGCGTACGAACACCAAATTATTGATATTACTCAAATGAAATAAAAAACCATATTTAGAGCCTATAGTCGAAAATGTACAAATTCGACAAAAATTGGAAATATCGATATTGAAGAGGGCACGAATATTCTTGTTGATGTCATCACAATGCACACTGATGAGGATATTTGGGGTCCCGACGCGAAGCAATTCAATCCTGAAAGGTATTGTCGGGAAATATACGCGTTGCGGCTCGCGTGCGGTCCGCGATTTCCCAATATTTAATTTCCCTTCGGAAATAGGCCCCGAATTATCATTTTTAGAAATCATTGATTATTATGAACCAGAACACGTTCTCTCACGCGAATCGACCGTGAAAAACGATGTCTCAACGACCGATTTTTATTGAGAAACAAACGATTTCCCCTTCTTCATTATTATTTTTAGTTTTTATAATTTGCTTTTCAGATTCGAAAATCGAAAAGATATTCCTCGAGGAGCCTATATTCCGTTTGGAGCCGGTCCGCGAATTTGCGTCGGAATGCGATTGTCGATTCTCGAACAAAAACTATTATTGGCAGCAATACTAAACCGATACAAAATCAAACTTTGCGAAGAAACGGAGGTGAAAATGCGATGAATATTTAAAAAAAAAGGTTAGTTTTAGGATCCGATTGTATTAGAAGGATCGTTTACTGCAAAACCGAGGACAATGGTTGTAAAATTGGAGAAAAGACGAAACGAAACATCTGATTAATTTTGAAAATTGAAAGCAACTTTTTAAATTCTCAAATATTCCATGAAAAATAAATAATATTAAAATTTCCGGATTATATTTCCGTCTCAAAAAAAAACGACAGCCCTCGTGTGTTTTCAGTGAATATCGGGAAGTTTTGATCACATCTATGCCGCCAGGAAACACAAAAATTTGATTTTGATGCAATCTTGATTCATCTTTATGTTGAATTTTTGGACACGAATTATCTATGATCGGATGAATTGTTCAATTGAGAACCTGAACCCCGCATATTTTGTTCGCTAGGATCACAACTTGTATTGCGACAAGCTAAATGTTCGATAAACTCGATATACTATAATTGTGCTCCACAAAACGAAATATTCTGAAGGCTGTAGAAGAAATCAAACATGGGGCATTGGAAGAACTGAAAGTACGTCGCTAATCCTGTTCCTTCACACAATCTTATCGTCCCCTCGGGGACTGGGCCGTGCTCAGCAGCAGTGCAACGCTGAGACGACCCTCGGAAGGTCGGAGCAAGCCCCGAGTCCTTCCAGAGTTCCAAAAATCAGATAACCTATATTACAATCATTCGATTGTATACCGTAGGTTAATACGATAAGAACAGATACTACACTTTGATCTTAGCTATTAAGCCGAGAAGCGATGCCCTCCACTCGGCCACTCGCCTCTCATGCATTCCCATCTGCCGACATTCACGCGGGCCAAACCAAACACTACTTGGTAATAGAAAACAGACGACGAGAGAGTTCGTGCAGCAAATGTGGACGATTGCGCAGGTGTTTTCAAGAAAGAATAATCCTCGTTCATTAAAATGTGATATTTTCGTAAGAAAATTTAACTAGAACAATACTGCAGAGCAAATAAAACTCTTATTTAAAAAAAATGAATTTCGTAACCCTCTTTAAATAAAAATATTCAAATGTTTGCAAGGAAATCGCAAAAATATAACGTACCTGCGAATCACATATAGCGAATCATACGACAAATTACAGAAAATTAATTACTACATAAAATAATTTACATTAAAGAACAGCCAAGCGATTCACTTCCATAAAATTAAATCGGCAAAAAATGGTGAATCTTAAAGAAGAAAACCTTCAAAAGGGCGGGTTGCGTTCGTTTTTGTCTGTATGCACACTGGCGCAATTTCGCACAAATTTCATTTAACACCTATCGATTCTTTTTAAAGTTTCATTTGTAAAAAAATGTCCTGGTCGAATGAAAAAAATAATTTTGTACGCAAATCATAAAATCTCACGTCAAAATTTTAAAAATTAGTTATCGATTTTTCGAAAAAAATTCGAAAAATTGAAAAATGCGCGCGCAGTTAAAAAAAATTCAAATCTAAATTTTATTCGTTCACATTTGAATTCCTCGAAAAGAATAAGTGTACATGGAAAGAAACAATCAAGAGTTCAACGAAAGCAAATCAAGATAATCTAGAAGATCATTTCTCAATTTTCGCCGCCCACCTGTCCATAAAATGGCATACATTCAGGAATTATTTGAGAAGATCAAAAACGTCTTCTCTCAAATATTTGAAGCTTCGATTCGAAATAGCTATAGAAGCAACTGTATGAAATTGCAATTCGTCCCGTTTGCATTTTATCGAAAACGCGATAAATTCTATTCGAAAATGCGATCAATGGCGAAAAAACCGCATATTCTTTCAATTTATATTACTATTATTCTATTAAGTTTTTTCATTTTTCTAAATTTCAACACGATTTATATGTATGTGATATTTCAAGATGTTTTTTTTTTCCAAAAGTGGAAGCTTCCGGAAGATTTCTAAAATCTCGTCCTCTTCCAAATGATCTTCATGCATTCATCACTTCATCATATTACTATCCGACTTCCAAAAGGTTCCCAGATTGGAATTGATTGGTCCCATCAAACTCATGGGCTCATTTTTGCAGTCTCGGAAACAATTCAATAGGGCTGGTGTTCCTAATGAACTTCGAGGAAGATCCAGAGATCAAACGAGGCTTCTTCGAAAAACTCAACAAAGTCGAGCATCATCAAATTCGAATTTTGGCTGAAAATGAGTCCGATAGCGTTGAAGTGACAACTGACTATCAAATGTGAGAATCTCTCGAATATTCGAATTCGCTTTGAGACCTTCCTTACGTTCAGCGTCACCGTGCACAGGGTATGTCGAATGATTCCCATATTTGTGACGGCCACACTTCTTCCGAATATGAAAAATTTGTATGTTGTTGGCGACACTGGAAAGACGCAGGTTTGTCGAAAATTGTCCGCAGCACACATAATTGATATTGCAGATCCCGTTCACACCGGTCTCATATGAGAAGAAGGATGTGGTCGTGTGCATTTCTCCGCTGTTCCTCAACGAAAACTGGCAAATGTTTTTATTGGCAATGCATACCTATAAAAGGTAGTCCGAATCACACGCGACCCGAAATTATTGTGCTACAGATATGGCGCTTTTGTCAATCTATACATGTCGAGTGCAATTTCCACTGTTTATGATTTGATCAAATTATATGAGAATGAGGTATGAAGGTGGGAGTTTGTCGTAAATACTCAACATTTGTTCAGGGCTACCTTCGAATCCAGCCTTGGGTTCAAGCCAAGTTTCCCGGTGTTCCTGATGAGATGTTGGATTCCTATGCGCAAACCGAGTTCAGGAATCAGGCTGGAGCTCAAACGGATTGCATTCTTCAGTTCAAGGTGCACAATTGTTGGAATTGTCCCACAGCAATCCTTTGTGATTCTAGGAGTCCTCGAAATTCGTCGCCCTTCTTGATCTCGACGATATTCTGATTCCCAAATTGGCTCCAACCTACTTCGAGGAATTCACACGAGTGATGCGCGAATTTCCGGCAACCAATTATATGCATTACAAAAAAATTAATTATCAAACTCAAACCGGTAATTAATTAATTATTTAATAGCTAAAATGATGAGAATTGCGCAGCACTTAATCCATTAAATTATGACATCGATGGAATGTTCCGAAATCTCGAATATGTTGGAACGGTCGGTTTTCGAAGACGTTCGAACTTCTGAAATTTGACGATTTCAGATCGAAACCCCTAAAATGATCGTTCCAACGGACCAATTACATCATACGTGGATTCATTGGACCACGAATCCTGGTCATGTGAAGACTGTTGTTAAAAATAATGCAATAACTCATTTCAAGAAAGTTGAAGTGGTCGGTTGATCTTCAAAATATTCCAAAAAAAAATATGATTCAGGTCGATCATCCAAAAAAATCGAATGTTTCTGCTCCGCTTTATTGGAATAAAAATGACGAATTTATAATGAAAGAGGAGGATTTGTTGGCGATTCAAGAAGATTATGAACGGTTTCTTTTCAACAATGTGTTTCTTTTTTCGAAATTCCAGATTTTCAGAATGGCTTCTCGAGACGACGTGGCGGACATTTTGGGCACCGTCGAGAACGATCAGTTTTACGCGAAAATCATTTCAAAGTGCTGGAAAACGGGATTTTATAAGCGCATTTATTACGATAAGGACACACCGTGTCCGGGAACTCAATTGTGCACGGTGAGCGATCGATTCGGGACTTTTTCAAGCAACAACATCCATTCTTTCAGTACCCGCAACGAATGAATTATATGTGTATGCGACATGACGCAAAAATTCAGAAGAGAGAACGACAGTACCCGATCACGTTTTATTTTGCCGAAGATGTCACTTTTTCGACGGCCAACGGATGCATTCCATAGCTCGATTCGATTGTATCACATCCATAAAATTATTGATCTCTTGATTTTGATGCAATCGAATTTCGTTCTTCTATTCAATTTTATCTCATCTGACGGATCATGCATTTGAGAACATGAATGCATCTTTTGTTGTAGGATCAAAATTTGCTTTGCAACAAGATATTATTGGCTGGAAACGACTAAACGAAATTAAAAAAAAATATTGGATGCCTGGTGTTTCGCGACGAAGAAGCGAACGTCACACATTTGATATATAGTGGCGCGTGGAACTAGAAATTCGTAGATCTACATAGATTTTCTGGAAATTGAATTTTCCTGCCAACGATCAGTCATCGCAATAGAATTGTTTGGTTGTCCCCTCGGGGACTGGGCCGTGCTCAGCAGCAGTGCAACGCTGAGACGACCCTCGGAAGGTCGGAGCAAGCCCCGAGTCCTTCCAGAGTTCCAAAAATCAGATAACCTATATTACAATCATTCGATTGTATACCGTAGGTTAATACGATAAGAACAGATACTACACTTTGATCTTAGCTATTAAGCCGAGAAGCGATGCCGTCTACTCGGCCACTCGCCTCTCATGCATTCCCATCTGCCGACATTCACGCGGGCAACCAGACCCCATATATGGGCGCATGCTGTACAGAGAACGTAGAGAAGTAGTGGAGGTCGCACGAGGGCTGCGCATTTTTCGAAATTTTCGAAATAAAGAATTGAAATCATTTTTGGCATAAAATTTTTCGTAAAACAAAAAAAAATTATTTTTTAGACAATCTGTGTCTTTTATTAGACGTTTTCGATACGAATATTTCGAGAGTGTTTTTCCCAAATCTGCATAGTAGCAAACGCAATTGTAAAAAATTGACATCATTGCGGATTATTTGAAGTTATCTCCCCTCTAATTAAGTCACCGCTAAATTCAAATTTCACTGATTTCGCGTCGGACGACGATCAATGAATAAATGATATCGGATAAATCCGCTTTATTAAATTTACTGTGAGAAACAACTCAAGTTGGAGGACCTTCAAACAATTTTTTTGTAAATCCGTGGTAAAAAAAACTCGTAGGAATTAATAATCGTAGAATCTTGATTATTCGAATCATTCCAAATAAATATCCTCGGTTGGATGCGCAAACGCCATATATTCATCATACGACCGTTTGAATGCTCGTCTGCAATATTTCATCGGTTTTAGAATGAACATTGTTCGCCTACCCAATAGCTTCCACAATCGGTTGAGTCGAGTTTTTCGACATGAACACATGGCACGCAAATCTGGGTAGAAGTGGATGTTTAGTGATAAATCCAAAATACCTAAACGGCGAATTCTCAATCATTTCTCATTATTTTGTGCGAGAATTACTTTAATTGTTTTGGGTGTGCTCCACAAAACGAAATATTCTGAAGGCTGTAGAAGAAATCGAACATGGGGCATTGGAAGAACTGAAAGTACGTCGCTAATCCCGTTCCTTCACACAATCTTATCGTCCCCTCGGGGACTGGGCCGTGCTCAGCAGCAGTGCAACGCTGAGACGACCCTCGGAAGGTCGGAGCAAGCCCCGAGTCCTTCCAGAGTTCCAAAAATCAGATAACCTATATTACAATCATTCGATTGTATACCGTAGGTTAATACGATAAGAACAGATACTACACTTTGATCTTAGCTATTAAGCCGAGAAGCGATGCCCTCCACTCGGCCACTCGCCTCTCATGCATTCCCATCTGCCGACATCCACGCGGGCCAATCCAAACACTCATTTGTAATAGAAAACAGACGACGAGAGAGTTCGTGCAGCAAATGTGGACAACCGAACAGAATTGAATTTCGCAATAAAACGCTTACATTCTTTCTGCGTTTGTCGATCACGTGAATACCACGAAACGAAACTTCCATCAGGACAGTTTGGGGAACAATAATCTCCTCAGAATTTTTGTACATGGACAACACCTTTAAGAAAGTATATTTATTTATTTTGGGTGGTTAATAGGGCTACCTTGTTCATTGCCTGCACCAAAACATCATTTCCTTTATGATGAGCAACCTCAATGGAAGCTAACATCGTGAGGTAGAAAGTATCGCGATCATCATTAAGGATTTCTGAAATTTCCAGTATTTTATTTGAGTGAAAAGCCTATTTTCTTACTAGTAGCGTTAGTTGGCAATGCTCCAAGGCAAATCTCTTCGACCAAATCAATTTCGCAAACCACCGATGCCGGAAATATGCCAGTCATTCCTGTCCGCAGATTCGTTCCATACGACCAATGATCATCAGCCGTTCGATCCACGTGAACAGCGTCGCCAATTTCAAGAAGAAGCTCGTCAGAATGCCTCGGATGGAATGCAGATTGAACACGATGCGTCGGCGCCATGCTGTCCGAAGTAGTGCATGATGAGACACCAGAGGAATCGTCTGGAGAGAAGAACGCTGAAACATTCGGAGTTTCAAGAAATAAATGCAAAACTGAGGGCAGAAGGCAAAATAGTTGAAGCTCGATGATGAAAAAGTTCAGGAAAAAAAAAAGCCCGCCCTTGTCTCGTCCTTAAAGGTGTCGTACACACGGACGCAAAATTGCACACATTTAAATAATTTCAAAGACATGTCTATTCGTTAGTATTTTCTTGAAGAAATTAATAGTTTTGTAATCTGTGTCGATTCAATATTGCATTTTAATTAAAAATCAATAATTTTTGAAAGTTTAGAACAATTGAAAATTGGCGCGCATTTCAAAAAACCCCATGACAAAAAGCCAAAAACTTTTCTATTTTTTTTTTTGAAGCACGATAATATGCTTACATTTCCTTCCAGGTTTCCTCTTTCGATTCCCGTTGATTCCATCCTCTTCGTAATAAGAATCATCAAGTCCTATCGTACTTCGATCCATCATAGAATCGGCCATTCCTGGAAACAGAAATAATGAAAACTACTAAAAAAGATGTTCAAAATATAATTCTCATTTTTCGACAATTTGCGCCCTTTAAAATCCCTCTCAAAATTCTCAATTTCTGGGTTTTCAAGAAAAAAAAAAGGAGATGACGAAAATTGTTTCAAAAATATCAAATTTCGTCTCGCAAAAAAAGCAAAAGGATGGTTGTTTTTCTCAAACAATTAAGGAGTCAGTTGCAGAATAAACAGATTATTTCGGTGCTCCAGCAATTTAATTAAATCGAGTGTAAAACCAAAAAAAATGGCAGAAAGATAGAGCGAGAAAGAAAACGAGGAAATTGATGGATCCCAATTTCCGATGGACAAAACGAAAAAGCTTGTCGTCATGGCTACTGCCAATTTAGTACAAGTGGTGCGAGGGATACCCATTACAAATAGGAGACAATGGTTTGAGAGAAAAGCAAAGTCTTGCAATTTCTAGTTGACTTTGCTTTAATAATTGAAATCGAAAAATAAATAAAAATATATATAGCCGTAATGCAATAAGATTCCTCTAAAAATTCATACCGTCCATGAAGCATAGCGTGTGATCTTGCGGTTTCGGCGCTCCAGAAGGCAGTGACATATTCTGCGGAATTCTTCGTAGTAATGCGGCCGAATGTATCGGAAGTGGCGGTAGACGGCGTCCCGAAGATGATTGACCAGGCGACGGAAGGACGGCTGTAAATGTTATTGGTAGAATGAGAAAAAAAATAATAATTGCGGTTTCGTTTACAACGTTACGTTTCAAGAACCAATTATCGCACATTTTTTTCTTTTTTTTGGTTGACCAAAAAAGGAGAAGCAAAATCGAGAACAGCTGTGCTAGCGGGCTTATTCATTTCTAATAGAATTCGCCGTTGCGCGCGTGCACTTTTCCGAATGACAATGACATCGAGACTTATGAACGTCGTAGAAAGTGGGAATATGAAGAAAGAGAAGAGAGAAAGAGAGAGAGAGAGCCATATTCGGATATAATTACAAATATGGAAAGCTAAAGGAAGGGGTTATTACGACGACAAGGGATTTAAGCTCGCCTCTCTCTGTTTGTTGTTTATGTTTGCCGACCGCTTCGTTGTAGTCAAGAATCTCAGAAATTGCTATTTTTGGAGGCTTTTTTTTGAAAAATTTCATTTTGCGGGCTATTTTGGTTAATGCGAAGGAGTACAAAAAATGTCGAATTTTTCGAAATCAATTTTGCCAAAAAATTGTTTGGAAATTCAGAGAAAATTATTATCAGCGTCGCGCCAAATAATATCATAAAAACGCAAACCGAAGATCTAATTTTTTCGACATTAAACCACCAAATCGATTTATAAAAACAATTTTAAAACCCAATAAAAAAACAGGTTAATTTTTTTTTGAGAGACTAACATTTCCTTTATGTTTCAGAAACAACCAAAACACGTTTGAAACTTGATTTTGACCACAAAATTTTTTCCCAGTTTGGAAATTTGGAAATCACACAACCATTTCAAAACCTTTAACTTCCCACACCATAAAATGAGCAAAGAGAAGAAGAAGAAGAAGCAACAAAACGCATAACATGTTCGCTAAGCCAAAACTATGGCTGGGGTGGAATCGATAAAAGGAGAAGAAAAAGAAGACGACGAGCACGAGAATGGAGGAAATGACAGCAGCGCTGAGTGGTGGCCTCAGCCGCTGCCGCCGTTGCCGTCCGGCAGTCTCATCAATGTTTAGGCAATCGTTGAGCAGCTTTCTGCCGCCATAGATGGACTGGTGTCCACAATGAAGAGATAACAAGGCTCATATGACGCGCGAAATGAGATTTTTTCTTGCCATCTGCGCGCGAATGGCCGTTTTTTTTTGGTTGAAAACTCGTAATAAGCGTTTGCGAATGGTGTTATTTGTCGGAAAAAATATCGAGCATCGAAATTTCGGCTAATTTTGGGCAACCGCTGCCTCTTTAAACGAGTTTCGCGACGGAGAAGACCGACAAACAATACGCTTAATGGATTCCATATATTCGATATTTCACTCAGTCTCATTCAGCTGTTTGAAAATTCTGGGCCCCACCCAGAATTCAACGTCCCCGAAGGAACAAATTTTTGTGTGGCAAGAAACGAAGTTATCAGTCAGAAGCTCTTCATCGCCGCCCAAATGGACGGCTAGAGCCTTCTGTCATCACTTAACTCCGGCCCTTCGCAAGGGCAATGCTCCCGACTCCCCTCCTACGGCCGCGCCGTCTTAATGGGAAAAGAAAACCCCCCAATATCTCCCACGCGGCCGCGCCGCCAATTTGGGGAACTCTACCAAGTTAAACTACATACCTGGGAGGTTCTCTTCCCCTTGGATCGCGCATCTCCTTCCTCCGCGAGATCGCTCCATAATCCGCGATCAGAATAATAGGCTTTTAATCCCGTTAGAAAGAAAAAAGAAAACTAAAAAACAACGTTTTTTAAAAACCTCCTAACGCCGCCGCTAGGTTACTGTCGCTCCGCGCCGCGAGAAATCCAAGCGGCATTACTGTGCCGGCCTTTAACTTCTCCCCCTGCGCCTCCTTTGCGCCCGTTGTCTTTCCCTCAGCGCGCGTTATCTCTACCCTTTGGCGCGCGCTCTCTCCGTTCACACACTCTCTCTCCGCGAGAGATATTATCGATTTCCCTCATTTTTTTCCTCCTTTTTCGTCGAATTCCCGCGGAATTTGACAAGCTGCACAATAGCGCCAAAAATAGAATTTGCTCAAATTCGACCAAATTTGCCTCCACAAACTCATTTCTTAATTTCATAGTTCGAAAAAACTATAGATAATGTATTTTTATTTTTTGTTTTTATTTTTCAATTTTAGATATTGTCTAATAAGAAGGACGAATGGGCAGCCCTTTAACTTTTTCTGATCTGATAGTGAGACATATTTTGGCATGCACCTTTAATTTTTTATCTTTTTTTAAAACTTTTCCTAATAGATCAAATTGAAAATAATTACAAGACCCTACCATTAGAATCTAACGCAAAAATGTGTGTTCCACTAAAATAACAATTTTATGAACAATGTCTTGGCATAGGCCGGTAGTTACAAACTAAAATTTTTTGCTATTTTTGGAATGTATCCGTTAGAGAGATGGGGGGGGGGGGTGGGATCATGGGGACGGCCTTTTCGAAGAATTCTATGGGAGCACGACATTGCTGTGAGCCAGAATTATCACTTGTCTCGAATTACGGTAGAGCTACGAAATATTGTCTGCGTCTCTATTTTTTAACACTGTCTCTATTCGCTAAACACAAAGTTTCGATTGTCACAATGTAATAAAAACCGTTCCGACTGAAAACGAATAATTTAAAATTTTAAAGGATGGGTGTCTGTTTTCCAACTTCTTACAAGGAGGAATCTGAGCGACGAAAGCCGCACAGATTCCTATGGTAAATATTGAAATATTAAAATTTTCAATAATGGTAAGAATGGTTTTAAAATATTTCCGTGAATTTTCAGAGAAAATTTGTCATTAAAACAGTTTTCTCACTTTTCAATTTCCATTTCTGGTCATTTCCACAAACATCAAAAATATCCGCAACAGTAAAAAAATATTCCATCCAAAAAGCTTCATTATTTTTGCGCCCGGGGGTTTCGAGAAAAAAAGAAAAAAAACTTCATGGGGGTCGTTTTCATATCACACTTAAATTAGACCCCGGACGGCCTCGAATTTTTACCTCATCGTTCAAATTCTCATAAACGGCTCTCAATATTTCATTATTCTCTTGAGCTCTACGAATTAAATTATACGACGACAGCCGACATGCATAAACAATTTCTCTCTTCCATTTTAAATAATTCTCTAATTTTCAAAAGAAACAAACCATGCGGTGAAATGGGCGTTTCCAATTGCTGATGATCGTGAGCACGCAAATTTGGCTCCATCGATTGTCTGAAAAAAAGAAGAAAAAATAAAAGAAAGATGAATGCAAAATAGTCGTGCGTCCGAATAGATTGTTCGTTTTCAATTATCTTTCGAATTCCCAAGTCAGTCACTTGTCAATTCGACTTTTTTTTCATCTTGTTCAAGTGGAATGAATGAATCATGCTTGATTTATAGCAAATGCGATCTAAATTGAATGAAGGTAATTTAAAAAAATGAAATCCCAAAGTGCATTTCTGATTTTAAAAATTGATTTGAAATATTCAAAAGTTTTGCCGCATCCAAAAAAAGTAAAAATAATTGAAGGAGGCTAACCCATCCCAGAAAACTAGAAGAATGAGCCCAAACCAGGCTCCAAAAACTCATTTCGAAGCCTCCACTCGAACTCAATACTATTTCGTTCGGTGCGCGCAATAGCGGCCAGCAGCACAAGCACATAACTCTTTTCCAGCGATTAATGAGTTGTCGAAAATGAGGGCATTCGTCGACGGACGCCAAGAGTACTTCTTTTGCATTTTGATTGAATGCCGCTTACCTATTATTCTCGATTATTGTGTCAATCGTGCTCTGAAGTGCTAAACTCGGCGGCCTCGGGCTCTTCGGAATTTTCGCATCAACCATCACACGATCCTCGTCAATTCGATGCTGATCGCGTAGAGTGAAATCGCGCGGCTCATTTCCGAATACGGCTCGCTCATACATCGATTTCGATTGCGGAATTTCCACTAAATCAAAATCAATTGTTTTTTTTTGCAATCTATCCCAAACAAAACAAAATCATTCCAAAAATATGAACTGCTATAAAAATGAATTTTTGCGAAAAACCTATTCGACAAGACCCGCTAACTGTCCGCAGCAATCATTTTCAAATACTCACCTGGCGCGCTCATCTCATCAGGCCTTCTCGGCAATCTCCTTCTTGTCCTTCTGAACTCATCAGTAGTGCATGATCGTCGCATTGCGCTCATTGACGAGCTCGTTTCAGCATTCGCCAATGATGAGTAGCTTCCTATAGTCGAAATCAAAATGAGTAATTTCTATAATTTACTGGAAGAGGAAGAGTCATCAATAACTATGAGCTACATATAATCCTAGTGTTTACGAATTTCATAGAATGGCCAATTCCAAGATTTTCACAAATTTCAGGGGAAGATGGCTGATTTGCAATGATTTTCAAGTATTTATGCAAAAAAAAAATGAAAATGACAAAAAAATTATTTGAATTTCTAACCTGGCAAATTTTGTGTGAAAACTATCTAATAAAATCGATTTAATATTCATTCGAATTTCGAATTTCAAACATCGCATCGAATGTTAAGCAGCTCACCATATTGCGACTGAATTCCATTGACGTGCACACCGCCATCAATCACTTCAGGATGAAGTCGATTCCTATACGGATCAGTGCGATCCGACATTCGTCCCAAGCTCACAATACTGCCTCGTTCCATCCAAGCCTGTCGAGTGGCCAGTGCTTTCCTAAATGAAGCGACTATTAGTCAAAAGAGAAGTGGAAATGACGACGACGTCGTCAAAAAAAAAAAACGGAATGTAGGGTCGTGGACGAGCTATAGAAATATTTGAACGCTTTGGAAATGAATTATAAATGGTGTTCTTCTTCTTCTGCTCTTTTCTCGCCATTCAATGTGTTTTTTTTTTCGCCGTTTTCCAGTAAAATGGGACCATTTTTAGAAATGCAAAGGATGGCAAATGAAAGCGAAGAACGGATTTGCATAGGAGATATAAGACAACAATAAATTTATTGGCTATCTTTCAAAAAAGAAGAAGAAGAAGAAGACGTCGACGTCGACGAAAACGAAGGGCGGAAATTAAATTGCCACGAAAACTAATTTTGAATATATAATCTTGGTTTAAAGGCGCATTAATCCCCTAGTACAGGTCGTCAAAAATATTTTCAACGGTGTAGAATTGAATATCAGGATTTAGAATTTTGAGAACTTGCAAATCCTAAAAGCACCGTTATTCTGTTTTCGTCTTGACGTACTGAAAATGAATCAAACAAATTCTGAATTAAAAATGTTGATAATCGGAAACATTTGAGGCTTGAAAATTCTTAGAACTATTAAACCCAACCCTTTTAAATAAGTAGTTTTCGCCTCGAGACCAAAATGATTGAATATCATTAGATAAGAAGCCAAAGCAGTAGAAGTCAAGACGACTAGAATAGAGTTAAACTACTCAAATCGTCATGAGACCCATATTTCTGCATAAAACGCTCATTTCAAATAAATCAATTGTGGCAAAAAGCATTGAACTCAACAGGGCATAAAAAATATTAAAATGATGTCGGTTCGTTGTGAGGAAGAAAAAAACACTAGCAACAAAAAATGGGTCTCGCGGGGATTCGAGAGTTTGATTTTCAGCGGACATATTCAAAAGAAAAAAACGACATGACATGTAGTGGCCCTCGATTGCCGTTCAACTCAATGCCAATATTTGTGCATAAAAATAAAAGCAATGTCGAAAGCCGGGTGCGCTGCGAAGAGATGAGTAAAATAGTTGCAAAGCGCAAAAAAAAAACGGGGCGATTGAATGAACTTGGCGTTGCCGCAGTGAAATTCCATTGGGGCAACTCCTCGCGCGAGTCTCAAACAAGAAGAAGAAGAAGAAGAAGCGGAAGGAAGAGAAAAAACAAGACACATATGTGCACATGGTCAATAAGTAACAAATTTATTGTATATGTTTCTCGAAATAAAGAAAAGAAAGTGTTGGTAATGAAATCAGGGTCCGCAGGTGAGAATGAATTGAATGGATTGCGTGACATTCAAGCGTTCCCATTCAGCCATTCTTTTTCCCAAACTACAATTCATAAAATAATGATTTCACTCAATCGTAATTTTTCTCGAAAACGCGATTTTGAAGCAAAGTTAATGCAGAATTTTTGAACTAAATTCATATATAAAAAATATTCAGCAGCATTAATTGCTTTAAGCAAATCTATGGTGAGTTGGCGTAACAAGTTGAAATGAATCTCACATAAGATCCATAAAAAAAGAGAGAGAGAGTGAGAAGATTAACAAGTTGCGAAGCTTCTGATCATTAATCGTGACTAGCAAATCTCTAATCTTCGCCAAATCCGCACGACGGCTCTGTTAACCCAACAATCAATCATGCAACGAAGTGGGAAAAAAATGGAGCCCTTGACAGCCAAGATTAAAAGTGCTGCTCTGCGCGAAAATTGAATGGTCGGGTATTTTTACGAGAAAAAAACGGGCGTGACGATTGATACGAATTAAATTAGAGCGAGGCAGGAGCCGTAATAAAAAATGTTGACGGTTTACGAAAGACATGCGCACAATATGAATATGTATGTGTGATAGGTGTCAACGACATATTTATACCCGTTTTTAATGTTTGCGGAAAATATATTGGAATAAATAAGATTATTATTCCAATTTGGTATCAAATGTTGCACATTTCGGTAGAGTTGGATTAAGCTAAAAATTCTACTATCCGAAACTTTCAATTTTAATAATTTTTTCTTCACAATGTTTTTAAAACTCAGGTAAATGAAAATCAATCGAATTCGAAGAAAAACTACCTGTTTTGATTTTAAAAAAATAATTAAAATTTGATTAAGAAAACGATTAAATTCGACTTGAAATCTTGGTTTCGATTCAAAAATCTTCGAAATCGATTGATTTATTTCTCATTCTCAATTTTGAAATCGTATTCGATTGAAATTTTGGAATAACTCGAAACAAATTAATTTCCATTCGATTTAGATTGAAAAAAAATTATTTTCGAATCCGATTGATTTTCATTTACCAGATAATGTGAATCATTTTGAAAAATCTTCAAAACAGTGATTAAAGGCACATTATCAGATATGACATTCAAAACGTAAGGTGGCGATTTCAAATTCGTGTCACACTTTTTTACTCAGGCTATTCCCATATAAAATTCTACGCGGAATCCAATTCAATTTCAAAAATCCAAACGAGAACCGACAAAAGAAAACATGCAATTACTTATGCGAGCCTACCTCTCAGCTTCATCTAATTGCGAATGCGCGGAGCCGGCGAGCGCGGCGCTCATTTCGTTTCCACGATAATCGCCAATTCGATCTGCTTCTTCCTCGGCGTCTGTCGTTGCCACAATATTGTATAGGTGCGAATGCGCCGATCTCGACGACGTAAGGACACGCTGAAGATAGTCCTCGTGGCCGCGGCTTATTTGAAATGTTGCGGATCGATGTACCCGTCCTTCAGTGTCCGTCCAGCACACACGAGCTTCACCTTCTTCCGGCCAAACCTACGAATAATCGCGTCAAATTATTTTTTATTTATAAACAGTTTTTTTTTAAATCGAATGCGTGAGAAAGTTGAAAAAAAGGTGATAAAGTGCTTCAAAAGTCATGCTTGTTTTCGAATCCAAAAGCAATACTCATTCTTCGGAGTATATTTTTGGAGATTGTTTTTTTAAGAACAACAAAATATTCGATTAAAGCATTTTAAATGAAAATCGAGCAGCAATAACCAGAATTTCTCAAACCGCCGACGAAAATTCCCACCTCCTCGTCTTTCCTTCTTCGTCTCCATTCCGAATCACCCTCATCCTCTTCATCGTCGTCTTCTTCATCTTCCGACGTTACGCTCGATCCGATGCTGAACGACGGAGGCAATGGATTGATATCGGCGACGTCCGACAGGAACGCGACGATGTCTGGCCGACGCGGCAGATTCATCGATTGCGATTGCGGAATGCGGACTGCAACAGAAACAAAATAACTCGGCGAAATTCGATACGCGGCGGGTAACGTGAAGCACTCGGATTACAAGTTAATTGTTTCACTAAATTGTCGTCTTTTTCTTAAGAATTCTTACATGAAGCTGGAGCGGGTTTCCCAAAAACTGGAGACAACGGTCGCGGCGGAGATGGCGAAGGTGCAGAGCCCGCCGAAGAAGGAAGTCGATACGAGCATATAGAAGGGTCATTGTCGGGCGTCTCAATAGCCGGATAACTATTCGAATAATTGGAAAGGTCCTGAAGTTCTCGGATTGCCGGGATCCGTACAGATTGCGGTGCATCCTGCCCTACAGCGGAGTCCTCCTCGAACAGATCGGGAGCTGACCAGGATTGCACTTAACACAATAAAATATTTTGCAAAACAATCGTGCGAAATTAAAGAATTCTCACAATTTTTTGGACTCTCTCTATCCACTTCCTCTTCTTCCAAAAAGAAATTCGGCGGCGACGACCAGCATCCGGAGCTTCGTTTATGCTCAAATTCCGTTGACTCATTATTGAATTGTAGTTCGGAATTCTCAGAGACACTCGGAGAATATCTGAGCGAATTTATTAGACGAATTTCAAAAATTCTCAATTTTACCGTATTATTGCCGATTTTTTCCGCTTTTTTCGCTTCCTTTCGTCATCATCTTCATCAGGATCCGGCCATTTCTCGTCAAGACTTGGAAGAAGATCGGCAACTGAGAATTCAGCTTCAACTGCCATGCTTTTTGTAGTAGATTCCATCATTTTTGATAACGAAATCTTCAGATATAAGAGAAAAATGAAGAAAATTGTTTTTGAATATACCTCGAAACTGGTTTTACTCGGTTTGATGCTAGCCGCCTCCAAATAATCTTTTCTTACCGCATACGCCGATTTCGATTTGATGATGCTGCGTAGACAAGGATGCACAAGAAACTCGGCGTCACTGTCACTGTCGTCGTCATCTAGCTCCTCACTGCTGAGCTCATTCGGAAGGCAATCAGCGGAAAACGCCTATAATGCGAATAATTGCTTGCGAAGCGTAAGGAAGTCGACGTGAATGCGATTATAGATGTTCTTCTCCGTCAGAAGTCTGCGCGTGGGAAACGAATATAATGTAATCGTATAGTGGTTTTTGACTTTTGACGTGAGATTTTCAAACCATATTTTTTTATTGCAAAGAGAATTATTAATATTTACACCTTAATTTCTACTTAAATTTCTGAAAAGTTTATATCATATTTATTTATTTTCATGAAAAATTTCCACAATTTTCACAAAAATCGAATAAAAAATAATGAGAATATGGTTTCAGTTTCCCTCAAAATCGGCATAATCTGAAACGACAAAAATTTGAAAAAAATGAACATAAGTTTTGATTCTACGAGCGTTGTTCAGCTGAGAAGAATGAAATTTGACTGGTCCGTAAAAGTCTGAAGAAGATCTTCGATCCCTTGGGACGTTTTTTTTTGCAGCTCGACCGGTGTGTACTAACGGAATAAACACAAAATGTGATTATGACGAAATTTCGAATAAAAAGAGACGATGGTGCCAATTAATTAAGCTCTAATTAGCTAGAAAATACTTATTACGTTCAGCTATAAAAAACATGAGAAATAGTAAGAAAATGTGAGAAAAATATGCTAGCTAAAAATATATAAAAGTTGTCTCGTGAAATGAAAGTAAGTGTGTAGATTTACGGGAAAAAATATGGATATATTAAAGGAGCAGACCTTTTGGCAGAGCCGCGAAAAATGAACAGACCAATGATATGACATTTGAAACTTCCCACTATTACTACATATTTGTATTTGTTTTATTATTTTTTCATTTTTCTTTTTATGATGTTTCTTTTTTATTCGTAATCAATTTTAATATCGATTTAAAATTCGAAGGTCTGAAAAAAAGGCAAGACGCAATTATAGCAAAAATTATCATATCACTTCTTTTCAACCGCAAAAAGTTATTGATGTTTTCTCATAAAATTTTTAGCAGAATAAACTAACCCTCTTGATAACTGTCGTGCAATCTTCTTCTTCTTCTTCCTCCTCCTCTTCATCGTCTTCATCATTCGATGAATTCAGATTACATCGATCAATAAACGCACTCATTTTCTGGAATTTAATTTGCGAGTAAATCGATAAAATGAAAAAAAGATTGTGTTAAGAAAAGAAAAGCGAAATGAAATGCGCAAATCGCGTTGGAGATTAAAATGAATGGATTAGAGTGAGTGGCAACGATGGGAGCTAGCAAGACCAAAAAAATAACAAGGAACACAAAAAACTAACGAATGAGACACCAAATTTGTTATTAATGGGCTTTTCAAACTTGTCTGAAATACCCTGGAAAAAAAGCAACCAAATTTCTGATGATGATCCGTATTAACTATATTTTTGAATAATATCGATGGCCTATAAAATTAAATTTCTTCTACAGCAGATGCTATTTTTTAAATATCGAATATTATTTATTTAAGAAAAAGGTTTTATCGGCATTAAACGTAGGTAAGAAATTTTTTTTAAAAATTGACAAAGTGTCTCGAGTCAATGAGAAGTGGACGTCAACCAACCCAAAAATAGATGGGACAGATTCGAATTACAGCTTTTTCGGAAAACGTCATCGACAAATTGCGAAGAAGACGTCGGCAAAACAGAATCGAAGCAGTGTTTACTTCATTTTTCAAAAAAAAAAATGTGTGAGCAGATTTTTTTTGGGCAGGATGTCGCGAGATTATGAAAAGAAGCCAAATTTACGAAATCAGCGATTTTCGCATGTTTTGAACGAAGCTTTACATGCACAAATTGCTCGCGGAGCAGGAAATTTTCGAATTTCATAACAATGAAAACGGAAATAATTGTCACGTGGATATGTCTGCGTCTCTCGGCATTTTTCATTAAACAAGATCGATAAAAATGCTTCAGCGGGGGATAATAAAACAGTGCCCAAAATTAAGAACGATGAGACGAATAATGAGCTCCAACCGGAACTCATGGCTATGTATTTTTGTGCTCGTCGACACGAAATCGAGCAAAAAAAGAAAAAAGAAGGAAGAAACAATTCCAAGACACACGCAATCGGATTTTTTGCCTATTTTGAAAGAAATTGAGGTCTAGCACGTTGTGTAAAATAAATTGAATTGATTAATCGCATTGGATTAGCATGTAAGAAATTAATTTATACGTGCTATTTATATAAATATGCATGCATGCCCGGAATTGAAATAAAACATCAAATGACACGCAAGCGAATTCATCGGGAATGAATAATTTCTAAAATTGTCTTCTTTAAGATTGATTTGTTCTAGTTGTGAATTTTTTTATTTCCGTTTTTGATCTCTATTTAGATCACGTATTGCGTATACTTTTGAGCTTCAAGAACTTTAGTGGTAAACAAATAAACAATTTTTTGGAACGTGTTTTATTTACCCTTGAATTGTCTGGTTTGAAATTTGAAAAAAGGAAAAAGAAAATTACTGTGATAACCAGTAAACTGTTTTTTTTTACCATTTTGTGTTTTACTCTCTTTCTCAAATATTGATTTTTTTCGTTTTCAGGACATCTTTGAAATATTCGAATGTACGTTCTTCTAGTGATAGCTTTCATTCTCGGCTTACATGTTTTGTATGTGCCTTTAATCTCTATTGTAGATTTTGTTCTCTGCGTAAATACAAAACAAAAACATGACCTCTTGTCACAATTTTTGTATTGAAGAAATACCCTCGTAATTTGGCCCTCTACGGTTGCAAAAACTACTTGGAGATTCGAGTTTTGCCAATTAATCTTCAAATATTCCCACAGCGATATTCAAACTTTTTTAGATAACTTATTTATTTAAATCGGTACAGAATGCTATTTTTTGCAAATGTAATACAATAAACAAATAGAAAATTCCATGAAACAAAAAATCGAAACGTGATATCACATTTTCATTAGTAATTCATGAGCCCAAAAAATATAACTACCGATGTTTTTTGAATGTAAAATAAAATGACGAATATTCTCGAAGAATACTTCAATATGAGTAATTTGGCAGATCTAAAAGTACTCATAGGCAATCCTATATGAATATATAGTCGGCGTTTGGCGACTGCTGTAGATTTACGGGGATGCGTCTTTCGAAATGGTCTCGCAAGGACTAACAGGTTATTTCAAATTTTATGAACCGGTTCGATAATTTTTCAATCGAATATCGTTGGAAATTCAAGGAAATGCGAAACTCATCAATAAAAATGAAGCAGTTCACGTGAAAACAGCAAAATAAGCATTCACGCGTGGCGAGACCTTTTCAAGGCGCATGCGTGTAAATCAACCCGCGCACAGCAGTCGCCGGACGCCGACTATACATATATAAAGCTTAAATTCGGATTGATTTTCGAAAAATTGCAGTCGAAATATCCAACGAGGCTTACAATAATTTTTAAAAAATTTCACATTTCTTCCCAAATTTTTTTCATCAATGACTACAATTTGGTAGAAATCCAGAGAATTTTCTCGAAGGAAACCAGCAATGGTAGGAATTAATTAAACGAAGCCGAATAAAGCGCTCATAAAATGGAGGTAATTGGGAAAATTTCTTTGTTAAACGTGGGAAAAGCTTAAAAATATGCACACTGCACGGAGGCAAAAAAACGCGGGATGAGAAAAAAAAAGAAAAATACATGATGAAAACGACGACAAAAAACATAGAAGATGAAGGCGGCAGTGGCTTTGAAGGCTTCTTCTCCTTCTTTTGCTTTCCCTGCTCGCCTCGATACTTGGCCGCGTTTTCCGTCCTCCCCTCCATATTCGGCGGTTGTTGTGTGCAGAAGCTGAGTGCGCTAGAAGCGACGACTCGCGAAAGTTTGTTGCGCAGCTGCGACTCGTTGTCAAATGAGTTGGAAGGCAGAAAAGAAAATGCGAGTCTTTGAATATATGCGAAAAGTCTAGGCGTTCTTCCTTTTCCCCTCAAAATACCTTTTATGGTCATCGCTTGACTACGGTAGCAGATGAGAAAAAAATCATTGCTAATTCCAGATGCCTTTTTTCAGGAACCCTCCTGAATTGCGGGTCGACCCGCAACGACCCTCCACAATTATGGAGTAGCTCCCGTTTAGGGTAATTAATGTTTCAAGTTATTTTTTAAAATGATTGCTTGCCCCCCTTTTTCAGTCTGAACCCGCCCACCGCACGTATGCTGTTATGAACTTGTAATCCCCAGCAAGCATTCGATGGGACCCCACGCTGATATGGTTGGTTCATTCCGGAACAGCTTAAAAACCGTCAAATAACTTCTACAATATTTACGTTTTTACTTTTTTATTCGGTAACAAATACAAGAGCAGAAAAAAAAACATTGAAACACAAATGATACTTTATCAAATCTTGTAACAACAAACTCCAAGCAACATGTCTGCACACAAAATCATGCGACCCTACAGGGAAAAGAAAACAATTGAGATTTGTGATGTACCATATAAGATCATCTTTGTTGACTAAAGAGGAAAACAAACCATCGAGCTTGATAGCAGATGAAGTCATCAGAAACCGAGATCGAATGGTAAATAACAATAACAAACTATGGAATATAACTAGGTAAAGTCTATACAAGTAGGTTAACAAGATTAAGGAACGCAGACAGTAACAGGAGAAAGAAGAACAAGGATTGACAGCATTTACTTGGAGCCAAGAGCTGGGAAAGCTTCAGAAGAAGCGTCAAAGTTCGGGGCATGGGAACGGTTTCCACCGCGGCCGCCACGCCCGCCACCAGCACCTCTTCCTCCGCGTCCACCACCGCCACCACGCTGTGGTCGGTCATTTCCACGATCATTTCCGCGCTCGTTGCGGAATCCTCCACGGCTGTTCTCAGCAAACTTGATGTCGATGTCGAGGATTTGTTTTCTTGGTTCCTTGCGAATGACAACAACCTCATCTTCCTCTCTGTCAGGAATGATTTCCTTCTTGATAGGAACAAGTTTTCCGAAGTTTTCGCTGGCTCCCTCACCAGCCTTACGGATGTTGAACTTCGGGGTTTCAGCCTATAAATTTTATAATTTTGTAACAAAATAATTTTGATGTTACTCACAGCTTGTTGAGCTTTGAATTCTTTCAAGGTCTTTTGCTTGGCAAGCTCGGCTTCTTCGGCTTCGCGAGCGAGTTCCTCGGCGGTCTTCTCACGTGGAGCCTCTGGCTCAGCATCTTCGACTGGAGCGATGTTCTCAGTCTCACCAATAAGCTCGTCCTAAGAATTAACTTTCTAAATATCATCGGAAAAAACGAGTTTCTCGCATAATTGTGGACCGTCGCACTTTTTTGAGGTGGCGATTCAAATTTTAAAAAAGAAAAAAAAAGGGCGGGGGTCGGGAATTAAAATACCTTGATAAATACCCGATAATCGGGACTGGTTGCTCTTTTTGCGCATGAGATATGTGAAAAAAAATTAAATAATACTTAGTGCGGACTATGCGCCATTAACATATTCTTATTTTTAGGTCCGGAATTTTACACTTCTAGACTTACGCCAACATTACGGTCATTGTTTTTGGTAATTAGCGAGTTGCCGCAGTCACGTGACTACCACAAATTATTTCAATAAAAGTACCTTCTGGTCTCCCCAATTGCCCTTTCCATGACCATCCTTCTTTTCGAAAGCGCGGACACCGGCGCGATCGGATCCGCTATGACGTTCGAATTGTCTTCCACGTCCCCGAGCACCGCCACCTCCGCGTCCTCCAGCAGGCCCTCCAAGAGAGAAACCTCCTCTTCCACGCCTTGGGCGCCCGTTAACCTCTCCGTCCTCGAACGAATTTTCCTTTGAGTCATCGCTTACAGCATTTTGGGCATGGCCTCCACGTCCACGGCTAAAATAAATAAATTTAGCGAGACTAAATAAATGTACTTCTAACGCTGGACGTCCAGATCCACGCTCTCCACGATCTCCGCCTCTGCGGGGTCCACCTCCACGACGGTTCTCGCCGAAACGGTCTCCATCATTTCCGTCTCTCGGACGGCCAGCTCCCCCGCGTCCACGACCGCGTCCCCCACGTCCACGAGTTGTTTCAGTCTTGACAGCTAAATGAATCAATATTATTGTAGGCGTCATTCTAGTGCGAAAATGGATATGCTAAATATTGATGTAAAAGCTTGTCACAGACAGCATTTAATTGTGTGATGCATTTTTGGAAAAATCGTTGGCGTCGCCTGATTGCGAGAAATGGTAAAAAAAAAGGAAGCGGTCTTGGAGCAAAACTAAAACTACAAATTATGGACTAAGCATAAAGATGGCATAATGTAGCAAACCGCGCACCATACCTTTCCCTAATTTTATTAATTTATGAAATTTTACGCAGTCACGCTACGCGGAGAATACTAACTTTTTTAAAATGAAAAACTAAAAGTGAAAGCAGAATTTACCTGTGGCAGTGACTTCCTTGGCCGGCTGGGCGGGCTTCACCGCAGGCTTTTCGTCCTTCTTCTTGGCGGCAATCGAAGAAACTCTTTGGATAAGCTCTCTTGGATCGTCAAAGTCTAAAATTGTCAATTTTTCGAATACATAATCTTTCGAATTACCCTCTTCATCGGACATAAATCCGAACTTGTTGCTTGTAGCAATACCGTATTCAACAGTCATCTTGATGAAGAAAAGAGTCGAAGTGCAGGAAGCTTATTTCAACGTTATTTGCGATTAGTCCAAGTTTTCTTCAATAGCCCATAATATAGGCCACCCTGCAATCATAAACGCTTATAATTATAACTATAATATGTTTTAAAAAAGGAAAGTGAAAAGCAAAAAAAATAATGCTTAAAAACTCCGAAAAACAAACAAAATCGGGGAAAAATAACGAAAACGCAACGATCAGGTGGTTCTATTAAACTGCGTATCGCGGGGACAAAGACGCATGCTATAAAGCTGCTGCACAGCGAATTTCTCTCATCGCCTCGGCGCGAAATTCAAATAGTATTGCATTTCGAATGCGAAGCGTGCAAAATTTTAGGCCATCGAGAGAAAAATTGTTGAATATTCGAGTGTTTCGCCACGAAACAAACTTTTATTGATTTCAAAAATTATTTTGCGCAATGTGGGGCGTTTTTCCATGCATTATTACATCGGAAATCTAACCTTTCTTATTTTTTCGCACATATAGTGATAAATGCATGTCGGTTTCGAATAACTCTTGCCAGTTTCTCATTGAATTTTTTGTTTTATATATTTATTCTTAAATTTTATATCATAATGAAACATACAACACGTATTCAACTGTAGAACTCCACTAATTCTATCACAATACATAGAGAAAATAACAATTTTACCATTATGAAGCACATATCACAGGAATATTTAAAAAAAGAAAATAAATATTTTTAACGTAATTATTTACGTAGTTCAGGATCACAGAAATATTTTCCAGCAAGAACCTTTTTTCGGATCATCGATAGATGGTAGATGTCTGACTGGACCAATGAAACTTCAACACCGGAGAGGCTTGTGTCGTGACACTAAATTTTTTCGTTAAAAATGAAATTGTTTAATATTTTCAACCTGGAATTGGGCATGAACTTGCGCCGGTTTTCGGTCAATCATCTCAAAGCTTACTTCATTCTAAAATGGCAAATATTATTGTTTTTCAATCATTTCAACGTACTCCTGTATTTTTTAGAAACGCTCTTGTTTTCAATGAGCCCGACGTTTCGCCGTTTCTCGAAATTTCAAGAATACTCCACGACAAATTCGACGTCTCTTCACTCCTACAATTTTAAATTGAAATCACAATATTTTGATTTGAATTCATCTGCCCACCATTTAGCAGGTGGGTCCGAAGTGCAGCTGGCGATCGCACCACTAATCGTAGTGCTGAATGTCACGTTTAACAAGGGAACATTAATGGGGCATTCGGTGTTGAGACGATAATCAACACGGACATCTAAAATTGCTAATTTCAATTGAGCACCCATCATTTTCGAATTACCTGTGTGCCCAGTTTCAAATTTCCAATAAGCTGTGAGATGAAGCGGAGGTTGAACATTGCCAGGAGCTTCCGCGTCAAGCTCATATCTAGCAACTTCCGCATTATGGAACACCGAATCAGGTTTAGCTATCTGCTGAGCAGATAGCCAATTAGCAAGGTTGGCCTTGTTAAAATAAAACACGTAGATTCCATCATCCGATTTCGAACTACGTTGTTCATCAATGAGCTGCTTATTCGGCAGAACAACTTTTATATGTTGGGTGTTCTGCAACTGGAATGCCAAGGGTTCAAACTCATTTTGAACCGAAGTCAGAAGAGCGATCGATGACGCCGCAAATGATATCATAACTGTTCCAAATGTTCTTTGTACACATCTAGAATTCAAAGACCAAATGTTTGATGATATACTGAAAAGTACTGTGTCAAGTCGGCCTTTTTGAACCAAACATGTGAATATTCGTTGACCGCCATTGCCACAGGGACTCTCTGTTCGCTTATCGTCGCCTAATAAATAGCCATTTCTAATAGAATTCGGTTTCAAAAAAACTGACTTGTAGCAAATTTCCCGTCGATTGCGACAAATTGAACGACGACTCTCCTAATGAGTAATTCGAGCCACTCGGAGCCAAATTAAACGACGATGACCACGGATCGTTGAAACTATCCTTTCTCGACTGCGTCGCGAGCGTCGGCGCCATCTGACTCGTTGTCGGAGTATTGCTTCTAGGTCGTGCTCTTCCAATCACTCCCATTCCGGTGTGATGTCCCATTGAAACCGAAAATGGCGGTGGAGTGTTGTTATCAAACTCATTATCAACGTCTGAACGTCCATGTATATTGAATACTTTAGTTCTATTTTCATTTTACCTGCGAAGCTTGTTCTAAATCTTCCATCAGCGGTATGATGGGATCGCAATGGTTGGCGAAGTGAGGTCATATTCATAGATTGCGAGAATAATGGAGGGGCTCTGGATCCACCAATAGTCCAAGGGTCCTAGAAAAAATCAAAACTATAACTAAGAGTATTGAAGAAATTAACCCTGTCAAAGGTGGTGCTTCTTGTTAAAGTAATGCTACCAATTGCATCTCTGAGCTCGTCAACCGACGCGTTTATATGCACTGGCATATCAGCTGGACGAATGGTCAAGCTTCTAATCTTCGATTGCTGTAAATCGTTTTCATCCTCCTAAAAAATATACTTCAACAAAATAATAATTAAGGAAATGGTGCCTCATCGCTAGAGCAGCTCGACCAATTGGTGTCTTCCCTTTGTTCGCTGGTCTCATCACGAATCACATATCCTTCTTCATCAACCGCCGGTTCATGAGGCTGCTCAATTGGAGCATCCAACGGATGAATATTTGCACCATTCAGCACCTTTTCATCGCTTTTCGAGCTACTAGCCGTGCTTTGAGCATCATCCATACTAGAATTCTAATATTCTATAGGTTTCAATGTTCAAAATAAATACCAAACTGACGCTCTTAAGTTTTCGCTATCCTTCTTCGATCTCCTCTTTTCTCTGGAGAACTTGAACAATCCTAAGAGGGGAAGAACACTTAATTATCAAGAACATCGAACGTCGCAAAATTACCAGATGAGCTGAAACTCTCAGGAGCTGTTGGCTCATCAATACTACTAGTTGAAATCGTCTTCTTCCGTTTTGACATGAACATTGAAATTTTCTTCGCAGCCGGACCACTGAAAAAATTATTTTTTTTTTTCATTTTGACAAAAACAAAAGGCCGAAAAATGTGCGACATTTTCTTTAATTAACTGCATTATGAACAGTTTCGAAAAATTTAGAGAATATTTTCTGGCAGCAATTTCTAATATTAACTAATAAAAAAAAACGCTGTATTTTAAGGCTGCGGAAATGTTAGCTAATATTACACGGGGACAATTTAATAAAGGGTGAAAAATGGCATAATCTGGAGAATTTTTATCTCAGAGATTTTCGAGGAAAAACAATTTTGCATTCGTCTATTTTTAGATTATCTTGTCATTTTATATATTTTTGTTTGAGGAAATATATATTCTCTCTCGTGCCCTCTATTTAAGAACGCAAATTAAAAAGTAACGTCCTTCTTAGAACATTTAACCGAAAACGAAGAAAGATTTTAAAAAAAACTTATAAAGTACCTTGAGATAAACGAAGATTTCTTTTCCAAAGCCGCCGATTCATCACAAGAATTGTTGGTATCTTTCTAAAAAAAAAAACGCGATATTGGGAAAAGAATTGGGTTAGAAAACCTTAATCTCGTTATCATCATTGACTTCCTCGCTGGTGTGTTCACCAATCGTGTCCATCATAAGTAGATCACACTGGGCCTGGGAAGGCGGTGGCTGCGAAAACTCCTGAACAACACCCGACGAGGAACAAGAAGACGGCATCGAATTGCCTGAAATGAAAACCAAAAAAATATGCTGATTCTTGATCTCAATTCGTAGAAAATTGAGAGAATTGGAGAAATGAATATTGTTTTAATTGTATTCGTCGAATGATAACGAGGCGGCGAACAACGTCTTATTGATATAATCGACATGACAGTCCAGGGCGCAATCATTTTTTCCTTTCTCACTTCTTTTGTATGAAACACCCAGTTTGTCGATATACAAACGAAAGCGGCAGGAAAAAAGAATGAATTAATGCTGACGTCTGTTTTTAATCTTGCTCAGTGCTCATCTACTCTAAATAATCAAAAAGGAGAAGAGAAAGACAGGAATGAGTAATAATTCAAACTTTTCTCTATAAGGCTCAAAAATCGTATTTGAGAAAACAAGTTTCATATTCCTTGAAATGTTATGGAATATTCTTAATTCGATATGACGATGTTATAATTAATACGTGGAGCTTTTTCTAAAAAAAAAATTAGAAATTTAATATTTTAGATTGTTGAAGAGATTAACTGAAAAAATTTTTGCCAGTTGTTTCAAGAACTATCAGTCAGAAATGTTTGGTAGTCAAAATCTTTCATTCCAAAAACGAAAATGTTTTAAAACAGCCTTGCAAACACAAAAAACTAAGACAAAAAATGAAATAATTATTTTCTTTTTTAATTTGTGTTAGCTACATAGTTTGAGAAGAGAGTTCATGGATCATAGAAACATTTTGGCGCTGTTATAGAAACAGTGAGAAGTAGCTCACCGTACTATGGATAACCTGCACGTTAAGCTCACAATTTATAAATTACATAAACGGAGGTTCAATTTTTGATTATTTCTCGTTAACATACCTAACAAAACATCTGAAAATTCCTTGACCAACATTGGCGGGCTTGCACTCTCAAGTTCTTCGAAAACCTCATGTGCTGCAAATCAATTTTCGAATTACGGGCAAAAAGCGAGAATATTATCGATTTACGTGGCTTTGAGCATCCCGTGCTCTTCTGCTTGATGAATTTCCGCACAAATTCATCAGCGTTCAAACGTTGGAGTGCTTCTCGAAATTGTTCAGAGACTTGTAACGAAGCTTGACACATTTCATTACTATGCGTGGCATAGAGAAGCATAAATTGTTGTATTGATGCATAAAGAGACCTGAATTAACAAGAACAATTAAACTAAAAATTTTAAAATCAAATACCTATCAAAAGTCTGGAATTTTTTGCAGCTTTCTTCCATTTTGGATTCAAAATCTTCACGAACAACCTCGTATTTATCCACATAACCTTTATATTCATCACGAGCGCGGGCAACTTTATTTTCAAGCTGAAAACTTTCGATTTGCGGAAGTGCAGAAAGAATTCAATTAAAATAAATACGCTGAGAATGAAATCCAGCAGAGCACGGCTCCCAAAATTGATTTTTCAATTTTTCGAGTTCAAACCTTTGCAATCTCCTTCGTTTGTGTGCTATTTTCCTTTTTCGCTTTTTCCAATTCGCCACATCTATGATGATACGTTTCCTTCGCCTTGAATACATCACAGGTATCAAAAAAAAATAAAATAAGAAACCAACTTTTTGAAGACATGTCGTAGTAGTTTGCATAAGATTGACCGCCTCAGCAACACTAGTCTGCTTCAATTCCTTCCTTCCTTTCACAATATCATCCTTGTACTTGAAAACGTCTTTCGAGAGATCCTAAAAAAAAACGAAAAATTAATTAAATTTTTCGTCGAGTATTGAAACCTGCAAATTCTTCACAAGCATGAGATGAATCTCGGCGAGCAACTCCATCGTCCCCTTCGTCAAATTCCATATTTGTTCAATATTTGAGTTATTATGGATATAATTTGATATCTTAAAATTCATTTCAAATTAAATAAATTATTTTGCAAATACCTTATTTACACTTCTATTGAGCCCTTTCACATATTCATCTTCAATTGAAAGTCGTTCTTTTACAAATTGAGCGACCTCGTTCACCGTGTCTTCGCTCTTTTTCAGGTTTTCTTGCAATACCTTTAAATCCATAGAAAATATCGATTAGGAATGAAATGAAGATGCGGTTGAAGACTATCTCTCTTCTTTTAACTGGTTTTATCAATTTTGTTCAGATTTATCACATGTCAATTGCGAGTTAATTGTTTATTCTAGTTGCTTTCTATGTTTTGCCTCTCATGATATCGGGTTAAACTGGAAACACTACCTGGAAACCATGATGCTTTTCACCCCAAAAATGATCGGCGTACAGCAATCCCTCGGCTGTCGTCATTCCACCCAAATTCTGATGATTATTTTCCAACTTTTCTCTCCAGTTTGCCAAAAGTTTGCGACCTCGCGGTGTCTGCTGCAAATGATACTAGATTTCATCGACACGTGATGATGATCAAAAAATGAGACACTGAAACCGTAAAGAGATAAGGCTGACAACGTGCAAGATGAGTTAAATGAAGGCCAAACATAAAATTAGCGATTTTCCAAAAGTGAATTTTTTTCAGACAGTTACAGTAACATTGTGCATTCTTTCGACGAACATTTGCGTCCTATTATTTTTTTTTTATTTATTAAAACACGTGTTTTTTTTCCAAACTGACCTGTTTATGCATTAAAAAATTCTAATTTCTCTTTTAATTTCAAAAACGAAATTTTCTATACATACGAAGGAACAAATGTTCAAATGTCTTCAATATTTCAGAATATTCGAGTTTGAACGTTCTTCTATTTTTAATTTTCAGGAAAAAATTGATGACTAAATAGAAATATCATGTTTTATACGTCAAACATCACATTTTCTGTAAAAAAAACGCGGGCCCACATGAAGCAAATAATAGCAAAATCAAAATCGAAAACATTTGTTCTCGTCATGAAAAACCTCCAATTTCGAGCATTTCGTTCAAAAAACTCCTCAAACAGTCAAAGTAATGTATTCGCCGGCCACTGACTCGTCGCCACACTCGAAGCCTATCCCTCTACATGTCTGCATCTCTCCGTTCAACACTTTCGAGCACACTCTCTTGTGCTTTCAGTCGTCAATGCACCACCCTTCGCAACAACACCGCATTTCACTCGTTTTCTTTTCAATTGCGTTTTTAGGATTATTTAGACAACATTTTTTGTTGCAGAAATGCTGATTGTACAACGAGTGGCTCTTCGGAGAAGCGCATCAACGTACAGCGGGCTCACGTCGGCACATTTTATGAAGAAGAAAACAAATGAGCCAATTTTGGAGTACAGGAAAGGAAGCAAAGAGCGTGCTGATCTTGAAAAAGCACTAGAGCATTACAGCAAGGTTTTCGCTATTTTTTTTTTAATTTCATAGAAGTTTCATGCAGAATGTGACTGATGTCCCACTCAGAATTGGAACCAAAAAGATAAAAAACAATTTGGAAAAGAAACAAGTTATGGTAATAAAAAAATATAAAAGTCAGATTATAAACTGAATATTCCAGCCATCAGATCATCAGAGCACACTTGCCAGGTACACCTATGCAACCAAAGATCAAATCAATGTATGACCATTTTTCTTGAAAATTGAATTCTAAATGAAAAATCAATATTTAGGAAGCGATCGACGTTGCTCTTCAAGCACGCTCAGCTTGGGAAAAGAAATCATTAAAGTACCATTATTGTTTTCACAAAATTCTAAATTATTTTCAAATTTCAGAGAGAGAGCCGACATTTTATTGCACGCCGCCGACCTTGCTGGAGGCAAATATCGCATGAAATTGAACGCGACGACAATGTTGGGACAAGGAAAGAATATTGTGCAAGCCGAAATCGACGCCGCGTGCGAGCTTATTGATTTCTTCCGTTTCAATGCTGTCTTTGCGAGAGAACTTGAAGCTTATGAACCCATTTCCACGAATATCAGCAAAAATACGATGCACTACAGAGGAATGGAGGTTGGAAATTACAAGAATTTAAATTATTGAATTTATATTTTTGAACGATTGAAGGGAATTTTTTCTTTAAATTTCTGTTCTGTCATTTAACCGACATATTCGATAATTTTAGGGATTTGTGGCTGCCATTGCGCCTTTTAACTTCACCGCAATTGGTGGAAATTTGCCTACTGCTCCAGCTCTTATGGTGAGAGTTCGAGCCAAATCTGCGAAAGCTAACAAAATTTTTAGGGAAATGTGTCGCTTTGGAAACCTTCGGATACTGCTGTTCTCAGTAACTACATTATCTATGAGCTCCTTGAAGAAGCTGGAATGCCTCCCGGAATCCTTTCTTTCCTTCCATCAGATGGCCCAGTATTTGGAGACGCGATCACATCTTCTCCACATTTGAGTGCAGTGAACTTCACTGGATCCGTGCCAACTTTCAAAACGATTTGGAAGAAAGTTGCTGACAACATTGACAAATACATCACATTTCCAAAATTGATTGGAGAATGCGGTGGAAAAAACTTCCACTTTGTGCACCCGTCGGCTCATATTGATGCCGTTGCTGCTGGAACAGCACGATCTGCCTGGGAATACTCAGGACAGAAATGCTCGGCCTGCTCAAGAATGTATGCTCCGAAATCGAAATGGGATGCGATTCTGAAGAAGATCACAGAAATTCATAAACAAATCAAATTGGGCGATGTTCGCGATGGATCAATCTTCCTATCTGCTGTTATTGATGATAAGGCATTCACAAGAATCAAGGCATACATTGGTAGGAATCTAGATATATTCTAATTCATTTGAGATGTTTACTTCAAGATTATGCCAAGACTGGAGCCGATGGAGCTAAAATTGTTCTCGGAGGAGGATGCGATGACTCGAAGGGTTATTTCATCGAGCCCACACTTATCACAGTAACTAACCCGAACAGCAAATTGCTGACAGAAGAAATGTTTGGACCTGTTGTCACTGTCTACGTCTATGAGGATAAGGATGTTGAAAAGGTTATGAACACGATCAAGGATGCGACACCGTATGGACTGACTGGAGCGATCTTCTCAGAGGATAAAGAGTTCTTGTACAAGTGAGTGTTTTAATTTTAAACAAGATTAATCAATGATCTTACATTGTAGAGCTCGAGATGCCCTTCGCGACGCTGTTGGAAATATGTACCTCAATGACAAATCTACCGGTTCAATCGTTGGTCAACAGCCATTCGGTGGAGCTAGAATGTCCGGAACCAATGATAAGGCTGGAGGACCACACTACGGGCTCCGATGGACTTCGCCTTTAACCATTAAGGAGACGAGCGTGCCACTTACCGAATGGAGATATCCATCTATGGATTAGAAATTACTTTTAGCCATATTTTCCAATTTTTTGCTCATATTGAGTGTTCCATCTCAGTTATTCGTCCCTCAAATTTCCATAATATGAATATCCATAATGTCGAGAGTAATAATCATAATAATAATATGTGCCAATTGAATGCATAATTTCTTTTATGCTTTAAAACCATCTCATGTCCGAGTGCATAGTTGTTTAGTGGTCCCTAGGAATTTTTTTAGAAATGCCATAAAGATTTTCTATTTTCTTGTGAATATTTTTTGATGATTGGTTACTTGCCGTGATTATACTTGTTCATTTTGCTATATGTAAACTAATTATGTTTTCATAGGATGGTGGTGACGGAGACCGATTGGACACAAGTGTCGTTCGAACGTGAGCTTTTATCTTTTCAGAAATTACCGGGAAATTTTGGATTGGGATTTTTGTTATTAGCATGCTACTTTAAAGGATCAGAGAAAAATCATGTTTTATCCTCGATTTTTCGTGTTTGCAGTTTTATTTCCACATTTTCATATTTATTTGATGTAAATTGTTTCTAGCGATAAAAGTGTTTAGTTTTTCCTAGTTTATAGCCGAGCTAATTCTGTCTCATAAGAGTTTTACCAGTTATTCCTTCTTCTCACTCAAAGTATACTCAAATCTAGCAATTTGTGTTTCAGATGCTCGTACAACTCTTCGTAAGTGGAGAGAATGCGGTGTCCGCCGTAGCGAAGAAGCTGTTGAAATGTGGGAGCACGTGATCAGCCGCAATCCCGCGGCTCTTGGTGACGAGCAATGGGCAGTATTGGAGCAAATCTGCATTGCGGCTCTTGACTGCTGTCAATATGATCTTGCTCAATCTTGTATCGACGCTCTTGACGCGAGATTTCCGAAAAGCACCAGAGTGTTGAAGCTTCATGCAATGAAGCTTGAAGCTACTGAGCAATTCACCAAGGCAATTCAACTTTATGAGCGTTTGATTGATAGCGACCCTACAAATAATGTAAAAAATTTCGAAATTATTAAAATATTCAAATTTCCGGATTTTCTAGGCATTGCGGAAACGAAGAGTCGCTGTGTATATCACGCAGAATAAACGACTTGAAGCGATTAAGGCTCTTAATGAATATCTCAAGATTTTCTTGAATGACGCGGAGGCTTGGCTGCAGCTCAGCGAGCTGTTCCTTCTGGAAAATGATCTCGCAAAGGCAGCTCACTGTTTGGAGGAGTGTGTGCTAATATCGGTAAGATTTTGGCAGAATCTACAAATATTATGAATGATTATTTAGCCATTGAACTCGATGTATCTTCGCAGGCTTGGCGACATCCGCTATTCACAAGGAGGCGTCGATAATGTCGAATTGGCACACGCTTATTACGAGAGAGCTTTGAAAGTGAATGAGAAAGATTTGAGAGCTCAATATGGAGTTGCTCTGGCTAACACACACATCTCTGCGATATCGAAGAACTCTAGCGATAAGAAGAAGGCGATGATCAGCGCAAACACCGCTTTTGACAACTTGATTGATAAGTACTCGAAGATTAGTATTAAAGTCAATCCAGCAGCTGTTGAAATTGCGGGCACTTTAGAAAAAATGAAGTCGAACGTGGGATCCAAGTGATTTTTTAAAATGTTCGTTTATTTGTCTCCTTTTGTCATCATTCCTTCAATTGTTGTTCCCCTAATTTTTTTCGTGTGCAATTTTGAAATAAATTATTTATGGTACATGATTTTGTAAATTAATTTACAGCTTTTTCGAGGTACGACGTGGACGACCACGCTTTGCGCGGACTGGCTCTTCCTGTGGTGGGGAATCGATGTTTGCTGACGGGGCCCGTTCAATGGTTGGAGTTGCTACGGAGGATCTGGAGGTTCTTCCTCTTTTAGATCTGAGTCGATTTTCAATCTGAAACTCAAATAAAGTAATTTTTGCTGTTTCTTGGATATACCCTTTCCTCATCACTGCCATCGCCACTTTCATCAAGAATAAAGCGACTTTCAGAAATTGAAGGCATATGAGAAATTTCAAGCTCGTCGTCAGTAAGGTCGGCGACTATTCTCGAATTTGATCGCGACATTGCCAGCTCGTACTCATCATCGATTATTTCTGGCTTAATGTCGATTACTGGTAGCGTAGCAGGCCGATTCCGCAACTCATTTTGAATTCTAGTCTTTCGGAATCTGTTAGGCACGATATCTACATCATCTTGATATTCGATGAATGCTGTTGACGTACTGTTGATGAGACTTTTAATCATATCAACAGCCTAAAGACAATTAAAATTAAAAACTTTTTATCAATATTGGCTACCGAAGAAATGAACGACGGAGCGTAGGAAATTGCCTTGGTCATCACAGCTGAAATGATTTTGTCGAAATCTCTTTCTTTCTTGCGGAGGAATGGAGCGAGAATCTGGAATTATTAAACCATTAGAACTTTGTATATTACTTTTTACTTTTTTGTAGACAAACGAAGCTCCTCCAAGTTGCGGAATCGCTATATAAAGTACGAAAATGAAAGTGAGAAAATCGTAAAACGGAATGAAGCATGTGATGAATGTTGTGGAGACGATATAATCGATAGCAAGATATGCGCTGTACACCGACCAATACTGGACACACTGAGTCTGAAATTTAGTTGAATTTTTCGAAATTCTATAAAATGTCCTACCAATTTGACGTTAGTTGGTTTTTTGAGTGCTTTGAACGAGTAGAAGCATGGTATTATAGTGCCTATGAGACTTGATAGTCCTCGAAAAATGAAAGACATTCTAGGATTGCAAGCCTTAAAAGTGATTTTTAAATTGATAATAATTTTGTGATATCGAAAAAAAAACTAGCAAACATGGACTCGGTGGAGATAACAATCATAGAAAATGATTTATTCGCACTTTTCTATATCTTCAATTTGAATAAATATCTGCATTCGGATGGCAACGTGTTTACGGAAAAGCATATGAAACGCCGATTAATTCTCGTGACATCCAATACTATTCCTTTTTATAGTGTTGAGTTCGAAACGTTCTTAAATTTCATAATTTTTTATGAACCCATTCAGGTATTTTTACAGAAAATGTTAAAAATTACATTAAAAGTGCATTTTTTTTTAAACCCAGTATTGGAAAATTGGGTATTTTTTTTTACATTTTTTTTTCGCATAAATAGGTCCATTAATAAATTGAAGGGCCGACTTTTCTAATGGTAAATCTAAAGAGTTTTTAATAAATCTAAAGAGCTTTTTCAATAATGTGGTGTGAAATTATTGAAATGTTCAAAATATTCATACAATAATTTTATTTCATGACAATATTTTATCATATTATATATTCGATTTTACTAATAGTTATTAGCAATTATTTATTTAACATAATATAAACGTATACGGTTCTTTGGATCCCGAAGGGAAAACAAACAGTAAAATGTACATTCGCGAAAAAATTATTTTCGTCGCAGTAACAAAATTAGTAAGTATTTTTAGTTCTCTTTTTAATCTTCAAAAGTTCATTGCATTGAAAATATTAAGCCGAACCGTTTTTTTTTGTTGTCACAAGTTTAACTGATAACACACGTATTTAAAAAAATTGTGTTAGGTGTAATTTGCAACTCGATGTTTAATGAAACACGAAAAATCGCCATTTTTTCGATAAGCATTCGAGCTAACATGAGAATATTTAAAACAAACCAGGCAAACTATTCAAATTTCGCGCACTTCTCTTCATTGTCTGCTGTCTCACACGGTCGTGGCCGCGAGGACTAACATGTGGGTAACTGCCGCATCGATATTTTGTTTCCTCTCTTACTCTGCAATTTTTCCTACACGTTCGCATCATCATCAAAACTTTTTTCCACGTTTTCCTCACTATATCATTATAGAATCTTGTGAAAAATTTTCGTCTTTTTTCAGAATGGCCGATTACGAACGCGTGGTGCTGGTTAAACCAAAAGTTTTTGTCTACAAATTGCCCCCACTCGGCACTGGTGGTCACAAGTAAGCATATAAAATGAGGTTTATGGATAATATTGATTTGCTAGGGCGGCGACTTGGGATTTAGATAACCCTGCCTGGACGGGACGTTTGCGTTTGATTTCTGTTGGTAAGAAAATCGAACTCCGGCTTGAAGACGGCGAGACCGGTGAGTTGGTCGCGAAACTTCGATTTCAAACAATCAATTTGACTTTTAGGCGCGCTGTATGCGAAATGCCCAGTTGATTCGCATCCAGGGGTGGCAATCGACGCGGTTTCGGACAGCTCTCGCTATTTTGTGATAAGATTACAGGTATCGACGGAATGTTTCCAGAACACATATATATATTGATTAATATTGTGTAATTTTTCAGAACGATAATGGACAGACCGCTTTCGTTGGTTGCGGGTTTCAAGAGAGAAGTGATGCGTTCGATTTTAATGTTGCCCTTCAGGTATAGCTGTAAAACTTTCGAAATTCAATTATCTTTAATTACAGGATCATTTCAAGTACATAGAACGAAGCGAACAATTCGAAAAGCTCGATTCGACACCAGGGCCAAGTTTAGATTTAGCGTTCAAGGAAGGTCAAACAATTTCCATAAGCATTGGGGTGAGTCACTGTATTCATTTAGGCACAGTTCCGGTTTTGGTCTCTCATCATATCGATTTATAATGTTGTTGTCAACCGCTATTAGGTCGACTGAGCTTTGTTGATTTCGCAATAAATAAACAATATGTGAAATTGCTCCGTCGAGGGGGAGCTTAGAGAGTGTAAAAATCATTGTCCATTGAATGATAATGGTTCATCAAAAGAAAAATTTAAGAAACACTATTTTCGTTATAAAATATTGAATAAATACGAAAAAGCATTGGTAATGGTATTGAAATAAAACTAAAATTTAAATTTACTGGCCGAATCATAAGGATTGTTAAAGGAGCATCCAGCGTGAACAAACATTTTATCTAAATTTTTTATAATTTATCCAATGTTCTGCTGTCCTTCGACTTCTGAAAATTGGCAAATAAAAAACCATGGAACAAGAGGTTCATATGCTTGGCTCGTAAATCTGTTTTTGCTTGAAATTTGTAGTTTATTTCGCGATTTCCAATAACATTTTTTAGAAGAAGGATGGTGCAGCTCCGTCAAGACCTCGTGCGGCTCCAGTAAATAACGGCGGAGTAGTGCCTCTTCTGCCTCCACCGCCAGGAGCCGGATCAATTATCCGCAACACGAAACCGACAGCAGCTCCAGTGCAATCTCAACAACCGACATTGTCATCTCAATCCGGCAATTTATTGTAAACACATTCTTCATCGTCATATCTAATTAATTAATTCTTATTTTTATTTCAGGGATTTCTAACACACTACCATATTATTAGAAACTGTGATAGACACCTAATACTGCAACTATTGGCTACATATGCAAACAACTAACCATTAACAGAATATCAATTTATTCGCATCGTTATAAATTATTTGCTTTTTATTGGGTGTTATCGTCGCGTTTTTGCCTGTCTTTTCATGGTTAAACGACCATTTCGTATTGATTTTTCTTTCTTTCATTTCTTTATTGCTTGCTTTACTTCAATTATTTTCAGGGTTCTCTTCGGCATTTTTCGCTAGCGGGTTTCTCGTTTCGAGTGTTAATTCGAAAGTGTTGCAATGCTCGGTGATTTTTCGACGTCCACGAATCAAGTGGCGACGGTTGCGGCGACTCGACGACTCCAAAAGGATTATGCCAAATTGGCGCAGGTGGGGTTATTAAATTTTCTTGTAAAAACCGCTCCGCATTGATAATGCGTTGTGGCTTTGGCTTTTGTGGTGTTTGATTCATGTCTTATTACTGTTCAAACAATTTCCAACTTTCGAATTTCATGTAAAGCGTGTATTTCGATGTCATTTATACTACATATAACATCAATTTCCTTTTGAAGCGATTTAGCGATTGTTACCAGGCAACAGCTTTCCGTTGACGCAATTCATTTCGTTCTTTACGCCTTTATTATTTCAGGATCCAATTGATGGAATTGTCGCTCTTCCCAATGAAAGCAACATTCTTGAATGGCATTACTGCCTTCGCGGCTCGGAAGGAACTGTCTATGAGGATGGATACTACTGGGGAAAGATACTATTCAAGTCGGATTTTCCATGGTCGCCGCCATCTATTTTGATGATTACACCGAACGGACGCTTCCAAACAAACACTCGTCTGTGTCTTTCAATTTCCGATTATCATCCGGAGAGCTGGAATCCTGGATGGACGGTGTCAGCTATTCTCGTCGGACTGCATAGTTTCATGAATGAGAACACGCGTGCGGCTGGCACAATTGATATGGACTCGGAGAACCGTCGCCGCTTGGCATTGGCGAGCAAAGAATATAATATGAAGGTAAATTAGATTCACCGAATAGCCGTCATTGTGATTGCTGAATATTCAGGTTCCGGAATTTGTCACGTTCTTTCCAAAGCTCGTTGAAGAGTGGAAACTCGCTGGCGTGACTCCATCGGTAAGCACTTCGAATCTTCCACCAATTCCTGCTATTCCTGAAACTCCATTGGGTCTTCCAATGTATCCGGGATACGCGGCCGCCGCGTACCAAATGTATAGAATGCCGCGTTTCGACTACGGCCAACTGTATCAAGGAAATCAGCAGAACCATGATTTGGCGAATGCTACCTTGAACAATATGATGAATATATTTGCGAATGAGGATGCAGCGAATGGGGCTGGAAATGCGCCTGTGGCCAATGGTGGTTTTCCGAATCGCGCTGCTCTCCTTCCTCCGTCTCCGAACCGATTTGCTCTTCCTCCTCCGCTTCCTATTGGCGTTGCTGCGCCAAATGTGACCAGGAGCGGCACTCTGAATCCAGTTCCACCACAGGTTGGAAATTCAATTCTTCTGTTTTATTAGTTGGGTTAGCTTTGCTTTATGCTTCTAAATCGCTTAAAATCCTGTCTACTAGCTTCCACTGCCCTAATGCAAATTTAACACAACTCAATACTTTAATTTGATTTAGAATTCAGGTCCCCGGAACCAACAGTAGTCGTGTTCAACGACCACCAAAACGTAATTACGATGAAACAACTGTTAATATCAATAATGAGCCGGAACCACCAAAACGATCTCGAGGTAATGAATGATTCAATTAATTCTCGATAATTAGGGGTAATTTTTAGATTCATGCTCCAACAACAAGAATTCATCGAAGTCAGAAGATGTGAAAACGGTTGTGGAATAAATCGATGTTGTTGATATTTTATTGTATATAGTTTGATGTTCATCTTCAAATAATTAACATTTGCGTTTTGGTTTGCTTTTACTCATATTCTTTTGACAAAGTCTTCCAACATCTCCGTTTTGCAGCATTATCACAAGTTTCATGTTTCTTTTTTATCTTTTTTTATTAAAACCATATAGTTCGCCTCTTTTGGTTTCCCTCATCGTCGTGCGGAATTATCTTCGAAATCATGAGTAATTTTACGCTAGCATTGTTCTCTTTTTTCCATGTTCTTCATTTCTTCTAAACTTTTATTTTTTTACCGTTGTAACCTTTTTGGGTTGGCATTCCAAAATTTTTTAATACATCTCATTTCTTCAAATTTTATTTGGCGCAATCCGTGATTATTTCCAGTTTTTATTTGCCGCCGCCGCTGAAGCCGACCTTCCAACATAATTTTCATATTTTTTTCTTTCTTTTTGTGGTAAATTTTTATACAATTTTTCATTTACCCCGGAATTTCTTTTATAAAGTGTAGGTGGATTTTTTGTTTTCTTTTTTTCGATTCGACGAAGTGGCTGTGCTATCCATTTGCTATCTTTTTAATGATTCCTTTGACTCGCTTTAATTGAGCTTGGTGTGATTTAGAGCCAGAATGTCGGTGACCGCGACAATGCGATTGAAAAAGGACTACCAGAAGCTTCTCAAAGAGCCGCTGCCTTTTATGAAAGCCGCACCGTTGGAGAGTAATATTCTCGAGTGGAGATACATCATATTTGGAGCGCCGAACACGCCATATGAGGGTATGCTTTAAGAAATAACACGCGCAATGTTCAAAATTAATTAATCCAAATAAATATATCAGTAAAAACAAGTACAATTCTCTGTCTTAAATTCACTAAAAATAACGAAATTTAAATAACTGCCTCGAAAAAATCAACAATTGAGAGGAATGTATCGGTGTACGATGGCCGCTTTTAACCTATCCTTATGCTTATACGTAAATCAACACTTTGTTTTGCTCTAAGATCGCTGTTATTGGTTTTTTGGCACTAAACCAAATTTTCCACAATCACACTATCCCTTCTTTTTTCACTTATATGCAATTATTTTCGTAGGATACAATGCAATTTTCACCCCAAACCGTATGACTTAGAGATGCAATTTCATACGGTTGCAGACACTGGCGCTGACCTAAATTCATTTTACGATTTTCAGGGGGAATCTATCATGGAAAATTGATTTTTCCGACTGATTTTCCGTTCAAACCGCCGTCTATTATTATGATTACGCCGAATGGACGATTCCAAACTAATACTCGCCTTTGTCTTTCAATTTCCGATTATCATCCGGATACTTGGAATCCGGCATGGACTGTAAATTTTATTTGTTATTTTTCATCAGTTTGCTGATTTTCCTTAGGTCTCTACGATTATAACTGGTCTTATGTCATTCATGAATGACAATCAGCCGACGCTTGGTAGTCTGAGCACGTCGGACGAGGAGCGTCGCCTGTTGGCTCGCCGTAGTCACGCATTCAACGTCAAGGACAAAATATTCTGTCAATTATTTCCGGAAGAAGCGGATAAAATCAAGAAGCAGCTCGCTGAGCTTAGCGCCATGGATAAAGCGTCACTTCAGGAACAAGAGGAGAAGATCAAAACAAAGTGAGTTGTTTCAGTTAAAATTAAAAGTAATAATTATAAGAACAGTAAAATGATGAAAATTCCAGTTTTTTTTTTCGAAAGAAATGAATAATTTTTTGAAATGAGAATTGGAGAATTTTAGGAAGCGGGAATCGTCATCGGGCTACTCGTCGTTCATTTCCAATTTAATAATAATTGCAGGCGTAGTGGCACTTGCATTTGCAGTTAGGTATGTGGTTCAGAATGCGGCGTTAGATGAGTAGTCAAATTCCGAAAATTAAAGAAAAAACAATTTTTGACCAGTTTCTCTTTTCTCTATAGCTTCATCTTTCGCGTATTCTGTACCGCGTTTAAAAAATACCTAAACTAGCCAATTTGCTGATATTTGTGAATCTGTCCTGTGTATGTGCGTGTTTTGTCTGTCAAAAAATTTATTAACCGACTCATTTTTCTATTCATGCATTGTTCTGCATATCACATGGTTCGTCGATCCCGATTTTTGATTTTTTTTTTCGGTGTTTTTTATTTCAGAAATTGCCGCTATTAGAGTATCTCTCTTTCTCTTTTTTTAAATTCCTTTTGCCTAATAAAGAAGAGAATATTTTGTATATAACACTTGTGTGATATTGATGTATTTGTTGTATTTTTGTATATTATTAAGATTTTTTCATGTGTTTCTTTAGTATAAAGACGTTTTCCTTCGTGCGCAATGTGACAATTCGTTAAGAGTATGAAAAATAAGTTGAATCGATTTAATATTTATTGATAAAAATTGCTTTTTTCCTCAAATTTTGGTTTTTTTTCATTAAAGTATGAAGAAGTGATGTGGTTTTTCAAGGTGGGTAACCTGATTTTTTTCTTCAGAAATCAACTATTTTATTCTAGGTTTACTTGTGTTCTGTAATATCGATATGCACCATTTGCACTTTGATCATATCGAGAAGCTGTAGTAATGTAGGGGATACGAACACCAATAACGGTAAGTGTTAATATAATTGCTTTCGTGTTGCTCATATTTGAAATTGAACAGACCTAACCGCAACGCGTTGACCGCAACGCGCACATCTCTTTCGATTACTGAAAAGGGCATCCCTCTTTAACATTGTAATTGCTTACTAAAGCTGCTTTTTGTTTTTCAGCGGCACTCATCTCGAAGAAACCGGAAAAAAAGTTCGATGAGACCTATCTGCATATCGCCATCTTGTCAGCGCCTAATGAGAAGGAGCGTCGAAATATCGCACGACGAACTTGGCTTGCTTTGACCTCGAAAGGCCCTACAGTATTCCTTCATCGGTTTCCAATTGGAGTTGTCGGATTGAGCGATTCAGAGATCGAAGAGCTGAAGAAAGAGCAGGAGGAATATGGAGATATTGCGATTTTGAATGGATTGGAGGAGGGTTACGCAAATCTGGCCAGGAAGACATTGACGACGTTTGTGAATGCATTTGAGAATATTAAATTCCAATACATGCTGAAGGTAGGGTTGCATATTCATTTTTCTGGAAGTTGATGGGATTTAAAGGTTGATGTAGACTCGTTTGTCCGGTTGACTCCTTTGCTAGTAGCACTAAAGAGCGTTCAACATCCGATGCTCTACTGGGGATTCTTGGATGGACGAGCCCGGCCATTCAGAAAAGGAAAATGGAGGGAGCCGGAATGGAATCTGTGTGATCGATACTTGCCATATCAAGCAAGAAGCTCTGCGGAATATTCATAATAAATATAAGAATTTTCAGCTTGGTGGTGGTTATGTGTTGTCGTATGAGCTTGTGAAATTCTTGGCGGTGAACTCAAGGCTATTCAGATTGTATAAGAATGAGGATGTTTCAGTTGGAGCATGGCTTGCAGGTGCTAAACAAATTATTCATACATCAAGCATTTCCTTTTTAGGACTTGACGTGAAATATGTGCATGACCCTCGATTTGATACCGAGTGGACTTCGAGGGGATGCAATAATGAATACTTGATAACACATAAGAAAACTGATGCCGAAATGTTTGAAATGTATAATAATCTTATCGAAAATCGCAAATTATGCGTTAAAGAATACCAGTAGGCGTTGAAATTTTTATTTATTTTTTCCAACTTTACCTTTTAGGAAACGACCATCCTATGTATATGACTTCTCGAAACCACCAAGCGAATGCTGTGCGCGATTAAACGGCTCACGAATCCCATAATTTGCATAATATTGTGTTTCTTGTGCCAATTTGAATTTACGGGGATGTGTTAATATATTGCCAATTTTGCAGGTTTTATAAATAAATTGATTTATTTTAAATTTTGTGGAAAATTATTGAGAAAAAAAATGTTTTCATGCTTACTTTATACTTGAAATGTGGATTCTTTTCCTAAAATGTAGTTAATGGATTTTAGATGTCAGCCGATGAGAAACCACTACCAGCTGGATGGGAGAAGCGCATGAGTCGAACTAATGGTAATTAAACCTTAAAAGGATAATTGAAAATTAAATTATAGATCGCGAGTATTACTTCAATTCGGCGACTGGTCGCAGCCAATGGGAGAGACCAAGCGAGTCAGCATTTACCAAGGTACGAGAAACATCGATATTAAAAAATTTTTATGTTTCACAAAAGTTGTCTATTGTCCCCCTTCATTATAAATGTATGGCTTCCTTTGCAATGCTCGAAAAAAATCTATAGCGCTGCCAAAATTATAGTTGCAAAAATTCTATAGTTACAAGTTACATTATCTATTAGTTCAATGAAGGTTTCAATGCATTTAAATTTATTTCCAACAAACTATTTTAGGGAAGCGAGTTGTCGAAAGTTCGCGCGCTTCACATTCTCGTCAAGCACGCGGGTAGCCGCAATCCATCGAGTTGGCGCTCGGATCATATCACGAGAAGCAAGGAAGACGCGATGAAAATCATCGATGGATTCATTGAGGAACTTCGACAAGCTCCTGATCTTGAGGCGAAGTTTCGAGCTATCGCCAAGGAATATAGCGATTGTAGCTCGGCAAAACGCGGCGGAGATTTGGGAGTAAGTTTTACGAAGCAAATGGGGCCGTAGAAACAGCGGCGAAAAATCGTCTCGGCTTCTCACGAAAAAAAAGCTCACTTAAAGTCATTTTTAACATTTTTTGTTGTAAAAAAATACTTTTTATCAATAAATCCATTAAATTGAAAACGTAAGCCTTGAAATTCTAAAAAAAAAACTGCCGTTTTTTTGTGAAAATGACACCGATGAGAACTTCTGCGGACTGTTTACAGTAACACTGCTCTCTTCTTTTATGATAGTTTTGTAAAAAAATTTAATTGCAGTTCTTCGAGCGCCGTCAAATGCAGAAAGCTTTCGAGGACGCTTCATTCGCATTGGATGTCGGAGAGATGAGCGGTCTCATCGAGACTTCTTCCGGAATTCATGTCATCCTTCGCATTGAATAATCAATTCGCCTGTTAAATTTCTTCGTTTCTTTTCGTTTTTTTTTTGAATTTATTATATTTATTCTATATTCTTCTTTTTTGACATATTCGCTGATACTCAAATTTTTTTCAATTATTTATATAAAACTTGCTATCTAATCAATGTTATTGTTGCAATGTTACACTGTTATAAGCTGTTGGATATTTGTGAAATAAGGAGCCTTTGAAAAATATCTTTGGGTAATTCAGGGAATGACAAATGTGGACCATTCGGAATTTGTTAGTACCAAACAGGGATGCAACCAAAAAGAGGTTTGCGATAAAAATTGAGATTGTCCGTTAAAAGAAATTGGAAATGGGTTCGATTGTGGATAGAATGATTAATTAATTAGTAGTTTTAACCTGGCAGAGGCAATCTCTGATTTATGCCTCGGGACCATTATTGAATTTTATGGATGGTGGTATTACTTATACCCTAAATATTTTGCAGGTTATTTATGTAATAATCATTTCCGCACTTGGCATTTTCTTTCGCAATATTTGCATACCATGGATTTTTCTTGGAAAACGATTTAATACGAGCGTAATATCATACTGGTATCAAATTTTATTTATTTCATCTGATAAATATTGTTTTTCCAGGTTTAAATTTATAATCGATGTCATATTTATCGTGGCCCCGCCGTTATTATCCCTAACCATATTTGCAAATCATTTGGAGCATCTTCTAATCATTCTAGCTACTTCAACCGTTATTTTATTATTTTTCGTTGCTTTTGAATATTATCAACATCCGTTTGGGCACTCGATGAAGGTGATTAAATTATAATGGCTAATTAAAGCTGGGAAGAATTTTTCAGAATTCATGGAATCGAATTATCGATGAAACATACCATCCGACAACATTTGTTACATATTTGAGGTATTTATTACAGTTTCCTATTATATGAATTGAATGCGTATTAAATTATGAAAATGATTGATTACGTGAGAATCGCAAATTAAATGAGTTGTCGATTTATTCTGATGTTTTAGGGCTTCTACGATGATTCTGACGGTTTGCGCAATTCTTGCGGTTGATTTCCCAATCTTTCCAAGGAGATTCAGCAAGACAGGTAAACTTTAAATTGGAATTTTTTGAGACTTCTGCAGAAGCTTTCAGATTCCCATGGTCATTCGTTGATGGATACTGGCGTTTCAGCAGCTGTGTTCATCTCAGGATTATCCAGTAGAATGGCCAGATCGCAATCATCTGGACGACCTAGGAATCCGTAAGATCTGAAGCCAAATCTCGGCATTCCAATGAAATCATCATAGGCGATTCACGAAATGGTACACCTCCAGCACATTCCTCCTTTTCCTTATTGGATTTGCCAGAATGATTGTCCTGGAGTTCGTCGGATATCCGCAGCATGTCAACGAATATGGTATACATTGGAATTTCTTCTTCACTATGGCAGTTGTAAGGGTAAGTTCTCTAAAGGAAACTGATCGATTCAGAGCATGCAAGTTTTATTTTTGATTATTTTCACGTAGTAGTAGTTATTAGGCGTTTTCATGTTATTCTGTTTCAGATAGCCTACACGTTCCTACCCCGCAAGTTTCCATTCGCCACTTCCATTGTACTAGGAGTATGCCATCAAACGTTATTAAACTCTGGATATCAGTATTGGATCTTAACTGAAGGCGAAAATCAGAGGGAGAATTTGATTGCAGCCAACGCCGAAGGTATTTTCAGCTTGTTAGGGTATCTGACGATATTCTACGCGAGTCTGGCCGTTGGAGACATTCTAGCAAGTACATGGTAAATTTGAATAAATTTTCAGTCTTTAATGAGAGTAATTTTTCAGCATAAGAATAAAATCTTGGATCCGCCGAGCTTTTCATATGGCATTCCTGTCGTTTCTCATGTATGTGTGCCAAGTGATCAGTGAACAGCACCTCGATCAACCTTCGCGACGAGTGGTCAACCTCACTTATATCTTTTCTCAAGTAAAAATTTCATCTTGTCGAAGAGATGGAGTTAAAGATTACAGCTGTTTCTGATGATTGGTGCAACATCTCTTCTCCTTTTCATTCAAATGTTCAATATTGTAGTTCATTCATCAAATGTTCCCCAATTTTCTAATGGTAAGTCATTAAATAATTTACAATTGTTAAAAATCGATGGAGTGTCATCTGATGGGAAGTTAAGCAAACTACGGTACTGTGAAACCTTTTTTACAGCAGTAACTGGTATTGTAATCTTGACTGTTTTTTTTTGTGAAATTTCGCATTTTTTCAAGGGGAGGGGTTGATCCAAATTTCTCTGTCGTGACAGTTTTCAAGCCACGAGATTACCGTGCCGCTCTTTCTATTGAAAAACCATTTAACCCTAAAATCTCATATGCAGATAGCAAAGATCTATTTTCCTAATATTTTCCTAATCTTTTTTTTCTACGTGCGCATAGGGAATTGAAATGAAAAAAAAATTAATTTTTTAAATAGATCCATTAGGACCTAACCCTTCTGAATATCTTATTTAACGCGTCAAAGCATACGATGTATTGAAGTAAAGCGCTGTAAAAGGTCATTTGGCAATTCAAATACCATTAAACTTCCCATTATTGTTTTATGATTTCAGGCGAGACACCATTCGACAGTCTCACACCATGTCTTTGCGAGTCGATCAATCTCCATTCCCTTGAGTATTTTCTCCTCTCGAATGTGCTTACCGGAATTGTAAACATGTCGATAAATGCTCATGAGACGCGAGATGAGACTATCTCGTTGTCGATTCTCACCGTCTACATGTTCATCGGCGTATTTATAGTGCACTCATTGGCGTTCCGAAGAACGAAAATCGTGCACAGCGAGTAGAATGCAATATTTTCGTCGGTCCGGTATCCCTACCTCGCCGATTTTTGTGATATATAAGCCTAGTAGTTGGGTTAGTTTAGATCTCAAATAATAAGCATTGTGTTGTGTATTACACCGTTTTTGTTGTAAATATCAAATCTACCGCACCCCAAAATAATTTCACGTCTTTCCAACCTACTTCTATGGTCTTGTCATTTGGCTGTTGTTCCTTAATTATTTAATAATCAAAATATTAATAAAAAAAATGATAAAAACGACAAATGAATAAATAAATAATTTATTGATAATTGCCAAACACAGCCTACTGAAATCATATGGGGGTCGCGTGCCTTTTGTCTGTGACCCTCTGAGTATTGCGCGATATCTCGTCGCGCAGCCTCGCTGTCTGCGGTCTTGTGTACTTCTCGCGGACTCCCGTACCGGCTGATGCGTTTCGTCATTTTTCTCGCTGCATGATGATCATTTCATTTTTTTTGCCTGTATTCTTGATCCCCGATCAAGATAAACGTGCAATTTTTGATCTTTGTCGTCAGATCACATTTTTGAAAATATTTCAATGCTGAAATGGTTTTTTTGAAATCTAATCTGCGGACATTTCTTTTATTTTCTCGTGCGTGAAATCGTTCTTTTTTATGGTTTATTCTGCCAAGAATGGTTCATCACTTTCATAAATTTAATTGTGATAGCCGTTTTTTCAATTTATTGCGTTTAAAGGGCTATGTCTTTAATGAGTTTATGTTTTTGACCCCACGGTCTTCAGCAAACTACAGTATACATTAAAGGCGCATGAGAAATACGTTGGATTCGCCCTAAGATATAAAATTGTAAACACGTTTAAGTTCGTCAAACTAGTCCGTCTTTGAAAATAAAAAAAACAATATACATAGCAGTTGACCAATTGGCAGAAGCTCGGTGTCGGATTACCACGCTAAATAGTCAAAATCCACTATTGTTTTTCAAAAAAAAGTACGATTTTCGGCATGAGAATACGTTTTTAGAGACTAATCATTAATTATTTCCGCTTTGATTAAAAACTGACTCAAATTTGAACAGTTGACGATGGTATCACTTTTCTTGACTGAAATGATATATGGAAATATGTAATGCAATTTGCAGTTTCAAGAATCCTTTAAAAGAGGCCTCGACATAACTGTGGGATTAGATATTTCAATCTTGTTCGAAATTTAAAACAAAATGTTGAAGTCTTCGCTAGCCTCGAAAATCTACAAGGATTCACAAAAAAAAACCCCATCATGGCACTTTTTAATAATAAAAAATATCACAAAATACGGTTCTTATTATATCTTTTTTTGTTAGAAACGAGAGATCGCCGAACTCGTGGGCCTCAGCGATTTGATTTATCTTAATGGTGGGCATTCACTCTCATTGGTTTTTTTAAATCGCATATTTTGAATTATGATCGCTCTCATCTATCCGATTCTTTTCACTTTTGTTTCCAATCGCTGCCAACATTCCGTACGTCCATTCTAGCGAAAACAGACGCCTGATTTGCATTTTTGATTTATTATCCGAAATATCAATTGGCATAGTGGACGATTGTCCGGTTTTTTAAACATATGTTCGAAATTCAAACACAGTTATCAATGCGAGAATGATAAGCCATTTCGCACTCGAGTTTTTTCATTGTTTCAACTCCAGAACCCTGAAACTAATGCCATTGTCCCAAGTATTGATAATTTATTTGAAGCGCGTGACATTCATTCAAATATTTCTATTTTTTGCTGTGGATATTCCTGGGAAATATACAGTTGAAATATGTAGTCGTATAATCTTTTCCGAACGGCTACCATAAAATGAGTTGACGACAAGGCACAACTCATTTTCAGAGTTATGACCCTTTTATCAAAAATCTCATCGATTCATGATTGAATTAAGTTTATTTCCAAGTATCGTTGAAATTTTCTTGTATTTGAATATCAATAAACAAAAAAAATCGAAAATTGGATGCACTGACCCTCGCGGCGATCGATTCCGTTTTGTTGTTCAGAAACGGACTACAATTATTCCTTTACTATCACATAATATAAGCACAGAAATTATAATTTGGATTGCCAGCGCAGTTGTCATTTCCGAATGGTTAATTTAGGTAATTAAGAAAAATATTTTATATGTCAATTTGCTTGTATGGTCAAACCACGAATTTATTCAAAATTAATTTTCCGGTTTTTCAAATAGTTTGGTAAGTTCTTCCAAGTCAAAAAGCATTCTGAAAATATGAGTGTGCTTCTTTGATTCTGACAGAATATCATTGTGTAGTTTGTTGTTGATTCTTCTGTCAACATCACCGAAACACAAAATGAATCAAACTAACACCAGCAAAGAAGTCTCCGCCCCCTCACTCTCTTTTCGTATAGCAGTTTTCCTTGAAACGTGCAATTGGCCCTCTCCAGACCTCATTATCATCATATCATTCGCCGAAACGAATGATTGACGTCGTTTGTACTATCTATTTCAATTTCAAACAAGAAAGATGCACAAAACATTTTTTTGCAGAGAATGTACATACCGCTCGATGAGCCCTCATCGTCGACGATGATGTTCGAAGAGCAGCCATCAATTATGGATTGGTTTAGTGAGTTTTGCTCAATTAGTTTGCCTAGCAATTATGTAGATTATTGTGATGGAAATGATCGTGCAAAAATGAAGAGTCTAGACAGGCGCGCACAAAATTCCAGCAATATTTTTGTAAATGTCACCCCATATTTGGTGTTCAAAGTCTGTTTCGTACAATCAGTAAGAATCATCATCTAGAATTGGCTGATAACAATTCTTGATATCAATTCGGCTCTTTCGACAATAACTACACCAAATAAGGCAATGCGGGGTCTTTTTTTACAGTATCCCGTCATCATAAACATGCGAATGAAACCGGCGACAACAACGCAACGGACGTCCTCTGTGCGAACTGCATTGCCAACAAAAACATGATTGGTAATACTCAAAATCGAATGAGGTTCTTCAAATCTTCATTGATTTCAGCCTGCTTCCGCTCAACACTTATCGCGATGCTCGGCGTATGCACCGCAGTTATCTGCCTCTCAAGGATTGTCAAGCTTCATGCGACGTCGCAATCGCACCTCCGACTCCTCCTCTATTATATTCTCGCTGTTCATTGCTTCGCAGGGTATGTTCGATTAAGCACTATTTCCCTGATCCGTCCACGAATTGATTGCATCAGGTTGTGACTTTCGTCATTCCTATGCCCTGTTTACTCGATTCGCCACATTTTGCACTTTTTTATAAACATGTCATGTGCAAATTCGGACATCTGGAATAGTATAGAGAACACATTTTTTTCATTTGTATAATCTTTTCGCTATGGAAAAGGAAAAATGTTTTTTTTCGGAATCACTTTTTTTTTTAAATTTTTTATAACTGAATCACTAAATTAGTAAAAAAAACAATGGGGAAAATGGAAAAATTAGAAAACATCAATTTTAAGGGGACACATTTTATATCGATTCCGTTCTAAATGTTTATATTTTTAATTATACACTGGATAAATGATTCATAAACGCGGACAGGTGAAAAATAACACACATTAAATTATTTTTAAAGACTTATATTTTAAAAATGATTTTTTTTTTCAAAATTTTCTTGAATAATTAAATAATTTAAGAGGCTGTAGTAAAATTGAAAACGATAATTTGAAAAATATGAAAAGTTTGAAATATTGGTGCCCAATTTAAAAACTTTTACGACTAATTATCACTCACAAATTTGAAATAACTATATAAAATAATTTGAATATTTCAAGAGATTTTTTTTAAATTTTAATGGACTAGTTTATTTTGGTCCCACACAACTTGAATAACTTCCTCAGATTTCTAAGACAAAATAAGAATTTTCACATTTTCAGCTCATTCGAATGGCTCATTGGATGGACAACTCAATTATCATTATTTATTTCGTATACAAAAGCCATAATGTTGCTTGTCGTGTGCTATTTCTATCTCGATATTGCCTCATCAATGATGCACTGGAGCAGCACATCTGGAAGAAGGTTCGCTTTCATTCTCATTTCGTTTTTTAATGAACTGCGGACCATTCAGATTGTGCTTCGTCGCGCTTTTCCTATTGTTCACCTACTTTACCGCGTTCTTGGTGATGGGTTTCGTGCTCACCACCATTGAGCCAAAATTGGATTGTCGCGGTAAGCAACTCGAAATATGTCGGTTGCAAATACTCGATTTGCAGCGCCGTATTGGATTTGGTTCTCAGTTGGCCAATGCTTCATAGTGCAACTCATGGTCGCCTCATTTTGTCTGATCCTGAGGAGAATGAACCGAATTTCGGCCCCTGTTCAGATGCGCGCCAATCAGCGATGCGATGTCTTTGTGTAAGCATCTCGTCTGTGTCCAACCTTCTTCCATCGCTTATTTTTTCAGTTTGATGTGGTCGTTCGAAACTGCCACCATCACCGATTTGGCTTATCACATTTGCCTCTTCCTTCTCGCCGATGAGAGCATTTCAAACAGTTGCAGTGCCATCTTCGACCACGATCAGCTCCGCTATTCAATGCTCAAAATGCCTTATGATATAATCAGTTTCATCATGCCAGTGTGGGCAATCTTGTACGTGTTCCGAACACGATCAAAGAATCGATCCGACACCGATTCGGATTCAGATGTGAGTTGGAGGTGGTTCCAATTAGTATTCTAAAGGGTCTGCTATTTTGTAGTCGACAGTTTCAACACGCTCCTCGAGTGCTGCGAGGAATGTACTGATAGCTGACGTGGTGACGGTGAGGAATTGGAGACGGCGATATCGGCCGTTGACGCAGGTTCGTCGGGACTCAACATGTGCGGGGACCATATTGTTTCAATTGCAGCCATCGCCTAGCGAGCGTCCCGTGCTCCATTCCCAATGGCGACAAAATCGATCTCACTCCAACTCGAGCAGTCCGCAGCAAAGATTGCGATCCGTCTCTTCAGCTCCGATGATCCGAAGGGTGTCCGTATCGCATTCCATAGTTAGCTCTCCACTCTACAGTATCCCTGAAGAGCTGCAGAGTTCGATTCCACTCCGAATCGGCTCGTCCGAGGAAGGCGGTTCATCTCTCGAATAACTTTCAAATTCGTTGCTCATCAGCTTCAAGCAATTTCGGGTTCATCTTGTCTATTTCGTTTCGTGTACATATTAATAAATTTTGTGCAATTCTTCCAATTCCTTTTCCGGAAGCGGGTGCATATCGGTGGCGATATTTTAATACGGAATTATATGTAATATAATCGGATAAACCGCAAATTGTGTGAAGTTTGTTTAACATAAATCCAATCGGATTAGCAGCGAAGCGTGCCTTCTGCAAAATTGTTTGGAATACGGTATTGAATATACGATAAATCATTTGATGGTTTGAGATATTCATTTTACCGAGGTAGATAACACATATCGGACCCGATTCTCCCCTTCATTTCTCATTCCGAAATAAAAAACCAAAAAGTTTTCCAACGACCTCCCGCATAATGAATAATTAACCAAGTCGGCTCGTGACCATCCAAACTCGACACAGAATTATGATTTATATCTGAATGAGAAAATGGCATTTTGGCTAGGAAGCTGTAATCGTTTGAAATTGTTTCCAAAAAAAATCCGCGCAAACTTGCGCCTTTAAGTTTGGTCTCGACACTTGACATATTGATTCTTTAAAGCTTGGACAGGAGCTTGGATACGTCAATCATTTGTAACGTCAAAAATAGTGTGCCTCATAATCCGGAGACTGCTGGGTTTGAAAGCTAAGACTGATTCACTTGACTACTTGTGAGCTCCGGGAAATGGATGTTTTGAATACAGATGTATAAAAAATGATCAATATATTATTTAAAGACATTTTTCCTCAAACCTCCAAATGTTAAGGAGGCGAGTTGCGAACACTCGGGAGTTGAACCCGAGCTTCGGACGGACCATTTTCATTTTTAGCTCGCCCTCTTCGTTTGACCCAAAATTCGTTCGGCTTAAAAGTTTTCCTTTTTTGTTTATCAAAAGCTGATTAACGCAATTTTTCAGAACTTTATTCGATTTTCTGTTTGCATGTCGTAATTCTATTTCAAGAAATACTAATTTATTTTATAATAAATTTAGGATTTCGAATATAACCAAAAAATACTTATGGACTTACTTATTGATAAAAATGCCACATTTCTCTAATTCCAATATATGAAATGCACATTTTATGTAATTTTTCATATTTTGTTAAAAAAAAAGTAAATTTTATTTGTAAGATCTCTAATTATTTTTGTGTTACCGGCGTCAAATTTTGTAAAATGTTCGTGCTTTACAGATTAAAAAAATACTCTGAAACCATCAAAAAACTTTTAAAACCATGTGAAACAATTTTTTTAAATCAAGAATCTGAATGTTGTATTATGCGTTTTGCCGGTATCTTTTTAAGATCCTCTCACCATTCCAAAATCTTCTTGCTATGATCAGACTGTCCATATTTAGTCTTCAAAAGTTATTGATGAAGCTACAAATTTGTCGAGATGATGACAAAAATTCGATGGATTATGTTTTAAGCCGTTCAACTTTAAAAGGAATCCGCCGTTCATAGTAATTCCCTCCACGAGATTTATTTTCTCTCGTCTTCTGCTCGGTGTGCATTTATCCTTCCATTCATCCGAAGAGAAAAAAGGCTTGAACAATTCATGAAAATGTTGCGTTTTTTCTTCTGCCTATTGTGTTCGCTTTTTTTTCGTCCTTCTCTTCATCCGCCACACATTCTCCAACGACGTCTTCTGCCCAAGACTCTGCGCATTATTGGCATCGCATGCACCGACAGGAGGACCTTCTACCACGTGCCCGTCAACTGCACTCCGGATTTGTCGTCTCTCAATGTGTGCTCTCTCGCCGCACCTGGTGCTCTCTAATCGCATATTCTCTCGTTCCACCGTCTCGTCGGCTGCGTCGCTCTCGTGAACGGTTTTGAAAAAAGCGGGGACTCGCTGAAAAAAAAAAACAAAAAAAAACGAACAGGAGAGGCCTTTAAGATGGAACCTTGATAATTCCTGCTCAGATGCGAGCTAATGTGTGGGAATTGTTTCGAAAAATAACCACGTGAAAATGATGGAAATATCAATTCTTAATTTTGAAAATAATTCATTCAAATGCAAATTATTTTGGTCTTTTAGCCAGCTGCGTTTTTTCTTAGAAACAGACAAAATTAGAAATAAATCGTGAGCAGACTTGCAAATAGTATCTAATCTAAAAAAATCCTGATAACCATAGTTTTATAAAAAATGTTCGTCATCTAATTTCGACGATTCTTGACTGATCGAATTCGTCGCCACTTCTGTTAATTTTGGTGAGCAAATCGACAATTAAATATTCGTTTTTTTTTCCATAAAACTTCAATGAAACATCGAAATTAATAATTCAAATTTTCGCGTGACCAAATCAGCTGCCATTCTTATGTTAGATTAATTCAATTTGCGATAACGTCAAATTGTAGCAGAATGTCATTTCTACATTTTTCAATTCAACGAGACCCAACCAACAAATTCAAAAATGTTAAAGTGATTCGCTGAAACAAATGAATTCAAGAATCCGGGAGAGTTCTGCGGGTTAGTGAAACTCGATCCTATCCGTATGTAGTCTGAACAAAAGCACCATCTTCAATGGTCCCGGGAAATATCATAAGGTTATATATATATATATATGTATATAAACATTTAAACATAAACAAACATTTTTTTCAAGTCTCCTACTACCCGCCTTCAGCTTATAAATATTCATGCTAATCTTGGTAGTGCGAGAAGGACGGCACTTGAGAAACTTTTCTCTTCCACCGTGGTGTTCTTCATCATATCATTTTTATATTTTTCGTTGTTTTTCATCAAAATATATGTCGTCTTTTCGTCCGTCAGTTTTTAGTGCAGTTTTTTTCGCTTCTTCTTCTTCTTCTTCTTTTCCTTTTATGGAGTAGAGTGCGCGCGAGGCGGAGAGACGCAGAGAGCCTAGGGTTGGCGACGTGAACGACGCGAGGGAAGACGAAAAAAAGTGTTTCTATCGAATTGCAACATTCTCTTCCAATTGGCATAGTGCCCACAAGACTACACACACACAGGGCACAATTTTTTTTCATTACTCTCCGACAGGGTCGTGAGAATTTTATAGATTTCCTTCCGTTACGTCCACTAGTTCGAATTTCTAGATTTTCAATTTTATTGAAGGAACGTCTATCATTATTCTTGATCCTCAAATTCTCAACGAATGTACGTTCCCTGGTTTTCAGCCGTCTGACGTCTATATTTTTAAATAGATCTTGAAGTTCTTTAAAAGATTCCTTGAAATGTGTTTCATTCAATTCAATGGATTACATCAGCCATTCAATTCTCTCAATTTGCATAACTATGCTCATTTTTTGATTGTCCATTTGTTAGGCATAAAAGACGCATAATTTCATCTCTCATCGTCATTTGACCCCTTCTTACGGTATTAATGTGCCGCATCAACGATTGAACAGTTTGGTTTGATTTCTAGGCTTTCGCATGCATTCGCGAACATCTGGCACTGAGCTGTCATGCTCACATTCGCGAAAAAAAATGAGCGAATTGGTTTCAAATGTGCGAAAATTTATTGAAATCGAATGTTGAAAATGTTCCACATTTTTTCATGTTCAGTTGAAAAAAACACAATACTACTAATCGCCAAAAAAATGAGCAGCCTGCGCCGATTTTCAGTGAGTTTGACTCGTAGGTTATCCGTAGTACGGCAGCCGAATTTCCCCTGTTTAAATTCAAATTTGAATTACCGCCCTCGGAAAACTGCGATGGTCCACAATTACTCAGGATGCTATTTTTTTTTAATTTTAAATTGTGAAGAAACTTAGAATATCTATCAGCCGGCCCTTTAAAATTTTCCGTTTCTTTCAATTCGATTTGTCTTTATTGCAGGATAGGTTTTTTGGTCCAAGAACCGTGGTTACGGTATGAGATGATTTGTCCAGTCAAGACTTATTCAATCGTTAACCCATGAACACTGTAGATACATACTCTCTTAGTTTACACTTTAAATAAGTATTCAAATGTCCGTAATCTATTTGATATATATGAATTAACAACTATCTCCCCTCCTCTAGCTCTCATCGACGCAATTCAAGTATGGATTACAGAAAAGTGGGCGGAGTGTGTGAATATTCGTTTTCGAGACGTCAGTCTCCCCCTTCCCGCTCTCTTCATTATTCGCCTCGTTCGAGTGCATATTGTTCTCCCAATCTGAACTTGAAACGTTTTTTTTCTTGTGTTTCATTTTAGAAACTGTGTAAAACCGTTGTCAAGGTCGTAAAATGCAACATTGCAACAAAATCTTATGGGTGGTTTGGGGGATAGTAAAAATCAGAAACAGCAAATGGTGAGGAAAAAGAGAGAGAGAGAGAAACATATATATTGATATAAAAGAACACCTAAACGACTATCCGATTTTAATTCATTTCGATTTTCCCGTTATCCGCCCGCCTGCGACTTCCACGATCCATTTAAGACAATTTCATTTGGCGCCGAGGACTGTATTTGTATATAATGTATATACATACATACATGTGTGTGAGAGAGAGAGAGAGAGAGGTGAAGATTCGCCCGAACGAGGTGGTGAAGGGTGGAGGGAGAGAATTCGAGTGAATTCACTCATTCGAGTGTAAATGTTTGTCTTTTGTCGCGCCGATTTTTTGCGCGGCGCTCGCGCGCAATCTCGTGGCCTGCGGGCGCTTCGCCCCGAATGTCTGTAGTGTGTTGTTGTAATGCGCGAGAATAATGATTGCGGGGGCGCCGAATATTGTCGCGCTTTCCATTTTTGGACAAGTGCCAACCCTTCTCGCCGTTTTTCCCCCCATCGAACTGTTCTACACCACGGTATTATTAGATAATTGGAATTCGGCACTAGGCGTTTTTTGTTCAACAATTTTGATTCGGGACCACTCAGTTTTAGCTCTCTACTTAAATTTGACAAGAATTATTGCCTGTTGCTCAATTTTTTAGTTATTTGAAATAAAAAAGTAACAATAATATGTACAGATGATGTGCGTGTCCGAAAATTAAAATCACTTTCAGATTTTATTTCGACTCGCATTTTTATCAGCAGTATTTCAAAAAAAACCTTATTTATTGATTATCGTACTTTTTTTGAGGCGGCAATTCAAATTTGAATTTAAGCCGTGGGGAATTTCGCTACCGTACTCAAACTCACCGTATATCGGCGCAGAACACTCGTTTTTTTTTTGTGATTGTCTTGTCGGCATCACGCGATTGTGAAAAATTGGCTAGTTGCCAAAAAACAATGACAGCGGTCTTGGCGCCAAACAGAAAGTGTAGATTTACGGCTTAAGCATAGGGATAGGTTAAAGGCACATATCGCGCACCGAGGCCACTCCCAGAATTCTGTTGGCATTTTTCCATTTTTCCGTAATCACGCATCGCTCGATACATCGCTCGATAAGACATTGAGATAACGCGAAGGTTTTCAGCCTGCACTGAATAAATTTATAAAAACAGAGTCCTCATGCCCGAATTTGAAAATCTAGTATGTTGGCCGGACCTTTCACTTTATTTTCACCCTAACACTGCAGATGGGAAAATGACAAGAAATGGTTGAAATGCGGATGAAAAATGGTTCAAACTTTGAAAATATCTGCTTTTCATCCGCTTTTTAGCATTTGTTTGTTGCTTTCAGACTTTTTAAATTTTCGCCTTCGTTATGATTTTATGTCGTTTGTGCTGTACCTCAATTTCAGATATTCTCGCTGCGATTTGATCGTCATTCTGAAAACAATTGGTTTCAATGACTTCTTCTCACCACAACCAAGAAAATGATTCCTCCATTCGTTATAGGTCCCCACTTCCAATTTCTATGAGGAGGAGAACGTGGGGGGGGGCTATTCTGAAAATGGGAGGGGGCGTGTTCTTGGCTGTAGAGAATCTACTACGTAGTGGGAGTGGGAACCAAATCAGCGTTTTCGCCGTCCCCGCCCCTTTCAAAAATTTAATTCGTTTCAAAACCACGGCGAGTTTTGTGCGAAACCTTTGCATCTGTTTTTTTCTTTTTACGACACACACATGAGAAACTCCATTGTCCAACCACAAGATCTACCTCATTAATATTTGAAACACAAAAGTCGGTGAGGCGTTGAGAAAACGAATACGTGTCTTGCGTCATATTCTTCTCGTTGTCCGCAGATGCTTGAAACGAATTCCAGCTGCTAAGTACATCTTATAAAAATGCGGGATATGATCAATTTCGAAAAAAAAACATGCGCTTTCGATCAGATCAAGATCTCGAATTCTATTATTTCAAAACAAAAACCCCGAATGCTCATTTTGAGAATTTGTTATACAATAGCGAGACGTTCATTGAATGTCCGATAACTCCAAACTTCATTGCTGCTGCAACAGCGAAATATAAATATTAGTCTATACCAATTTTTTTCTCTTCCAGACCCTATCTTGGAATGGCGAAGTGTATTTGTAACAGTTGAGGCCCCTCTCTTCTGCGAGACCCAAATACAGATTAACACTATGCTCCTTTCATTCATTGTTTACGGCCTCCCTCTCTCTCTCTCTCTCTCTCTCTCTCTCTCTCATCTTCCAACCCAACTCAGATGTCTGTTGTCGCTGTAAATCTAGACATAGTCTGTCACCTGTTACCTGCCATTTCACCTCTCCCAACAAAAAAAGGTTTCTTTTTTTCAGTCATTTTCCCAGGCGCCTCGACGAGTGTAAATACTCCCGTCCATCTCCATGCCCCCTTTCACTCTCTCTCTCTCTCTCTCTCTCTCTCTCTCTCTCTCTCTCTCTCTCTCTCTCTCTCTCTCTCGCTTTCTCTCTTATCTCCATCTCGACCATCATCATCATCATCATCATCATCATCATCATCTCCTCCCGGGAAGAGTCTATCTCGCCGAGTCTCGAACATGGCGACCGATTGGGCGCGACCCCCCTTGTGTTTGTGTGTGTGTGTGTCGTCAACAAAATATGCTACTTTCTTTTTTCGTTTTTTTTCGCATTCCCGCCGTATGATCGGGATTGTGTCTTACTGTCTGCGCACTCCTCATTGTCCGCACTCTATGGCTACCCAATTTTCCCGTATTTTTTGTGTCTCTCTGAGTCTGTGTGTATGTCTCTCTCTCTCTCTCTTTGTATTTACAGACCCCCAATTCATTTTTTCTTCTGCAATGTTTTTGTGTTTTGCTTGTTTTTTGTTTTTTTTTTCTCCACCAATCGCTGGTAATCAACAGTTACCAACGAATGTCAGAAAAAAAAATGTCGCAAATCCGCGCGCACCTCGCCGATTATCGCGCTCGACGTTCAATGAAAAAATTGGTGTCGAAAACTCAATTTTCCCCCGAAATAAAAAAAATGGTTCTCTCATTTTATTTCGATTCGATTCAATTATGTTTCGCGCGTTTCGTACACGTGATGATGATGATACTTCGACTGATAACGTATCAGAGAGTTTGGCGCAAAAATAGTGACCATTAGGGTGTGTAGAAGCTTTGCAAGCTCCATATTCCTTGAAAACTACTCCTACAGTACCTACATCGAATGACGTTTTGATGTCAGATCGAATGGCTGCCGAATGCTCTCCTTCGAATCAGAATCATAAGACGAAGTTGTTCCATTTTTCAGTCCCTAATTATTCCGGAATAAGTTGTTTCAATAACCAAATTCAATTCGCCGCCAAATCCGATTATGCTTTTGCTATATCAACACCAGCGCACAAGAAGGCCCTCATCGTTGGCCTTTAACCCTGTCTAGACGATTCCTTTAATGGTATTCAACCTCAATTCAGTGGTGAGAAAAAGCAACGATTTTGCCGTTGTCCGTTTTGCATTTCGATATTTGCTCAACCAATCGATGTCTTTTCGAAAAACTTCCCCCCCCCCCCGTCTGTATACGTACGACACCTCTTTGCGCGCTGCTGTTGCTTCATTTCGTTCCGTTTTCGAATCGATACAGTTTTTGCTGGTAATCGAATTAAAGCGAAAACGAAGTGGCAAGACTGGACGATGTGGTGAGACGAAGAGAAAAAATTCTCTTTCGAGAGAGAGCACCATTTCTACTTCATCATCCATCATCTCTTCCATGTGTTACAATTAGATTCGAAAAAAAACGATGACATGGTTAGAATAGTCATGTCGAGATTTTTTTTATTGTGGAAAAAAACGACAGTTTCATGTTTTCGCTGTGAGACCGATTTCCAGACCGAATCAATCACACGATTCGAAAAAGTTGAAGCTTATTTTAATTTCAACTCAAGATTTTCGAGAATTCAAATAATTACCGTAATTCTGATTTAGATTGTCCCAAGTCCTGATTTCCAGCTTCTTGCCACAAAAAACCTTCTTCTGATATCATCTAATTGAGGGGACCTTCGATTTTCAGAGTTCGAAAAGGTCTTCGCAACAAACCCCTCAATTAAATTCAACCAATCCGAAAATAATCTCAAATCTTGACTTGTTCATATCGCCTTTTTTTTAAAAGAAACCAAAAACATTTTTTTTCGATTTCCTGCGGCGAGTTTAATAACATGGTTCTCAAGAAAAAATCACATGTTCGAAGCCATTCAAAAAATCATATTTAATTGCATAGTACTTGAAAGAAAAACGAGTCAAAAATCGGATCGGATGATGTGATTTTGGCGTTTGTGTACACCCTTCTAACAAAAAAAAAAAGAATTGCAAGCCGGCATGTTTTCGAATTGATAACACCGTGACGCATATCATTCCCACTATTTTGTTCCCCTTCCTTTCTACAAATTGTATTATCGTGAGCATACTAGATTCTTTCGCCTATTCGTTTTCGGTAGTCCATGTTTGCATTCCTAACATATGCATAGTAACATATTGAACCTAGTTCAAATAGTTGCGCACGATGTCATTCTTCAACCAATTCGATGTATGCCTAACAAGATACTGTAGCAATCGCTCAATTCTGTTCCTCGATTTCTGGTCATATGTACTGGCCATGTGTGCCAATGCCCAATTCATGTCGATTTCGATCGACTGATCAAAATTTTAAAAATTGACTAGGTGTCAAGCGGTTTCGAACTAATGACTGTGGGCAACGCTAAATTTCGAAGTTCGTAAATCTACTCTGATTTTGCGAATCCCTCTCTCATTAGTGGTTTGAAACCGAAAATACCTAATTGAACTAAATTTGCCTTTAAAAAAACATGAGCCCCTTTTCCGACCCACAATTTCCATTCAATATGTTTCTCGTATGGGCCACCCGAATCTTGAAAACATGTTCTCAAATTGATTACGAACGAGAAAAAAATTGGAGTAGAAGAAGACGAAGGAGGAGAAGGAGTAGGAGGCGGTGATGTGACGGCGAAGACGCCCGGGGGGCCGCGCCACACACATACACATTCATACATACTATTTCTGCATTCGTTCGCTTGTTAACAATCCTTGGTTCGTTATGCCTCTTTATATGGTAATTTTCAGCAACGAATGTTTGCTCCGACGTCGGTATATGCCTATCCGCATCACAACTCGGCGGCAGATGATGACGATGGGTGAGTAGGTTTGGTTTGATTTCGCTTTTCGGTGGAAATGACACCAATATGTTGACATTGGCAAATATGGAGCACGTGATTTATCAAAAGATAACGAACATATTCTTTGAGGAGTTCTCCACAAAACTTTTTCGAGATTCATCTTCGAATGCAACATTGTAGGCGTCATTACAGTAACCGTTGCCTTTATCCATTTTCCACCCACTCATTCACCTGTTCAACTTAATCATAATTTTAAAAAATTTTCGATTTCAGGTCGATGAGCATGCACAATAATGAAGGTAAAGGGCAGTGCATGGTTTGCGGGGATCGGTCAGCCGGCAAGCATTATGGCGTGATGGCGTGCTATGGATGCAAGGGATTCTTTCGACGGACCATTCGATCCGCACAGACATATGCTTGCAGGTTTCAGCAAAAGTGCTCTATTGATAAAGGTGGGAAATTGAAATCAATTTTTTTTTGGTTGTTATCACGTATTCGAATTTTTCAGATCAGCGAAACGCATGCCGATATTGTCGATTTCAACGATGTCTGAATGTGGGTATGGAGCCCGAAGCGATTCGGCCGGATCGCGATGTCATTGGGAAGCAGAAGAATCCGAGAAAGAAGAAGATGAAGAGCGATGAAGCTTCTTCTCTACCTTCGCCGGGATGCGACTCACCGGCTTCGAACAACGAGGATGCCATTATCTCATTCCTGATGGACATTGAAGAGCAGGCGTCGGGCGGTCGGATGTCGTCGGAAACGCCGATCGGCATCAACATTGTCAAATCGGATCCGGATTTCGACGCGGCGACACTATTCCATAGTCAGTTCATCAGAAGTCAGGAGACGTTTCAGGTAAAAGTGACCCTCAACAATGGTCGTAAAACAAAACAACACGACCCCCTTTTTACTCCGCCAATCTCCACCAATGTCATGCAGTTTTACAACCCAATAAGAGTTAATTGCATGAAAAACGAAAAGGAGTGTGCGGCCGGCGGCCGTCGGCACTATGCGTGTCTGCCAAACGGCGTGTCCTCATTTCGATTATCATGAAATACAACAATGAGAATTGTTCAAAACGTAGTAAAAAAAATGTTCTAATTTGCGGTAACGACAATTTTTGTTTGAAATACGTCTAGAAAATATAAAAAATATCAAAAAAATAAAAAATAAAACAACGACACTCCACGTGAACACTATATGCCCGTTTTTTAGCATAAATCTTTTTAGAAGAATTCTGCGTGTCCCATGAGATATTTCTTGTCACTTTTTTTCAAATTGCGGAATTATTGATTTTACTTCACTTAATTTTTCTCGTATTTCAAAATATTTTCAATGATAACTTTAAAAAAAGCACGAAAAACTTAAAATTATGAAGAATTCTACCATGGTCATTTTCACCTCAAATATTTGAAAAAAAATAGAATTAATACAAAAAAAATTTTAAAAAAATTGATTCACGGATCTGAGCGGTTTTCTTGGGGTTTTTCAACTTTAAAATTACTTTTTTCTTTCAGATAAATTATTGCGCTGGTCGTTCTGCTTCTGTTGAGAAACTAATTGAAGCTCTTCGACGCTATGTTTTATCCGCCGTTCATTGGATAGACGCCTTATTCGGACTGGCCAATTGCAGCGACGTTAACGAGAAGGTGTGCCTTCTGAAATCGATAATCGGCCCTTATACGGTATTCAACATCGCCGCGCGAACCGCGCAAGTCTCCGACGCCGACGTCATTTGCCTTTGCAATCGGAGTACGGTGCCACGACATCCCGCGCGCCATCTCCTTGATACCAAGTAGGCGCCGGCCCCAAATGACAGATAATGATAATGTTGCTGTATGTATATTGCAGTCTTGTCAGCAACAATTTTGTGGGGCGCGTCATCGACGATCTCGTGATTCCGACGAAAAAACTGCGACTCACCAACAATGAGATAATCGTTCTGTCAGCGCTAATCATCTTGGAGCCTGATGTGCGTGGCCTGTCGCCGGAAACCACAATGGCGCTCTCCGGTCTCAGGGATCGAGTACAAAATGCATTGTTTAATGTAATTTTTCTCTTATAAAAACATAGTAAAATATAAAATAATATAATTTAGATGATACGAGATAGCTTTCCGAATATGCAGCAAGTTACGAGTCGATTCGGAAATCTCTTATTATTACTCCCACCATTAGCGGTATTCTATAGAATTTAATGAAAATCGACTTGAAATGGTATTTTTGCAGAAGTTAAGCTCGCTTATCGGTGAGAACGTACAACTGGCAATGATGTTCGGCATTTCGATCGACTCGCTTCTCGTCGAACTCTATGCTGACATCAATCAACCCGAGGTGATCTCGACGAGCTGTTCGAGCCGTGACAAGAGCGACGTCTCCACACAGACAAATGTCGAAGGGCAGCTTGTCAGTGTGAAGGAAGAAGGAGACGAGACGCCAAATTCGAGCACCGAGGAGAATCCCAATGTGGCAAATATTGCTGCGGACATTCTCGGACTACTTCCAACGTTCGATATGTCAACAGTTGGTAAGTTATTTGTTCTCCAAAATGCTTCCCCACCCAATATAAATTCATAAATAAAACAAATCCCCAGCAGTTATATATGAACAACTTTTTTTTCAGCCAATTGTCAATCAATGTTGCCTCCTGCCAACTCCTACAGTAATCCATTCTATTTCCCACCAAATACGGAAGGCTCGAGTCAATTTCTACCGCATTCAGCACCGGTTCTGCCCAACACCTACTCGAACACATTCTTCGATAACACGAGTGTCCAAACCACTAGTACACCTCAAAATCAGCAATTTCAATTTTCTTAAAAAAAAAGAAATAAATGGACCAATAAGTAGTATATACATTCACCTCATACGATCTTAAACTAAAAATTCCACATTTTTTGGCATAATTGCTGTTTTTTTTTCTAATTTTACTTTGTTTTTCTTTTCAAATGGTCTTCGATTAATTCATTCAGGAATAAGCAATTGTTTCGTAGGAATTGATTCGAATAGTTGTAGTTTTGCAAAACAAGAACAAGATTTACATATAGTTTAATATAGTTAATAGTTACGGTTTCAGTTGTTTCTTTTTTGAATTGTATATATGCCCAAATCACCAAAAGCAGTTCAATTCATTCAGTTTTACTTTAAAGTTGTTTTTTTTTGCCAGTTTTCAGGCATTTTCCCCACAATTTTCATGGTTTTTTTTTGTCCCAGTGAGTAGAATATCCAATTTGTTTGATATAGTCCTCTTTCGCCCGTGTACAGATATAAATTGCAAAAAATAAATAATTGTATTTATTGTTGAATCGGTTTTTTCTTCTTTGATACCCGTAGCCGTTTCGATCGAAGAAAAAAACTGAACGGCCGCGAAATTGGCGGCCACGTAAACTAGTCCGTGGAATGATTCAGCGAATTTCCGCAAACCATTCCGACATTTGACGATCACAATCCTCATCGGTTGTCTGAAAATCTTAAAATGCCTTTCAAATGATGAGTTTCTGACCTGCGAATGAATATTTGGATAAACTAAAAAGTAGAAAAGACAAAATATCACGAATCCAATGAAGAAGAGCATCTGAATAATTAATAATATACGGAAATCAATTTAAAAATAATGAGACCTGCGTAATCCAGTGGAATCTATGCATGAACGTTGGTGAGAATTCGATGCAGCCGCTAGATTTTGGAACGTCATCTGAAATGTTGCCTTTCCAAAAGTTTTGAATCGAAAATTCTTCGCATTACCTTTCGCTCTATTTTGTCTACAAATACTCGGAGTATCAGGGTATTCGACTGGCGTGTAGACGTCTGGAGGAGCTAACGACGATCTGAAATATTATCAGTAAGCTTTGGAACGATCACTAGAATGTACGGCTTGTATCGATTATCATATCTGGATTCATGACAGCATTGCGCTTCTGGCGAGTTGATTCCATTGACAATCTTTAGCATTGGCAGCATTCCGGCAGCGACAATCGAAGTATCTCTGAAAGTTTGCAATTCTGAGAATTTTAGTTAAGTTGTATTGATGAGGGGAATTCGATGTTGGTTGGGTAATAAATGCATGCAATTTTTTTTATTTTCAGACGTCGTCTGAATGTAGAAAAATGGCTAAATGAAAAATGGTCAATGAAGAAAAAAAAAGTAAAAAAATAGAAAAAAAATGAAGAATATTTCGTGCTGAAAAAAAAAGATTTTGCTTATTTGTTTTTTCCACAATAAAATATTTTCTTTATTTTTTATTTTCTATGCATTGCCCCATAAAAATTGAGGAAGAGGTCTTCGTGCGATGACCTATGATGTGCTCCTTTAATTTTTATCTAAATTTTTATTTATTTTATCATTTTTAAACGTTTGAAAATTCAATCATTTTCTCTCGCAACTTATGTTTTGGAGTTTTTTTTGTTCATTTGTCTTATTGGAAAAATATTAAACGTTTGACGCAACGAATAATAATTAAAAATGAATCAGCGAAAACGTGCAAGCAGTGCAGTTCATGCGAAATCGCTCACAAATCCAATTTTGCACCGGCCGACGCGCATCTTCTCAATTGTGGCAGATTGGCGGCGTCGAGACGAGTCAGAACACGCTCGTCGCCGTGCTTCGACATTTGATAAATCGAACCGCTGATATTAGTTAATGGTTAGAGAGCAATCAATATGAAAAAACAACGTTGAGAATAAAATGATAATCGTTTAAAGAATGATCTCTGAGTTCCCGAAACTTTTTAAAACTACCGGTACGACACTCCATTCACACATTGCCTTCAATTTAGCGCGTCGGGCGACTTTTGTTTCAACTAATTGAATTTTTTCGCTGTTTGTCCCAAAATGTTTGGCGAGTTACTCCAAACCAAAGTGTCCTCTTCATCCCGAGCGGATCGCTGAGAATAGCTGGTACCTTGTAATTAGAAGACGTTGGCGCATATATTTCACAACTGCCAGCTTGATCAGGGACAAGAAGACGATGCAGAAGCAGACCCCTGAATCTCTCGAATTTCGAGATTTACAGAAATTTCCAACCTAAATAGACGTCCATTGCTTTGATGTAACTCACTCTGGGCATCACTTCATTATAAGAGAACAACAGGAATGTTATAGTTAGAATAATCGATATCATATCCTGAAATGGGTGGTTGGAAGAATGTTCTAGAATCTGTCTGAACCTGGAATGAGGTCTCATTTTCCATCCACAACGAGACCCATGAGGTGATGACCACCGCAGTTGATGGAATGATCAATTGAAGGAAGCAGAAGCCAGCAGCTCGATTGAAAACAAAACAGACATAAAGGCGGGAATACTCGCCAGTTGCATAGGTCTCGACACGATTTGTCACATAAGCCTCGCCTATTTGGAAGTCGGGTAGTCGGATTTTGTGAAGAATTAATGGCTGGATTTCGCCTTGAGACCACATATATTTAACCTGGTCAGCAGTGTATCCATCTGGAAAAAAGCGGGATTTAAGATACGTGAATGAGTATATGAAAATATATTTTAGTACAGCTCTCAAAGCCCATTTTGCATAATTGGGAGTCGAATGGGAACAGCGTGAGATCCATTCCGCAGGTTAGGATCAGCGATAATCGACGACTGTAGAGAATGCTTCCATTGTTTCGAAGTCGAAGAAGAGAACGATGGGTGATCGATTGTCGGCGAGGATTTTTCGAGGATATCGCGTTCGGCACAAACGTGTCAGGATGCCAAAGGAAGTTTGAATAGCTCTCGTGAAGTGAGATCTCAGTCTAGAAGCGATTGCCATGAATGGAATTTAAAAGACGCAACACCTTGTTTTTGAATTTTGCTTTGCTATATTTCAATCTCGGGTCTCGCCAAGACTCCCGATAGAACATCTCGATCGAGTAATCCATTGTGACTTCAGACACCGAACGAATGTTGCTCACAACAATTGATACATTTACTTTAACAGGTCCTGCAACGAATCTCATTTGGTAGCATATCAAATGTCTACGTATTTATGCAATATTACCATCATTTTCATCATCAGGAACCTGCCTATGATCGTATTTAATACTTCTCAAGAATTGCAGAAAGTCATGTGTTTCTCTAAAAGTGTTGTTTCGAATGAAGTTTTCAAGAGAATTTACCCCTGTTCGAAAATGCTCGCCTTATCATATATGGCATCTTCGATATCATCTTGGTAATCCTGCTCGTCCGAATCGCCAGAGTTCATCTTTTTCTTTAAACGAATGGCTGCTCGAACGCCGACACATGCCTAAATAAGGTTGGAATGAGGAAATGAGCAGAAACTCACCGGAATCAAAATCGAGAAAATTAGCAGAAGAGCCGTTGTATTGAGCCGCATTCTGAAATTCAAAATGATATCAGCAGAAAGGAAAAAAAAAAAAACAACAGAATTGGATGGCGGTGTTCACCCTGGTTGAGAAAAAAAATTGGTTGAGAAAAATTCCTTTTGCGAAATGACACCACAACAGGCCTCCCGCAGTGCAATTTGACTCAAAATGAGCATACAAACGTCCGAGAGTAGCATTATAGCTCCCAACGGAGCTGAGCATAAGCAGAGCGAAGCGAATAAATAAAAAAATTAAGATATGATATCAAGCAGGTGATTATAAAATGCTACCGTACTCCGGAATCAGGCCCATAAAATTGTTGCGAGCGCAACAATGTGGTTTCGCGGCGAAAAAAAAACTCATCAATGGGTTGTCGTAAAAAATGAATCCGATGCCAAATAATGTGCGTCATGAGTTTGAATTGGGCCGGCGCCACAAGATGTTGAAGGAGGACGAACGATGGGAAATAAATCAAACCAAACTCGAAATGCTCATTTTCGAAATTAAATTATTCAAAAATCTCGCCTAGCAGCTGCTTCTAGAAAAAACCAGAAGTGACTGCAGATAAAAATCATGCACTCAGCATACATATTTATATGTATATATAAAATAGACAGCAAATATATTGTGTGTTTCGGGTAAAAATGGCTACCAGAATCATTCGCTATAAGACCCAGCTCACTTTCTGATTCTGATAGCCCTAATTTTTGGGACCCAAACTATATGAATAGGAGAAAACTTGTTAAAAAGCATTTACGCAAAACGACGTCCGTGATCCTATAGAGTAAGTATAGTTGATTAAAAGTGTCTAATCTGGTGAGGGAGGGGACGGGGGACCAATTTCATTTCAAAGCTTTAGTTGGAAATTGTCCACAGTTGACTTTTGAATTTTTAAACCCTATTAAAAGTGCACGAGTAAGTATAGGGTTTCAGTTGTCAAGAAAAGTATATTTCAAATGCACTTCTTCGATTTTTTTGTTGGAGAAGAAAAAAAACAGAAGCAATGGATGAACATTTTGAGCAAATTTGATATATTTATACGAGGGTGTAGGCGTCGGCGGAATGAGAGTTTTGGTCAGAAACATCTGTTGCACAATGACACCCAACGAGTTTAATGACGAATTGTGATTTTTCCACATTCGAATGAAAAAAAATAGAACAATGCGTTTGATAAAAACCATACAACTCACGGGAACAGCTAAAGCCATTGAAACGGAGCTTTTGGTTCTTTGATTTTCTGCAAAAACAAGGGCACTGAGATTGTCTTTCCTGATAAATTGTTGTTCTTTTTTTTGGAGTTCAAACAGCAAACAAAAAAAAATAAGCTGTCGATTTTCTCGCGGCCTGAGAAACAATCAAAACTAACAAAAAACCACCTGCGAGATATTGAATAATACAACGAAAATAGAGAAAAATCGTTCAATTTTATTATTTTTGCCAATATTCTGAGTTTTAATCTCTTTTTTTGAGTTAAATTTCAAATCGGTAAAATTATGAAACAATTATTATGTCTCAATGAGTATAATCAGATTTGAATGGTAAGTTTATTTTATTTAAAGCCATAATTTGGCAATGATAGTGGTATGGTAATATTATTCTTCGTTAAATCACATCGGCGTCCACTGAGCGCTCACTTCAATACCGTCATTCGTCGGAATCCAGTATGTGATCGGTACCCGCGAATTTCTGAGCACCGCTCAAATTCAAATTCGCTCGCCTTTTAATTTTTTCCGAAGAAACCCCTTGAGTAGGTTTCATTTCAAACTCTAAAATTTCTTAGAAATATTTTTCTAGAACGCGCTTCATCCATTGCAACTAACAAAAGGACACAAATTGGATGAAAAGTGGATGGAAAATGGTTCAAACCAGGGCTGTGCGGCAATCGGAAATTTCGCAAATTCGGCAAATTGCCGAAAATCAAAATTTCGGCAATCCGGCAATTTGAAAAATCGGCAATTTCGGCAATTTCGGCAATAGTGTCGAACAGCCCTGGTCTGAACTAGTTTCGAATTATCGTTGAAAACATTTAATTTTGATTTTCGGCAATGGAATTGCCGATTGCCGAAATTGCCGATTTTTCAAATTGCCGAATTGCCGAAATTTTTATTGTCGACAATTTGATGTCGGAAAAAAAATCGACGAAACAAAAATCAATGTTCATTGAATAATTTGGGATACCGTGAAAATTCGGTATTTATATTTCGAATTATCGTTGTAAAAATTAGTTGCCGAAATTTCCGATTGCCGCACAGGTCGATTTTACAATTTCGAAAAATAAAACCTTCAAACTCGATATGTCGTTAAAGCTATCCAGCGATTCGATCGAGACGATCTGCCGACACTTTTTGGTTTGGAATAACAAGTCAAACATTTTGGGAAAAACAGGGGAAAGATTCAATTGGTCGAAACAAAATACGCTAAATTGAAGGCGATGTATGAATGGAGTGTCGTACTGGTGGTGTTAAAAGTTTTGGAAAATCAACTTTAAACTAAAACCAACCGCGGTTCGCCGTTTAATAATTGTTGATTTATATAGTCTTAATTATACATATTTTAAGAAAAATGCTCAATCGTAGAACGGAACGAGCTGTAAAGTGAAAAATTCAACTTCGCTTCGAAAAACAACCAACGGAAAATATGTATATTCAAATGAGATACGCGTTTTTTTGGAGGTTTTTTTTTTGGTAATGGCGTTTTCACACATTTTTTGCGTGCTACCATTTATTTCTGTTTTTCTGATTTCTTAAACTTCGAGTGATAATAAATCAAAGTCAAAGAACAATAATAAATATGTTTGCGAGGAATCCCAAAAAAATCAGCCGTCACCGCTGTTTCGGCTGCGATTCAAATTATTTTCTTATTTCTCGAAAATTTTCGGGTTAAAAAAAATTTCAATAGACTCTTTTTCAATAAAAATGGCAAAAATCTCATCAGCCAACAGAAAACCGCAAAAATAAACGAGAAGACATCTTGAAATTTTATAATTTTTTTCGCTATAGACTTATACTTAGATTGTGACACATTTTCCTTTAAACTTTTTGTTTCTTCAATTCCCGATATTGCGAAATTTTCTGCACATTTCAGATGCGTGGGATTAAAAAAAATGAAAAAAAAATTGGAAAAATTACGAAAAGTTGCAAGTTGATAACAAAAAAAAAATAGAATGAATATAAAGATACTCGAAGGAACCTCATCTCCCTTTCATAAAACTATCTCGCCAGTCATATATTTTTGAGCATCAAAAACAAAGAAAAAAGTTGAGAATAAATGCCATATATATGGAGCCAACTAGAGACACAAGTGTCCATCAAAGTATCAATGTGAACAAAAAAAAACCCGAAATGCGTCTTTGTTGGGGTTTCACAAAAAAAATGACGAAGAAGAAGAAGAAAAAAAAAACGCCTTCATTTCGGTGGAGATTCATTCAAAATTTACAGGAATGTGTATGTGTGTTTGAGTTGTGCAAAAGACGAAAAGAAACCCCTAGTTCGTGTTTGATATGACAATTCTGATTCTAGTCATCCTCATCTTCTCGCATGCCCATTTTCAGATCGATGTAACCCGTCGGAATCGCAAATTCGGCAATTTTCTCGCCGTTCGATTTGATCGCGATTTTGATTCGATAATTTCCCTAAAAAAAATTCACGCATGGTTTACGAAGAAGCACAAACATTGGGGGTTACTTTCAAAATATCCAACAGCGAAATTCCCAGAAAATTCGGCGACGGCGGCAATTCCAAAGTGGCGTTGAACGCTTTCTTCTCCTTAATTCTTTCAGTTAGAACCCCTTGACAAATTTATTCACAATAAATTAATATTATAATTTTTTGCTTTTTCATAGTTCTTTTTATGCTCATTCGTCTGAAAAAATAAATAAATAAACAAATGGAATTCATTATTTTAAAATCAACTTTTGAAACACAATAACAATTTCTATAATGGCCCACAAACGCGCTCTATAGAAACGTCTCGTTGTATAACACCCTCTCACTCTCCCTCTATCTATGTTTCTCGCACTTTTTTCTCTGCGTCTCTTATATCTCTCTCTCTCTCTCTCTGTAGTATGATCACGGGGAACTATATAAGCTCGCGCTTCGCCCATTTTGACATTCTATTTGGTTGAAACCATAAAGTCACATTGACCAAATCTCGTGTGTCACACACCGACATCTACGAAAACAACCAGGATTTTGGAAAATAGATCTCAATAATACTAACAAATTTATGCTAAATTTTGAAAAATAAAACACAAATTTTTAACGCATCTGATTTTAGATTTTATATCAGGTACAAAAATTTGTAAATTTTTTTTGTTGAAATACAAAAATTTTCTATTTTTTTCTTCAAAAATAAACATAAATTTGTTAATTTTCACTATATACCTCTAGCTCTTCGAGTGTATGCAATCCTTTAGTTTCAAGAAGTTCGCAAATATCAACCGGTACAAATGAGCACATCTCGAAGTTACTGTATGCACCAAATAGGTTCAAATCAATTGAGGGCAATACCATAAAGAGTCAGGAACAATGACCATATCGGAATGGCCGTTGAGGCAAATATTGTCGCCGTCAAGTGCAATCGAGACAGCGACATCACCGGATTTGACGACATCGAAGTCGCGCGATGTCTCAACTTCACCTATAAAACATATATGTTCTATTAATGCTGCGGACAATTCTCGGGAAAAATGTAGTATGTGACGACCTTCAATTTCACTGCAAACAAACCTGATTTGATCACAAAATACCCGGGAAGTACCACATTCACTTTCTTGTTATAGCAAGACGGCTTCATATCAACATCATATACAAATATGGTAATATTGCGAACAATGACTGGAAGAGAATCTAAAAGCCGAGGAATTGTCCGCAGACGGTGAACCGAAACTGCAAACCATTTCCAATCGAGTCAATTGTGAACACATTATGAACCCCGTCGCGACAAACTGAGCCAATCGCAACCCCGATGAAGCTCAATATTGATATGCTCGTAAAAGGGAACATCTGAAAATGAGATGAAAAAAATCGATTGAAAAAAAACAACAAGAACACAATAAAAACAATGGAAATGGTTGGGAAATTCCGGTTTTCAAGGATACATTAAAAATGGGCAGAATAGAAAAATTAATCGACGGCTGCCTGCCAGCGTCGACCTTTCCTTCACTGATGTCACTTTTCTTTTTCATTGTCGCCCTTTGAACGCAAGAACTTTCGATTCACGAGAATCTTGGCAATCAAGGGGGGATGGCAAAATCGAGACATGTGTTCTCTAGCCGCTTCGTGCGCGTGTGCGAGTCCTCGCGAACAACAGAGATCAAAGAGTTGTCAGATGATATTTAGGACAGTAAAAACGATTTTTTTCATGCGATGAAAAAAAAAGAGGCGAGCAGGAGTTGGGTAAGCGTAGAAATAAACAATGCGCCAAAAAAAATAAACATTTTCGTTTGAAGACCCATTATTTCATTCAAATTGAATTTCTGAATAATACAGGAAATAATAAACATAGATCAATGTATGAATTTTTCGTTCGGTCGAAAAAAAAAAACGAAAGTTGTTCGCCGGGCAAGAGATGGCCGCCACCGAGTCGCCAACACTTTTCTTACAACCATGAGCAGGAAACGACAGTTGTTCATTCATTATACAACGTGTGATCTGTAGAAAGCGTGAAATCCGAGAGGAATCCGCGCTTCGGGGATGACGAAGCGCGCGGTCTCGTGCAGCGTTTTCGCGTCGAGAATCAACACGAACGGATTTTGCCCGTCGTTGAGAGTCATCACGGGTACAATGAGAAGACCTGAAATCCACATTGTATTCGGAAAATCGTATTAAATCAACTACCATCATCTTCCAATGATCCATTAGGATCCTTGACAAATATTGGCTCGCCGCAAATTTGGTGCTCATTCTCCTTCTTCCAAATCAAATGCGTCGCGTTTTTCAAATCAATCTTGATTATCTGAAAATTTAAATTGAAAAAAAAATACATTGACAATAATACGAAATTCTTACACCATTAAGGTTTGTATCTCCAAGAATACTCGATCCATAGACGAATTGGTACTCTCGCATATTCATTTTCTCATTGAATTTTGGGAATTCCATCGCTGCATATATTCTCCGCTATTAAAGAAAAATGAAAATTGTACTTACAAACTTCGCATAGCCTCTTTTCGATGACTCGAAGAGATCCATCTTTTTGCACAATCGCTTGATATCCTTTCGCCCATTCCAAATGCTCTAGTAGATTTTGACCAACTTTGGCGTCTTTCGGAATTTCCAACGGAATGACACATCTCGAGAAATATGGAAGAAATTGAGGGTCCTAAACAGAATTTTTAATAATGGTGAAAATTCCAAGAAAATACATTTTTGAAGGTTCCCGTCTTCATATTTTCAATAAGAAGAGCGTCAAAGTTTCCAGATCGATTCATTCGACAGTAATCCACCACAATGCACCCATCTTTTTCATACGTATTTGCATGATGGAATGTAAAGAATTTCTCCATTGTAATCTAAAAAAATTAAAATTCCATGTGTATTATAATCGCAAAAAATTAAACATTCTAATCATTTCATTTTACAAATTTCAGTGAGTTTGATTCGTTGGTTATGGTACACTAATTTACACTGTTTAAAATCGAATTTGTTTTCAAAAGTATGAGAATGGTCCACAAAAACACAAAGCGCTCTTTTTTTTTAAATAAATGATAAACATTAAAGACCTTAAATGGGAGCAAATTTCCAGATTTCTTGTTCATCACAAACACTTTGACATCTTTCGAGTCATCCCAATAAAGTGTTTCTCGATAAGAAATTGGGAAAATATTTCTGAAAAATAAAACATTAGAAATGCGATATTTTTAAAAATCTTTCAACCTGAGCATCAATCTTTTCACATTGATTCGAACAGGTGATTCGAATAAAACAAAATAGTTTTGCGACATTCCGAAAGAGTGAATATAAGTTGGATTGAATCTATCCGTAGATGGTACCAGCCCTTCAAGAAACCGAAATTATTTTTTGCCTAATGGTGGATATAAAAATACCAATAAGTCGTGTTTTTTCCCAAGCTTCTCCTTGTTTCGAGTTTTCGGTGAAAGTCAGTACATAACCTTCTCCAAATTTGCTTCCAATGTTGAAGATATTTCCATCGTCATCGATTCCATGATGTGCTGTGCAATTATGAAGAGAAACATATTTTCCGACATCAACCTGAAAAGAATCGCATAAATTATTATTTTCCTCTCATCGAAAAATCAATTGTTCAACTAAAGATGTCACCCAAAAATTTAAAAGAACAGAATAGACTCAGAACAGCGGTCACTTTTTGGTTTGGAATAACAGGCGAAATATTTTGGGACAAGCAAGGGAAAATTCAATCAGTCGAAACAAAATACGCTAAATCGAAGGCAATGTGTGTTAGGAGTGTCGTAGTGGTGGTGTTAAAAAATTTCGAGGAACTCCCGTGGAACTTTTACGGTTTTTCGCTGGAATGTTTCCGGATTTTTGAGTTATTGCGAAATCCGCTCAATTCCATTGCGATAACGAATGGGTGGATTGTATTGAATATGATTAATTGCATCAACAATCGATGAGCGATTGTTTTTTATAAGAAAAAATGAAGGTTAGCAATTTTCGGTTAGAATGCTTTTTTGCTCGCAACATTTAAACGGACCTCTTCTTTTGATTCCAGCGTCGTCTCATCAACCTGAATCATTTGCGGTGTCTCGGTGCAGGCAAACAGACGATCTCCAAGTGGCGCGAAATAGACGTTCGCATTATCGTGTTTCGGCTCATTTTCGAAGAAATATGAGAAAAATCTAAGATATTAAAATGTTTTGATTATTTTATTATGGACTACCTGGCAAAAATGGTCTTGCACGGATCGGCAAATGCGGCGGTTCCGAAACTTGAGCGAACAATTCGATTCTTCGACATATTCTCACGATACGCTTCAGATTCCAAAAATCTGGCAGAGTAGAACATCTGGAAATAATTGCGATTCGATCTCACATAAATTCAAGCCACTACTTTTCCATTTTCAAAATAATATCTTTGCATGTAAGCGAGTCCATCGAACCAATGATTGTATTTGGTGTCTCCAATTTCGAACATTCCAGGACCATTTCGGATCATCGAGCCCTTTAGCCAATCGGGAACATTTCCTAATAAGTCATTGAAGACAATTTCAATTTAAATAAATTACCTATTTTGGCGCATTCCTTGGGTTCAATTACATTTTCAAAATTATGAAATAATCGAGCGTAACCTTCGTTTTCGAATTCTGCCATGTTTGATTAAGATAGAAAACCATACAACGAACGAAAATTTTATATTGGCGGCGGCAAGACTTGAGTGTAGTCTATAGATAAAGCAATAGAGAAGTTAAGAAAAAAAATAGATGATTGATTGCAGTCATAAAATAGTCACAGAATGTTGTGTTGCGAAAAATAAAATCCAATGATTCTTTTCAAAATGATGCAAAATTGAAATGAGAAATTGAATGAGATTATTGACACGAAAATGTGCACGAAAGGTGAAAAAATTCAATTTTGTTAAAACAAAAGTCGCCGTAAATTTGGAGTGTCGTTTCGGGTGACCGAATTCCTCTTTAAAATTCATCGGCGTCCGCTCTGACGCTGCTTGTCCACTGAGCGTCCGAGCGGTGTTCGCTGGTTTACCGTCACAGAGGTATCCGAGTTGCTCGTCCGATTTTCCCGAGCATTGATATATGCTCTAATTCTTCTGCTTACCTATTTAACCGTCCACGCTGTGTCCGATGTGATTTATCGAATTCTCGACATCTGTACACCTAGAGTTCTTAATGGGCTGACTGTTTTTCAGACTAGCAAGGCAGTCCTTCCGACAGTTGCAAATTTGTTTTCAAAAAATATCGATGTCCAGGACATAAATAATCGCATGGCGGACGAATTTGACAAATCACGCGTTTCAGAATTATTTGATCGCAAAATGAAGAAGTTTTTCTGGTACTTTTGATGCATATTTTAGTTTGGAACATGTTTGATTCTAAAATTCTGGCGAATATAAATTACCTTTTTCAAGTTATAATTTTTCCGGAATTTTCTGTCTTCGACAATATCTTCAAGAAGTTTTTTTTTTTCAATTTAAAGCACATTCATCTCTTACTTGTGTTCATGACTCATTATGTTATTTGTCGAAAAAATGCATTGTTTACATGTTTTCCGAAATTTCTGGAAGGAATTCCGCAATTTCGACAGTTCCAGCCCACATCAGCTTCCTCTATATAATGAATGCCAGTGGAGTTGGAAAAGACCAGTTTTTTCTTCAATTTTTTTTTCAAATTCAAGCATTAAGGAAAACATCGTCAAAAATTTACCAATTTGAAATAAATGTTTTAAAATTTCCAAAATTTTCATTTATAATTAGAGTCTACATCATGTTGATTGATGATTCGAACCTATCAATTGCGGACCATCTTATTTTAAACGATTTCTTAAAATATTCATAGTATATTTATCTGTCTAATTCCAGTCAAATTTCGAAAAAAATCGCATAATTGCCAGCGAAACGTGAACTTCGAGCAAGCAAGTCGAAAGCATTTCAAATTTTGAAAAATATAAATAAATTCACCCATTGTTCAACAAATTTCAGGGCGATGAAGCTTGCTATTGTGCTATTGCTGATTGTTCCGCTAGCCGATGCGATGATTCCATATTTTATGGATTGGTTTCTCACTGCCAGTTGCATATTGCCGCAAATCAGAGAACAGAAAAAGTGCAAAGATGTACGAAAATAAACGTGTATTCCATGAAAATTGAATTTTTTTTAGTACTACGACTTATATTTGAAATACTCGAGAGAAGCCGAGAAGCCCGTGACAGGAAATTTCGAATACGATATGAAAAGGGCTCGAAAAACCGGATGGGCCTGTCAGAAAACGCACGTAATATCGCGAAATCGATCATTATTTCTGCCAACAATTGTTTGAAGGACTGCCTTGCTCGTCTGAAATGCCCAGAAGTTGACAACCGACATCCAATTAAGGACCCGAATTGTACAGATGTCGAGAATTCGTTCACACCTCTCGGAAAATGCTTCGGAAAAGTATTGAAGCAGGGCAGTTGAACTATATCATATTGTTAAAAATTTCAGCTGTGGCCGTCGTATAAAAATTCGATCGATTGCGATGGATTTTTCGGGAAAATCGAGACAGTAGGCCGTTTTAATTTTTCTGTCGAAATTTGAAGATTCAGATGGAAGGAGCTTCTCGCTGCAATTTCTTTCTGAGCCATCAGACCTGTCTATACAATTATATCAAAACGAACTGCGACGAAAATGCAGCAATGCATATGTTTATGGTATACAAATAGTATTTCAAAGCAATTTCGATGTTTTAGTGCTAATTTGCAGAAAAATGGATACTATATGAAGCAAAATGGATGCTGAAAACACTATTTATTGCATTCAATTTAATAAAATATACCTATTCTCTCTGAAATAGTTTATGTATTTTAGAAAAAATTCTTCTTTTAGACCAGGAAATGATTCGAAATGAGAAGGAGCAGTTGTTGTGCTCAATGCTGTTCCGGGTTCGAGCTCATGGAATTGAACGCGAAATTTTATGGGATTTTTAACACAATTGTATGCCCATTTTGGGAAGTCAACTCGAAAAAGTCCAACACGTTCTGAATAATATGGTCCTGAAATGAACAGAATTCTCAAAAATTCATCGAAGGTGGTCTTTCATCTTTCTTGATAGTGTTTGAAGAAAATGAGTGTAGTATAGAACATTTTCGGCTATATTAACAATACATAAATGGTTATGGTTGACAATATTAAAGAAATTCTTAATTGATTAAATTCTTGAATTTAATCAAGTAATCTCAAAAATGATTCCAAGAATTTTATCACAATGTTTGTCATACAGATTTTCAGACATTCATTATTAGACATCACCTTTTTCTTCGAACTATCTCAATGTTTCAAAATGAAACTCGATCATTCGGATGCACTTTGAGCAATACTAGAAAATAAGCAAAGCAAGATCGACAATCGGGAAAAACATTTCGTTTCCGGGTTGGCTGAGATTGATAACAACACACTGATTGAAGGTCGGCTGTCTGGCTATATATTTTTTGCTAAGATTTAACCCGGAACCAAATTTTCGGACAACTGTTATTTCTTATCCATTCTTGCTTCTTAATTCATACTCGTTCAGTCATGATCGGGAAGACGATTCTCTTCGTTTCTGCTCTTGTGCTCCTTTCGGAATGCGCTCCGAAGGTTGATGAGTGTTCAATAAGCGACAATCTCATTGCTCTGGAATGCAAACCGGTTGGTCCTCTTTTCTTTTTTTTTCTAATTTTCATTAATTATTTTTTAAGAAGGCTGATAAGTTGAGAGCGAATTTGAAGAAGGCGGAAGAAGGAAATAATTTGATCAATTTGGAATTCATGAAGAACCTTCAGAATAGCTGCGAAGAAACCTTTGTAGCAAATCTTTTCAATTATTTGGGAGTAATTTCTTTTTTTTTTGCTAGAAATGCATGAAACCTGCCAAATGCGAGAAAATTATTCAATCAATGAGCGGATTAGAGAAGAATTGCGAGAAAATGAAAGAAATGGCAACTCCAATTGGACAGTGCCTTCTTAAGGTAATATAGTTGTAGATTTACGAGTGCGCCTTTTGAAATGGTCTCCACACGTCACAGTTTGTTTTCCTAATTTTCATGTGAGATGTTTAATTTTTCTTGATTAGTTTATGAGTATAAAATTCCCTTGAATACTTTGTATCATTGAAATTAAAAATTAACGGAATGACCTCTAAAATAACCGGTAGGTCTTTGCGAGACCATAGCGAAGGCGCATGCACGTAAATCTACCAGCATACAGCAGTCGCCGGACGACAACTGTACTATATATATAATACCTTATCATCGATAAAATTTGCTAAATTAATTAAATACATAATTGACTATTTCAGAACCCCCCAGAGTTTGCCCCATCCTCCGTTTGCAACGGATTCTTCAAAGTTGATAAAATGAAAATGGAGGCTGATAAACGGTGCAAATACATGAGGGAGAATAAGGAATGCGTGTTCAAATGGTTCGAGGAAAAGTGCGGAAAGGAGATCAGAAAGGACCTCGAGGATGTAAGAATTAGCTTCTATTGAGAGAACGTTGACCATTATTTCAGAAGAACTCGGCGATTGGAAAAGCGTACAACTGTTAATTCAATTCGATGTTTCGTTTCGTAGTTTTAAAATAAAAGTGCAATATATCATTCTTTTGTTGGTTACAGCTTTCACAATTTTCATATGTGTACAGGGTGCGGCAAAATTACGGGTGCATAACTTTGGCGCAAGCTCATAGTGCACTGTCGCATTTTTTGTGCAGTTTTATGTTTTTATTTTATTTTCTATGACGTTTTAATCATTTTCTGATAGTTTCATGAAAATCCGTTTCGTATTACAAAAATGACAGCTGATTCTATTCATCGTGCGGCCATCATCGACTTGAAAAAAAGGGAACGTCGTTCAAGATAATTTCTAAAATCCTTGGAGTTCACCACAACACCGTACAAACAACTTTGAAACGCTTCCATGAGATAGGGGGACTCTCTAGCTGTCCTAGAAGAGGAAGAAACATTCTTTAATAACACCGGAGCGAATCAAGGTCATTAGGGAACGAGTTCGCCGAAATCCAGATTGTAGCATCAGAAAAATGGTGTCAGATGTCCATGTGAGTCCGAGATGGTGGGAAAAATTGTCAAAGATGAGCTGAACCTGATACCTTATCGTGTTAGAAAGGCCGCCATTCTAACCGAAAAAAATAAAGAAGGTCGAATGAAAAAGTGCAAATCGCTCCTAGCTGGCACGCGGCAAGGAAAGCACCTAACGACTTTCGTCATGGATGAGAAGCTGTTTACGGTAGAAGCTGCTTTCAATCTCCAAAACCACAGAGTGATCGCCAGAAGGTCTGAAGAAGCTATGAACAAAAGCAGAACCATTCATCGTGTTTCTCATCCTCAGCAGATCATGGTATTCGGTGGGATCTACGCTGACGACAAAGCACCACTGATTTCGTTGATCCCGGAGTGAAGATTGATCAAAATGGCTATCTTAATGAGATTCTGAAGAAGAATGTCCTTTCCTGGTCCCAATCCTATTTCGGAAATCGATCTTGGACTTTTCAACAGTAGAGCGCCTGCACAACGAACCAAAATCATTCAAGACTGGTGCGGCAGCCATTTTTCACCATTCATCTGGTCAACGGATTGGCCCGCTTTGTCGCCCGACCGGAACCCCATGGGCTATTCTGTCTGGGGAGTCTTGCAAGATAAGGTGTCCGCTTTCCCACACCCAAATATGAACTCATTGAAAGCTGCCCTTCTGAAGGAATGGGACAAATTGGACGCCAAATACCTGCGTGCCACCGTCGACGCCTATCCGAAGCGTCTGAAGGAAGTTATCAAGAATCGAGGTGGAAGAATCGAACAACGATTATTAATTTGTAATTGTTATGTGTTGAATAAATTCTGGTATTAATTTGAAAGAGTTTTGTTGATTTAAAAAAAAGTTATTTCGTTTTATCTATGCACCCGTAATTTTGCCGCACCCTGTATAGTCGGCGTCCGGCGACTGCTGTACGCGGGTAGTTTTTCGGGAATGCGTCTTTCGAAATGGTCTTGCAAGGACTAACAGGTTATTTCAAATTTTATGAACCGGTTCGATAATTTTTTAATCGAATAACGTTGGAAATTCTAGGAAATGCAAAACTCATTAAGAAAAAATAAGTCATTCATGTGAAAACAGCAAAATAAGCATCAATGCGTGGCGAGACCTTTTCAAGGCGCATGCGCGTAAATCTACCCGCGTACAGCAGTCGCCGGACGCCGACTATATTACCATCGCAAAAAGAACGAGCGCCTTGCATAACTGTGGACCATCGCACTTTTTCGTGGCGGTAATTCAAATTTTAAGCAGTGTGAAATTGGGGGTGAAAAAACATTCATTAAAACCAATGATTTCTTTTTTTTTTCTTTTCAATTTTAGAATAATTTGAAAATTACGAAATTTCTATGAAAATTGTGAGTAAACTATTAAATCGTGAAAATATAAATCGATTAAAGGGTGATAACGCGGAAGATGAGTTGGGTCTTGCGGCGACTGATTCTGATATCCGCTTTCTTATCGGAAACAGACAATTTTGGTCTATTTTCACTGCAAATTATTCGCATTCTTATTTCATAAATTTTTTAAAGACTTTTGCAGATTAGTGAGTGGTTCTGAAGTAATCAATAAATTTAAAATTGTTTTTGCTGAATATCAAAATAAACAAAAAATGTTATGACGAAAACCATTTAAAAGCAATGATTAAAAAAAACATTATAGATGTGTTCTCTCAATGTTCACGAAAAGTTCGTTGCGAACCCTTTTAAAATAATTTTTTTTGACATTACATCCTAATTGTCGATTTTCTGTTTTCAAAAGTCGTTTGTCCGCCATCCGTGACACCATCGTCATGTCCTTAGCACCACAAAAAGGGCATAACAATGGCATAACGGATTGCAGACAAGCAATCGTCAAAAGAATAGAGCGAATATTAGCGTCGAATACAGGCGGCTTGCAAGCACCGACCGACTCATAGGCGAGTAGAAAAGCGAAATGAAATGGGTGCGAAGCGAAGAAGCCACACGGGCAGGTCGCACGATGTAACTATTTCGTCGCAGAGGCTATCAAACCCTGCAGACACACACCACAACGTTTTATGAGAAAAATCGCGTCTGTTGAGGTTAAAAAGAGCGAAAGGAAGAGAAAAAGCGAGCTTCGGTAAACAGTTTTTCCTTTTTGTCTTGATGATCAAAAAGATCGTTGTAGTACTTGAGATCATTAATAATCTAAACACCAATATTTTTGCTGGATTTCATAAATATTATTTGAAAGTTGCGATAATCAAAATTATCATTTTATATACTAAATAACCCTATTCAATTAGGATGACGATCGATTCGAACAAGTGTGCTCTTCCGAAAGTTAGCAAGCACTCAGGCAAACATTATTTGTACAAGTTGATTTTTGGTTCAAATCTTACTTATACGCTGTACAATACGCACTAGTTGAAAATTCAAGCTAACATTAACCTATTTTTAAATTGACGATGAATTCGTTTTTCTGTATGACCCATTGGTAACGGCCTTTGAATAATTCAATGGCCGTGGCCAAGTTTTTCGAAGCCAACAGCACCACGGTCAATTTACTATGGGGTCACTGTTCCAAAGGGTAATTTTTTGTACCATGAGATGGTCATATTTTTGAAGAAACAAGGGGTCATGATTTTATCGTCTTAAGGGGTTACCAGAAAATTTTCTTTATGTTTTTATAAAATGGTAATTGTTATGTAAGGAAAGGGGCGATAAAAGCGGGAATTATACCAATAATTACAGGAAAAACAAAATTTAATATTTTAGTAAAATATAGTACGTATATGAGATACAATCGCACAAGCCTGAAAAATTTCATTAATAAATTCTGGGGAAAAAAATTAAAAAATCCTTAAAAATAATTACGTAAAAAATAATCGAAATTTCCATTTTTTAAATCCTAAATAGCCTCGAAATATAACAAATACACTTTTAAAAAATGAAAAAATTTTAATTCGCAAAAAAAACTAAAAGAAAATGAAAAATTGAATTGTTACTATCGCGAAAATGCCTGGTGCTCGTTTTTTTGCGAATGAAATACTTTTCTCAAAACTCACATTTTTCACAGTTAAGAAAATGTTACAGTAACTCTGTACCTTTAACTTGCCGGCTATATAAATTTAAATTTATTTTTACGTAATTATTTTTTTAGGATTGTTTCGTTTTTAGCGAATTTTTTATTTTTTTTCTTTATATTTAATGAAATTTTTCGTATCTCATATACGTACTATATTTTACTAAAATATTCAATTTTGTTTTTCCTATAATTATTGGTATAATTCCCACTTTATCGCCCTTTTTCTTACCTAATTTAAGTTTTGTTTTGTAAAATAAACAGTTGTTGGGCTCATTACTGAGATGTGCGGTAATTTTTCAAGCGGAAATCCTGACCATAAAATCGAACAATTGTAAATTCTTAACCTATATATATATATATGTATATATGACCGTTTTAAATAATTTTGTAGTCGGCGTCCGGCGACCGCTGTACGCGTGTAGATTTACGCGCATGCGCCTTGAAAAGGTCTCGCCACGCATTAATGCTTATTTTGCTGTTTTCACATGAACGACTTATTTTAATGAATTTTGCATTTCCCAACGTAATTCGATTAAAAATTACCGAATCGGTCCATAAAATTTGAAATAACCTGTTAATCTTTGCGAGACCATTACGAAAGGCGCATTCCCGTAAATCTACCCGCGTACAACAGTCGCCGGACGCCGACTATACCTCAATTACCATTTTATAAAAACATAACGAAAACTTTTTCTGGTAACCCTTTAAGACGTTAAAATTATAACCCCTTGGTTCATCAAAAACCCCTTGGTACAGTGGCCCTATAGTAAATTTGAAAAAAAACGCGTGTTTCGCAAAAAAGTGATGTGATAGATCGCATGCGCCACAATTCAATTCATTTTATACGACACACCAACCTCTTGAAATCCAGACTGTGTTAGAGATTCTAACAAGTGCGGGCCCTCATGCACGCGTTGAATCCCCCTCACAGAACACGTTTTTAGCATTTCCATTACACTTTTGAATTCGAAAAGAGGGCGTTAAACCAACAAATTAGCTTATCTTGGGTCCATTCGTGTGCAAGACACATTCAAATTATTCAATTTCCCGAAATTCCAAAAAAGAAAGCTAATTCAGTTTTGCTAGAGCACTTTTGAAGGGTTTAACACGATGCTCCCATTAAAAAAGGACTTACCTGGCATATAGAAAAAAATGATTAAAACAAAAATTAAAAACAATAAACAAAATCAAGGGGTAAAAATGAAGAAAACAAAATTATCGTCCAATTTGATTCAAATTTTGCGGCAATGCAGATCATCGAAACATTCTTCCTGCAAATATTTGAAATTGATTCAGAAATTCGTCGCTTTTAGGTTTTGCTACGGACACGTCCAGCTTTATCCAATTCTTATTTATTAAACCATTATTTACAAATTAGTACAATTTGCAATTTGAAAACTAATTAGAATGCGCTAATTAACAAGATTTTAAATGAACGATGGAACACAAAATA